TCACTACCAATAGGAACAAACCGGAGAGCACGCCAAGCAAGGTATCAATCATTAAACATGGTATTGGATTTTCGAGTCTTTTTTTCATTTTTTATTTACATGTATTGTGCTTTGCAGGCTTTTGGCACTTCGGACTGTAACTTGTACGACTTATCGAGCACGACTTATTGATAAATCGTACTCGAGTACGAATTGCAGAAGTCGTGGATGGTCAATCAGCACTAAGTAGTGCGCATACGCCATCTCCTGAATGATTTAGCACATCCAGCACCTTTTGGCAATTTTAGAAAGTGCCATTTCCGAACCAAACCGGGTTCGAGACTCGACTTAGCAACTCGCATCCAAGGCCACTATGATTTACCGCTAAGTGCGAACACTAAAGTAGTGCACTACATACTGGATGCAAAGCACAATACTTGGGCTGTCTACAGGGCCGCTCGCTTGATATGGGTCGTGATGTTTTGATGAACGTTTACAGATACAGTATTGCCCCACTTGTGTTATTCACTAAACTTCGTCTTCAATATATTAAATAAAGTAAAAGGGATTGTAGTTTTCATCAAGCGCACGTCATTTGTAGTAGGTGGCGGCTTTCTTGATCGACGTCTTTGGCAAAGACTCTTTGCTCAATGAGGCCACCCAGTTTCGCCGGTTGTGCCTTGTCGATCGTTTAGATTGCTCGTAGGTGATCCTCTTTCCGCGCAAACTGATCATCACGCGGTGTTTGAGGTGTAAACCACTCACTACCAATAGGAACAAACCGGAGAGCACGCCAAGCAAGGTATCAATCATTAAACATGGTATTGACTTGACATGGTGTTCCGCTGAGTTTCGACTCGTCGATCTTAATATTTAAAGGGTTAACGCGAGACTCTGATTTGTTTAACACAATGATATAAAACATATCATGGTTATTGTTAATCTATTGGAAGGGTGGGGGCGTCGGCCTGTATAGTACAGGTTGTAGTGAAGGCTCCACTGCAGCGTGTTCATTTACAATACAACTCATCAGAGCAACGCGATTGAGATCCTCCAACACTAGTCATTGGGCGAAAGCCCCATGATGGCGAGCTTACTTGCAGTGTTTCCGGCATCCTTGCTGCTCAAATTTTTACATGAGGGCACGCTAGCAAAATGCACGTATATATTGGTGTGCTGATGAGGCATTCATCTCACTTATATCACGTTCTGCTATTTGCTTCCACAGTTTAGCAAAGATCCTGCTACGGTTTCCGAATTCGTTTCCTTTGGTACGTAGACCTCTAGTATTTAATACTATGGTATGTGATATTACAGGTACATATGGTTGTTGCTCAAGTGAGTGAGTTTAATGACCATGATTATGTTCGATGTGTATTGAGGCACAAGCAACATTCAGTTTTGTCGTGAAATGATTGCGTCGGTTTAACGCAAACATAAATCTTTTACCCACCCAATTGGATTTTCGAGTCTTTTTTTCATTTTTTATTTACACGTATTGTGCTTTGCAGGCTTTTGACACTTCGGACTGTAACTTGTACGACTTATCGAGCACGACTTATTGATAAATCGTACTCGAGTGCGAATTGCAGAAGTCGTGGATGGTCAATCAGCACTAAGTAGTGCGCATACGCCATCTCCTGAATGATTTAGCACATCCAGCACCTTTTGGCAATTTTAGAAAGTGCCATTTCCGAACCAAACCGGGTTCGAGACTCGACTTAGCAACTCGCATCCAAGGCCACTATGATTTACCGCTAAGTGCGAACACTAAAGTAGTGCACTACATACTGGATGCAAAGCACAATACTTGGGCTGTCTACAGCGCCGCTCGCTTGATATGGGTCGTGATGTTTTGATGAACGTTTACAGATACAGTATTGCCCCACTTGTGTTATTCACTAAACTTCGTCTTCAATATATTAAATAAAGTAAAAGGGATTGTAGTACGTACCAAAGGAAACGAATTCGGAAACCGTAGCAGGATCTTTGCTAAACTGTGGAAGCAAATAGCAGAACGTGATATAAGTGAGATGAATGCCTCATCAGCACACCAATATATACGTGCATTTTGCTAGCGTGCCCTCATGTAAAAAATTGAGCGGCAAGGATGCCGGAAACACTGCAAGTAAGCTCGCCATCATGGGGCTTTCGCCCAATGACTAGTGTTGGAGGATCTCAATCGCGTTGCTCTGATGAGTTGTATTGTAAATGAACACGCTGCAGTGGAGCCTTCACTACAACCTGTACTATACAGGCCGACGCCCCCACCCTTCCAATAGATTAACAATAACCATGATATGTTTTATATCATTGTGTTAAACAAATCAGAGTCTCGCGTTAACCCTTTAAATATTAAGATCGACGAGTCGAAACTCAGCGGAACACCATGTCAAGTCAATACCATGTTTAATGATTGATACCTTGCTTGGCGTGCTCTCCGGTTTGTTCCTATTGGTAGTGAGTGGTTTACACCTCAAACACCGCGTGATAATCAGTTTGCGCGGAAAGAGGATCACCTACGAGCAATCTAAACGATCGACAAGGCACAACCGGCGAAACTGGGTGGCCTCATTGAGCAAAGAGTCTTTGCCAAAGACGTCGATCAAGAAAGCCGCCACCTACTACAAACGACGTGCGCTTGATGAAAGCTACAATCCATTTTACTTTATTTAATATATTGAAGACGAAGTTTAGTGAATAACACAAGTGGGGCAATACTGTATCTGTAAACGTTCATCAAAACATCACGACCCATATCAAGCGAGCGGCCCTGTAGACAGCCCAAGTATTGTGCTTTGCATCCAGTATGTAGTGCACTACTTTAGTGTTCGCACTTAGCGGTAAATCATAGTGGCCTTGGATGCGAGTTGCTAAGTCGAGTCTCGAACCCGGTTTGGTTCGGAAATGGCACTTTCTAAAATTGCCAAAAGGTGCTGGATGTGCTAAATCATTCAGGAGATGGCGTATGCGCACTACTTAGTGCTGATTGACCATCCACGACTTCTGCAATTCGTACTCGAGTACGATTTATCAATAAGTCGTGCTCGATAAGTCGTACAAGTTACAGTCCGAAGTGCCAAAAGCCTGCAAAGCACAATACGTGTAAATAAAAAATGAAAAAAAGACTCGAAAATCCAATTGGGTGAATCCCAAAAACCCTACCAATTTTGAAATGATAGCACCATAAAAGATTTATGTTTGCGTTAAACCGACGCAATCATTTCACGACAAAACTGAATGTTGCTTGTGCCTCAATACACATCGAACATAATCATGGTCATTAAACTCACTCACTCGAGCAACAACCATATGTACCTGTAATATCACATACCATAGTATTAAATACTAGAGGTCTACGTACCAAAGGAAACGAATTCGGAAACCGTAGCAGGATCTTTGCTAAACTGTGGAAGCAAATAGCAGAACGTGATATAAGTGAGATGAATGCCTCATCAGCACACCAATATATACGTGCATTTTGCTAGCGTGCCCTCATGTAAAAAATTGAGCGGCAAGGATGCCGGAAACACTGCAAGTAAGCTCGCCATCATGGGGCTTTCGCCCAATGACTAGTGTTGGAGGATCTCAATCGCGTTGCTCTGATGAGTTGTATTGTAAATGAACACGCTGCAGTGGAGCCTTCACTACAACCTGTACTATACAGGCCGACGCCCCCACCCTTCCAATAGATTAACAATAACCATGATATGTTTTATATCATTGTGTTAAACAAATCAGAGTCTCGCGTTAACCCTTTAAATATTAAGATCGACGAGTCGAAACTCAGCGGAACACCATGTCAAGGATGCCGGAAACACTGCAAGTAAGCTCGCCATCATGGGGCTTTCGCCCAATGACTAGTGTTGGAGGATCTCAATCGCGTTGCTCTGATGAGTTGTATTGTAAATGAACACGCTGCAGTGGAGCCTTCACTACAACCTGTACTATACAGGCCGACGCCCCCACCCTTCCAATAGATTAACAATAACCATGATATGTTTTATATCATTGTGTTAAACAAATCAGAGTCTCGCGTTAACCCTTTAAATATTAAGATCGACGAGTCGAAACTCAGCGGAACACCATGTCAAGTCAATACCATGTTTAATGATTGATACCTTGCTTGGCGTGCTCTCCGGTTTGTTCCTATTGGTAGTGAGTGGTTTACACCTCAAACACCGCGTGATAATCAGTTTGCGCGGAAAGAGGATCACCTACGAGCAATCTAAACGATCGACAAGGCACAACCGGCGAAACTGGGTGGCCTCATTGAGCAAAGAGTCTTTGCCAAAGACGTCGATCAAGAAAGCCGCCACCTACTACAAACGACGTGCGCTTGATGAAAACTACAATCCATTTTACTTTATTTAATATATTGAAGACGAAGTTTAGTGAATAACACAAGTGGGGCAATACTGTATCTGTAAACGTTCATCAAAACATCACGACCCATATCAAGCGAGCGGCCCTGTAGACAGCCCAAGTATTGTGCTTTGCATCCAGTATGTAGTGCACTACTTTAGTGTTCGCACTTAGCGGTAAATCATAGTGGCCTTGGATGCGAGTTGCTAAGTCGAGTCTCGAACCCGGTTTGGTTCGGAAATGGCACTTTCTAAAATTGCCAAAAGGTGCTGGATGTGCTAAATCATTCAGGAGATGGCGTATGCGCACTACTTAGTGCTGATTGACCATCCACGACTTCTGCAATTCGTACTCGAGTACGATTTATCAATAAGTCGTGCTCGATAAGTCGTACAAGTTACAGTCCGAAGTGCCAAAAGCCTGCAAAGCACAATACATGTAAATAAAAAATGAAAAAAAAGAATCGAAAAACCAGAGCTTCCCCGTGCAAAGCACGGCTGTGTAAATAAATACCGGTAGACCTCTGAGCCGGTTCAGTAGTACTAGTATTATGAAACTAACAATAGTAATTTTGATACGTGTACTATAGTATTTTATTATTTGGTATACTACAATATGACGAGTTACTGTTTTAGATTCATACTTACTACGTTGAGGATCGCGATGTCTTCGGAGGACCACGGCATGTCCCGCATGCAGGAGCTGCTGAGCAGCTACTACGGGCTGCAGGACCAGGAGAGCAAGCAGGAGCAGCTGCGCAACATCGACTCGCCGGGCTTCGACCCCAAAGTCTACGTCAAGGTCGGCGCTTGGCTAGAGAGGAAGGCCACGTGTATTCCTGAATATGTAACCCCCTGCGTACCCTCGTATCTGCAGGAGCTTCTCGAGAACCGCGGACTCAATGAGCTGCTCACGACGGACGACCAGTTGATTCGCGAGATCAAGGAGCTGGACACCAACATGCAGATGCTCGTGTACGAGAACTACAACAAGTTCATCAGCGCCACCGACACGATCCGCAAGATGAAGGTGCCCACAATATCCAGCATGCAGCTTTTCAGAGCGGGTTGCCGGCTTAACTATGTCGTTTTTAATGCTATTTTATGTATTTCTAATGCTGCAGAACAATGTGGCGAGTATGGAGGAGGAAGTGGGTCGCGTGGTGAAGAGCATGGACACCATCACGGCCAAGAGCGAGAGCATCAATGTGGCGCTGGCCCCGCATCGCTCCAAGGTGGAGAAGCTCATTGGCGTACGACGGTTGCTGAAGAGATTCGAATTCATCTTCGAGCTGCCGCAGAGATTGAATACGTAAGTGCTGAAGGAAAGGAGTGTTGGAGGCGAAGACAGGAGCTGACGATGAGGGTGTTGTTGTAGTGCTGTGAAGCAGAAGGAGTACGCAAATGCTACCAAGTATTATCTGCTTGCACGCCGAATTCTGGGAAGATATGAACATATCTCGTCGTTCAAGGTGAGGCTTGATGTGGAAGAAGAGCTCGACTGGATCCGCGCTGACATTGTTGTATTTGCCGTAGACGATTCAAATGGAGGCCGAGAAAATCATGCAGCAACTTGAGCGTCTGCTGAAGAAGCGAATGCTTGACCGAACGCTTGGGTCCGAAGAGGTAACTGCATGCTTATGTATGGCGGGTAGTTGTTATCATGTCATTGATGGAGCATGTGCCCTGGTTTGCGTAGCTGTGTGAGACGGTAGTGCTGTTGCATCAGTTAGATGCGTGCAGCGACGAGATCCGAGACCAGTTTCTTGAGTGGCACCAAGCGTATTTTGAGCGCGAGGTAGCGGTCTTTAAGGTACATAAGGCTTCTACTAGTGTGTGCTTGCGTCCATGGTCTTACGGTATTATTGTGCTGCGTATTTACAGGCTCGAGGCACTAGCGATTCGGTGCTTGCTTTTCTGCGGAGATTCAATGAAGACGTCCTGGCGAAGATGGCTCGAGTATTCTCAGTATACAAGACCCACTTCATGCCTGAAGTCGTGGCGCGCGAGAAATCATCGCCATTACGAAGATCTTCTGATGCTGTCCGAGACGACTTGTTCCTCAGCTTTGTGAAAGAGTTGTTCGGGCTGTATCTGGGCGAGTGTGTTGAACAGTTCCGTCGCCCTCATTCGGACTTCGTAAGTACACTTTGCTGCCTTATATTCTTGGGACACCAACGCTAATGACAGTTCATGCTTTGTACAGGGTTCGACGGAAGAAGTCCTCGACATGCTGCAGGATGACGATCTCTCGGCAGATATTGTCGATAGCGAGTATTTTGTCTTCATGCGTGTGATGAAATACTTTGTTTCGCAAGTGAAAGATGTGGACAGAACGATCCCGATGTGCGGTCTCGCTGCAAACGCTACTGAAACCGTCGAGAGCTGCGTGCGGTTCCAGATTGATGGCGTATTTCGGAAATTACGCGAAGATACTGGAGAGCTCTTTGTCACTTCGCACGAGGATGTGTCTGGGTTGGCTCGTAGCTCACGCGATGGTGGGCAAAGTGTTCAGCCTCTAGCGCACGAATCCGCAAGGACGTTTACCGACATGATGCAGAAGGTGCTGCAGCAAATGGAGCCCATGGTGCAAACAGGGTTTGCGATTCTTTCGGAGATGAGCAGACTTTTCTCCGACTTGGTCCAGGTAAGGTATATCCCTCTTTGCTGCTCACGCGAAACAATTTCATTGCTAACAAGTATGATGATATGACGATTCCGTTCAACATCTTTGCAGAGTCAATTTTATGACTTCCTGAAGTGGTTTAATGCATCAGTACTCCAGTATGCGGAGCCAAAGCGCGCATTCGCACAAACGGATGGACAACTCGGAGCTCGGGGCGAAGAGCAAGACAACATAGCGCTTCCGTGGCTGGAGCCCACACCCCAGTTCTTGCTGTTCCTAGCCTGTATGTGCCAAGATCTCTCAGCTGAAGGCATCGGGGAGTGCGTACGCGGCCTCATCGAGTGTCTGCCAGCACCTCTGTCTCCATCCAAGACTCCTGCTGGTGACCCGATTCGCAGTAATCGCATGCGCCAGCAGGACGTAACGCACATGATCGAAGTGACCCGTGAGTCTGCTGGAGAGTTGTTGCAGCACGTTGCGAAGCAATATGGCAACCAGTTGTGCGTTATCGTCCACAATGGAGTTGTTGCCACATCATGGGCTGATATGGACGAAGAGCCGAGAAGTGTGCAGGAGATGATGGCAGCGGTCGTGCAGTCCACCTTCCGCTTTGGCAAAGAAATTGCACTAGCACTTGGTGATGAACAAAGCGTGTTCATTGGGAACAACAGCCGCACGACAAGCCGCGACTTCCGTCGGTGCGCCAGTGCGCTCCGTTCTCGAAATGCTGGCGTTACAGCAGCATCCTCAGGGATGCAGCTTGATGTGGATCGGATTTTCGCGCGTAAGATCCACATTTTCCCGTCCCAGTTAGAGCTCACTGCGGATTCGTTTGTCCAGACGATGCTCAAAATGTGCATCAAGGCCTTCAGCGAGTGGGTTCGGCAGCTAGAGTTGTCCAAGTTCGGGTTGCAGCAGATTCAGCTGGACGCCGAGTTCCTTCGCAGCACACTCATGCACATTGTGGTGGCCGGGGAAGCAGAGGAGGAAGTGGAGAGCCTGCTGTCTGATTTGCTCTCGAATGCTCGCGGCCGTGCTGTCGAGGATGTGTTGATGGATCAGAGCAACGTTGTTGCTATCGTTAGCACCAAAAGCACTCAAGTTTTGTCTCGCCGAGGATGAATTCGTGAAGGAGTGCGCCGATGGATGCAACCAGAGTGTTGAAAACTCAATATGCTCATTAATCTCTAACTTTGTGTTTCTTTCATCTAATTCTTTTGGGATAAACTGGAAAGCCGTCTTGTGCTTGAAGAGTGTTCAACCAAGCTGCGTGAGCTGTTACCGCGCACGTAAACCCTCGCCAGCTCTTCAATTTCCTCTGCTTCACGCTGGAGCTTGTCCAGCTCAGCCTTGTAGCGCTCTCGATTGCTTTCCAGTGAGTCAGCATAGACCCGAATGGCAGGACACAAGGTGGCCAGCGGCAGCCAGATCGGGCGCAGGACATAGTTGATAAAGTTGAGCTGTACGGTGACCCGTGTCTTGGCGTGGTGCAGATTGGTCATGAACGACTCAACCGGAACGTGCATTTCGGCTTCGTTCTTCGCTTGCTGCTGGAATTCCGAGAGCACGCGCATGCCCCAACGGACTGCCTGCGTGTACGGCAGGGCCTGGCCAGACAAGTCGGCTGCGTGGATGATGATTGCCATGAATACGAAGCGATGTTTGCTTCGACTTCGTCTCGCACCTCTGCCCCCGTCGCTGTTAACAAGAAGGTGGCGTTTGGAGAGCCCTTCCAGGGCCTTGCACTTTTCGAAGTGCTTTGCCATATCTGTCGCGAGAATGCAGTGGATGAGCAGTCGACGCACATACACGAAGCAGGCGCGCGAGGGCAATCGTGCCAGAAGGTTTGCTCCCGGATGGCTCAAGATAACGAAGGCCACGCGGCAATGGTGACGCTCAAGTACAGCATCGTCGTTGTGCGTAAGTGCGAGCTGGCTGTGCGCCTTGACCTCAAAGTCGTTCGTGTTGCCTGGGTGATCCAAGTCGTGGCACAGCGCAGCTACCAGCATTGCGAAAACTTCCACCCGAGCGAAGTACGAGTTCGCTACCCCTGATCGACGCAACAGGCAGTAAGTTGCGTGTGTTACTTGGAAGGCGTGTTGGAGATTATGAAACGCGTTGGGGCGGTAGTGCGAGGCCACGTGAGAGAGGAACGTGGAGAATGTTTCCTGGGCAACCTGGAAGCGTTCCAACAGCCCAAGCGACCGAAAGAGCACTGACGTCGCTGCGAATATATCGGGGTTGGATAGATCCAAGCAGGAGAAGTCCCACCGGGTGACGTCGCCAACGCCGATCACGTGTCCGCTCTCGCGTGCAGTTGAAATTCGTCGCTGAGGAAGCCGCTGTGGAAACGGAATCGCGGCGAATGGTGTTGGCTGTTCTTCCTCGTCGTCTGTGTCGCCGTCACAATCATCGTAGTCGCCCCCGCCTGCTTCATCCGCGTCTTCCACGTCGTCAGGATCATCAGCGATGGCTGCAGCTGCTACCTCTTCAAGCACGTCGAGCTCACTAGACTGGCAGAACTTCTGCACGATTGACGAGATGATTTCCGGTTCGTTCAAATCGTCAACTGCTGGCTGGTCCTGCGTTTTTGATGGATCGGTAGATTCGGTCAGAGACTCACCGGGTGTCCCGAGGCCGCAGTCCGACACCACCTTGTAGTACGAAATGTCTAGAGACAATCGACCGAGCGCGAATTGGATCTCCCGACAGTACTGGGTCATGCAATCCGCGTCGCTGGTAGTGAAAGGTACGTGCTGTCTCGTCACAGGGGGCGCGTCGTCGTCGTCGGTCTTCGCGTTGTTGGCCTCGTCGTCGTTGTCGTCTTTCTTGTTGATAGCCATCACTACTGCCACGATTTTGGGGTTGGTGGGCGTGTGATCCTCGAACACGGGCATCCCCAACACGGTTGTGGTGCGGTACCCCGTCTTTCGATCCAGCGTTGGATCAAAGTGTGGGTGAGTGTATGCGTCGCGCGTGCATATCGACCTCCCGGTAGTGGCGATCAGTCCAGAGAGTCCATTCGTGAGCGGCATCCTCACGCTTTCTCCATCTTCTTGGATGATCCAGAGCTCTTTCTTCAGCGGGTCCACGAGCAAGAAGCCGAAGCGGTCGCAGTGCATAAGCTTTTTACCTTCTGCCATGACCACGCGGACGAATCTAGCAACGGAGGCTGCGGCGCTTGTTTCGTCTTCAGCTCCCGACGGACTGTAAGCGCGCTCACCGTTATTATTCACGAAGTCGGCGAGTTGCAGCCGCGCTTCTGTCAAGCGCTGCGACATCAGCACTGAACGGAGTAAATTGGACTTGTGCAGCGAGATTCCTGCGGCCTCCGCGGCGTAGTTCAGGTACAGCGCGTCGTCGGAAGTAAACTCGTCGCCGTCTACCTTGTTAGTGGCGCAAACCACGGCCAAGACATGTCCGCCGGCATCTTTAACTGGAGCACAAAGCACCTGCTTCGTCTTGAGCGACGTCCACAGCTCGTCGAACTTCGGGTCGAAGGCGAGATGGGTTGGTGCGGAGTTTGTGAGCACAAGTTGTCCGGTCCGCATAACGACACCTACGATACCGTTGTGCGCTTTCAAGAATGCCTCGTCATACCCGCCATGCCGGAGGTGAGAGTGGTGTGGCCTTTCATTTGGCTTGTCCTTCGCTTTGGTTTTACCTTTCGACGCGTCCCTGTACTCGGTGACGAAGAGGAAAAACTCTTCCGTGCCTTCGTCTCGCACATAGAGAGCGATATGCTCTGCGCGAAGCAGCTCGTACGATACGGCGATGATCTGGTGAAGCACGGCCGACGAACTGAGCTCAGCAGCGATGTTCCGATTGAGCTTCAGAAGACACTCGATGCGGCTCTGCATGGCCTGGTGCGCCTTGGCCAGCGACAGATTCCACAGCGCCGTGCCAGCAGTGACGCAAATGTAGTCGAAGCTCTCCTTGTCGCGTGGGTCAAACGCTGCTTTCTCTTGGTTTTCCTGGTTTTGCCCAAGTTTTGTCAAGTCGGACCGAGGAGTTGAAGAAAACCACAGAGGTTCTGGTGGAGGAGCTGGAGCTGGCAGGAGGCCGAGCTCTGGGAGCTGTTTGCGAGTGATGACTTGGAAGACGCCGACCAAAATGCCGTGGACGTTGAAGATGGGCGCGCAGAGCAACGCCTCGGGCTCAAACTCCAAGAGCTCCATTTGCTCTTCGAAGACATCGACGACTTCGGAACCGCTGACATCCGCCACCTCGAGAGGCCTCCCAGTCTACACTCCATCAACAACACGGACACAGTACAAAGCGATCAGTGAGCCAAGCAGTCCCTTAGGAAATGGCAAAACAAAATCTCACCAGGACAACGCGCCCAAACGTTGTGGCCGAGTCGACAAGCACACTGCCCTCTTCAGTAAGGTAGCGTTTGCCGTGCAAATCCATGGGAGGGTTTGAGTACAAGTCCACGCGGTCCTTCTTCTCGCTGAGGATGCCGACCGTGTACTTCTCGGCAGGGAGCACATGTTGCGCAGCTCGAAGCGCATTGCTCACAATGTCCAGACTGTCCGACGCCTGCGAGACCTCGCGCATGGCGTCCATCAGCGCACGGAGCTGCAAAATCAAGAGCAATCCTGAGTGATATCAACAGGGCACGGTGGTTATATGTTCAACGTACGTTCTCCTCTCGCTCAGCGAGCTGGTTCATTGTCTCCGCCTGCTCTCCGATGAGGTTGCGCATGCTTGTGCCAAACATCTCACTCTTCGGTCGCATCCGCTTAGGCGACGCAGGGTTGAGCAGGTCTCCCGGTCGATACGGACGGTGCTCCGCGCGAGCGCCTGTGCAGCAGTCGGGCTGGTGCTGTCGCTTGAGCAGCTTGATCTCGAGCTCCCTGGCCTCCTCTTCGGACTGCGCGAGCTCCGCAGCCAGCCGGCGGTTCTCATCCAGCGCCGCCCTGGCGCCGTCCATGGCCGTCGTCAGCTCTCGCACAGGCACACGCACCAGCTTCACCTGGTCGTCCGCCATAGCTGCCCAATGATCAAATAACCGCCCACTTCGACAATCGGGCTGGCTGCCTCGTCACATGGCTACATTTTCAAAGTGTACCACCTATTTGGTACATCGAATACAGCCCTTTTCCAGCCATTCGAAGAGCTCCAGAACTCAAAAGGTCAACGTCACTTCACCTGTCCACCCAGTTCGTCCGTTGCCATGGCCTCGCGCGCGTTCCGCCAGGCCCACAGCCGGCCGAATGCCGCTCCCGTGCAGGACGAGGAGGCCGCAGCCGCGTCCGCCGCCGCCAAGCTCAAGCAGAACGAGCGCGAGCGCCTGGAGATCGAGCGTCTGGAGGCGCGCATCGCCGAGCAGACGCCGGCGCGCGGCTCGCAGCTCGGCGAGGCCGCCAGCTTCGACTTGTTCCCGCTGTCAGAGGCCTCGCGCCGCGGACTGCGCACCTGTGGCTTCACGGCGCCCACCAAGATCCAAGTGGGCGCGCTGCCGCACGCGCTGGCGGGGCGTGACGTGCTCGCAGCGGCCAAGACCGGCTCTGGTAAGACGCTGGCCTTCCTGCTGCCGGTGCTGGAGAAGCTCTTCCGCCTCCGCTGGAGCGTGGAGGACGGACTCGGAGCGCTCGTGATCTCGCCCACGCGCGAGCTGGCGCTGCAGATCTTCGAGGTGCTGCGCAACGTCGGCAAGGCGCACGCGTTCTCTGCCGGTCTGGTCATTGGCGGCAAGAACTTCCGTGAGGAGCAGATCCGCCTTATTCGCATGAACCTGCTCATCTGTACGCCCGGCCGACTGCTGCAGCACATGGAGCAGACGCCGGCCTTCGACGCCAGCAACCTGCAGGTGCTGGTGCTGGACGAAGCTGACAGGATTCTGGACCTGGGTTTCCAGAAGCAGTTGACGAGCATCCTGGAGCACCTGCCGCCCGCTGGAGAGCGCCAGACGATGCTGTTCTCGGCCACGCAGACCAAGTCCGTGAAGGATCTGGCCGCGCTCAGTCTGCGCGAGCCCGAGTACGTGGCTGTCCACGAGCACTCGGCGAACGCGACGCCCAAGGGACTATCGCAGAGCTACGTGGTGACGCCGCTGGAGCGGAAGCTGGACGTGCTGCTGTCATTCATCAAGTCGCACCTGAAGCAGAAGACGATCGTGTTTTTGTCCACGTGCCGTCAAGTGCGCTTCGTGCACAGCGTCTTCTGTAAGCTGCAGCCGGGTATCCCGCTTTGCGCGCTGCACGGCAAGTACAAGCAGGGTAAGCGTGTCGAGGTGTACTACGAGTTCCTGAACAAACCCGCCGCGGTCCTGTTCGCTACGGATATTGCGGCGCGTGGTCTGGATTTCCCTCAGGTCGACTGGGTGTTGCAGCTGGACTGCCCCGAAGACTCGGCTAACTACATTCACCGTGTGGGTCGTACGGCTCGTTACAACAAGCAGGGTAAGGCCCTCATGTGCCTTGTCCCGTCGGAGGTGGATGGTATGATGAAGCGTCTCGAGGATGCCAAGGTGCCGATCCGCGAGACGAAGCTGAACCCCGCCAAGACTACGAGCTGCCGCCAGAAGGTGGCGTCCGTCGTGGCTAGCGACAAGGAGATCAAGTCGCTGGCACAGAAGGCTTTCATGTCGTACGTGCGTTCGGTGTACCTGCAGCCGGATCGCGAGGTGTTCGACGCTACCGCTCTGCCTCTGGATGCGTACGCCGAATCTCTTGGACTCCCTGGTGCCCCGCGCATGCCCTTCTTGTCAAAGATGAAGGCTGAGCACGAGAATGGAGGCAACGAGGCTCTGCGTGAGGAGCTTCGTGGCAAGAAGAACGTCAACCGCAAGCTGCAGCAGCTCAAGGAGAAGATCAAGGCTGAGAAGGAGCGCAAGCGTCTGGCGAGACAGTTGGCTGCGTTGAACCCCAAGGAGCAGGAGGAGGCGAAGAAGAAGCTGGAGAAGAAGCAGGAGGAGGAATCCGAAGAGGAGGAAGAGGAGGAGGAAGACTCGCTCATGGTTGTCAAGCGTGTGCACAACTGGGACGAAGACGAGGAGCTCGACCTGGACGCGCTTGGCCCCAGCAAGAAGAAGCAAAAGAAGCTGCGCGTGGACCGCGAGGCCATCAACGCTTCCAAGGTCGTGTTCGACGAGGAGGGCAACAGTACCAAGATGGCGGACCGCCTCGCGGCTCGCAACACCGGCGACAGCGAGTTCGCCGACGTGGAGAAGCACGCCAAGAGCTACACGGAGCAGGTGGCCGCTCGTCTCGCCGCCAAGGACGAGGAGGACCGTCGTCTCGAGAAGGAGCGTGTGCGTGCCAAGCACCACAAGAAGCGCATGAAGATCAAGGGCGAGCGCGACGACGAAAGCGACGACGAAGGCGCGCGCCTTGTGGTCGGCTCCGACGACGACGAGGACATGAGCGGCAGTGGCAGCGAGAGCGGCAGCGACGACGAGGAGGAGGAGGCCAGCAGCAGCGAAGACGAAGAGGACGACGTGAGTGACAAGAAGAGGAAGGTCGATCGCAACGCCGTGGCCAGCCAGGAAGAGATGGCCTTGCGCATGCTGCAGCGCCGGTAGATTCCCCACCTACAGTAGATACTCGAACCTTTTGATCATACACCACCACCATAGATGCCTATCATCAATCTGTCCACAATAGAGCCCGTCCACAAAGGTGGGACCTTCGCTTTTCTTTTGCTGCTTGGTCGCACACGGTACCGCCCAGTCGAAGCGTCGAAGCAACCTTCCATTCTCCCTTCCTTCCTTGCGGCCATGGGCGACGACGCCACTTCTTCTTCTTCTGCCCCGCACCCGCTGCGTCGGCTCCCCAGCGGCATGCGCGTGCCCGCCGCCAATGGCTCGCCAACGTCTGCGTCCTCCGTTCGTCCGCGTCGTCGGGTGCGCGCGCTGGCGATGATCCTGGACGACGTGCTGTACGACCACTCGGGGCTGCTGTCCCACCTGGCCATCGACCGCGGCGTGGCGCAGCTGCTGGCGGAGGGCGCGTTCCCGACCAACGCCGCGGCGTTCGAGGCGCTGCAGACCTTCCGCAACGCCTACGGACTCCGCAAGCGCTTCCCTCGCTTCGTCGACAGCCTCGTGGGGGGTCCTCAAGCCAAGCTCTCGCCCGCGCAAGCGCAGCGCGTCATCGCCGCCTACTACGAGAGCAATGTGCCCGAGGCGCGAGGCATCACGCCCTTCCCGGGCGTACGCAAGACGCTGCTCGAGCTGCAGGACGGTGGGGCCTGTCGTCTGGCGCTGCTGCTGATTGGCAAGCCGGAGGTGCAGCGCGAACGCCTGAAAGCTCTGGGCGTGGACGACCTGTTCGACCAGGTCGTGTACGTGAGTCCCAACCCGAGCCTGGCTCAGGTAACGAGTGCCATGAAGCAGCTCGCAAGGCAGCTGGAGGTGCCGGCGTCCGCCGTCACGTTCGTGGGACGCAAGGCCTTCTACGAGATCAAGGCGGCAAACACTGTCGGGATGCTCACTGTCCGAGTGGTAAGGTGCTTTCTGAGACGGAGGGGGTTGCTTTGGGAAGGGCTTGTTTGACATGTTTTGGATACTTTTGTTTGTTTGTGTGCTTGTAGCTGTTCGGTAAATACACGAGTGTGATGCCCACGGACGAGATGGAGCAACCGGACTTCCAAGTAAGGAGGCTTTGTCTAGTGTGCTTAGTGGTGGGGTTCTACTTACGTGGAGGCTCATTGTGCGGTGTTTGTTTTTTGGTGATCATAGATTGAATCGATTGAGCAGCTCGTACCAATTGTAAAGTTGGCAGACCAGCAGATGCTGCAGCCCAAAATCGTGGCTATCGGTGGTGGCACGGGTTTGGCTGTGCTGCTAAAGGAACTGCGTCACTACCCGGCCGATCTTACAGCAGTAGTAACAGGTACACGCTTTAACTGTTGCAATTATCTCTTTGAGCTTATGTGGATGACTTGTGTTGTATACTGCTCCTAGTGTTCGACTCGGGTCGCCACTCAGGTGCTCTTCGCAAGTACTTGGGTATCTTGCCGCCCGGTGACATTCGCAACTGCCTTGTCGCTCTTTCCGACTCCGGTTGGTAGTCTGTTCTTCCGTTGACCTTACCGCACGCGCACAGCACTGACGTTTATCCTTTCTTTACATGCTCGTAGATGAACTTTTGAGTAAGTTGATGAACTACCGCTTCCGCGAAAACTTCATGGAGGGCTGTAGCCTGGGCAACTTGTTGCTGGCAGCGCTGACCGACCTGCAAGGTGGCTTCGATCGCGCCATCTCGTCGATCTCTGATATTCTCAACATTCACGGTTCCGTGCTACCAGCCACACTTGAAAGTACCGAGCTGTGTGCTGAGCTCACGGACGGCTCCACTGTCATCTCGGAGGTCAACGTGCGTAATCCCTTTGTGCCGGACGAAGAGGATGAACCCCGGTCAGGCACCGAATCCTCATCGAGTAGTTCGAGTGGATCGCCCCCTGCAACGCCCCCGAAGCCTGAGAAGGAGAGGATCAAGAAGGCGCCGATCAAGCGCGTGTACCTCGAAAACCCCGACGTTGAAGCCTTCCAGCCTGCAGTGCGTGCCATCGAGGAGGCTGATATCATCATCCTCAGTCCCGGTGGCTTCTACACGTCGATCATCGCTACACTGTTGGTCCCGGGTATTCGCGATGCCATCGCACGCAGCGCTGGCGCTACCGTTTACGTGAGCAATGTGACGACGCAGAGTGGCCAGACCGACGACTACACACTCGAGAAAACGCTGGAGGTGCTGTCCACGTATCTAGGCGCGAACGCTATCGACTACGTGATCGCCAACAACACCCACCCGCCGGAAGATGTTCTAGCGCCGTACGTGGAGCGTGGTGAGGAACTCTTGCTACCTACTCCTGAGATGGTGGCTAGCAAGCACCCCGTCTTGCTTCAGGGCCAGACGTTCCAAGAAGACCTCGTCGCTGGTCACGTAGCGCGTGAGTGGAAGAAGGCTCCCATGCTCAAGCACAGCGGCCGTCGAGTTGCTGCTATTCTCTACACCATCATTGACCAAGAAATGGCGCGCCACCGTCAGCACCAGCAAACTCACTCGGCCTCCAGTGCAGTTGTACCGAGTACAACGATTCCGAAACGTTTGTGGAGATCGACCTTCACCGCACCGGCGACAGTGCTGGGTCTACTTGCAGCCACAACGTTGTTGGCATCCGTTCTTCGTCGGTAAGTTTACCAACGCAGGAGCATTCGCATCGGTAGTAAATATCAAGTTTGGTTTAGCTCAGGAACGCGAACGTCACGTACATATAAGTTCTACACTTGCATCCTCCTGAGGGTTTAACACACTACGGTCCATTTATTTTCACACATAGTTTTGACTCGCCGCCATGCCACGTTCAAGTCCGCGGCTGCGATGACACAGAGGAAGACGAGGAAGTAGAGGGCGTAGACGCGGATTTCCTTGGAGGTGCCAGGGATGAACGGGGAGGTACAGACGCGCCGTTCGACTGGCCTGGTTGCTCCTCGAAGCCGTGATGTGTGACCATAAACTCCGAGAAGGCCTGCGTGGCGATGAACAGCGTGCGGAACTCACGCATATCGGGTGCGGACGCCGCAAGATAGCTAGCCTCGTCGAAGAAGACCGTGCGCTTGCGCGCAAACTCGTCTGTCCAGACGTAGCGGTGGTAGCCGAAGTCGCCGATGAGCTTGTTGACAGCCCTGAGGAAGAGTCCGCGCACTGCCACCTCCGGAAACACAAGCGGCTTGCTTGGGAAGTGGTGTGCAAACACGTGATCACTACGACTCACGTTAGGCTTGAGGCATTCGTACAGTGCATCACGTAATGCAAACCTCACGCTATCCGGAAGCGCACAGGGCACTTCTCCACGTAAAACAGCTCCCTTGTCCAAGTCCACAACCAGTAGTTCCTCTCCAGCACCCGCAAACAAATCATCGCCACCTTCTTCAACCACTTGGCGTTGGGCTTCTTCAAGAGCTTGCTTCTCAGCGCCGAAGATGAAAGGCGTGGGGCACTCGAGAAATTGCAGCATTCGTCGAGGAAGAACTGGCAGATACACGTGTGGCCAGAACAAAGGGTGCATCAGCGCTCGCAAGGACTCGCCGACCTTCATCAGCACCGAGAGATACGATGATACCAGCAGAATGCGATTTTCCAGCAGTGCTGCCGTGAAGACGAGAAGCACAGTAGATACGTCCAGCGTGTCGAATAGTAGTCTTACAGAGTGGTCAAGACGCGGAAGAGCTGCGAGAAGCGAGCCCGATGTCGCCTTAGGGGTTAAACCCGAGGCTTCAAGAAGAGATGATTCCGGTAGCGGTGACGGCTGGTGATATTGCGAGATGTGCTCCTTGGCAACGGCACGAGTCAACTTGGCAAGAACTTTCTTGTCCAGCTGGAAGCCATGTCCACCGTTATGAAGCACTCCCTTGCCGTCTCCATTGGCGGCGGCGGCAGCAGCGATGGTCTCAAGCTCCAGAATGAATTCATACGCCTCAGCGAGGCGCTCTCGCAGCAGATCCACCATCGGAAACTTCGACAGCACGCACACGCCATAAGGCACCCATCGGCACCCCGCAGCAGATTCTATTCGTGATGACTCGAGCGCCCGACGCGATAAGGGGGGTGCCGGCTTATAAAATACTAAACACGCCGCGAACAACTCGGCAACCGACGCGCCAGCACTGCTATCGCCCATTCGAAAGTTGAAAGCCAAAGGTGCTGGACAGGATGGTGCTGTGAGCACTACATGCCTCGGATCCGCACACCAGGGAACCAGGAAATTCTCAACGGATTTGTCCACGGGGTGTGGGGCCGGGTCATGCGGCAATGGGTGCTGCACTACCTGCAGTTCAATCGAGTCTTCGAACACTGTACCACCATTCTCGTCAGCACCATTTTCGGCGTCTTCCGCACTCAGGGGCACTGCTACAGCTTCAAAAGTGAGTACACCAGATACGGCTTCAAAGCTTCGCGCAGTCCGGAGCGAGTCAAGAGTCTTCTTTTTCGGTGTTGTGGTTTCAGCATCGCGCGAACTAGACGACGAGGATGACGATGTGCTAGATGACGAAGAACTTGAACTACCTCCCGTCCAGTGATGCGCACGAAGCCCATAACTCAAAAGCAGCGCTGAGAGACGCATGGAGTCGTCAATCGAGTCCTTCTCGTCCTCAGGCGAAAGCTTCGGGTACAGCGCAAACTCAGCGTATGCACGACTTGTGAGGAAGCGATGGTATAGCTCCAGATGGATGAGGCTGAACTTGGTCAAAATCGCGTCTTGTTCCGCTTGGAGGCGGGCACATGATGTTACCAGGGTGCGTGACAGGGTCTGCATCTCGGTATCCCCAGCGTAGTATTTCTGAGAGATATACTTGAGCAACCTTCTGCAGCGATACGCAGCTTGCTCTATTCGCTCACGACGTTGGTTGCTGCTTGTGCTGCTAGGCGCCGCAGCACTTCGAGAGCTGCCGCTGGACTTGAGCAGGGCCATATAAATGCGGAACGCTGGCTTGAACTCGTACTCGACGTCCAGCCACAGCGCGATTTCCCGATGATAGTTGTGCGGGAACAGGAAGATCCAGAAAAAGTTGGCGAAGCGATGATTCATCAGGATGTCTTCCAAGCAAATGACTTCACGCTCCACGGTCTTTTGCATTTCAGTGTAAAGATCGGTCTTGCGAAACTCCGGAAACTTGAACATGAGCACGCGTTTCACCTTCACAGCGACATCGTCAAACGTTCGTAGTGCATCTTCACCACCCGCCGCCAGATCGTGCTTGATGCTGCGTAGCTTGTTTGAGTCTACGATAGGAGGTTCGTCACTTCCACCCTCATCATCAGCGGTGCCATTGATTGGGAACTGCGCGTTCTTGGCAAGGTATTTCATCGCAATTTTAACGCCGTACGTGCGCAGCATTAGCACGTCGTCCTTCGCAAAAGGCTTCTTCTGGTAGTTAGCGCGCAATGTGCACCAAAACTGGCGATACTCCTCAAACGAGCAGAGGAAAAATAGTTTACTCTGGTCTGCAGGATCGGGAAGCCAGGCCGCGTAGTACCGCATCATGCGCGGGTTGCTGATAACTTCCTCTATGGATATAAGCGTCGTCGGGTCTGGAGTCGGTTGATGCGCTGGGAAGGGGAACTGCTGTTGCTGCTGCAAAACCTCGTCCTTGAACGCGCGCTGCATCACTTTGCCGAAATTATGCTGGTACTGATCGTGCATCCATCGATTCCACTTCTGAAACTTGGCGCCACCATTTGATGCAGGTCCGAACGATGGCAACGGAAGCAAAGAGTGGTGATGATTCGATGAAGACGGCGCGCCCGACATCGCGCCAAACCCACTACCGCTGCTCATTTGCGATAGAATTTGCTTCTGTTTGTTCGCCCAAATTTCTGCTGACGTTGGTGTAGCTGATGACATGGAGCCGCTACTGCTGTCACCAGCAACAGAAGCCCCATTCTTATTGCCTGATACTGTCGAGTATAGGAAGCTCCGTGCCTTGAGCTTAACATGTTGCGCCCACCTGGACTTGGCATTCTCTAGCTTGACATCCTCCTCCTCCTCCTTTATACTAGTGACTTCATAACTATTGGCATCTTCATCCGACCCACTCAGCACCTCCGTCAGCTCCCGCGCACTCAATTCCCGTTCCGGTTCGAACAAATCCGTCTCGTACAGCATCTGCTCCGATATCGTACTCCTCCGAAAGGTGCTGCGACTCGAAAACGAAAACGCCAAGCTGTCTCTCGAGCGCCGTGACATGGCCAACGAGTCTCGCTCCGACCCCGCAATATTCAAGTTCCCATTCACAGCAGCAGACCGCCGTTGATGCGGCAATAAAAAATCATCCTTGTCTGTATACAACGACGAGCTCAGCGCACTCGCCATACTCTCCCGGATCACCTCCTCCGCCGATATCGTACTATCCGGGGGCAGTGGCGGACTCGAATCCAATGAGGCTGCCAGTAAAAAAAACAAAATAATAAAACAAAAACAAACCTGAATCAGTCTCCCTACTCCGACCGTGCACACACCCTTGCCAACGCAACGCACACGCTCTTCTGTATCTCTCGCTGCCGCTGCTTCTTCTCCCAGCAGTCGAGTCCCCCAGCATGTTCCGGGTCAATCTCCCACCGTCGTCCACGCCGTCTTCCTCGTCGAAGCTCGCGGCCCGCGCACTGGCAGCTTGCGATTGTGCGTCCACCGACTGCCTGGCCGCGTCGATGTCCATCATCAAGAAGCTGGCGTGGCTGCGCAGCGCCGAGGACGACACGGGCACGCCCGCGCCCGCGCGGAAGCTCGAGCCGGCGCTGTTCAAGCGGAAGGAGGAGCCCACGCCGCCGCTGTTGCTGAACGGGTTGAAGCCCGAGCGGCTGAGGCGCCGCCCCGCGCCCACCACGTGGTCCGCCGACGCGCTGCGCCTGAGCTCCATGACGTCGCTGGGCAGCAGCGTGCGCTCTCCGTTGCTGATGCTGGCGCCGGCAGCAGTGGTGACGTTGCTGCTCCTGCTCTTGGAGCTGACGCTGTCGGGGCTGGGCTCGACGCTGGACGGCGTGTTGAGGATGGCGCCGCTGCTGCGGCTGCGACGCCGAGGCCGCGTGCGGACCTGCGCGCGCTCGAAGTCGTCGCTCATGGCGCCAAGGAGCGGAGCGAGGGGCGGAGCTGCACTCGCCCGGCCGGCTTGGCTTTGGGATGTGTCTTCCTGCAACGAGCTCGCACCTAAGCGGAAGCCGGTGTGACGTTATGTTTGTATGCTGTGTTGGTGTGGCGTACACCAATTGAGCCATTTTGTTTGTGTGATGTTCTTTTGGAATCAGTTTGAGATCTCTCGGGTTGAGCAGCTCCTTCGTCTTGCCTGGGTGTGTATTGACGCGTAAGGATGAGCGAGCGCCGAGTGAACGCCGCGCAGGACGCGGTCATCAAAGTGCTGGTGCTGGGCGACGCCGCCACGGGCAAGACGAGCATCATCAAGCGGTGCGTTGTGTGGTTGGTCAGCTTCAATCTCAGAGAGGGGGAGGGAGGCTGACGCTGCTGCTGAGCTGCTGTACACGTACATACTAGGTACGTGCACGACGCCTTCTCGGAGCACCACCGCACGACGATCGGCGTGGACTTCGCGCTCAAGGCGGTGACGGTGAACGGCACGACGGTGCGGCTGCAGCTCTGGGACATCGCCGGCCAGGAGCACTTCCGGGCGCTCAACCGAGTCTACTACAAGGACGCGCTGGGAGCGTTGCTGGTTTACGATATGTCCCGTCCGGAGACTTTCGACAGCATCCTGAAGGTGGGGGCAGTTGAATCGGAGGGTGTGAATGTGATAATAAGCTCTGACTTGTCGTTGGACACATTGTGATTGCAGTGGAAGAAGGAGATCGACTCCAAGGTGGAACTGCCGAACGGCAAGCCGCTGCCCGTCATTCTCTGCGGCAACAAGGTGCGTCTGTGCTACTTTTGTGGTTGAGATGAAATATATTGGTTATACTAAGCAGGTAATGTTTTGTTTTGCTACAGTGCGACCTGAAGGAGGAGGTGGATCGGGGCTTCCTGGACGAGTTTTGCAAGACCAACAACTTTACGGGCTGGTTCGACACATCCGCCAAGGAGAACATCCACATCGATGATGCTGCTAAGGCGCTGGTAACAGGCATCCTGGAGCACCAGGACATTTTCGAGCGAAAGTCGGAGGCGAAGAAGCGCAACGACACTTTCCGCCCCACGAGTGCTGCCAACGGAGGCAACGCAAACCAGTCCAGCTGGTGCTGCAACAGCTTCTAATCTTCCGTCCGAATAGCTGCAACTCAAGTGATTTCCCCATGGCGCAACAAAAAACCATGTTGTCAGGTCATGTTATTTCCCCATGGCGCAACAAAATACCATGTTGTCAGGTCATGTTGGTGCATATCAATGCATTGTATGGGGACAGCGTTAAAATTTGACTCGATAAGTTCCCACAACCATTTCGTGGCCGCTTGCTTGCTGTATTTGCTGCAATAGCCTAGCACTTTGACGGGTCTTTTCTCTATGGTACTGATACTGCATTTACTAGTCGAGCGAGCCGAGAAGGCGTCGCTTCTTCGAGCTGCTAGTTGATCCTTCGTTGCGCCGGACCTTGATGAAATGCACCTGTAGCCGACGACTGCCAGAGGTAGACATCCCTCGATGCTCGAAATTTTTGCGCACCTTTCGAAGATCATGCCGCGCGGCGTTCAGTTTGTCCACTAGTTCTCGTTTGTTTTCTTCTACCTGCTCTAGCTCGTCCTCCAGCTGAATCATCTCCTGCTCCCTCTCATCAGGGTGGTTTGTGAACGAAGCCGTGATATCGTTAATGATCTTCTGCACTTTCGCCTCAGCTTCCGGTACTTCTGCCTCCATGAAATCGACCGACCGAATAAGTTGACGCTCTTCCACTCGTAAGCAGTACTCACAGGAGTCACTCTTGTCGCGGGCTTTGCATTGGGATAAATGCGCGAAATGATGCTCCACTGCTGTGCACATTGGTTGAGTGCACACTTGTAGATCCAAGTGGTGTTGCAAGTGTACCAGGATCGACTTGCAGTTCAGCAGACACCGCTGAGCTTTCGATGGTGCACAAAAAGATGCATCCACAATCGCATAGCCCAGCTCCATTACACCGTCGAATTCCCGCTGCGCCACCTCCTTGCCATCTCCATTTTCAGCTTTAGCCAGTAGTAATTGATTGATAAAATCCGCGTTGAAGTTTGCGTTGCCTGGAATGCTATCACCCAGCGTGTCCTGAGATTCCTTGGTATCTGCATCATCATCTGCATATCAATCAATGCAAGTACCAGTAAGTTACACGAGTTAGAGAATTGCACCATCGCAGAAAACAACCCTTTAGAAGATGCGTACCTTGAGCATTCTCCTCGTCTTCACCACTTCCAGTCATCGACACATCATTGCTGTCATTTGTTGATGATTCGGCTGCGGATGCGCCAGCCGTGGCATCTTCGCTTATTTCAGCAGCCTCTGGTTCTCGTTTGATAACGACGGCATCACTGAAGTGCCACTGATACCTTGAGAAATTAAACACGGGAGCACTGCTTTCGCTGGCTAGCTCATTAAGCCGGTCCGTTTCCGCTCGAAGAAGCTGCTTACGTTGGGTCCACGTGTTAATGCTTTGCAAGCAGAAATTGCGATTCGCTTCACTTTGTGCGCTTCGAAGTGCGCGACGCTGGTCACTGATCAAGTGATCTAGAGCGGCTACGACGCCAAGACTTCGCCGTTGCCGAATTCGAATGCAAAACGGACACACAAACTTTTTGCCATCGATGCTAGGAGCCGTGTCCTTCTTCAAGCACGCGCGACGATGCCTGTACACTATCAATATCTCGGAGCACTTTGGATCTCCACACATCTCGTCCCGCTTACAGTGCTCGTAGTGCAGGAGAACAGAACGACACGTGTCCTCCTCGCACTTTCCAATACGTGCACATATAAGCGCGTCCTCGATCACGAGAGCCGATTCGATTCGCGTTGCCAGCATTTCCATTAGCACCTGGTCGGTCGTCGGGAACCAGCGCAGCAGCTTGTCAAGATCGACAAGCTTTGACTGAGCAGTCGGTTGTTTGCTGGGTGTAGTAGCTGCAGAAGGTGAGGTTGCCGTAGTGGATTCTGAAGCTGGCGTGGGCGTAGTTGACGATTTCAAAGTAGCATCAGAAGATGGCGCAGATGGAGGTGCTGGAGTTGAAGTGGCAGCCGACGGAGTGGGTGGGTCTTCCTTCCGCTCTTGGTCCCCATTCGTGTTCACTTGCTCGCCCGTCTTCGGTTCTGCACTCTTTGCAGTCGGCATTGATGCTACTGCTGAGTTTCCAGTCACTGATTCTTCCGCAGCAGGAGCTTCTTGTGCCTTCTCCTCCAATTCGCCGTCCTGTTCAACGCTAGCGTTGTCTCCGTCCTCTCCGCTGTCGACCGACTCACCCACAGTTTCAAACTCGAACTCTTCTTCCACCGACTCGTTCTCCTTCTCTCCATCCTCTTGCTTCGTCTTTGCCGGCGCCCCTGCATCTTCTTCCGCCCCCGCTACAGGATTCACCTTGTCCATCGCCTTTTCCTCTTCTGGAGCTGCAGGCTTCGCATCCGCCGCATCACTAGCTGGAACTGAACGTGCTTCGACTCCGTTAGTGGATGGATCTGTAGCTGGTTTTGCCTCCGCTTCCACGCTGCCGTTGCTTGCGTCAATCACTCGTGGTGAGCCCCACGCGAGATACGAACGGGTCTCTCCGTAGCTGCTCGTGAGCTGGTGGCTGCGCGCGAAGCCGCGCGAGTGCCACAGTATGGAGCAGCTGGAGCAGAGCCGCTTCTCCGCGCGGGGGTCGCACGTCGAGCACTTGTACAGCCAGCGCGTCACGCCGCACCAGCTGCACAAGTTGTCCATGGCCGCGCGCTTTGCCTGATGTGAATTTTGCGTTTGACAGGTTCAATCCGCGACAAAAATCGCGAAACATGATGGTGTGGCGCACACCAAAAACGAGCAGCCAGAAAAACGCGACGAACCCGCAACATGGGCCGGAGAAGCTTCTTCTTGGCCGCCCTGTATGAGCCTGGAGCGGCTAGAAGACATGAAAGGGTAGCCCAGAAGTAGCTTGAAGTGTAGCAGATGGAAGATAGCATGGAGATTGGTTCAATTACACATGAACTAGGGAGGAAAACCACAGATAGTCGGGCATGTGATCAAGATGAGTCAGAGCTCATGAAGACCACGCGTCGCACCGAAGAAGCACGCTTGCTTTGACTGCTAGGAGTCCTATCCTAGGACTGCGCTCCTGCATCGGATAAACACTGAGAAGGTGGTGACAAGACCAAGCAGCAAAAGATCCAACCCCACGTAGAACGCCCTGACTCAGCACGAAAAACAAACCAAGCTGAGATTATCGCTAGCTTGCACTTTCCTGCTGCTTACCGACTGTCCTCGCTCTCCATCTCACCCGGCGTACACTCAGCAGCCGCAGATCCCCCCGTCGGAAAAGGACGGAGTGGAAAACCGGCTGCGGCCGCGCGGCCTGGGACGAAGATCTCCTACTCCTAGCGTGCTCTAAGTGGCGTACTTGGCGGTCCATTCGCGGGCAGTGGCGTCGTGGCGCGCGCGGTCTGTTCTATAAATTTGCGCGATCTCGGGCACCAGCGGGTCGTCCGGGTTGGCGTCCGTGAGCAGCGAGCAGATCGACAGCAGCACCTTCGAGATGGTCAGCGCGGGGCTCCACTGGTCCTTCAGGATGTCCAGGCAGATGCCGCCGTTGGCGTTGATGTTGCAGTGGTAGATGCGCGTCGTGAAGTTCACCTTGGGCGGCTTGAACGGGTAGTCGGCCGGGAAGTAGATGTTCAGGAAGTACACGCCGCCGGCGTACGGGCTGTCCTCGGGGCCCATGATGGTCGCCTGCCAGTGGAACAGGTCGTCGCCCACGGGTCCGGCGCTGCAGTTGGCGGGCGGGTCGCGGCCCAGGTCCTGCAGCTCCTTGTTGATCCGCTTAAGAGCCATCTTGTGGTGTCCCCCCTCGTGTTGCTTCGACTCCGCTCTGCTGCTTCCTGCTACGAAAGGAAAATGACAGCAAAGCTGCGGGGGGCCCAAAGGGGGGAGAAAGCTCGCGCGATCCCCCTGAACGCGCAACCGCCCCATTGTGCGGCTGTATGGCGGTTGCCCGAAAAGGGCCTTCTGGAAGTTTTTCTCCGTTTTGCCAAGAACGGACCTGGTGGGTCGAAAATCTCGTACTTAGCGGGGAGAGGCCTCCACACCTGATTCACCGCGCCGGATTGGCCAAAACGAGCGGCGAAAGGGCAGACCATTGGCTGAAAATAGATTCCGCAAGTCTCCCTTGTCGGCTCCGCAGATAGCTACAGGTTGTTGCCTTGGCTTGCTCTCTTGGGTGCATGCTCCCAAGATGGACCAGCTCACGGCGAGAGCAGGCCGGATTCAGCATGTGCCTGCTGCTTGCTTATCATTGCTGGTGGGCTAGTCGCATCGACCCGACGCGCCATTCCGTGCTGCGCTGCTGACTGAATGCAGACGGTATTTAGGATTACAGGTAGCAGACGACGCACTCGACGTCCGCCGCCGTCCACATCAATCAACACCTTCAACTCGGCGGCATGGCGCGCTGCTGGCACTTGGCTGTTCATCGTCGCCGACGACGAGCAATTGCCACCGTTGCCTCGCTCATACGTTGCCGCAACGCAGCAAGGTACATGCATCTTGCGGCGGACGATTGTACGACGTCAGCGGGGACAGCCTTGCTGGCGTCGCCTGCTTGGTCGTCAGACGACCACGATCATCCGCCAGGCCACGGCGCTTTTGGGTTGGAGGACTGATGAGCCCGTGCTGGACTTGAACTCTTGACACCTGTAAAATGCAGTCGCGCTTCAACATGGTCGCGTTGTGGTTGGCCAAGAGGGCAATCACCACCTGGACGTACAGTACCCAGCTCCCATGCCGAAGAGGAAGACCAAGCAGCCGCAGCAAGCGTTGAGGGCTCCTTCTCAGGGTAATCGATGACAGAGAGCACCGACATCCCTATCATGCAACAGTGTTGCAGCAACACAGCGTCGACTGTCACGGGTTTACGCCGCGCAAATCTCAGCGCCGCGAGGCAACCCCCACCGCCCGCGCTCCCACGAGCTGCTTTTTTCACGGTCCCCCCATGCAAGCCGCAGGCAAATTCACGACTTTGCTCGACGATGTCGTCGAAGCGTAAGTAATAATCAGCTCACGCGGGTTTCTTGCACCTCCTTATATGAATAGTAATGCTGGTCATTTGTAAAGACACGTAGATACAAATTTAGTTCCATGCATCTGTTGTGTACGATGTGCACACTAGATCCCTCAATATTACATGTTTTCTGTATTCATTCTCGCAGGTGCGGCACCGCTTAATGCTTTGCATGTGAAAACTGGCTGGATTGCGGTCCAGCGGGCGTCACTCGCGCTCTTGCCTCCGACGCCCCGTAGCGCTCGGCTCACCTACCTCCAGCTCCAGCTTCCACCCCACCTACCTCCCAGCCAGCATGGGCGACCGGTACCGCAGCGCGCAGTCGCCGCGCGACAGCAGCGGCGGCGTCTCGGACGAGCGCTTCGGCAAGCTCGTGTCGGAGACCAGCAAGGGCATCTCGAGCTTCAACCAGCTCACGCGCAGCATCGCGCAGAAGATGTCGCTCTTCGGCACGCCGCAGGACTCGCGCGCCAACCACACGCAGATCACGGAGCTCACGGAGAAGGGCAACAAGCTCGTGGCCAAGATCAACCGCCGCCTGCAGGAGCTCAACCGCGGCACCAAGGGCCCGAGCGGCCGCGCGCGCCGCACGCAGATCAACAAACTCTCGGCCGACTTTAAGAACCAGGTGCGCGTGTTCGAGGAGACATGCGAGCGGCTGGTGGAGTCGGAGCGTCAGTCGGTCGAGTTCATCCGCCGCTCCTCGCAGAGTTTCAAGGGCGGCGACGGCCGCCAGAACCGTGGAGGCGCCGAGTTCACCAACTACAGCGAAGACCAGATCTACGCGCAGGCCAACGTGGTCATCTACGATGAGGACGGTGCGTTGCGAGTTGTTTCATCCTTGTTGCAGGTAGTATTGAGGTCTCACTCGATTTGTAATGTTGATAATGCAGATCTGCAGCGGAGAGAGGACGACATTATCCAGATCAACCACCAACTGCGCGAGGTGAATGCCGCCTTCCAGGAGATCGACGGGCTTGTGCAGGACCAGGGCGAGATGGTGGTAGAGATTGTGGAGAACACCGACACGGCCAAGGACAACGTGGAGAAGGCTCTGGAGCAGGTGAAGCAGGCTGAGCAGCGCAGGAAGTGCTGCGCCTGTTCAAAGATGAAGCTCATTTGTATCGCCATTTTCGCTCTGCTTATCTTCATCGCCGTCATGGGTATCATTTTCGCTGCCAAGTAGACGACTGCTACGGTTGCGAGGATAGTCGTCGTGTTGCCTGTGTGGCTTCGTCTTCTTGTAGGTATGGGCAGCTGTGGAGCAAGAAAGTCAGGGGCTCCAAGCAGCGGAAGCTGGTTTTATTTCTAAATAATGGGTTGTATAACTTTGTGGGCAAGCTGTTATCTCGTGTTGGGCTCGGCTCGGCTTGTCTTGCAGCGGGATTCGCTCCCAGCTCGGTGACGCAGAATAGTTGTGGTGTGATATGCACAGGAGGCTAATAGGCATTGGCACTACCGTTCTGGTACTTGAACCCTGGCTCCAGTCTCGGTTATCATGTGTGATGCTCGACGTGGCCCAAGGCTGGGCTTTGAACGCGAGCCTCGGAAAATCGAGTCCGCTACCGATTTCATGATGTTGCCGACGGATCCGCTGCTGTGTCGTCGTGGACGCGTCGTAACTTCCGCGGCGGGCTCTTCTGTGACATGGTGGCGAGAGAGGAAGCGAGCCTTCGAGGTTGTCTCCGACGAGGAACTGCCCCCACTTCCTGCCTGCTTCGTGCTAGAACTTCGACCAGTGAAGCGCGTCCTGGAGTCGACAGAGAACATGGCTGAGAAGGGAACCACAGTGTCGTGTTCGGACGAGTCGAAACACACCGCGCATACTCGTTCCTTCTCGTTCACTGCTTCCACGAGACCATTAAAGTATCGTGCCGATCCGTGAACGCGGGCCATGACGGACTCGCCCACCATGAAGGTTACTGGAGATAACTCAAAGCCCATCGTGTCGATACTGTAATTTGTAAGCCGCTGGTTATGAGAGAGAGCGCTGACATCATCCAAGCGGGTTATCTTGTCCGGTGGCATTTGCGACTTCTTCTCGCCGTAGTCGAATACCAGTGTATACAGGCAGTTGAGTGTTGGAGGTGGTATCGTTGCAATGGAATGTATTGTTGGGGACGCCAACGCTTCGACACCAGTGAGTGAACTCGCTGATGGAGTTGATATGACCTCATTTGAGGTGGCTGGAAGATCCTGCGATGTCTTCGCGATAATTTTGGCGGAGCAGTATCGACCAAAGCGTGAGCTCCAAGCAAGCACGTAGTCTCCCACAGCATACACCGGTTGCCGTGATCGATTGAAGCTGTCGTTTGCAGTCAAGGTGGCGGTGGCCTTGGATATTGTGCGCTGGTGCTCCACGCTATCGATGATCATTTGAGATGGAAACACTTCGAACGCAATGGTACCGTCTGAAAAGCGCAGGTCACACGCTGATGATGCATGCGTTTTGATAACGATGCAGCTCTCAACTGCGGCTTTCCGTGGGTGGTCGGCTTTGACTTGGTATCCTTCCTCAAGTATTGGGAAACTGTCTTTAGCTCCACTGGAAGCCTGCATGAGTACAGCGTTCTTGAGAGACCGCACGTCCTGATCTGCTGGAACACTAGCGCGTTTCCGCTTAAAGATGAGGTTTGGAGGGATCTCATAGCCTGTGGATCCATCTGCAAAGTCGACAGCCGCTGTTCGGTTCGAGTAGATACCATTCAGAAGTCCCAGCTTCTCTTCTTCAGCGGTACTGTCAAGATCACCATTTCCAGCCGAACATTTGACATAAATCTGGTCACCGATGTACACTTTGACCTTGTTGTTGCAGATAAGGAACTGGTCTTCAGTGATTGTCACCGCAGCCTTCTTCTTCTCGCGCAATGGGCTGATCTTATCGGCTGGCACGTTCACAAGTCGAATGCGGTTTGCAAGTAGAACATGAAAGCGAGACTGACGCTCCCGCTCCAACGTTATTAGTCCACGCCCTGAAAAACGGCTTCCTGGGTACAACGAGACGTGAACCTTTTGACCAGCATAAAGCACATGTTGTGAGCGCTCCAAGTCACAAAGCTGTTGCTCCAGTTCATAGACAGAAGGAAGGAAATCAACTTTGTCCTTGGGCACAACCTGCACCGAGATACTCTGATCATCCTCAGTCACGATGGCGTATCCACGGCCTTCAACTAGTTTTGTGACCGAGCCGTATGCCCGTACTCCATCGGGCGCGCGCTCGTAGACAACCCGGATACTGTTGCAATCGCCTCGAGACGGGGGTGGTGCTTGACCTAAGTTGGTGGCGTTGCATCGAGCCGATTTCATTGTGTCGAGTTTTGCTACCATGAGACGAATACGTTCGGCCATAGCGAGCTCGTCGCTGAGCTTGGAAGGCTGAACCTTCTTGTTGCCGCGCATGAAGTACTCAGTTATGACCTGCTTGAGACTCTTTGGTGACGGGATGATTTGTTTCATGCTCTTCTGCGTGATAGACAGTCGATCGATCTGGGAGATTGATGAAATACTGGATCGACGTCCTGTGCCACGTTGAACCCGCGCAGCTTTGCCCATACCAAACGTCTGGGTCATTTGTTGCCATGGTGTCATAGACATATCCTCCTCGCTCGATTCATCTGAGTCACTCACTTGCGTGGAATCATCTTCGTAGCCTACGCCACACTCAAGGCGCTTCATTGTCAGTGTTTCATCCTCCAGAAGGTTCCTCCAAGCACCATCGTCTGCGCTAGGGGGAACGCTACCACACTGACTGTGACTATACACCACCCCACTGTTAGTTCGGGAGTCGTCGAAGCTAATAACCATTTCTTTTGGTGGCGAAACGGAGAAATCCACCATGACGTGTTGGGACGGCAGCAAATCCAGCTCTGGGGCTGATAATGAGTCCACCGAGTCGCCGTCACTCATTAAATCTAGCTTAGGCAATGACTTTCGTTGCGGTTTCGCGTCTGCCCCTGGTTCGAGACCGCTGAAGCTCTCGCTGTTTTTCCCACTGTCCGATTCATCTCGCTCTTGAGAGTGCCGTTGCTTTCGCTTTTGTGGACTCAGGGTGTTGTGTTCCCGCAGCATGATGTCCTCCCGTCTTACCCGATAGTCCAGAGTTCCGTCGTCGAACACAACCATGAACACCCCAGCCCCCAGATACGTGGCGATGTTACCCGAGTAGAAGTAAGGGGTTTTCTTGTATCGTCCGAACACGGCTTGTCCGTAGGTCCACTGGCTGTGCAAGGGCACGAATCGCGAGGCGGATGCCTCAGGCGTTGGTGTTGAACTCTTGATGCTCCGAATATCTGAAGTTGATTCGTGAAGACTACGCTTCTCATCATGCTGGCTGTTTATCGCAGCTTGGACTTGGGTATCCCATGTGTCGTTCGTTTCAACTGCCCCGGGGGCTATTGGAACGACTTCTTTCGGTAATCCAGCGGGTAATTCCCTTTTAGCTCCCTCGTCATGCAGTAAAATACGATCACTTAGTTGTCGAGCTGGCGATACTGGGATATTCACCTTTGGTGCAATGTTCTGCTTGCTGGTGATCGCTCCGTCGTCGTGGATTTTCAAACGATCGCTGAGCTGTCGGATGGGGGAAAGAGGGATTCCGGACTTCACTACTACCCCAGGTTTGTTCACGGGCTTTTCGATGGGGCATTCTTCGGAATGGTGAGACGGAGAAGTTGGTCTACTCCTTCGCGGAGAAACGACGGGTATTTCCTGTGTGCTGGTCGAAATCGCATCATCATGGACTTGAAGGCGTCCGCTGAGCTTGGTAGCAGATGATTGTCGACTAGACCCGCTCGCGGCGACTTCAATGTCTTGGGGCTGGAGACGCGCACTGAACCGCTGCGTTGGAGAAGACGGGTTGCTCAACCGGGGAGGTGGCATCTCGTCTTTGGCAGTCGCCATTCCAGGTTCAATTGCTTCAAAGAGACCGCTAAGTCTTGACGGTGAGGACAGTCTGGGAGATGGCGCCCTCACCTTCGGAGAAACATCTCGGATTTCGTTTGGGTCGGACTGTGGCAGATCGTCATGAATCAACCGGTGCCCCGTCGATTTCAAAGCTGACGATGGTCTATTCGTCGACGGCGACGTCGCTCTCGAAGGCTCATTCTCGTCATGGGTTCCGAAGCGAGCACTAGGGGGTCGAGACGGTAGCGACCTTGGTACCCTGGAGTCGGCAGCACTTACACCACGCATCTCAATAATTGGCGAAGGCCTTCTAGGCAACCAAACGACGTCCACTGGTGTGGCGGAGAAACCAAGGAACTGAGACTGATGGGGGCCGTTTATAGCAGGTTATTGTTGGCCGACAAAGACCCTCTTGTTTTAGCTGCCAAGCGACAACAAATCGAGCGCATGCAAGACGCCAGCTATCCTTCCCTCCTCCCTGTGAGATAATTTTACGCCCCGTTTTGGTTCGCCATCAACTGGTCTGAAACTGGGGGCGATTGACATTGTATTTGCAGGACGGGGATCCAAGCAGCAACTAACCGACTAACGAGCGTCTGCATTTTATGGCGCGCACGAGTCCAAACGAGGAATTAAATAATACAAGTAGATTGGGGCTATTTGTCCAAACGTAAGTAGATCATGGGGACTACTTATAAGTAGATCAGACCATCAGCGCACAGCGAGCGAAGCGAACCCACGCCTGCGGTTTGTCAGCCCGTGTGCGAAGCACGCGGATGCAAACCCAGGACCCAGCATTGCCCTTCTAGCAAGCGGAGGCGACGCGTGCGAGCCGCAGCGGGCTTGTTAGGGTTCTGTCCAAGCGAGCACAGCGAGCCTTTAGGGTCTGGAGGGCCGCGCGCAGCGCGTAGCAGGTGATAGTTAAAATACGTTTAATCAACGTCCCCCAGTCTACTTATAAGTAGTCCCCATGATCTACTTACGTTTTGACAAATAGCCCCAATCTACTTGTATTATTTAATTCCTCGAGTCCAAACGCTCAAAAATCACGTTAACTTCAACTTCATGACATCATGGCTACAGTTCTGAAGTAACGCTAACTTTTCAGCCAATCGCCGACTTCATAGGCAAAATGTTGGAGGCCGGCTCCAAGGTCGACGATGGCGATCTCGTGGACCCTTGGACGCCTCCGTCCACGCAGATGCAGCTAGCCGTACACCACGACCGATACACCCAGCTCTTGCGTACATTCCTATCGTGGAAACAGCGCGCTCAAGCGCAGTGTGTGCGGAGAAAAGTGAGGCAAACAGTCAGCAAAAACCTGAATTCACTCACGATAACTCTTGACAAAGACTAATAGTGTGAGGGGTTCTGGTATAAATAGCGGATCGCCGCAGCTTGTCGCGTGGGCTCTGTCTTCTACCAGCGGATCTTCTGGACGCGCTGGCGCGAGTTTGTGGCTGAACGAAAGCAGCAGAGACGAGAAACTCAAGAAAATGAAATGGAGGATCTGGAAGAAGAGGAGGAAGGTGCCAATAGTGCCGATGTTACCGAGGACACAATAGCAGCAGGTTCTATACCAGATGAAGAAGTAGATTCTCTTGAACAAGGTGCTGGAGTTTTGAGGACGCAGATGGAGTACTTCAAGGTGCGAAGAGCTGCCACCTTTTTTCTTCTCCAAAGCAACTAACCAAGTATTTTGTTGTTGTACAGAGGTGGGAACTTGGGGTTGAGCAGGAGAAGAAGGACACTGCAACCAGCGCTAACTTCATTGTACGCATCCGTTCGTTACACGCTATTCGGCGTTGGCGAGGGTTTGTCCGGAAGAAGAAGGATACTGATGTTCTCCAGCAGCGTGCCTACTTCTTCTTGTACTATTGGCTACTCAAGCGCTCATTGGGTCAGCTCGGTCGGCACACGCTGGTCAAAAGGCGAGAGCGGCAACTGACTTTGAAGATTGCGAAGGCGAATAGAAATCGCTTGCTGGTCAAGAGCATGCAGCGCTGGAGATTGCGTCTACGATTGCATGAAACTCTAACTCTGTGGAGGGACTATGTGCAGCGGCGGCGGCATCAGAAATCTCTGTACCAACCCATTACCGATGCTCTGACGCGCAAAAGTCACCAGCGCTTGCTCCAACTTGCATTCGATGTCTGGGCAAAGCAGTGTGCAAGAGCTCAGGGGCAGCGGATGCTAGTTCGTGTTGTTGAGCGCCACATGTACCAAAAAGTGTGCAAAAGAGCGTGGAGGGCATGGAAAGTGAGAGTCCACCAGCTAGCTCAGCTTGACATTTTCCACCGACGACGCCAGGAGCTTCGGTTGCGACGCGTTTGGGATGCCTGGAGTGCTCGGACGCGAGAAAAAGAACACCGGGAGCAGCAAAGACGTCGCGCAGTGCGCCACAACTACCTGACGCTGTTACGTATGGGATTTAAGGGTTTTCGGGCTTGGCGTATTCAAGGAAAACTCAGATTAAGTCGAGTGGAGACTATGCTAGACGCTGCAGACGCTAGCACCATAGCGTCCGCGTTCTCACGTTGGGACCATTTCACGAGCAGCAGGAAACTTCAAGCGTTAAAGCGCGACCGTGCTTTACTTCACTCGCAATCACAACTGTTGAAGCGGGTTTGGACGAAGGGGTTTCTGTGCTTCTTCGCCAGAGCTCAGACAAAGAAGGTGATGGTACTTGCTGCAAGTGAGCAGTACTATAAATGCACAGTGAGACGCTGTTTTCGTATGTGGAAGGAGATGTGGCAAGCAGAACGAGATCACGAGGTGGCTCTGAGCAATGTGTTACAAGGCTGCATGGCCAAGAAAGCAAAAGCTACCAAAGCTGCAGTGTTCGAAAACTGGTCGGAGTTCGCTCGCGCGAAAGCTGCTGCACGAGTTGTAAACGCCCAGGTCCGTGGATATGCACAGCGACGCGTGCTTCAAAAATATTTTTCGCAATGGATCTCGTCTGTTTCCGTACTGCGCTGGCAGCAAATTACGCGTGCACGCGCCGAGCAGCACCACAAAGCCGTAATGCTTAGGAAATGCTTCGCCCGGTGGCGACACAATGTTTCGGCGCGCCAACGTTACCGCAAAAAGACACGGCATGCGCTTGTCCACTGGAAATTGACGTTGGAACGCAAAGCGTTCGATGGCTGGAAGCAGTACCTGGAGATGAAGAGAAGTAAGCAACAGCGCATCCACGAAGCTCTCGAGTTTCGACACACACAATTTGTTCGCGACGGTCTGCGCCATTGGATGACGACCGCAATGCACTTGCAGGAGCAGCGTGAGCAACGAATGACTGTAGCTCAAGCAAGTAACACGACGGCCGTGTGGCGACGAGTTGCAGCAATAGCTCGTCACTGGCGTTACCTTGCGATCCGGCGCAGAGCTCTCAGATGTAAAGGAGAAGTCTCAGTAAACCCGAGGGATGCACCCCGACGAATTCCAGACGCACACTCGGCATTCGAACGCGCATCAGCACCACAAGCACACTCCACGCCGACTGTGAAGCTACCGCGAGGAGATGCGGGCGACCGCGGACATGCAAATGCTGCACACTCAGAAAATTCCAACTGGACAAATGAGCGATCTCCACTTTCCGAGTTCGTCTTGCTTCCAAGAAACCGGCCCCAACCTCGAAGACCTGTTGAGGTTACGCTCTTTGCCGACGCAAAAGCGGAGAGCTGGCTAGGAGGCAAAGAGAACAGGAAGACGCGCGAAGTCTTACGCTGTGGCTTTGATTTTCCTGCCGAGAATTTTGTTCCTCTCAGCTTACCACCGGACAATCGAGTTGATCCGCCCAGATCACATAGAAAGCTGCCGGCTACAGCAGCGGCCATCGGAGGACAGTGTAAATGCTGCGGAGTGCCGCCTACCTCAGTGGCTCCAGCTATGGAAGGTGATCTGCTCCTACCTAGTACTACACTGGGGCAATTGGAGACGTTGGAGCAGCAACTACTGGCACTAAGCCGGCGAAAACGAGAGTGGGTGGCGTTTCAACAACAGCTCGACACATTACGTGGAGAAGTAAACACAAACCCACGACTTCAGTCGAAGCTTCGATCAATGGAGGAGCAGCACGCGACTCGAACGAAGCAATGGCTTCGCACAAAAGAACGCATTCGTTCACTAGCAGCGGAGATCCAGTTTTTGAGAAGTGATTTGCAAAGATAATCAACTCGGAGCTTATTGTATTGAGCAACATCGACGGAGTCATCGCAATAACGTTTCATATTCATTTATGAGCGTCGTACATTGATCAAAAGCGGCCTCAAAATCACCATCCTCCATTCCATGCTGTCTGTACCAGTGCACGTAAGCACCAGCTTGGAATTGACGCTGAGCTCGTTCTAAGAAACGCTTCGTACTCGTCAAGAAGCTACCGTTATTCACGCAAATGGTTGCCGAAGCTTTCGCTTGGAGCGATGAGAAAGGTGCAGACTTAGAAAACGTTAGCGTGGCTTGTGGTGTTGTCGCTAACCAAGGCACAGGGGGGAACGCAGTCGCAACCATTGCACCAAGCTTTTCTGAAAAGCGATCAAGCTCACCGGAGGCGGGATAGAAGCCCCGAAGCAGTGTACTCGATGCCAAAGCTGCGCCAGAAGTACGCGGGAAAGAAGCTACCGTTTGATGCACTAGCTTCTCGAGCATATCAAGCGACGTGTTGAAGTCAGCAGCGTGCTCATGTCGGAGCGCCAACGAACGCGCTTGTGGAACCACTGGGGCATGAAACAAGGTCGCTGAATAGACATCTTTCGCCACTGATGCCTTGGAGGGCAGTTTACTGCGTATACCCGACCCAGCACGATCCCTCCACACACCAGATCGGACGTCAAGCATCTTCGTTGCAGGCATAGGGCATACATCATGCAGTAACCTGCCGAAGTCAAACGACCGATGCATACCAGAATCGCCCGGTGCTACGGGGAACAAAAGCCCCGCGAGATCTGCCGCCGCCATGCTGTTCATCTCGACCAGTGATACCCGCTGATTCGAACTATCAGTCCCCACTTTCTCCTGAACTACAGCCTTCCAATAAGCAGCCGTTCGTAGCAGGTCGTCGTTATCCTTGTAAATAACAGCATCGGCAACCTCTTGCAGACACCGGAGGGTCAACACAGCATTGTAATTCTGGAGAGGCGAGTCTCCGTGTGTGCACGACGGAGCTACCGATGCAGTCACGATGTAAGCCTTCGGATAGGTGTCCCTCATGCTTTCCAGCACTCGACAGCCCAAGCCGGACCCAGTACCTCCACCCAGCGAGTGCATGACCACACTGCCTTGGTAGCAGTCCACAGCTTCAATCTCACGTTGCAGAGACTCCATAACCAGCTCCACAAGTTCTCGGCGATCATCCACAGCCAGCGACGTAAAGGCCGGAGCCGGGGTTTTCAGCCTTGGTCCGTAGTACCCCATGGCCCAATTGTTGCCTCGACCAGCTTGCTCCACATGCGTATGAGCCGGCTGGAAGCCTGCAAACACATCCACATCAGCTTCACACACAGCGCGAACCACCTTCGGCTCCGAGTCCACCAGAATACAACGCGCAGCGCTACTGGACGGGTGGAACAGGTGTCTGGACAGTAGCGGATCCTTCTTGGGGGCGTTTACAGCGGCGCTGGGGCCTCCTGATCCACGACGAAGCCGCCTAGAGCCACCAGCATCGCCTTTGCTACGATTATCTGGCTGAGTATCACTGGAAGCAGCGGCCAGGCGCCAGTACGCGGCGCCGATCTGGTTGCCGCACTGCCCCACATGCACGTGCACACTCATGCCAGCCTCGAAGCACGTGATTGGTTGACGTCGTGAAGTAACGCTATATTTCGTGCTGGTCCAACAGACAACCAAGAGCAAGAAGCGGACCAGTACGATGGCGTCCACAGCGCAGGACGTGGTGCCCTTTGAAGGACGCTTCCCGTCATGGGAGGCCTTCGACGTGGCCCGGAAGGCCCACTGCGAGAGGACGTACACCATGTACGTGTGTCGCAACACGGTGAAAGTGACGGTGGCCAACAAGCGCCGCAAGCTGCAGGTGCCCGACAGTTGGGTCTACGACCGCAAGGTGCATCCTTTCAGTCTGTCCATCTACCTGTAAATAGTGTCCACATTGGACTAATTCGTCTTGTTTCAATCGATGTCTACATGGTAATTGTCCCTGCTGATGCAGATATACGTGTGCACCCATGGCTACAAGCGGGTGTCGCGGTCCGGCGGCTCCCGACCGCGACAGAACGTGCGCTACACCGACTGCAAGGCTCGCTTCACGGCGTGTGTGGCGAGCGAGCTGGCAGAAGACGGAGGCGAGGCTCTGTTCATCAAGGTCACGGGTCAGCACTTGGTCCACACCGACCACCCGTTGAGTCTCGAGCAGTGGCGCATGTACTCGCAGAACCGCGCGGCGGTGATCGAGCACCCTTACCTCACACACGAAGCTGATCTCATGCGCCGGATCGGATCCAACAAGAAAGCCGCACGAGCTCACATCGAGGCGCTGACGGGCAAAGTGTGCACCATGAAGGACATGCACAACCTGTATGCAAGGCTGAAGAAGCGCGAGAAGAGTCAAAGTCGGCAGCCGCCACAAACGACTGCCAGCAATCCTAGTCCTGGTGCACCGCAGAGCACGACGAAGAATCCAGGCAGTAGTGTGAGAGGTGCTCGGGTGGAGCCTATTCTACAGAGCTTCGTGGACGCAGACATGGAAAACCACGCGAGCATTTTATCGGCCGACGACGGCTCCAACGAGGCCATTTGTCTAGCTAGTCGAGCCATGAAGGAGCACTTTCAGGTCTTCCCGGAGCTGCTGATGTTGGATGCGACAACGGCAGCACAGTCGACTACACAAGGAGAACAGCACTTGCACGGGTTCTTGTCCATGGATGCGCTGGGCAACTCCAAACCAGTTTTCTTGGCGCGATCGCTGGCCATGTCACCGTCGCTGTTGCGCCGAGTGTGCCAAGATTTCAAGCGGACACACCCGAAATGGACCCAAACGAAAGTGCTGGTCATGAGCACACTGTTGCGCGACGTTGTCCAAGTGCTGACACACGAGTTCCCACAGGCGCAATTGCTGCTGTGCCAGTTTCATGTGCTTCAGATTCTCAACGATCTGCTAGCCCAAGCTCACTCGCAGACGTCGGATCGAAACTTCAGTCCGGACAAAGTGCGCGATTTACTCCAGCAACTCGTATTTGCACACTCCGAGTCCAGATACAACGAGGCGAAGGCGCTGCTAGTGCGGCACCTGGTTATTGCTGACAAGAGAGAACTACTTGGCCAGTTTGATAAAATGTGGGAGCCATATCGTGCGCTTTGGGTGTCGTACGCGCGCACGGAGCAGTTCGACTTCTCAAGTTTCCTGACGAAGGGAATTAAGAGCTACTGGGAGCCGATGCAAACTGCATTTAGGCGGACAAGAGATAACGACATTGCGGAACCAGGAGCCACAAGCGTATCCCACCTCGCCACCGAAGCGATTACATCAGTTGGCCACGCCGTGAGCCCCAAGGACCCGTTCCGGTCTACTGGAAGCATTGTTGATAGCCAAACCAGTACATCGCTGGCTAGCAATTCATCAACTGTGACTGGGGCACATCGAGGCGTGGAGTCTACAAAAGACACTACTAGCAACCTGCTGGCCAAATGCACGGCTGAGGTGCTAACCACGATCAATTTTGTTGAAGGCGAGTGGACGTCCAAGATGCTGCTCCTTGAGCTCACCAAGCCCGTTGCTGTGGATCGTTACGACCCGCGGTTGCTCTTACTGGTCAACTGCCTCAGCAGCTTCGTCGTGGATGCGATAAGCTCCCAGCTTACTAGCCAAAGCTCAGGCGCTTGCGGATCCGTGTCCGTCACTAAAACTAGGACGGCTAGAGCTCACGCGGCGAACACCAGATCGGAGTCAAGCGAGTCGCCGGCGTCTCCCAGGTTAACCACCCCGGAAGCTACGGTGCGGTGGCTGAACAAAACAACGCGCGAGAAGCACATCTTACAGCGCGACGGAAGCGCGTGCGACTGCGCGTTCTTCGCGCTGTACCAGCTCCCGTGCCGCCATTTGATTTGGTATGAAGTTGTGGCTTTGCAGCACAAGCAGATCAGCCTGACCGCGGTGGGCTCACGGTGGTTTCTACGGTCGTTCCAGGCGCCGAAGCTGGGAAGGCATCGCGAGTCCAACGAGATCGAGTACCATCTCCTTTAGTTCTCCGAGCAACCTGATGCTACAGTGATACATACGTCTAGAATCGAGCATTCCGCCAAAATGACTAGCGGTTTACAATCTAGGACACAGCACGTACCTCAGGTTGCCAAAATATCACTCATACCTACGGTATGTCGTCAAAATCTATGAGTACTCGCACAGTTTCCGCCGTCGCCGAAGCAAAACGTGTGTGTAAGGCAGTGGGGATGCGGTGCTCACCTTGGGGGCTGCTGATGTAAACCGCATGCAGTGCAAAAACGTAAAACGTTATCCATAGGATAGAGGACGGCGGACATGCCGACCGCAGCGATCGCCGACAACGCCTTGGTTAACCCACAGTTGCAAACCATGTTTCGCGAGGAACGCAGCTACAGATATTTCAAGACCGAGTCTATCTCTGTCTCCTACTTTCGAACGTGACGTATATGTTGTGCGCATTCGTCTGTGCTAAACGAAAGCACCACCAACATGAACAACAACTCGGGCGTCGCGCAGCAAGCCCCGCAGATTTACCGTCAGCTTACCGAAGATCTCTCCAATTTGAGTTTCTCAATACGCCGGGTCAAGTTGAAAGCTATCCAAGTTGCGTGAAGTGAGGTTGCACGCCCAAGTTGCTCACTGGTCGGTATAGTCCCCGTATCTTCGATTAATTGCGATCACTCAAAAGGGTCCATCTCCATCCGTTATCTAATGAAACGCAAGGGTAATCAAAATGATTGCAATCGTGTGTCGCAGGGATCTCGCTGGGCACGTCAGCACCGCTCGAGTGGAGACACCAACGAGTGGAGCGCTGCTCGCGAGTTAAATCGAGGCACGTGTAGCTCCGCTGTCTTGCCTGCTCCGGCGCCCCGGCGCAATGCCGCGCGTCGTAAGGCAGATCGCTTTCGTTCGTCAAATGGCGGCCACAAAAACTCGCAGCGGCCACGCTTCAAAACCGTAGATCTTCGGTGCCGCACGGCTGTCCGGCGGGTCAAACAGAAAATCATCATTGGCATAGCTGGCAATGGCCTGGTGCTCTCGCGAGCTACACTTGTTAGTGTAGCTAGCATAGTCTTCTGCACGAATGAACAAACCCGAAGCCTCGCATTTGCAGCCGCCGAGACCTGAAAGTGGTCGAAGCGAGCAGATCATCCACGCAGAGAAACCCGTGTCGCATCGGAAAGCTCCCCTAGGCCTGGGGCGCGCCGACCAGCCTCCAGGGCGGAAGGAAATCACAGCGATCACCCGCGAGCCACGCCACGAAGGAGGCTGCGAAAGTGCATGTAGGTAGCGACATGGCGGCAGGCGATTCTTCCCTTGATTGCGCAGCTGCTCCCCCTACCGACACTCTACCGACATTTCCGGATCGCCGGACACAAGCGCTCTCAGCTTGCTTGGGCTTCGGTGAGTGCTGTTCAAACAGACTTGACAAGTAACTTGTCTTAGAAACGATGCCGATCAAGCCCCGCCAAGTCGTCCGACATCATGGTACATGTGCCAAGCGATGGCAAGCCGCTGGGTTGGTGTCAGCCACTGCCGTGCAAGCCAGGGCTTCGCACGAGGATTAAACCGTACAGGGCGGTACGGCTCGCAGCGGACCGCGGGGCCGCTAATGGAAATTATACGCAGAGGTTCAGGAGCGATCGTGGTGCTGCACTGTACGCCTGGCAAGGAGGCCAAGGTTCCGATAAGCTCTACCCTACTCAAAGGATCAATCAGCGTGTGGCCGGTGCCGTCTCGATTGACTGACGCTGCCGTGCTTGTTGTGGCCGGGTTGGGCTGGGCCTCCGGTAGTCAGTCCTGTGTGGCGTCGTGGCCAGCCGTCGTGGCCAGCCAAAGTGTGAAACGCAAATTGGGGAGATCTTCAGTAGCGCATGGACGATAGCGTGCCCAAAATACTGCTACACTGTTCTGGGCTCCCGCATGGTGCCACCATTCTGGTACATGCACAGCGTGAGCACGAGCGCTTCCTGTCGCGCTCAAGCCTCCACCGCTAGCACGGAGTGAGCTCTGCGGATCGCCTTCTCATTGTACCGCTGTGGCGATCGCGCTGGTCGTCGTGGTGCTGCTGTTGAAGCTCATAAAAACAACAGCGTCGAGCTCCAGTTTGTACCGGCGCTTCGGCAAACTTGGCCACTGTATAGGCCAGAAACGGGCCTTTAGTAGAGCCCAAAAAGCGATATGTAAATGGAGCCCGAAATAATCGATGACCTGGCTGCCGTCCCATCCTGCGTGCTTCAACGCAGATCCAAGCCTCACGGGCTTCGGCCAGGACAGCTCGCTTGGAGCCTTGCTTACGAGCCATGATGACCTCCGCGACAAGCCTTCTTCGCAAGGAGAACTCTTACATTTGGCTCATTACACCGAGCTCGTTAAGACCACTCAGCTGAGCTTCAACCACGCCCACGGGCGTCAACGCTCGCCATCCACGTTGCGTTCCTAGCGAGACGCGGCTTGCACTTTCGGGTAAGTAACTGTGTGTTAATCAAGGTGTTGCCGACCGCTGCGGTCGGCATGTCCGCTTGTTCCTTGGGCACAGGCACTCGACCCGCCGGACTTCTGCACGCGGGGCGGCATCGTCGGCAACTGTCCTCCCCGCCAGCAGCACTCCACCGTGGCCGTCGAGTCGACGGCCCACAGCAGCGCTCCAGCCAGTGAGACTGCGCTGACCCCGTCGCTCAACCGGTCCTGTTTTTTCTCGCATCTAAGCGGGATGGCGGTAGGTAGCAGCACCGGGGCCCCGAGGGAGTGTTTACTGACCATAGAGGCTCTACCGACATTGATAGGACGTGCCGACCTCCAACGTGGTTGTCCTTGAACGGATCGCCGCAGCGCTGCCATTCCCAAATTCGCCTCACAGCGAGCGAGCAAGCAGCCAGCCAAGCCAGCGGCACTTCTCTCCGGACACGCCACCGACAGTTCCAGTCTCTCCGTCACCATGAACGCGGTTGCTGCCGGATCAAGCTCCCCTGTGCCTTCTTCCAAGCCCAAGGCCAAGCCCATTTCGCCGACGGCCAAGGGGATCTGGTCGCTCGAGGAGCATGACCGCTTCCTTGAGGCCATGAAGCTCTACCCCAAGGGTCCGTGGAAGAGCATCGCCGACCACATCGCCACTCGCTCCGTGCGCCAGGTGCAGACCCACGCGCAAAAGTATCAGGAGAAGGTGTCGCGCCGCCTGCGTGGACTGCGCAAGTCGAAGAAAAAACTCGTGCGCCCCGAGCACCGCATCGACGACGACACCATGGAGCTGTGCAAGCTGGTGGACTGCGCGGCGGAGAAACTTGTAGCAGCAAGCAAGAAGTCGTCGTCGCGAGCCAGTGGACCCAAGCTCGAGCCGCTACAGAAGAAGAACCTGGTGAAGGAGGAGCCCGCCGAGGCGCATAGCAGCCCGCGCGGTACCGACGTGGAGATGAAGACTGATGACTTCTTGCCGCTGCCGTTCCTCGACTTTGGCGATGACATCGACCTGGATCCCGTCCACATCCCAACGGTGAGCGAGTCACTAGACTTCCTGATCGACTACCTGTCGATATAACCTCCTGCAGCTGGGGATCAGTTGCTATTAGTTCGGTAGCGACGGGATAGACCCGTCATTATTTGGTGAGGTATCCGTGAACGAGCCCCTCGTTCCACGCGAGGTGGCTTCATATTTATATCATAAAGAGGAACCAATACAAGCCTTTATCAATGGGGAGGACGTGTCGACGGAGCAGCTTGGACGGACGGCCACGGAACGCGGCTGGAGACCCGAGTTGATCCCCGACACAGCAGCCCCCGCTTGATCCTTCGACAATGGTGTTCCCGTCTTCGGATTGGGGTGTCATTTGCTTGCCGTCCTGGACTCCCGTGCCGGTCCAATTCGGTCATACTGGGGCGAGTGCGCCGCCAAGTTCAACCCCCCAGTCATAATCGCTGGCGCAATGAAGTGCCATCACTCTCGAGGCAATGCGCCGCGCAGAGACAAACCACCTCCATTTCCTGCGCGCGAAGTGCCTGCAAGGAGTTCTCCTCGCTCAAGAAACTGCCGACGGCAAAAGTCTGCGTTGAGCGCGCCGGCTTCCTGATCCCGGTCGATGGGCGATCCACAACATGTGTCGCTGCACGTCGTAAGGCTCACTTGCCAGCAATGCTGGCGTTGCTGGCAAGTGAGCCTAACGACGCGGAGCTCCTGATCGAGGAGAACTCGGCCGAAACCCACGGCCCCATGTGACAACTGGCCGCGGAGCCGAGTCGGCGGTCAGCGCACACGAGCCCCAGCACCGCAACAACTTGCCAAGCTTGGAGTGCTTCTGCTGCATCCAATCTCCTTGCTTATGTACTGAAAAATAATCTAACCGCGTCGCAGTACGCTTCACCTACTATCTTTGCTCAAACGGATCGTTGGGATGCAGCCTACTGAATTACGAAATAGTCCTAATGACGTGGCGCGTTGTCTCATATTCAGGTTTGCAGGCCGGATTTGCTTCGATTGGAGCATGCCGAGCTTTTCCAGGCTGGAAGTGCCAGCTTGCTTTTGAAAAGAGGTAATTATGTCACAAGCCAATTGCCATCGGTTTCTCTAGAGATTTCATGCCGGCATCGACGAGCTTTAGCTTGCGGCGAGAATCTCTGCGTCGAGAGCCGGCGTTGGCAATGATATGAATCAAATCGCCACGTGGGAAGTGCTGCACGGGGAAGGATATTGCCGCTGCGTTGAAGCTCCTGCAGGTTCAACTCGGGCGTCGTGTCTACGGCCTGCCTTCAACTCGCCAAAGCTCGAGCTTGATCGACTGGAGCAGAATGCTTCGTGCGGCTTCACACTCTGGCAGGCAGCAGTGCTGACACACGTTGGTTGCACGAGCATGAAGGCAGCGGCCAAGCGCGCGACGGCAATTCGATCGAGTCGAGCCCTTCGTTCAGCGACTGTGAATCAAGGTTGCGCTCGGTATCCTAGGCGCGTCCACGGAGAGCACGACGATAAACATGCTTATGCCTCCAGTGGCAAACCTAGCGTGAGCCCCCAAGCAAATTCTGCGCTTTTGGTTTGTATTGGACCTCGTATCTGGGTGATGTGCCGAATTCTATCAGCAAATTGCTCAAAACCTGTTCGAGATGAGTTCGCACAGCGTTGGTGTATGCAGTGAGACTATCACGGTGGGGATACATGACCCGCGGTGCAGACTCCGCAGAATTCGCGCAGCAAACACAAAATTTTTGTACCGTCTCCATATCCCAAGCTCACTGTACCCTAATGCCAGCTCGACCCAATGCATCTGCGTGTACATGTAGTATGTCGAGGGATCCGTTAGCCCTTATGCTATATCCTTATTCATCCTCGTAACACGACACGAAAGCAGTGCTTTGGTTTAGGTCCTGCACGTTCGTCGTGAATGGTCCACCCTCACGTTATCAGCAATTCCGACAACCACGGCTGCATGGACACGCAGCGTCCGACATGACTCAAGCAATTACGCGAGTCCATGACATTTATATTACGGCGGAGTGGCGGAGATGTTTGCCACCACGCTCATTCATCGTGCTCGAACGCATGCAACTCAGCTGGAATATCTACATTAGTGACGGCATGTTTATCTGCATCAGGAATCACAGAACACGTGCCGCTTTGTCGGCTGTGAAGCTCGAAACTCATGTAAATGACCGAAGTGCTTTACAGCTTCACACTTGGGGAGCACGATGACATCGCACTATAGCGAACAGCATTCAATTTCATCGTGTTTCAGGGAACTTGTTTTCGAGGGTACACTTGCATGAGTCTGGTCAACGCTTGTTGCACCTGTATGGTAGGTGCTTGTTGCCGAGTTCCTTCTCGTTAAAATCAACGTGGTGATTTTGTAGTCTATAGTATCGTGTGTCCGCGATTCATCGTGCGCCACCATGAGCCATGGACCATGACCGATGGCAAAGCCTCCGAAAAGTATAAACGGTTGGGATAAACTAGTATGTACGGTCATGGCCGGCAACTTCGCAGCCCCGTGACATTTTCACAGCTTGCAGCGGGCATTATGGTCACATCTATGACAACAGAGGCAAGTGCAGTATTTTGACGCCTGCAGCGCGTCCAATTCCTGTCTAGCGATGCAAGGCTTGCTTTTTTCCTTACATCTTGATGAGCCAAAATATTGTGCCAATATTTTGGTAATTTGTGCACCACAGGTCACAAAATTAGGTCAGCTGCGTTGATTTGCTTGATGACCACGCTCTCGGCTTGACGACACCCGAGCAGCACCGGCACGGCAGACTTGAAGGCCCCGAACTCGTTGAACGCAGACCCCAAGTAGAGAAGGAGGAAAGGGGCGCGCTTTAAATCGGACCCCGAATGCAGTCTTGCACTGGGAAACCGCCACTAACTGCCGCATCAAGAGCATGCGCCGCCAACCTAACCTTGGAGTGTTGAAACTACTGTACCTGTTGCTGAGACTCGCTCAACGTTGACCCAACGTCGTTGAGATCTCGTTAGATCGTACTTCAGCACTGAGGTGGTCAACAAGGTCACGCAGTACAGATGGCAGCCACGCATGGATGGATCGCGGACACAACCTGGCAAAAACCCTTTGGGAAGAAGGAAGTGTGTGTGTGTAAATGAATGATATTATCTTTGCAGTGGGCTCGTTGGCCGTGCAGGACTTCTGTTGAGGTGTTACGGATTGCCGCAATGGCGCAATAAATTAGGCAAGAAGCAGGTCGATGGATTCCTGCACGTCTTGTCGGTAGGCGTCGTTGGCCAGGACGTCCTCGAACGAAACTCCGGGCGTGTAGGGCAGTGGCTCCAGGCCGCTCAGCAGCGTATCCATGTCGACATCAATCTCAAGACCGGAGAAGCTGGAGCTGGAGCAGCTGCTGCCTGCGTCGCTGGCTACGGGGCTGCATCCGCCCGTCAATAGCTGGCCAAAGCTGCCGCTGAGCGGCGACATCGCACCGACTGGGAAGGCCGATGGCGAGCGCGGAGAGCCCTGCATCGTGAAGTTCTTGACGCGCTGGATGCAGCCAGTGGCGTGGGCGTCGACGCGGTGCTCCGGGCGCACGAACTTCTTCTTCTGTTTGCGCAGGCCGCGGCGCCGGCGGTTGATCTTCTGCTGGTACTTCTGCGCGTGCGTCTGCACCTGCTTGATGGAGCGCGTGCCAATGAAGGCGGCGATGGAGCGCCACGGGCCGGTCGGGAACATCTTCATGGCGTGCAGGAACTGCTCGTGCTCCTGCTCGGACCAGAGGCCGCGCGTGATCGGCGTCGTGGGCGCGGGCGACGCGATCACCAGGCTGCTGCCGTGCGTGCTGGTGGGCATCATGATCATCGTGGGGGCTGCTATGGTTGCTGAAGTGGTGTGGTGCTGCTGCTTGCTGCGGGGCACGAGCAAAATTCGGAAGTGAGCTGATTGATGTGACTTTGGCGGCGGAGACCCGCTGGTCACTTTTTTAGCTCTTGACACGTAGAGTGGCTCTTCTCTGAGCGAAAACGGGGGGATGGGCCACTCCGGCGCGGCTAGGGCTAACTTGTGGCTCGGAGCCGTCCGAGGCAAAAAGATTGACCAATGGCAGCTGGGCAGACTGCGGGCTCGTCTGTTCAGTACCGGTGTACAGCACGCCGCGGTATCGCAGATGGGCGCTAAATTATCGCTTGGTAATTTACGCCCGCCGCCCCGCAGGAGCATGCATGCCCTTGGTCCGCCTGCTGGTCGGTGGAGCATGTGCGATATCCGAGCCGCGCGCGAACCAACTTGTGGCGCGCAGTAGTCGCGGCGCCAGGCGGCTTGCAGAGACGAGCTGCGCCGGTGGTGTAAGGCTATCCAGCGACACTGGTCAGACTGATGCGTGTCAACATTTTGCTGTTTCATGTCAGCGCTGCTGCCGCATTCGGTTGCGCTTGTAGTGCAGCGGCAAAACTGTCTGCGGAACCACGTCAGTGCGAAATGCATTTCGTCCGCGTTCTCCGCTGGAAAGCAGTAACCACAGCGGTAGGGCCAAGTTCCAGCACGCTGCAGCATCGCATATAACGTCGGTGGCGGCGCAAATAGCATATAACGTCGGTGGCGGCGCAAATAGCATGTAAAGGCCCCGACCTGAGCCGGTTGGCATATTTTCGCGTCGAGCTTCCTCGAGCGCACCTGTTCGTTCTGAGATCACTTGCGGTCACACAACTGGAATTTCGCTACGTGGGGGCACTTCGACTCCTTTTGCCGCAGCAGAGGCCAGATGCTGGAAATCATGGCTCGTAGCTGATTGCTTCCAGCCTGGGGCGGCCTACACAATCGGATAGCGGTGTTTCCAGGCTCCGGCGGTTGGGGCGTTCTCTCTTATGCAGCTCGATGCGACTGCGCTGTGACGGCTACAGGTGCTTGATAGCGTTGGAGAGGCGATTCGTCGTCACCACTGACTCACTAATCTCCCCGAAAACCACCTGACCGCCTCGATCGCGAGGGAGGGAGGTCTGCCGAGGCAATAAGCAGGAGAAACAAAACGCCGCCTCATATTCAAAGTGCAAGAAAAAATAAATTACTTCGGAAGCCTTGTTAGCAGCATACATGCGACATGCATATGCGGTACGAGAGTTCTTTCGGCGGTGCTGAGATCCAAAAAAAGATCGCTAAAGCTGAAGGTGTTGAAGTTGCCTTGTCCTCAGGGAGGATTTCTGTTTTTAACAGCGCGAGACCAAAGTTTTTTATTGTCCGTACCGGCACACTCCTGACACTGCGCTACGCCGTAATAGCGCTCGAGTGCGGCCTGCCAGACGCAACGCCCGCGGAGACGTGCCCGTCGTTCGGGCGGCTTCCTCTCGCAGGCTTTTCTTTTTCTCTCCTTTCGCTTGCACGCTTTGGTCCACCAGAGTGGCATGGACTGCCTCAATGCGGTTGCATCAAGCGGTTGCTGACTCGGCGCACAAAGCTGGTTGTGTATGAGACACCGCCTCCTTCCGCCGCCGCTGGCTGCATGCGAGGCAACGCCGCTGCGACGCCGCCGGCTCTTCCAGGGAATGAACTCCGCCGGGCAACGCTGCAGCTCGGCTCCTCCAACGCCGCGCAGCTTTTCATTTTTTTGAGTGGATTCCTCCGCAATGGCTGCGCCGCCCAAATGCGTGGCAACTCCCACCCAGCCACAGCGAAATCGCTCAGCGGCGAGCGGCGCGCTGCTCGCAAAAAGCCCCGACTCGGGGGTTAAACAAACAGCTTCAACGTGCTAATATAGCGGTGTTATCCGCTGTCAGCGAGCCGGGCGGAGCAGTATGTACCGACACGAACCTTCGCCGGCGTTCGTGGGCGCCGCAGGACTCGTATGTGTGTGCAGAAATAATTGCGGTATCAGCGTTGCCAGTCTCTTCAGCTTGCCGCCCATCTCCTTCGGCGAGGACAAATCTTGTTTTGTGGAATTCGCACAAATTTCGCATCGCCGCGGAGCAGCGGCACTGTAGCCGCTGCGGGCGGAGTCGGCCGCCATGCTGGCCGCGCGGAGACCATGGCTGCGTGCGACAGTGAGCTGGCCGCGGCGGATGTGAGCTGCTAGCGTCGTTCATGGCAAGGTGCGCGCTGCTGCAGGGCCTCCCTCCCTCCCCCTGCGAGGCGAGCTAAGCGCGACGAGCTCACACACATGGGGAGCGATACCGCGCCGCACGCAAGATCGCGGATCGTAGTGGCGACGCGGATGTCGTCGCAACTGGGCGAAGTCTATCAGGGCAGGCAACTACATGTACGGCGGAGCTGCAGTCCAGAGCAAGGCGATGCAACGCAGATGGAGCGATGCTGCTGCAATGTCTGCGGTAGAATTGGTCGCTGAGCAGCGACCCCCGTGTTCGACAAGCTTCGGCACGGCTGGAGAGCTGGAGCCGACCTCGGGGAAGTGGGGCTGTCCATCTGAGTCGTCTGCCAACGGCTAACCATTTGATCCAGGCGCGGGAGGCTTGAAGCAAAAGGCAACAGGACCAGATCACGAGCGAGCTTTGTATCACAGCGTCCGACGTCGCCATTGTGTCTCAACGCTCCCCGACGTCTCTGATCGACGTGCCGGTGCTTGTCGGATGCCATTGCACTTCTGCGACGCGCTGGCCCAGCCGGGCTGGGGGCTGGCGGCTCAACGCCATGTTGGCTGAGGTCGGAGGCGACTGCACTTCGTTAGTAGAAATAAAATGGCATTAAATCATCATTAGTAAGTCGCAAGGCCAGCGACCACAGCACTGTCGCTCACTCATGCGGCTGTGGACTTTCGCCGATGCTTCAGTGGCGGCTCGCTCTTCTCAACATCGGCCTTCCCATCCTCTTCCACTGAGGCCTCCACCTCCTTCGCCGTCACTGCCACGCTCTTCCTCTTCAAGCTCTTGCGGGCCTCTGCCGTTGCAGCGCGCTTGTCGATCTCGAACTCGAAGCCCACGGGCGTCGTGAGCTTCGGACGGCGAACAGCCGGGACGCCGACGCCCCCACTGGCCGACAAGGCTCTGGAGAACTGATCGCTCCTCCCCGGTGCAGCTCCGTGCGTCGTGGCGTCGTGGTACTTCTGCGTTTTGCGCTTCTGGGCCTGCACGCGCTTGCGGATGGCCGCGATCTCCAGCAGCTCGCGGGACGTCCTGGTCAACATGTCGGCGCGCGCACGGGGGGTGGCCTTCTTGAGCTTGTGGAACTTGGGGGACTTGGGGATCGTCAGGCGCCCGTTCTCCTTGGCCACGCGAGCCAGCCGACGCCTCTTGCGCGCCACCTCGCGCGCAGCCGCCAGCTCCTTGTCCTTGCCAGTCAGAACCTTCTCCCTTGAGGCAGCCAGCGACGCTTTGGTGGGCCTCAGCAGGCGGTCCGAGGAGGAGATAGGTCGCACTCGGGGCACGGGCGGGGGCACGCCGCGGTACAGCGCGTCCGGGTCTTCGTCGAACGTCGCGGGCGCCATGCTCACTGCGACCTTGGTATCCTGGATAGTGTGGACTCGACTCGATGCTTTTCTTGAACTGCTTACGCGGCGGGAGAACGTGGCATACAAACTCCAAGTCACAATTCAAAATTCAAATATTGATCAATATTGACCAATCGTATCAATAAATTGCATTTCTACCAATGAAAAGATAACCTATTTTCGTTGAAGTGCATGTTGTTGTGGTCCCGGATCACCAGACGTAGGGATGCCCCCGACACGATCCCGACGCCATTCTGTCGCCCAACAGGGTAACAGTGATGATCTTAGCGCAGTTCAGGCGCTGCATGTGTCTGTTCCTCTGAAACCGCAGCACACGCCGACTGCGTTGCCCCCGCGACTGACTCAAGCGGTCAAAGATGAGTTCGCCAACCGCTACCTGCAGCAGATCGGTGCCAACTCCACTCCGGAGAACATTGTCATGGTGTTGCAGCACTTACCACTGGAGAAGTGCGCGGTTTCGGCAGCCTGGAAATCGCGCGGGTCCCTGGCTGACGTGTTGGCCATCGACCTGAATCCCAAGTCCCTCACGCAGGCAGGAGAAGCTCCAGTCAAAGGAGTTGGTGGCAACCGAGCTGAGGCGGCCAAGACTGAAACGGAACCAGCATCAGCACCAGCTCCAGCTGCTGAGCTGTTCTCACCGAGACGACAGCTTCGGGGTCAGCAGACTCGTCATGCCTTCCAGATTGGCACGGTCTCTTTCACTTTTGACGACATGAAGCGAAAGTTCCTGCTACCTTTCAAGCTGGCCACTCCCCCACCTGAGCCCGATGTGTTGAAGCTATACGGGACTCATGCTGCAGTGGATGCATTGTCGCAGAACCAAGTAGATCAGGCTGGTGCTGCGCCTAGCTCACCGAATTCTGTTCGCAAATGGAAAGCTCAACGACGACTCAAATCTGTCGACGAACGGTGCATACCGCCAAGCTCTAGCGACGACACTGTGGCTGAAATGCACAACGAGTTCTTCCTAACCCTGCCTCTGGCAACACTGGGGCTGCCCGAGGGTGATGAAGATACACGCGCAGTGCTTTACGAAGCTTTGGTTAGTCCTGCCATGGTAGAACTCGTCCAGAGCACCGTGAGATATCTCTATCTGACGGTGATACACCCGTCCACCACTGCCAAAGGGGGCAAACGTAGCAACTATGAGCAAGACGCCCTATTCGTCTCCATTGCACAACGGTTTGCGATTCTGCGAGCGAAGATGGATCGCAAGCAGCGCTCAACCGCACGACCTCAACTCGCGGTGCTCATTCCATTGCTGCTGCTTGCGCTTCGCGTTGACGTTGAGACTCTTGTACGACTGCAGTACCCCATGAGCTTCGCATGTGTCGCTGAGGAGATGGCTCGAATTCTGCAAGTGATGGACGAGCGCATCTCACAGCTCCTGGACCCTGATGCGAACTGGAGTCGTCTAGCGGCACTGGAGACAACCCACGAGGCAGGCCAGGCTCGAGCGTCGTCTAGCTTTCAGCGAGCTCGTCGTCACCGACGCCTTCGAGACCAGTTCTTCCAGACCAGCGCCGTACTCCACGGTCTCTTCCCAGACCCCTCATCCGGCAAGTCACGCCGCGTAATGACTCTCCGTGGCGGTGCTGGGATCAGCAACTACCCCGAGCTCTCCAGCGATCCGCCCGAAGCATTATTGTCGACGCTGTCGAACAAGCAGGACGAGCGTCGTCTTCCAGGCAACAACAGCCACAACAGCAAAGATGCAGCGATATCCGTCTCGGTCGCCTCCAAACTCTCCCTTCTCCGGAGTCTTCGCCGCTCGCAGCCAACCTAGTCAAAAACAACCAAACTGCCGAGCGCTACTAAATCATAGCAAAAGGGGAACATCATATTCTTTCTCAAAAAGCTTGGGAAGAGAGAAGAGAGAGAAGAGTAAAGGCAACTATACAACTGATATCAGCTCCAAAAGAATCCGTGAGTTCAACCCACCGACGACACCGAAGGAAGCCGCGTCAGATCCTGCTCGCTGTCCTTTACTTGGTCAGCTGCTCCCAGAGCTTCTCCACGTCTCCGCGCGAGTTGGCGACGGCGCTGCGGCCGTCCATGGTGATGACCTTGCCCTCGCCGTCCACGAAGACCAGCATGGGGATGCCCGTGACGCCGAACTTGGTGCTCATGGCCTGGTTGGCGGCGCGCTCCTCGAAGGGCAGCGCCAGGAACGGCATCTCGCCGAAGTACTCGCTGTACTGGGCCGGGTCGCGGTCCGACGAGATGAAGATGAGCTCGAACTCCGGGTGCTCCTCGATCATGTCGTCGTACACGGCGCTCAGGAAGGGCGTGAACTGGCGGCACGGCGGGCACCAGTGCGCGCTGAAGTAGAAGCCCACGACCTTCTTGCCGGCCAGCTTGTAGTCCGTGTCCTGCAGGCCGTCCTTCGTCTGGAGCTTGGCGCCGAGCTGTTCCGACCACTTCATACTGGTTGTGTCTTGTCTGTTGGCTTGGTAGCGAGAGATAGAGTGAGCGAAGGAGAAGAAAAGATGAGGATATCCTGGAAGACTGTACTGTGACGGACACAATAGGGTGAGAGCAGCTACGTGGAGGGGCGCTGCTCGCCCACTGGTCGGGTGTTCCGTAATCAAAGCTTGGGTAGGAAAAGTCAGCCCGGAGGCAGTACCGTGATGAACATGTATACGAAAAAGCAGTCGCGAAGGGGCCTAGAGTAGAGTCACGACGGAGACCGTGAAGATGAACAAGTTGACGGGGGTCAACAGCACCTTTAATTAAGGTTCCACCAAGGAGCAGAAGTTCCCGATGGATTTGTCAACACCAACCGGTTCGTCTTCCTCTCGCTCAAGGACCTTGCGATGAAGGAGCTGCGAAAAAAATGCCGTCCCATTGTCCAGAAGAATACGATTGAGATCTAACTCAGCAGAGGCCTTTCAGCTGAAGAAATACCTGACGATGAATCACGAGAAGCTGTATACGAAAAATAGCTGTGCATTCGTCGTTATGGCCATCAAGTGTCCGCTTGCCCGTGTTTCTAACGTGGAGGCGCAACCAGACCAACACTAAACTGTACTAGCGCTCTCCCCAAACGGGCTGCATCCCCCTCTGAACTTGAACGTTGAACGCACGTCTGTCTGCCTCTGCATCTATTCCTCCTTGGCTGCCTCCTGCTCGAGCTGCTTCTTGGCGTTCTCGCGCACCAGCTTCTTGGTGAGGAAGCGGTTCAGCGGCTTCTTGGACGGGTCGAACTCGCGCAGCACCACCGTCAGGTGCGTGTACGGGTGGTGCATGATACCCGAGCGTCCTGCACTCGACAAATGCAGCCAAAAGTTAGCAAGTCAACGCTTCTCACCGCAATAGAAGCAATAATAAACAATAACGCTTCAGCCGTGCGCACCTCGGCCCATGATCCGCAGACGCTTGAGGTAGGTGCCCTTGTTCACGAAGCACTCGGCCACCATGAGGTTCTCCGGCTCAATCTGGTACTTGATGTCGGCCAGGTTGATGGCGTTCTGCACCGTCTTCTGGAAGATCTCGGCCTTGCGCTTGGGCGAGAACTTCATCTGCAGGATGGCCTCGTTGGCCGGCAGGCCGCGGATCTGCTGCGCCAGGTACGTGAGCTTGCGGGGGCTGGCGCGGATGGCGCGCTTCACGGTCTTGACGGTGCGCGGCTCGGCGGGCGACGTCGAGCTCAGGAACGCGGCCGTGTCGTCGTCCGCGGCCGTCTCGCCCTCCACGGCGGTCGTGGACAGCGTTGCCCGGGCCACGCGCCCCATGAAGGCGCTGCCGGCGGCCGGGCGGAGCGTCAGAGCGCCCATCTGCGAGCGCAGCGAGGCCAGCATCTTGTCCCGTCGGTGAGTTGCGGAGGGTTATTGAGCAAAGACCTCTTTGCTGCCACACATCGACCCGAATCTGCGAAACTCGATAATTGCATGGCGGTAAATAGGGTCTGTGAAAGCTGATAGTTGTTATTACATTAGAGAGGTTTACAGATGGCTACACTAAGTTGAAGTGTTCCTGTGCTGTGCTGTGTGCAGCTTATTGAAATCGGAAATGAAGCTCTACAAAAGGCTCTCTAACTAATAGGCTGAGCGTCACGCTCGCAGCGTAGACCCACCCTCCATATACGACGTGATATGTGACTTGAGTTTTCGTCCTGTGTGGTGGGGGGCCCTCCTTCTCATCTGCCTTTATCGGTCTGCTTCCACGTCACCACATGCAAAATACCCTGGTTGGGGCGCTCACGCAAACGGCGACGTGGTGCGCGTCTTCTTGTCGGAAATCCAGATGCGCAGCTTCTCTAAATTCTCGCGCGGTGCCTCTGTGCCGTCCTCGTCGCTGCTACCGTAGGCTCCGGCGCTCATTCGATCTACGCTCGCACGAGCGGCAGCGTTAATCTGGTCGATGTCGTCCGGCAGCCACTCGATGTTCACTTCGATGTCGGTTCGGTTCGACACCAGAGGCATTAGATATGATACGAATCGCTGGCGGGCTGCGGGGGGAAGGGCCGGGATCTCGATGCCGCGCACTGTGATCTTGGCTGCAGCCGTCCCCACCACAATATTCGCAATCCACTCGCCCAGGTACTCGAACTTGTCCGGTCGCCCCTTGCAGATATCGCGGCGCAGTGATAGCAGGAACTCGGGCGTGAAATGCTTGCACTTCTTCTGTAGCTTATACTGCACGATGGCCTCGCTGAGCGCCTGCATCTGCTCCGTGTTTTCCATGCCGTGAGTACCCAAGTCGTAGCACTCCTTGCACAAATTGTAGTTTGAGCACACGCTACAAGTCCAAAGCGAGCCAACGATGGGATCCATACCGCATCCATCGCAAAACGAGTTCTGATGCACAATAGTTTTCTTGCGCTTCCACTTGGAGCCGATGATCGATGCGCCCGTACTCATAGCCGCTCCCAGACGACCCATCAGCGGCTTCGAAGGCGAGTGTTTCTTGTCAGGCAGACTTTTGGACTGCGAACTGTCCTTGTCATGTACGTCCCGTTGGAACACGAACGTTCGGGGGAGAGTGGATTTCTGGATGATGTCGAGTACTTGCTCCTTCGTCATGTGGGCCTCGATGTGCTGCCCGTTCACACTGATCAAATAGTCGCCCACGACCACGCCGGCGCGGTGCGCAGGGCTGTCCTTATCCACACTCTCGACCTCGACCAACAGCTCGTTCTCCAGAGACACCACGACGTTCGTGTTGAAGCCCAGCACCGGCTCCGTAAATGTCAGGGTGTATGTGTTAAGCGGGTTCTCCGTGTAGTCGGCTTCGGATTGCGAACGCAGTCCGTTCTTCATGTCTGGCGCGTGGATAGCACTCGCGCTGGACGAATTCCGGCCGGAAGACTCCCCACTGCTCGTCACGCTCCCGGAGCTAGGTGGGACCACCGACGCCTCGCTCACAAAGCGAGGAGGCTTGTCATGAAGCGCAACGCGGCGCAAGCTGTGCAGTGCACGAACTGACGATGGATCGGAGGCCACACTCGGACCCAAGAAGCGATGTGACGCGAACTCATCCTGCTCGCCGAAGTCCGCAGCGCCACCATAGCCCAGAGGCGTCCCGAGATCAGCCCCTTCCTCGTCGTCGTCCTCTCCAGCTGCTTCACCTTCGTCGCTATCACTCGCTTCATCGTCGATGTCGTGGTGCACCAGATCCAGCGGGGCCGGGCGCTTGGGCGACGGGATCACCAGCTCCACCTCGTGCGCCTGAACGTCCACGTCATGGCCCTGTAGCTCCACCTTGTCAGCAGCTACAGAACTAGCAGCAGAAGGCGACGACGGCGACGGCTGCGCTTCCTGCGCAGGTTCCTGTTCCAGCTTGTGGTTCTGTTGCACAACCTCCTCCTCCTCCGCTTCCTGCACTACCAGCTCGACGCCAGCAGTGTCGTGGTGCTCGTCGAACGTCTGCTCTGGGGGTGCTTCACCCACGGGCGTCGTGGGTTCGTCGTGCTCCTCTACAGGCGTCGAGGGCTCTGCATACGCCTCAACGGGCGTCGTCGGCTCCTCCACGGGCGTCGACGGGCCCTGCACCAGCGTCACGTCCAGCTGCGGCTGCCTCTGGGGCTCCTCCTCGTCGTCGTCGCTGTCTGTGCGCGCTCGGTCCGACTCGGCGCCGTCTTCGTGGGGCTTGTGCAGCTCCAGCGGCGCCGCCACGGGGCTCTTCTCCGTCTCCACCTCGGCCACGTCGCTCTCCACGGGCGTGGCGGGGCTCATCGCAGCGGCTGCGGGCTCGCCCAGAGCGCGGGGCGACTCCGCGTGGGGCTTGACGGCCGGCGCCTCCATGTCTTCGGGGTGTAACGTATTGTGGAGAACGCCTGCACTGCGTTCAGTATTTTATCGGCGTCGTCCCTTTGCTGAAAATGCGCGCTATAGTGAAACCAAGTGCCGCATTTTCACGTTAGCCGAAAAATTCAGGATAAAACCGTCGTTTTCGCTTGGGCTGTACTGTATTACCGTACCGCATGGCGGAGGGGAAGCACCGAATTGGTGCCACCGCATGGGCGCCCCCGCGGCACCGACTCCGTATGGCACATGCATGCGTGCTCGGCGACATTTATGCTTGTTGTTGTCTCGAAACCAAGTGTCGAGGAGTCAAGGCATGCAATGTGATAACGTCCTCCCTTCTGGACGCTCGCCACGAACGAGCTGCGCTCTGGGTCAGTCCAATGACAGCTGAAGACACAATGGCGACCAACCAACTCAGCACCATTTTCCAGTGAAGGAAGTCTGTTGTCCTTGTGAACCGACTACATGTTCCAGAGCAGCTTCAACAAATTCGTGCCCAAAACTTTTTTACGGAAAAATCTGGTCACTTTCAACACTTTTGATTCCTTGTTTACCTCTCATATGAACGGCGATTCCATGAACACTTACGTGTTTCTTTCTTTGGCGTTGTCATCCTCACGCTTGTGGGAAGATCAGCCCTTTGTCTGCTGCTGCATCAAGGCGCAGAACTCTTCGTAGTCGATTTTGCCGTCCTCATTCTTGTCAGCAGCTTGCAGGATCTTGTAGATTTCGTCACGGCTGATGTGCTTGTTGCCCAGCACATGAAGAATGTGCTCAAGTTCGCTGCTCGAAATAAACCCATCACGGTTCACGTCGAAAGCCTGGGGGAGACATATTGGGCGCAAGCTTAGCTCATTTGAGTAAAATGAAAACAAAACATTTGGCAGATACGTACGTCGAAAGCAGCTTTGAGATCTCCGGGCGTCAGATCGCCTCTGCAGAAAACAAGATCATCAGAAATGCCCTGTCATAAAGACGCTGACGCCTTGGCCACGTACCGGCGGAAGAGCCTCTGATTCATCATGCACACAAACTCAGTGAACGATATCTTGCCGTCGCCGTCAGTGTCTGCTTGACGCATAATGCTGTCGATCTCCGAGCTGGTTCAATGAAAAACAGGTTAGTCGACGTTTAGACTGCAAACAATAGCAAACGAATACGCACCCCGAGAGTTGTTGACCAAGAGCTAATAGCATGCCTCGAAGCTCGTCTCGATCGATACAGCCGGATTCGTCTTTGTCGAACAGAGCGAACGTCTCTTTGAACATGTCCATATTAACAGTCGACGTGCGGTGCGATACTAGGCGCTTTTCGTTTGCATCGGGGCTGTCACCCAGTTTCGCGTGCTGTACGCCCATGATGACTGCCAAAATATTGGCACGAAGTTGTTGGAGACGCTGATACGATTGTAATCGCTGGGTATGTCCACTGTCAAGAGGGTCCTCAGGCGATGTGATACCACTGAGCCACGGGTGTTGCAGCGCTTGTTTCGCTGTCAATCGTTTGGACGGATCCGAGTCTAGCAACCGCGTTAAGAAATCCTTGGCATCTGCAGAAAGACTTCTGAACCACTTGTTCTCCACTGCATGTGATGAATTAGTTACTCATAAAGCGTGAGCGTTTAGCCACATACACACAAAGATGTGAAGGAACGTACCATCGTAGGCTCCTTTTGCAATCTCTTTCACGATTTCGGCGTCCGACTTGTCACCTCTCGGATCAAACGGATGTACTCCCGTTAACGTGATGTAGGCCTAGCACAGTATTGCGATCAGTCAAGGAAACGACACATCTTTTTTACCTCAGTTCGTACCAGCACACCAAATGCCCACATGTCGACACCAAAGTCTTGCGGATGGCTCGTGATGATTTCAGGAGCCCAGTACGCGCTACATATGCACAGATTTAGTATCCCACAAAACTGTAGCTTGCATATCGGCTAGCATACTTACACAGTTCCGTTTGGAAACTTCTCGATTACTTGCTCTCCCTGGCGAAGACGACGACTTAATCCAAAGTCCTGTCATTCAAAGGGAATGTCATTAATAAAACAAAGTTTTTCTGGAGCAATGACGCATTCTTACCGCTACTTTGATGTTTGCATCGGCGGATCGGTTTGAGAGCAAAACATTTTCAGGTTTCATGTCGCGGTGGCTAACACAAGCGATAAGCGTTTATTGAAGTCGAGAAAAAAATGTTCATCTAATGTAAGAAAACTCACCAGACACCGCGAGAATGCACGTAGTCGAGCCCCCGACAGACATCATGAAGTAGGCGAGCGGCATCCTTCTCTGATACTGACCCCTGGTGTCAAAATATGACATTAGCAACTGCATCAACCGTATCTGCAGCAAAAGCAAAAGCACCAACCATATCAACAATGTAGTCGAAAAGCTCGCCTCCTTCAACCAAGTCCGTCAGCATAATCGTCTCATCTTTAAGATAGAGCACATCATGCAGCGACACGATATTTCGATGTGTACCAAGGTGCTTCAGGATATCAATCTACTGGCACCAGCCAGCAGTCCCAACTCAGGATCATTGACCACCACCAGCAAACAAACAGCAAATAGCAACGTACCTCTGCCTGAATTGTCTCCAACGACGAACTCTTCGGATCGAAAATCTTCGCTGCCAGTTTCTACCAAAGCCAAACCCGCAATAAACTTATCAGCTACTGAATCCCCAAAAGCCCCCACCTCATAAGTTTACCTGCTCTGTCTGGATGTCAATGGCAAGCCGAACAACCGAAAACCCTTGACATCATCAGCCAGATGATAGAAATTACTATTTCAACACTCCTCCAACCCCCTCAACCACTTCTCCCCACCTCCTCGTCCCAGCTCCTTCAACAATGCGTAGTGTCCGCGCTGCTCCACCTTGGGGCTCGTCCACCAGGATTCTCCGCTCGACCCGCACTCGACGTCGCTGCTGTGCGTATCCCGATACATCAGCGCCGCGATGCCCAGCGCCGTCGCAGTCGTCACGAAGCCGACCCAGGCCGTCCCATTGCCGTACGCAGCCTCCTTGGGCTTGACAACAGGCAGATGCTCGACTGCCGATGTGGGCGCCACCTTGGAGCGCACCGGGGCGCGCGTAAGGCGCGTGATCAGCCGCATCCGCATGTCTTCGTTGGGTGCAGAACACAACTGCAGCAGATAAGCATTGAAGTGGTACAGTGCTGGCCAAAAGAATAAGTAGGTCGCTTTTCGTGATTTTCTCGACCAATAAGAATGATTAAACCCTAAAAATGCACCAATCAGTCCCTCTAAACGTGTGCAATAGTGCAGTTTTTTTTCGCACTCAAATCCATGAAGTGGGTGATCCGCAGCGGGAGGCCCAAGGGGGGTGGTCAAAAGTATAAGTAGGGCGGTGTTATACTGGGAGGACAGCTTTAGCTGGCTGAACAGCCTAACCAATTTTATTTCAGCGGTCGGGAGCCCCCCCCCAACTTTAATTGGCAAATGTCGCCTGAGTCCATAGTCCACAGACAAGGCCGTGCTCTGCCCGGAACAGCTCTGGATTTTACGTCGCTCTTGGGCATATAAGTTAGTGTACTGCGGTATCTTGTTTCTACGTGGCAATGGCATAAAGGAGTAGAGATATGATATTGTCTGAGGGTAACCACTATTAGTTGAATTAACGGATTTATACGAATAGTGGCCGTTCTTGAATTCACTAGAGGTTTGGTCTGGTCGTGCATTTTTGAAGTACTTCAGTTCTGACATTTTTAAGAGCATCTCCAGCGGTTGGTCTCAAACAGGTTTTATCCTAAAAGTAACGCTGTTAAGACTTGGCCAAGGCTTAGGGCTTCCACCAGAAGGTCCTATTGCAGGTTTTAACTTCACCGGGACCTCTAGATTGGCTTTCGAGTCTTAAAATAAGACCACAATCTTAATGCCACCCATACAAAACTGAAGAGTCGCCGTATCTAAAAGATTGCATCGAGACTGAATACAATTTTCACATGCGGGAATGGACTTATAAGACTCGCTTTAGAACTCACCGCTGGAAGTAAGTCGGTCTGCGCGGGTCTCAACTGTAAAATTGTGGTCTCAAAGACCCTGTTACGTCTTAGGATAAGACCCACCGCAGGAGATACTCTAAGTGCAATTTAAAATAATAGGACGAAGGAAAACATAGTCTCTCCCTTTAGCCACAAGCGAAACGACTAATTATTCACAGAGCTAGAGGTGTTGATTACCGGACGTACTGCTGCGGTACTAGGGCTTCAGGTAGGCCAGGATATGTAAATGACCGCATTTTGTTTTTCAGAAAGCCGTTGCACATACATAGCTTATTTAACTACCTGACAGTAGCCGAAAAAAAGCTAAAATATCACTCAAACCAACGCTTACTGATTCTCTTATCCACCATGTCATCGTCCATAATAAAATACAACCTGCTCAACATGAATTCAATCAACTGGGCACCGTTAATGGTGATCATGCAGTAAGGAGATCGCTAACTGAGTAAGATGGAATCTGTACTTCCAGCCGACCGATCAAGTGCACGAATTAAGACCGTTTGATACTGAATAGGAAGGTACAAAAATTCATTTGGTTATACTTCGGTAGTGTGACCCGTACGACCCAAGGGCATCTCCTGAGCCTGCTTCGCAGCCGCAGCATCTGCCCAGAAATTGCACCGCTATTAGTAAGAAGAAACTGATTTACAACATAACACACGGGAAGTTGGGGATTGTAGCAAGCTAGCCGACCCCGACGATCTTAACGATGTCGATGTCGATGTCGTCTACGTAGATGGAGCCGCGATTCTCGACGATTCCAGTCGAGTTGAACGGGGTACCGAGCTCCATCAACTTACTGGAGCGCGTTCTCGAGAGACGGCATCACCTCACGGCTCCGGAGCTGAAGCTGCCTGCGCACGAGGCCTGAGTCGCATAACCTCTGGGACTTCACTAATGATGCCGGACATAATGGCTAATCATGTAGCTGACAGTGGCCGATGCTTTCGTCGCAATGCCTAACTAATAAGTCGTCACCGTCGAAGGCGGGATCCCGTCGGCATGTTGTTGGAGCTAAACAAAAATCCGATAGATGTCGCTTGAGTGGCAGATAAACTATCTATCACAGGTATATATATGTGGTGGAGCAAGAAGAGAATTTTCCGAAGTCTGAAGCCATCCACCAAGATCAAGTGTGATCTCCCCCGAGAGTGACACCGACCTCCAGAAGAGTGACCCCCGTCGAAGATGATCTAGACCAGGGGATATCTGCTTGAGAAGGGGTGACGTCGATGCCGGGAAAGGAATGATGATCTTGTATCCGGATTACGTCAACGTCCAGCAGAGAGTCGGTGGCGCACCACGAAGGCCGAGGGAACCAGCGAGCATGCGGTTGGACCACAGGAGCGTGAGAGAACGATGGGACAAGGACTTAGGCAAGGTTAACATTTAAACAGAGTTGATTTTACCCCTTCTTCACAAGTGGTCTTCGCCTTCGCAGTACCGGGCACGGGATATACTTTGGCCCACCCGACGCTACGCAAGTCGACTTACGCCCCAAGATCAAGGAACCTCGGACGCCAGGATAGCTTGGCCCAGCGTCCGTCAACCCTCACTTCGACCCACCGCTAGAGGAAGCGGCAAGCAAGGAAAGGCAAGGAAGGTCACACACCGACCACAAGGCAACCCCAGGCCAAGATCACACCTGGCCGGCGAGTGTCGATCTAGACAACCCCAGATCGAAACAGCCACAACTACTCCGGCACAGCGTGAAGCGTATCCGCGTTGCTGCCACAAGTTCCCGCTGTCCACCAGACAGTCCAAGACTCAACCCCAAGCACGTCTTCTCGAGATCACCCGAAGAGCGATCCAGCCCACCGACGGGTACACAAGGTGAGGATCAGCAACCTTACGGAAGATCGGAGTACTCCCTCCGTTAGTCGGCAGTTCGGGCGCCGTGTGCAAGAGGACCCCCGCGATCTGCAAATTTCGCGGATCCACTTCGCCACAATGGTGCGCGTGCCCGGATCTTTGAGTGACTCGGGATTTCACCGTGAGTCCCTACAAGAGGATGTGCAAGCCGAGTTTGGACAAGGGAATGAAGCGTCGACAGAGATCGGATCGCCATCGACGCCGCTAAAACATAATCGATCCGCGGATCGGCAGAGCCTAGGGAGGAGCTCTACCAACGGAACAGAGGAAGGTTCGGCGACGGACCTAGAAGAAAAACCTCAACCTCCTCCCCAGGTCCCCTCGGGGACCCCCGCAGGGCACGATGCGAATTATGAATGAAGGACGAAAGTCCACGGGCGCAAGCCGGAACCAAACCACCCAACGCTAGATCGACCAAGAAGAAGCCAGCAAGATCAAAGTCGTCGCGGAAGAAGATGAAGGCTCCAGACTCCGATGCTGACGATGGAGCCGATTTCACGACCGTGGTTGAGGACCAACTGGCTGTAACGTACCACAAGAAGGAGCTGAACGCTTTCCTGCTTCAGGACGACGTGATGAAGCTCCTCCGGCCAAAGCTCCTCGGCGATCTTGCGGGACCGGTGTCACAGCCGACCCCTGGATCGGACAAGTTGGATGCCGTACAGACCCTGCTACGGCTCTTCAAAGAAGTTGGCATCATCGCAGGAGCGCTGGATGCGGAAAGCCTGTTCAATCTGAAGCTCAACACGATCCAGAACTCGACAGAGAGGCCGTTCCTGTTACTGAAGCCGTTGGTCGGTGAGTCGAGTCGATCCTTGAAAGAAACATCAAGATCGCCTCAGACGCTATCGAGATCGACACCCGCCAGATCGACGCCTGCGCCCAACCCGGGTGACCAAACTCCGACGTCATCTCCGTACGTGTCTGCAACGGAAGACGTGGACTCCGATAGTGTCGATGATCCGCCGCCACGTATGACGCTTGGTCCTTCTGGTGCCGCCATGCTACGAAGTCGAGCTGAGCGTGCTGGGGGCGAGGCGGCGGTACCAAGGCGAGAGCCGAAGGCCACAGCAACCTTGACGCGGCACTCACCGGAAAAACTCGAGTCATTCTTCTAAGCAGCCATGGAACGTTTTCTGAAGGAGCAGCAGCTACCTGCTATCGCGTTGAAGTCGCGACCGACCGGTGATCAAGATGTGGAGATGGAGTCGGTTGGATCACCAAACCGATACTCTACGTCATGGGAGTTCGATCCTGACGACCTCGATCTTGGTCGACCCGACCGCACAGCGATCGCAGCATCAGCTACGGTTTCGCCTGGAGGAATTGGGTCTGCACCACGGATTTGTGTTTCTGCAATGTCAGCATTGCAAGCGGCTGCAGTGCGCCGCACATGCTGCGCACCAGGCACTCTCTGAATACTTTCCCCACTCAATACGATAGTGGCATCAAAATTCATATCAGCAGGGTTCTGCAGTAGCTTTAACTCTCTCTCTCCCTCTCTCTCTCTCTCTCTCTCTATATATATATATATAGCTAGCCTAACGCAACAGTTTGTGGGTGGTTTCCAAATTTTACTCCGACCCAGAGCATTTAATGGCCACTTTGTTAAGTTTCAACACCAAAATGAGACACTGGTCGTCCTCAGTATCTTCTTGACGTAATTCAAGAACTCGACTTAGTCGACTGTCAGCAAAACGGTTTATTTAGCAACTATTCATTCTTGCCGACAACGTATATTGCCACTATCATGTTCATCAATTGATTTCTGAAGCCTTATTAACAGAAATGGCTCCAACTCGAGCTCGCATGCAAAACTAACTTGCGATTTGAACATGTTTCGCGGAGATCGAGCCATTATTGCTGGTAAATACCAGTTTCAGAGGTCAACTTTTGACTAATTCGACCTGTGTACTCCCCCGCAGCGTTCGCTCCGGATCGCCTATGCGTGGCTCCGGCAAAAAACTTGTAACTTTCCAGAACCGGGTACCAAAGTGGGTCCCACCGTTTTATATCGTATGTTGTCACCTACTATATTTACCCAATATGGGTACCTGTCGATAACTGCTAAGATTTATGCCAACCGAGCTAACTATTTACCAGACGTTGAAATGAATTGGTTAAAATTTACGAAAAGCTGTAATCAAAGAACTTGAGGTCACCAATACTGGTAGCTTCTGACTGGTGAAACCAACACCACTGCTAGTCTTTCTTAAGCTGCTGAAGGGTGCGGCCCCAAAGCATCAATTGCAGTGTACTTAATCAAGCTTACAGTTAGCTGAAGATGCCCAAACCTGCCTGCCTGTCGCCATCCGTGAAATGTCTGCGGCAGTTGGCGCCCCTCAACACACAAAATCCTGAATAGTCTGCTCACTCATTGCCAGCAGGCGATCTTCTTCATCAAGGGCATCTTGGGGAGGTTTCGACCAATCCGCAATTTCTTGTGTGAATGTTTTCATGGCAAGCAGTGCATGCCGAGAAGTCACACGTGATACCAGCAGGTAATTCTGCTGAGGCTTGTTTGCAAACGAAACGCTAGATTTCCAATCCAGCACAACCAGCGCGTTTAACGTCTCACCTTGAACTTTGTACGCCGTGGATGCCACCGAGCACATGAACGGAAACTGCTGGAGTTTTACTTCTAAACTTGGTGTGCATTGGGCCAACTTTATTTTGCACTTGGAGTATGCCTCTGTTGTATAGAAAAGCGGAAAAATGTCCGGGTCCATCCTTTCACTAATTGGCACTGCACCGGCACCACGTGCTATCTGAACAAATGCCAATACCGGTGGTTGGCTTGGTAGCGATACCAACATTCCAGTTGTTTCATCTCGGATAGTGCGGAACCTAGTGGACGCATCGAACATCACATCCACTAGGACACCCAATGTTCCGTTTGCAACACCCTTAGAAGTCCGCACGTTTTGGGTGATTTGAATCGGCATGCCAGGTATTAAATCCATAAACGGAGCGAGTCGCCCAAATTTGGAATCTGGCAGATCCATCACCATGTCAACTTCCTGTCGACTAAGAAACTGTAGTGCACCCTTGAAATTGGCGACGACCCGAAAAGGATAATTATCTCCTCTCAGTTTGGCTGCTGCTCTCACAACAAGTTGATCGCTTGGCGTGTAGTATTTTCTGGACTTGCAAAAATGCACTCCTGTCCCGTAACTTCTCTGATATTTAGATCAGAGAACTCATTCGGAGTTTCTGGGACAACGCGGCTGTTAATGATCTCAATAAACGCTTTCGTCCATACTCCACGTCTTGCAGCTCTGCATCCTTCCCCCCATTCAGGATCAGAGCGAGACCGGACCGATTCCTAAAAAAATAGCAACTGTTCGAAAGGTTTTTCAGAGTTCGAAATCTGTGATATTTACCGGCGTGCCCTTTGCTGCCTTTGTTGGGTCGGTGTATATAGGCTCAGCACCAATCGGAGGAAGTTGGAGAAAATCACCCGTTAATAAAATGTTAACACCCCCGAAGGGAACATTCATCATTTTTTTGCTTCCGTAAGAGTCGATCCAATTTTGCCAGCTCCGACTTTTTCATCATAGAGACTTCGTCCACAATAATAATGTCCAAGTCCTCCAAATCCACTGAGGACAAGCCTCTCTCCAAGACTAGAAGAAAACTAGCAAGTGTTCTTCCTCCAATAATCGTCGTGGCTTATCCAGTGAGCGCAGTCTTTATAATACTGGTGCGGCGACCCCAGCTACAGCACAGAGCTTCTACTGCTTCTATCACCCGACTCTTCCCCGTGCCTCCTTCACCCCCCAGAAACATTCGTAGCTGCTGATCATGGAGCATTCGAGGTGATGCAATCTCAGCACTCTCCTTTATTTTCCATCTTTGTAACAGAGCTTTGCCAACTTTGCAAAACGCTACGTGTTGCTTTTCATTAAGCGTGTAAGCTTGTGATATGTGCTTCAGAGAAGCATACGGCGGGATGTCTCCTTGCGGAATGCTTGCATCCGCTATCGGTTCCCACGAGCGATAATCAACCGAGAGTACTTCAGAGATTAACTCTACCACTTCCGTATTCCTCTCAACAGTTCTTTGGGCCCCCGAATGTAGCATTGAGTCGGTATCCGGAGAGGCTACCCATTGCCGCAGCCTATCCACTGCTAAACCATTTTCAGCCACCCACGAGCGTACAGTTTGCCGCTCTGGCAATTGACTATCGCGGCTATTTCCACTGGACGTATCCGTGCCACCACTACTTTGATTGGCAACAAATGCTAAGGTACCTTCAAACATGTTGTATTCCAGGCAGCGTTCAATAGTAGGCATCAGTACATCCGCTGGCTGGCTCAAAGTTGGACAGAAAGCTGGATCAAGTCCATTTGAGCCGAGAACTAACGTGTCGATACCTCCAAGATCAACATGACCAAACAGATTATCGATATCAGCTGCACACACGTTATCGCCAGCGGAAAAGGCTTCTACTCCAGTATCACCAGCAAACATACCGTCCTCTTCGGAGCTGTCACTGCCATAATCCGATTGCGAGACTTGGCCAGGCATACAGAAGTCGCCGCTCTTATCAGCAATTTCCTTTCCCACGTAATAATCGTTGAGGTTGCTCATAATCTCCTTAGCAATATCGGACCGGTTGTCTTTCCAGCCAGTGTAAGCATCTATCCAACCTTCTGGAGTATTGGGCGCACCACCAAGGATATCACTTAATTCTCGAAATGGACGGAATAAGACAAGCACAGCAGACGCATACTGCTCACGTTTGGTCGCCGACAAATCTCACTAGACCCTGTCGTTCTTGACTCCTTAAAACACGATGCTGTGTGGGACCACCAATGTTGGTTGAATCGAAGCGCCAAAGCCGAAACCATGAACAATTTGCTCTGGATAGAAATTCGTTCATCGTCTTCAGATGGCGGCATCATCGCTAACGTTCGCAAGATATCACAATTCAAGAAGGGGTCGTCGTCCAAACGAGTGTACAGCGCTTGAGCTGCGTTACTACAATGTAACCTGTCCAACTCCATCTCGCTGCGTTCTCTTAATTCACCACTGCCATTGTTGTCGGCAACGTTTGCGCTAGCAGATGATCATATGCTCTCTCTCTCTCTCATATACCACATTTTCAGCTTCTATCAAAGAGTTTCTGCACATCACTTCTTTCTTAGCCTGAGCGACAATTTCACTCGGTGTCAGTGGACGCATTTCAGGAGGCCAATCAACCGGCCAATGCTTAAGCATCACGCTTCGCAGCACATGTTGCGAACTGAACTCCGCCCCGCATCGTCCGCATTTAACAAGAGCAGGTTCACGGATGTGCGTTGGAATTCGTCTCCCCGTAAAAGGAGCTAGTACATTACCGCGTGCTTCAGCAGGTATTGGTAACGGTGCAAGGTTGGCAAACATTTCTCCACAGATTTCACAATTCCCACCACTGAGAGAAATTGGCAGTTCATTTGTCATGATACTTTCTCCATAATCTGCAACATCACTCCAAAATCGTTCTCTGTCACAGCTTACCACACTTTCGAAACTTTCTGAATTCGGCGGACACCCACTGAGCCATACCAGAAAGTGTCCGTGCAACGTGCCGCGTCCTTGGGTCTCTATCATTCCGAAGTACGCCCTCACTCCGCCAAGCAGTCCCTTGAATGGCAGTTTCTCGTGAGTGATGGGATTGATTCCAAGTACGTCTTCCACAAACGCAACCATTTGCCTCATGAAAACTCGCGCCGAAGCAGCGTCATCCCCCATCGTAGCTTTCCGTGTTTCTATTCGCGAAGGAAGCCTTGATAGCCACGAATCCCATAAACTCCCTGTACTGCTGTTTCCCGAGTAGTTAACCGTCACGAATGAATTATCGGAATTGGGGGCCAGCGTTACGAAGAAGGTTGGTTGACCATATCGACCCTGATAAGCGAATGCTTGCTGACGATAGTAACGTCGTTCCGCAGCACTCCCCCACACTGCCGAAGAACTTACTTCCACACTTTTTAGAAACCGACTGGCAAGAGCTGAACTATGTTCGTCCTTGACGACGTTGTTCATTAGCTTCTAGTGCATTCGCCAGCTCTGCCTCCGACAGCTCTTCAAATCCTGCAAATATATTTGGAGAACGGCGGCACCGCAATGAAGTCTGCAAGTACATTTTTTCCAGTGATAATCAATCGAAGGCCACAAACGAAAATGTCTCGTCCTCCGCAAACCGCCGAGAACTTAGAAGCAAATAATGCTTTATTCATTCCTCCTGCGAAACAGGGTGCTTTCGGTTGTGCCCGCTCAAACCTTGTCGGGAGCACAAGTCAACTGCCGCAACATGTGTCTATATGTGAACATTAACGCTCTATTTTCAAAACCTAACTGCCACAACTATCCATACTCAGTCACAATACGCTTGCAATCGGTCGCAGAAGCTAACTGTCACCACATCAGCTTTCTTCGGAACGCTCAACAGTTTCTTTCTCGCCTTGTCCAGCTTGCATCTCTCACCATTCTTCAAATTTCGTCGGGGACAACACATCCACCCACCGCCACTTTGCTCTCCACTTGTGGTTGTTTTCCGAGGCGCAACGATGCCCCCACAAAAAAAGCAATCCGCTCAGAAGAAGAGGAAGATATCGCCTCCTTCCCTTCCTTCGAATTCCGTTTCACCGGCCAAAAAACGTCGCCAACACCTGGATGAACTGACCGAGCGCGAGATCGGCACCAACAAAGGTAATCGCTTTCCTACCTTATACTTCGCTTTGGCTTGCGTACTTACTAACACATTGTAATTTCAGGTCTAAAAGAGTACATCGAGAGCGGCATGCCTAAAAACGAGAAGATCACTTTCTTCGCTCGTTTCCTGTGGAAGTCGCACCATGTGACGGAGGGAAAACTTCCTGGCGTCTCCATCTGTATGACGCAACCCAGGAGCAGACCCTCGAGGAGCTTATGAAGGTAATCGCCATTGCCAAGCTCCCAATTCTTCTACGTCTACTCAGCTTTTGATTTCAATGTTATTAGATCTACCACGACGTCTACGACGCCGACAAAGCAAGCGTCGATCACGACCTTGCCACCGTCAGCATCTGGGGCGATTGGGACGGAACTACCAACTGCCCCGAGCCAGGAGACATCGTGAAGTTCATTCGCTTTTCCGGACTCCAAATGTATCAGGGAGATTGCCTGCAATTCTCCACCAAGCCGGAAGACATGGAGTTCTAACATCCTCAACACACCATTCTCCATTCTCAAACTCGGACGTGCTGCGATCATTCCAAACCATTGAAGGCATCTGTTGGACCAGCGCCGTCTACGATTTTATTTTTCCTTTAGTTCAACCTAAGCTAAGCCTTACTCGAAATATACTTCACTTCAATTTCGTCACGTCGACCTGTGTACCCTCCCGGAGCAACGCTCCGGGTTGCCTATGTGGGCTTCAGTATAGCTAACTTGTAGTTTGTATTAAGACCGAGTTAACCTCTACCGTAATACAGTCAGTATTATAACCTACTCGTTTGTAGCAAACCGTTGTCATTGAGGCCGGGAACTGGTGAGCTGCTGTTCACCTGGATAGTAATATCCGCACGCACTTCCTCTGTGTATTGTGTTGTGTGACCCCGTCACACCTGGTAGCACTCGTAGTCAATCCTACGCCTACGCGGGTAGATTGATCTAAAGGGATTGACCAGTTTAGTAGAGCAAGCTGAATTTTTGACTTGGAAAAGTATTTTCTTGAGATAAAACGTGTACACAATGAAAGCCCTAGATTTGCTCTAACATGTGCACCAATCCAGACACAGTTAGCAGCTATGAAAGTGCTATTGTAGCGCGCCAAAGAAAACATACCTACAGTATGCTGTGATCAGTTTAGTAGAGCGGAATAATACTGGTCTTTGTATCGAACTACCATATGGAAACGCGTGGTAAGAGTTTTATAGCCAACCAAAGCACGTATTTCATTATTTCTGCAATATCACTGGTTCTACTAAACTGGTCAATTCTACTAAACTGGCCAAAACCCTTACCTGAATCCTCGGTGGCTCAGGTCTGTGAGCCACGATGGACCGAAGTGAGTTTCCTCACTTGACTGACTCGCAGTTCGAGTCGGTGCGGACGATGGCGGGCATCTTCGGAAGAGATGCCCTCCGGAGCTTGGCGGCGGCGACGCCAGCCGAGCAGGTCGAGCGGGTGAGCTCGTTTTACGAGTACGAACGCGGGCTCATCGCTCATGTGCAGGGAAGCCTGTTGGCTCAGATGAGCGAGCCCAAACGGGTCCAGCCTGAGCCTCTGCGGCTAGCTGTGCCTCCGTTCGAAGGGAAGGAAGGTGGGAACCTTCACTTCTGGATCCGGGAGACCGAGATCGCTATGAGCGCAGGTCTCATCTCGGCCGAGAACCTTCGAGTCGCCTTTGTGCTCTCCAATCTTGGCGGACGTGCCAGGACTTGGACGTATACGCGCGAAGCGATGTCGCCTGGATGTTTCACATCCTGGGCTCAGCTGTGTGAGCAGCTTCGAGCCGGTTTTCTCCCGTCGAACAACGAGTTCCTCCAGCGCTCGCGCTTCCTTGCGTGCAAACAAGGGGAGCGCGAGCTGTACGCGTACGTACAGGAGATGCGCACGTTGGCAGCCTCGCTGGTGGGGAACCCACGGATTAGACAAGTCTGGACAAGCTATTCCAGCACCCGTGAAGCCTTAGTAGTCAATCGTCAGAGTTTCGCGAAATGAGCGGCTTTCGCTCACCCAACAGGTAGATAGATCGCTCTCTCTTTTTATTTAAAATTCCGCAACTCATCGCTTCGTCTACATTCGAACCAGAGCTCGTTATGGGCCTGAATGTCACCTATAATAATATACAGGTATCCAAATCTGCAGTGACAATATTAACACCATCCGTTCCATGTTTGGCGAGCATGTCTAATGTGAGACGATGTTCTACGCTTTCAACATTTGAGGCGTACAGCTTACGTTGCTCGAGCTAGCAGACATGATAGCACGAGATATTGACAAGCGTTGCCCAGCGATAAAGTATGCTTCAGCGGATGCATAGCGTAGTTTATTTGTGAAATCCTTAGCAACCTTTCATAAAAGGCATAGCCCACCCCAATCCCGCCACATACGTATAGTAAGTCAAAACGATTTGCAAGCCCGATGGCCCAGTGTTTCGACCTACCCAGTTGCATCCAGCAACATTAGCGATACAATGCACACATGAGGCGAAAGGTACTCATGTTGTCATCCATATAAGCAAACCAGGATCCCGAGAAACCAAGAAACGGATATGATATCGTGCAATGTCTGAGGGCATTCATCACGTTTTGCCAGGCGTTGGAGGTTCGCCATCTGGTGATCCAATACAAAAGCCAAGATAAACTCAGATTGGACCGGTTTCATTCGAGCGGCGATTCGACAAAATCCAGCCTTTAATAGCCAATGGAATTCGAGCAGATTATAGTTCAAACGATGCCGCGTCGAATGGTGAATGATTCATGCGAAACCAAGAAGAAATGGCAATTTTGTGAGTTGAAGCGCTGTTGTCATTTCACTTGCACATCTTTTTGACTTAGTCTTAGTATACTGACCCGCACAGGTAGCTCGGGGTTTCTCCGCCCCTGTAGTAATAACTCGTATTGCTGTTTGCAGATATTTTGGGCAACGCATGCTTATTGTCTCGTCAATAATCTCGATTTTAATCCAGCCAGCTCTTAATTAAGACCTAGGTCTGATTTATATATATCGCCAGTACTGGTCTAACATGCAAGCTTGGGGCTCTGTTTTCCCGACCAAAACGCTTTTCTGCGGCTTGGAAACGCAGACATGCCATTCTAGACGGACCAAACCGAGTTTCTGGGCCTAAAAGCGGCCTTCACCAAAGCACAAAGCTAAAACAGCCCTCGCCTATCTCGTGTCCACTCATAGTAAGAGACAGGCGTGGTCTATTTTAGAGGTCTATTTTAGAGGACAAAGTATTTGCAAGCGGCAATAATTTTTAGTCTTATCTTAGACTTGTCCTTGATTTTAGTGCTAAACTTTGAGCTACAGAGTAATACATGTAGCCATTCGTAGCTTTAAATGTAATCGGTTAGGTTAACAAGTACTATATTTTGGCTAGAAAGGTACCCGGTTTCGGTAAGTTACAAAAATTTCTGCCGGCCAAGCACAGCTCTTCGACCCACACCTTCTACGAGCCCTGGGGAGAGCCGAGCCCAAAAAGTCGCGAGCTCGGGCTCCTGGGCTCTTGAGTTCAATAGGTTAAGTGAAAGGAGCCCTCCAGAACTGTGAGCCCTCGTTAAGGGCTCCCCCTCACCTGTGTTAAATATCTCGCTGATGATTGGCCGTCATTGAAGTATCTCCAGGTTCTAACCTGAAAAGGCATAGGAAAGAGGGCTTCTCCTTGAGGGGAAGGAAGGACTACCGGCGACGCTGGGGTGGCCTCGGAGCGGCTGTACACATATGAGCGGCGCGAGATCTTCTAGTGTGGCGATCTTTGAGCTCGATCTTCTAGCGTGGCGCATCGATCACGCGAAGTTGCTCGCCTTAAGTCTAGGTAAAATTGGCCAATCAGTTATTACTATGAAGAGCCCGTCATAGGTTCGAAACTAAATTTGGGGGGCCCTGGTGGGGAGCCAATGGGGAGCCCGAACCAGGGCTCCTTGATCTCGCACTTGCCATGAGGGAGCCCATTTTGTGCGACTTTTGGCTCTCGTTTTAGGGGGAGCCCACTTTTGAAGTAGACGGGCTCGGGCTCGTAGAAGGTGTGCTTCGACCTGTGAACAACTCAAATGGTTGGCTTGCGGAGATACTGGTACCATGTACCATGTACCCGGGAGAGTGACACCCGTCACTCTTCATGTAATGGGTACACTTGATTGTACCCCGTTACGACCCAGGCCGTCCCATTGCCGTACGCAGCCTCCTTGGGCTTGACAACAGGCAGATGCTCGACTGCCGATGTGGGCGCCACCTTGGAGCGCGCCGGGGCGCGCGTAAGGCGCGTGATCAGCCGCATCCGCATGGCTCCGGAGCTCTTCGTTGGGTGCAGAACACAGAGAACTGCAGCATTGAAGTGGTACATTGAGTTATAACAATGTGGGGATCTGTCGTGGCTGTTAAGAACATCATGTTGAAGTGCATGGTTAGTGTGTAACGGTTAAGTGCATCGCGTTGAAGTGGGAGAGTCATCAACCGCGTTGGTTGGTGCTGCGCGGAGTGTACGGGTTCACCTCCTCCTCGAACATGTCGGAGGCGAGCTTGGAGAGCGCGTGCATGGCTCGGAGGTCCCCCAGCGAGATTTTGTCCCTGGCCTGGGCGTCGACCGTGCACAGGCAGGCAACGACGGCCCCGTCGGGCGACTTGATGGGGAACCCGGCGAAGAAGCGCACGCCGATGTCGCGCGCAAGTCGCAGATGCCGGAGCTGCGGGTCGCGCGTGGGGTCCTTGACCACGAAGGGCTTGCCGTTGGCCACGAGTGGGGACGGACACACAATCATCTCCTCTGGCCATGGATGCGGAGCACCAGAGGACCCGACGACGCGTTGGGCTTGAGAGCTGTGGGCGCCGTTTAGCGCGACGATGTAGGCGATCGAGCAGCGCATGCGCAGCGCTGCGACCTCGCAGATCGAGTCCAAGGCTGCAGAGTCCAAGCCGTCGTCCAAGTCGAGCTCCGTCTCCAGGTTGGCGCTGGTATTCCACGGACGCGGCACCATTGACGGTCTGCTGCTCTGGTCGTACCTTACGGAAGAAGAATAGCCGCTAGTGCTGCGTCGGCGGCGCTGCGCGATGTCTTGTCGGCTGTAGAGAGAGCTGGAACGCGCACGCGGCATGTGGCTATTGCTGCTGTCTGCACCGATGCTGCCGCCACTCATCGAGATGCTGGAGAGGTGAAGTCGCGCCTCTAAGTACCGGTCCACCATTTCCTTGTCCGGATGCTGCGGGTGGAGGATCGGGACGGACGCGTTGAACGTCGACGAAGACGAAGCTGTAGAAGCTGAGCTTGGTGGTGCTGAGTCGGACGTCACTTGCTTCACCACTTGTCGTACGACCTCGAGTGCTCGTGCACGAGTCAGCGGGTCACTGGAAAACAGCGCGTCAGCGAGTTGTCGGCCTGGAGTCGAGGAGAAGGAAGTTGAGGCAGTGGCGGCGCTGCTGCTGCGATTCAGCCGCTTTGCACGTGGAGCGAATGACGTCTGCCTTGTTCTTGACCCTTGCTCCTCCACGCGGGCGGATTGAGTGCTGCGACTGTCTTCGTCGCTTCTCAGCAAGATGTCGTAGAAGGCGGTGGATATCTTCACGCTGGCGGCACTGCCACGCTCGTCGTTGCTGGTTCTGATCCCAGCCGTTGCCGCCGTCGAGGTCCTCGAAAACGAAGCATTCAAGAGCGGGTTGTCTTGTTGGAAGACGCTGGCGTCTACGTTGGCCACACACGCGAAGCAAATGCGGCTGCGACGCACTCTGCGTGCCACAGGCTCCACGTCAAACTTTCTTGAGCATTCGCGACAGACTCGGTGCGCGCAAAGCTGGCAGAACCGTTGTGGACGCAGCAACCCGAAGCGCTTGAGGCACACACTGCAGCAATGGTCTTCGTCCTCATCGCGTGCCACGGGTATGTGCCGGAATGGCTGGTAGCCCAAACGGCGGCGGCGCACAAGCTGCTCGAACGATGTCGTCGCCGCCGCTAGCAGATTCACCACATACTTTGCCTCTGCATTGGCGATCGGATGAGCGTACCGTCGAGCGGAAGCCCCATGTTGATCCCTCCCCCAGAACTTAGCGCGTGGCTGAACTGTCGCTGCTGGTGGGCTGGAGACGTACGCAGTCATTACGATACGCGTCTGGTGTCCGCTCAAATCACTGTATGAGCTAGCGAGGTGATACCCAGCGGCGATGTGGTCCAAGTCGCCTCGAATCGCTTGGTCCGAAGCGCGGTCGTCTCTGCGACGAGTGAACTTGTCGTGCATGGGCTTGGACAGGGTCTTCATGGTGTAGAACGCCTCGTTCGTGTCGGGGCAGTACTGCGAATACGCAGCGAAGCAGAGTCTCTGGCGGCGGCTGGTATGCTTCGCTGCTGCCATGGGATTCAGCGACCGACGAGAACGGAGCACCACGGACTGCAACGCGACCCAACCGGGTTGAGAGAGGTCGTTCAGGTCGTCGTCTTCCCAGCACGGCGCGTTCTCCGACTCCATCGCCATCACAGTCCTCATGCTCTTGCGGAACTCGCGCGATACGAACAAGTCGCCGCTCTTGAGCTTCCGCGCGCCGAACAGCGCCCCCATGCTCGAGTCGAACTGCAGTGAGTCGCGGCTGAACAGCATCGTCATGGCCTCGTCCAGTCGGCAGCTTAGTGTGACGTGGGCCGATACAGCGTATGTGACGTTGAGGTCGTTCAGAGGCCATCGCACCAGCTCCCTGGCGCGCACTTCGGAGTGCGTGTGCTCTCCCATGAAGGCGTCGCGAGTGTAGAGCGACCCACGAGACTCAATCATCGAGTGGCGAGCGTCGGTGGCCCTCGTCGTGCCGCGAAACCAATTGGGGCCGTCCGTGCTTCTTGCCGATGGTAGTTTGGCTCGGTCGAACTCACTGATCTCGGCGCCGTGCTGCTTCTTCTTGACGACCCAGCATGGCGGATGCTGTCTCTCGGCCGGTGTCATTCGCCACACGCTGCTGCTGCGGCCAGTGTCCTTGCGGCGCTCCACAACGGCTCGGAGCTTGGGCACGACACTTGCTGCGGTAGTGAAGAGCTCGCGGTCGGTCACGAGGGCGTTGATGGAAGACTCAGACAGCAGCGCGTTGCGCGCCGACACGGGCGAGGCCGCGCTGTTGTTGCTGCTCTGGAAGTCGCAGCTCTGGATGCTGCCGCGGCAGCTGCTGCCCATGTAGTAGCTCTCCGTCATGGGGACCGGTGGTGTCGACGTGGTCTGTCGATTGGGGGGCGATGTCGGGCGCTCTGCAAATTCAGGAGTGAAGACGCAGGAGACCACCGACGCCATGTTGACGCATCCCGTTCGTCTCCTCCCAGGAGCTCAGCGAGCCGAGGTGGTGGCACCCATAGGAGAAGCAACCGGAGCTGGAGTGCACCGCCCAGTGTCGACGGCTCCGGATGCCTGGTGCTTCCGCTGGCTTGATGCCCGGGGCCTGATCGATTTCGCCAGTGTCTGACACCGCTAGTTTACGGCCTCCGAGCGACGAGGCAAGTCGCACCTTTTTCGACGGTCCTTTGGCTGCCCAGAGTTGCTGATACATATCCTGCCTTGACGATTTTTTCGAGTTGGTGGCGCATTGTTGAAGTTGTAATGCCGATCTTTGATCTTTGACGGCCACATGGTTGTCTTCGGGAATTCGGTCTCTAAGCTCCCCGCCAGTCATCACGACGCCGCTCTCCAAGCATTTTAGAGCAATAAGCGGATGTTGCTAGACCGAATCTGCACCTCGGGCTGCCCGTCTTCTTGAAAGTTCGAGCGCGCGGTGAACCCAGAGCTCGTGGCGTGTGGTGTGCACTGTGTACCACCAACCTCGATGGTTGGGATGAACACAGCACTGCAGTAGCTGAAGATGGAGCCCTTGCCGGCTCGGTCGTTACACCAGGCGCGTCATTTGTAGCAGTTGCAGCGCAGTCGTCGTCCAACGTCCACTGGCCGAGCACTATCGGTGTCTGACCCCACTTCCATTGCCTTTACTCTCGGTCGAGTTGTCCGCACGCAAGCCCCGAACATCCAAGTCATTTCGCTGCTTGGGTACTTCGACCGTCGCGAGATCGCCCCCGTGGGCGTGTGTCCACAACTTCCAGCTGTAGCTGTAGCATATCGGAGCTCGTCGAAACGGAAGCTGGACGCCAGTCATCACGTCGAAGTTGCTGATGTTAAACCGGCTACGTATCCATTGATGACTGGCCGCTCGGGGTTTAGCTGCAACTCCGACTAACCGAAGCGAAAGCAAACACAAGGCAAAGCCTAAAAACTGAAGGAAAAATCACCTTACTTAAGTCAAATAACGGAGACAACAAACTTCCAAATGCATTTACGCGATTCGGGCTGTTCGTCTACAGCTCGTCGTGGTCGTCGTCCTCCTCCTCGTCGTCGTTGTCCTCGTCGCCCTCCGGGGCGGCGCCGCCCTGGTAGACCTTGGACATGATGGGGTTGACGAGCTTCTCGACCTCCTTCTGCTTGGCCTCGAAGTCCTCCTTGTCGGCCTCCTGGTTGTCCTCGAGCCAGTCCATGGCGTCCTGCACGGCGGTCAGAACGGTGTCCTTGTCGTCCTCGTCGATCTTGTCCTCGAGCTTCTCCTCGACGTTGTTCTTCAGGCTGTACAGGTAGCCCTCCAGAGCGTTGCGGCCGTCGATGCGGTCCTTGACCTTCTTGTCCTCGTCGGCGAACTCAGCGGCCTCCTGGACCATGCGGTCGATCTCCTCCTGGGACAGACGGCCCTTCTCGGCAGTGATCGTGATCGTCTCGGCCTTGCCCGTGCCCTTGTCCTCAGCGGACACCTGCAGGATACCGTTGGCGTCGATCTCAAACGTCACCTCAATCTGGGGCACGCCACGCGGAGCAGGCGGCAGGCCAGTCAGCTCGAACTTGCCCAGAAGACGGTTGTCCTTGGTCATGGCACGCTCACCCTCGAACACCTGGATCAGCACAGCGGGCTGGTTGTCCTGGTACGTCGAGAAGGTCTGCGACTTCTTGGTCGGGATCACAGTGTTACGGTTGATCAGCTTGGTCATGACACCGCCCACGGTCTCAATACCCTGAGACAGAGGCACCACATCGATCAGAAGCACGTCCTTGGTCAGGTCGTCCTGCTCGCCACTCAGGATGCCGCCCTGCACGGCAGCACCGTAGGCGACGGCCTCATCGGGGTTCACACCGCGCGAGGGCTCCTTGCCGTTGAAGTAGTCCTTGATCAGCTGCTGCACCTTGGGGATACGGGTGGAACCGCCCACCAACACAATCTCATCGACCTCCGACTTCTTGAGGTCGGCGTCCTTCATCACCTTCTCGACGGGGCCGAGCGTCTTCTTGAACAGGTCCTCGTTGAGCTTCTCGAAACGGGCGCGGCTCAGGGACTCCGTGAAGTCCTCGCCATCCAGCAGCGACTCGATCTCAAGACGAGCCTGGGCCTGGGCCGACAGGGCACGCTTGACACGCTCGGCCTCACGGCGGAGCTTCTGCAGGGCGCGCTTGTCCGAGGCGACATCGAGGTTCTTGTCCTTCTTCCACTTCTTGATGAAGTACTGCATGATACGCTGGTCGAAGTCCTCACCGCCCAGGTGGGTGTCACCGTTGGTGGCCAGCACCTCGAACACACCGCCGTCGATGGCCAGCAGGGTCACATCGAAGGTACCTCCACCCAGGTCGAAGACCAGCACGTTCTTCTCGCCCTGCGACTTCTTGTCAATGCCGTAGGCAATGGCGGCGGCCGTGGGCTCGTTGATGATACGCTGCACCGTGAGGCCGGCAATGGTACCGGCATCCTTGGTGGCCTGACGCTGGGCGTCGTTGAAGTAGGCGGGCACCGTCACGACGGCGTCGTACACCTCGCGGCCGATGTAGCCCTCCGAAATCTGCTTCATCTTGGTGAGCACCATGGCCGAGACCTCCTCGGGGGCGAACTGGCGCTTCTCGCCCTTGACCTCCACCTGGATGAAGGGCTTGCCATCCTTGTTCACGAGCTCGTAGGGCAGCAGCTTCTTGTCGGCCTGCACCGACTTGTCGTTGTACTTGCGGCCGATGAGACGCTTGACGTCGAACAGCGTCTTCTCCGGGTTGATCGTGGCCTGGTTCTTGGCGCCGTCACCGATCAGGCGCTCGTCGTTCGAGTCCCAGGCGACGTACGAGGGTGTGATACGGTTGCCCTGGTCGTTGGCAATGATCTCGACCTTCTGGTCCTTGTAGATGCCCACGCACGAGTAGGTCGTGCCCAGGTCAATGCCGATCACGGGGCCGCGCGGGCCCTTGGACGCGTCGTCGGCCGTTACGGCGCCGGCGAAGGCCGCCGCCGCCATGAGCAGGATCTTGGAGAGGTTCATCCTTCTCTGCGCTTAGCTGCGAAAACGATAATGACTGGGGCGGGTGCAGGTGCAACGCGTGGAAGTCAAAGATCGTGGGCGGGTCGGCCGCCTCAATACAGGCCCGCATACAAACTCCCAGTGAGCCGCCACTGCTGACGTGGCCGGGCGCGGGTTCCGACAAAACGGGTCTTCTAGAAAAACCCGCCCAGAACTAGGCGAGTTTGTATGCCCCATACGAAACCCAAGTGAACGACTGCCACGCGTCGTCGGAGACCCCGCCTAAGTGCGAAGATATGTCCGAGCGATCGACACGTTGCGGTGGAGAGATCAGTTGACTGTGAGTCGGACGAGGGGCAACACCGCTCGAATTTCGCTCGAAACGGGCCGGACCGAGCGCGTGGTTGCGGGCCTATCGACCTCAATGCCACATATTCACATTTCCATTGCGTGGCAGCAGTGCCGGGCAGGAGCTGCAGCCACGTAGCCCACCAAGTTGATTCGTACTTAGCTGAGGGCAACACTCCACGTGGCAGGACGACAGCGCGAACCGGCGGTCGGCCGTCAAGCTCGCGACAGCGATTTGCAATGCTGGTCAACCGCCTGCTGCGATCGGAGAAGGCTGCGGGCACGACTTGGCTGCGTCGACTTGCCTGCAGCGCGCTAGTCGACCCGTAGAAAACCTGAAGGCGCCCGCCCAACTCAGTCGAGGAATTACCTTACTTAAGGTATCTTATCTTACGAACAGCAACAATTATTGCAGCGGTAAAGAAGAACGTCATGGTGCCGTTCTGCGACGGCAGCATTGCAGTGCTAGAATGGGGGAACAGCGGAGAGACTTGCAATTGCGACTAAAAGTGGCTACAGTACAGTGTGTAGTTGCTACAGTAGGTTACAGTGCCGTCCGGACAACAAGTCGGCGCACAGCTTCTGGAAGACTCGCAGCTGGCAGCTTCCGCACACGTGGCAGAAAGAGGCATCAAGGCGTCTCCACCGCCAGAAGAGTGCGATTGTGGTTATCGGAGCTCATTGACGACGTGTCAATCAAACGAAGCGGACCCCAGCTTCAACTACAGTGCCAAATTTGTGGTACGTTTGCAATTCATGCATTTCTCTGTCCAAAACTGCGTCGCTAGAAGCTCGCCACGAGCTCCGTTGTTCGTCTGCATGAAGATCATCGTCCTCGGATGCGGGACGTCCTCCTCCGATTCTTATGTCCGATGCCAACTCACTCGAGACTACAGGTACATAGTCTGCAACGTACTTGTTGACTGCAGCAAAAAGGGCTTGGACGACTTGTGAGAGGTGCTGCCTTCGATCCGAAGTCGAACGAGCTGTGCAAGGAATACTCGACCCAAGAAGATGCACTACAGCCGAGATACAAGCTGGTTTATACAGGCAATACAGGTTTCATACCTGTTAGAGCAAGAGTCACCGCTGGCGTTGACCCAAGTTGGGTCACCCAACTCAGTTGAGTTGCTGGCTTTTGCCGTTCTTCAGGACTTCACGCTGCTGAGTCACGAATTCGACTGCCACCCCGTCGTGGCGACAATGGGTGGAGAGGGTAGCTTGCTTATTGCGATGACCTTTGACGGCATGCGCCTGAATGTTCCCGTGATACTCTGTGTTTCGACCGACCGGAGACTATTGCAACTGGCGATGCTACATGTTTTAATACCTGTACTGGGATACGGTGCCATCGCGGCAAGGGCTGAGCAGCTAGCCTAAAGCAAACCTCAAACAATTCAATCCAAGCTCCTGACGTTCTTCCAGATGAGTACTGTATTGCAGCAAGAAAGTACCGGTATTACTGTTTTACTTCGACCAGCATTCTCCTCCATAACGCCCCAGGTAACGGACGAGTTTTATGCACGAAAGAGGGTCGTTCTCATGGGAGCGCATTAGCCAACCAGGTCTCTCATCTGCGTCAGCGCAGTCCTCGATCACTCCCCTTTCACCCCCGCGTCTGCCCTACTTCACGATGGAGGTGGTGGTGCTCGGCTGTGGGCCGTCGTCGTCGGTGCCGTCGATGCGCTGCGTGCTGAATCAGAACTGCGTCGTGTGCCTGGAGGCGCACACCAATCCGGACTCGAAGAACCGCCGCCTCAACCCAAGTCTGCTCGTCCGGAACCTCAAGACCGACACCAACGTGCTCGTCGACTGTGGCAAGACCTTCCGTGAAGCAGCGCTGCGGATCTTCCCCAAGATCGGGGTATCGGCTGTCCACTCGCTGGTGCTCACCCACGACCACGCCGATGCGTTGCTGGGTATGGACGACCTGAGAGAGGTTCAAGCCCACGTGGAGACTGTCGACCCCGTGACCAAGGAGCTGTACAAGATCCCACCCGAGGCCATGAAGGTGCACTGCAGTGAGCCCACGAGTCACGAGGTAATTGCCAAGTTCCCGTACTTGATCGACAACGAACCAGCCCCGCCCGCTGGAGAGGCAGCGCCCAAGCCGTTCCGATGGACCGCCAAGCTTCAAATTGACGCGTTCAACCCATGGGAGCCGTTCGAGGCGAGTGGCATCAAGTTCCTCCCGTTCCCGGTCATTCACGGCGCCGGGTACACGTCGTTCGGGTTCGAGTTTGGCTACGAAGTTGGCGCAAGATTCGTCTACATCTCAGATGTGAGCGAGATCCCGGACGACACGCGAGCGTTCCTGAACGACAAGAGCAAGCCCCCGATCGACGTCCTGCTGATCGACGCGCTGTACCTGGAGAAGTACCACAGCACGCACATGAACTTGCAGAAGGTGATGGAGGAGATCGAAACCATCCAGCCCAAGCGAACATTGCTAACGGGTATGAGTCATGACTTCGACTACCCCAAGCACAGCGTTGAGTTGCCGAAAATGGGCGAGGAGAAGGGCCTGAACATCGAGATGACTTACGACGGTCTACGTATCGCCTTCCCTTGAACGTACGACGCAATATAGACTCGATCAGTGTTAGCGTGGGCGCCACAGTGTCCGTCAGGCTATCATTAACACGAATTACGAAGTACTCAGCCAATTGCTCTATTGAAAGGCTGCACTAAGAATCAGTCTAATTCATAATGGTGGGGCTGACCCGGTATCTTGCTTGACCAGCCGCCACTCAGTTGATCAAACGTGGCTCTTGTCTCCCCGCATTTCGCCTTTTGAGCCCTTCCGAGCAGGCGTCATTATGGACGTCGTGATCCTCGGCTGCGGCACTTCATCTTCCTCGCCATCTATGCGCTGTCTTCTTGGCAAGGGCTGCTATATCTGTCGAGAGGCTCAAGCGAATCCGGACTCCAAGAACCGACGGCTCAACCCCAGTCTCCTCATCCGCAACCTCCAGACCAACGCCAACGTACTCGTCGACTGCGGTAAAACTTTCCGAGAAGCTGCGCTGCGTATCTTCCCCAAGATCGGCGTGTCCGCAGTGCACTCGGTGGTGCTTACTCACGATCATGCTGACGCGTGCCTGGGCTTGGACGACTTGCAAGAGGTACAGTCTTTAGAGGAGACTGTGGACTCGGAGACGCAGGAGATGTACAAAACTCCACCTAATTCGATGAAAGTTCACTGCTGCGAAGATACAAGTCGCGATGTAAGGGCGAAATTCCCGTATCTCATCCAGGAGGAGACTTCTACACTTCGACTGGAAGTTTTCGAGCCATGGGTACCATTTGAGGCTTGTGGCATAGAATTTCTGCCCATTCCTGTCATCCACGGTGCTGGATACACCTCACTCGGCTTCGAGTTTGGCCACGAATTTGACACTAGGTTCGTCTACATATCGGACGTGAGCGAATTTCCAGAGGAAACGCGGGTATACCTCAACGACACCAGCAAGCCGCCCATTGACATACTAATGATCGACGCGTTGTATCTGGACAAGCGCAACAGCGCCCACATGAACCTGATGCAGGTAGTGAAGGAGATTGAGACAATCCGGCCCAACTCACTGGCATGAACCACGAGCTAGATTACTTCACATACGGCATACTGGTGAAGGAGATCGGTGATGAAAAGGGGCTTCACATCGAGATGCCCTACGACGGTATGCGCATAAATTTTCCTTGAATCGTAGGTACAGGTGTAGATTTGTGAAACCGGTTCATCAGCTTGAACATCAGGCATACTATGACAGCTAACGCAGTGAAATCTTGTTGGGTTTCTTTTACCCCCATCTTTGAAAGCTCTAATCGGTTGTTCCGGCGGCAGCAGCAGCAGTATCGGTGTTGGAGCCAATACTTCAGTTTCTAATCCACTTCAGCTTTTGCTTCAGTGCCGCCGATGGAACCGGGAAGTGATGAAAACACATGGCACGAGAACGTAGTATTACCTACGGGATAAACACGCACTACAATGCTATCAAGTTATATCGCAGCTGCAGAGCCCCGCCTTCTTTTGAAGGAGCCCTTCATCGCTCCTGTATCAAATGTATCCAAAAGTAGAGCAAAACTGTTGAAATAGGGCTAGGTTGATATAAAAGTATCTTTTCACGAAGGGTCATGGGATCACTAGCTCACAGCCTCTTGACCAGCTCAGCGATTCCGCCTTCCTCCGTTCCACCTGGACGAATGCCGCTGCATGGATTCTCCTGGTCGCGCCTTCTGCTCGTCTGCCTAGCGATTGCAGCGCTGACGTCTCCGGTGCCAGCAAGTCGAGGTCCGTACCGGAATTCCAGGCGCGGCGGCGGCTTCACGGCCAACGTGACGGTGGAGCAGTACAAGGACGCGCTGCAGAACGTGGAGGCCGCCAACTTGTCCGAAAGTCTGGAGCTGCTCAGCAAGTTGTCGCTCAAGCGGTACGAGTTCAAGTACGACACAGTGGTAGGGCGTTCTACGCAGCTAGGCGTCCTCGGGCCCGAGCTCCGGACGGTGGCGCCCGAAGTGGTGCAGATTCTACCGGAGCGCTTCGTGTTCGGCCGTGACGGCCGCGGTAAGATCGCATTGCAAGACTTCCACGTCGTGGACAAGGATGCGCTCTACATGCACAACTTGGGGGCCACTCAGCAGCTTATTCTCAATCTACGAGCCCAGCAGGAGGAGATTCTACAGCTCCGACAGCTCACGGGAGTCCAGCAGCAGAAGATCGACGAGCTGCAGGGGTATCTGGAGCAAGAGGCGAGCGAGCAACTGGTCCAAAAGCGGCTGATCGCGGAGGCGGAAGTTGCCAAAGCGGAGAAAATGATAGAGGAGGCGCGTGTGCGTGGGAAGGAGGAGCGCAAGACGCTCGACCGGAAGCGCGACCACGAGCTGCAGGTGGAGAACGAGAAGCACGCGTTGGAGCAGAAGCGGATGCAGGAGGAGGACGTTGCGCGTCGAGATCAGAACCGCGACCTGGTTCAGCTCCAGGAGGAGTCGAACATTCGCATTGAACGCACGAGGCGGGAGACGGAGGAGGTGCTGAAGGAGAAGCAGCTTGCGGCAGACCACGCGCGGGCTTTGCTGGAGCGCAATACAACGCTAGAGAAGGCGGCGATCGACGTAGAAGGGCGGATTCGACAGCAGCGTGCTAATCAAGACATTGAGATGGCTCAGCTGCAGCAGAGACTTGAAGCCGACCGTGTCAAGCTCATGCAGGCGCTGCAGTCCACGTTCGACAATTTGGGGCAAGGTATCTCCGTGCTGCTGGCGGACAAGCAGAAGCTCACCAAGTTCGTCGGAGGCTTCGTGGCTCTGGCAGCCGGAATTTATCTCAGCAGAGAAGCCATTCGTATCATCGGCAAGCTAATCGAGCAGCGCCTTGGGAAGCCCTCGCTCGTGCGTGAAACTTCTCGATCCGCTGGAGCGTTTGGCTTCCTCAAAGCTCTATTCCGTCGGAATGCAGCCAAAGGACAAGACGAACTGGCCGACGTGGTGCTGCGCAACGCTCTGGAGACGCGCGTCTTCGAGATCGCGAGGTCTACGCGCAATGCGATGCTGCACGGGGCTCCATACCGCCACTTACTGCTGTACGGACCTCCCGGAACTGGTAAAACCATGGTTGCCAAGCGGTTAGCTCGAGCTTCAGGCATGGACTACGCCATCTTGAGTGGTGGTGACGTGGGTCCTCTGGGCTCCGATGCAGTTACAGAGCTCCACGCTCTCTTTAAGTGGACGAACTCGTCTCCTCGCGGCGTTTTGATCTTCATTGACGAAGCTGAGGCCTTCCTCGGCTGTCGAGCCACACGTAAGACGCACATGAGCGAAGCGATGCGCAATGCATTGAACGCGCTGCTGTACCACACAGGCACACAGTCCAAGAAGTTCATGCTGGTCGTGGCCACGAATCGGCCTGAAGACCTTGACACTGCTGTGACTGACCGCATCGACGACACGCTCCACTTCGATCTGCCCGAGACCAAGGAGCGCGTGCGACTGCTGCAAATGTACTTTAACGAGTACGTCGCTCCTCTAGCTGTGTCGCCTGCCGCCACCGATTGCAAGGGCAAACCCGACAAGGCGTCAGTCAGCGCGTTGCCTCCAGTACTTGACGCGAGTGTCATGACGCAGTATGGAGAGATGACGACTGGCATGAGCGGTCGAGAAATCGCTAAGATGATGCTGTACATGCAGAGCATCGTGTACGCGCAGGACGAAGTTGTCGTGACGCCGAAGCTTGTCGACCGCGTTGTTAAGGAAAAGGTGGACGAGCACAAGCGCAAACTCGAACTGAAGAACTACAACGAAAGATGAATTGTCCACATGTAGAGGTAGCCATGTCGAGCTTTAGATACTCGATAAGAGGGATAAACTTTACTGACGGACAGCTAGCTACCCGCATGTTTGGTCATTTCTACTCGGTTGTTTCAGAGACAGCAGCATCAGTGTCGAATGGTGCTGTCTCCAATACGCCAGCGTTTACATCCACTTCGACTTTTGCACCAGTCTCGTCAGCTGGTGGAGGGGCCAGCAAGCCGGCCTCGCGCATGATTTCGCCAAAAGATTCAATTTCCTTGCTCACAGCGTTGGCTGCGCCAAGAGCAGCCGCCGATGGAACCGGGAACAAGCGATGGAAGCACTTGATTAGGTACGGCACAAGCTCCGAACGAATTACCTGCAAGCATAACACAATAACGTTAGTGATAGGAGACGGTGGCATACAAACACCAGCAATCCCATCACCTCATTCATTGCTCGAACCGATTCGGTAAGTGTCGCTGCCCTTGCATTCCTCGAGACACTTTCACTGCCTTCTTCGGTCGGAGCGTGCAGATCCAGCCCGTTCTCCTGGACGAAGTCGGCGATCGTAAGCAGCATGGTGCCGATTGCGCTCTGATACTTTTTACCAAGACGATTCTGCAGTGACGAGATTGCGCACAGTCTCAACTCGTTGAGGGACGATAGCAGCGCGTTCGTGAACTCTGCCAGCAATGGGAACGACATCAGACACCGCGGCGGTGAGTAATCTTCCCCGTCGGATGATGTAGCAGTCGGGCGAGAACCGAACGGGAAACTGTTGCCACTTCCATTCGCCGACGAGCGGTACGACGCGATCACGATGGGAGTCTTCGAGGAGGCCGAAAAGGACGACCCACTGGACGCCGACAGCGAATGAGCGCTCAGGTTTTCTTGGAACTCGCGGCAAGCCGCTCGCCAGTACTCAGTCATCAAGTTTAGTACGTGGTCCTCGAAGTATACCACAAGGACAGCTCGGAAGTCCACACCAACACGACCTAGCGACCCTCCGAAGAACAGACTCTGTTCGAGGATTGTAGCGATCGAGCTGAAGTCATCAATCTTGGGGAGTTGCCTGGCCACAGCAAAGTAGGTTAAGGTTAGTTAGACGTCCAGCGCAGGCTGCAACTATGACTGCAAGAAAAAATCAAACTATCAACGTACTTCATGAGAATGTGGATAAAGTTTGCAACCGTCGATGTTGCCCAGCGACACAGCGGAGGATCCACCTTACCATCTACGTTCTGCAATAGCACCAGTTATCACAACAACAAACACTGTTAGGCCCTCATTATTGCATAACAGCATACTTCACCCAATGCAAGTTACCTCGCTGCCGAAGATCGCCGAGTATTGAGTAATCATATCAAACCAGCTCGTTCGCTTGATGTCGATCACTTGAATAATCTACAGCACCACCAACTCGTCAGAAAACCCGATCAAACACCACCCACACTCTCCCAAAAAATCAGGCACGCACATATTGGTACGGGTCGGAGGACGGAATGCCTCTGCTCAAGGACGAGAGCCACACGTTCCTGCAGGCGAGGAACTCCTCCTTCAGTTGCTTCTCGTACTCCAGCGACCCCACCGCCGCCGCCGCGTCCTTCTCCACCAGCGCGTCCAGTCGACGCAGATACCCCACAATGCGCACGCACAGCGCGAGCTGCAGGTCCTCGCGCAGCTTCTGCAGCAGCTTGTCCCTCATGATGCTGGTCATCTCGGCCACTTCGCGCACGAGGCAGTCGATCACGAGGTTGCGTGACGCCTCCGCGTCAGGGTCAGCTCCATTGCCTTCACCTTCTCCAGCCTGGAACGTCTCGTTGGCGAACTGGATCACGTCCAGCGCCGAGTCGAAGAGCTCGTTGTGGATGCAGGCCTCGAGCAGCTGCGGGATCTCCAGCAGCTCCGTTAGCTGCAGGTAGTGCTCGAAGACGAACTGGATGTCGCCGTGCTTGGCCACGACGTCCGCCACGTCCCGCTGGAAGGTGGCGCAGTGGCGCTGCAGCTCCGGGATGGCCGTCTCGACCTCGGTCGTGTCGCTCTGGAGCTCGGCCAGGTCGTCCTTGACGATGGCCGCGCACTGGTTGCTCTGGATGAAGACGTGGTAGTTCTTGAGCACGAGGTCGCGCAGCTGCTCCGCCGTGTTGTCCGCCTGGATCTGCAGCCGCCACGGCTCCTTCCTGAGCTCCTCGAGCGAGCACGTCTTGAGCGACGCCAGCGTGGTCATGATCCCCGATTGGGAAGTTGGAATCGGAAATTGTCCGAGTTGGATTTGCAATATTCGCGTTAGTAATTGCAATATTTGGGTTTAAATATTGTCGACCGGCGAAGTGCCGCGGCCCGCGGGAGACGTTTGTCTGGCGTGGCGTAGAGCCATTCTGTATGGGAGGTGGGGCACAGGTAAGTGCACGCACTGACGTGCTCGTAGCTGGAGCTGTCAACCGCTCTTCCCTTGCTAACCCAGCCGGTTCCACGTGAAGTCTAACCCCGTCGTCTCGCTGCAAGTCAGCACAGACGATCGGGGGACAAAGAGGACCTACCGGTACTGTTCACTCATGGACCATGAACCTTGGTTAACACGGTGGTTGGCCTTCAGGAGGCGCGGTCCCAAATGACTCAGACTTGACCAAAGGCGGAGGACAACTGTACGGGCCTCGATTCGTCGATCCTACAGTGTAATACATGTGCGCGTACGATCACTCTTATAAACGGCTTCAGGCTGTATAAGTTATAATACATGTACCTGATGCCGGGCTCGGTGTTGGTTCCGACGTGAATTTGACGCCACCTTCCTCGCGGCTAAGGCATCCTCGGGCCGAAAAATTATTTTAGTAAAACAGTGGACGCACAGAAGTCGGTACAGCATCCATAGCGCTGCAGGGAGCAGGTTGACCCAAGCAAACCACAGCCCAGCAGCGCTCTCCTCTGTATGTCAACGTCATCGTCTAATAGGGGGGGATGGATCCAAGATCTTCCTGCAGGCTGAAGCAGGTTGAAGTGCGACGGTTTCAGGCTGAAGTTCAACTTTTGGCCCTAGCCCTCGTTTTACTTGCGACATACTGAAGCCCACATGTGCCAGTTCAGCAGCCTTATCTGACGATCGCGACTCGAAACGCAACGACCTCCTTCCTCCGCGGCGGGCAGGAACGAGCATGTGGCCGCGCCTTCGTCACGATTGCAGTGCAATGCGCTCCCTCGAGGTCATTTCCTGATCGTCCCATAGTCGAATTCGCCTCGAAAGTCGCACAAGTCTCCACCTTCGCCCCCTCCATCTCCCTCTGCACCATGTTGACGCGCAACATTCCTCTGGCCTCGCGCTCCGCAGCGCGCATCAGCCGCCGTCACTTTGCCGCTGCCTCGCCTTCGGCCAGCGCCAAGCGCGTGAAGGTCAACGGCCACGGACACGAGGCGCAGCAGAGCGGCCAGCTCAGCTACGTGCCCTCGGGCTCCGACGGACGCTTCTACATCGAGCAGCTGTACGTTGAGTTGTCTGCCTGCTCAGTGCCACGAAATCCTATCTAACACTAAACTCGGACGTTGCATTGGATTCATGTAGGAACGAGCACTGGCGCTCGGCGGTGGCAGGTCAGAACTTCAAGAAGGACGACGTGATCGGCTCGGCCCCCGGCAACTTGGTACGTCGATTGTACGCTTGGGTTAGACCGCGAGATGCGCATGATAACTCACTTTTTACCTGCCTGATGCCGTTCAGTACTCGAAGCCGACGCGGTTCACGGTCCAGATCACGCCCGACAAGCACATGGACTTCACGGGCGGACTCGAGTTTGTCAACCACAGCTGCAACCCCAACACGCGCATCGACATGTCCGAGAGCGAGGCGATGGTGTCGTTCGTGGCGATCAAGCCCATTGAGAAGGGCGAACACTTGACGTTCGACTACTCGACGAGCGAGTGGGACATGGACGAGAAGTTCGACTGCGGGTGCGGTGCGCCCAACTGCCGCGGACACATTGGCGGCGCCAAGTACCTCAACGACGACGAAGTGAACGCGAGACTGCCCTACTTCACTCCCAGCGTGCTGCGTCAGCTGCTCGACCGCAAGCTCACCAACTAATTTTTAACCGAAAGAGGCAAGGAAGCCTGCACTCCGAGCTGCCGTAGCGTTTCTCATTGATGTTCCCAGGCTACTCCCAAGTGCCTTAAAATTGTAGCAGTTGGAAGGGACCATAGGAAGCGGAAGACCGACAAAATACACAAACAAAACTGTTTACACAAGTCTGTTATTGAGTGTTTTTGGATCGCGTAGTGCTCGGCGGATACGCGTCAGGCTTCGAGGCAAGCGATTGCTTCCACTGCTCGAGCGTCTCGATCACGCTGGTGGTCACCTGCTTGTCCTCCATACGCACCCGAACTGCGAATGCCAATCGTGGCTTCGATTCGGTCTCCGTTTCTGCCAGAATCGCCTCGTCCTCTTCAAGTCTGTTGTGGCAGCATACACGATCAAGCAGATGCGTCAATTTTATGGGGAAAATCGGACAAGACTGAAAGCATGAAATGAGAATCAACGTACGTTGTAGCGTAGTTCGAGAGCTTGCGACGACACGTGCTCTGCAGATTTTCGTACACTGCCAGCTCATTACGAACGCTAAGAATTGAAGACTCGAAAGCCTGGAACGGTAGTAAAAGAGAGAGAAACGGTTAGTTACCGGAGCTGCACATGAAAGCAATAGGCGACTGAGGCTTACCTTCTTGTACTGACGGATTTCCTGTTCGTTCATCAGGATAACGCGCAGCGTAGCCAGCAGCCTTTCATCAACATCATTGCTAAGCAGCGTTCCGTGGAAGTCGTATGTCTGCTCCTTCGTGAGCTCGTTCGAGTCGAGGACAGTCTGCTTCAGCTTGAAATACGGATCGGACAGCGGGATCTTCATCCAGAAGTCCACACCACGACGGAAGTTTTCGGGCGAGACGAACCCGTACGAATACAGCAGCTTCGCATTCGAGTACTGGCCGTAGCTGATGTGCACGGCGGAGCCAGCGGCCACGTCTTCCGGGACATGGTGCGTCATCATCTGCTTCTCCTCGTTGAACGAAACGAAGTCATCCAGCGGCTTGCGCACAGTCACGTCGTGGTTGAACATGTCCATCGCTGGACACAGCACGTGAAGGTACTTGCCGCCCTTGCTCACGCCGAACGCGCGGCTCCAGATCACGCTCATGGCCCACATGTAATCGTCGATCGTCAACGTCGGCAGGGACGCGAAAATGTCGGGGAAATCCGCCGCCACGGCCTGGTGGATGTTCTCGAAGTCCCTCTCCAGGTGCTGCTTCATCAGCTGCGTCAGCAGCAGCACGTTGGTGCCCTTGAGCTCGTTGAGCTCCGCCTCCGTCCAGAAGACGGGCAAGTCGAACGTCGTGGGCATCGACGCGATGAACGGCGCAAAGAACGACTCGCCCCCTTTGCTGCGCTCGTGCATCAAATGCAGCGCCAGCACCTCGTCGTCCGGGATCTGCGGGTACTTCTCGAGCACGGGCGCCAAGTCCGACGTGGCGGCGGACTCGGTGTTCATGGTGAGCTTGAACGGCACCTGCAGCGTCACTTGGCCGCTGGTCAGCGCGCGCTTGGCGAACACGCCGTGACCTTCGAGCTTGCCCAAGTACCGGATGTCCAGCAAACTGTCGGCTGCTCCATGGGCCTCGAGCCACTCCAGCAGCCTCGTCACTACAGCAGGAGAGCTCATGGGGTCTAACAGAGCTCTTCGACTCGGACTTGGCTACACTTGTGACAACGGATGGCTGATGTAGATATGTGTTTTTACAGTTATGAACAAATCTATAAAGTCTGGGGGTATCTGTACCCATTTCGGTGGACGCACGTCAAAAAAGGCAACTGTAACTTCAAGGCAGACCGGCGTCGTGCAGCAGGTCGCTGAGTATCAAGCCCGTGAGTCTCTGCTGCAGCTCTTGGTCTTGCTGGGTCTGTAAGGAAGAGAGGATAGAGGTGCTTCTGGCACGGGAGACTGGTGTGCGCGAGAATATTCCCGACCGAGAGGGTTGAGCTGCAGTAGACAGGTCCTCGGTGGTTCTGCTCAGATCCGATTGCACCTTGGAGACGATGCTGCTCACGTTAGACGCGATGCAGTTCTGCGATAGCAACACGTCGCTGTTGAGGCCTTCAGCGCCAGTCTCATCGGAAAGCAGCTGCACTTGTCGCTCCAGTTCACGCTCGGACTGCTCTCGGATCGCTAGGAGCTCCCTGACTTCGGTTTCGACGTGCTGCTGAATGACTTGGAGCACTGACGTCTGGTCCAGCGGGACCTCACCGGTTGCAGTCTGCTGGATCGCATTGAAACAGTCCTGGGCAAGCGTCTCGACAGTGTCATAGAGTACACGGGCAGCGGGCGAAGCTGACGCCTTTGTGATCTCTTGCAATGCTGGAAGACGGAGCTATTCAGAAGAGTAACATCCACAAAAAATTAGTTAAAAACGACAACAGAATACCAATCGAAAGCACGTAAGCATACCTCGCCATTCACAATCTCGAGTCGCTCCACCAATTGTTGCGTTGCATTGAGATCCCTCCCTTTCGACGCCTCATCGGCTACTCGCTTCTTAGTTTTTGGGGAGTTTCCAACTCTTGCAGTGGTGGTGGTTGTGGATGCATTGGTGCTTGTAACTGAGCGTTGTGGGCTTCTTTGGGATGACGCTGCCAGTCTACGGCGTGACCAAATCCGCAACTCCGAGTTGATGGTATCGTCGAAAATGCTAGCAAAGATTTCGTCCGTCATTCGTTCACTTTCTGCTGCGCTGTCGAGCTCGTTGTCCCCTCCAGGTGTTGCTTCGGGTGATGCACTTGGCAATTCTTCAGCTATTGGCAAAATGGTCTGTTCATCAGCCTCAGCGTCTTCATATAAAATTGTCACTTCGTCGTCAGGTTCAGTCTTACGCGGTACAGCAATGGACACCATGGGCTCATCAACATCGCAATCAGCTGGTTCTGCGTCCTCGACATAGTTGTACTCTTCAAGTAAATCGATAGGGACCTGTTCCCTCCCAAAGCGCTCGCTGACAGCCACATCATGAAGCTCGGATTGCACCTCGGAGACGATGTTGCCCACGTTAGACGTGCTGCAGTTTTGCGATACCAACACATCACCACGGAGATCTTCAGCGCTAGCTTCATCTGGAAGCAGCTGCACTTGCTGCTCCAGTTCACGCTCAGACTGCTCCCGGATCACTGGAAGCTCACTAGGTTCGGTTACGGCATCCTGCGGAATGAGATCATCTGGCAACGCAGGAAAACGAAGCTGTTTGCAGCACATTTGAAACCGCGAAAAGTTAGCTAAACACCACAGAATAAAGTTATAAAGGCGCCTCTTTTGTAAACGTACCTCATCATTCACAGTCTCTAGTCGTTCCTCCAATTCTTGCGTTGGATTCAAGGCCCTCTCTTTTGTCGCTTCGTCGGCCACTTGCTTCACAGGCTCGACGGAGTTTCGAAGTTTTACTGTGGCGATGGCTGTGGATATAGTGACACTTTCTTCACGACTGGAAGTACTGTGCGCAAGACGACAGCGTGACCAAATTTGCAACTCTGAGTTGATAATATCGTCAAAAATGCTCGCAAAGACTTCGTCCGTCATTCGTTCACTTTCCGCTGCTCTGTCGTGCTCATTGTCCTCTCGAGGCGTTGCTTCAGGTGGTCCATTTGATGATTCTTCAACGGAAGGCTCAACGACTTGCTCGTCGGGTTCAGCGTCTCCACATGTCGCTTCGCTTTCGCAATCGAATTCAGTTTTACGAGGTACAGCAGTGGACACTATGGGCTCATCAACGTCGCAATCAACTGGCTCAACGTCTTCGACGTAGTTGCAGTCATCAAGTAAATCGAGAAGGGTCTGTTCCCTCACAGAGTCCTCGTTCAAAGCCACATCTTGACTAGGGTCACAAAATTCGGGTCCATTGCCAGCAGCGTCGCTTGCAACAGCGACAGTATTCGCTTCACTTCCACTTTCACCTTTACCTTCATATTCATCATCGGGTGCTTCCACACTAGGCACAGCAGCGGGTGATGCGGACACATTGGTGTCGCGATCAACCGGATCCGCATCTTCTACGTAGTTGTAACCATTAAGTAAATCAGAAACGACCCCCTCCAGCATAGAATCCTCAGATTCAGCCATATCTTGCGCTTGACCTTGGTCCCCATTTTCGGACCCACTATCAGCATCGTCGCTTCCAGTAGAATCACTATTCACTCCACTCAACATTTCCTCAACACCGTCAGGTTCGGCTATGCTGGGTGCAGGAGCAGGAAGTATGTGCTCATCGGTGTGGCATTTCACTGGCTCAACGTCTTCGATATAAACGTATCCCTCCAGCAAATCAAACCCTCTCACCGCTCTCGAGCGAGCCATCATTGTCTCGCGTAGCGAGCGCTTTTGCACCTCATCCACGCATGCCTCCTCGACATAGTCAAAACCAGACAGTAAATCAATCGGTCGTTCATTTCCCACTCCGTTTTCGGTACGAGCAGCGTGAGTCAGTTGTCTAGCTTCAAGGTTCATTATCTCCAACCGATTCCTCTGTCTGCACAGAGCCAACGCTGCCTCGTCAGCACGCAGAAGCTTCTCGACAGCCTCCATTTCATCCCACAGCAGTTTTTCTTCCGCTACAACCTGCTCTCTGCGCTTCTCAACGCGCATTTGCTTCTGCACGCCAAGGATTTCGCCCTTACGGTCTGCAATTTTCTGCCTTAGCGCCTCAAGCCGGGCCATTCGCTCTTCAATACTCTTCGCTAGCACCTCCTCTTCACCGTCGTGTGAAGCGGAGATTGACACCGAAGTGAGCATGGACTTACTGTCCTCTGCAGCACATCGGACAGATGCGGTGTGATCACCTTGTACAATACTCAGTTCATCTGCAGGTTCATCTTCTTGAATCTGCCCCGCCACAACCTCTATCGCCTGTGTAAGTTCCTCCTCCTTTACACTTGTCGACGCAGCAAGGTTCGAGCCATGAGGAGAGCCAGGTACATGGCTTTGGCTTGCAGTGGCGGGTGGAGGTGCCTCGCTCGCGAACGATCCCGATGCGCTGTCGAAGCCTTCGTCAGAATACGCATTTGTGTCTTCGTCTTCATCGCCATGACCAGAGTTTTTGAGTGCATCTTCGCCTACCGTGCCAGCCTCAGCAGAATATTCTTCGAGTGGACCAGGCGCATCGTCAGGAGGTACGTCTGTCGTGGACTGCACTTCATCGAACGATTCATTTTCATAGTCGTTTTCGTACTCCTCTTCGTAGTTGTCGCCTTCAGATCGAGCGTTATCTTCACTCGTCTCTTGCTCATCGATAACATTGCCTTCCTCTTCTTCGTCGATACTACTGGGCACTATATCGTCACCAATTTCAGATGGATTTTCGCCAGCATCACTCAATGCCTGATCAGGAGGGGGTGCGTCTTCAGAGGGCAAATCTGTTGTCGGTTGGGCTTCAAACGATTCACTCTCGTAGTCGTTCTCAGTTCCAGCTTCGTAGGTGTCGACTTCATCTTCTTTCTCATCAATAAATTCTGCTGCTTCTTCGTCGATACTGGGAACTACATCATCTCCGGGATGTCTTTCGACAGGATCGCGCACATCGCCCAAAGGTACGTCTGTTGCAGATTGAGCTCCATCGAACGATGCATCCTCATAATCGTTCTCATACTCAGCTTCGTCCTTAATATTTTCCGCTTTGCCTCCACTGGTTTGATGCTCGTCAACAATAGCTTCTTCCTCTTCTTCATCAACAGTAGGGGCGACCGCATCTTCTTCGACCGGACGAGATGCATCTTCCGAAGGTACGTCTGCTGTAGATTGAGCTTCGTCGAACGATGCACTTTCATAATCGTTTTCGTATTCAGCCTCGTAGTTGTCGCTCTCAACTTTACCCTCGCTGGTCTCGTGCTCAGCAATAATTTCTTCCTCTTCGTCACCGACGCTGGGGGCTACCTCAGCTTCAGGATATTCTTCAATAGAACCGCGCACATCGTCTGAAGGTACGTCTGTTGCTGATTGAGCTTCGTCAAACGATGCATTTTCATAATCGTTCTCATACTCATCTTCGTAATTGCCACTTTCAGCGTTGCCTTCGCTGGTTTCATGTTCGTCGACAATAATGTCTTCCTCCTCTTCTTCACCGACGCTAGGAGCTATCTCACCATCAGGATATTCTTCGATCGGAGGAGATGCATCTTCCGAAGGCGCACCTGTTGCAGATTGAGCTTCGTCGAACGACGCACTTTCATAATCGTTTTCGTACTCAGCCTCGTAGTTGTCACTGTCAGCTTTACCTTCAGTGGCCTCGTGCTCAACAATGGTTTCCTCCTCTTCTTCACCCATACTAGGAGCTACCTCATCTTCAGGATAGTCGTCGACAGAAGCTGGAGCATCTTCGGAGTAAACCTCAGATGCAGGTTGAGCTTCATCGAACGATGCATTCTCATAATCGTTTTCATACTCCGCTTCGTAGTTTTCACTATCCGCTTTACCGTCACTGGCTTCGTGCGCGTCAACAATAACGTCTTCTCCCTCGTCACCGATTTCAGACTGCTGCAAATGCTCCGAATAGGAAACTTTAGTCTCTTCCACTTGCCCACTTTCGAAAGCATCATCCGAATAATGTAGCTCTTCACTTACGGCAGCAATCCCTGCGTTGTCATCCTTACCATTAAGGTTAGAAGACGTAGCAACAATCTCGCTGATTTCTTGATCACTTGGGATTTCGCCAGCCCCACTCTTTGTCGGAATAGCACTCATCGAATTGCCGCGCGAGGAATCTTCGAACTGAGAGGAATACTGTTCACCCTGTGCATTCTCACCAATCGCTTCCTCTCCGTTCGCAAGTTGCACTTCAGCCATATCGATACCTCCGTCATTTTCACTCTCCTCACTATATTCAGATGCCGCTACATCATCTTCGACGGCACCACCACATCCACGCTCCGATTTTACAGGAGGGGAGGCCTGCACAGCCGCATCGGATTTGAACCGGATTGGTGACGTGGATGTATCAACATGTAACGCTGCAGAGGTAGCTGCATCCGCCCGTTGCGAGGCTTCTGTCTGAACGCTGCATTCCCGCAAGTTGGCCTGCCTCAACTGCTGTTCCAATTGGGACTCATGAGCCACGCGCTCTTGTTCCTCTGCTTCCCGAATGGTAGTCAACTGCTGCATCACATCTTGCGTGTCATCGTCAAACTTTTTCTCCAAGATAGCGTGATTCAATGCCAATTGGTGCGTGGTTGCATTGTTCTCCATCTCTTCCTTAAAAGCCTGGGCAAGCGTTATAGTCTCTGCTTGAACTGTCTCCAACTCGTGGGCGTGCTCCATCATTGCCAGCTGCATGTGAGCCTCAAAAATCGCCTCTTGGTAGTCCACAGCAGCCATCAGCATTTTCGAGAGGGTTCTCGGGGAGTGCACGCGGGGCGGACTATCGTATCCAGCCTTGCGTTCGTCCTCCTCTCGAAGGCGGGCTTCTCGTTGTGCCACGAGCTCCGAGTCGTCGACTGCTACGTGTGGACGAACAACATTCAGACGTTCACCATCGAGCTCACGCGGAGCAGAATCCGAGACCAATTGGTCCCAGAAGATTGAAGACGAAGTTGAAACAGGTATCCCCCCTCGTTCTCGAAGATTTTCTTCTGAAGATTGAGTTGTCGTCTGGCGTTCATCAAGAGTTACCCCGCGATCTGGGCAAGAAGTACGATTGTCACCGTTCTCTCGGGCTCGTTCTCTTTCAACTTCATCCATAATTTCCTCCAGCCGCTTGTACTGAGCATCTTGAACGTCAGCAGCATCGTCTTCAGAATGTGAGCCACCACCATCATCCGAATCACCCACACCAGAATCGTCATCACTAGCGATCTTCCCAGTCAAGGACTCCATGACAGCTTTCAGCGCCAAATCCTTTTCGAGGAGCGCTTTCTTTTCCGCTTCAATTCGTATCTGGAGCTCCTTCTCTTTCTCACGCTCTAAACGTTCGACCTGCTGTCGGTATAGTGCTTTAGCAGCGCGATCGACTACACTCAAGGAATCATCCGTTTCTCGGATCAGCCTCATCAGTCCTTCATTGGGTTGGCGAGACTGGTTCATTAGCACTGGGCTGGTACCATTCACTGGCGACAAGCCGCTTTGCCAGGTCCGAGCAGGGGGATATGGCACATCCGAGTCCGATTCTGAAGCACTCATTGCGTCCTCTCCCCTTTCTTCGCGGTAAGATAGACTTGGCGCAGCTTTTGACTCGATGGTTGGCCTTTGTAGCCTGCCTTTCAGCTGCTCGTAAAACGCCACCTCAAAAGCTCCTTCCGAGTCATCCCTAGATTCATCATGGCTTTCTTCAAGCTGGCCAGCTAATAGAAGCCGTTGCAGGCCCCTAGGCGAATTTGTTGTCGATGATGAACCTGAAGATGACGAGCTTGATGAATCTGCTTGGACTGGCGCGGATGAAAGCTTTGCTTCAGACTTGGCTTCTGTTGTCTCTTCAGTATTCAATGGCCACACAACGCCAATATTGTACACACCGATAGAGCGGATGTCAATATCTATGTCTTCATCAAGCGTAGCCGAGGCAGCATTGAAAGCTCGGGTCTGCTGGACGATCTGCTGGCTGCTCGCAACTGGGCTTGCTGCAGCTTCAGATATTTGGTCCTCGTGACTTCCATCAAGCGAATCATCATTTTCTTCACTTACTGAGCTACCATTCCGGCTTTCCATTACATCATGACCCTCTCTGACAACATCGGATGAACCACTTCGTCGGTCATCAAATTCATCGCCAGACTCATTACCAGTGTTTCTATCCCCCTCAGCGTCTTCACCGATTCCATTATCTGAGCCGCTTTCAGACGCACCATACCGATCCATCGCGTTAGCCGCTGGGTTATCTGGCAAGGTTTCCGAGCCAAGGACATCACGGGTAGACGAAGTTGCCACATGAATCGTACTCAGATCAGGCTGATTCACCGCGTTAGCCGCTGGGATATCTGTTGGGGTTTTCGAGCCATGGATATCACTAGCAGACCTTGCCACATCATTCGTACTCGGACCTGACTTTGATTCTGGTTCTGTCGCCAACACTTCAGTTGAAGCGCCTTGTTGCTTCCTTAATCCACTTAGCCGAGCTGAAAGTGCAGCTGCCTTTTCTCGTAGCTCAAGTAATTTTTGAACACGCTCGCTGGCTTGAGCAACGCGCTTCTCGTCTCGCTCCACCTCCACGTTCTTGACTTGTTCAGCACTTCTGAAAGGTGAAGCGTCAAAATGTGTAGAACGACGTTCAGAAACGTTTCGGTTTCCAATTGCGCGGTCATTTTCATCGTCCAGGTGAGGCTCATCGAAAGAAATCTCCTCGTCACCCCTCCTGACCTTCTGCATATTTTCACGTTTCGAAGGCGTATCAATATCGTTGTCGTACGGAGTCAAGCTACTTCGAGGCGAAATCGACATGGCGATTGTAACCATTGCATCATCTTCTGGTAACACGGGGTCAACAAGTTCTTGCTTCTTCCGATTGTTTGCCCTCTTTTTAGCAAGGCGTAGCTTTTTCAATCGGGTCGCCTCCAATACCTGTAGCAGAGGCAACAGATTTTAGCAAGCAGAACGAAATCAGAATGGCAAGCTATCGCACCTCCAGTTGTTGTTGACGCTTTTCTTGCTCGCGTTGAGATTGCTCCTTCACTTTCGCATTCCAGATTCGCCGGCTATTTTTCTGGAGCTGCATGTACTCGCGCGCTATTGCTCGCCGTTCTTCTTTGGATCGGATTGCTGCGTCGTTCTCAGGTGGCTTAATAGATCGCTTCTCCCTTTTCGACACACGTGGAGTTGATGCTGGGGGTCTCCGTTTAGCAGTTTGCTGCTTGGCAGGGGGGTTGGAAGCTTCATCATGTATCACGCTGTCATCTTCTTCTTCTTCTTTTGCACCCTCCCCTTCTCCATCCGTGGCCAGCTCTTGGCGGCTAAGGTCTCTACTTGAATTGGACGGCAAACCCATCAGTATGGACGCACTTACACCTTGAAGCCTCGAGTCATCCTTCGGTTTCTTTTTGCGCTTCAGTTGTTTCGGGGTAGTGCCATTGCGACTTAAGCGTGGGACTGGAGGCTTGCGCTCGGGAAAATTGGGCGCACTGTCGGATCGTTGGCTTGGTTTCGGGCGGCGACCATTAACTCCCGCAGAATGCACCGCCCTCGCTCGAACTGCTCGTTGATTCTGCTGTCGAATGGCCTCCGACATCTTCTGGACTTGCAACTTGCGCTGTTGTATCTGCTCCTGCTGTCGCTTCATCTCGATCTGCTGCTCACGAAGCCCAGACGCAGCACTGAGAACGCGCTCGCGTTCCACCATTTTCCTCTTCTTTTGCCCACTGGTAGTGTGATGGCTGTGTAGTAAGTGCATCTGCACCATATCAATCGCAGGATCTTCGTAGATGTGATCTATTGACGTGTCCACTCGTGTCCATGGCGATTCCACATTGCGCTTTCCACTCGCCACCGGTATGTGCTCGGGATCACGACGAGAAGTAACCGATGATACTGTGTGTTTGTGCCCACTTGGTTTCTCTCGGCTGCGCTCTTGGTTTGTCTCTAACGCTGCTGGTGGCGTAGCAACAGTAGTCGAGTGTGGGTGCGAAGCCACGTGATACCGCGCTTGTGACTTGGCGTCGGAGTCTGCATTGTCTTGTCGGTGCGTAAATAGCGCCAGCTCTCGGGCTGTGAATGAGCTTCGTAGCTTCGTCAAAGACGGCGTGCTAGACACGAACGTGCCCAATGTACTACTAGCAGGTAGAGGTAGCGCCCTTGAACGAGGCTCACTGGTCCTGCGTTCATTTGAATGAGGCTTATCTTCCTCGAAATGCGTCGGTGACTCCCTCCTCGGTGTTGCATCCACGTCTGACAAACGCTCACCGACTTGAAATGCCAGCTCTTCCCGCCCCGTTCGCACGACTTCCGATACCTCTTCTTCACGCTGCTGGGTCTGCTCCCCATTCTGCTCAAGCTGCTGACTCTGACCATCATGAGCTACCACAACTTCGCTCGATCGTGGTTTTCTCGTATCGTGCGACCGCGTTGCAACATCACTCTCCATCGTCCTCTTTCCCGTCCTACGAATCTGAGGCGAGCGCGCACTGAGAGGGTGAGGCCCAGTGACGTTCTTCACCTGGAAACGGGATCTGGACGAGTCATCTCGAGATCGAACAACGGTCTAACATAACATACAGTATCCATAGAAAGCCGGGTGAGTATAATCTTGTAGATCTATGACGCAGCGATCGATCCCCTCACCTTCGACAGCTCTTCTCTCCGACGGAAGGGGCTTCTCAGGTGCGCCTAAACACCCAGTAGCCCGACACAGAGATGAATATAAACGTCCACTCTACGACTCACAAAGGACCTTCAATTTCGTTACCTCTAGCGTCAAACGCGGGGAGATTGCGATCGAAGCCGCCGCAGCGTCTAGTGACGAAGTTACGGAGCGTCTCGAGGCTGCAGCGGAGAAGACGGCGGGCACAGGGCGACCGGAACCTCCGACACGCAACGTCCCCATCTCCAGAGGCACCTGCCGCCCTGAGAACGCGCCCGAGCGACGCACAGCGCCGGCATCTTGCGCGTCGCGACTCTCCATGATACACAAGTTGAAGTGGCAGCAAAAAGACCTGTTACGTGGTACACATAAACTATCCCCTTAAGTACGATATCGAAGAGCTCAGTGACTGAGCCTCAGTCAGTGTGTTGTTGGCCAAGAAGAGCATCGAGGCGCCATGTCGTTAGCGTTCCTGTCCAAGAAGAGCTGGCATACAGCCAACCTCCGCGTACGTAGCGCTTGGTATACTTAATTACCGTCATCTTCTTCGTGCTCTCCGTGTTTTCCCGCGTCGAACGAGCTTTTACTCGCTCTTCTTCGCCCTAAAACTTATGTGTCATAAAAGGCTAACTTTTAGTTATTTATTTCTCCCCTCCTCCTCCTTTGCCCGCCCTGTAGAATGTGGAGAAGGTCTGGATCGCCGAGCAGAAGCACGCCGCCGAGGAGAAGAAGGTCGCGGAGCTGCGCAAGAACATCGAGGAGGAGCGGCAGCTCCAGGAGCTGCGCCAGCTGCAGGCGGCGCAGGGCAACAAGGCGGCGGCTGTGGAGCGCCTCGACTGGATGTACGAGGGCCCGTCGGCCGCCCGGGAGAAGACGGCGGAGGAGTATCTGCTGGGCAAAGAGTACAAGGGCGGAGACGAGAAGGCGGCCAAGGGGGACGTGGACCTGAGCGCCACCACCAAGTACGGCTCCTTAGCGCTCACGAAGAGCGCGCTGCCGGCCAACGACGCGTTCCAGCGGCTGAACGAGGACCCGATGATGCTCATCCGCAAGAGGCAGCAGGCTGCTCGAGAACAGGTGCTCAAGAACCCCGTCAAGATGAAAAAGATCAAGGATCAGGTGGAACGGTTGAAGGAGGACAAAAAGGCACGCAAGAAGGCCAAGAAAGCTGCCAAGAAGGAGAAGAAGCAGGCGCGTAAAGAGGAAAAGAGACGGCTCAAGAAGAAGCGCAAGCACGGAGAGGATGACAGCGATGCAAGTGATCTGAGTGGAGATGAAGATGAGGAGAAGGCGGATTATCGGCGTTCCAAGCACCACCGTGGACAAGGCCGCGACCGCGAGCGAGGCAGATCGCCGTCAAGGTCGTACAGTAGATCGAAATCGCCCGCCACCAGTCATCACAGCCGTGGCCGTGACCGAAGCTATCCCCGTTACAGTGGCCGAGAAGCAGAACGTCGCCAGCGCAGCCCCAGCAATCACCGTTCGATGCATTTGAGCACAAATAGGCACGGGGAAGAGCGTCGTCGAGGCAGAAGTTTCTCTAAGGACCGACGTAGCTCGAGCCCAACGCGCGATCGACGCTATCGCAGTCGAAGCCGCAGCGCCCCGCGACGTGAACAGAGGAAACGTAGCCAAAGCCCCCAGGACCGTGATGATTTTGGTCGTGATAGACCCTCGTCACGTGCAATTCGAACAGTGGCGGAGCGTTGCAGCAGAACACCACCGCGACAGGACTATTCCCGGGATACACACCGCCGGGACCATGGTCATCGTGACAGAAGTCGCTCCCGTAGTCCAGTTGATCGTCGTGGCAGACATCGCTCTCGAAGTCCTGATTATCGTGGCAGGCATCGTTCCCGTAGCTCTGGTGACAGGCGTGATAAACAGCGCGAACTCAGCCCCCGTGGGAACTCGTATCGCGAACGAAGCAGTCGACACCGCAGCCCCTCTCGTGACCGTGAGAGGGATTCGAAGATGCGCGATGGTGATCGACGTGACAAGGAGCCAGAATCGAGGCGTAAACCTCTGGATACGGAAGGGAAGTATGGTCTCATCAGCAAGGCGGGAGCTGTGGAATCCAAAGATGTTGATAAAACCTCGTTGGGACCCAACGCCAAGTACGTGGCCAAGGCCCGAGAGGCTAAACGCCTTGAGGAAGAGGAGCGCCGTCGCAAATTGGGCAAGACGTCTTCTCACCGGGAATCTCGTGCGCTGACGGACGAGGAGAAGCAGCGCATGGCGCAGCAAATGGTCGAAGACGCCAAGCAGCGCGACGAATACATCGCGAAGCGTGCGTCCCGGAAGAAGGACGAGCTAGACAAGCGCGAGCACGAAGCCACGAGCAGCAACCCAGAATTCCTCCGGTAAAGCGATTGTTTCTTACTTGTGGCTTAGGCACAACATCTAACATTGTGTTTGTCGGAATCGTAGGGAACTGCACTCGGCGGCATATCTAGATGGCGAGAGCAACATGGGCGATCGTCTTCGCAGAAACGCCCACTACATTCAGCGAAAGGCTGATTCCTCCAACTTCCTTTCCAAGTAACCCCAACGTATTTCATGTCATCGCACAACCTTGAAATCAAATGAAGTTGGCCACGGGTTTTGTTCAATTGACCCCGAGTTCGAATCCCATCACTCATAATATGTTATGTGGGAGCAGGCACTTTTCTTTCAGTACAGGCATGATCAGGGTGTGGTTTAAGTTCGTGGATCGCCAAGGTGGCCTGGTAGCCTCGCTGAGATACGTGGATCTAGCGCAAGATGCGCCGCTTGTCATTTTCAAGAATGCTGCTTGTAGCGCTACGGAAGCTTTACTCCCCCCAGGGCTCGACGCACCCGACCTGAAAGTGTTTGCCAACGCGAAGGCGCGACAAGACCAAACGCTTTTGGAGGAGCTGAACGGGTTTGGACAGAATTATGCAGAGCCGCTTATCGTGGAGGTGCCTGAGGTTTGGTTCAAGCTGACGAATGCTCGAACTGGCGATTTATTCCCAGGCACACGGCCAAGCTCGGTCCCCATCCCGGAGACTGCGACCGTCGAGCGTCTACTGGTTGCTCTGAAGAAGAGATTCAACGACAATTACCTCGATGGAATTGATGTGTTCAATCTCCAAGTATACGACCACGAGAAGAGCCCGCTGGAGGAGAACGTGCAGCTTGGTCCGTTCGGTCTCACAAGGAGCACGGCGATCATCGTGGAAGTTCCAGTGCGCACAAGATTGCGAGAGAGTACAGAGGGCGAACTTGATGAGAACCCGACAAAACGGCGCAAAGGCGTTGCTGGTACCAAGTGGAAATGGAAAGAAGAGCAGCCAGTCTATTGTGTTGAAGGAGGCAGACTGTTTTTCGTTGGCCGTGACAGCACCACTCAAGAGCTTGTACGCCTTCACAAAAGCAATTACAATCGTGCAAAGCGTGGTTACGGCAACATGTGGATGATCCCTTTGTTGGACAACATATCTGGACTCGGAAAGTCCCAGTTCGCCCAGGAATACATTCGGACCTGCCGACGGCAATGGGATGGTTTGCCAGCATCGGACAAAGATGGAGATTTTCTGAACATTCTTCGGCAGAGCCACACCATTACAGTCAAGCTTTCTCCCACGGATCTGTTTCATGAAGACATGAGTTTTGGCAGGGAGAAGGCTCGCGCGACCTTCGTCATGTCCATTCGTGCGTTCTTCCAGGAGAACTATGGCACCATACCTCGTGCTCTCGATTCGATTGAAGCAAACCTAGATCACGTGGATATTTTGATGCCGTTAGCGATCGAAGTTGGTCCGTTGTTCATCGTGATTGATGATATTGCTTCGGCTTTTGACGCCTCCACCCTTGATGCTCTCGCCAAGGAAAATCGATTCATGGAGTTCTGCAAAATGGTTTTGCGGCCACTGTTTTGTGTCAAACATTTATTTTTCCTGATTGCTGGATGCGCGCCCTTCCTCAATTATCTTGCTTCGAGTGGAGGTTATTTTATGTTCGACGACTGAGCCTTCGCTTGCTTCGACCGCCAGCGATTCAAGAGATCATCAAGAATACCTATAGGGACAAGAAACAGGTGAAGACTGTCCAGGAGCACTACAAACTTAATGATTACCAAGTGAAGGAGATCGTTGACCATCTTTTTAAGACAACGCTTGGCCATCCACGATCGTTACTCGCTGCCTTCCGCACCTGCCATTCCTACCATGATCTTGCTAAATACGAGATGTCTGGCGAACTGGGCGGAGACGTGAACTGGCAACATTTAGGCGAGTGCTTGCGGCGTTACGAAGCACCACTTCAACAACTGCTGGACTGTGCTGCGAATGAAGCAAAAACTTGGTGGACTTGTCATATGTCTGGAAAGAGGACGGGGGCGAACTAGTCTCATACGCTGATATCGCCGATATGTTTGGGATTGTGTGGGACGGGAACTTGTACGAGGCGAAATTGTTCCCGCCGCCGTATATCCAGCACGTCATGAGCTATGTCTACCCGACCAGAAAGCTACAAGAAAAGTTAACGATCCTTGATTCCCATGGCTTATAATAAGTTCTACTTAGACTAATGCACCGATACTTTTGCATTCGCTTTACTTGATAAATTGCAGCCATGCTACATATGCATGCAGTTTTCTTATATTCCAACTCCACTTTCATAACCTTAGGGACAGAGGACAAACAATAAAAAAAATGTTATTCCTATCGTTATGTTACGGCATTGAAAGGAATAGCTAGTTGAAACATTCGAAACATGCAGCGTGGAGACATAGTAAGATCTAGCTTATGACCTGTACTGCGAGCAGCATTCAACAGATCGGTCGGTCTACTGTGAAGTGAGTCAGTGTGCAACACGCACTACTCGATGTCGCTCATATCGCTGACATCGCTGTCCTCTTCCTGGTTGCCCATTTCGATGGGCTGCGACGCGTAGTTGCGCACATACTCTGCATCATCCAGACAATACTTTCAAATTAGCCTACCGACCATACACTCGACTCTGGGGTTGCGCACGCACCTTTCACTTTTCTATTGTACGACTCGGCGTCCTTCATGAGCAGCGAGGCGGCCTCTCCGTTCAGTGGGTCGCTTGGGTTCGGGTATCGCAGCAGTTGAGGAATGAACAAGTCGAAAATGTTGACCAGCTCTGAACAAAAGAGTTCAAGGAAAAAAGAATCAGCACGAGTACTAGTATCCTCAACACACAGCTAAACTCATATAAAATCTTACCAAACATGGGGCTCCACGTCTGGTTGATCACATCCAGGCACACAGATCCAGACCTGAAGGTCAACCCCACATCCATGGCAAAAAACGTTAGTCTCAGCAGCTCATCCGAGTTAAAACAGCACTAGGAAGACGTCGCACGTTTCGTCCACATTCGGGTGGTAGATGCGGTTCACGAAGCCGATGGACGGCGACTTGAAGGGGTAGTCTTTGGGCAGCGTCACGTGGATCTTCCAGCAACCTCCTTCGTACGGGGCTTCTCACACACAAGACAGAAGCGTCCGGGTCAGCACAAGCCAGCTCCTTTAGACACACTCACAAGAGCTTCACGCTGCACGCACTGTCTTCCGGGCCGTGAAACTTGACGTCGAGGTCGTTGGTCTTGGTCTCGTCCGTCAGATGCACCTCGTAGTCGCTCATCATGCTGCTCACAGGCGCGCGCAACAGGCAGGCACGAAGTCAGTTCCCCCTTTCTGGTACGTTCGTCGCGGATGGGACAGACACGCACAGCTTCATGACGTCCGTCTCGCGGCGCTTGTTGGCTTTGCTCATGCTGGAGGGTACTTGGGGCGGGTATGGGAGGGCGCGCGCTGCTGGGCTGGGAGGACTTGTTGCGACTGCTGGAGGCTTTCGCGTTCTTCCGTCCCCTTTTGACCAGCCGGTGTTCTTCACTTTGAAGAACAGAAACCCCTACACTAAAGGTCGCACCTACCTGATTTGACTTGGCATTTGTATGTACGGAGCCCCCCCCCACCTCCTTGTTCTCAGATTCTATGTGGCTTTTCAACGATTGTTTCATGTGGTGCACACAACGCTTTCCGGAGAAGAAGGCGTCGCACATGCGGCTACCGAAGTGATGCAATACTGTAGCGATATGTATGTGACGACGCCGCCTTCGCCGTCATAAACATGACACGCGTTGGAGGATAGCAATGCAAGTCACAGAGAAGCTGAAGTGCCTCGCGCTATTGTCGAGCTGCGCGCATTGTCGACGCGCGACGGATTTTTCCTGCAAACACGTGACGCAACCGCTGCAACTTCCGCCGCGTATATACCACAACTCACGCTCCGGTCTTTGCATTTTCCCCCAGACGAGCTCTCCTCGCCTCCATTACTGCCTTTGTCGTTCCTTTCGGTCTGCCTCTAGGTCGCTTTACGGCCGTGGGGCCCTTTGGTCTGGCCGCCGATCGCTTGGCTGGCGTCTTCGCTTTGCCCACCATCCTCTTCCCTGTCCTAGATACTGCTGCTGCCGTCGCTGCAGCGGGTGTACCCACCTCGTTCGTATCTGCAGCACCAGTGCCGCTTGCTTGCTCAGTTGTCTGCGGGATCATCACACGCCGCCGCGGAGGCGGAGCACGCACGTGACGCAGCTGCATGCAGGAGAACGGGCAGCGCTCGAGCCGGAAGACTGAGCCGTCAAAGATGAGCAAGCAGTCAGTGTCCTTGTGCTCCACCAGCTTGCCCTTGAAGCTCACGCCGCCCGGTGCGCCTGTGGACGAGCCCATGAGCACGTGAGCGCCGTTGGAGCCGTCCACGCTCACGAGTCCTGGCGTGCTCTTGTCCACCGACGCGGGCTGGAACTCATAGCCGAAGGACGTAAACACCTCGCGCGGCTGCTGCTGCTGCTCTTCGTCTGCGTCGGCGTCGAGCAGCGACGCGCCCAGCACCACAGGATACTCGCGGTCGTCCAGCGGAGCCGCTGGTGGCTCTTGCTCGTCCGCCATCTTCGATGTGTTCAACTAATTGGCTGGACAGTCTTTTTCACCAATCACGGGCGTTTTTTGAGAAGAGGCACAGTGTACCAGTAGCACGTCAGCCGAGCCCTGCAACTTCAACAAGCGACCTGCGCTACCTGCATATTATTGCCATCCTTGCCAATCCGTTATCTTAGTTAGCATCTACAAACTGAATTAGTATTGACTTGGCTCCTGTATAAAAATATACCCCAATATTTCCGGGAGAAACCAATGTGACGGGTGTTCCTGCACGGCACCAAACTGGGGCAATCTGGTTTCGCGCCGTCGGGATTCCATGTTTGCTTGCACTTGCCTTGTCGATCGATGGCCGTGACTTGCTCGCCGCATTGTTGCTCTGGCCAAATAGTCCGCCGGCGCCAACGGGTGCAACGACAACGAACCAACCAACCAACTGACCAACGAACCAACCAAACACCGAGCCGCAGCCAGCAAAACCCAATCGATCGATCGTCCTCCTCGCCCTCATCGCCCAACCCGCGCCGGCACCGCACCGCATTGTGCTTTTGCGGGTGTCAAGGTCCCACGCTGCCAGCCGTCCGAAGCTATCATTAGCGTGAGCTGCCTGTCAATCACCAATCTCTCTGCCGGTTCTTATAACTAGAGGCAGGGATCCTCACTCTGCTATTGCATTGCACTCCATACTCATTATTGCCCACTGCTGTGTGCTCGTCTACCCCGAACTGTAGAAACGACACGACACTCACTCACTACCCACGACGGCAGGCCTCGCTCAGGGCCGAGTCGAGTCGAGTCGAGTCGAAGTCAGTCACTTTTCCAAGTGCTTCGTAGCAGCACGCGCTGACACCTCGAAGAGAACGGACGCGCGCACGTCGCCCGGACTCCAATAGTCGACGACCACCATGGGGCTCGGCACTGTCACGCTGCTGGAGATCAACCAGGTGCCCTCGGGCAAGCGGATCGCCTACTGCTTGCCGTCGGGCGAGTTCATCTTCGTGGCGGACACGTGTGCGGCCACGTTTGGCGCCGACAATGCAGCGGATCTCTACGGCGGCAACCTGCTCCAGTTCCTGACGCTCGGAGACGCAGAAAAGCTCGAGGACTTTCTACGGGCTCAGCAGCAGCAGCGCAGCTACAGCAGTGCGTTGGCGTTCAACCCATCGCAGCAGATGCGTATGGTGGTGAGGCTGCCAAGCAACCCGAGCACGCAGCTATGGATCCACCTCTCCACGATCCCGCTCACGCTGCGAATGATGCGCTGCATCGACACCATCCGCAGCCTGAGCAGTCCGCTGGGGCACTTCGCGGACTCGTCCAGCTTCGTGCTCTCCGAGGACGAGTTCAGCTCGGTGATGAGGAATCCTCTCGGTGCGTCGAGCTCCTCGTTGGCATCGCGCGCGGTCGCGCCGTTGTCGTGTGAAGACGATGACGACTTGATGTTTCTGGAGTATGAAAATAGCTGCCTGTCCCCAGCAAGCCTCACGCCCATCGTACCGCTCGAGCTGAAGCACCGCCACCCCAATTTTGCGATGACTCATAACGGTTTGCGCCTGGACGACGCGGACACGGAGGAGACGAGTGACGACGACGAAGACCTCAAGGCGTCGCTGTCCAACCTGGCGTTCGAAGCAGATTGGTCCAGCGAGGCCGAGCACGACGACCAAGCGCATGCTCTGTTCTCTGCCGAGCCGGTCACCCCCACCTCATCGTCGTCGGGCTCCGATCCGATGGCATTCCGAGCCGAGCTCGTCATTTGAGTTCCGAAATAGTTTTTTAAAGTGGAGACAGTCCGTCCACATCAATCAGCCTCAACATTCATCGTAATCTGAAGTCGCTTTACCTTTCACGAATGCAATGCAATGTTGTGCCCTGTAGCAAGTCAAGTTGCTCAAGCGAGGTTTCGTATGCCTTTGTGCTTCGAATCACCGATCGCAGGATGCAGAACTCTGAGAGTGATAGGCATGGGATTAGCTTGGCGATGCGTTTTTGCCTTCTCTCTGGCAGTTCGCGATTCGCCTCAAGAAGCTCGTTCGACTTTCGCTCACAACCATGCGTTTGGTGAACGCTTCCGTGGCGATTTCGTGACTATCTGCGTCAGCGTCGCTCTATCGACGGCCGCCGAGGCTGTGCAGACCAAGACATCGATTGAGTGTTCGCCCTGCATCCCGGGTAACGCTGTTAACTACAACGGTGCCCACGGACGATCTCTGCGAGCCGAGAAGACACGCGCTGTTTCCGAGGAGAGGGAGAACTTGTGGACGAGATTCTACAATGCACTCCGAGTGCGGTGGTGGCTGGAGACTGAAAAAACTGACGAACAGGTGATGAAGATCTTAAAGCTGACGGGGCGATCGGGAGACGAGCTCACTGGTCATCCCAACTTCAAGACTTTCGCGAAGTTCGCCAAAACGGCAGAAAAGTACAAGCTTGGCGAGTGGTACAGAAGTCGAGTCTCCACGTACGATGCATGGGTGAAGTTGGGGCTGGAAGACGTCCCCCTCCATTTGGTCCACCAAACCCCCGCATATTGGACCAATTACCACTATGTGAACATGTTTGACTATTACGCCTCTATCGCGATGAAGAACAGACACCAGCCACCGGTGCTAGTTAGCGAAAAAGCATCGCCAAAAGAGATGTCAAGAGTGCTGATTTGGGCAGCTACGGAGCGGTCGGACGATTATGTCAAAGCGGCATTGGGGATACTCGGGAAGTCGGGAGAGGCGCTGACGACGCACGCGGGCTACAAGTACTACAAACAGTATCTGGGCCATCTCGAGGAGGCCAAGAAGGTGAAGACAGCAACAACGGCCGCGTAGTTTTCCTTCCACAAAGGTTTTTCAACAAATGAAAGGAAAATATACTTGGACTTGAAACGTTTTTACAGGAATCGACGTTCCAAATCTAAAATAGTACCCCCTCCAGATTTTAGAAACGGTATATCTGTAATGGATTTAGAATTTAGAAATGATAAAGTTGTACATTAGCGAATATGAGCAGCTCCGCGAGCATCGAGGTGCCGTCGAACGACATCCGCTTCCAGATGGAGCTGGAGTTCATCCAGTGCCTGGCCAGCCCCGCGTACCTCAACTGTGCGTGTGTCTATTGTTCCCTCTCTTGCTCTCGCCCGCCTAACGCTCTCCTTTGGCCGCCGCAGTCCTCGCCATCAACCGGTACTTCGAGAACCCGGCCTTCATGAACTACCTGCAGTACCTCAAGTACTGGAAGCAGCCGCAGTACGCCAAGTACATCGTGTACCCGCACTGCCTCGCCTTCCTGGACATGCTGGACGACGAGCGCTTCCGGCAGATGATCGCGCGCGAGGACTTCATGACGCTGGTGCACGGCCAGCAGTTCTACCACTGGCAGACGTTCCTCAGCAACCGCTCGGAGGGGAAACCCGAGGACGCGGCTCCGAATGCTGAGACGCTGGTAGCCGCAGCCACCGCAGAGACGAGCTAAAGCGCTCAATCGCACTCGAAATCTGACAATATATACACTGCATGGACACGGATGGATGTAAGGAACAGGTTTATTGACTTGACTCCTTCCAGGTTGTCTGGGATCTAACTAGCTGCAGCAGGCGCGCGGTGGATGGGGAGGGGAGGGGGGCGTGTGGCTACGACATGCCGCCCTTTGCTCGATGTCGGACGCCTTGTCTTGACTCTGTGTGCTCTTAGAACAGACCGATCACCTTGCCAGTCTCGGTGTCAAGGTCGACGTCGTAGAAGCCCGGACGCGTGGGGAGGCCAGGAACGGTCATCATGTCTCCGCAGAGCACGTAGACGAAGCCAGCGCCCACAGAGGCGCGGATGTCACGCACCGTGACGGAGAAACCGGTGGGCACGCCCTTCGCGGTCGGGTCCGTGCTCAGACTCAGGTGCGTCTTGGCACAGCACACGGGCAAGTTGCCGTATCCCCGCTCCGAGTACACTGCAAGCTTCTTCTTGGCCTCCTCGCTGAACTCGACACCATCAGCACCGTAGATCTCCTCTGTTCAAGTGAAAAGAAGCGTTAGTAGGAAGCTCGACAAGGCTGCATAGCAAGAGAAGGGAAACCGTACTGCAGATGACTTCGAACTTCTCAGCGATGCTGAACTCGAGCGGGTACAGGAACTTGAACGGGCTTCCCTGAGCACGCATCTTCTCGCAGGACGTGACGACAGCTTGGCCCAAGTCCTTCGCGCCCTTGCCACCCAGCGCCCAGTGGTTGCTCTCCACAGCAGCGGTGGCACCAGCCTCCAGCGCCTTCTGCTTCACCAGCTCAATCTCACGAGGCGAATCCGTGGCGAACACGTTCACAGCCACAACAACCGCCACGCCGAACTTCAGAGCGTTGCGGATGTGGTGCTGCATGTTGGCGCAGCCAACCTCCAGCATCTCGAGGTTCTCCTCAACGTACACAGGGTCAAGCTAATGGCATAGCACACAACGGAGAGAGTGAGTAGACGATCACAGCATCTCACGCAGCTCACGAAAACTTACCGGCTTGCCAGCAACCACGTTTGGGCCTCCACCGTGCATCTTGAGCGCACGAATCGTAGAGACAAGCACCACACACTGCGGGGTCAGACCGCTAGTGCGGCACTTGATGTTGAAGAACTTCTCCATGCCGATGTCGGCACCAAAGCCGCACTCCGTGACCACAAAGCCGTCCTCTCCAGCAAGCTTGAGCGCAATCTGGTCGGCGATGATGGAGGAGTTGCCGTGAGCGATGTTGGCGAACGGGCCAGCGTGCACGAAGACGGGAGTTCCCTCCACCGTCTGCATGAGCGTGGGCAGGATCGCATCCTTCATGAGCACAGCCAGCGCGCCACCAACTCCCAGGTCGTCAGCCGTCACGGGCTCGCCACCACGGCTCATGCCAATGACGATACGGCCCAGACGCTCACGCATGTCCTGCAGGCTAGTAGTAAGCGCCAAGATGGCCATGATCTCACTAGCCACCGTGATGTCGAAGCCAGTCTTGCGGGTCTGACCCTTTTCAGCAGGGCCAGCACCCACGACCACCTGACGCAGGAAGCGGTCGCAGGTGTCGAGCACACGCTGCCACGTGATGGTGTCCGGGTCAATGTCAAGGCGCGCAAACTTGCTGATCTCCTCGTCCGTGAGATCATCAGGCGTCACCTTGGTGATTCCCAGCTTCTGCAGGCGCTTGAGCATGACCGGCGAGAACTTGCCCGAGGCGCCCTTCGCAGTCGGACACAGACGACGGAACAGAGCCTTATCGCTCTGTGCGTTCTCGTGGAACATGCGGGTGTCAATGGCAGCAGCCAGCTACAACACACAAAGCAAACGATGCGTGGTCAGTAAACCGCGTCCCATGGCAATAGCTTCGACTACACAATGCCACTCACCAGGTTGTTGGCAGCAGTGATAGCGTGGATGTCTCCCGTCAAGTGCCTGTTTTGCAGAAATAAACCAAAAGGGTCAGCAAGCTCCCCTACCACTTCAGCCACAACCTCCACGCGTACAGGTTGAACTCGTCCATGGGGATGACCTGCGCGTAGCCTCCTCCAGCGGCTCCTCCCTTGACACCGAACGTCGGGCCCTGCGAGGGCTGACGGATGCAGGCGAACGCCTTCTTGTCGAGGTGTGCACCCAGCGCCTGGCACAGTCTACGCAATACCCACGAGTTAGCTTTAAAGTTCCAACCACCGACAGCTCCGCAGCCTCGTTCAAACGCACCCGATAGTGGTGGTGCTCTTGCCCTCGCCCAGCGGCGTGGGGGTGATGCCCGTGACCACGACATAGTTGCCGTTGGGCTGGCCCTTGAGTCGGTCGCGCACGTCCAGCGAGATCTTGGCCTTGGTGGAGCCGTAGGGCACCACCTCTTCGGGCAGCTACAGCAGCGGCAACAATTGCAATACAGCGCACAAAGCCCCAGTCAAATATCGGCTCTGTAGCCTCCATAAAGCCCGAAAGTATCTTGTGTCAACGCACGATTCCGGCGGCCTGGGCGATCTGCGTGATCGGCAGCGGCGCGATGGCGTCGCTGATGGCGATGTCGGACGGCACGGGCGTCAGCAGCTGCTCGGGCTGGAGCTGGCGCGGCATGGTGGCGGAGAGGTAGGAGGGGGAGGAGGTCTTGCTAGTCGCTCGAGAGCCGATTCGGAACTGCGCGCACGAGTCGGTGGACGGCGTGTTGCGGCGGCCTTTGTGCCCGTGACGTACGGGACAACCAATGAGATGCCGCCGAGGGAACGGCTTGGCCGCGCGGCTTGGATGCCCCGCGTGATTACATGACGGCTTATCATTGAAGAAACGCAGCGCTGGTGTGAGCAGCGAGTTGGCTCGGCCAGCTCACTGAGCTGCAGCTCCGGGGTTTGTGTTTCTTCTCTATGTTCTCTCTCTCTCTCTCTCTCTCTCTCTCTCTCTCTCTCTCTCTTTCTTTTCGTTTTGGATCGCTGCATGAGCCGTGGTTTGATGCATGTCAAAATGGGAAGGTGATGGAGATGCTCTCTCTGTAGGATTTGCATGGATTCAAATCCTTGATGTCTTAGGAAAAAGGCGCAGGCGAGGGAGAATCGAACTCCTGCCAACCGAATGGCCTACAGATTTGAAGTCTGCACTCAGCACCAGCCAAGATCACCCCTGCGACAGAAGTCCGCGAGAATGCTCATACATACTGTACTGGTGCAATGCCAAGCGTCAAAATGAAGTCTTTCGCTGCCAAGCGAACCACGGCCTTGTCCTCGTTTCCGCTCGAGCGGTAGGCCTCCGCGAGGTTGTGACGCGCCATGATGGTCTCGTTGTGCTCCGAGCCGAGCACCTGCTTCCGCACACGCAGCACCTCTTCGTACAATTCGACTCGACGGCACCGAGTTTGCGCGAGCGCAAGTTCCAGCAGCGGTATGTCTTTGAGTACTGCACATATCTAACTCGGCCGTCTTGGTAACGAGTTCGCGATGGACACACGTCCGCTATACACTGCCAACAGCGCAGCTATCCTCAAAGCGAAGACGAAGAGCGTTCACTAGTCACCAACAATCAGAAGTTGTGGCGAAATGATATTGGTTACGAGAACGGGGATCTGCGACGGGAGTCAGGTGGCGCCATTCAACACAATGGCCTGCTTGCCTCTTCAAAGTGCTCCCCGCACGTGCTGCGAGTCCTCACCCTGCATTTCGCGCGACAGGAACAATCGTTGCAACGGGCTGAACCTGAAGCAAGAACTTTCTCCAACTGCCTTGAAGCGCAAAGCTTGCTTCGAGCTGCCGAGATCCGAGTCATTCAGCGTTTTGCGCCGCTGTGAGCACACTCCACCCAAGGTCGAGCGCCCCCAAGAGTTTCCTGACGTCATGATGAAGCGCTTCGCTGTTCTTCTACTGGTGGTGCTGGTCGCCATGGTGAGCTGCGCGCACGCTGACGATGCGCCTGCAGCCCCGGCTGCTGAGGACGCTAAGTTGGAGGATGCTCCTCCCGGAGTGACTTTGCTCGGCGACAAGGAACCGCTCCCGGCCAGAAAGGAGCAGTACATCGCTGGAGGAGGAGGCTACATCCCGACGGGAGGCATCACGTACCGCTGGCGCTACACGTACCCGTGGGCCGGTGGTTTCCGCTACGGCTGGCGCTATCCGCTTGGCTACTGGAACGACTACGGCCGCTTCGTCTACGGCTCGAACTGCCCGTTTGGACGCTCGTGGGGTGGCTTTTGGTACTGCTAAGTGGCGCGCGCGTCTCGACTGCAGCCTGCCGCTCAAGACGTGGCCACCTGAGCCACGTGCGAGGTTTTGCAGATGGAGATGAAGGAAGACCAGTGAAAATGATGAAGTGAGGAAGAGCAGAAGAGGAGATCGACAGCTGCAGCAGCGAGTGAGCACAAAAGACGCCCCTGCGTCGAACAGTTTTGAGTTTTTTTTCAGAAGCGTAAGGAAAGCAGTGTAGTTGCAGCGAAAGGATGAGGTGGCGAGCAACTCGCGAACAAAATGAATTGGCGACAAGATCCGTTCTGGTACTGGTTCATCATTCGTCGACAATCAAGTGTAGCCATATCGCGTCAGCAGTACCCATTTGATTTGCAATCATCCTTCAACCAATCAGGATGCTGCTTTGATGGCCCAAATTAGAGGTAAATGAGCACCTCGTGTAATTCTCAACAGCAAGGATGTCACGCGGGGTCGATGTGCGTCTTCTCCTGCTCTGTCGGGAGATCCACCTTGTCGTTGAGTGCTACGCCCAGCAACCCCACCTTGTTGAGTTTCAGCAGTGAACTTCGCTTGAGTATTGGGTCCAATGTGCCCATTTCCTCCGCCAGCCAATCAGGCCTCTCCTTCTGACCGATCCAATATCCTCCAATCGAGCGACCTCCTCGCTACCTGTCACCGTTCCCGCCAAAATAGCGGCCCGCTTCGTAGTCTCCGCGCCATTCCAACTTCTTCACGCTCGCGCACACTTAACGCCCAGCCAACTCCAACTCGACACAATGGAGGCCCTGATCCAGAAGGAGCTGATGCTCAAGAGCGGCGAGGTGGTGTCCACGTCGCAGGCGCTGGCCGGCAAGAAGGTCATCGGCCTCTACTTCAGCGGCCACTACTGCCCGCCGTGCCGCAAGTTCACGCCGCTGCTGGACGTCGTGTACAACGACATCAAGGGCGCCGGCCACGACGACTTCGAGATCGTGTTCGTGTCCTCGGACAAGGAGGAGGCCAAGTTCACCGAGTACTACGAGGAGATGCCCTGGATCGCGCTGCCCTACGCGCGCCGTGACCTCAAGCTCGAGCTGTGCGAGAAGTTCGGCGTCAAGACGGTGCCCACGCTCATCTTCTTCAACGAGAAGGGCGAGATGGTCGAGCGCGAGGGCCGCCACTTTGTCACGGACAACTCGCAGGACATCGACGCCATCCTCTCCCACCTCCGCCAGGAGAAGAAGGAGTAGAGCTGCAAAGGATCCCTATCCAGTCTCTAGCTCTGATGCATTATCTTCTTCACCCTTGTAGAACTCCTTTTTTTAACGATAGCTAACGGTGAATTCTTGAAACTCTTGCAATCAAGTGCACCCTTTACTTGCATCACGCCTTAGTTATCTGGCGGAATAGCCTCATCAGCGTGGTGAAACCATCGTGCTTGGTCTTGATCATCTCTTGGAGAGTGATGATAACTGTACTGTGGTAAGGACTACAAACGTGATGGAAGAACGCAACGCACTCGCACACGAAAGCTCGACTTCTTTATAACAAAACCATATTGAAAATACTTTCAAGGCGAACGCGCCGCATTCGAAAAAATCCCACTACGAAGCTGAACGGCAGTCTCGAGTGGAGGCGTACGGGGTGGGGTCCTCGCGGCTGTAATGTCCTGTGAGGTCCTCCTGACCAAACTGCATCCTCGTCTGCAGACGTGACGGTCTCGAGCTGTAGATCGCCCGTCACTTTGCTGTCCGTGCGGCCCAAAACTTGATTATTTAACACCAACGACGAAAGACGAGGACTACAGAGTCCGCGCCGTCATAGACAAGGACGTGCGCGGGCGCTGGAACATAAGAAGGAGCGGCTTGGGACCCTTCTGCAACAGCTTCATCGCTGCGCCGAAGCCCATCTTGCTGATGTTGTTGTTGTTGATACTCAGCAGGACATCGCCAATCTCCACTCGGTTCTTCTGCGATTCGCGCGTCACAGCACCCTCGCTCTTCACGTTGATCACGCGCGGGTAGTAGCTTGTGCTCTCCTGCTTGACGACGATGCCCAACGGACCGTCCTCCTCTTTCCACGTGATGTAGTACAGTGAGTGGTCGTTCTTCGGGTTCATGCTCACACGAGATGGCCGCGTCAGGCGTGACATCCCCATCGAGTTCGAATCGTCCTGAGGGTTCGACAGCGTCGAGCTGCTCAGTGGGTTCGTTTGATCAAGCTGCTGGTGCGGATCTTCCACGAGGTCAGTGTGGCGGAAGCGCAGCACTGCTGGCCGAGGGCCGCTCTCCAGGATGTCGATCACCTTCTGGAAGCGCACACCCTGCGTTGAAAACTCGTTGATGAAGACCAGGTGGTCACCAGCACGGACGTTGAACATGCCAGGCAATAGCTGGTTGCCTTGCGACTGGAGGACGCAGGGGTATCCAGTGCTTGGGTCGGGGCGGAATCCAAGACCAAGCGGTACACCCTCCTTCCACAACACTTCGTAATCCTCTTCGCCCAGGAGTTCAAGCGATCCTGACCGCAGACGGAAGGATTCTGTCGGATTGCGGAGGAAGTGGAGACGCACAGGTTTCTGCACTTCTTGCAGCAAGGTCAGAATACGGCGGATATCGCCCTTCTTCACCTTCACCTTGCCCACAGCGAGAAGAACGTCTCCACGAGAAACTTCGAAAATGTCGGCACAGTTGCTCAAACTTTCATGCACACGACGGACAATGGGCATGCCAGAAACAGGGTCACTCTCGAAGTACAGACCAAGCAGACCGCATTCCCACACGATTTCGTACTCGTTCTGGATCTGCTTGGGCGGTTCGTACTCCTCGATCAGCTTCTTTCGGGAAATACGAGAGCTGCTGCGGATGCTGATGCTTCCGTCGTCGCCCATGTACTCACTGGAGCTCTGGTCGCTTGTAACTGAGCTCTGGAACGAGATTGTTGTGTTCTTCCGGTCCTTCATCGAGATTGACTCAGATAGTGAAATCGAGCTTGCAGTGGTGCTGCGTTCATCTAATGAACCCACGTAAGATACGTCGTGCTCGAAGCTCAGCGTATTGGCAGAATACTCGCGACGAACAAGCCACCCACGCACGAACGACTGGATAATCGTAGCTGCACGAACACGCTTGACCTGTTTTCTTGCCAAGAAGCCGCGAGTAGTCCTTTGTAAAGTAAGAGCTGCGCGTTCACGACGAATGATGCGCTGATACCGGTTCCAGCATGACCAAGAGCGCCAAATAGCTTGGATTCGGATGCTGGATCGACGCTTGCGCTGATAACGAGTGCGGACAGAGTAACCCAGGCAATAGCGCTGCAACGTGATCACTGACTTGTACAGAGCCTTGGACCGACTGGCTTCCAGAGCTTGATGAGCTTCAAGGACGCAAAAGACCTTCGTCTTACCCACCTGGAAAGGAGGATGTTTCGAATCCGTGTTGACGTCGAGCAGTATCCCCAGCTTCTCCACCATTTGTGCTGCCACTTCTTTCTCTGCCTGCCCCTGTGCATTTGGTACCTGCGACAGGATGCAGCTGTACGTTTTGATAAATACGTCGTGAGGAAAACGCACAGGGTATCCACTGCGAGAAATCTTGACAGCTTCCAGCACACCGCTACAGCGTAGTTGCTCTAGGAGACGCCTTCGATCGAACTGCGACGAGCTTGCCTGGTCATTAGGCTTGATGCAACGAATGAAGTGAGGCTCCGTCGCGTTCAGCACATCCAGCAGCGAGCTCAGCTGACTCTTGAATTGCGCTACAACAGTAGAAGACATGATACCCCCTCCAGAGCGGCGGCGAGTAGTAGAATCGCTGCTGCGCGACTCGGTCCGACCACTTCTCGGGCTATTACCTCCACCGTTCACACTGTTTTCGAAGCAAGCACGAACGAAGGAGAACTTTGACGTGCGAAGCAAGTCCACCGCCTCAGTGTGCATGTGATCCTTGTTCTTATCGCAAAAACCGTCGGTCATGTAGCACACGTCGCCGGCATAGTGGTGAATGACGAACTGACCCTTCGCGCGCTGAAGCTTGCTCACCGAGAAGCTCTCGTGCTTCCCTGCAAGCAGCTCGTAGTACTTGTTAGCCAGTTTTTCATCGTTACCACGGGGAATTAGACACTGTTCATCCAGCAACGAGAAGATGCCCATGTGTCGCTTTTCCACAAGCGCCACGCACACATCATTATTCGGGTAGTCCACAAACTTCCAGGGGATCTCCTCCGCCACGTACTGGTCCTGCTCCATGCGGAAAACGAACCGACCAAACAACTGCTGCAGCTTCTCGTTGGCGTAGTTGATGCACAACTGCTCTAGACGATTTTGCTCGAAAATCTCGAAACCGAAGATATCAACCACACCAATAAACTGGCTGCCGCCGGCTTCTTCCTTGTACTCGATACTGCGGTTGATTCGGTCCACAAGCCAGTTAAATAGGTTTGAGTAGAGAGTCTTGACTACCGAGTCCCGCGTCGAGAGCGCTTGAGCGACGGGCAGCCTCGTCGTAATGAACTCGGCGCCAGCCTTAATCTGCTTCGTGCACAACGTGCTGCGTAGCACATCCACCTCCACGCCAAGGAGCGAACAAATAGCTCGAATGTTGTCACCACATTCATCCATATCCACGACAGAGGCATCATCCTTTCCACCGTTGCGGGTGGCAGTCGTAAAGCTGATGTTGCCCAAATGCAGCACGGCCGAAACAATCTTCATCACATTGAGCTGTTCATCGGAGCTCATGCCAATACTCGACATGGCTCGTCGCGTCACTCGATACGACTCGGCGTCGTCCACGCCGTCCAGGCGTTCGTAGCACTCGGACTGGTTTAAATACGCGTAGTCGTGGATGTCCAGCAGTGCCAGTTCCTCGCGCTCCGATGGAGAGCTTCCGCCGCACATTTCGTAGAACACATGGTAGTTTCGTTCTCCCTTGCCCTGTGAAACGAGACGCACACGCTCCAGCAGATACGTGGAGATCGAGGCACCCAGCATTTCACCTGAGGACGTGAACCCGAGCTTAATGAACTTACCGAATCGACTGGAGTTGTTGTTCCGCGTGGTCCTGGCGTTACCGAAGGCCTCCAGAATCGGGTTGGACTCGAGCACTCGGTCATGAATCGTCGTTTGGTCGCAGTTGCTCGCCCGAATCGGGCGGCGCGTACGCTTGGTCGACACGTAGGCCAGGTAGTTCATGATGAGCTTGGTGGTCTCCGTCTTGCCGGCGCCGCTCTCGCCGCTCACCAGAATGGTCTGGTCCGTCTTCTTGTCGCTCGATCGCGGCACCAGCATGGTCCGGAAGGCCTGGTCCGCGACGGAGTACACGTGCGGGGCCAGCGTGCTCTTGTCGGCCTCGGCGTTGCCGCCCAGGTTGTAGTACTGGTCCTTGGTGTCGTCCGAGTACATGCCGAGTCTTCTGAACGGGTTCATGGCCACCAAGATCTGGCCCGTGCTCGTGTAAATCTCTCCGTGGAAGAAGCGGCGTCTCAGCACCTGCAGAATCGCTGGCTCATGGAGATGCACGAGCTTGGTCAGGTCCTGCACGGTGTGGTAGTGCTCCCCCTGGCTGCGCGGCAGCACCAGGTCCGCCGAGATGGATACATTCCTGCGCACCGAGTTGCGGCGCGAGTTGCGGCGCTTGCGCGGCGTCTGGAAGTCCTGCGCGTCCGGCACGACGTCGTCGCCCTCGGGCGTGACCAGGTGCTCGTCGTCGGTCTCGGGCTCCAGCGCGCACTCCACGAGGCCCGAGGAGGCGTCCGCGGGCGCGGCGACGACCGCCTCGTGCCACAGTTCGCGGTCGAAGACCCACACGGGGGCGCCGACCTCCATGGCTGCTGCTGCTGCTGTTCTTGGACGGGGCCTTCCCTCTCTGCTCGCTGCGGCGGGGGCGGCGTCAGGAGACGGCGTTGGCGCGCTTGGGGGCCCGGCGCGAGAGGGTTCAGAGCCTAACCTGTCGTTGTCCGGGAGTCAACGCGCGCGCAGAGGCTCGTTCTTACGTGCCAGCGCGGGGCGGGGGGCAGCAAGCAGGCAGGGCTCAGCGCGCGGCCGTAGTGGCGATTTGACCCGGGGCGGTTAGCCAGCGGGAACGGATAGGCCCTGCAGAGTGTATGTCGTGTGCAACACAACCACACGGTCCGTGAGAAAAACCCATCTGGCACCTACCCCTATATCGTTTTCGACGAATGAAAAGACGTCTGGGGCTTAAAACCTTGCCCCGCGTGCGTAGGTACGGCATCAGACGACGAGGAAGATGAAGCCTGGTCTGCGGGATCCGCTCGCGATGGCTCCGCTCATGGCGAGCTGCCAGCAGCGGCGCTCGGCGCTGCGATGCCATTAAAATAGCCGGCGCCAGATGCGTTCGCGCTGATGCTGCGGGGGAATGCAGGCGGCGAGTACACGCTATGAGTTTCCGCCCGGCAGCCTGCTGTGTTAGGACATGCTGCTGGGGCGCCCAGGCCTGGATTCTCGCCCCTGCTCCGTACCGATGCCGTCGCTCGTCTGCACCGAGATACAATAACTCGCTCGCTTGGTCGAGCCTGTCGCCAAGTGATGCAAACACATCGGGGCCCTGGCTTCCGAAGGCTCTGCAGCGCGAAGCCATCGGCGAGCGGGATTAATCGCTTTGGCTCGCATTCTGGTCTTGATGCATGGAGATCACATGCTTGCTTGCCGCTCTTCCAGCGTGCCGCTGATCACGCCACATGCCGAGCCGCGCCTTTTTCGATGGGGCGCACGCTGGTGCCATGTGTCCCAGGGACACACGCAGCCGGCGTCGCGCGAGCTGAAAATTGCCGGCGACGGGTGTTGGTGGCGAGGGCCAGCGGCAGTTCAGGAGGAGCAGCATTAGCTGCGGCTAGCCAACGTGGGGCTGTCGTCGGCGTGCCGCGCTTGCTCGATACGGCGACCGTCAGATACAGTAAGAAGGCCGCGCGCCATATAGGACTCACGCTCAATGAGCGTCGTCGCGTTGAAGCGCTTCGAATTTTATTGTCGATTCAGTGAGATGGCTACATTCTATGAATTGTCATGCCACAGTAGACCTGGAGTCTCCAGTGGAGAGGATGAGGAAGTGCCTTTTTGCACGGAGTGAATTTGAAGCATGCCAAAGCCCACGTGTAGGAGCACACTATATATTGCTAGCACCATATACAGGTACTGTTCTACCTGTCGTAACCAAGCCTACCTAACTTAGCTGGTCTTTTTCTTGGGAAGCTCAGCGACCAAAGTCTTTGAGTTCAAGCCCGACGAGCGCTTTCTTCCGGTTCGAGGGTTCCGTCAGGCCCAGCGCCACCTTTGCGTAATCTTCACCTCTTCCACTGTGTGCCAGAATCGCCGTTCTTGCTACTATCTCCGCATGGGTGGCTTCCCTGCTAACCATCTCCGCAGGGAGTGGGTTACCGGCTTTAACCTTGATCATTGCGAACTTGTCGAAGTCGTTCACGTATCGCTCGTAAATCCGGAACTTGTCCGTTTTTTCGATCTGCTTCAGGCCATCCATCGTGGTAACATGTTGAAATCCGAGCTCCTTCCAGACTTGGAATGTCGTCTTACCACTTGTTCACAGGTCGAAGACCTGTGCTTGGCCCCGGCAAAAAACTTGTAACTTTCCAAAACCGGGTTTACCAAACCGGGTCTCTCTTTCTTAATTGTAATGTTTAAGCTAATATCTGCCGGAATCGGGTACCCGTCGATAAATGCTAAGATTTATGCACATTATTTACCAAAGGTTGATACTAATCGTTCATTCTTTACCAAAACCTGCGCTCAAACACTTACGGACGCTCCAGTACACTATGAGAGCGTCATGGCCTCGCTGAAGGCGTATCAATTTGCGCCATAATCGACCAAGCTTAGCTGAAGATGACCAACATGACTTGTCTAGCTGCAGGCTGCATTTTTTACATGTCAATTTGCTCAATACTCAATCACTTAGCCGAAGATGCCCAACCTCGTGTCTCTCGCCAAACCAACCAGCTCAACTCGACAGTGACACGAGCATCGTTCGTTTGAATTAGGCTTTCTTTACCTGTGTTGAAGCGCCCACTTCCAAGGACTTGGCACATTAACGTATTTCTCATTCCGCAATTTACCCTCAAGTTAAATGGTCAAGATCAGCGCACCATGCATCTCTCCTTCGTTCCGCTAGCTCTCTCGTCTTATCGTTAGCACACAACATAGTACTAAATGAGCACAGTATACCTTACCTGCAAACTGAATGAAATAGTTCTCTCGTTGCTGGCGTCAACGCAGCCATTGGACGCTGACCAAAGTGTTATTCCCGGGCAGATGCTGCGGCTGCGAAGCAGCCGCAGCATCTGCCCACGTTAGTATCAACTAGAGAGTTCGGCTGGTAGTGCTCTTTTAAAATCCTTAAAAGGATTAAAAACAACACAACTTGGGGATTTACTCAATTGTTATCCGTTATCATCGTCCATGAAACTATTCGCCGACCTGTGTACCCTCCCGGAGCAACGCTCCGGGTTGCTTATAAGCCACTTGCTAAGCTTGTAACCCTCAAGAGTTTTGGCAAAGTATTCATAGTACTTGTAGTTCTTGTGCGCCTTCAGGGCTGCTCCTTCCAGCCCGTTGAGCTTCAGCTTCGCCTTGACATAGTCGTTCTTCTTCCCCCTTTCCAGCCACAACCTTACTTTTGTATGCATGAGGATATTTGAAAACACACCTTCAGCCCTCTCATCAGAGTCTGTTGCGTCGGCGTTGTTGTCTGTCTGCAGCAAACGGTTCTGAATAGCACCGCTGCGGTCTTCGGCAATCGAGTTGGGCAACGTTGTGATCTTGGTATTCATTCTCTCGGAGGCTTCCGAGGTGGCAGCTATAAGGATGAGTGCCACCACCAGTAGAACTTGCTGAAGTCGCATGACTGTACTTGGAGTCCTCGAGAAAGTTGTTAAGTGACCGTGCCCCACGGCTAGCGAACGGCTAGCACTTCACTGACGATACTGTGCGTGAGCCATCCCCAGCCACGTGCTAGCGAGGACTAACAAATAACGGGGCGCGCCTCCGTGTAGGCTGAGTTGAAAAGGGTATTCACTGTGTATTCATATACTCGGGATGGTGTAGTTACAGGTTTGGGGTCCTACATGTATTATTTACAGGTTTATAGTTCCAGGAGTAAACCTCCGGCCAATACCGGTTGTTAGACCATCAAAGGTTCTAGAGACTCCGCAGTGCACGCCTCTCGCGAGTTGAGCGCCAGGCGAATCACCGTTGACAGCCTAGCAACCGCATTTGAGTCGAAAGGGAAAGATACGCTTTGTTTAAGGCAAAGTTGAAGTGCGTAAGTTGCGCTGTAGAAGCGTTCACAAAAGCAACATAACCGTCCAGAACACACTGTGCCATATAAGTGGTACACACGTGTACTGTACTCGGCTCGGTCCCACCACCGCACACTTTTGACAACCTGCATCGATGGCTGGAGCTGCCGACACTGCTGGGCCCGCGGACGCGGCCCCGGAGCAGTCGCCTGCCCAGTACCTCACGCGCTTCTGGCGCTCCAATGCGTCGGCCTTCATGCGCTGGTTCCTGGCGTTGCCCTACGCCGGCCAGGTGTCGCTGCTGCGCAACGCGTCGCCCGACATCCCCGTGTCCTACGACCCCAAGGAGACGCGCCCGCAGGCCGCGCAGCTGCTCACGCCCGAGCTGACGCTCAAGGCTCTGCTGGAGGAAAACGGCAAGGTGCTGTTGCGTCTGATGAACGCGCGTGCCACCAAGGCGGATCAGTGCAGCCGCCACGACCTGCTGTACCTGGCCTCGCTGCGCGCCAATGGCACCATGCCCACGTTCTCGGGGGAGACGTTCAAGCACGTGTCGCTGGCCTTCATCGACCTGGCGGACCCGGGACACAACGTGCAATCGCTGCTGCCCTCGGCGTCGCCCGAGATCCTCGAGGAGAAGAAGAACCTGATCAAGCAGGGCAAGCTCATGGAGGCCGACGTGTGGCTCACGCTGCAGATGCGGCAGCAGGTCATCCTCACGCTGCTGACCAACGTGGCGCACACGTTCGAGACCATGTTCCTGAAGCAGGTCATGGTGGGCGAGGTCACGGCGGCGGAGGTCGGATGCCGGTACTGCGGCTCGTCCAAGCGCAAGGAAGAAGGCGCGGACGGAGCCACCAACCTGCTGCGCTGTGCGTGCGAGGCGGCGTTCTACTGCTGCAAAGAGCACCAGGTCGAGGACTGGACCAACCATAAGACTAGCTGCAAGACCATTCGAAAGGAGAAGCAAGAGAGTTAGGCGTTAGGAGTTAGCCACGGCAACACCTCTTGATTCAACGTACCATCCAAGGGTTGAGCCGTGTTGCAAGTCTTAGTAGCTGCCCCCGTAGTCGAGACACAATGCTCCCAAGACTTTGCACTCCACAGTCATCGACGCTGGTGTCGTGAATGCTTACCCTATTGGCAATCGCGGGTAGAGACCGAACGAAACACTCTGAACCACCAGACTCCGACGCCGTCGTCGCGCGTGCGGTTATCAGCCATTTCTCAAGTCGACCCTCCGTCCGCGATGCTCGAAATCCCCGTGATCGACCTCAAGCACTACAAGGCCACGGGCGACAGGGCCGAGTGCGAGAAGGCTGCCGAGTCGCTGCACAAGTTCGGCGTGCTCTGCGTCCGCGACGAGGTGGCAAGCAAAGCGCTGCAGTAGTTCCTGCCTGCCGAAAAGCTGCAGCGGCTTACTTATTCGTTTTGTGTACATGTAGCGAGCCGCCGACAGCGACAATGACACCTTCCTGGACATGATGGAGCGCTACTTCGAGTCGACGGACTTTGTGGAGGACGCGCGTCCGGAGTATCACTACCAGGTGGGCGTCACGCCCGAGCGCAAGGAGCGGGCTCGCAATCACTGCGCTCGAGCGGAAAAGCTGGACAAGCGTCACGCGCCGGTGTCTCTGTGTCCTCCCGAAGCGGACAAGAAGAGCCGCTTCTTCTGGCGCGTCGGCGAACGTCCGGAGGTACGTGAAAAGGATCTTCTGAATAAAAGCGATTCTTAGCTGGAGAGAGCTGACGAAATGGTTTGGTGCTTCACTTTAGAACACTCAATTCAAGGAGCTGAACGCTGAGCCCGTGGTTCCCAAGAAGTTCCCGGAGTGGGAAAGTGTCATGAATATGTGGGGCGGCAAGATGCTGGACGCCATCACGGATCTCGTGGAGATTGTCGCCCTTGGACTCGGTCTCGAGAAGAACGCACTGGTGGACCGCATCAAGAACGGCCCGCATCTGCTGGCCCCCACGGGTAGCAACTTCAACGTGTTCAACCAGTTGAACGACGTGCTGGCAGCCTACCACTACGGTAAGATTTCAACTTTACGAAGGATCTATATTGTACCTGTTGGGGGGTATTCACGGTATTTCTTGGAATAATGTTAAACAGACTTGAACTTGCTGACGATCCACGGTAAATCGCGCTTCCCCGGTCTGTACATTTGGCTGCGAGATGGCACGCGCACGGCAGTGAAGATTCCTGACGGCTGCCTGCTGGTCCAAGCCGGCAAGCAAATGGAGTATTTAACGGGTGGATACGTCCAGGCAGGTTTCCATGAAGTTGTCGTGGCGGAATCCACGCTCGAGGCGATCACTCAGCGTAAGAATGCTGGCAAGAGCTTGTGGCGTGTCTCCTCCACGCTCTTCTCGCACACGGCATCCGACAAGACGCTGGAGCCTCTCGGACACTTTGCAACGCCAGAGGCGCTGGAGAAGTATCCGCCGATTCTCGCGGGCAACCAGGTGCTGGCCGAGCTCTCTCAGATTGAGCTTGGCACGGGTTTCACCCTCCACCGTGACTAGTTTGCTAGGTATATAAACCTACTACCGTGATTCGTAAGTAAGTCGTGTTCCTAAAGTGAAAACCTTAACACGTTCATTGTGTGGTTTTCCGTGAAACTACAGGTCGTCTCTAGATCGTTACGATCAGAGCAACACATGAGGCTAATGCTAACCGGAGTAAATGATCTGTCCAGGGGAATACACGGTTCAGCTCAGCTCGGTAGCTCTTACACAACACATTCGCATAGTATTCGTACCGATCCGGGAGGCACAACGCCATTTTCGCTGTCGTGAAGTAGGCAGAGACTGGCAACCTCAAGACGTTTGCCTTGAACCGTACTCAGCAGTTGCTGGCCTCGATATGTGCTCGATGTAGCGCCGTGAGATTTACGCACAGCTGCCACGGCGTTTGTCGAGAAAACTTTTTTGCCGTGCGTATCCATAGTGTGCGCGTGATTCATATCAACCTTCAGGTTCTTCATGCGTTGCACTTCCCTTTAACGTCAAAGCAACAAGTTCAGCATTCGAGTACTTGCAGGTCAAGGTCCACGCAAAAGATCGCTTACGTTTTTCGATGGTTGTCATTCGTTCGCATGACCACGTAGCGTTTCTCCGTCAGTTTCTCTTCGGCCTCGGCAAGCTCTTGTTGCTGCTTCTCCAAGAGCAAAGCGCGCTTCTTCTCCTTGAACTTCTCAAACTTTGCCGTGTTGAGTGCTCGCTGATCCCGCTCCATGCTGTCGGCACGAACGAAAACGTTTTTCGCATCCTCGAAGAGTTTCAATCGGGCCAGGTTCTTCTCGGTGTTCTTCAGCTCCAGAAGCAGCTTCGGGAACTTGACGTGCGGTTCCTGTAACTTGTTTAGATACGTTTCAAGCTGCGCTCGCTCAACTTCGTGGGTCTTCTTCAGTTCCTCCTGGTGGTGTAAAATCTCCCGCTCGCAGGCCTCCGTGCGTGCTGCACACAGGACATCGCTACGCTGCTTGGCCAGTACGATACCACGGCTAAACTGTTGGCCCTCTTTCTCTTGGCGTCGAGTTTCGTACGTCCCCTGCATCTCCACAAACTCGCGCTTCATAATTCGCAGCCTATCACGCAGTACAATGGCCTTGTCGTACTTCTTTGTGTTCATGGCTAAATCACGAAGCAGATCGTCCAGCTCCGCGCGGATCTTCTTGAAGATCGTGCATTGGTCATGCTTGTCGATGATATCGTCCACTGAAAAGCCAAACACGGCGAACACATCCACCAGCGACTTAATGTCCATCGGGTTCTTCTTTGATCCCCCGGGAGCCTTCGGATCCAGCACTGTGAGCTGCTCGGCCTTCATGATGGCGAACTGCAGGTCATCGCGCAACTGTTCAAGCAAGAAACACGCTCAGTTTTACATCCGTACTACCGCAAGTTGCATGTGTATTACCTGTTGTTTTTGATCTTCATCCATGGCAACGTAGTAGGGTAGAACGTAGCTACAACACCTCAAACGGAGAATGGAGTGAAGAATACGAAGGAGACGTCAAATTGAGATCACTAAAAATACGAGCAAGGTCGGTGAAGTTGAAACGGCAACAAGCAGCACAAGCGTTCATCGCTTAGACACTTGGGGCTGTGCGATCACGAATCCGCACAGCTAGTGGGCCTTTCACCGGTAGCACGAACGAGAAGTCGTACGTGATCTTGAATGAGTCCTCCACCGTCTCAATGTCGAAGCGACTGAACAACACAGCCATGACGGTCTTCATCTCCAGCATAGCGAGACGCATGCCGATGCATTTCCGTGGCCCCGTGCTGAAGGTGATGAATTGCGGTGGTGTGATGCTCTTAGGCTCGCCGGTCTTCTCGTCGAACCAACGCTCGGGTCTGTACTCCGCGGCATCGTCCCCCCACACGTTCTTGCGTCTGGCAGCGGCGTACTTGGACACGACCACCACCGTCCCCTTTTCGATGAATGCTCCACTCGTGAGTGTCGTGTCTCTCGTCGTGCACCGATACGTTGAAACGGACCACAGACGCACGCTCTCCTTCACCGCGGCGTCCAAGTACACGAGCTTCTGCGTATCCTCGAGAGTTGGTGCGCTCATTTCTCCAGTCAATAGCCCCGGTAGCACTGATGCGATCTCTTCGCGAATCTTCTGCAGAACTCGAGGGTACCGGTTCATCATGACGATAAGCCACGACAAGCTGAAGGAGGTCGTGTCTTTCCCTGCGATGAAGAAGTTCACAGCCGTGTCTTGAAGCTCACGGGGGTCGGCGTCCACGTCGTCCTTCATGAGCAATGTCAAGAGGTTCTTCTTGCCATCTCCAGGGGTTTTGTCGCCGATGGATCGGACCATAATGCCACGCACCATGTCGTTGACGATCTTCATGTTCTCTCGGAGACGCCGTTCAGCTCCGACGTTGAGGAACCGCGTGAGCTTCCACATCCACATGGGGGTCTGGAATCGGTTCTGCACCGCATGTAGAGCGATATCCAGGGGGTGCATGTCGTCGACGAGGACGTCGCCACCGAGTTGGTTGAGCTCCACGCCGAACCCGATGCGGGTGAACACGTCGCTTGTGAACTTGCCCAGCAGCGACTTCATGCTCACCGTTTGTTCACGATCTGCACATTGTGCGAGGACGTCTCGAAGCTGAAGTGTTTTCTCTCGGATCACGGGCTCCATGACATCTCGAATGCTCTGGGTAGAGAAGAGGTGACTGGCAGCGCGACGCTGCTGCTTCCACTTATCTCCGCTGACGTTGAGTAGCCCGTTGCCCAACACGTCGAACGAGATATCGCCGAGGGTGCCGCCCTTCTCGAACACGTCGAATTGGTCGCGGAAGACGTCGTCCAGGTCGCTGGGCATGGACAGCACGACCCACGGCGGTTGGAACAGCAGCTGGAGGATCCACGGTTTGCCCTCGCTGGCGTCGGTCTGGTCGTTGATCCAGTCGCTCATTCGGTAGCGGTTGAAGAGCAGCACGTCCAAGGTGTTGCCCAGTATCGGCAGCGTCGAGGCGGGACGGAAGAGGTCTTCCATGCCGGGATCCGGCAGCGGGACGGGCATGCTCAGGATCTTCCACGACGCGTAGAGCGCAGTCAATGCTCCGAATGCCAGCAGTACGGACTGCTGGGCCCCGTCGTGACTTGCGCTTGACCACATCGAAGTGCCGGTGAGTTGGTTGGTTGGTTGGCTTGGTTTGAGCTGCTGGGAGAAAATTGGAGAATGACAACTGGAAGTGGAGTGCTGGAGCTGGAGCTGCTGGTGTGGTAGGCCTGCAGGATTCATCCCCAGTGGGTTTCGAGAAGATCAATTGCAATGATGGCCCCAGTTGGGATATGAGGAGTGCGGCCGCGGATTGCACCAGGAAGTCAAGGCCTGCAACCGCAAGTTCGGCATTGTACGTCGCGTTGTGTGTGGCAAATGGACGATCGGATCCACTTCGGGGTGGCACCGATTTGGATCAGCGAGAGGAGCCTCTCAAAGGTCCCACTACGGATTGAGGACTTTTTCTCCAAGCGTCGTCGTCTACGATCTGGACCGAGTATGGGGAACGTGTGGAGCTACTATGCGGGGGACAGCGACGCCTTCGACAAGGCTGCGTGCTTGCCGACGGGGGACGCCTGCTCAGCCTTCTACACGCTCTTCAGACGGAGCGCAGCGAAGGTTGTGCTGCAGCAAGAGGCGTCTGGCCTGACTTCGGCGCGTGAGCAGGTTCTGCTGACGCTGGAGAACTGGGTCAGCGAGGCCGCGGTCTTGTACGACCAACAAGGCGAGTTCCCCGTCACGGTGACTATGCAGGAGGAGCTGACGTTCGACGCAGCCAACGCCAGTCGCCATGCGCCCCAGAAAGAGATCGACAGTGGTGTACCAGCCTCCTTGGAGGAGAATATCCTCAAAGGTTTGTGCTCCAACCCGTTGAGCACGCCCGACAGCATCTTCAAGATCATGGTGCAGCTTGGCAAGCGCCTCCGCGGGGACGAGTTCCTTCGTGTGGTGGGCAAGTACCCACGAGCGGCGCGGATGTTCGCCAGTCAGCAGCTCATCGCTCGCTCCGACGTGGGCAACAGCTTCAAGATGAGCGTGTTGCAAGGGGGTTATGGTCAAGCTGCAGATGTGGTAGGCAAGACAGCGTACGGAGACAGCGTACTGGAGACAAAGCGCAGTCGACTGAAGGAGGCGGCCAAGCTGCTCCAAGCCTCGATGGATACATCTTCCCCCTCCATCACATCGACGCTGTCACTGGGTGCAACGGAGCTGCACAAGTTGTCCTCGTCTCGATCAGCGGACTCGTTCAACCAGGTGATGACGAATGAGCTGCTCGAGCTGCTCGAGACACAGCGATCGATGGAGCGCACTCTGTCTCTCCCCGCTGGGCTCCTCGTCGGAGGTTCTTTGGTGGAGACCGTCCAGAAGCTGGTGACGCTGCACCCGGTACATCGGCAGGCTCTAGTACTCGCTGTCGACTGCGCCGAGGCGTATTGCATCCCCCCTCGACAGTTCTGGTGGACGCTGTTGAGAGTGCTAGCACGAACGGAGCAGTGGGAGACGCTGGTGGCCCTGGCAGGAGCCATTCGACCGCCCATCGGGTACGTGTCCATTATCGAGGTAATGCTCGACGAAGACCAACACAATTTAGCTCGGGTTCTGCTCGAAGCCATCCAAGATCCCAATGAACGCGAGCAAGTCGCCGCATTACTCGCCGAAGACCAAGACGACGACCAGGAACCACGGCAGCTTGACACACTGTAACGCGAATATCTCAAATGTTTTGTATGTTTTGCCTTTGTGAACACACTACTTACAACCGTATTATTAATATCTCTCAGCTATAACTTTGAGCTCGACTTGCAAGAGAGAAGCAGTGAGGAACTCAAAGCATTGAGCGCGTCGCCAAGTCATGTGGCCACGCACTTCAACCAGGACCGTCATATGCTGGCCCGTCTTTCCCACCAAAAGCTTCAACGTCCGAGTTTTATCTTGCTGTTTGTATACCCGAGCGCCGGACATCCTATCGGCGGTTTGGATTTCGGGATTCCCATCACCACCCACAGCGGGGTTCTTTATCTCCAGTAAAGAAAACCCACGGATTAAACTAAGTATGAACTCTATTACTTGAATAAAACACCGCTAATATGTGGGGTTATTCACGAACAACCCTGGCAGATCCGATGTGCTGAGGTGAACGTACCGGAGCTCCTGATGATCCAGTGCATCATTCCGCCTTCTACCAGGTCCCCCGCACACGACTTCGATGCTGCGTCTCCCCGGTCTCCTGACGCGCCGCTGCGTGGCCCCAGCGCAGCGCGGCGCCGTGCTGCTGCCCAAGGCTCCGTTCTCGTCGGCCGCGTCGCTCGAGGCGCTGGCGGCGCAGTCCATGGCCACGGCCTTCCGCCAATCCGGCCACCTGCAGGCCGACCTGGACCCGCTGCAGCTCCAGCCGCGCGCCGCTGTCGCCAGCCTCGCGGCCGACAACTTCAAGCCGCTGCTGGGTCGTCCTCTGGCCGCCGCCGACCTGGCCGGAGTCGTGTCGGTGCCCGCGGCCAACGGCCAGCAGCTCTACGACGAGCTGCACCGCGTCTACTGCGGCAAGACGGGCTTCGAGTTCGAGCACCTGACGTCGGCAGAGGAGAAGCAATGGCTGGCCAACGCCGCTGAGACGCTGAGCAGCAAGGAGGTGTCGCCCTCGGACCTGCGCAATGCGTACTCGAGCATGCTGCGAGCCGACGTGTTCGAGAGCTTCATGGCCAAGAAGTTCGCGTCGTTCAAGAGATACTCGGGCGAAGGAGCCGAGTCCATGCTGCCGGCTGTGGAGACGATACTACAGGCGTGCACGACGTCGGGCGTGTCGGACGTGGTGATCGGCATGCCGCACCGTGGACGCCTGGCACTGCTGGTCGGGTCGCTCGAGTACCCGGCGCACAAGATCTTCCACAAGGTGCGCGGCTACTCGGAGTTCCCCGACAACTTCCGCGGCATCGACGATGTGTCGAGTCACATTGCCACGACTGTGGACAAGAAGTACGCGGACAAGAAGGTGCACGTGTCCCTAGTGCACAACCCATCGCACTTGGAGATCATCAACGCGGTGGCTGCCGGCAAGGTGCGTGCCAAGAACGACGACGATGCCAACACGAACGCTATGGCGCTCTTGCTGCATGGCGACGCGGCGTTCGCTGGTCAAGGATGCGTCCCGGAGGCGCTGGCGCTCTCTCAGCTGCCTGACTTCCAGACGGGTGGATCCGTGCACATTGTGGTGAACAACCAGGTGGGCTACACGACCACGTACCCGGATGGACGCGCAACTAGATACGCCTCCGACGTCGCCAAGAGCATCGAGGCTCCAGTGCTGCATGTCAACGGCGAGAGCATCACCGACGTGATCCGCGCGTGTCGTCTGGCTGTGACCTACCGCAACCAGTTCCACAAGGACATTGTCATCGACCTGATCACGTTCCGTCGTCACGGACACAACGAGGTGGACGAGCCGCGCTTCACGCAGCCGAAGATGTACGAGCGTGTGGACCAGGCTGAGCGATTCCCCATCAAGTTCGCCCATGAGCTGGAGAGTGTTGGCCTTGTTTCGCGCACCAGCTTCGAGAAGACTGTCGAGCGCCTGAATGACCACCTTGAAAGCGAACTCAAGATCGTCACCGGCGAGCCTGGTTACAAGCCGACGGAGATCGACGCGTTCAAGGGCAAGTGGTCGACGATGACGCAGCCGAAGCCTGAAGACCTGTACGTGAACGTCGCGACTGGAGTCGAGATTGACAACCTCATCGACGTCGGCCTCGCATCCGTAGAGCTCCCCGAGCGCATTCAGCCCCATGGTCGTCTGCAGCGTACGCACATCAAGGCACGCCAGAAAATGTTGCAGGTGAAGGACGGACAAGACCCTTCCGATCTTCGCGTCGACTGGGCCACTGCTGAAGCCATGGCGTTCGGAACCTTGATGCAAGACGGACACTCGGTGCGTCTGGCAGGACAGGACTGCCGCCGAGGCACGTTCAGCCAAAGACACGCTTCATTCACGGACCAACAGACAGAGGAGCGCTACTTCCCGCTGCAGCACCACTTGCCCAAGAAGTCGGATACGTTGGGCAAGCTCAGCGTTGTCAACAGCAACCTGTCGGAGCTTGCTGTTATGGGCTACGAGTACGGCTACTCGGTGGAGAGCCCCGACAACCTGGTGATCTGGGAGGCACAGTTCGGCGACTTCTTCAACGGCGCGCAGATCGTGATCGACCAGTTCTTGTCCAGTGCCGAGTCCAAGTGGATGCGTCAGTCTGGTTTGATGCTGTTGTTGCCTCATGGTAACGACGGAGCTGGTCCTGATCACTCGAGCGGTCGAGTGGAGCGCTTCTTGCAGCTCGTTGACACGCCAGCACTCACTCCGCGCTCCTCGTTGAAGGATTCGGAGACAGAGCCCGTGTGGAAGCAGTTCCAGCACGACACCAACATGATCGTGGTGAACGTGACCACGCCCGCCAACTTCTTCCATTTGCTGCGTCGTCAGCAACAGCGCACATTCCGCAAGCCGGTGATCATCATGGGGCCGAAAATGCTGCTGCGCCTTGCCGACGCAACGTCGCCGCTGTCCGACATGGGGCCGGGCACAACCTTCCAGCCGGTGCTTTCGGACCCTACAATCACGGACGCCTCGCAGGTCAAGAAGGTCTACTTCTGCTCGGGTAAGTTCTACTACGAGCTCGCAAAGGAGCGCCTCGCTCGTTGCAAGAACCCCGAGAGCATCGCGCTGGTTCGTGTGGAAGAATTGGCTCCGTTCCCGTTCGAGCAGGTCGCGGACGAGCTGGCCAAGTTCGAGAACGCCAAGAAGTTTGTCTGGGTCCAGGAAGAGCCACTGAACCAGGGTGCTTGGACGTACGCTCAGGCTCACATCGAGAAGCTTCTGGGTAAGAAGCAGCACCTCGAGTACATTGGCCGCGAGAGTCTGGCCGCTCCTGCCGTCGGTTTGTCCAAGAACTCGCAGCAGCAGCTAGAAGTGGTGCTGAATGAAGCGTTTGGACCGCAGAAGTAGGCGCTAGGCTGTGTAAGACGCTGCAAAAGCGCTAGTAGACGTCCAATGTTCACCATGAAAGATAAACAGTCATACAATTCCATCTTCTACAGCAATCCAAGTCAGAGAAACCATCGATATACTGTACCTTACGTAGGATGCAATTACCTAGAACATGAAGGCTGCTGCAAGTTACTCCATACTCGCAGCTTTGGTACGAGTTACGGCTCGCTGTAGACGATGGCCGAAGCGTAGCTCACGGAGGAGTCGCCGTGGCGCATGCATGCACTGCTCTGGGCGTATTTCACGAACTTGAGCGTGCACTTGAGCTTCTTCGAGGCCAAGATGCTGTGCAGGAGCAGCGAGATCGGGTGACGACCGCAAATCGTGTTGTTTGTTTCTTCCAGGTACCTCGTGAATCCCTCGGCGTCCAAGCGCTCGATGAACTGTTTTTCAAAACAACGCAAATGTCAGGATCGTTGTGAAGCGAAACAAATAGTGCTTGAGTCACGTACGCCCATGCCCTGGTGATCTAAATATTTGATGTATTCGTGGATCTCGCCATAGGTCGAATCATGCGGCTGGTAGCGGAATCTGAAGGAGTAAATCAAGCGAGACCGTTAATGACCATAGCAACGTTACCCCAACAACGAATTGGCGCTCTTACCGAGGTCCCCAGTGGCAAAAATCGGAGCTGATCACGAACAGATTCTCATCATTCTCCAGGTACGGGGCCAAAATCCTGCAACCACAAGGCACGTTAGCCAATATTCGGATGCAATACCGGGCTATATCGATCACGTACTTCCCGTATTCCTCGTCCATTTTGCTCTTGGTGTTGCCGACCAAGATCGGGACCGCCGTGAACTTGCGGCCATTCATCACCTGCAAAGGCAACCGATCAGCACCAAAGTACACACTTACCAAGCCCAACTGAATCAAGAATTCCCACCTTGTAGATGAAAGGAAGGTGCATCTCGATGCTGTGCTCGTCCTCGTCAACGTCCATCGACATGGTCGCGAACTTGCCCTGCATCGCCAAAAGCAGCATAAAAATCGTCAGCATAATAAACGCAATTCCCGCTTCCAACAGACCTCAAACCTACCGAATCCACGAGCTTCTCGTTGACTTCATGGTCGATCACAATGTTGCCCAGCGGCGTCTCATACTCGTGAGCAGTCGACACGGCGCACCCACTAAAGTGCACACATACCAAGCCTCGCAGTCGTCAGCTCACCCATCAAGCTCCAGCCCACCCCCAGTAACACCTTACCGCAGATAGAAGTGGTGCGATGGCCCCAGGATGAAGACGCGCTTGATGCGGTCCAAGTTGAGCAGATGGTGGTACGCGTACGCCGCCGTGGGGCCCGAGTATCTGCCACAAGAGCCAACATCAACACCAACGTCAGCGTCAGCGTCTTCTTCCCTCTCCTCTCCCCTGCACTGCAACGCACCGGAAGCCTGCGTGCGGTCCAATGATGGCGCGAATGCTCGGCTGCTTCTCCTGCGTGTCATTGTCCTCCGCAGCGTCCAGCCAGCCTAGTAGCAGAGCAAATCGCCCCCCGGCACAGCGCAGTTGAGTGGCAGGCGCCTAAAAGTTGCTGGGCGATCGGCTCCACGCACCTGCGAGCTCGCCCTCGAGCTCGTGCTCGTCGTGCGAGTACCAGGAGCCCGCGTAGGTGGCCAACCGCACGCGCACGGAGCTCGGCTCGGGCTTCTTGGACATCGCTGGGTTGAGATTTTCCAGGTCCGAGAGCTTGGAAGCTTCTTTCGAAATGATGAGCAGGTTGAACTGTCACAGAAACTGTAGTGTCCTCATACCGGTATACCGATATAAAACGGGTACACGTGTACTTTCTTATAAATCAAAAGCTACAGATCTAGAATCCGCTCTAGTTCCTAATTTGGATAGAATTTAGGTCTGTACAAAGGTCTGGATACTGTTCCCTTGTAACCGGTACTGACGGTATTGCATACCGGCTCAGTAACCTACAATTTGCCAGTCGAATCGCATCACATGAGGCTTTGCTTCCGAGTCTTCCAAGACCAAGTATTACTCAGGGGCTGCTATGCCTGTATTGCAAATGGGCTACTGGTTAGCATAATTGCCATGGCCCCTGTGGTGAAGGGAGGCTATTGTTTGGAGTGGACAATTGCGGCAACCCTGCATCTAGCTATCGTTGTCGGAGGCATTCATCCACCTGCAGTATCGGCGAGCTGGAGTCGCCGCAACATGGCATCAGGTGTGGAGATAAAACCGTATCGACAGCGATGCGGTTGAGTCCTCGCTGTGTTTCAGGAGGGCGGAATACCGCAAGTTGACGGTTGTTGTGGATCGAAAAAAATGGATCATAAAAAGCTATCCGATTCGGATAATCCGAACGATTTCAGATTCAACGTACTGACACACTCGAAAAAAACTTGAGATTTGAAGTCCTTCATCAATAAGAGAGGACAAAATTTTGCTGTAGAAGACGTTCGGCGACTAATGCTAGTGATGGTCTCTGTGCGCAACATTGTAATGGAGGCATATCGCCGGGATCCCTAGCGTCACCACATAGCATTCAGCACGACGACAGCGTTTCATTAGCGCAGCTCAATGCAGGCTTATCACGCGCAGAGAGACCTACCGAAGTTTACTGCTTTGGTATGCACCACGTGTAGAAGTTGCGCTCTACCGCATGAGAAATACATGTATCGCCTGGAGGCAGACGGAAGCAGGATTTCAAGCTGGCTGGGACCCTCGTAAACATCAAGCCGGCAGGGCAGCAGAAATCGGTGACAGTTCTGCTTGCACGGCGGAACAGCGGTTGGGCATACGCTGGCACGTCTCAACACCGCCCCACTACACCCCACAGCACAATACACACTGCAGGCCCCGTTGCAAAGCTCATGGCTCGTAGACGGCGTGGGTGGGGTCCTCACGACCGGATCGCCTTGTTCGTGGACTGAGCACAGCTCCCAGCGTTGCCTCACGCTCTCCACCTTGAACTGCCACTTGAACGTTCTCGAGCAAAGTTGTACATCACCCCGTACCCTCGTTTCACCCAGCTGGGATCGGTACACAGCACAGGAGTTTTTTTTCGATGAAGCTCGTTCACTGGCCTGAATCATACGTAAACGATTGGTCTTATCGGCGTAATGGTGGGGAGCTCTGCTTTGTTCGATCGACGCATCGAGCAACCCTCACTTTGGTTTTGACCACCAATCTCACTGCAGCCACTGCAGTACATTAACCCAGCTACCAACCGCGCATAATGAGGAACCACCACCGCTACAAGCAAGCCGATGAGGATGACCAGGTTCTGGCGCTTAACAACTACGCCGAAGGTTATCTCGTGAAACAGGGCGCGCGCGTCAAGAACTGGAAGCGCCGCTACTTCGTCTTCCGTGACGGGTACCTGTCCTACCGCAAGGACCAGCGTGAGACCTCCAAGGTACTAGGCACCGACCTCGTTGTCGACGTGTTCTACTGGTCCGGCGCGGAGTTCGGCTTGGAGCTGAAGCTCAGCAGCGGTCGCTCGATGTACGTGTCGCCCGCCTCCGAGCAGCAGGCGGGCATCTGGTACGAGGTTGTTCAGGGCTACGTGATGCGCCAGCAAATGGTCCGTCAGCTCCAGCACGTCAACCGTCAGAACCAGAAGCACCTGGAACCGATTTGGGAGTGCGATAGCGCCGCCCAACAAAGCGCCGAGCTGGCTCAATACCGCCTCTTGCGGTGAGCTTCACGCCAAAGCCCACACAGCCAGTCGGCACCAGTGTCTTCACGTTTACGAAACCGTAGCAGTGCACTGCCGTCGGACACCCAAGCACCTTCAGCATTCGAGGAGTGCTGTACCAGCAACCTAGACTTGCAAGCAACCAACAGGTTTGAAGCCATCGGAAGCTTCACCGCCAGCACCGGACCGATATTTCTCAACCCAGATCAGCGGCCTCGACAGAGCTGGCGAGAAACCCCGGAACGCGTCTTCAGCAGCTCGAGTCGAGCTGACACGAAACAGGGATTCAGCCTCAATTGAAAACAGCATAGTTGCAATATTCATGTACCGGTATCTGAAAAATTACTGTTGCTGTGCTCTCACAAACTTACCCTAACATTTGGATTTGCCTAAAATATACAATTCAACCGCCGACGCTCACAGTCAAACAAGGCAACATGACGGCACCGCTGAGCTTCTACCGCCGCGCTCCGCAGCAACGCGTGGCCTTAGATGACTTCGAGGAGCTCGGACACAGGCGCGTAAAGCTGCTAAGTCAAGTCAGTGCACGATGGAGCGCGCAGCAGTCGACGGTTGATCCGCAAACCCAAAAGGCGCTCGAAGTTGGGGACGACACCAACGCCGACCAACTGTCGCACTACGCACTGCGCTTGGCGTTCTGCAGGTAATACCAAAGTGCTGCATTTACTCTACCAGCTTAACGCATTGTAATAACCTCTTGTTTGCGTGTGCAAGCGCACAGAGTGTCGAGCGGATGGGATTGGCTGGTCACTGCGGAATCCAGGCTCTTCGCTGCCCGTCTTAGGTGCCAGCCACCGTACACGGCTGTTGCAGTACTTTCAAGTGAAAGGATCAGGTATGAGCTGCTGAATGCAGATGACTCGGAGATCGACGTAACGCAGCAAGGAATCTATCGCGTGCCCTTCATGGAAGCTCCTGCTTTGGTGAAGCATCGCGACGTAATTGTTCGCGACGGGTTTTGCTTGGTACCCCTTCGAAGAATGGGTTCTGTAGCAGTGTACCATTTCAGACGCTGCTTAGAGGAGCAAATACGAGACTTGCAGTGCGCTATACCCGCGCAGGGCCATGAGCTGGAGCGGTTGGCTCCGATTCTAGACGGATTCGTAGTGGAGGCGCGTACGTTGGCCGGATCTGCAAATTCAATCACGAAGAACTCTGGCAGACCGAAGCTGGAAGTGGCGAAGATGGACAGTGTAGCTCAAAAACACTTTCCGTTGTGCATGAAGCAACTGCACCGCAAGCTGCGTGAGAACCACCACCTCAAGTACGACGGACGTGTGCAGTACCGAATGTTCCTCAAAGGCGCGGGGTTTTCCGTGCACGAGTGCATCCAATTCTTCCGCAAGGAATTCATCAAGACGATTCCAGCCGCCAAGTTCGACAAGGAGTACACCTACCACATCCGTCACAGCTACGGACTCGAAGGATCCCGAAAGGACTATGAGCCGCTGGACTGCGAGCAGATAATTGGTGGCGGCGCGCCAAGCAACGGACAATACCACGGCTGTCCGTTCAAGCATTGGGGACGTCCCGCGTTACAACAGGAGCTGCGTCGTCACGGGTTATCGCTGCAAACGGCAATGGAAATCACGCAACAAGCCTCCAGTGGCCATTGTCAGAGCGCTTGCCGGGCTTTTTTCAATGCAACACACCCTGCCGGATTCACGTACAAGACAGCACACTCAAGCCATCAAGATACTTCAATATCGCCTGGTCGACGACATCTTGACGCGGATATCGTGATGCACCCCAACGTTTATCTGGACGCGAGCATGATGGCCGAAGGACTTGACTAGCACAGATGGCTACATTTTGAGGTTCGAGAGTGATTGGCTACGGCTAAACTGCAATGGCCGTTTTTCGCCTCAAACAACGTTTTAGAGGCACAAGGCAGCGGAAAGGATGAGCGCGACCGAGTCGAGTGCGTCGGCGCCTGCCTCGCCGCCCAGGGACCTGAGCACACTGACCACCAGCAACGCCACGCCGGATCAACTTTTGGCGATTTTGCACGAGCTCCGCAACTCGGTTGGCCCGAGTATGTGAACCTTGGCCAGCTCAGTTTTAGGGGTGATACACTCGTCACTAACTTGTGTTGCGTTGCAATTTGCTGTTGCTAGAGGTTGTGAACAATGCTATTGCCAAGGTGATGCGCGTGCCGGTGGAGAAGCTGGGGCAGGTCACGCCCGCCGACGTGAGGAAGAAGACGAAGAAGGAGAAGCAGCTTCTGAAGCAGCAGAAGATGGCGGAGAACGCCAACAACCCGGCAGGACCCAACCAGCCGCAGAAGAAAAAGAAGAAGCGTGAGTTTAACATGAGCAACTACACGATGCGTGCGGTGGCGGTCAAGTTCTTGTACCTCGGAGAAAAGTACGCCGGTTTCGCGCGCCAGGACCACATGCCCGAGACGGTGGAGCGCTATCTGCTGGAGGCGCTGGTTCGCTCCAAGTTGATTGAGAATGTGGACGATGCTGGCTACTCGCGTTGTGGCCGGACGGACCGCGGCGTCAGCGCTTTTGGACAGGTTGTGGCGCTCCGCATTCGCTCGAACTTGCCAGCTACCGCCGAGCTGCTCAGCGCGCCATCGATCGACGATGTGCGGCCTGGCGACAAGTTCCAAGTGCGGTTGGAGTCTGGAGAGATCAAGACGCTGACGGAGGTCGACTACGCTTCGCATATCAACCGCGCGCTGCCCGCCGACATTCGCGTGTACTCGGTGGCTTCCTGCCGACCGGAGTTCAGCGCTCGCTTCGACTGCAAGGCCCGTATGTACCGTTACTTTTTCGTGCGCCGCGACCTGGACATTGAGAAGATGCGCACTGCCGCGCAGTTCCTGGTGGGCAAGCACGACTTCCGCAACTTCTGCCGTATTGACCCCAACTGCCACGTGTACGAGCGCAACGTGCGCTCTTTCGAGATCGTCGAGTGCCCGGGTCAGCGTGCTGATGACCCCAGCCAGCAAATGTTCCGCTGCGAAGTCTTCGGTCGTGCGTTCCTGTGGCACCAAGTGCGCTGCATGGTCGAGGTGCTGTTTTTGATCGGCTCGGGCCAGGAGGAGCCCAGCATCATTCCGAGGCTGCTGGACATTGCGCAGACGCCACGCAAGCCGCAGTACGACATGGCGTCCGACTTGCCGCTTGTCCTGCACGACTGCTACTTCGCTGACCCAGACGATGCAGAGGGGTCCGGCCCACGCTTCGAGAACACGCCGCTCGCGTTGCTGCAGGTTCACGCTCAGCTCACGGAGATGTGGGAGAAGCGTTCTGTGCAGGCAGCGATGCTGCGTAGCCACCTCGACGCGCTAGAGGCTTTCCGCGTCGAGGCAGCTTTGGTGGTGAAGGACTTGGATCACTACGCGCCCAAGCTGGAACAGCTGATGCGCGAGCGCAAGCTGCTGACCGACGAAGGCGGTGACGTCGTGCAGTGGAAGGACGTGAGTCCTCTGCTCCCGCTGTCCAAGAAGAAGAAGACGCTGCCGTTGGCCAAGCGCGACACGGGCCACTCCGTCGATGAACGGAAGCGCATTGCGCAAGAACGCAAGCGTCGACGTGAAGAGGGAGAAGAGGCCGCCGTCATGCAGGCCGCCAAGGAGGTCAAGACCGAGAGCGGCGAGCACGCCAGCACACACGACAATAATTCTGCGTCCTGATGTGTTGATAGAGGTGTAGTTGGCTACGGAGGACGCGTGCCATGTTGAACATTTGTTTTTAGCAGAACGAGGGACAACTTCGCAGTCGTGTTGAACTATATTTTACCAGACCGCGGTACGTGGCGACGCAGGTGACGCAAAATTTGTCGTGAACTCCATACAATCGCACATACGCTTTCGTCACGCGATGGTCAACATGTCCAATCTCAAAGCACACCGACGCGATGGCATGAGCCGCGCTGCGCTGTCCAGTCAATCTCCAGATAGAAGACGAGACGCTGCCGAAACGATATTCGGCGCGAGGGCGGCGAAGCAAATGTCTCTAGGGAATGAGCTGCCAAAAACTAGTGGTCGCCGCAGGTTCAGCAAAAGTTTTGCTGCTTCACCTGCTCGTGTCAAAGTGTCAAAGACAACGACGCATTTCGATGCGATGGATGGAACTGTCAAACAGGAGCTTGTTAATAGTAAATATGGGGCCCAGTCGCTCGCTCGGGAGCTTCGTGGGCTGGGGGATAAACTAACTAATGGTACACGGGGTGTCGCCAGCAGCAGCGTTGTCTTCTTTCTATGGTACATGTGTAGGCTGCTGCCTGCGGCTGGGACTTCGCTTAGCCTTGGATCATTGGTAGAAGGTAGAAGTAGACGACTCACACTGAGTTCACCGTGGCGGCGGCCGCGCGCTTCTTCTGAGCTTCGGCCGCCTGCGCTGCCTCGATGGGCGTCACAGGCACAACCTCCTGCTCGTCCTGGTTGAAGCATACGATGATGGCGCTGACGTTGTCGGTGGACCCGAGCGCGATGGCGTGGCTCACGAGCTCCTCCGCCGCGTGCTGCACGTCTCCGTGGAGGCCCAGCTTGGCGCGTACGAAGTTGACCACGTCCTGGGGCTCCATCACGTCATATAGGCCATCGCAGCCAAGCACCATGAACTCGTCCTGGCTCTTAATCTCGTGGATTACCAGGTCGGGTGTGGCGCTGACCAGATCTCCATTGAACCTGCTCTTGAACTCACCGCGCGCGGTCTTGAAGTCGATGTCTCCAAACGCCCGCGACACGCCGAGCATGCCGTAGATCCGGCCCTTGGAGATCTGTCCCTTTGCTGCGAGGATCCGCTCCCGTTCGCTGGTGAGGTCGGGTGTGTGGGCGATGCACATGTCCTTGGCCTGGCCGTTCGAGGACAATACAACCTGCGAGTCGCCTACAGAAGACACCAGCGCGGTGGAGCGCCGGACCACGACCGACACGGCGGTGGACCCGCTGGGCAACTGCTGCTTGAAGATCTCCTCATCTGTCGCTGCGTAGGCTGTCCGGACGGCGTCTGTTAGCTCCAGGTCGGGCGACTGCAGGCTCCGTGCAGACTCCGGCTCGTTCGTGGGCTTGCGCAGGTGCGTGAACACGTTCTCGTGGAGGTTGGCGGCCAAGTACTCGGCGACCTCGGGGCCTCCGTGGCCGTCGTAGAGTCCGAAGAAGGCGACGAGCTCGTCGTCGACGGTGCGCGAGATGCTGGTCTGTCTGTCCTCGTTGCTTTTGCGAATCCCCGTGTCGGAGTAGACGCCGTAACTCACTCGGAGTTGCGGGAAGTACTGGCCTGCAGGTCGGTGCAGCACCAGTGTGCGCTCGGTGTCCGAGGCGGTGGTGGCGGTGGAGAAGACGCTGCCGCTCGGGCTGGCGGGCGAGCAGTCGCTGGCGGAGGGTGAGCGCGCCTCGGCGGCCTCGAGCACCATGCCGCGCTCGCCGAAGATGCTGAAGACGTCGCGGTGCGAGTCGCTGGTGGGCGGGCGGTGCGCGCCCACGCCGCTCTCGTCGCGCGCCTGCTGCTTGGAGGCGGCCTGCAGGAAGATCTGGCTGAGGCTGGGGTGCTGCTGCTCACTGGGGCTGGCCGGCAAAACGTCCTTGGACGTCTGGCAGCCCATCGAGAGCTTGGGGAAGCGGATGGTTGCTGGCGGGGTCGGTCGGATCTCGGCCGACGACGTACTGCTGGTGGCTGCTGCGCAAGACAAGGGAGAATGGCGGCACTTCATTAGTAGCTGGTCCTTTACAGAGTGAGTGTGGGGTGGTGCAGTGAGCAGAAGGTGATGGTGGGTTGTGGGAAACGCTTGTATTCTCCGCTTTTCAAGCCATCAACCTTCGCGCGCGTCGCAGCCCATGCATACAGAGGAAACTTACCGAAGGGGTGCCTTTGAGGCGGCGTGGGTGTGGCGCGGAAAGGAAGGTGTGGGGGTGTCGGCGGGCGGGCGGGCGCGTCTACACGCCACCAGATGCGGGCGGAGGAAGGCTAGGGCTACGTACGGCGAGGAAGGGCGCTGCCACTTGCTCGCTGGGTTTCCACTTTGTGAATGAGGCCGGCGATATTTTTGCGCTCGCGCGAGGGCGCACAGCCGGGGCGACGAGAGCCAGCCGCAAGTCGCCTCGCGGCCAATCACGAACGGACGCGCCCGCACTGGGCCCCTGTATGCGCGCATTCCATAACCACCTGGCTCGACCTGATCGCCGGAAGGCCTTCCTGGCCTTGCTTGAGGCGCCGAGCGAGGGAAACGCTAGCTTGGAGCTCAGCGCGTTCAGTTTCGCACATTTTTTCGGCCTGGAATCGGCCAGCCCCGTGCGGCTCGCGGCGCGGCGTTGGTCTGGGCTGAAGCGTGGCGGCCCAGCTGGGGCGTGTGCGGTCAGCGGAGCTGTTGCTAACATGAGGGCGCGCCTCGACTTTCACGCGCAATATCCATAGCCCTAAAATTTGTAATTGCCAGAAACTTGCACTTGAAATGAGGCTCAGGGCCATCGGTTCGGCGGCGCGGCGCGGCGTCAGCACAGCGAGCTCGGCGCGTCGATCCGGTCGGCGTCGCAGCATAACAACTTCAATCGGCAATTAATAACCGCGCGCATTGAAGTTGTCCCCGAGGAGCTGATAAGACGAGCAGGCCTGGGTTGGCACACCACTCGCGAGAATAGCGGCCAGCATAATCAGGCGCGCACGCAAACCCGGGCGTGCTCGATGAGCACCTGCACCGACCCGTTGACAGGTGCAACCCTAACTTGGAGCGTCTTGCGTGGCGTTGGAGTCGACGAGTCAACGAGTGGAGGCGGCAAGCGAGCATTTTGTGTACATTGTTGGGGTTTTACTCAGCGTTGGAGTCTTACTACATCGTACATGGCCACTCACACCTTGTGGCCACTCACACCTTGTGGCCACTCACACCTTGTGGCCACTCACACCTTGTGGCCACTCACACCTTAAACAGTGCCATCTCCAGCTCAGCTGCTCCCAAGAAAAAAGGCGCCCGTCGTCTTTTGTCTCTTCGCGCCTCGAGCCATGATCTTGTCGCTCTCATCAATCCTCTTCCCCTTCGTGAATTCGTCTGCGAACTTGGCCATGTACGGGGCTAGCAATGGAGAAAGTTAAACATCTCAATCCGACAACTCCGTGAAAACCGTACCCGAGCCTTACACATGTCGATCTGGTTCCCGGTCAAATACACGTTCGCTTCCTTGTTCCTTGGCTTTGGATGCGCGATCGTGCCAATACCCCTGACAGACGCGAGCCCAACACCATTTGTTTTTTCCCGGGTTGTGCGCTGTTAGCATCTCCCATTCTAGAGCAAAAAAAGTTAAAGATCATCCAAATAAGAGCCAAAAGCATACTTGTACTTACACAAACTTCTCGTGCATCGAGGGGGGGATCAGCTTGACTTGCACATCAGCGTCATCCATCCGGTGGATCGCCTCGGGGTCTGACTGGCCTTTTGGTCCGGCCTGTGCCTTGTCGGTCTGGAAGAACACCCGCTCGCCAGCTGCAGCCTGGTCTTCCAAAGCCTGCTCATATTCCTTGGAGGTGATGATGAATGTCGACGCAAAGACCTCACGATCGGCCGAGCGGATCGTGTGGATGCTTTCCTTTATTCCTGGCGTGTACGTGGAGGGTGGAGAGAAGTTCTTTGGAGGGCGGCCCCTTTGGGGCAGCACGGGCTTCGTGCGGTTATTCCACCACTTCTCCGCGGTCTTCGCGTCCACCTCGCCGCATTTGCCGGCGCTCTTGAATTGGCCCTTTGTGGGAGGGTTGGCCCTGTTGCACTTCTTCTGCGGAGAAAAGACAGCATCACACGTTCGCGCTCTTCGAGCGTCTTCATCTTGAGCGTCTGCATCCTGCCGTCGTAAGGTCCACGGTAACCCGCACGCAGAGCCCTGGAGACCCTAAGCGGGATAAATGGCAGCACAGGTACATCCTTCGGCGGTGGCAGTAGCGGAGGAGGCATGGTAGGCAGCGGCGCGCTCGGAGCAACCGTGCTGAGGGGGAACGGCTGGGGCTTCTGCGCCGGTTGCCGGATCGGCTCGCTCATGGCGCGCAGGAACTGCCTGTGCGCCCCGTTGATGAACCAATCTTGAGGTTGAAGGCCAGCCGGGACCACCGTATGCAATGGCGGGGGGCTCGGCGGGGTGAGCTCGGGGCGAAAGCTGTTCAGCAGCGCTTGCAAGTCGGGGGGCAGGGGCATTTCCTTGAGGGGCATGCGGGGCTGGCACCCGACTGCCAGGGAACTGGCGCGCATGCTCTCGCGCGGAAACGGCATGACGAACGTCCGGCAGCTCTCGTGTCTCGTCGCGTTTTTCGTTCGCGTCCGGATTCTTTCTCCCGCGACCCCTCAGGGTAAAACAAATAAATAAATGACTGAAATCAATTTAAACCATTTAATTCGTACGAAACTAAATCACAATTGACAATTAATTTAGGTAGACACTTGTGTCCTTCAGGGGACACTGGTGTCCACCAGGGTGTCTCCCAAGTTAACACCGGACAGTTAATAGCTAGCTCGATAGAATTAACAGATGTACCGCTCCACACATCTCCTAAGGCGCTCCATATCTCCTAAGGCGTTCCACATATCTCCTAAGGCTCATACAAAAGTCAAGTACGCTTAATTTAACTGTGGCCGGCCCCGACTACCGAGTTTTCTTTGAAAACATGTGGTCGGCACCCGAAAATAAGCGCCGACCACCGAGTTCAGCTGGTCGGGTCTCCGAAAATAACCACGAAATTATGGCGATCCATGCGTGCGGCCACCTTCAATTGGGTACGCTGGAAAACTGCAAAGGGGTACTGACTTTTGTAGGCTAGTGCTGCAGCAGCCCTATAACGACCAGTAACTATTCGACCACATAAACAGCTTCGCTTAACGCCCGCCAGTTTCACGAGATCTAAGTGCTGTCTAGCCACCTTTTACCGAGTTGTTGCCGAGCACAAACTGGAAATTGGGCGAGCCGCAGTATAGCGGCTCGACCGAGGCCAAATAAACCCTACGAGTGCGCGATCAACTCGCCCGAGAGCCAGCGTAGAAGCAACTGTCACGCATCGCCTGCTATGCTTCTAGGTGGGCGGGTGTCCTACAGGACGCGCAGGATTTTCAGGCCCGCTGCTGCAGGCTGGCAAGGCGCACAAGGATTCTGCTGCAGATTGGCGCGCATGCTGAGGTGGCCGGCCACCTCTCTCTCTCTCTGCGGGCCGAATGATGCCTGCCGATCGCCACTAGCGCATCCGTAGACATTCCTGTCGCCAGCTCGGGGGCCTCGCCAAGGATCGGGCGCTGCAGCGCCCGTCGGCGCTGTTCTAGAATGGGGACTGTTCCTCCTTTTGGGGAGGATGGATGTGGGAAGGTGAACTGCGCCTTTGATTCAACCCACTGGCTGGGTTGTCGAGGTACATTTACCGCACCCGTCCACTCTCCGCTGCATGCACACAGCGAGTTTTCAAGCACAGCGAGTTTTCAAGCGCACTCGGGCCTTCCCTAAGTCGCAGCCCACGTGATCCCTTTCGCGCCGAGTGACGTCAATCAACTGGATCGACAATTCCGGCGCTCTGAGTGGGACGCCTGAGGACCATCCTGCCCTTTCCAGGAAAGGTTCCTGGGTCCATCCTAGAACTCGTTCTGATTGGTTCACCATGGTCATACTCAACCCAAGGTAAACCTTGGGCGAAGCTGGTCCAGTCAAATCGAACGCGCGCGAACCGACGGACGACGATCCCTGCGGTTCGACCGGGTCATTCCTCCTTTCTATCGCATAGAGCACAAGTGCTCTACTGTGTGTTGGCCCCATTCGCACCGTTCTCGTTGATGTAAAAAATTTCCATGCTAATACTGAAAGCCGGGGTCGCCTTCGGGCTTCACCTGTCGGATGTGGAAGCAAAAATGTATTCAAACACCACTGAGAGAACTATCCAACCCCTCGTCAATTTATTGCCCCGCAAGCTCGCTCGGTGTTCGGTCCCCTCCTCCGTGGACGTGAAGCCGCTCATAAAACATAGCATTGCCATACCAACCGTAAGGTGTTTGAGGTTGCAAGCACGTTCCTCCTCGGGGGTCCCATGTGCATGTGACTATAGAACCTTTCGACATCTTCAATTTTCATGCACATTACTTCTATTCACTGTTGGCATTAGCATTAGCCCGCACGGCGTAGCTACATCTAGCGTACGCGTTGCAACATTGCACGCATGAGCACAGGTTCGTTACACGCTATAGATTTAGTAGAGGCAAAGCGTCGCCCATGGACGTGCCAGCAACCCCAGTGCACCAAGGTTGCTTCTGCATGCAGCAATGTCGCTGACAGTGCGGAGCTTATGGCCTGGGCGGAGGAAGCCGCGGAAAGAGACCCCCGAGGAGGCTCGGCAGCGATACCTCCGTGAAATCCTGCGTCGAGAGCTCGAGGACAAGAAGCGCGTTGAGCGCGAGATGCACAACGTACGTGTGTACGGCATTGTAAAGTTCAGGCGAATCACATAGCATTCTCACACCAGGGAGCTCTCTGTATTGTGATTCTGCAGCTTGTGAAGCAGATCAACGCACTCATCTTGAAAGACCGCAAGAGCTTGGTGGCCTACCAGCGCGTACGTTGACAGTCATGGATTGAAACTTCAGGACAGCTTTGAGCTCATGACGTTTTGAGCTGCGAACAGAGAGTCAAGGATGAAGACCCGCGCAGCGTCTTCTACTACCGCATGCTGCGTCGCGTGGGTCTGCCGGAAGTGCATGCTCGCTTCGCACCATGGTTCCTCAAGTCGAACCAGATCCAACTCAACCGCTGGAGCGCCGTGCTGTTTAACCGGCTCGAGCAGGCCTTCTTCGCAGTACCGGATCAACTCTCCACTGTCGAAATCCGCATGCTCGCGCACCAAAAGCACTATGATGCCATCATGAAGCCCCCACCGAAGGATCTGGCGGCGCCAGACCCATCGAAAGCCCTCGAGCCGCGCCAAAAGAGCCAAATTCTGCTTCAACGGGCATTTCGAGACTGCTCTTTTCACGTTGATGAGGACATTGCTCGCAGGCGGCAGCAGCAGGCGGCGATCACCGGGGTGAAAAAGCCTCCTCCGAAGCCCAAAAACCCTGAAACAAGCGACAACCAAGAGGACGAGGTCGACAAACTTGAAATCATTCCGGAGGTGGCAATGGTCAACGCTCCACCAGGTTTGGCGCCACAGGTTCGAGGTCAGCTCGAATCTCACGGCAAGCACACGTTTTACACGTACAACGGGCGCTGGAAAGATGGAGAAATGCATGGCGCTCTTGGAGTTTACTCGTTCGCTGATGGCGGCAAGTATCGCGGCGGGTTTGCCCACAACGTACCAAGCGGGAATGGAACGGTGGTGTACCCGAACGGTGTCAAGTACACTGGTGCGTTTGCAGACGGCAAGTTCCATGGCTTTGGTGTGATGGAGATGGAGCGTGGGTTCCGCTACGAAGGGGAGTTTGTTCGAGGCCAGCGTTGCGGGGTCGGCAAGCTGCAGATGCACCAGAGTGGAGCTGTGTATGAAGGTGAATTCTACAACAACATGCGTCACGGCGAGGGAACGGAGACGAGCGCTCTTGGATACTCGTACACTGGAACGTGGCGCTGCAATCGCATTTATGGCAAGGGGCGACTGTTTTGCCCCGACAAACGCGAAGTCTTTCGCAAGGACTGGCCGCCGTTGCTACTTGGCGAGGCCATACGTCTCGTGAAGCGAGAGCACGCTGAGGCTAGCTGGACACAGGAACTCTGGTACCGGAAGCTGTTGCGGGTGCGTGACGACCTGCGCGCGCTAGACCTGCAGTACGCGTTCTGGGATGCCGAAGAAGCCCGCATGGAGCGTGAGGAGGCAGAACGCATTGACAACTTGAAGCGCGCCCGCCGCGAGAAGCGTGAGGCTCAGATTGCAGCCAAGAAGGCTTTTATGGAGCAAGTTCAGCGTGAGGCGGAGGGCAGCAACAACCACGGCAGCGACGACGATGATGATGACGATGAGGATGAGGATGCCAGTGAAGACGAAGGTGGTGATGGCGAGGAAGCGGATGATGACGATGTCGGAGAGGAAGAGGACGACGAGCCTAACGAAGAGGAAGACACAACTTGAACGCCGTGGCGAATGTTTGAAAATTAACGAGCATTTCAGTTCATGAAATACCTTGCATTGGTTGTTGCTTTGATTTGTATGTGGGCATGCCTGTGGAGGCATGCCGTACTGGGTCGGCGAGAAGTGTTCACGCGTCTTCACTATATCCATGACGGCTGGCAGCTCGAAATCGCTTGATACCGCACGGTCCTGGTGGCTTAGCTCCGTCGCTCAGTCGTGTCAACGCCGCCGAGTTTCTCGAGTTCATCGTTAATTTCCTTCAGGTCCTTCGACTCGAACGCCATGGCATCACCACCCGTTGCACCAGCCGCGGGCGTGGGGCCGCTGAAGGGCATTCCCGACGCAACAGCCGAGACGACCGAAGGCGGGACCACGCTTCCCACGGCAGAAATCGGGTTGGGGACATGGCTGAGAGGCGAATTCGAGATAATCTGTCCTGCCAGAGGGCCCGCAAGCGACGTCACGGCCGAGAACACCGACTGCAGCCCAATGCTGGCCATGCCAGCCACGTCATTCAACTGTGATGCAAGCGAATCAAAGATAAGCAGCTCGTTAGTTCATCCACCTTCAACACTAACGGCATCCAAAACACTCACGTTCTGCGGCACTTCGCCCAATTGAATGGTCTCATCGACACGGCGGTCCAGGAACGCCCAAGTGTCCTGGAAGTTGGGCGACTTGTCGCTGAGCATGAACAGTTCCGTGCTGGCGTAGATACCCGTGAGAATAGCACGCTTGGTGTACCAGGACATGTCCGTGGACTTGTCGCCAGCGAAGTACCAGATCTCGTCCGAGATCTTTGCCAGTCTCTTCGCCGTCCCGGGGGCGTTCTGCGGCAACGCACCCGCCGCCATACCCTGCGGCCACGTCGCCATCACCGGTTCAATCATCTGGAGGCGCGTGCGAACACCGAACTTGAGGCGCTCGGCCACCGTCATGGCCTGCAGCTGCTCCGTGTTGACAATGAGCGTCTCGCGCAGCTTGATGAGGCATGAGTCCATGAAGTACTCCACCAGCTCAATGGCTCCACGCGGGAACATGCCGTGGGCCACCGACGGGTAGCCGAGGTCCGTAGCGCCAGCAGCCAGAGCCTCAATGGTCCATCTATTGAGCACAACAAACAATGAGATAACATCCCGCAACGTTAAATTTGAGGATATCTCAGCTTGTAGAGCGAATTTGGAGGCCGGAAAGCGACGCACCCATGCACGGCGACGTGGTTCATTGCCTTCTCCAAGATGCGCTGCTCCGGGTCGATGGAAGACTCCGGCCTCGTCGTTTCTTCGCTGCTGGCAGTCGACTGCGTGGTCAGGAGACGGATCTGAGCCGCAGCGGGTGCCGCCTGGAAGCACTGACGGCCAGCCACCGACGTGGAGACGGCGCACACAGCGCTGCGCTTGCTTCCGACAGCAGCGGCGAGACGCGCGGAGCGGCGGAGGAGGTTCCTGGACGCCATGATCGCGAGCTATTGAGTCAGTTGGTCACTTGATAGCCCCCCGTTTCAAGTGTGTGTTTTTCCCCGTCTAAAGATTCTGATGATTGGCTGATGGGATATCATAAAACAGTATGTAGTCAAGAACTTATTATTCATGTGCGAAACAACGTCAGTGACTGGGGGGGGGGAATCCAAAGCGCTATTCGCCACTTCTTCGTGCCCGTCACTAGAGACCATGGACGTCATCTCCGTGGGCGCTTCGCTCGGCGCGGGTCAGGATGGAGATGACACGAGAAGCAATCCTAGGCGGGACTCTTTCCGTTCTACCTGGGAGAGTTGAAGAGCTTTGTTGCTTGGAGTCCAAATAGATGTTATACCGGCTTGGAGTCCTAGGCATAAGCTTACGGCAAATACCAAAGCTCATACAGGCGATGACCGTAAAGGTTAAAAATAATAGATAGAGGTATATTATTCAATGTTTAGAGCTCGGATGAAGTGTCCGCTCTTTGGTAAGTAGGTTTAGATACGTTCTAGGATGAGGCGAAGGGAGTTAAAGACCTTCAAGCTGATGTCTCGAAGAGGAACTTGTAGAGTTGTCGAGGGAGCTTCTCTTGGCAGGGGCAGGCTTGCGAGTCGATCACTGGGCACGAGACTGCCAGTTGCAGCAAGGACTCGATGAAGCGCTGCACCGCCTTGGTTCGCTGCCGCTGTGGAAGCATCCAGGTCAGCAGTGCGCCCGGTAGCACCGCTCCAAAGAGCAGGTAGCGTGTCACTTCGCTGCAGAACTTGCAGTTCATGTACAGGTGAGGTCCCGTGTGGCAGAACTCGTAGAGCTCGTCGCGCAGTGCGACAAAGTCGGAGAACTGCTTCCCGACGTGGACGTCCGCTTGGTTGAAGAGTGCGGTAGACTGGTGTCCTTGCTCCAGGACCACCGCAGAGGCGGCAGTCTTCAAAGTTGTAGGGATGCGGGTCGTGGACTGCGAGTTGGTGTACACGTCGATGACATAGCTTCGAGTGTTGTTCTCACTCCGACAAACTTGCACCCGGCGGATCTGCTTGAGCTTGGTCAGGATCTTCATGTGACGCGAGTACCGCTCGGGCATCAGGTCGACGGGAGCAAGTCGAGCGAGGCTTCCCACGACCACCTTGGAGGCCAGAGGTTCTTGGGGTTGTTGCTGTTGCTGGACGCTCGTCATGTTTCTTGTGTGTGTGGTGTGGTGGGAAGTAGGCAAGCAGCAGGAGATGAGCGCGGTAGCGAGCAGATTTAAAAGTGAGCGCTCTCCCAGGCGCTAGCATGCTATTATCGCTGCGCCAGCGACCGAGGGATCTACCTGCGACGAGCGCGAGCGTACCCGAAGGAGGTCATCGCGCCAATCAACGCACCATTCCGGTCTTGCGTCGGTCTTGACTGCCCTGTCTCGTAGCTGAATGCGAGGGCTTGCAAAAGTACAAAACCGTTGTTTGACATCCCGAGAAGTGGCGGCCAACCAATCACTGCCACAAGAACGTGTTTGTTTGTCGTCTGTGTGCCTTCACTGCGGTGAATGCATGCCGTACATGCATGCATTTCTTTGCATGAGAGTGCTGTTCTCGATATCAGCGCGTGCATCGCGTTTGCCACGTCCACTTCAGGACTGAAGTTGAAGTTTTAGTCAGCTCGCGTCTTGATTGGCCATCGAATTTGCATGATGTAGCCCGTATCCGATCTTGAATGGTTGTACAGTACTGAACAGCGGGCATCGGAGTAGAGGGTGCGTATGATCTACTTCAGTACGCTTTCACGGGGCGATAAGCTCTGCCGGTTTGGCGCCGTCGAGGTGCATAATGCGAAGCGTGTGGAGCTCCTTCGCCTTCTTCGTCGGGTACTTTTGGTCGTTTTCGCACGCTTACGAAGAAGATCACTGACTATGATAGAACATCGGTAACGATGCTGTAGCCCAGCACACCGAAGCTGTTCACTTGAAAGTTCCAAGTTGGAACACAATCGGGCCTTCGCTGCGCGTTGATGAAGCAGCTACTACCGCGCTGCTTCCTACTTGACATCGGCTGGTACAATACTGCAGTTTCGACAGAGGTGTTCAACTACTGTACCGTGTTCGCTAACGCAAGTATTGTTAGGTTCCGCCTTTTCCTCCACAGTGCTGCAAAACATCGGAGGGATGCATAAGGTCCACTTGCAGGTTGTCCCCAAGCTCCATGGATCGTACGAGTTCAGGAGCGAGCATACCAAACAGCAATGACACTTCAAAGCGACCAACGAAGTGCCCAGCAGGCGAAGCTACAGGAGCATGCGATTTCATCTACTTACTCGTAGTATCATAGCCGCAACAAATTCAATTTGATCAGCGGATGGGAACTTGCATGCGGAACGTGAAAGCTCAACTTCGAGTCGGAAGTGCCGACACTAGTTCCCGTTTCGACACAGTTAAAAAAAACGATACCGCACCAATGTCCCATGCAAGCGTTGCAATCTCGATTTGGAGCTGCTGACTGTGGTGCCGGTTGCCAGAGGCATCACCTTGCGATTTTGTTAGGGTTAGCGCAGTCCTGCACAATGCGAGCTCACTCCAACAAGGGCCTGTGCTGCCACTGTATTGTATCCGCCATGCCGTCAATACTCCGTGCTCCCACACCATGCTAGCTATACGATTTACACCGCCCAATCTAATACGTGCGCCTGCCCACTCGACGCTTGAACCGTCCACTAACTGCGGTGCTGCGCGCGCTGTGAGGTTTTGCCAACTGAGCTTGCCAGCCCGAGTTGCCAGCCCTTGAACTTGAACTTGTCCGTTTCCGCGGTAATCATCATGAATGAAGCGCTCTGAAAAGTGGCTAGTGCCACAAGTTAACTCTGATTATGGCGATCGTACAGCACCAACCCTCTTGATCGTCAAAAGGTGTCTTGGGAAGGAAAGCAACAGCAATTGAAGCTCGTGATTGTGTGCATTGTTAGACTCCTCAGTGCGCGGATTTCTTGCTGATCGCTGCCGCCGCGGGTGCCAGTGGTGGCACACTTGTCGGTACAGAAAGTTAAATGAACCGTATCGAAGCAGCTGTTCGGTGGCGCAAAGCATCCCTGCCACTGACGTGGCTCAGTTGGGCCGCCGGACTTGATACGGGATAAAGCGTCGCGACCAACCAAGTGGTCGCTGGTGGTGCACACACTTGAGAACTCGCAGCAACTGCAACAAGTGCCAGCCAGCGTACAGCATTCATCTAGATCAACATGTCCACCGACCAAGTGCCTCCGTTCTCGCTCGGTAAGAAGACATTGCATGAAGGAATCTGCTGGACTCGGATAACATAGCGAATAGCACGTATTAACCTGGCTGCGAATGCACATATGTTGCCCAGACAAGCCGCGCTACGACACCTCGACGTACGTCGGTCGGTGGCGTAAGTTCTCCGAGCTCGTGTCCCCAAAGTACGTTCATTTGTCCTCGGTTCTCTTTTGATCAGCGCGAGAATCGATAGCTCACGCTCTGCGCGTATTTCAGGTGGCTCTTCCTGAGCTCGGAGGACATTAAGCACGCGACGGAGACGCTGGACAGCTTCCGCAACGGAACGCTCCCGCCTGGCCAGTTCAAGGACGCTGAGCTCTGGGACCTCCGTCAAGGTAAGGCGCAAGCATGTTGGCTGTGCATTGGGGTTTAGGGCGCTGACTTTGCTGTTACGATTGTTGTAACGCGTACGCTCAGCTTATGAGGCCGCGGTGCACCCCCAGACCGGCGAGACCGTTCCGGCAGCATTCCGCTTGTCGGCGTTCATGCCGGTGAACATTCCCATTTGCGTCGGCATGCTGCTGGCTGCCCCCACGGTACGGTATTTGTATGCTTGTGTTGCGCTGGCCACGACGATTTACCTAACCTGTTGTGTGTGAGCAGCTGGGAAACACCATCTTCTGGCAGTGGGTGAACCAGAGCTACAACGCTGGCTTTAACTACGCCAACCGCAATGCCAGCAGTGAGCAGGACAACTCGACCATCCTGAGTACGTCAATAGCGCTGTTCCTCCTTTTCTTCCTGTTTGTTTTCCTCAACAAGACATACTTGTATTGGTCTACAGAGTCGTATGCAACCGCGACGGCCGTTTCTTGCTCGATGGCCGTCGGCCTCGGCAAGATGGTTGAGAAGGCTAAGCGCATTTCTCCCGGTACGCGTCTGTTCCTGGGAAAGGTTAGTAGCCACTGCTCGAAACATTTTATGATGCTGTTTTTGCCGAGATTGCTAATATTTTTTACTCGTTTGCCTTCGATAGATGGTGCCTTTTGTTGCCGTCGCCGGTGCTGGTGCATTCAACGCAGTGTCCATGCGTTTCAACGAGTTCACGTACGTTGATCTATCGATCTCATCGTGTTGGAAGCTGCTGTTAAGACTCACTCAATCCTGATTGCCGTTTACAGGGAAGGCATTGACATCATGGACGAGCACGGAGATGTCCACGGACGCTCCGTTGCTGCGGGACGCCAGTCGCTCGGACAGGTGGCGCTGACGCGCGTTGCGTTGCCCATGCCCAGTACGTCCTACGTAGTTGGAATCGATCTCTCGCACCGCTAGTTGCTGACTAACTCGCTATTGACACTTTGACAGCCCTGCTGCTTCCGCCGTACCTGTACGAGATCATGAAGAAGACCAACATTATGCCCAAGCAGAAATACCCCAAGCTTGCTGCTGAGCTTGGTGCGTTCATTGTCCCTGTGTTTCACGAAATGCCTGGACAAACCTGACTGATTTCCTACTGTGCGATGTTTTGCATGACTTCCATTTACGTAGTTGTGCTGACGTTATGCCTGTGGGGCGCCATGCCCAGCGCTGTCGCACTGTTCCCGCAAATGGGAAGTATTTCGGCAGACAGCGTCGAGGAGGAGTTCCGATCCCGTGTGGACCGCAACGGACAACCTATCCGCCAGTTCATTTACAACAAGGGTATCTGATTGGAGCCACCCTCCATGCACGACACTCCAGCAAGGCCACGCGTAGATGACAGTGTGATTCTTGCAGCTTCTCCGGTGTGTTACTAGGCTTACGTGCGGTTATCAGTTCTCCATCAGTGAAATACACATGCGCGAAAATATTTTGCTCTGTTGGCTTTGTGTGTGTGTGGGGGGGGGGGGGGGGTATGCCAACTCCGCGCTGAGTGCGTGTGGGAACTTCACACTGGGAAGTCGTCTTCAAGTTGAAGTGAGGGTAACCTCACGTAATAGTCGGGTTACACAAGGGTCCACTAGGGTTACTATTTTACTTTTTTTTGCCTGTTCGCGGAGGAGCTGATGGCCCCGAAGTGAATCGACGGCGCCCCCGAGGATTAGACGATATCCGGAGTGCATTAGAGCCCGCCTCTCATACTCTCCCTGCGTAGGAGGGCGGTGACACTAACAAACACTGGATGAGGGGAGCAAATAACTTACGTAGTAATAGCTGCTCGAGTTCAATGAATGGCTGATACAATATGAAGCGTGAGGTCTGAAGGGTATTCAGCAGTAGTTATCAGGGATAATGCTACAAGAGTAGCATCGTGCTATGAAACGCATCGATAGCCATCGTGAGCTAAGTCGATTCGATGCGGCTGTCGTTGTTGTCCGCTATGGGCTCGGACACTTCAGACTCGAAGCTCAGAACATAACTCGCCCTGCTTGTCAAACTCGCAGCTTCTGTAGGCTCGACGGGGCGCCGAAAATGGCGCTTGCCCTTCTGTGCCTCGATGTATAAGAGCATGTTCTTCCGACTCTCCTCCTTTTTTGCGTCCTTTGTTCGCCAGAGATCACGCTACAAAATCGACATCAGCAAGAAGGTGTAAGCAGAGCCCTCTCAATGTGGAATGACCAACCAACACACCTCTTTGACGTAGCTTGCGTTCGACGCTTCGTGCAGTCGCTCCTCCAGTTCCCAGCAGTATCGCTGCCACTTTTCCTTTTCCGATATTTGGCTGCAAAGCGATAGCCTTATTGTGAGCCCTCCGCCGGCATGCTACGGGTCAAAAGCCGAACTTACTCATCGACGAGAGCTCTCAAATCCAGCAACGCGTGTTTAGCTGCTGACAACTCACGTTTCGCTTTCGACAGGATTGTTGCACCTGCTGCAGCTATAGTTTAACAGAAAGAGCTATCAGAATCTGATAAGCAAGAGCTGAACTGTCGCCACCGCGCCAAACCTTTTTCGCCGGCAACTCGGAGCTGGAAGTCGTTGTCCGCTTCCTTTTGCTGAAGCCTGAGAAGATCACGGGCTTGGTCCTCGAGCGTTTGCTTGGAAGCTGCGAAAACTTCACGTAAGCGTGTCTTCGCCCTCTATAATTTGTAGGTGTGCAACTACAACGTTAGACAACCATCCTTGCATGAACAGTTCGGTCAAACTCACCCTGCTTTCGTCAACCTCGTTCTGGAAGTTGTCTCGTTCCTTTTGCAGTTGCTATTAGAACGCACAGTAAGTTAGAATATGCGACTCGCCACACCACAGCACTTCTTCGTGTACCCGAGATTCCAATACAATGCGGCAAAGAGCAGTATCTGAAGTCGATAGCGATTCCGCCAAGGCTTCCGATGATCCTGCAAGTCGAAAATACATGTATACATAATTTAGCGCTGATTTATTAGCGTCGATAACGATCAAGCCTACCGCATAAAATCCCAAGAGAGCGAATATCATCCGACAGCTTGGAGCTCTCTCCGCATTCGTACAGTTGGAGCAAGTGTAGAGAAGTCAACGGATTCTCCGGGTAGTCCGGCAGAATGTCGTCGATATTTTCGTGACTTGATCTTAACTGGTCCTAATCCAGAAGTAAGCGCGTTAGTCCGTCATTTCAGAAAACAGGTTGTGCTCTTTGACATCGGGTTACTTTGAGTTGTCGAAGCTCCTCAGTGGTTAGCTTGCCATCACGATCCCCATCGAACTGCTGCCACACCATTTTGGCAGCGACAGTCGACCACGACGGCAAGCCCGATGGAATTGACGCGGAATCGTCGGACCATTGCGGTGGATAATAACTTGGTAGCCTCCTTATTTGTTCCACGAGAAACTCCAAGCTCTCTTGCTTCTCTTTCTGCAACAACACCCATTGAGAATAAATAAAAACAACCACGCATCCGATCCCACGCACCAGTTGCTGCTCGTACTCCCGGAATCGGATTTCCTGCTCATAAATTGTAACGCGCAGCATCTCGAGCTCTTGTTGAATGGACTTGTTCTCGGCGTAAAAAGTCTGGGAGGCACAGCACATCTCCATTTTAGCAAACCGATCCTTGACCCCCCCCCTGCTCACGACAGACATACCTTGATGTTTTGCACGTGTCGACAACCCTTCTGCTCACCATCGCAACCCAAGAGCCCCATGTCAGCAGCTCTTCAAGCAATGACATTCTAGGCAACTAATTGCAGCGACCTACCCAGCAATACAGATAGAGCTCTGCCCCTCCGCAGTTGTTGCAGCAGTAGCGCGATAGCTTCTTGACCGCCGCACTTGGATGCATCAAATGACAGCGAAAGATCCGAGTTAGGTCAGCAACATTGCAAGATCTCGTCACTTGAGGCCTGCCACCAACTCACGCTGCCATGCTGATTTGATGAGAGCAAACAAAGGCAACAACGCGCAAAGCAGGACGAGCACCTCCCTCTCCAAGAACCATGAAACGACCTCGCCCAAGTTGAAGTGGAGGATAAGAATAGGAGCTCCCTGTACTAGAATCAGTTGAAGCCCGCAGCAGAGCGAGTGCACATCGCCGGGATCCGCGTGTTTCTTGAGGCACCCGCATTGATCCCTCTGATTCGGAGGCTCCAAGCAATGCGCAAAGTTTGCACGCGGCGAGAGTCCCGCGAGACCCAGCGCTCCGACCTTGGGACGAAAGTCTCAAGGTCCGCGGGCAGGGCAGCCCGATTCAATTGCACGAAAGTGTCGCTACGGCCAACGAAAGATACGTTGGGACGAACCTTCGGCGCCGCTTCGCCTGCTGGGCCACTTCAACTGTACAATTTTCAACAACATTGAGAACGGTCTCCAACCTTGCTGGCTGCGTGGGCGCTGAGCCACAAAGCGCTCAACGGCAAAAGGGGAATTTCTCACTGCAGAAGAATTCTTCTTGCCGAAACGCTATTTGGACTCTTCCTCGGGTGTCGTGTGCCCGGCCCGTGCCCGGCGTCATGGCCCGTTGTCCAAATAATTTGATGGTCTTCTCCTCGTATCTTTTTATCGGGCTCTTCTGCCTGGTTCAACGAGGGGGCACGGCTGCGAAAAATCAGCGCCGTCCCCCTCGGATACGTCCGCAGCTCTATAGGGCTTTCGCCTGCAGAGCCGTCGCAGCGAAGGGCGGGGGTACGCGGTCGTCGTTTAACAAAGATAAGGGAAACCGCGAATGCAAAAAAAAACGAAGAACAGTGCTGCGCGGCGCTGCCCCATCATCGGTCTCCAATTCCAACATGCCGGCGAGATCACTTCGGAATTTGCCTGCGCCCGCCCAAGCAAGCCCCTCCATCCCGCAGCAAACCAAGCCACCTGCATACGCGTCTGCACTCCCATCGAATGTCGGTGTCGGCAGTGCGAGTCTCACTCCAGCCGGCGCATGGCTACATCCCACTTGTAGTCATCGGCGCCGGCCTCGTCGGGACCTGGGCCGGCTTCCGCGTCGGCGTGGCGCGCAAGCAGTTCAACGTGCCGTACCCGCAGATGTACGCCGAGAAGAGCGACAAGAACGCCAACGAGTTCAACTGCGTGCAGCGCGCGCACCAGAACGTCCTGGAGAACCTCCCGCTGTTCTACGCCATGCTCGCCACCTCCTCGTACGTGACCAGCGGCTTGCAATTGCCAGCTATCGTTTATCTGACGAGGACGTTTGCTGATGTGATTTGCAGGATCTACCGCCCCAAAGTCGCCGCAGCAGCCGGATTGGTCCGCATTGCTGGGTTCGTCATGTACGTCAAGGGCTACTCAACCGGTGACCCAGGGAAAAGGAGAAAGGGGAACTTCGGTACGTTGTCCTATTCCGCTATTTTGCGCTATCATGTGATCTTGAATTCTAATACTTTTGTTTGCTCGGTTTAATTCTGCAGGTTACCTCGGCACGCTAGTGATGTTAGGACTCTCTTTGGAAGCTGCACTACGCCTGCTTGGTCACCTATAGTGGCTGCTCGATCAGGATGAAGAGCAGCAACTGAGGACAAGTGATGATGAATCAGACGACAACTAGTACAAGAGACGAAGAGCAAGATGGAAGAGAAGAAGTGTGAAGTATCACGAGAAATGAAGGACCGGCGAGCACGCTCATGATGCCTCCGATTCAAGGGGTAGTGTGAGGCGAACGTACATGAAGCGCTGCTACCAGACGCCGGTGATATTCGCGAGCATCCGAGGGAAAGTGCTGCGAGGCACAGCAGCAACGACAGGAAGCTGCTGCTGAAGTTGCCAACAACAAGATTTCAGGAAGAATGGCGCAACCTGGAGGTGGACACGGTAGTCCAGTGGATTTGGGCTTACCCACCGCACGATTGAAGGCTCCAGGGTTTCCGCGCGTAATTGATGCATGTGAAACTACTACATAGCTGTTGTACACGAGCAAATGAACACAATGAAAACAGTGAACTTATTTTTCTTTGCACTACACAACAGTTTCTGCCTTCGTAGAGCCCGTAGGGAACATGGTGCGCTCGCTCGGCCCAAACCACCACTAGTTCATGTAGTACAAGGCTGCTATCAAACCTCCACAATCAGTTCTGCACTGACGAGGAGAGCAACCAACATTGCAACAAACCAAATGAATCATTTGAAAGGATAAATCTTAAGGCAAATACATGAATGAACACGACAAAGCTGCGGACAGCTTAGCTATAACTTACATGCATTGGTGATCATACATGAAGGCGATTAAACTATTATTTGTCAATGACAACTTGTCATCGATGACACAGTTGTACAGACCACTTCAAGCGAAGTCAATGCCACTCTGACTACCGACGATTGCGACCGCAAGTTCCATGTTTCATGGCTTTAATTTGCACCGGCGTGTCCCCACTTCATTCCGCAATTCTCTCAAGAACCAACAAGCCCAAGACTCCTCGACTAAGTATGCGGTCTTCGTCCTTCAAGTCCTCCGTCAGCGTCACGCACATCAGCACGGCGACGGCCATCTTGACCATTGACGACGTCAACTTCTTGCTCGACCCAGCTTTCGGCAACCATGGCGACTTCCAGCAACGTGACGGTGTCCTGCTCACGAAGACTGACGACCCCGCGCTCGGACTCGAGGACTTGCCTGTCATTGACGCTGTCCTCCTGAGCCACGAGGACCACGTCGACAACCTCGACACATCCGGTCGCACAATGCTGAATGGCCGCCACGTCTTCACCACCCTCGACGGCGCCAAGAACCTCGCTCCTCGCCCTGGCGTTCGTGGACTTGCACCCTGGGAGTCCACGACGGTCACGCTGAACGGCAAGCAGTTCAAAATCACGGGAACGCCCACCCAGCACCTGCCTGGCGGAGAGTGCACGGGCTTCGTGCTCGAGTCACCCTCCTTTGGCGTGAACGAGGCGGACGGTCTGCCGAACGTTGTGTACGTGTCGGGCGACACGGTGCACATTCCGCAGCTGGCGAACGAGCTTCCGAAGAGGTACCACGTTGTGGTGGCGCTCATGAACCTCGGCAAGGCCATCGCCCCACTACCGACGGGACCTCTTCAGATCACAATGGACGGCGCGCAAGGAGCTCAGCTCACTCGGGACATTGGCGCAGAGAAGATGGTGCCGCTGCACTTCGAGTCGTGGAAGCACTTCACGGAATCCGTCGAGGACGCCCGTGCTGAGCTGGCTGCGGACGCGAATATCAAAGACAAGGTCGTCTGGGTTGTCCCTGGCGTGAAGACGGTGATTGTGTGAGGTGTGACCTCTTTCAAGGGCGAAGATGGAAAGCCTAGCTATTACCCGGGATCTAGGTCAGCGTGTTGTTCGTATCCGTAATTTTCTTCTTGTTTTAGTGGTCGCACGAATTGCTCCACGACTTTTTTTTCAAACAAACCTTTCATTTCTCCATGTGGATCAAAGATACTTATCAAGCAGTGTGAGGTCTACCAAGAAGACTCCGTTCCTGTTATAAGACTTCACTGCTCAGATATCCATCCAGCTCAAGAATGAAGATACATCAAGCAAAGGAATGATGTTTCGGGCCTTCAGCAACGATTACTAGTATGGCAGCTGCTCCTCCCCCATAATCCCATAATCACAGCACGCGCGTGCTTCTACAGAATGAAGATAAGGTATTGTCTTATTGGATTGTTAATCCGCCGATGTAGTGGCTTAATAAGACCGACTACCCCGATTTGATAAATCTGACCTCCTAATTAGACTGGAGTACCTTGATTTATACTCAAGATTACTACCTAGGACGACTTACAGAGTCAGAGCATGCTCTGACTCTGAATAGCAAGCAAATCAGCCGCCAGACAACAATCGTTACAGTAGCTCTTGGCAATGTAGTCAAGGCTACAAGTTGTAGCATACAACACTAACATCAGAACTAAGCAGGAAACGCCGCACGCTATAATACATGTAACACGAGATATGCAGGAGATGCGTTTAAGCTCGGTGTTGTCGCTGCACTTGGCGAGTCTCGGGCCGAGGATACATGCATGTTGATCGAAATTGCTAGGCTGCCGGTGAGCGATTTATACTCCGATTATAATTGAGACATCCCCGATTTATTAGTCTTCAAATCCGCTATGAGCGATATTTAACCGGCTAATTCAGCAGGACAAACTAATCGGTTTTCACAAAAACTTAAAACACACGAAGACAAGATCATGAGCAGCACATTGACCATCTTATAGAGATTCACGCCATCACCATACTTATACAAGTACACAGCATTTTGATTCCGTAATCGACCTCAAATAGAGCGCCCTCCTCCCGATCCAATCCAACGTCACAACGCAATTCGACTGACCAAGCGCAACACCGGACAGCCTCGAAACACTGGATAGCATGGCTGGAACCCTGGTGGAGCTGCAGCCCGCGCACGGCTTCGTGCCACTGCTCGTGGTGCTGCTGCTGTTTGTGAACTTCTGGGCCGGGATAAAGGTGGGCAAGGCTCGCAAGCTCTACGGGATCGAGTACCCGCAGGTGAGACGCAACTTGGTGCTGCTAAGCAAGGGCCACGGCGCAGCGTTCCACTGAGCTAACGGATTGGTGTTGGGATGCGCTCTGTAGATGTACGCGGAGCAGAGCAACAAGAACGCCAAGGCCTTCAACTGCGTGCAGCGCGGCCACCAGAACATCATGGAGAACATCCCGCTCTTCCTCGCCCTTCTGCTCACGTCTGCGTACGTTTTACTGCTCCTCACGCTGCAAACGAGGAGTGATAAAAGGCTTATGCTGCTGGGCGTTTATTGCTTACCTATTCTTCTGCAGGGTCTACCGTCCCCAGATTGCCGTGATCGCCGGATTGGTGCGCATTCTTGGCTTCATTGCCTACATGCGCGGCTACTCGTCGGGCGACCCGAAGAAGAGAATGCAGGGCGGCTTCGGTAGGTTTCGTAGCACAGCGCTTGCTTGGGGCGTATGCATGTCTGGTGGTAGCATCTAACTCGTGGTGATTTGTGCGGTCAAAGGTTACCTAGGACTCCTTGTGAGCCTTGGCCTGACTGTCGAGGCGAGCCTGCGCCTTCTGGGAGTTCTGTAAGCGAATGTGCAAGTCTTCAGTTTTCGCGGCTCTATTGCGTTTAAGCGAGTGATGAGAAAGCTGCGACGCGGACCACGAGTGGGCAGAAATACGAACAACCGGAGTTAAATCCTCGGGTCGCGGTGTTCAAAGAAGTAGTTAGCCGTCTAAAACTCAACAACCTTGGACTTGTGGAGAGAAGTTTTGGGCAGAATCGCCGTTGTAACCTCTACTGCATTAAGGCCAGCATACCTTGTCGATACTGCACTTCGTTTTCTTTCAAGTGCTCACGTAGCCGCACCGCACTGAAGCTACACATACTTACTCGGAGTAAGTTGCTCACCGCCAAGCGAAGTCGGCGGGCGTTCAGTTATGAGCTGCAGTCCTTGTGTAGCTTGCATAAGTACCTATAATGTGTGCACACAGCAAGCCTACAGTGAACACGCTCGTCAAATACGCTCGTCAATGTGGGCAGCACCACCGGCGCGAAGTTGAGGTGGCCATTGCGTAATATCAGCTCGCTGATTCGCTGAAAAGCGCGGGTCCCCTCCAGCCAATGGCGTCCCTTCGCTATTTCATCGCTCGGACTGCGCCCCAGCTTCCACATCCTACGGATAACCGCACGCTCGCAGCCGGAGGCAACGCACTCGCCGATCCGCGCCTTTAGCGCCCGCACCACCGCAACCTTCCTACACTTAACTGACTCATGGGCAGCGAAGTGGCCACGACGTCCCTGGCCGTGGCGCTCTCCGCCGCGGCGGCCGCCGCCTACATCGTGCAGCGCCAGCAGAAGAAGAGCAACAAGAGCACCACCAACAAGGCGCTGCCCTTCCCCATGACGCGCACGCCGCTCGAGCGCGTGCCGCTGGACCAGCTGCCCAAGCTCAAGAACGACTTGCTGCTGCGCGCGCTGCGCGGCGACCGCACGGAGCGCGTGCCCGTGTGGTGCATGCGTCAGGCCGGACGGTGCGTTGAGTTAGCTGCGTTTTGAGCCCTCTTCGAGGTTGAACGGAGCAGCAGACTCAAAAGTTATGCCTTGTTTTACGTGTTGTATTATGACACGACAGCCACCTGCCCGAGTTCCGCGAGCTGCGCGACATGGGCTACGACTTCTTCACCATGTGCGGCGTGCCCGAGCTGGCGGTGGAAGTGAGTCTGCAGCCGCTGCGCCGCTACCACATGGACGCGGTCATCATCTTCTCGGACATTCTCGTGATCCCGCAGGCCATGGGCATGGAGGTCAAGATGGTGCCCAAGGTGGGGCCCGTGCTGCCCGACCCGATCCGCACGCCCGAGGACATCGACAAGCTCGACCTGAACCCCAACATCGAGGAGACGCTGGGCTACATGCTGGACGCGCTCAACCTGGCGCGCCAGAAGATCAACGGTGAGGTGCCGCTCATCGGCTTCGTGGGCGCCCCGCTCACGCTCATGTGCTACATGATCGAGGGCAGCGGCAGCCGCACCAAGGCGCTGCTCAAGACGTTCCTGTACCAGCACCCGAAGGCGGCCCACAAGCTGCTGCAGGGCATCACCGACGTGTGCGTCAACTTCCTGCTGGCTCAGCAGCGCGCGGGTGCTCAGGCTCTGCAGGTCTTTGAGAGTGTGGGCGCTGAGGTGCTGACCCAGGACCACTTCTACGAGTTCGTCTTCCCCTACCTGGTCCAGATCGCGGACCGCGTCAAGGCGGAGGCGCCGGACACGCCCATGGTGTGCTTCTGCAAGGGCACGCAGTACGCGTACGAGAAGCTCGTGGCTACCAAGTACGACTGCATTGGTCTGGACTGGCAGTCCGACCCCGTCGAGGTGCGCCAGCTTGCGCGCGGCCGTGTCTCGCTGCAGGGCAACATGGACTCGAGTGTCATCTACGCGTCCACGGACATTATCTATGACGAGGTCAAGAAGATGCTCAAGCGCTTCGGCACGCAGAAGTACGTGGCCAACCTGGGCCACGGCTGCTTCCCGGACATGGAGCCCGCGCACGTGGACGCCTTCATCAAGGCCGTGCAGCAGATCTCGCTCGAGATGAACTCGCGTTAGACGACGTCCCATGGCGTTGCCAGGTTGGAGTTGTATTGAAATAGAAGACAGAGGTGCATTCCTCTTGGGATAAATAGTCAACTAGCTGCTGCAAGCATCGTCGGCGAGATATTGAGCGCATCCGCGAAAATCTAACGTGTACATCGTCAAATACGGCGTTAGTGGTATACAGTAGTTGAAGTTGTCCAGCACTACACGCACCGTGAACATCTTGCCGATGTTGTCCATCCTTCGCCTTTGCTCCTTCTCCATCACCGCGTTCTTGGCTCGAAGCTGCTCAAGCGCTGCTCTTTGGTTGTTCGCGTGCACCTCTGCGATCTCCACTTTCTTCACTAACAAAGCGAGTTGCGATGCGACGCTCTGCGCCTGCTCTTCCAGTCCTGAGCGTACCTGCATTTGTTGCTTCTGAACGGTACTGAGAGCTTGCTCCATGAGTTCCAGGTCGTCTGCACGTTGTTGCGCCTGAGCGCGAGCTTCTGACGCTTGTCGTTGAGCTGCCGAGTCGAAATCCTGCAGTCGGTCCAGCATGTCGTCGACGTGCTTCTGCCAGTTTCCACGCAAACTGTTGGCCTCTTCGCAGATCTCCGAGATACGACTCCCAGTGTCGCTCTTGATCTCGTGCAGCTTGTCCTTCACGTCCATGACGTCGCGCTGCAGTTGCTGCATCCACTCGACGTTGTGGCTGTGTGAGGCCTTGAGAATCTCATTATCTTTGGCCCAGTCTCGCTCCTTGAGACCCCATATCTCCATCGTCCGCTTCAGTTGCATCACCTCTGTATGCGTCGCCTTGTGCATCTCCCCTTGGCGCACCACGTCTGCGTCCAAGTCACCAAGCTTTCGGGCCGTCTCCTTGCGAAGTCCGTCCACCTCGGTCATCACCACGTCTGAAAGCGTATCGAAAGCACTACGCAACGCGCGGATTTGTGAAGTCAGAAACTCGAACGTGGCCTGCGACTCCACCTCCAGCACTAGCTGATCAGCCGCCTCGCGCTGCAGCTCCTTCACAGCACGTTGCAGCTGGTGCATGTCTGACAGCGGCTTCTTTGTCTTGGCCAGGCGCGAAGCTGTCGTTTGTTTCAGCGAGATAGACATTCCCTACGGTTCTTGGCTGTAGTATTTCAAAGTGACGAGGAGTTTTCAAAAGCTCGGCAGTTAGTGAATGAACGGTCGAATCGAAATCGAGAAGACCTGAATTGGGGTAACGACGAAGAGGCGGCAGGCAACATCAGAAGAGCAAGCAATATACAAAACATACCGGGGCTGGCCTTATACTGTTTGCAGCCAGGGCCGTCGTCACGCTGTATATCGGATTTCATTTCTTCGTCCAGGAGCTGAAAATGCACATTCGACCGAACTGCTTTCCTGCGCTTGATGACAGCTTTCGCGCCTCCTTTTCCTGTTTCTGGTATTATATGCTGCAGTGTCTTACGTGTAGCGCAGTCCATAGTCGTCCTCTCCATCGAGTAGTGACATCGCCTCCTTGTCTTCTGCCGACAAGGTCGTCGCTTCTACCTCCGGATCAGGGTCCCACTGATAAAGCACCTTGCCCGCGAAGATGATCAGGAACGCGAATACGTCCACGAACACTGATGGCGGGATCCAGTTCCGCAGACCGTCATGGAGGTTAATGAGGCCAAAATTGTCGGGGTCCACTTGATACCAAGCCAGCACCACAAATGAAGTCAAAAAGCCCACGAGCGTGCACCCATACATTGTGGAAACGCTGGTGAGCCGGATGAGCTGGAGTAGCAGCACATTCACGACGATATTGCTGAGAACGTATAGAAGGAGGATAGGAAGACCCAGCTGCAAACAAACAAATACCAAAAAGATATGAGAACATTGGGCTGGGTGCCATGATCACGAAACTAACACTTACGTAGCAGTGATCTGTAGACACCTCGCTTTCTCCTTGAATAAGGCACATCAAGCCGCTTGTCTTTTGGTCGAGGTGAAGGAACTAATAACATCAAGTAAATGAGGTTCAGGGCGCGAACGAAATAACGACCTTTAGAGAATGCTTCGTACCTCCGCGTCAAAGATGAGGGGTGCTGCTAGTAGTCCGGCTACAAACTGGTTGACTGAAACCCACGCGTTGAGGTACGACATGTCCACTGGTTGGTCACGAATAACGCGTTCCTTGTAAAGCATTGACACCGAGCCCGGGATTGCTGCCAGAAGAAAGAAAACACTGGGGCGATTGCAGCACAACCGTCAGCATTGAAAAACTGGTCTTACACCCTTCACTTTAGCTCTTACCTGTTCCAGCCAATCTCCCTGTCATCGAAGTCTTTGCTCTGGGTACTGAATCACAAATAAACGTCAGCAAAACAAAACGAAAAATGGTTTATTGCTATGGTGTAAACGTACTCTTCAATACAAGGTATCAATGATAGGATGATACCGCCCGTGATGATAAGCATGCCAATAACTTGGGAGCGTGCGTATCTACTCAGCACAAAAAGGTATCGACAATTAGCACCAATTGCAGCCCCTCATCTACAATTAGGCTACGATATGATCGTACCTGACACCAAAGAACAGCGCTGACATGCAAGCTGATATAGGGATAGAAGCTTGCATGAACAAAAGCGTCTGCGTCGGGTCTGTCCGACCTCCTGCAATGAACAGCATCAACCCCTAGCAACCACACCGCGACAAGCACGATTTGTTAACGTTATAAACACTTCCGAATCCAGATCTAGCAAGCCTCAATACTCACGTGAAGGAGATCAAGAAGTCCCATGACGAAAAAGTGAAACTTGGGGAACTCCATCCCATCGTCTTCCACGAGATCCTGTAGCAGCATATCCCCACTTCAGCGATCCACACACCCAGTAATTCGATGGAATCACCCCCACCAAAAACCTACGTCATGCGTCGCCTTGTAGCTGACGATGCAGAACATCGGCGGAATGTACAGGAACGTCATGAGCTGGCACAAAAAGTATCTGCACCATATCTGTCAGTCCATTTATTGCGCCTATCCCTCCAGTAGTAGTCCAACTTCAACTGTGCACACCTGTACGACTCCATCCGGTCCACCATCACTTTGAACAGGAACCTCTCGGACGACATGGCCACCAGCAGCAGCAATATCGCCCCGAAGGACAATAGCGACTAAAGCAATAACGCAACAACAATTATGGTAATTAGTAGGTAAAATATTGAGCACCGCAGTCGAGGAGCTCTTTTAACGCTCTTGGATCGGATCCTCGCTGGGTTTTGAGGGTTCTCAGACGCACCTTTCGCGAGCAGATGTGGTAGGACTTGCCGGTCCTGGCGTCGATACCCAAGTGGATGAAGGGCGGCGTGCTGAACGTCATGGCGCTGCTCGACGCGGGGCGGAGACGCTCGCTCTCCCTTCGCTCCGCTTTGGCTCGGGGCTGGTCTGATTCTATAAGAACCTCATACTCATATTTAGCCAATCAAGTGCGTCGCATGTTTCTGAACCACGTACGGTACGGTATTGTGAATTTCTAAGGACCTATCATCAATTTCTAATTGTGATAAATATGAATAAGAGAAGACATTTTGCCTCAACTAAAGAAAGGCACGGATAGCCTTGTGGATCTACGATAGATTTTACTGAGCACATGCTTGAGTGCAAACAATCTAGTCTTCGCGAATCATGGTTATGCTGCTGGAATCACGTACGAAGCTCATGTATTTTTGCATCGATCAGCGTAACGGACGTTCACCAAACCAAAGCGACGGTAGGGCCCACTCGGTTGGTGACTTCTTAGTACTCTGCTGCTAGCTGCAACATGAGCGACGTAGTGGGTCCGGGCGAGCTCCAGCTGTCGGTGGTCGATGGCAAGACGCCGCAGCTTTCGGAGGAAGACTCGGAAAGTCCGGAAGAGGCACGTCAAGCCGCACCGGCCGAACTGGAGCCTGCCACCGATGCGACTGTGCCTTTGCCGGAGACGAAAGAGAACAAGTGGAAGCTCGCGTTCCGACAGCTCATGTTCATGAAGCGCATGAACATGCAGTTCAACGACCGAACTAAGAACGAGATCGAGCTTCGACAGCAGAACATCTCGGTAAGTTCGGGTGAATCGTTGCAAATATTGGGTAAGATGCTAAATTGATGTTGTGGCATTGGGCTTGTAGCCGACGTCGCTGATCTGCAGTCTGCCATACTTCAATTCGTTCTCGGCCGATGAGATCAAAGCTCTCGTTACGGCAAGCTGCCGTGTGAGCTTGCGCCCGGGTGAAATGTTGTCGCTGAGTCTCGTGAGCCCTTCGGTGCAGCAAGAGGGAGACTTTTGCATCGTCATTAGCGGGCGTTTGGCGTTGGCAAAGGCCTCAGTCCCCAGTGCAATGGCGCTACAGCAAGCTGAACTCTATCCGCAGCTGCGACTGGGCATTGGCGATTACTTTTCCATTCAAGCTGCATCAGACATGAAGGTGATTGCGATGGAGCTGGCAGAGTATCTGACAATACCAATGAAGGTGCGCCATGGATGCCATTCCCGATGGTATAAAGATCGTTTGATAACTTACTGCATTGCACGTTGTGTTCCCTAGTCAATCCTGGAGATAAATGCAGCTAGCTGCGCGCTTATCGATGCAGAGAAGAACGACCTCGAGCCAGAGTCAAGCGAGGTAACCTCTGCCATTGTCATCAACTATACCCCCTCCCCACAACTAATCACGTTTCATTGGCGTGTCCATGATAGATGGAGAGTTTCAAGAAGTGGGCGCTCCAATTCAGTCTTGTCCGACAGCGGAGCGAGTTTCCCACTGCCGAGCCAGGCGGTTTTGCCAACTGCTCGGTGAAAACGTTTTGCAAAGACCACTTTCCAAGCATCACACCGGAAAACGAGTTGGACCATACTCTTGAGTGCATGAAAAACGCGCTGACTTCCATTTTCACGGCTCGCCGAGTGAGGATTTATGCACTCGATGAAGCGGACAGACAGCTTGTCATCAAGGTTCGTCTTTCGTTAAAGTTGACGCTGATATCTACAACTAATACTAAGATGTTTGTGTTGTGTCGAAACAGTTTTCTGATGAAAAGTTTTCAAGGCGAAGTGTGGATCTTGCCTCAAGCACAGGACAGCGTGTACTTGACAGTGGTGCCCCTATCTGTATTACGGACGCGACGGAGTTAATCCACGAAGAGGTTGCTGAGTCCGACGTTGCGCGAGAGCTGTATAGACCAGGGACTATCATACTTGCAGCGCCGTTCTTTGATTTCGATTCAGTTCACGCTCATGGGGGTTCCATGGAGACAACGAAAATCGTGGGCATCTTGGAGGTCGTGATTGATTCCAGCGACCACGAGGCGGTATCTGCTACTAGCAACGATGACTGTATCCTGAAGTTCGTCACGGAGGAGGTCGGTCGCTACCTCTTCTTTCATTACGAACGCTTTTTCCACGTATCGCCACATTCCCATCCCCCAGCACTCCCCTCCGCCGCTAGCGACTTGGAGAATACAGAGCTGTTTCCTTCCCCACCGGAAGGGCCTGTCTCGCAGGACCACCGCCATCTCGTCCTGAACATCGGTAAGGTGAATCTGAATGTTCCGGAGCCTGCTACTCTCGCGAAGATCAGCATCCAGCATGGGTCTACTGTTCTTTACGAGACGAGCACGCTGCTGCATTATGAATCCCATGCTGACTCAAACGGAGACAAGACGCATTTATCTTCCGCTGCGCGTGAGATCACTTGTGACCCAAGCGGTGGAATTGAAATGGGATTGCGGTTGATCGATATTCCTCATGGCTCTCACTTGAAGTTCACCTTTACGACTAAAGCTGGTGAAGTGGTTGCGTGGAGTGGGCTCCACCTATTTGATTTTGGACACACGTTGCGAACAGGAACTACGCTCATGGACATCTTACAGCTTCCTGCTGGGTCCATTATCACCCCTCTGGATATCGAGAACTGCTTACGACATGAGCGCCTCAACCACCAGAAGGTCGGGAGTATGGAGATTGTGCTGGAGTGTTCAGGGTCGTGCCCTCAATCGTTCGCGTTCTCCAGTTTGTCAAAGAAAAAGAGCATTACCTTCCGGGCGTCTATCTTCTTCAAGGGAGACAGCAGTGACCAAAAGCCAGGAGAGCACGAGGCTATCACTCTCGAAACGATTCCTGCAGATAAGCAGAAGCTGTTGCAGCGACTGAGACGCGACCCTCTCGTCGAACTATCGCCGGACGATCGGAATTTCATTTGGACATCGCGGTTGATTCTGACGGACGATTCAGCACTGCTTCCAGCGTCTCTTCTGTCAGTTGACTGGGGAAACCGAGAGCAGGTTCTCGAAGCCTACCGCCTCCTGTTGCAATGGAAACAACCTACCTATCTCCAAGCTCTTCAGTTGCTGAGTCCGCTCTATTCCGACCCCAAAGTTCGCGCTTATGCTGTGCGGTGCATGCACGCGCTACCCGATTATCGGTTGCAGCTGTATCTACTCCAGCTTGTTCAAGCACTGAAGAACGAGCGTTACCATGACTCGGCGTTGGCTCGGTTCCTACTGATGAGGGCTCTGATGAATCCATCGCAGATCGGATATTTGCTCTACTGGTTCCTGAAGGCTGAGGCTCACAACCATCAAACGGCTGAGCGCTTCAACCTCATCACCTCGCAATATCTACAGCTCTGCGGAAGCTACAAGCTGGAGATCCGACAATCCGTGTACGTCATGAAGAAGCTCGAAGAGGTTGCAGCCCTCGTAAAAATGGAGTCGTCATCGTCAGCACGTAAAAGTAAGCTTCACGAAGCCCTCCGTGCTGTTGTCCTGCCCGACACCTTCCAGCTTCCTCTGCAACCGCGATCGTACTGCAACAGCATTATCGTGGATAGCTGCCGCGTGATGGAATCGAAAAAGCGTCCACTCTTCTTGCAGTTTGAAAGCGCAAAGGCGCAGCATGGACGGCCTTACGTGATTTTCAAGTCTGGCGATGACCTTCGTCAGGACCAGCTCGTTCTTCAGATATTGCGCGTGATGGACGACTTGTGGCGCGAGGCAGGTCTCGACCTGTGTCTGCTCCCTTACGCTTGCATCTCCACTGGCGACGAAATTGGCATGATCGAAGTGGTTGGCGACTCCGAGACTCTAGCGAGCATCATATACGCGCGTCATGCGAAGTCACGCACGAAACTCGGTCGGAAGCTGAACGCAGCGAAGGACGCTCTTGTAAAGGACGGTGTCCTCTCGGATTGGTTGTTCAAGCAGCCGAGCTCTCCGACGGGTAAGAGCCATCCGAACTCCACGGATATTGCTCTCGACTCGGTGTCACCCAACGGATCTGCGCCTAGCAGTCCAGCCAAGGAGGAGCCATCGGTCTCGACCTGCTTCCCACTGTCCCCTCGACGGCGTCGGAAAACCGCCTCCACTCGGGACATTGAAACTACGCAGAACTTTGTGCGTTCCTGCGCTGGGTACTGCGTGGCTACGTATGTTCTGGGCATCGGCGACCGCCACAACGACAACATCATGCTGCAGCGTTCGGGTAAGTTCTTCCACATCGACTTTGGTCACTTCCTGGGCAACTTCAAGTCGAAACTGGGCGTGAAGCGAGAGCGCGCCCCGTTCGTCTTCACGCCGTCGATGCTGGACGCCATGGGCGGCAAGAAGAGCGAAAACTACAAGCAGTTCCAGCAGCTCGCGTGCGACGCCTTCCAAGTACTGCGGACCAACTCGAACCTGCTCATCACGTTGCTGGTGCTCGCCCTCACTTGCGGCATCCCAGAGCTCCACAGCGCGAGCTGCATCAAATGGGTGCACAAGACGCTGATGCTCGACCTGCCTGACGACGAGGCCTGCGAAGCCTTCAAGAAGCTCATCCACGTCGCGCTGCACACCACCACCACCAAACTCAACGATGCAGTGCACCTCATGGCCCACTAAGTGACCGACTACAGCTAGTGGCGCGACCTCCACCCGCCCATTTATTGCTAAATCCCCGACAATTTATCTTCAATACTCACTCAACCTCACCGAGCATCATTGCAACTCCACCAATTGCTTCATCCATGCTTGTCAAAAGCTTCAATGATCTACCGTATCCGACAGAATAAGTATCCCACCACCATTCCCATTAACTTGAATTTTGTATGTCATGTCGTACCGTGATCTACATATTTTGCAAAAAAGTGCGATTTTCATCCAACAAAAAGTGCTTGCCATCAATCCTCAGCCGCAGAGTTGAGACCAGAAGCGTTCCAGCCAAGAGCTACGTTGGAGAAGTAAGCATTGACGCCATGCAGGACGAGGTGGCGCAGCGCACGGTGCTGCGCTCCCGCCGCAACTCGGACCTGGACGACGACCCGGAGGTCTACGGCACGGAGCCCGGCAGCAACTACGAGAACCGCAAGTGGAGCATGGAGGAGACCGTGGAGGTGGACGACGACAACGAGGACCAGTGGATCAGCAGCCCGCACACGCTGACCGCGGGATTCCTGCTCATGCTCTGGATCGTGTACGCGGCCTTCCACGAGCCCGTGCAGCAGCTGGAGGACCCGGCGGAGCAGTACGCGGCCGACGTCAAGCGCGGCGTCAAGTACGCCTGCGCCTTCTTCCTCACGTACTGCAGTCTGCAGCTGCCCGACGGTCACTTCGTGCGCCCGCACCCGATCGTGTGGCGGCTGCTCACGGGGCTCTTCATCCTCTACGAGATGCTGCTCATCGTGCTGCTGTTCCTGCGCACGAGCGACGCCCGCCAGTTCATGAAGGTCTTCGACGCGAACCTGGGACAGAAACTTCCGGAGACGTCGTACGCCGCCGACTGCCGCGTTTTCACGCCCGAGAACCCGGAGTCGCCCATCGCCAACATCAGGGCGACGTTCTTCGACCGGTTCGTGATCATGCACTTCTTCGGCTGGATCGTGGGCTCCATCATGGTGCGCAGCAAGATGATCTCGTGGATCCTGAGCGTCATGTTCGAGCTGTACGAGATCACGTTCAGCCACTGGCTCGCCAACTTTAACGAGTGCTGGTGGGACCACCTCTTCTTCGACATCTTCACGTGCAACGCGGCGGGTATCTACCTGGGAATGAAGATCTGCCGGTACTTCGAGATGCGCCGCTTTAACTGGGTGGGCATCCGCAAGATCCCCAACTTGAGTGGCAAGGCCAAGCGCGCGCTGGCGCAGTTCACGCCTGCCTACTGGATGGCGTACGACTGGAAGATCTTCCGATCGGCGGAGCGCTTCTGGCGCGTCATGTCGATGGTCACGATCCTGTCGGTCATGATGCTCAACTCGTTCTTCCTCAAGACGGTGTTGTGGGTGCCGGCGAGCAGCAACGTCAACATCTACCGCCTTGCGGTCTGGTACTCGGCTGGAAGCTACGCGGTGGCGGAGTACTACATCTTCTGCTCCTTCACGATGAGCTACAACGGCGGCAAGAAGATGCCAGTGAGGAAGCTGGGTCCGCGCGCATGGCTGGGCATCGCCGTCGTCGTCACTGAGGTGCTGGTGATCGTTAAGCACGGCCAAGGCATGTTCACGGAGCCCTTCCCGCTCTACGTCAAGCTCATCTGGGCAGCGATTTTCGCCGTGCTCGTGCTCGGCTCGACCATCTACTTCAAGTTCTTCAACAAGCCGCTCGATGAGGACAAGAAGACGCAGTAGAGAGGATTTCGAGTGGCGACGGGTGTTAGGTAGGTAGATATAAGGTGAGCTAGCACCATGGTGCTAGGACAGCAGTAGAAAGAGGCACCATTTCGCGAAACCAATAGAGCGCCATGGCACTGCCGCGGTTTACATTGTACAACACACGCAGATCTGTAGCGCGCTGTCATGAAGTATCCAAGACGCGCTGGAAGCAAGCACGGCGTCGGGTGTCTTGGGAAAGCAATCATGCGGTCCATTATAGTATAACAACTGATTACATGCTAGCGAACGCTCGTCGGTGACTGGGACTGCTACCTACACGAGAGATGGCTGCGAGCACGAGGGCACGCCCAGATCGATCTCGAATTGAAAGCGCGGGGGCATCCAGGCTGCTCCTCAGCCTTGTCATCGCTCTCCGTTGTCTATCAACTTAGTGGTGGAACAGACGGAGGTTGGAGAAGGCCATGGTGATGCCGAACTCCTCGCAGGCGGCCTTCACGTCGGCGTCGCGGGTGCTGCCACCGGGCTGGGTGATGAAACGCACGCCCAGCTTGGTGGCGTGGTCGATGGAGTCACGGAACGGGAAGAAGGCGTCGGACGCGAGGCTCACGTCCGTCAGGTTATTGAGGAACTCCTCCTTCTCGGCAGCCGTGAGCGGCTCCGGAACGGTCTCGAACAGCGCGTTGAACGTCTCGAGCTCAGCGGGGGCCATGTCGCCCTCAATGTAGCGCACACGGGCGTTCACACGCTCCTGACGCTTGACGCCGCTCTTGAAGGCAAGGCCCTGCACCTTGGGGTGCTGACGCAGGTGCCAGATCGCGACCTTGCGGCCGGCGAGCTTGACGCAGTCCACGCGCGACTGCTGGCCGGCGCCCACACCAATCATCTGGCCGTCCTTGGCGTAGCCCACCGAGTTGGACTGCGTGTACTTGAGCGTGATGGCAGCAAGGGCCAGGTCGCGCTTCTTGGCGTCCGTCAGAGGACCGGCGCCAGACGTCTGAACGTCCGCCAGGTGCTTCTCGGCCGAGAAGATGACGTCGTTGCGCTTCTGGGCGAAGGTGATGCCAGCAACCTCACGGTACTCAATGTCCGGCAGCGCGAAGTTCGCGTCGGCCTCGAGTACGATGAACTTGCCGCCCTTCTTGGCCTTGAGGATCTCGAAGGCCGCCGGCTCGTAGCCAGGTGCGATGATACCGTCGCTCACCTCACGCTTGAGGATCTTGGCGGTGGCCTCGTCGACGACGTCGCTGACAGCCACGAAGTCACCGAACGACGACAGAGGGTCGGCGTTACGGGCGCGCAGGTAGGCGAGCGACAGCGGGGTCAGCGACACGTTACCGACCTCGTAGGCGGCGTGGAGACCGTCCTCGAGGTCCACAGCCACGGCGGCACCAGCAGGGCTCACGTGCTTGAACGAAGCAGCAGCGGGCAGGCCCAGGGACAGACGCAGCTCACGCACGAGCTGGTAGGCGTTGGCGGCGTCCAGCAGGTTGATGTAGCCGGGGGTTCCGTTGAGCACCGTGAACGGCAGCTTGCTGCCCACGCGGCTGAGGATGGCCGCCGGGTTCTGGTGCGGGTTGCAGCCGTACTTGAGCGGGAACTCGTTCTTGTACACGCGCGTGACGGTGGGGGCGCTGGTGCCGAGCTGGCCGTTGAGCCACGACGAGATGGCCGAGTCGTAGGACGCGGCGAGCGAGAAGGCGGCGGCGGCGCAGCTGCGACGGAACTCGAGCGACGTGCTGAACGAGTCCTTGTTGGTCTCGAGCTCCTGGATGAGCGTCGGATACTGCGTGGGGCTGGAGCAGATGACCACGGCCTTGTGGTTCTTGGCCGACGAGCGGAGCATGGACGGACCGCCGATGTCGATGTTCTCGATGCACGTGTCGAAGTCGCCGCCGTTGGCCACGGCCGCCTCGAACGCGTACAGGTTGAGCACCACCAGGTCGATGTTCTGGATGCCGTTGGCAGCCATGTCGGCCTCGTGCTGCGCGTTGCCGCGCACGCCCAGCAGACCGCCGTGGATCTTGGGGTGCAGCGTCTTGACGCGGCCGTCCATGATCTCGGGCGATCCCGTGTACGTGGACACGTCCATCACCGGCAGCTTGGCGTCGCGCAGCGCCTTGGCCGTGCCGCCCGTGGACAGCAGCTCCACGCCGTGCTGCGACAGGTACGTGGCCAGCTCCACCACGCCCGTCTTGTCCGACACGGACAGCAGCGCGCGCTTGATGGGCACCAGCGAGGCCTGCGAGCCCGTGGTCACGGCGTGCAGGATGTGGCTCATTGTGGCGAGGGGGCGGTGAGGAAACGCTTGGGGGCTTGGACACCTGATGCGGAATGGGGAGGTGCCGACGTCAGTGAAGCTGCTGGATCTGCACCACTGCTTTGGACGGCGTGTTCTACCGGTCTAATTGGCTGTTTTTTTCACGCTATCTATGCGGTGATTGGCCGAAACGCTTTCCGCCTGTTTTAGCAACGCGCCGTTCTAAACGTTAGGATAAGGGCCAAGTTGCTCAATGAAGGTAAGGAAATGTGGCCCACATATCTGTGACTTGTGCAAGTTGAAGAGTTGAAGAGATGGCGATCTTTTGTTACGCATCTCCATCTGGTCAATCTGCGATGGTCACCAGTGGTGTCGATTCGACATCGACATTGTCGGAACGATGGTGTTTGGGATCGGTAGCGCTCTTCGATGTCGTGGTCGTGGCCAATTGCATCATTGGCATCATGCTGCGATACTTGGTGTGAATGGCGTAAGCGGCTTTGTCGAGTTGTAACTTTGGTGCAACGTGCATATTCTTACTGTAGCTGTTGCGAAAACGATCGGGCCATGCTGGCTCGTACGGTAGCAAATATCGTACGTAGGGAAAGAGAACCATAGGTTGTAAGCGAACAAACCACAAACTCTATTCAAAAAGCACCTGCTAGCCTACGATCAGTTCTTCTTCTGCTCCTTTTTCATGAGCTTTGCCCATTTCTCGGGCGTCAGTACACTCCCCTTCTTCTGCTGCTTTAGTGTCCACAGCTCATCGAAACCTTCGTAGCGCTGGTAGTTTGGGTCCAGCTTCAGTTCTTCGATCGACTTCCCCTTCCAGCCATATTGTCTGAAAAGGGACTGAGGGCTTTCTCCTTCCTTGAGCCAAGTCTTGTGTAGCTGGTTGTTTGTGCTGGACCGCGAGCGCCATTTCTTCGCGAGTTGGTCCATAAGCCCCCGCTCTTCGGAACCACCATTCACCTCCTCAGTAAGTGCGACGTCTCTCAGAAACCTCGTTGGACGAGCACCGAAGGGATCGGCGTGCTTGGAATCCACGGCTGTCGAGAGCGCCTTAGTTGCTGTTGCTAGGAAGACAGCTAGCACAGCGAAGTATCGTTTCATTGCATTCTTGTTGCAGGAGACTCGAGACTTGTGCACTGGGGAGTATATTGCGGAATGAGGAATTCAGGAACGGCCACGGCGTCGTTGACTCCGCGATAGCTGTAAGCTCCCTGTGGCAATACAACGAATTGACACTGTACTTCTCTGGCCCACTTAAGAAACAACATTCGGCATTAAACCTCAATTTGATGTGGACCACATGTCACATATGATTGGGTATAATCAACTGTTTCAGCTTACTATTGGCCAAAATAAATGGGTCTGCGCATGTCGAGATAATCGCGTAGAAAACCCTCAAAACTGTAGCCCTTCTAACTCGTCTCCAACAGGCGCTACAACATCGACAACCGAACATAAGGGTAAAGCAGTCACTCGCGATTACGGTGATATTTTATTTTCTAATATCGCTAATTTTGACGGCACCTCGCTAAAAAACCTAATGTTGTCTAAAACGGACTTCAGATAAAAGGCTGTTTCTCTTTTCTTTCAGCTGCTAGATTTTTTTAAATCATAGCGTGAAACGGAGCAAATGCGCAGCTTTCGGTTGAGGTATTGCGAGTCGCCAAACGATTTTTTAGTAAATAGTTATGTCCAGAAAACCGAAGTGTTGTTTCTTATGTGGGCCAGAGAAGTAAATTACAGCCTGTAATACAGAAATGCGACATTGATGACAACTGAACACGGATGCCAGATTTTTTTCAAGGCACTAGTTGCTGCACCCGACTGGGAATCATGCGATGAGGCAGCTGCACCCGACTGGGGTTGACACCCGACTAGACCGACTCAACCCGACTGAAAATAGAGCCGGGGTTAGAGCCGGGTTTTGGCTATACATTGGCTAGTGTATAGCTGGACAGCAAAAGTTGTGTAAACCACCTAATAAAAGACCGACTCACTCAGTCGGGTCAGTCGGGTACTGGACTCAGTCGGGCTGCCTCAGTCGGTGTGTGTGAACGCAGCAGTATGCAATCATAACTTGTGAGCCAAAGGATCACTGCACTACATGTAGCAACGTGTACGTTGCCGCCAAGTGTGTCTCTAGAGTCGGAAACACAATAGAACAGCAACGCGCATCATGCTACCCTATTATTGATACTTAGTAGGCTATTAATTGCAAGCGCCCCACCCACGTGGGCACTGCAGCACTCCTATCAACGCCGGTTTACACAACGCTTTTCTCTAACGGTTGAAAGGTTCATTATTACTATCAAACATGAACCGCTAAGCACTATAAAGAAGAAGAAAAAAGCACACACCACGCTCAGTCGGGTTTCGTCAGTCGGAACCCACTCACACACGTCCAGCCCGAGCGCAGCGGCGTCCTTGAGGTAAGGGCTTCTTGTGACATCTCTGCCAGCCGCACAGCGAGCATGTCTTGTTTATCAGCACAGCGCGGTGCAGCCGTCCGCGTAGCAATCCCCACATGTGCTGCTGTCCGCAAGGCTCTCGACGACGTGTCCTCCCTGGTGGTGCCTCTTCGCGCTGCGAAGAGAGGCGGTGTGTGAAGTTCGCACTCCGACGTTCTGACATCCCTAATAACACCCGGTTAGTTCGCATTACCTTCAGCGCTGCTTCGCCCAACGCTTATATCGACGCGACGGAGCCTTATGCTCGAGCTGTCGAAATCTTGAATGGCGACTGAAATGGGTGGTGTGCAGGGGTATACATGGTATGTATACCTGTGCGGATGAAGGCAATACAACAACACGAAAATTATTGAAAGGGTGGGATGTGCCAGTCGGGTGCAGCAAACACTCTCTTTTTTCAATATAGACTAGTGAAGCTAGTTCAATTGCATTGTGCTCGACGAGCAGCAAGGCGGGTGGGGTATGAAGTTTGCTGTTGACGCGGTGCACAAATTACAATACCGCAGTATGATGCGACCCTGAAAAACGGTTTACTTTTACTTTCTAAATGTCCACCATTTCGAGTGGTTCAGACGTGGGAGTTGTCGTGCCACTGGATTGGATTGTGCTCGGTGCTTCGTTCTCAACTGACCGTGGAGACCGAGCGAATGGACCACGGTGCCTGGAGCGATCTCCACTGACCGAGAACAGGTGTCGCAGCCAACTCGTCCGCAGTATCTGAGCCGTGTTACCGTCAACGCGTGTGCTCACTCCCTTTTGGAAGCGCCAGTCGTCATCAAGTCGATAGCAACGTGAAAGATTTTCAGCTTTGTCGGTGCTAGCATCAACCCCCTTGAGAATGGCTGTTTGCCCGTAGTTTTCGCATGGGTCTTCGACATCTTGCAGCCGGAATGCTCGAAAGGTGACTCGACGATAGTGCACTCCCCCTGCAGCAAGGGTTGGGAGCAGCGCACCCACAGCCACATCGATCGCCATTGCGTCCACTTCGTTGCAGCTTGACCGACGCACGTCGATGTCGCTACTGAGCGATCGATACAAGCGCTGCAAATCACCTATGTACGGCGCACTCAGTAGCAGCTTCTGCTCGAACTGCTTCGTCACCCCACCGACAGTCGCTGGTCCGTCAGCTCCCGCACTCGTTTCCATCGCGAAACGCGCTTCTTCGCATTCACTTGACGACAGCCGCCGAGAACAAACCAAATCTGTCACACGCAGCTCGCCACCAACCTTCAGCAGGCTGAACGCCACTTCCAGCATCGCGTTCTTGCTCGCAGGGAACTCCAATGACTGGATGGAGCAGTTGCACACAGCGATATCTGCTTGGCCCTGGGCACTCTTGAGTCCATCAGTGCCCATCGAGGCTAACGACGAGGACTGATCCATACCGCCATACTCCCCCACGATAAACTTCATATTCACGAGAGGCAGCCCCAATGTCTCGAGGCAATAGCTCTCAGCAGCTTGCTCCGCCAAAAACACGTTCGACGGGCTTGCATCCACGCACGTGACAAACCCGTCCGCTCCCACCAGTGCTGCTGCTACGAAGGCCTTGACGACGCTGCCAAAGCCAACAACGGCTACTCGCAGACCAGCGACTCCACCGTTGAAGTCATCGTCCAAAGCTGAGCCCTCACAGCAGCAGCCGAGCTCTCGAATTTTCGCAGGGACTTGCTCGAGCAGGGCTGCGGTGGTTGATTCGGATTTGGCTGGGGCTTGTTGACGCCACCGAGCTGAGCACAGCGCTGCATTCTTGGAAGTAGCATGAAGTGAAGATGAAGGCGCTGCATTGCCACTTAGAGCCACATGCTCGCTGTGTTGGTTCTCGGGTGACAAGACGTCCGCATCACCCTGAATATCTGCGGCGTCAGCAGTGGCATCTGAAGTCGGTGGATGGACTAAGGAGTCCGCTTTCGTGACTGCTGGCTGCGATGCTGGTAGACTCGGCACCATCAGACCCGCACTCCACCCACTCAACGAAGCTGACTCCGAAGCCGCCCCTGCCACTACCACAACCGTTTGCTCCAACGGAGACTTGCTCGACACCCCGGCGGGTTTCCGCAGACGAATGCAATGCCGATGCTTAAATCTCGCCAGCCAACCAACAGACAGCACCAGCATCTCATCCGACACGCCGTGCACCTGCTTCAGCCGCTGAGCCTCTTCCAGAATCAGAGCTTCGGTCAACACGCGGCCTCCAGTCGACTGACCACTTGGCTGGGCACTTGCCGCTCCATCATTATCCGGCGCAGACGTCGAGCCGCCGACTCCATTGACCGTAGACTGCGCCATCGGGTCTCCAGAAACCGCAACACTCTCTGCACCCGCCTCAGTATTAACATGACGGGAGATGAACTTGACCAGGTCCGCCTCGAACGCCGGGAAGAGCGGCCGGCGGCGGCGCTTCATGTTGGGGTTCCTGGGCGCGTCGCCGCCCTGCTCGCCGCTGCGCAGCAGCCTCCAGTCCATGGAGATGATCTTGGACAGCGTGGAGCGGCCGCAGGACCAGCCGAACTGCGCCGCCACCTCCCGCCGCAGCGCCTCCTGAGACGGCACCAGCTCCCCGCGCGCCTTGCAGTCGTTCACCTTCTGCTCGCAGAAGCTCTTGACGATGGCCTTCTCGCGCAGCGTCAGCGCCGTGCGTGTGAGCTTGCGCTTGCCGCCGACGTGGACGCTCGGCGAGGCGGTGGCTGCATCGCTGCTCGGGTCAGCCGGTGCACTGCCACTGCCGCTGCTGTCCTTGGCATCGTCGAGCGCGTTGTCTGCCATATTTTGGCGAGTGGTGTTCTTGTAGAGGAACGTTGTCGGATTGGTCGAAACAAAAACTTCATCAGCGAATCAAAACACAGTCACGACGTTGAAGTGCAACTTGAAACCAAGTCAAGTCGGGGCCTGTCACTTCCACCGACGCCGAAGTCTCCAAGAGCGTAGATGAGAGGAATCGGTGCGATCCCGCTGAATGGAGAGAAAAGGTAAATTCTGGAGAGACGATGGCGGTGGGTCTACGGACTGATGATCCGACCACTCACTTCGCGTTTCGTGCCCAAGCACTCAAGTGTCCTGCAACCCAAGACCTGCTGCTACCATGATCAAGCGCTCGATCCTTGTTCTGCTGCTGGTGCTGATGGCTGTCCTGAGCTTCGCCCACGCCGACGATGCAGCCCCCGCTAATTTGGAGGATCTCCCGCCTGGAGTGTCGCTCGTCGGCGGCCAAGAACCGGTCCCGGTTGCGCGCAAGGAGCAGCTGGACGAGCAGTTCGTTCCCGGCGGACCGGCCTTCGTCCCCGGATTCCGCCAGCGCTTCAGATTCCCGTGGAGCGGTGGTTTCCGCTACGGCTGGCGCTTCCCGATCGGCTACTGGAACGCGTTCGGCCGCAACATCTTCGGCCCGAGCTGCCTGTTTGCTCGCCAGTGGGGTGGTTTCTGGTACTGCTAAACTGCCATACCGCTGCTGGTGGCATGGGGAAGGTCCTCAGGAGGGGAAATCCCACACAAAAACGACTGCTTTGATATGACGCTACTGAACGAGAGGTGACGGCAGTTTAGCATTTTAACTTGAAAAACAAGCATTATCGACTTGAAACAAGCTGGCGCTTTGGCTTGCGAACAACATGACCATCAATTTCGTGCTTTTTTTCGTAGAGCGATGTTTTTGTGTGCGTCGCGAACTATTTCCCCACTATGGCACATGACAAAGGTCTGCCTGGAGTAGGCGCTAATCAAACTCGCACTGGTCGACCAAGTGGCGGCAAATCGAGCGTTTTCGAGAGCGTTGGGGTCTTCGTTATCGACAATTCACACGAACGACATATCGAAAGCCGCAGTCGAATATTTTATGTAAATCGATGCTACGATTTACATAAAATATTCGAGATAACGAGTATTCCTACGAAAAAAAGCACGAAATTGATGGTCATGTTGTTCGCAAGCCAAAGCGCCAGCTTGTTTCAAGTCGATAATGCTTGTTTTTCAAGTTAAAATGCTAAACTGCCGTCACCTCTCGTTCAGTAGCGTCATATCAAAGCAGTCGTTTTTGTGTGGGATTTCCCCTCCTGAGGACCTTCCCCATGCCACCAGCAGCGGTATGGCAGTTTAGCAGTACCAGAAACCACCCCACTGGCGAGCAAACAGGCAGCTCGGGCCGAAGATGTTGCGGCCGAACGCGTTCCAGTAGCCGATCGGGAAGCGCCAGCCGTAGCGGAAACCACCGCTCCACGGGAATCTGAAGCGCTGGCGGAATCCGGGGACGAAGGCCGGTCCGCCGGGAACGAACTGCTCGTCCAGCTGCTCCTTGCGCGCAACCGGGACCGGTTCTTGGCCGCCGACGAGCGACACTCCAGGCGGGAGATCCTCCAAATTAGCGGGGGCTGCATCGTCGGCGTGGGCGAAGCTCAGGACAGCCATCAGCACCAGCAGCAGAACAAGGATCGAGCGCTTGATCATGGTAGCAGCAGGTCTTGGGTTGCAGGACACTTGAGTGCTTGGGCACGAAACGCGAAGTGAGTGGTCGGATCATCAGTCCGTAGACCCACCGCCATCGTCTCTCCAGAATTTACCTTTTCTCTCCATTCAGCGGGATCGCACCGATTCCTCTCATCTACGCTCTTGGAGACTTCGGCGTCGGTGGAAGTGACAGGCCCCGACTTGACTTGGTTTCAAGATGCACTTCAACGTCGTGACTGTGTTTTGATTCGCTGATGAAGTTTTTGTTTCGACCAATCCGACAACGTTCCTCTACAAGAACACCACTCGCCAAAATATGGCAGACAACGCGCTCGACGATGCCAAGGACAGCAGCGGCAGTGGCAGTGCACCGGCTGACCCGAGCAGCGATGCAGCCACCGCCTCGCCGAGCGTCCACGTCGGCGGCAAGCGCAAGCTCACACGCACGGCGCTGACGCTGCGCGAGAAGGCCATCGTCAAGAGCTTCTGCGAGCAGAAGGTGAACGACTGCAAGGCGCGCGGGGAGCTGGTGCCGTCTCAGGAGGCGCTGCGGCGGGAGGTGGCGGCGCAGTTCGGCTGGTCCTGCGGCCGCTCCACGCTGTCCAAGATCATCTCCATGGACTGGAGGCTGCTGCGCAGCGGCGAGCAGGGCGGCGACGCGCCCAGGAACCCCAACATGAAGCGCCGCCGCCGGCCGCTCTTCCCGGCGTTCGAGGCGGACCTGGTCAAGTTCATCTCCCGTCATGTTAATACTGAGGCGGGTGCAGAGAGTGTTGCGGTTTCTGGAGACCCGATGGCGCAGTCTACGGTCAATGGAGTCGGCGGCTCGACGTCTGCGCCGGATAATGATGGAGCGGCAAGTGCCCAGCCAAGTGGTCAGTCGACTGGAGGCCGCGTGTTGACCGAAGCTCTGATTCTGGAAGAGGCTCAGCGGCTGAAGCAGGTGCACGGCGTGTCGGATGAGATGCTGGTGCTGTCTGTTGGTTGGCTGGCGAGATTTAAGCATCGGCATTGCATTCGTCTGCGGAAACCCGCCGGGGTGTCGAGCAAGTCTCCGTTGGAGCAAACGGTTGTGGTAGTGGCAGGGGCGGCTTCGGAGTCAGCTTCGTTGAGTGGGTGGAGTGCGGGTCTGATGGTGCCGAGTCTACCAGCATCGCAGCCAGCAGTCACGAAAGCGGACTCCTTAGTCCATCCACCGACTTCAGATGCCACTGCTGACGCCGCAGATATTCAGGGTGATGCGGACGTCTTGTCACCCGAGAACCAACACAGCGAGCATGTGGCTCTAAGTGGCAATGCAGCGCCTTCATCTTCACTTCATGCTACTTCCAAGAATGCAGCGCTGTGCTCAGCTCGGTGGCGTCAACAAGCCCCAGCCAAATCCGAATCAACCACCGCAGCCCTGCTCGAGCAAGTCCCTGCGAAAATTCGAGAGCTCGGCTGCTGCTGTGAGGGCTCAGCTTTGGACGATGACTTCAACGGTGGAGTCGCTGGTCTGCGAGTAGCCGTTGTTGGCTTTGGCAGCGTCGTCAAGGCCTTCGTAGCAGCAGCACTGGTGGGAGCGGACGGGTTTGTCACGTGCGTGGATGCAAGCCCGTCGAACGTGTTTTTGGCGGAGCAAGCTGCTGAGAGCTATTGCCTCGAGACATTGGGGCTGCCTCTCGTGAATATGAAGTTTATCGTGGGGGAGTATGGCGGTATGGATCAGTCCTCGTCGTTAGCCTCGATGGGCACTGATGGACTCAAGAGTGCCCAGGGCCAAGCAGATATCGCTGTGTGCAACTGCTCCATCCAGTCATTGGAGTTCCCTGCGAGCAAGAACGCGATGCTGGAAGTGGCGTTCAGCCTGCTGAAGGTTGGTGGCGAGCTGCGTGTGACAGATTTGGTTTGTTCTCGGCGGCTGTCGTCAAGTGAATGCGAAGAAGCGCGTTTCGCGATGGAAACGAGTGCGGGAGCTGACGGACCAGCGACTGTCGGTGGGGTGACGAAGCAGTTCGAGCAGAAGCTGCTACTGAGTGCGCCGTACATAGGTGATTTGCAGCGCTTGTATCGATCGCTCAGTAGCGACATCGACGTGCGTCGGTCAAGCTGCAACGAAGTGGACGCAATGGCGATCGATGTGGCTGTGGGTGCGCTGCTCCCAACCCTTGCTGCAGGGGGAGTGCACTATCGTCGAGTCACCTTTCGAGCATTCCGGCTGCAAGATGTCGAAGACCCATGCGAAAACTACGGGCAAACAGCCATTCTCAAGGGGGTTGATGCTAGCACCGACAAAGCTGAAAATCTTTCACGTTGCTATCGACTTGATGACGACTGGCGCTTCCAAAAGGGAGTGAGCACACGCGTTGACGGTAACACGGCTCAGATACTGCGGACGAGTTGGCTGCGACACCTGTTCTCGGTCAGTGGAGATCGCTCCAGGCACCGTGGTCCATTCGCTCGGTCTCCACGGTCAGTTGAGAACGAAGCACCGAGTACAATCCAATCCAGTGGCACGACAACTCCCACGTCTGAACCACTCGAAATGGTGGACATTTAGAAGGTAGGAATGTCAATGCGAAAGCTTGCATTCACGATGTATGACTTGTATACTCTCCCCTCTACTCAAAATCTATGTGTGATCAGCTGTCTTCTTACTTGCCCACCTCGATCAACCGCTTACCCAGCGTGAAGTAGTAGTCAACGACGCTCTTCAAGTCCTCGAGCATGATGAACTCGCGCGGGCAGTGGGCATCGGTGATGCTGCCGGCTCCAACCAGATACGCCTTGCCGTCGAAGTTAAAGTAAGGCACATCCGTGTTGAAGCACGCGACACCCGTCTCGTAGCCCTCCACGGTCGTCAGGTGAACGGGAGCGTTGGACGTGTAGAGCTTCATGCCCACGCGGCCAGCAACGATTTCCTGCAAGTAAAAGAAAAGTAGTGAGTACAAACTGCACACGTGTTCGGATAAGCTAGACAACAACGCACCTCAACGCGCTTGTAGATAACGTCAGGCTCAGTGACCAAACGGAACATCAGCATCGCCGAAGACTGCTCAGCCAGCGCGTTGGCAGCCTGGCCTCCGTTGAGCAGACCGATGTTGAGATCGGTGTTGCCGTACTCTTCGGTTGTCGGCCAGTTCTCCTTCTTCAGGTCGTACAAGACATCGATCATCGGGTCGATGGCTGAGTCACCCAAGTGCGGGTATCCACTGTGAGCCGCAACACCCTCCTGGGTAAGCTGAATCTTGAGGACACCCTTCTGCATCTTGGACATTTTCAGGGCAGTGGGCTCGCCAACGATCATGTGCGCCGGGTTCACGTTCAACTCGTTCGCCTTCTTCATGCCGCTGTGGTCGGTCTCTTCCGACACGACAAAGAGGACTTGGACGTCGTCGCCGAAACCAGCCTCAGCAAGTTTCTGGGCCGCGATCATTTGGCCAGCAACCAGACTCTTGGCGTCACAAGCACCGCGGCCATACAGCGTCGTGCTGTCGATCCGAGGAGGAAGGTATGGCGGAACGGTGTCCATGTGCGAGTTAAACAAAAGACGAGGCGTCTTGCTGTCACTGCGAGAAGCGTACACGTTGTACCTGAAAATACGCAAGACACGACAGAGTAAGTTCATCAATCCAGCTAGGAGCAAGATAGGTAGCTTGATGGCATCCTAACCTGTCCGCCTTCACTGCAGCATCGGCCTGAGGAGGCACCTTCTGCATGTGCACACGCCATCCCCGAGCAGTCAGCCAGTCGGCAATTGCCTGGCCGACAGCAGCCTCGTCCCCGGAGGTCGAGTCAATGCTGTTCAGACCAATCGCAAGCTTCACAACGTCGTCGCTGTTGACGTCGGCTAATGCGGCAGCAGCCTCAATTTGAGCCTTGTGCTCATCGGAGGCAGCAGAGGCACCACCCTCCGCAGCAGGTGCCGCAGACTTGACCTTCTTGGAGATCGTCTCACGCCACTTTCCGTTCACCGAAGTTGCCTTCACCACACTTGAGCCGTTGGCTCCGAAGATGAACGCACCCATCAGAGACGACGGCGTCGAAAACTTCAACTGTTCCTCTTCGATGTCGACCAGCGCAAAGTCAGCGGCATAACCCTCCTTGATTTCACCCTGCGTCAACGAAAACAAAAGACTGTTAATTAACTGATCACGAACTGAAGAATGCTTGGCGTGGCTGGTACAGATACTTACAACTTGCAGGTCCAGTGATTCGGCACCGTTCTTCGTGCCATAGCGGAACAGAAGCTTGGCCAGATCCGTCTCGGACGTGGCGTCAGTGCATACGCCCCTCCTGCTCTCATGCAGGCGGTGTGCATACTCCAGCCAGCGCATCTCTTCGCACATGTCCACACGGGCATTGCAGTCCGTGCCAAGGCACACGCGGTCCGAGCAGCTCGCAATGAACGGGAAGCCATCGCCCAGGTTGCCCTACAACAGCAACAATATCATCAGTACACAACACAAGAAGACTTAAATCCTTGATACCACGCGCATACCTCCGTCAGCGGGCAGATGCAGACGTTGCCCCTCTTCTCCACGAACTGCTTGAGCTCGTCCGCCTTGGTCCACGTGCAGTGCACCGCCGTAAACTTCTCGTCGATCTTGAGGTTCTTCAACAGCAGCCCCATCGGGGTCTCTCCATTGTGCGCAGCCTTGCAGTCGTCCACCTCCTTCGTCTGCTCCTCGAGATGAATGTGGAACACCAGTCCACGGCGCACGGATTCCTCGTGCAGCTTGACAATGTCGGGCACTTCAACAGCGCGCATCGAGTGTGCCACCACGCCTAGCGACTGCGTCGGGATGTCTGCCAGCTTGCTCTGCAGCGCGTCCATCTGGCTCCAGTACTTCTCGTGCGAGTCCACCTTGAAGCGCCTCTGCGACTCCACCATCGGCGCGCGCTGGAAGCCGCCGTGCTCGTAGTAGGCGTTCAGCAGCACGATACGGATACCCACGTCCTTGGCCGCGCGCAGCACCGTCTCATCGTAGGCGAACTCGTGTCCGCTCTTGCCCTCGCCCGGCCGGCCGTGGTGGAAGTAGTGGAATTCGCCCACGCTCGTGATGCCGGCGTCGCGCATCTCGGAGAAGCACTGGCGCGTCAGGTCGTAGATCTGCTGCTCGCTCATGCCGCCAACGAGCTTGTACATCTCCTCGCGCCACGTCCAGAAGCTGCTCTGCGCCGAGTTCTTGGGGTACGTCTCTCCGAGGCCGCGCAGGCCGCGCTGGAACGCGTGCGAGTGCGCGTTCACCATGCCGGGGAGCAGCGCGCGACCCGGCAGCTTGTGCACGTCTGCAGCGTCGCTCTTGCCGGCGTCTTGCGAGCGCGTGACGGACTGGATGAGGCCGTCGGCGCCCACGGACACTTGCACGTCGCGCTCGAACTGCTCGCCGGTCCACGTGAGCTCGGGCGCCAGCACGTACGCGGCGGAGGACTGCGGGAGCTGCATGGTCAACGAGGAGTGGCTGCGGAGAGCAAAGCGGTTGCGGAGAGGTGTCTGCGAGCTACGCAAAGAGCGAATGAGCGCTGAGCGCATGGACAGCCAAAACAAGAATGGAGTGCACTGCAATGGCGGTCCGTGCCGATTGCTTGCCGTTGAACATGTAGCCATGTAGGGGGATATTAACAAAGTGTCAATGATAATCTTACCTTATTATCTCTGCATCAGTAGTTAAAGGAGATGGGCGGTTCATGAGATCACTTGAATGCACTGATGTAAGGAATTGATTGGACGTCTCGCGTCATTGGCTGAAAAAGACCTGTAAAATCCTGATTGGCCCGACGCTCTTCAACATCCTAGCAGATGGGTACACGTACTTGCCGTGGGCGATTTGACGCACCATTCGCGCTTTTGCCTCCTTCCATCAGTTGCTGCCCCCGCCATGAGCTCCTTCCGCCTGCGCATTGCCAACGCGCGCCAGATCGTGCAGGTCTGCGCGCACGGCGAACTGTTCAAGGCCGGCGCCGCCCAGAAGGACCTGGCCGTGCTCGAGAACGCGTCGCTGGTCGTGGACCTGGCCGGCAAGATCGCGTCCGTCGGCCCCGCTGCGGACGTGGAGAAGTGGCTGAGCGCTCAGCCGCAGCCCGTGACCTTCGAGAAGGATGTGGACGCCCGTGACATGGTGGTGCTGCCTGGCTTTGTGGACGCGCACACGCACCCGGTGTGGAGCGGCAACCGCGTCAACGAGTTCGCCATGAAGCTGGCCGGCGCCACGTACATGGAAGTGCACGAGAGTGGCGGCGGTATCAATAACACTGTGCGCCACACCAAGAAGAGCTCGGAGGCCGAGCTGTCGGCGCTGCTGCGGACGCGTCTGGACCGCATGCTGCGTTGCGGCACCACGCTCATCGAGGCCAAAAGCGGCTACGGACTGGAGACCGACACGGAGCTCAAGATGCTGCGCGTGCTGCACGCTGCGTCCACGGATGATGACGCGCACCCGGTCGAGATTGTGTCCAACTACCTGGGTGGCCACTCGGTTCCGGACGGAATGACGGCTGCCGCTGCTACGGACGACATTGTGAACAAGCAGATCCCGGCACTCGTGCAGGCCAAGAAGGACGGCCACATTTCGCCCGAGTTCATCGACGTTTTCTGCGAGAAGGGCGTGTTCGAGCACGACGACACTCGTCGCATCTTGGAGGCTGGCAAGAAGGCCGGACTGGAGATCAACTTCCACGGAGACGAGATGCACCCCATGCAGTCCGGCACAATGGCTGCCGATCTGGGCGCTCGTGCCATCTCTCACTGTGAGATGCTGACGCCCGAGGATCTTCAGGCTATGGCTGCCCACAAGCCGGAGCCTGTGTTCGCCGTGCTGCTGCCGACGACCAAGTTCATCCTCAAGCTGCCCAACCCTCCGGCTCGTGACATGATCGCTGCTGGTGTCCCCGTGGCTCTCGGCAGTGACTACAACCCGAACGCACACTGCCTCTCCATGGCGTTGACCATGAACATGGCCTGCGTGCAGTTCGGCATGACCATGACGGAAGCTCTCGTGGGCGCAACCATCAATGCTGCTGCGTCGATCAACCGTTCGGCTACCCACGGCAGTCTGGAAGTTGGCAAGCAGGGTGACTTGGTGCTGATGCGCGCGAACCAGTGGGAGCAGATCATCTACGAAATGGGCGACCCTCCCATCGAGCACGTGGTCAAGAAGGGTGTCTTCTACCCCACCCACTGATCCTCTGCAATAGCTGTAGCAGATAGAAGGGATATCCAGTGCAATTTTGCCTAAAAACAATATACCAACCAAGCCATCCAGTTGACCCACCGTGTCCATTTTCTTAGATAGCAACCGAGCAGCCGTCGTGTGCATTGATCTTTAACCTCGTATTCGGTCTGCACAGGTAGCTCCGGAATATCAATCGCGGCGCAAGAGGGCTGTATCTGGGTTACTGCGTGGGTGGCTGGTATGTGTTCTTCTCGTTCCACTCGTCCATCTTCTTCTCGATGAAGGCGATGACCTTGGGGTCTGGCACAATAAATAGATGCCTGTCGTCCAGATCTTCAATCACAAAGCGTTGCTGCAGAGAAATATTGCAATCCATACACGTCAGTTTTAGTGTAAATTTACTGCGATTCAGCCCGAATTCACCGACCTGCACTGCTGTCTCGTTGAGATGCAGTAGATACTGCTTCGTCGCCGGGTCGCTGCGAAAATACAGACAAGATGTCGTGGGTCAGAGCCATCGAGGGCTGACACGAGGCAGGTACACGGAAGTACTGTATGTGGTGGACATCTTAATCGCACCCAGAGACCCACGCGCGTACCATTTCACGAGGACGCCCTTGTTCGCGGTCGGCATCGCTCTTCGGCTGCTGGATGAATAATTGCGACTCCCAAATTGGAGATATAAAATAAAAGTATGATGTGGTGCACACCTATAAGCTATCATCATTTCCATACGTTATGAAGTTTTGCTGGTGGACAACAATGCTGACGAAGTGCCTGGTCGTGGAAAGCAAAGAAGCTCAAACAGTTCTAATGAGGAAGTGCCAAAACTATCATGTATATGAAAACTGTGCCGGTAAGCGCCTTCGTATTAGTACGAGCTCGGTGCTGTCAACGCGTGTCCGCGACGCTCACGTGCAGGAACGAACGATAAGGGAAATAGCCAATCTTACAATATGAATTATACGTTGTATATTTTACCCGGCAGCTTTCTTCTTCGCGTCCTCTTGCACCTTCTTCAAATAGGCTTCAGCAGTTTGGATCGTGCCCTTCTTGTGTTGAGCCTTCATCCACAGCTCGTCGAATCCCAAGTAGCGAATATAATTCGGGTCTTGCAGCAGTTCTTCATAAGTCTTGTCCTTCCACTTGTATTCCAGGAATTTCGACTGGGGGCTTGCTCCTGCCTTCAGCCACGCTTTGTGGTCCGCCTTCTTTCCCACTTCCCAAGCCTTGCCCTCCAGCCTCTTCGCGAGAGTCTGCATGCCCTTCTTCCCCACGATCTTGCTGAACTTCAGCAGTGTCTGCTCTCCTACTGGTATAATCGCTCGCTCTTCGTCGTCAATAATCGTGCTGGCTGCTCTCAACAGCCTCTTCGGACTGGTCCTAAGCCTATTCGCGACCTCGACTTGGCCCGCTTCCGTGGGCCTCAAGACAGCCTCGCTCGCTGCTGCCAGGAGGGCAAACACGAGCAGCAGCGCAATGGTCCGTAGCATCCTCTCAGTCTCCAGAGACCTCTTGTGTGCTGAGCAGTGAATTGGCGAGTGCGAAGTCAAATGAATTGGTCACCAAAACACCGTCACCACCGCCTCCTACCTACGATTCAACACCAAGGACCAATCCAGAGATGCAAATGTACAGGCGCTGCATTACGTATGGCGAGATGTGAACGGCGTTGTGATCTGTGAGCAAATCTAAGAGCTGTTTAGTCTAATTCTGACAGACCCTATCACTTAAAACCCTAATTGTAGCACTTCAAACCCTACAATTGCCATTGTGGTGGTGCAGTTTTATTGAGGCGTGGCGAGACGATCTCTCCGACGAGCTCTCGCTTCCTCCAGCCTCACAGACTGCAGCGTAGCAAGGCTAGCAGGGATGCGTCTACGCAGCAGCGGCCCTATAGACGGGGATGCCAGCCTCGAGAGCAAGCCTGTGGTCGTGAAGGTGGAGGTGGAGGAGCCCTTGCGACCTTCTCGACGTCGCGTTAGGCTTAAGACCGAGGAATCTGTCGGCGTGAAGCGAGAGAAGGTGGAAAAGGTGGAGCAGGACGCTGCACCCAAGAAGAGAGCCAAGAAGGCAAAGGAATCCAAGACGCGCGTGCCTCGCCAAGAGCCAAGCGGCTGGAGGGAAATTCTGAAAGGGATCGAGGAGATGCGGGCGAACAAGGACGCAGAGGTGGACAAGTATGGCTGTGAGGTGCGTCAATACAGTACAGTACAAGTGATGCAGTTGCAATGTTGTGGAGCGGAGTGGAGTCTTGCTGAGTTGTTTGTTTGTTTGTTTGTTTACGACCGCCAGGTATTCTTCGACGAGAGCTTTCCGCCGCATGTTTGTCGCTTCCACGTGCTCATAGCGGCGATGATGAGCAGTCAAACGAAAGACCCGGTGAACGCCGCGGCAATGGGCTGCCTCATTAAGCACGGTGCGGCTTACGCTGTACATGTTGTCGGTATCTTTTGCCAACTGTTGTGTATTGCGGCGACCGTTGTTGCGTTGCGCAGGGTTGACGATAGAGTCGATGCTTGAGATCGACCAGCAGGAGCTGGCACAGCTGATTCGACCTGTTGGTTTCTTCAACCACAAGGCAAAGTACATCAAGCAGACTGCTGCGATCTTGACCAAGCAGGCTGAAGTTGAGGGTAAAGATGTTGTCGATATCCCGAGCACGTACGAGGGGCTCATTGCACTGCCCGGAGTCGGACCGAAGATGGCGACGCTTGTCATGAACTGCGCGTGGAATAAGTACGGCTGCGTTCCTTATAGTGTTTGGTTGGCATACGCGCTGAATTGCTAACTTCTATCGCAGTACTGTGGGAATTTGTGTTGACACGCATGTGCATCGGATTTCCAATCGACTCAAGTGGGTGAAAACATGGAACAAGAACAACCCAAAGTCGCAGGACCCAGAGAAAACGCGAGCGGTACATGAGATAGATTGGTTTTGGTAATCTGGAGTGTTCTTTGTTTGACGCTGGGATTCTACTGCAGGAGCTGGAGGACTGGTTGCCGAAGGAGCACTGGGGCCCTATCAATCCTCTCCTCGTTGGGTTGGGACAAACCATTTGCCTTCCGCGCGGACCAAGGTGCAGCGAGTGCAAAATCCAGGGTATTTGCCCGTCTGCAAACAGCTCCGCCATCTGAGAAGTCACATATCCCCAAATGCGCAACAATTAACGGCATTGGTTAGGCAATCGACGCCCGCAACGACGTGAAATGCTTCAAAGTGCAATGTATCCGAGGTTGGCACAAGCAAAATTGTTTTGTGGGTTGTAACCACCACATACAGTAGATATCGTAGGTCATTATTGACGAAACCATAAAAACATTTGCTATTTGCACTGTACGTGACGTTCATGTATATGGCGCTGTCGCTGTTGTCAACAGCATGAAAATGCAACCCAGCCGCTCACGTGGAAGAAACAACCGTAAACAAAGTGCCTCCTGTGTGGTCGTACTACGTATTATATAAGATCCTTCCAAGTTGGATGCACCAGCGAAGGAGGTACGTACTGCTAACTGTGGATAAAATGTGCTTTAGCATAGGAACGCCACTATCATAGCACGATCAGAAGAAAAACAATAATACTCACTGGTTGTGAATAGCACCTTTCTTCTTCGCTTCCTCTTTCGCCATCTTTATCCAAGCATCAACAGTATACAGCGTGCCCTTCTTTTCTTGAGCTTTTTTCCACAGCTCGTCGAATCCCAGGTAGCGGATGTACGTCGGGTCCTGCTGCAACTCTTCCCAAGTCTTCCCTTTCCAGTTGTACTCTTTGAATTTGGACTGGGGGCTCGCCCCTGCCTTCAGCCACGCTTTGTGCTCCAGCTTCTTCGACAATGTCTGCTTCCCCATCTTCTCAGCGAGCTTACTCAACTTCATTAACACCTTCTCGTCCAGGTTTCCACGCTCTTCGGCGTCCGTGTTGGCTTCATCCGTTGTCCTTAGAAGTCTTCTTGGAGGATCGTTCAGTCTTGTAATGGGTCCTGAAGATTAATCATGCTTGGAGTCCGCGGCCGTCAAGAGCGCGTCGCTAGCTGTTGCTAGAAGGGCAGTCGCGAGCACCAGCGCAACTACGGACACGTATCGTTTCATTGCGTTCTTCGTGCCGGATGCTGGAGGCTTGCGCGTTTTGACGAATAAGTATTGTGGAATGAGGATTCGGGAGCTACCATGGCGTCATTTGAGTCCACAGTTTACTGCGGCGTCACAACGAAATACATGTAGCACATCCTGAGACGAGAAGCTGAAGGTCGCAATCGTGAGTGTAAGTATGAACGCAAACTACATGTATGCGACGCAAACTATGGCTCATGCAGAAAATGCTCACTTGCGGCCGTATGTAGAATCGTTCGCTTCTCAGAAGTATACATCGATTGTGGAATATCCAGGCTGCCTGCGTATTTGTTGACCAAGATGCGGCTCAAGCTACACTTAAATCGATCCTTCACTCAACTCTGCATTCACTTCATAACTGCTCTTTGTGAATAGAGGTTGGAAACCACGATGTCTACGCGGGGGTTCGTGTCCTCTCAGCATGGCTCTTCAGATCAAAGCGAATCGGGTCAAGATCCCCCCACTCCGCCCGCCACTCAATATCTAGAGTGCTAAAATCAACGCCGACGTGCTTCTGGTAGCTCTCAAAGCTCCTCTCTGTCCCTAGCGCATATCTGCCCGCACTAAGGGGGGTATCTTCCAATATTTTCGCTGTCGGGTTAGAACGCAGCAAGTGTTTCACGTATCGAGACGAGGATGCACGCCACTCTTTGGTCTCCTCATCCTCCAACTCCTGGAAAACAGGACGATGCGCTCGGGTCCAAAGGTGATAAACGACAGTCTCCGAAGGTGCGAAGAAGTTCCACCCGGAAGTCCACAACCGCGCAGCCATGGATGGTTCTTCGCCGAAGAACAAGAAGCGAAGCGAATCATCGTATGGTACTTCCTCGATAACTGCAGACGACGAGAATGCAAACCCAGCAGCCCAGAAAAGAGAAGATACCGGCCTAAACAAATCAAATCATGCACAGTAGCGTGAGCTCGCAACAGCCGAGTAAAGCAGCAGCGAGCACTGAAAAAATCGATATGTGTACCCACTCGGTAGATATTTTCGCAAGTACTTTGCTGGTTTGGCGCAGCATCCCGTGGTCGTCAAACGCTGACGCACAGAGCAGCGTGGGGCGACATTCCGCTGAAATCTACAGTTAGTTAAGAACACAAAGTTAGGAATTGGCAGAGAAATATTGGCCAACGCGGAAAAAACCTTGAGCCTTACCTCGTTCGGGAGCGTATACTCGAGTGGGTACGTCGTCAAAATGGGCTTTGATCCTGGACACTTTGCGAGCTCGTTGATCAAGAAACAGTCCCACCCTGGACGGAAACGCATGTGACTGTCGATCTGTAGGTAGTACTTTTCACCCTGACACATTTGCTGCGCCTGTGCACGGGCCACACACGGGCCAGCAGCTTTCCGATAGTCCACCCGATGCACTCGGGCCTGGAATGTAGCGTATTTGTTCTCGAGATACGCTTGGGTATCGTCGTCATCGTCCACCTGTAGGCAAATGCCAACGGAAACTCGACCGGGAAATGTCGCTTGTGCTAGCAAGCTATCGACTGTGTGTCTGCATTCCGAGTCGCGGTAACTCGGGATAGCGACGAAAATTGAAGCTTGTTGTGCATGGCCGACCTGTTCACCGGTTACCGAGGGTAGTGGGCGCGATACAGCCATGCCTTTAGTCTCTGTAGGCTTGGCTTGAGGTAACGAAGCTTCTGGCGGCTTACCGTAATACCAAATTGTCACAGCCTTGCGCTCAAGATACGTCGGCAGCACTTCATGCTCGACATCTAAGCTCCGGAATACCATCAATGTGTCCAGCTTGGGAGGAACGTCCCACTTACACCCTCGTAAGTGTGTGGAGTCCTTCAGATGAACGCGAAGCTCTCCACCATGCTCAGGCTCCCAGGCGTCATTCAGGTAGTATACACACGTGACAAGGCGGACCAAACCATCCTTTGACATCACGCTCCGTTCGTCTCGCTGTGCGTTCGAGTACGTGTCGAAATGCTTCACAAACCGAGCTCCATCTCCTGGCTAATTACACAATAAAATACAATAAACCACGTCAATACAAACCAAAGCAACCGTTAGCCATAATGATGCTGCTACGTACGAAGACAGCGAACTGCGTCGACACAACATTGCGCAGATCCAACTCCGGCGAGACCTTCTTGAGTCCGTACACAAGTGACTCCACCTGCCTGCGAAGATACAGAATCGCAGAGCTCGCGCCCTTGTCGCCATCCGTCGGGGCGTTCAGGTCGCTCGGAGTCTGGATCCAGAGGATTTTGTCTCCACGCACCGCTCGGTCATTGCGGGCGTTCTCTCCAGCGCCTACTTTTGCCTCGTGGAACGTCTCACTCTGGGCCAGCTCCGTCAGTGCGTCCCTCACCGCCAACGCGTTCTGCCGCCCCAGGAACCCCTCCTTCACCACGAAACCAGGAGACTCGGGGTGCTTCAGAGCTGTAGCAAACAACGCCAACAAATCTGCAGTCAGCATCGACCATTGCACAATAAATGCGTGATACGTATGACGGACAGAAGAGCTCCGACGGATTGAGTTTCGCTGCACGATCTGTGGGGTCCAGAGAACTCGACGTCTCCGGCTGCGTCTTCGCCTCATTTTGGGCAAGTGGGGCTTGGTGTGTTCGCTTAGGCGGTGCAGTGGGAGGCGGCAGCTTGGCCCCCAAAGACGCTTCCACCAGCGCCTGAAGCTGCGGCGACAGCGCGTTGAGCAGCGTTTTCGTCTCCATTCCAGGGTTCGCCTGACTTGGCGCACTACGCAGTAACTTGTATTCGGCATTTTGTATGGAAAAGTTATAGGGAAATTTAGATGAGTTTGGGGTTTAGGGTTACTCACAGTTCATACTATACTCAATGAGTGTCACTCACAGTCCATACTGTACTCAATGAGTGTCACTCACCGAGTAAGAGTATTTGCAGCGTCATTCTTGTGGCAGCCACTTCCGTTTCTCAGAGTACTGACACAGCTATCTCCACGCCGAGTGAAGGAAGATCATATACGTACATCTACGCTGGAAACGGGGAACTGTTCAATTCTTTCGATAGCAGCGATCAATGTTTTGGAAGTATTTTGCTGTCCTAGCAATCACTACACCCAGCCGATAGCGTAGATTTGTCTCGATGCAGCCATCTACACAATGACTGACCTTACTCCAGGGACAACCCAGACGACCTTGTCCTTCACAGCTGCATCCGCTGCAAGCTCAGCACGCACCTCGTCGCCGGACTGCGTGAAGTGCTTCCACGACTCGAAGTGCAGCGGCACCATCTTCTCTGCGCCAATATCCCGAGTGAGCTGAGCTGCTTGCACGCCTCCCATTGTGATCTGGACAGGACCCGGCGGCAGCGGAGCGATGGCCTTGCCGAGGTTCATGAGCGCCACCACGACGTCGTACCTCTTCGGAAGCTCGTTCGCCAGCTGCGGAATATGCACCGTGTCGCCCGACACGTACACAACGTTCGGCAGACCGTCCGCCTCGTTTACGCCAAAGGAGGGTGACTCGAGCACGAAGCCCGTGCACTCTCCGCCAGGCAGATGCTGGGTGGGCGTTCCCGTGATCTTGATTCAAGATCAAGATTCTTGAACTGCATGCCGTTCAGCGTGACCGTCGTGGACTCCCAGGCCCTGGGACCTAGGGTGCCAGTCCACGAACATCAGGGCCTGATGTTCGTGGTCCTGACTCTGGGCGGGGAGCGAGGTTCTTGGCACCGTCGAGGGTGGTGAAGACGTGGCGGCCATTCAGCATTGTGCGACCGGATGCGTCGAGGTTGTCGACGTGGTCTTCGTGGCTGAGGAGAATGGCGACGATGACAGGCAAGTCCTCGAGTCCGAGCGCGGGATCGTCAGTCTTCGTGAGTACAAATCCACCCTCTTGGTCGAAGTCGCCACTTTTGTCGAAGGCTGGGTCGATCAAGAAGTTGACGTCGTCGATGGACAAGATGGCCGTGGCTGTAGTGATGTGTGTGACGCTGACGGTGGACTTGAATGAAGCAGACGGCATGGTTGGAAAGTCTTGGCGAGAGGAATGTGTTAGTCGCAGAGAAATGAGGAATGATGAAGCAGTGCATTCGAGTTCATGTGGGTTCGACGAAAAAAAAACTGCTGCGAAGCTCTAAAAACGCGGTCGTAATCGATTTTGTGAGTTCTCATACCATGACGGTGCCGACAGCGGCCGACAGTGGCCGACAGCGTCGTGATTGGTAGAAATAAGCATTTAGTTGAGCGGTTAATCTATTGGTCAAATCATTTGACTCAAATGTCAATTCCAAGATGCAGGCCAGGCCGCAAGGACGGCGGGTGGGTCATCAAGGAGGGCGGCGAGCCGAAGGACGTCGGCGAAAAGGGGGGGCTGCATAGTTCCGCCTGCCAAGATGTGGGTGGTGTCTGGGAGGACGGCGGTAGGCTGCACGACGACAGGCGAGTGGTCCGCGGTGGAGGCTAGGAAGATGGCGCGCAGCACGACGATGACGGTTACCTGAAGCAGGGCGGTGGGCACCAGGATGGCGGCGCAGGACAAGACGGCCGCGCCGTGGAGGATAGACGGCGGGAAGGAGGAGGAGGAGAACCGGAGCGAACGGCAAGAGGCGGCGGACCGGAGGTGGGGCGATGGGGAGGGTAGCCGCCAAGGCGAGGGCGGTAAGGGCATCGAGCGGAGGGAAACGAGCGCAAGGGCGCAGCGACCTGCTGGGAGGCGACGAGCATAGGGAAGCGTGCAGCAGGAGGAGGGCGTGGCTGCTGTGGCTTGCTGCGGCTTGCGTGCTGGTGTTGGCACCAACAACACGACGCTGGTGGGGTACTGCTGCTGCTGTGTGGACTGGCACTGTTGGTGGGGTATCGCTGCAGGTGGAATGCTCCGCAGTCACACCCCACCACTAGCGTCTAGTACTCTTGAGTAGGAATAAGTTATTGATAATAAATGGAATAAATTAATGGTTTTCTTGTATATTCTGCATTGGATCCTAGCGCTTCGCTCGTGCGGTATGCAGCAAGCTCCGCCTGAGCGACACTCCTGAATGAGCAGCTCTCACTGAGTGCTGCTTGTTCATGTTATGGGTAGGTCGATAGGCGTGCCCAGGAAACTCGATTGAGTTCGTGATAATGGTTGAAACGCTATTGCAAACGGCTCAAATCAGCTCGTCAAAGGCAATACAAAAGCTAAGTAACTTGTCGGCAGCAGAACAGATATGTATATTATATCCATATTACTTAGATTTCCTATGGGATGAATACATATTTCGGCCGCGTTGCCGGCATTATACGTCGGCATAGTGTCGGCAGCAAATATACCTACCCCTAACCATGTTGATTGGCCTAAATAGGGATCTACGGGATGCTTATTCGCTGAAAAAACGTATTGGACATCTGATTGGGCCATGGCCGCCATACAGTGGCCATGTCAAGTTCTTGCATGTCGGCACCGTCACGATATTCATCCTTATCATCTGGGAATGTTGGTGCACACGGTAGACTCGCATTACATCTGGTCAGAAAAACCTATTACACTGCACTGTGATGCTTATCACCGAAGAAATTGACGCAAATAACGGCATATTGAATATTCATACTGTACTGTTCCGCAGAGTCAGCGGCGTGACCACCTTTTACTACTAGTAGCTACGGAACGACTGGCGCGATGATCACGTAAGTAGGCTGGCGGCTTGCCAACTGATCACGACCGAGTAAACTGCAACTGATGGCAACATTCACTGGATGACCTTACGTTGCAGTCGTTCCGTCGCTGCTATACTAGCTTCAAGCGTTGGTTTGCAGCGAATTGTCAATCAACGTGCCCAAAGCCGTGAATTGCGACTAGCATTACGGGGCAGGTGTCGTATGAGAGGTTGTTTTGGTAGGACACGCAACCGCGCCGCTGCAGAACCCTGCCTGTACTCGTGAAAATATCCCCTGGACAATTCCCGTTCGGGATACATAAATAATAGTGAAACTACTGCTACGCAATAGCTATAATACTACCCGACTATACGTAGTAATGCATGCATTATCACGAGCGTTCAGTAGTAGTGGAATTCTAGACTATCCGTGATACTAATACTAATATCCAATCTTGGACCACTATCAGTGATACTGATATTATCAGTGGGACGACGACGATATCACTATCACTGATAATATCACTGATATTTATCACTCAACTAATTTTGTGTATTTAAAATATGCATGTACCTTTTTTCAGAAAAAGATACTGCGTATGTAACTTTTTCCAGAAATAGGTACATGTATTGAAAGTATGCAATGTATGCTGAGAACGAGACTTATTCACCAGATCTGCCGCTTGCTCTTCTCCATGCGCCGAAGCTCATCTCGGTTGTGACGTAGAATCAGCTGTGCGCTCTTTCGTTGTGCTGGGTAGGAATCGCTCTCGTCGTTGAAGAACGTGCGTACACATGCATGACTGCAGAACCTATATATTTGCGGCTGCACCAGTGGGGGTACCCGTTGTCGCCTTACATTTGAGTATTTCGCGGACTTTCGAGTACTGAGTAATGTGCTCGGACTTCCGAGTACGTAAACGTCATTTAAACTCGTGCGGTGCGTCAACTTGACACTACTGACTCCATTTTAAAGAGGTTGCTTGTTGAGATGCTATTCACGAACACAAATAACGTGCTACAAACCCTTAGGGAAACTTTTTTTCTGCGAGATGATGCTTCAATTCTCTATTAGCTTACTCCCTCTCGCATAAGTGGATCGATGCGTTACTCCTCAGATACCTTCAAGTTGTTTCTTCCTCCAGTCTGGTCCAAGATGGAGATGCCGGACGTGGCATCTTTCCTAAGTCACATTATGTGGAATCACTCATAAGTCAGTCAAGTGTACGCACAATTAAGTAACGCCCGTTGTCAACGTACGAACCGCGGCCGTAGAAGACCTTCGCGTGCAAGTCAGCATCCGACAAGTGGAAAGTCCTTCAACTCTTTTTAGCTCAAGATAAATAGTTACTACCGCACACACAGCGAGGGCATGTCTCTGGGATGTCTCCCCCAATTACCCCATTCTATACGAGGCGGAAGGGGTATTATAAGTTCGGCGTGAGCCAGTAACTCAATCCACCTCAACATTATCATTATTATTTACCCCATTCGTGACACGTGATCGATGACGAGGCACAGTACATTTGTGAGAGATCGATGTCGGTTTTGGTGCAAAACTCACTGCTGCAGTGATGTACCAGGCGGCCGCTCCACTGAGTGATTTTCACAACACGCTAACTTACTGTAAGTCTTGTTTGCAAACGCGTCTGCATGTTTGCTGCTCTATCACTAGCAGATCAAATTATGGCTCCTCAAGAGGTTTTGATGCAAAGCTCATTGCTGCAGTGATGTACCAGGCTGTTGAAGTGAAAACAATAGAGAACTTTCGCAAACCGATTTTAGTTGAGTTTCAGATTCGTTTTCAGTTTGGAGGAGTACCGTGATTGGAGTCTCTCAAATCTGATACTCAAACGCAATTCCGTTTTAGCAAAGTGGTGGTTTTGCTCAACTCGGTTTTCAGCTTCACTATCTCAGGATGCATATTTTCATCCAATCAAATCGTTCCCCTTAGGGGGGGGGTTCCGCCTTGCCGGCGAGCTAGCCTGCCTGCCACGTTGTTTGCGGCAACCAGCGGCTGTGCAGCCGCCCTCCGCCCCGCGGCCGCCGCGCACGGGTTGCTAGCAACATATACTCGTGCATGAAGGATACCTTTAAAACGCACTATAATACTCATCCCTGTATTCAACCGAGATGCCGAATCTGAAACGAGAGAGCATGCTCCAGTTTGTCTTTGATGGCAATTGCAACTGCTGTGACTCCTCGCAGACGTAGTAGAACTTTGAAGTACTGACCTAAGCAGATCATATAGAAGAGCGCTATCACTCGTCCATCATTATGAGCCTCATCTCGGCCGGCACGAGCGGAACCTCTCGCCGCCCACTGGCGAGTCGCCAGCCCCAGGACAACAACCTACGCGTTCTACCCAAACACAAACGCTGCCACACACGCACCACAAACACCACGCTACCTCAGACCGACACAACGCTACCACGCTATCTGTCCGCATGCCTCCCCTCCTCCCTTAACTCCGCACTCACTCTACACACCAAAATCCAACGCGCAATCTGCACCACACCAACCCGATGCAGATAGACTCACCGCACTGCGCCGCACCCCGACCGTCGCGAGAGCCAGAGCCTCAATCGACCGCCACGCTTTCAACAGACGCCCAAGCTCGAACTGCACGCACCGTGCTGGTAACACGGAACACCGAAGGCGAATTAAACCCCGCCACAACCGGGCGAGTCAAAGCGAGAAAGACGCCAACAGGCGACCGATGAAGCGAAGCGAAGGGACCGAAACTCGCGCAAACAACGCGAGCAACCGAGCATGCACAGACAAGCAAGACGGCAGTCAAAATCGGGGTGTCAGAAGCTAAGCGAAAAGCGCTCATAAGTGCAAAAGTGTTACTCAAGGTCAGCGGGTCTCGCAGAAGAACCGCGAAGTGCGCATTTGGGAGAGTGCTGATGCCAACTGATTTTATCACAGTAACATTGATCACAGTGTAGAAGCAGGGTATCGATCCCTGTACCTCTCGCATGCTAAGCGAGCGCTCTACCATTTGAGACAGTCAATCTTTGCGCACTTCATCAGTCGTGGGTCCGGGGCAAAAGTCGAAAAATTAGCGAAACTGACCCAGCCTGTGAGTTGGAGAACCACCCATACGCGCGTCCTTTGAAGATCTTCCCCAGGTTGAACTTCTGTATAATATCACTACTATTATCACTGATACCGCCACAATTTTATGCGATTATTGCTATTATCACTATCACCGGTCCGAGCTCAGAGATATATCACTACCACTATCACTATCAGTGATAATATCACTGATATCGGTGATTTTTGTCCTAGTACTACCGAACCCTGATCACGAGGCATCACTCACATTAACTGAGTTTTGTACAATAACTGAGTTTTGTACTACTAGTATACAGCAACCATTGGCATCGTCATTTGGATCTGGCAGGGCCATTCTTGTGGCAGCCACTAGCAGCATGATGGCTTGTCCGTTCCTCAGAGTACTGATACAGCTATTTCCACGCCGAGTGAAGGAAGATCATACCCGTACACCTCGCTGGAAACGGGGAACTGTTCAATTCTTTCGATAGCAGCGATCAATGTTTTGGAAGTATTTTGCTGTCCTAGCAATCACTGCACCCAGCCGATAGCGTAGATTTGTCTCGATGTGGCCATCTACACAATGACTGACCTTACTCCAGGGACAACCCAGACGACCTTGTCCTTCACAGCTGCATCCGCTGCAAGCTCAGCACGCACCTCGTCGCCGGACTGCGTGAAGTGCTTCCACGACTCGAAGTGCAGCGGCACCATCTTCTCTGCGCCAATATCCCGAGTGAGCTGAGCTGCTTGCACGCCTCCCATTGTGATCTGGACAGGACCCGGCGGCAGTGGAGCGATGGCCTTGCCGAGGTTCATGAGCGCCACCACGACGTGGTACCTCTTCGGAAGCTTGTTCGCCAGTTGCGGAATGTGCACCGTGTCGCCCGACACGTACACAACGTTCGGCAGACCGTCCGCCTCGTTTACGCCAAAGGAGGGTGACTCGAGCACGAAGCCCGTGCACTCTCCGTCAGGCAGATGCTGGGTGGGCGTTCCCGTGATCTTGATTCAAGATCAAGATTCTTGAACTGCATGCCGTTCAGCGTGACCGTCGTGGACTCCCAGGCCCTGGGACCTAGGGTGCCAGTCCACGAACATCAGGGCCTGATGTTCGTGGTCCTGACTCTGGGCGGGGAGCGAGGTTCTTGGCACCGTCGAGGGTGGTGAAGACGTGGCGGCCATTCAGCATTGTGCGACCGGATGCGTCGAGGTTGTCGACGTGGTCTTCGTGGCTGAGGAGAATGGCGACGATGACAGGCAAGTCCTCGAGTCCGAGCGCGGGATCGTCAGTCTTCGTGAGTACAAATCCACCCCTTTGGCCGAAGTTGCCGCTTTTGTCGAAGGCTGGGTCGATCAAGAAGTTGACGTCGTCGATGGACAAGATGGCCGTGGCTGTAGCGATGTGCGTGACGCTGACGGTGGACTTGAATGAAGCAGACGGCATGGTTGGAGAGTCTTGGCGAGAGGAATGTGTTAGTCGCAGAGAAAAATGCTGAATGATGTGCATCGTTGTAGAATACTGTACAGGTAAGTTGACAAATCTTGGTTTCGGTAGAAAAATAACTACGACTACTAACTGTTAATTGTACATGTATTCCCAACCAGAGCTCGGAATCAGTAAATAAAATAAAAAAAGTTGGGCAATAAAACCACTGAAATAATTTATTGTGGTCGACCTCAGTAATCGGTATTTCTCAGATTTTAGTGAGGCGAGGGTGAACGCCTTTTTCGTCCAGGGTGTATAGCGCACTATGCCGGACCGAATGAATTCGTGTTCGGAGTACCAGAGATTGTCCACGCGATAAGCAGTCCACGGGACACTGAATGACCCGGGCCTGGAACCGCTTGGACGCACCGAATCGCACTAATGCGGTCCAGTGTTTGGCGTGTGTCCTTGTGTCAACCCCTATAGGTATCGTTTACCTTTGGCGGACCGGATTTCACCGAGTTGAGTTGTTGCGATACAGAATAAAGTGTTCCTGGGATAAACCACACCGAATGAACAGAAGGTCAGGTCGAATGAAAGGGACCACAGTCAGATCCGTAATTCAGAATAACCAACACACAGAAATACAATGCCGAGCTAAACATCACAAAATATACAGCCACCACTTATTCTTTGAGACCCTTGGGTGGGGGGTCTATACACCAGTCAACTTCGGAGCCGTCACCCAAGGCACTGGCCAGCCCTGGATGCACACTCACTTACGCGCACCACCCTCACAGAATGAGGGAACAAAACAAAATATAATTCAGTCCTATCACACAGTAGTCAATCAATTCGGTCTGGGGGGGGGTGACTACCTCAACCACCAAAGACACACAGTAGGGAATATGAAATGGATGCCCGGTTAGAGCACGCAAATAGAAAATAAAGCTCTCACAGGTCACTCCGGGGTGCGAGACCCCAGTCACTGCCGACTTTGCCTTGGTACCTTTGAGTCCCCACTACACCAGTGCTCGCTACACCAGTGAGGCCTTGGAAGCGTCCCTAAACTGGCTTAGACCGCGCGCAGGCAGTCTCCTGGAGGGCTCTTGAAGACGCCAAAGTCGGGGTCCCGAGCACAGAGTCGTCCGCGTGTTCTTCGGCAAATTGGTTTCTGTTTAGATCTTACGTTTGGCTAGCTATCTTCTATCACTTCGCTGACTTTAAAGTAGGTTTCACTATGCTTCGCTTGTCTTGAGTATGTTTATGCTTCTTGGCAGTTCTTCAGTATGCTTGTCTTGGTTTCGGTATGCGGAGACTTGTTGACGGCGACACTTGTTCGGGTACACTCATCAGATGATGACGGAGGTATCTGGGTACACCGTCTCTTCGTCTTGGAACTGGACCTCTCCCTTGGATCTGCGGCTCATTCGGTGCCGCCTGTGGATCTTGGGGGATCTTGGTCTCATCCGGTTCGGATCGACGCCGCTGTGTGAACACACGCGGCGCGCACTGGACTTGTTCTTGGTGCGTCGACATCCAGTGTGGGCACGGGGGGCGGACCGAATGAACGATCCTGTCCGTCCCCATCCGGTGTGGCACTTCTCCATTCGGTACGCCGTCACCGGGTGCACCACGATCCGGTCCGGACAACACGAGGCTTCATCCAACAGGGTCTTGTGCGCGTGTGATCATGTCTGGTGGGGCGATTCAGTGGGGTGGTCCGACAACTTGACTGAGCCAATGCAGGCAGTGGCCAGGATACGTTCGCTGACCACACTTTCGCGCCTTGGGCCTATCCTGCAGTTAGGGAAGTCGGCGGACGGACAGGATGCGTGACTCCGCACCGAATATGAGCGCTCATCCGGAGGGCGCATCTCCAATCCTGTGAGCCCATGCTTGCTGCAAGCGCCGGGTCCCACCAAGTCTCCACACACATCCACAATCCACACGTCACACTCGTCTCTACCGGATCTCCATCTCATGCGACCAATCACAGCTCACCGAAGGGTCCACGTATCCATGGGGTCGGACATGGGTGCAGACAAAAATCTGTTTCCACATCGTGTCACTAGAACGTTTATGCGAATAAGCGCTTCTAGAAACTTCGGGGGCTATGCTTTCAGGTAGTTCTCCTCACCCCGCTTTCACTTTGAATTCTACCATGTCCCCGATGCCGACGCACCTCACTAGAACCCTCCACTTGAAGCTGCGAAACGACCGCTATAAGTGCCGACTGTGCTCGAAGACGCCTTGTCGACAGGCGGAAGCTCTTTGACGGCGTTGTGAAGGCGTTCCCCACTGCCTCCCGCTACTTGGGACCTAACTCCAGCGTTGTGAAGGCCCCGAATTTGAGTCTGGCGTGGTTAAGGTACTTTCAGGCAAGGAGAACAAGCTATCGACAACTGAGAACGAGCCCTCTCATGATTTCGTAGAGAGAGCGATGCAAGTGGCGATGAAGAGGGCGAGAATCTCTCTTTGCAGCGGGTGAAAAGAAATAAGCTGTCAAAGCTCATCGACTTTCGCTGAATTCCACCGACTCGAACGACGTTGAACGTTAATTCTTGAGGTTGGGATTAGTCCTGAGTCAGGACTCCTGACCACTCGTCAATCTGCGCCGTGGAGCTCAAGACACCAGGGGGACCAATCAGCGGGCAGCGCGGCGATAGAGCCAGCTGACCCAGCGGTCTGGCCAATCAGAGAGCGACGGTGAGCACCGAGAGCGCTCTGATTGGCCACGATTGGACGACGTTTCCTCCCTTTGGAGCCTCTCGTTCCTGGTGGCCTGAGCTCCGATGGACGGCGTGCACCTGGCCGACGTGCGTGCATGTTTGGCCGGGCAGCTCGTGGGTGACACCGCGGACCAAGCTGGATGTCTGAGTTGCCGCACGCGGCGACGTATTGCGGCGGTTCATTACCGTCAGCCGGAAGGCGGGGTCTGTGGGGGGTCCACGGTGGACTGCATGTCCACCGCGCCGTTTCCCATTAGAAACCAGTCCACGGGTGACGCCGTAGTCCCAACTGGACGTCGGTGCCTTCATGGCATGCGTGCGACTCTGGCAGGTCACCAGGTCGTTGGGTGTGCTTCGCGCAGCCCATCCTCAGCACCGTAGTGACGAGCGGGATTCGGCTGAGTGTCAATGTGGCCTGCGCCACACGTAGCAGGCCTGCGACGTGGATGGGAATATCGGTAAAGTTCATGGCGCGGCGGGGCGGAGTAAACGCAGGGGAGAGGCAGCTATACGGAGCGCCTTGGGGGAACAACAGTGCTGCTGGAGCGCTTCAAGATGGCCTGCAACATATACGGCAGCAAGGAACGCAGATCTGCTTGGACAAGTGCAGTGGAGAGGGCTTCGGTTCTCGGAGGGAAAGCGATGCCGTTCGGGGGCACAGGGACCGTGACGCTGTCCACGGGGAAATTAGACAGAAGTTGCCTGGGCCGTTTCAACCATGCAGCGGGCTGATGAGATGTGTAGGCTCAGAAGCGACGGTGGTATCTAGCTCGTTACTTTAGCAGGTAGACGTTGCTTATACAATCCTCAAATACAAACTGAAACTGACTCCTGACTGACCACCGGCAAAGCATGCATCTACGACTCTCGAGACGCTGGTGATGCTGAAACCTTTGGGATGATGAGCTTGTAGCTGACGCACTTAAGTCTAACAAGAGACAACGTGTAGTGGTCGCATAACGAGCGGAGGTAGCTGATTAGTGGTTTACTTTATGATCAATAGTTTATTGCCCAATAATTTATTGACTCGAGTTGACCCCCTCAATAAAATAAAATAATTATTTTGTCTGAGCCATGTTCCCAACAATACACATCACGACGAGCTATGCCATTTGATCACGATCCGAGTCAGCAAACAGGAGACATTGTACATTGCGCAAGCCATAGGCTGTGACGACAGCAGTCACTATTGCTCGGGATCAGGCTCGCTACATGTATTGCATGCAAATCGCTTAATTAAATTAAAGTTGCATGCACTCCGGTTCTCTGTAGTTGAACGAAAGCAGTAACGATAAAGATAGAAAAATGTGGTAAGATCCCAACACATACAGCACCCATCTATACGGCTTAGACCAGCAACAAGAACCTTCACGGCTGCCAATAGCTTTGTATTCTATTGAATGGGGGGTTAATTGTTTTAGTGGAGAGTGGGTTACTATTAGAGGTTGGGCTACTCTTGTAAGCCCCCACCCAAAGTAATCAAAAATTAGAGGTGGGGTACAATTAGTACCCCACCTCTAATGAAAAGCACAATACTTGTTTTGTAAAATACATGTATTGTGGAAACCGATTAGATTGTCTAATTGGGATATAAATCGGTTGATTAAGCAGATGATTAATCTTAATCGGGTCTGATTTGCTAAATCCAACCTCCTAATTAGATCGACAGACTAAGATTTGTACTCTGATTTGACAGAGCGGTCAGTTGTGCCTACAACGCCATGTGGCAAGCTGATTTGGCTGCTCCACGGTTTACAAAGCCCGGGACGGCTGATTTGCATGCTAATCAGCCCGAATGTCCGACACCCACACGGCATTCGGTGGCCGATTCAACGTAAAACCGACAAACGCTAATGCTGACGAGAAACGACAGCGCAAATACATGACTTCAGAACTTGATAAATAGATAGCAGTACACATCGAAACTCAAGAAGCGTATTTAATGCACGTGATGCTATTTCTCGTTAGTAGGTACGCGAATCACTCAGCTCGTGGCGGTAAGTGGTCGCTCGTCGTATTTCTGGCGGGTAATGAGGCAACCCCCATTTTATTAACCTTACACCGATTTATACCCTTACCAATGCCATATGAAATCATAAGGATCCCCGATTTAGTACCAGTCAAATCTCTCATGAACGCTGCTTTATCAGCTAATCCGCTCGGGCAATCACTTGTGTCGAGCATTCGTAAGACAGTTTGACGACAAATCAAATGTAGTAATTTCATTGGTTAATATTGTATTATGTAGTCTCGAGTGTTGCTGCATCTCGGCTCGTAAATTGGACTGATTCATCCGTGTGCGCATTTTGCCCCCTTTACTAGAGGCAGCGCACTTGAAATGTCCGGGCCTTTGATCCTGACGCTATGCACTAACCTTCTGCTAGAAGATTTAAATATACTTGCCAGGAATGGAATGTAAGGACATCATAGCACAGTTATCATGCGACCGTTTGTTCCCGTAGTGGAGCAATGTTTCTTCGCTTTACTGGGGTGAACGACTGTTGTCGTTCACCCCACCACGCCAACTCTCCTTTCTATAATAAAGTACTAACACTACATAGAAGATGGAGATTCGGATAGAGCGCGCAAACGCAAACCACGCTGAGGTGCGGAGGAGCTCCACACTGCTGCGCGGGCGCTCGGCACGCGCCATATCGCTGCTGGGCTCGACCTTCGGCATCGGCGAGTTACTCGGTATCTCCTGCAACTAAGCCACTGCCTGCAGCCATGCTTTTTGTCGATGCTACAGCGTAGACTCGTAGGTATAAGATCTAGGTATTATCGCCGTTGCAGAGTACGTGTTTGCATTTTGTTGCTGGACTGTAATGATTAGGTAAGAGGGGTTGGAGGATCTCGGGAAGCCCACTGGCAACACCGTTCCCTGGCTGCCACGCCTTCACAACTACTATGATGTACGCTCAAGCATAAATGTGTGAACAAGAGGCTACTTACCCTACCACACCATGCAACTGCATCGTTTCGGCGCTCAACGTTGCCACCGCGTCCGCGGCAACGATGCCGCTGTCGTGGCGAGCAGACCTGAACACTTTTGGCCAATTGTACGGCGCAAACTAGTGTCCGACAAACTGTCTTATGTTTTGACAGACAATATGCAATGTAGCCACTGGTATACACAAACCAAGACGTAGTCAAAACGCGTTGATCGGAAAACGTAAGACGCTGTCTTATGATAGGCATTCTGGGGCTAAGTATCGTCTTACGAAAGAGCATGAATCTAATCGGTTTCCACAATACTTTTATTCATTGTACTTACCGGTACGTACAAAACAAGTACCTAAAGACTATTTTCGAGAAAATAGCAGAGGATTGCCGATCAAGTACCGTGATTTTCCTGAAGTCGGATATTCTAGGGAAAAGGTCCCTCTTTAAGGACCTGTGTACTTGGGTAAGTTGCTGCTTCAAGGACCTTTGTACTTCGATAAGTTGCCCTTTCTCCCGAAGTATCATGTTCCACGCGCGAACCGGATTTTCATTTGATTTCAGTGAACTTACTCAAACCAATTTAAAGTTTGCTTTGGCTATTCGCAGAGTCCGGCAGTCGGATCGTTTTGGTGGTCAAAAAGCATGCGCAACTTGGTGTCGCTGCAGCGGCGCGTGTGGGCGCTGGAGGCGTCATCTGCGCCCACCGACCAATGCGTCGCGTTTGCCTCGATCCCAGGCGACTCGCAGGTGTTTTTCTTGCGCGCTAGCGGCCGCATCGAGTCGCTGCAGCTCGAGGAAGAAGATGCGGAATCGACGTCCAAAGACCTGGAATTGTTCGTGGACGTACGCGAGTTCGTGGACGACGCCGAGCTGTCTGCAGGGTCCTGGAGGTGGATGAGTTACGTGGCAGAGCTGGGGACGCTGGTGTGCGCCTCCACCAGCGGATCCATCGTCTCGGTTGACGTTGATGCCATGGACGGCGAAGAAGTCGGCAGCGTGGCCAGCGGACTGCGAGCCGTGACCTGGAGTAACAATCAGGAGATGCTGGCGCTGGTCACGGGTGCGGGGTCGTTGCTGGTGATGAGCAACGACTGGGAGGTGCTGCACGAGACGCAGGTCCAAGACACGCTGCCCTCCGAACTGCAGCTGCTGAATTGTGACCAAGACTCGGAGCACTGGTGCTCTCAACTGCGTTGGCGCGAGGACTCCAAGCTCGTTGCGCTGAACATTGTGACCAAGGTGAAGCAGAGCGAGAAGGTGGAGAACAAAGTGCTGGTGTTCACCGAGCAGCTCGAGTTCCATGCACTTGGACGACTGGAAGATGGACGGGCGATCCCCGGACTGGGCTCGGCGTTGGATTGGAGTCAAAGTCTAGCGTTGATCGCGAGCAGTGAGATGAGGAAGGGGCGGCTGGTTGTGGTGTTCTTCGAGCGGAATGGACTGCGCCATGGTGAGTTTGTGATCCCTGCGACGTACCGTGCACCGGCGTTTCGTGTTGGGAATGTGCGTTGGAATGCGACTTCAGACACACTGGCAGTGAGCTTGCATCCGACGGATGGTATTGGTAATAGTGAGGGGGGCAATCAGCGAACGGTGGTGCAGCTTTGGTCGAGGAACAACTACCACTGGTACCTGAAGCAGGATATGCAGCTTCGTGAGGACGACCAGCTTGTCGATTTTGCGTGGGATGAAGAAGCTGCAGGCCGACTGAATCTTCTTACGTGGTCGTCACTCACACAAGAGCTTACTTTCTATGAGCACGAGTTTGCTTGGGACATCTGCAGTGTGGAAGCGGAGTGGATGCAGCAACAGCTGACCCAGTCATCTCGTGTTAAGGAATCACAACGCCAGAGTATCGCTGTGACGGGAGTTATCGATGGATCAAAGCTGCTACTCACGCCGTTGCACCGTGCCATGGTGCCACCTCCGTTCGCACTACTCCAAGCTTCATTCGACGCCGCGATCACCTCAGTTGCGTTCGATTCCCAAAGCGAGGTTTTGCTGGCGCTGCTCGCAAACGGCACGGTGATGTTAGTGAAGAACTACCTCACTCCAGCAGATACGCGAGCTTCAGCTGCAGGTTTACCCCCTCCACCAAGCGCTGCAACTCAAAAGGTCTCCACAGGTGAGCCTATGTCAATGACAACCGTAATGCTGCCTCAACAAGCAGCGGACAACGAGACATTCACACTTGCAAGCATTTTCTGGGTCCGTTTCATCGCTGAGTCTCGACGACTCGTTTTTGCCGGAAAGACTGGACGCCAAGATCAGCTTGTCGTATGCTCGGTTGACAGTCTCAACGAAGCGTCAGCCACCGTTCATCGAACTGACCTCTTCAACGTCCGAAGAGCGTGCGAGGCTCAGCAGGTGATTGCTGGTGACAGTCTATCGGTGTCGGATTCAAGCTCTGTTACCCTCGCCGTACAGACTCACAATGGTGCTGTGTACACTCTGGACGCTATGTCTGACGCGGCGAGTTTGGTTCCGACTCGAGTATCTGGCAAATTCCCGGCGTTCTCACACTTTACGGTGCTCGACTGTCAAGTTAGCAAGGAGGAAAGTGAACCAACCGCTGATGACCTTTTGGTGATTGGACTCGAAAGCTCTAGTGCAAGGCTGTACGTGAATGGCGAGCTGTTGGCTTCCGCTTGTTCATCCTTCCGCTATAGTGCGTTGGCTTCAGTGCTGCTATTCACGACTCAAGGGCGTGAGTCGCAACTGCGTATCGCACCGTTGAATGGCCTTCAAAAGCACTCGAACGATCGCACGCCTTCGGCGGCAGGCAGCGACGGTGTCCAATGTGAATCGCGCTCGATAGAGCGTGGAGCTCTTCTTGTCGCCACGGTGGGTCAGCGTGCCAGCGTGATTGCGCAGATGCCGCGCGGAAACCTCGAGTGCATGTCTCCACGGCTACTGGTGCTGGCTCTGGCTGTGCAGCAAATTCAAAAGCTCGAGTACGCTGCGGCATTGGAAGTCTGCCGCCGTCATCGCCTCGACCTGAACGTTCTTGTGGACTTCAACCCTCAAGCCTTCATCAAAAACTTCCCACGATTCCTCATACAAAGTTTTCTATCGACTAGGCCAGCGGCAGTAACCAGTGATAGACTTTGTCTATTCATCACCAATCTTCACCCCGTCGACGTGTGGATGACGAAGTATGGACCACTGCTTGAGCCATTCACTGCTACCACGGGTGGAAGTGGCGTTCAAGAAGACAGCACAGCTGCCTACGGACCTGAAGAGAAGGTCAACGTTGTGTGTCAGGCATTTATGGACGCGATTCAAGAGCTCGAAAGCAACGGAGAGGAGACCGAGGCTGCTCTGTTACTACCGTTTGTTACGAGTGCTGTAAAGCAGTCGCCTCCACGTTTTGATGCTGCTCTCGGTAAGATTCGGGGCTTGCTTCACCGAAACGAGCTTAGTAGTGGAGACAATGATGGTACGAGGAATCGTGCAGCAGCAACGCGTGCTATAAAGCATCTGATCATGCTGACAGACGTGGACAGTTTGTACTCCGAGGCACTAGGGCTCTATGACCTCGACCTCGTTCGGACCGTCGCTACTCATTCGCAGCGGGATCCGAAAGAGTACGTGCCGTTCCTCGACCGTGTGGCGCAGCTTGACAACGAGAACTGGCGGAAGTACACGATCGATGTGCATATGGAGCGACACGCGCGTGCACTGACTCACCTCGCTGCACTGATCAACGAACTCGGTGGTGACAATGACGAAGAGAAGACCAAGCTGCAGAGCATGGCGCTGGAACTGATTGAGCGAGGAGAACTGTATGACCAAGCCCTTCAACTCTTCCCTCATGCACCTGCAAAGCGTTCGACGTCGCGGAGTGATCGTGCATTCCGCCAGCAGATTTTGAGACGGAAGGGTGATTTCCTTGAGGCGGAGAAGAAGTACGAGGCGGCGGCTTACGTCTATCTGTCAGCTTCAGACAAGGACAAGGCGCGGCGCGCATTCATCGCTGCCAATAAGTGGCAGATGGCTTTGGCTTTGAGTGCTCGCGATCAACAGACCCCTGAAAATCTCCGCAGCGAGGCGTATTCTATTGCTCAAGAGTTGCTAAACAGGCAACAACAACAGCAAGTCGGATCAGTTGACGATATCCTAGCGGTGGCAAGGATTTACGTCGAGTACTGCAACGACGTCGACGAAGCAGTGGCGCTGCTGGTTACACATCAACAGTGGGCAGAGGGCTTGCGTGTTGCTTACCTTTACAGGCGTGACGACCTGGTGGAGAGTGACATCGAAACGGGAGTGCTTCAGTGTAGTGACGACGTCCAGGAGGAGCTGGAACGCAAGGAGAAGCAGTACACCAAGCACTGGAAGCGCTTGACCACAATTCGAGAGCAGAAACGGCTTTTCAAGTTGCACGGAATCGACGGCAGTCGGTGGGACCAAGGCGCTGGAGGTGATGGCGATACAGATGCGGGTAGCGTTCGGTCTGGGGCTTCGAGTGCCGCAGATAGCGCTCTTTCGAACGCGTCCATCAGCTCAGTCGGCAGCCACAACAGCGCTGCAAGTATTGGCAACTTCTCCATGCAATCACTGTCGATGGCGACGGCTAGCCACTTTTACGCTACCCAAGCGTTGGGAGATGCTGGCAAGAAGCCCAAGGCCAAGGCAAAGCACGGAGGAATCCCCTCTCGTCGAGAAAGGCGCAAGAGAATGAAGGAGGGCAGCGCCGAAGAAGAAGCTTACGTCGTACAACAGCTTTCGGAACTACGACCCAACTCGGCATTGGCGAAAGAGATTGGTGCGTTACTGGAAATGCTGGTCTTCTTTGGCCACGTACAGCAAGCGCAGGCTCTACAGACTCTATTTGCCAGGTTCGAAAAATGCGTTGCCGACATGAAAATGCCGCCGTCAACAGATACGCTTTCGACTACGGCCGAGCAAACGGATCAAAACAAGGATTCATACCCGCAGTGGCGACTGGCAGCTTTGCAAGGATGAGCTAACTTCAACATGACGTGGAGAATAGAAATCGGCGAGAGTTTGTCGCACGCACAGGTCCCAACATGATCTACACTGTTCTCGAGTTTGGAGCACTTGCAAATTATCCACGTCGGCAGACGAACGGTAGGAAAGTGTGCGCGATATGTGTCGTCTAGGCGCCCGTTGCACTGATCTCACGTCATGCTGCGCAGAGATATGACGTGGTGTCTGAAGCTGTCGGCGTGCGCCCTCGCAGTAGTACGGGAATACGAGAATTTTGTGCGCTTGTTCGTGATGGCCTACGCCCCAGACGAAGAGGATTCCCCAAGCACTGTTGCCGCCTACTGATATCCTGATCCCGCGGGTAGGGCCACCACTGGCCCTCGAGATTGGGCTGGTCGTGGCCGGTAGCACGGGGTTTTGCCAGATGATGGCACTATTTGATAAGTCTAGACAAATGATGTTGGCATTTGCCAAATGATGTCACTATCTAATAATTGATGGCGCTCTTAATTTTGCCCTCCAATCACTCTTCAATGGCACTTCAACCGAGCATGCCTGCGCATTATGATCGAGCCGACCGCAGCCCCCATACATCGCTGCGTTGCTGTCATATGACTTGGTGTTTCATCACTATTGGCAACCACTTCTTTTGATGCCGAACCTTGGCCACTGTTGGTCTTCAGCCAAATTCTTGATGTGCTCATTTGTTGCTTGTCGAGACTCGAGTTTCATCGAAAGTCGGATCGTTTGCCCATCGGTACTGGTCAGGGTGTTTTCGGCCATGTGGATAGCGTGCTTGATACGCCGTGCTTGCCACAGCACAGAACTCTTAATGAGCACCCCGGTGTGAAGCTAATGAACACCGTCGACCTCTCAATTAGATAGAGTGCCATCAAGTGCCATCAATTATTAGATAGTGCCATCATTTGGCAAATGCCAACATCATTTGTCTAGACTTATCAAATAGTGCCATCATCTGGCAACCCCCCCCCCCCCCGGTAGCACTATGGTGGCAGTGCAACCTAAGAGACTTCCCAGAGAGCTTTTGAGTGAACATGGCTTGGGAGGGAATTGTAGTGTGAGGTGGTTATTCAAGCCATGCTCAGGTCTTGCAGTGCATTACCCCAGCTGGCATGGACTGCGTGAAGAGTCAACTAGGAGTTGGGGAGAACTATCTGTAGAAGAGAACAATCCGTAGAAGAGCAGAAATCTAGAAGTAGAAACTGACAGGCATGAGCGCTGGGGCAAGCATGCTATGCTTCCCCACTTTTGAATCTACTCGGCGATCAACACTTTAGGAAGTGTACCACAGTGTTCAAGTTATTTTCTTAAGCGGAACGCGTTACAATGTCTTCGTGCGGTGAAATCAGCACATTGAACCATCCACCGCTTTCGTCAACGTACTGGACTCCTATGACAGCAACGCGGACCTTCAGCATCGTAGGCTGGAAGACAGCAAAATGAAAAGTGAACAACTGTTTCGACCTGACATCAGTCACTAGGTGTCTACAATCGATTTGTTTCTGTCCGTTTAGGAGGAACAACATCAATCGTGTCCAAAAGTTTCATTCAAGTTGTGCGACCGCGGAATCTCCGCCATATTCCGCGAGCTGTGGTCTTACTTGGCGGGCTCGCCGCTGTTCTCCTACCCAAACGCGGCGGCACGCTTGACGCTGTCAGCAGGAGACACCTTGGTCTGGATGTCCCCCACGACGCCGTTGAAAGTGACGACACGGCACACATCGGCAATCGCAGACAAAGCTGGAGTTGGCTTAAGTTATTGTTTTTGGAGTTGTTAAAGAACTTTGTGCTCTGCCTCATAAACCTACCGAGTGAAGTGGATACAACTTCCCCGCCTTCGAAATGAAGCTCGCTTACGGGGAGAAGACGAAGCGCTGAGCTCCTCAATACCGCGGCACCGGTAGCTGCTCATCAATGGGCTAGCATACTTCATCAGACCATTCCAGTGCTCGCGGCTAACCTAAGAAGGGTTCATAGCTGATCAAACACATTCGAACAGGATACCCAGTTTTAGTTGAAGTTGTTTCCTTAGTACTAGTAGAACCGAGCTGAATGAAATGGGTGTCTTTGGCGCCACTCCACTTCCGAATCTTCCTTATCGCCCTCGCTTTGCTGGTCGCGCTAGCGGCAGCGGCCTCCAATACGCTCACATTTGTTGCAGACGCCACGACTTGCCACTGCACAACGTCGAATGCTTCCACGTACTCGTCCGATTCGGGCTATTACCCACAGAGTCCAACAGTGCTTATCAAGCGATGCTGACGCAGTTGGAGCAGACGGAGCCGTCCGAGTGCTCTAATGGGCCATTGGTGCCATTAGTAATGGCACCTTGGACCTCTACGAAGACCTCGTGACGCTCGTGGGCGATTACCGTATTGCGCAGCTCCCGACCTCTGGGTCCAGCGTTCAAGCAGCTTTCCATCTTCATCAGCATCGTCGTCATCGTCACCTTTTTCTCCTTTTCCCATACTTACCTTCGTACTGCTCCTGCCGTGTCTTGATCGGCATCGTCGTACAGCAGCTGTGGTGCTCGCGGCCGCTACATGTACTTTTCTAACAGTGCCTATGTCGTCATACCGGAAATGTCAGTGCTTCAGCGACTTTGGACAACTTTGCGCAACTTCAGAGAGATGGATCTAAACGAACAACCCTCTAGGATAAGGCCGCTTGCTTTATCTTACATCCAGCCAGCACCATCCTGTTGGGAAACTCGGCGCAATGAGCCAGATTGCTGCGGGGTTAAAAAAATATTTTGAAGATATGTATTGCTAAGCAGTATCTGATCTTGCCAGAAGGTTACTTAGTGCCTTCGGCGACGTCGTGAGTTCCAACCCTGTGGTAGCCTACGGCAGCGCCGAGGCTGTAGCACACTAGTGTTTGGCTGACCCTACTCGGCACAAATATAACCACATGCACAACACCGCTAATGTGTTCCACAGCGAAGGAGGCGCGCGCGTCGAATTCATTCTCGAGGGGAAAGCCACCAGAACCGTCAGCTGCACCATCTTCCAACTCCGCCCCTCCCCCCCCCTCCTCCCAACTTCGTTGTCTCCTCCATTGTCGGCCCATCGAGTCGTCGTCCAACCATCACAGCCGTCACCTGCTCGTCCTCACTTCTTTGGCTACAGTAGCCCGACTTCCTCTTGATCGACCCACCTTTACTTCGCAGCCTCCGACTGGCGCAGGTGCGCCGAGCACAGGCCTTTGCGACGGCACGGCTTGTTGCAGCCCTCCATGGTGCAGCGCTTGCCGCCGCCGTGGGTGGCGCACAGGCCTCCGCCGCGGTCGTTGCGCATGCAGCCTGGCACCTCGCACAGACGCGAGCCGCCGTGGAGCGCGCAGTAGTCGCCGCGCTGCGTGCCCTTGTCGCAGCCGTCGAACATGCAGCGCTTGCCGCCACCGTGGGAGCGGCAGAAGCCACCGCCCTGCGAGCTGCGCGTGCAGTCAGCGAACTGGCAGCGCGGGCCACCGCCGTGGGCCTTGCACAGGAAGTTCGACTGCGCAGCCTTGTCGCAGCCCTCGTGGCTGCAGCGCTTGCCGCCACCGTGGCGGATGCACAGGTTGCCGCCCTGCGAGCTCTTGTCGCAGCCCTCCACGGCGCAGCGGCGACCGCCGCCGTGCGAGATGCACAGGCCGTTCGAGCGCGAGCGCTTGTAGCAGCCCTCGCTCTTGCAGAGGCGACGGCTCTTGACCTCGCCGGGCATGACCGTCTTGGGGGCCGCCATGTGCGGCTCCGGGCGACGCGGGGTCAGCATGAGCTCCGTGTCCGTGAAGTCGGCCTCGAGCGACTCCATGAGGCCCTCGATCGGGGAGCCCGCCAGCATGTTCAGGTTCAGGATGCCGTCGTCCACCTCGGCCGCCTGCTTCTTGTCCTCGGGCGCGTCCACCAGGAAGCTGTACAGGATCGACATCTCCGTGCCGTCGAAGCCGTCGTCCAGGTTCACGAGGTCGGGCTTGTCCTTGCCGACGCTCTCCAGGTCGCCGGGCATCGAGAAGTCCAGTAGCTCCTCCAGCTCCTGGGCCTCAAAGTTGGGCTGCACTGCGGCAGCAGCGGCCGCCTCAGGCTTGACCTCGGCGGCGGGGGCCGGGGCGGCCACGAACTGGTCGCTGGGCATGCCCAGGCTCATCAGGTCGGCCGTGGGGGCGGCGTTGCCCCAGGGCATGGCCGGCAGGTTGTTGGTCTTCGGGAAGGACACGAACGGCAGCGCCGGGGGCGGCGCCGCCATGCTCAGCATGTTCATCGCGTCCGCGCCGAAGCCGAGGTCGCCGGTGGTGGACCAGGCGGGCGCGGCGCCCGCCTTGGCATTCTGGCTCATCATGGCCATGCTGTTGGCCGTGCTCGCGGCCGCGGGCTGGTAGCCAGCGAACAGCGCGACGGCGGCCGGGCCCATGGCGCCCAGCGAATCGCGTGACTCTATCGGCCGGCACATTCTCGGGATGCTTGGGGGTCAATGGTGGTGTTCCTGTGGGTTGTCTGTTCCGCTCTCTCTCGTCTCTCTTCGCACCTCTCTCTTTTCGAGCTCGTTGCGTTCTAGGGGGCCGGTGGCTGCCCCGGTTTTTCTTCCACGGTAGCAAGCAACGGCGGGTAAAACGGGCTAGGGTATGCCGACGGTCGTGCCGACCCACGATTGGTGCAAAAAGAGTTTCGGCCAATCGCCGCGCCGTGTTGAGAGAGTCAGCGCCCGCGCCGGACTTGGCTTCACTATGCCGGGAGACAGACCTCGGACACAAAGACACCGCGCCACGCTAATCGTCCCGGGCGGCAGCTGGCCGCAGGATTCCAATCCTGCGCTCGCAAGACGCAACTCTTTTTGTGTGGGCCCTTCAACTCGTTCACCCCAACTCGACGATTATACGCATCCTTGGCCGCGGCCAGGAGAGGCGTGAACGCTGCAGGGCGTTACGGTCCTGCTGGGATGTGGTCTGCTGGGTATATATATTCGCTGCTGAATTGCCGTTGCACCCATGCTTCAAGGCGCTGCTGGCGCGCGTTGGTCTAAAGCACGGCCGTTTCACTGAAAGCTCCGACAGCGACGGTAGCTAACGCTAATGCGCTGCCGTCCAAGCAGCTTCGCCGACCACATGGGCGGCGGTCGTCGCGGAAGCGCAAGCGCAAGGCTCGAACGTGCAGGCCCCGCCATTGGGGTCGTCATCTGTCTTGTTTCACCGCGTGCTGCAGACGAATGTGACAGGATCAGAGACCAGGATTGCAAAAGCGGCTGGGGGCGACGGCAACCCCGACACTGCTGCCGTCGCCGCGCTGCGGGGCGGCAGGCGGTGCAGGCCGTCGCAATGAAAAGCAAGCGATTAAAGCCGGCGATGCTGCCGCGAGGCTTCTCTGTTGACAGCGCGCCCGCCGGTACAAGCTGCATCGCCGAGAGCTAGGAATACTGTACATGTAGTTGGCGTCTCTATCGCGAGCCGTGCAGATACGAGGTTTCTGGTGATGACTGGGAGCTTCAGTAGATACAGCGTATCATACACAACAGCCTGCCCGGCCAGACGGCCAGCACTAACAGCCACTGGGGCCATGCGGCGCTAATGCTCATGAATGCTCACGGCGCTCAAGTCAAAACTCAAAAGCCCCAGTTCATGTCGAAAAGCGGGTTAAAATTTCGAGCAAGCAAAAGGTTGATGCCAATTTGTTGCAGCGTCTATGTGCTAAATGTTGTGAAACATACTGAAACAGTAAAAAAACATCGAGATGGAACATGGTTTCCTGCAAAGTGCAAGTGCGATCCTCGCTGGTTTGCCGCTGCCAGCGTCTTGACTGCTTGCCGCTGCAAACCAGCGTAATTACACAGCGATCACCACCGTAGGTGCGATCGCCTTGCAAGATTCACTTCACAACCACAAAGACACGCAGCCACGAGGCGTCTCGAAAGGACCTCGACTACCTTTGTGCTCCACACCAAACATGCGGATCTGAATCCAAGATCTGATTCCGATCTTAAAAAGTCATTTACACAGGTGTGAAGGGAAGCCCTTCACACCTCTGTAAATGACTTAGTGCCAGGGTCCACACTCAGTCATGCTAATATGCAGCCAGCCAGCCATGTCCTACGCTGCCTCAGATTTTCTCTCCCTGCGATGCTCCGTGGTATTTTCCGAAGCTACCAGAGTTTGGCAAGCCACCTTCCGCAGGTGGTTCGCGAAAAACCAACAATGTATGCTGTGCCATTGTACATCCTGTATTTCTTCCTCAAAAACCCGGCGACGACATGGCATGCATCCAAAGTCGATATTGAGACTTGCCATTTATTTGATGATTTATTACAAGTTGGTGTTTTGTGGGGCTAGCACTGCGTGTCAAGTGGAGAGGAACAGCCCAAACAACCGTGCTAATTGGTCTCGATCATAGCCTGGCTTTCAGTGGATGTGGTTACCGCTAGCACAAGACCGACGAATATGGGAGGCCCCCATGACGACTATTGCTGACGCGCCGCCAGTCTCCTGCCAAAGGAGACTCGACGTATGCGGGCACCAGACTATGCCGCCGACTAGCAAGACCGAGACTAGTGCAGGTGTAATTTGGCTACACGAACACGTAAATAATTGCACTGCATTGCATGGAAACTGTGGGTGCAGTTATTCATGATCATGAATGTGCCCCTCCCACGACACGTCTGCTACTGATGCGAGCTTTGCGTCTTTTTGAGTTGAAAATTGGTTGTGTTTGACTGACGAATGGAACTGTACAAACTGCAAACTGCCCCCCCCCCCCCCCGTTTTGGTTATGGGCCCACCCATCCCTGGCTAGCGTAGTCAGAAACGCAGCCTGCCATGGAGAAACTACACCTATAGCACTGGTTCTAGTCTAATGTTCGCTCAGGTAAGGTTTTAAACAGGTCTTATGCAGGTCTGGTCCTGTTTTGGTCCTACGACATCTAAACGAGACCGAACAGAAAATCGTCGCTAGCGGTCCCGTTTGGATGGCGAGACCCAAATGATATCACTACGAAACAAGCCATTTTTAGACCCCCTTCACTCTGATACAAAATATCGTGATAGATGATAGAGGGCAGTTCCTATTGAAGTAATGCTGGAGATTACAACACAAATGTCTGAAATGTGCGAGCGAGCGTCTTGCTGGATGTCGATCGCTGGATCGTCGACGCTGCTCGGACTGTGCGGTGTTGCTAGCCTTCCTAAAAGAGCTTCCACGAACTCAGGCGTTCTCGTGCCTGAATCTACTGCTATCTTCGTGCATGTATTCTTATCTGCATGCCACTGATCCTTGGTACTTGGTACTTGAAGTACTTGATTGTATTCTGCCTCTGCAGGAAATTAGAGTATCCTTAATCCCCTTGATAGACGGCTCATGCTAAGGTAATGTTCGATAATCCCCTTGCTTTGTCGTGGTTGCTTTTCCGTGTTGGCACTTAAATTCGAGTTTGCTTGACTGCTTGTTTGGTGCTGTTCACTGCGAGGCTGATGGCTGCAAACGGACCGGTCTGAGTAGTGGATTGTTTAGCTGCAATATGTCGACTGTTGTATGGTCAAGTTGGCCGTTGATATCCGTGGTACAGTCCCCAAATAAAAGACAGTCTCGACACTGACGCGAATCGTGTGAAGGCGCACTTCCACCTAGCTTTTGGTGAGCGTGCTATTGATAAGATGCTGATGTGCTGTTTGAAGGCGCTGTTAGAGCTGGGTCTGACTTCATGCTGGTGTGGCGAGTATTCGGACGAAGAAAGCGGAACACAACAAAGTGCAGTGAAGAGAAGCATAGGTGGAAGACTACTGGGGTTTCCTGTAGAGGCAGAGTACAACAGCAGACAGCAGTAGCGAGAGTTCGTTTTAGGAAGAGTAGCGGTAGCACACAGACACAGCGACCAGCGCTAGTGATCGAGCGATCGACATACAGCAGGGCGCTAGCTCGCAACTCGTCCACCACATTCCATGGGGCCAGTCTCTCACAGCCCTGCTTCGCAGAGCACTTCAAGCCTCTGCCCCTACTCAAAATTAACTTCTCGACTGCCCCCTTTGATGCCACAAATGAAGGAAAACCACAATTGGTCTGGCCTAAGTGCATATAGTCGAAGATCGACGTCGACTTCTTCTCGTATGCTTTGGCTGCTGTTGGCTGACGTTCGGCCTGGTGAGAGTGGATGGTATCCTGTGAAGCTTGCTGGCCAAGAGTTGGCACCATTTGGACGCTTCGCTTGCGTTGGGGTGCGCTGGTTGGGCCCATGGCGACTGCGTTGCGGTCTCATGTGAGTCGCCTGTAAGACGGTGTTGGTACCGTGGAGAGACTGTTGGTGCTGACGAATCCGCCGAGTGTGTACTCTATCGTTTGGCTGAATCATTAACACGCGGGTGCAGGGGTGTTCATCAAGTCGGACGACCCGCAGCTAGAGTACAAGCCGGATTAGCATGACTGACAGTTAACCGTTGACAGCAGGTTTGTCCAGTACGGCTTTTCATGCAATATCTCCCTTAATACATAATACATCTATTTTCCGTTTTGCATATTTGATTATAGCGTTTTTCTAAAACCCGGGTATACATATATGTATGTATAGTATGTAGGTTCTTTTGGCTAATTTTATTTCGGTCTTGTTTTGGTCCTACGGACCAAAAAAGACCAGACCTGCATAAGACCTGTTTAAAAATCTTCCTTCGCTCACACGTTAACTGCGTAGCTGACACTTACGTTTGCAAACTGTTTGTTAGTGTGTAGTAAAGCTGGGCTAATATATTTGTGGGGTTAGATGGTATTGAATTATCCGGATATCCATCTCAAAGCTCTTTTCGGCTCTTTTCAGTTGTCGAAAGCTGACTGGGAATCCCATACGAAAAGTCCTTTTCAATGATCCCCTTACATTAGATTACTCTGGCTACGCCGTGGTGCATATGCGGGATATTGAGTCGACAACCGGTAGCAATTCGCTGGAGGAACGGTGATTTTGAACGCTAGCGATATACTGTAGCAGCAGACGTGCAAACACGTTTGCAAACAGCACTTTGTAGTCAATACACTGAGTTGTACCAAAGGCTTTGGTCCGAAGCCTGTTCCATTGAAACCACGTTACTAGGTCAGGAATTCCTGAAGCTACATTGCAAGTGTGGTAGTCTTGACCGTCAACTCTTTTCAATTTGAATTTGTTGCGGTTTAGTCGGCTGCCTACTCCCGGAGACGCACAGCATCTCCGCCTACGGTGGTACTATCGCTAGATCTCTAGGATACGAGCCCGCGGTAGGCGCCCAATCAACTCTTTTGTCACCAGCATTTACGCGCCAATGTCCTGCGTGGGGCTGAAGTACTCGTAGTGCAGCTGCGCAGCCGGAACGGCCCACTGGTTACTTAGCGATTTGGACACGGCCGACATGAAGCCGGCGGGGCCGCAGAAGTAGAACTCGCAGTCCCTGGACGGCAACAGCTTCTCGAGCTGGGTCACGTCGAACTTGCCGTACACCGTGTGCGCCGTGACGAAGTCGTTCTTCTTGGCGATGCTCTCGAGGTGCTCTCCGAAGGCGCGGACGCTGGCGTTGCGGGCATACTGCACGAACACCACGGGCTGCTTCTTGGCGGACGGCGCCACGAGGTGCTCGAGCATGCTCAACAGCGGGGTGAAGCCCACACCACCGCTCAAGAACACGATCGGCTTGGTCGACGGCTTGTCCGTCTCCAGATAGAAGTGTCCGCAGGGCACGCCCACATGCAGGATGCTGCCGACCTTGACATCGTCATGCAGGTGCGAGGATACGACGCCGGCCGGGACGTCGTTGGCGGCATTGCCGGACTCCTTCTTGACGGAGATGCGGTAGAAGTTCTGGCCCGGGGCGGACGACACGCTGTAGTTGCGGACAACCGAGCGCCCCTTTTGCAGGTTGTCGAACTTGAGCGAGATGAATTGGCCAGGCTGGAAAGTCATGAGTCCCTTGGACGGATCGGTGCTCTCGAGGTAGAAGGAGGTGACCTCGTCGCTCTCCTTGACCTTGCGAGCCACGCGCAGCTCGCGGAATCCGGCCCATCCACCTGGTATGGTTTCGAATTCATGACGAGTCTTGTCTTCCGCTTGAATGATGAGGTCGGCCAAGAACCAATTGCCTTGCTTCCACGCGTCCATAATCTCGTCCGTGGCTGCGTCCTCGAGCACAAGTTTAATGGCTCGCAACAGACACCCTCCAATGATCGGGTAGTGCTTGGCTCGGATGTTGAGACTCACGTGTTTGTGCACCATTCGCGGGACAGCGTCGCCGAGATTTCCCAAGCGATCGCAGTTGGCAGCAAAATCGATGACCGTGTTGGCCAATGCAGGCACTGGCCTGACGGGACACTCCAGCCGGCGCACCGCCCTTGGTCGCGCCGGCAACGCGGTGGTGCGACATATTGAAGAGGTTCTGGACTTCGGGGAATTCGGAGAACATGATCCGGTACATGTTGGAGGTGATCTCGGTGCCGTGTTCCTTGACGACAGGAGCCGTGGCCTTGAGGATGGCGATGGTAGAGTCGGACATGGGCTTAGGTCCAGCAGCAATAGGCTTGTCGGTGATCGGTGCTACCGCGGTGTTATCAGGAGTAGGCGCCATCTCTTGTCGGTGGAAGTTTGTTGTCAGGGCACCCGAGAATGCAATACTTAAATTAATACTTCTAAACTGCGAGCAAAAATTAATCATTGCATTATTGCCATTAATTGCTGCCAATTCGTGCACGGACCTGCTCCACCGTGTTGACGTCCCACAAGTCGCGGTTGTACTGCAGACACATCAGCATCTCGAGCATGGTGGGGGAGAGACTCTTCCGCACGTCTGTGAGCACCAGCTTCGCCGTCGAAAAAAAGCGCTCGCATTCGTTGGACATCGGCGGCACGTAGGCGACGTCCACGTATTGCGAGCGCCTCGGTGCCTTCCTCTTCTTGAACGCCGCCTTGACGATAGAGCTGTTGCCGTCCTCCCGCGCTGGTGCCCTTTCAAGGGTCGTCGATCTAATCTCGGCACACGCCGACCGTTCCGCGGCCGTCAACGCCTCTTCGCGCTGAGGCTTGACGAGGCCCAGTTCTAAATGCGGGTTGTTGACGATCGGAGCCGTTGCGGCCAGTCGTGACTTGAGTGCAGGGTACTCCTTCACCCCCTGGTCAAAAAGACGGCGCACAGCAGACAAAGTTAGCGTAGACCTCTGTAGCTCTTTCGTGACTCCCTCGAACTTCTCCAGGTCCTTCTCCAACGCCTTGGCTCGCTCGTGCTCGGCGCGCCGCAGCAAAAGTGGCTGTACTTCGTACTGGACCAGAAGGTCATGGACCAGCTTGATTATGGCGGGCTGGAGCTTCACATAGCGCGCCACCATCTCGTACGTGCTCGACCACCTGGTGTCGTTCCTCAACAGAGGCGACAGATGGGAGACGCGGCGAAGCAGAGCGCGGCCCTTGATCGTCCGGAGCTTGGTCATCAGCGCGTGCACCTTCGCAATGAGCTCGTCCTCGGTCTTGAGGAAGTCCTTCACCGCCAAATTGAATCTGTGGCTAGCACATCCAATGAAGGGGATAGCCCCTTCCTTCCGGCCGATGCATTGGTTCACAGAGCAGTTGTCTCCCACCATGAACTTCACCGCGCTCCAGGGCTTGTTATAGCGAGACAGCGTGTCAGCGATCAGGTCGTACTGACTCTGCGCACCCATGTCTTCCTCGACCTCTACTGGAGCGAATGTTAACAGCAGGAAGCGGCGCGATGAGCACTCGAGATCGTCATAGTACTCGTTGTCAGCGCCGCCACCGGTAATACCGGTACTGTCGCTGCCGAATACCGCGAATATCGCGATGTAGTGACGACCACCACTGGTCCACCCGTCTAGAACGAGGCCGAACGATGCAGGGAGCTCGCGAGTGATGCGCAGCTCTAGCAGCTCGAAAATCAGCACGATGTACTTGGAGAGGGTGTCCTCCGACACGAGAGAGAGGGAGGCGTTGAGGTGCGTGAGCCGCCGCTCTACGAACGCAAACGGGAGGCGGTCGCAGACGACCCACTCGAGCCAGCGGTATAGGTCCCTGGTCCGTGTGCTGACGAGGTGTAGGCGCAGCGGGTTCTGGTGGCGTGACGCCTCCTGGGCCTCTTGCTCGTAGTTGTCGTGGTTGCGCCGCAGGTGGCTCAGCAGGTTCGTGTAGCCATTGCCCTTCTTGTACTGCTTGTCGCAGGATGTACACTTGTAGAAGCCGTTGCCGACATCAGTGAAAAGCATGGAGCAGATTTGGCTGCTCGTGAGGACCATGGTAGACACGTGGGGTGAGGGGCTTGGGCGGTGAGGGGTGAAGAAAGCAAATTTGATTCTGAAGGAGCCTCCGCCGCGAGTGGTGCGGTGAAGTGGTGCCAGATCGGCGAGTGGTTGGTGGTGGACTCTTCGGCAGACACTGGTGGCTGCAACGAACTCCATCTGAGCAATTCAAATACGAATTGTGTGCAATTCAAAAATAAATTGAGGGTCTAAAATTAATCATTGAATTAAAGTATTCGAATGTATTTTTATGAGTATTATTTTTTCGGGTGCCTTGTTTGTTGTTCACGAGGATGTAAATTCGAAAGTGGGCTCTGCTAGAGCGATGATCTCAGCGATCGCAACGAACTCTTGCTTGAGAACCGCTGGAATTGCGATGTACAAACGGGTATTCCCGGCAAGCGCGTGCCAAGAGTGGGGGTCGGTCACTCACCGACGCCTTCGTCGTTGCGAATCAATTTGCCGACGTACGTAGTCACTCATACGCTTGCAAAGATCGGGCAGAATTTTTGTTTTAAGTGAGTGAGTCATCAGCAACTACCCGCTCGGCAAGCCTCGGGTCGAAGGTCTGAGAAGCAGTGCTTGAAGTGGCGGTGCAGTGATCGAATTACTGACGCTAAAGGCTAATGGTATATATTGACACCCCCAGAATTCGATGATCCTTTTTTGCTTATTTTTACGGCTACGGGTTCAATTGCGAATCGCGTTCAAGCTGAGTTTACGTGTGCAGTGTTCTGCTCTACAAACACGGAAACCCGTCAATACAGGTACTGTAGATGATTTCAAGGAGAAACTTAGAAGTCGTTATGTAGCCGTCCATAGAATCCAAAGCACTGCCACCGGACTACCACCCACCAGCCACCAGGGCTTTTTAAAGCCCTGGTGGCTCCATACCAACAACAATTGCGCTCACTGCCTATCACCTTCGGTGCATAGCAACGTTGCCAGTCGCTGAAGCGGCTCAGTATGTCGTGCCAACCCCCTTTAGCCCTTTTAAGAGCAGCTTTGGCCAGCAAGAAAGCAGGCAACACGTACCCTTGGTACACTGTACCACTCGAGTACTGTTGCTGCGTGTCCTTGGCAAGGACTCCTTGCCACGGGGGGTCCTTGGGGTCGAAGATGAGTGACCTGCGCCGCCCCGCATTGGTCGTCGGCGCCAGAGGGCACGCTGCAGGCAAATACCAGCCGCACCGACAACTACAACCTTGCGGTTCGTGGTGGTCCACCACTGGTGGATCGAGGACATCCGGTGATGTACGGCCCGTACTACGGGGGTGGCGCGTTTCCAGGCTCATGCGCTATGTGGGAGGGGCTCCAATACTCGCCCGCATGCTACGTAAAAATAGGAGAGCCGATTGCAGGAGCCGATTGCAGGAGAACCACCAGAATCCGTAGCAGGCAGAAACACAAACGGCGCGTCTTAAGTTTTTATCGACGTCCATTCACTACAATACTTGGTGCAAAATCTCCATCCAATCCATCTAGTACTGTAGCTCGGCTCGATTATCGCAGCAGCAAGTCCTTGGCTCCGTATCGAGAGTCCAACCTCCGCGGTATTTTCCGATGACTCAGCGACCCTACCACCGTGCCTTTGCGACCGTATAAGTGACTTGAAGCTGCGCTGAATACTGAAAAAGCTGAATACTGAAAAAGCTGAAGCAGGGGGGATGAGTGACCCAAAGAGCTCAGCCAGGCCGTTCCAGCGGTTTCCCGAGCGCAGACAACGGCAACGAGGGCCTGCCCATCGGAACAGAACGCGTGCGTGGCTATGGCCCCCACCTACAACACAAGTGCGATAACCCCCGGCCCACCGTCAGGAGTTCCGTTGCTAGGCGCTGCCCGGATGCCGCTGGAGCTCACTTCTCAATTGGCCTCTTCGAGCACAACCCAAGCGCCCCAGCAGCACCGAGCAAACGTCTGCAGCAGTAGCAATGGCTCCCAACCAACAACCCGCCGCCACGACTGCTGAAAAGCCCAGCACCGGCCCCAAGCCCATGTCTGCGAACACCATCGCCATCCTCAAGGCCACGGCTCCCGTCGTCAAGGAACACGGCACCGAGATCACCTCCAACATGTACCGGATCATGTTCTCCGAATTCCCCGAAGTCCAGAACCTCTTCAATATGTCGCACCACCGCGTTGCCGGCGCGACCAAGGGCGGTGCGCCGGCTGGAGTGTCCCGTCAGGCCACGACGCTCGCCAACGCTGTCATCGGCTTCGCTGCCAACTGCGACCAGCTCGGCAACCTCGGCGACGCTGTCCCGCGCATGGTACACAAGCACGTGAGTCTCAACATCCGCGCCGAGCACTACCCCATCGTCGGTGGCTGCTTGCTCCGCGCTATTAAGATCGTCCTGGGAGACGCCGCCACGGACGAGATCATCGATGCCTGGAAGGAAGCTTACTGGTTCCTCGCCGATCTGCTTATCCAGGCTGAGGACAACCTACGCACGGAGTTTGAGAACATGCCTGGTGGCTGGGCCGGATTCCGCGAGCTGCGCGTGGCTCGCAAGGTCAAGGAGAGCGACGAGGTCACCTCCTTCTACCTCGAGAGCACCGATCCGTCCAAGGGACTCATGACTTTCCAGCCTGGCCAATTCATCTCGCTCAAGTTCGACAACCTGCAAAAGGGGCGCTTGGTTGTCCGCAACTACAGCGTGTCGTCCGCCCCGGGCCAGAACTTCTACCGCATCTCCGTCAAGAAGGAGTCCGGCAATGCCGCCAACGACGTCCCGGCCGGCGTCGTATCCTCGCACCTGCATGACGATGTCAAGGTCGGCAGCATCCTGCATGTGGGCGTGCCCTGCGGACACTTCTATCTGGAGACGGACAAGCCGTCGACCAAGCCGATCGTGTTCTTGAGCGGTGGTGTGGGCTTCACCCCGCTGTTGAGCATGCTCGAGCACCTCGTGGCGTCGTCCGCCAAGAAGCAGCCCGTGGTGTTCGTGCAGTATGCCCGCAACGCCAGCGTCCGCGCCTTCGGAGAGCACCTCGAGAGCATCGCCAAGAAGAACGACTTCGTCACGGCGCACACGGTGTACGGCAAGTTCGACGTGACCCAGCTCGAGAAGCTGTTGCCGTCCAGGGACTGCGAGTTCTACTTCTGCGGCCCCGCCGGCTTCATGTCGGCCGTGTTCAAATCGCTAAGTAACCAGTGGGCCGTTCCGGCTGCGCAGCTGCACTACGAGTACTTCGGCCCCACGCAGGACATTGGCGCCGACAACTCGACCCATCGCCCGCCTTCGTCGTGTCCGTTTGCCACGTTCGACTACCACACGCGCCTTATGGCCAACGCCGACAAGACGTCGCGGACACGCCTCGTGGTCGCAGTTGCAGTTGCCACCTCCGCAGTGTTGGCTGCGTCCCTTCTGAGAGCGAGGAAGTAAACCTCAACACTAGAAACAGACAGCTCGCATTGGTGCGCACGTTCAGGCTTGTAGTGGTTGTAGAAGCTAATTGCATAATGCATTCACTTTTGTTGAAACTAAAAATGCAAGTTGAAGTTGGATGTACCCATTCCAAAGTTCGTGTACAGAACATCCCATAATTCGTGTCTCGTACACAAATCCAATTTACAATGGCGAAGAGGAACCGCTGGGACTCGGACTCGGACTCGGGCGACGAGCGCGCCTCTCGGCGCAAGAAGAAGTCCTCCGGCGAAACTAATCCTCTCCTCAACTCCTCCGGCGTCTCCTCTTCAAATGGCAACGCTTCCGACCTCTTAAATCGGCCTACAGCCGAAGAAATCGCAGCTCCGGATGACCCGCCGAGGCACAATTTCTACCTTTTAGGCTGCCGCAGCGTCGACTGCTACGCGCGCATCGGCAAAATCGACGAAGGAACGTACGGAGTCGTGTCCAAGGCTCGAGACAAGGAAACGGGTGACGTGGTGGCGTTGAAACAGGTCAAGATGAGCGCCGACGTCAGCCAGGAGGGCTTCCCCATCACCGCTCTACGTGAGACCAACGTGCTGCTGTCCCTGGACCACCCAAACATCGTCCAAGTCCGGGAGATGGTGGTGGGCTCCATGCCCGACAAGATCTACATGGTCATGGACTACGCGGAGAACGACCTCAAGCACGTCATGCAGAACAAGATGAAGGCTCCGTGGCTGCAGAGCGAAGTCAAGTACCTCCTGCACTCGCTGCTGAGTGCGGTGGCCTATATGCACGACCGCTGGTATATCCATCGCGACCTCAAGACCAGTAACTTGCTGTATGATGCGCGTGGGGTGCTCAAGGTCTGTGATTTTGGACTGGCACGGAAGTACGGCTCGCCCTTAAGAACGTACACGCAGCTGGTGGTGACGCTGTGGTACCGTTCGCCTGAGCTGCTGCTTGGTGCGAAAAAGTACTCGACCGCGATGGATATGTGGTCGGTGGGGTGCATTTTCGCCGAGATGCTGCTGATGAAGCCGCTGTTTGCAGGTCGTGGAGAACTGGACCAGACAGATCAGATCTTCAAGCTGCTAGGAGCGCCTAACGAGGAGAATTGGCCTGGTGTCGATGAGGACGTTCCGGATGCGAATGTGAGTGTGCGTGGGAAGTGGCCGAAGCATTCCAGACTACGAGATAAGTTCCCACTCTCTGCCACGTTCTCAGGTAGCGGGTGCTCGCTGTCGAAGGCAGGGTTCGATCTGCTCAGTCGAATGCTCGCTTTAAGTCCGCGCAAGCGCATTTCAGCGAAAGATGCGCTAGCACACGAATACTTTCAGGAGTCTCCTCCACCGAAGCAACAGGAGTTGATGCCAACGTTCCCTGCGTAGACAAAGCAATAGATAGGCAACGTGGACTTCACGACGTCACTTGTTACGTCTTTCACTCACTTCTTCACTTGCTACTCTTCGATTTGCTTGTTCTTGTTACACCTGTCCACACGCGGCACCGCCGCCATCGCTGAGGAAGTCCACGTATGCCTGGTCCTCGAACCGACTCGGTAGGAAAGCGTCTACGTGGTTCGCGAGTCCGCATCCTTCCAGCGTCTCGCCCATGACGTGCGTGGCCAGCAGGTGTCCAGACGCGGCGCTCGACATGAGCCCAACTCCAGTCATAGCGGACTGCAAGAAGATGCCACCAATCGTGCTCGGTGCCGGCCCAATGAGCGGCATGTTGTCCAGAGTCTTGCAGTAGTATCCCCCGCTCACGTAGAATGAATCGCGCGCTTCAGATCGCGACAGATACGATTTCACCTGCGGGAACATCTTCGTCAACCCGCGGACGCATACTTCAGGGAATCTACAGCAGTCACGGTGGTTAGCGTTACAGTACACCATCCTCAATCAGTAACAAGAAGCAGCGCACCTCCGATCAACCACGTCCTCGACAGGGTAGCGGGGAGGCACTGGTTCAATGTCATAAGTCCAGACAAACATCATCTTGTCCCCGTTGTACGGGCGAACATGAACTCCTCCTGGGTAGTCCTCCAGCATGCGAGCAGCCGAAGGATCCGCCATAATCTCCTTGCGATCCTTATCCGAAAACTGCAGCAACAGAGATAAATCAACGTCAGAGGAGCGTTCTTCGTGTTGTGAAGCCTATCGATGAACGCACCTCCAGCTTGCCGATGGGGTCCGAATCAAACGTCAGTGGCATCGTAGGGGGCAGTACATGGTCGACATCGTCGACGATAGCTCGGCAGTGCAGCTCATTGATAATAGGTACGTCGTAGCTCGACATGTCTTTCTGCTTGAGCATATCCAGCGTTCTCTCGAACAGCGGCCCCGTCGCGAACACCACGTTGGGCGTCGACACCTCCAGCGTCTCACCGCTATGCATAGCCACCTTAACGCCGCTCACGTTGCCGCCCGTAGCCGAGAAGTCTGTGACCTTGCCCTGTAGAATTTCAGCCTTCGGACAGTACTCTGCGGCTTTCGTGAGCTCGTAGGTGGCCACCTTAACGTGGTCCATCGACCCGCAGCGACGCACATGTAGCGCCCCAAGAGCGTCCGAGTGCTTGAGATTGGGGAATGCGGCCGCAACGTTGTCAATGCCCACAAGCAGATCACTCCCGTCCAGATCGTACTGCATCTCCTTCGTGTTGAACCGGTAGCCGCTGAGATTGTCCTTGGGCTCGTGGACACGCAGCTCCCCGCCCCCATGACGCTCGAGGTTCTTGGCCAGCTGCTTGAACTGCTCCATCTTGTTGGCATCCCGAGTCACGAACAGGTATCCGTTGCGGTTCAGGCCCAGCGCGTTGTCGGTCCGCTTGCAGATGTCGTCCATCACGTCGATGGAGTGCACCACGAGCTCTCTCATCGGCGTCTCGGCCTCGCTCGGGAACCAGTTGCGGTAGCTGAAGGAGCCGTTCGCGCTGGTGAGCGACATCGGGGGCAGTGCGTCAACCAGCAGCGGCTTGAAGCTCGGGTTGCGCGCGTTCAGCCGCGCCAAGTGGTAGAACGCCGAGCAGCCGGCCACGCCCGCGCCGACGATCACCACGTCCGCCGAGCACTTGCGCAGCATCTTGACCGATCGAGAGAGTCTTTTGCGGGGAATTGCCAACTGACACCCGACCAGCTCCACGCGTCCGTTCAACGTGATGCGCGTGAACGTTGCGGTGGTGCACTTCAACCTTCTTCCAATCACGCCGACCGTCCTATCAGTGATGCTGCTGGATCTGGCCCCGACACATTTTGATACGCTTGACGGAGCTTCCGTCACTACAGCAGGCAAGGAAGGAAATGGAATGTGTGCACGGCATATAACATGGCAAAAGGTATTGTGTTGAGTGTTTTGTTTCAAATGAACATGGCGAGACTCGCCGTCGTGGCGGCTGCAGTTTTTCGTACACGGGTTGGCTACGACTTGTCCTACAGCTTGCTGGCCGCGTCCACGGCGTGGCTCTTGGCGAACTCGAGGCCCTTGCTGACGCTGTCCTGCGGCGAGATGTTGTGCTCGATCTGGCCCACCTTGCCGCCGGGCAGCACGATCACGTGCGAGCGCTCCACGCGCGTGCCATCGTTGATGGAGCTGCCGAAGTGGCCGATGAGCTGGTGCTTGGGGTCCGACAGGAACGTGTACTTGTACTTCTGCGACTCCTTCCACGCCAGCAGCTCGGCGGGGGTGTCCGCGCCCAGTCCGTACACGTCGAAGCCGGCGGCGTTGATCGCCTCCAGGTTGTCGTTGTAGCCGCAGGCCTGCGTGGTGCAGCCCGGGGTATCGGCCTTCGGGTACATGAAGAAGATGGCGCCGCGCGTCTTGAACAGGTCCTGGACCTTGACCGACGTCGACGCGTCCGTCTGCAGCTCGGCGTCGAACGTGACGGTGTTGCCCACCGCGAACTTGCCCGCCGCTTCCGTGGGCTCCTCCTCCTTGGCGGGCTCGTCGCTCTTGGCAGGCTCGCCGCTGTTCTCCTTGACGAAGGCGACGGCGCGGCTGACGCTGTGAGCAGGCGACACCTTGGCCTGGATGTCCCCGACGACGCCGCCCTTGAGAATGACGACGTGCGAGCGCTGCACCTTCTTGCCAGGCAGCGAGCTGCCGAAGTACGAGATGAGCTGGTGCTCGGGGTCGCTCAGCAGGTCGAAGGGCAGGTTCTGCTTGGCCTTCCAGTTGCTCAGCGATTTGGGCGAGTCGCCGCTCAGTCCGTAGACCGTGAAGCCCGCGTCCTTGATGGCCTGGATGTTGTCCCGGAAGCCTGCAGAAAGAGGGCAACCCATGTCACGTGAGCTTTACGGGTTTAACAAGTGCAAATCCTGCCGAAATCTTTCCCCACAACGCAAACACAGGACGCACCGCAGGCCTGCTTGGTGCAGCCGGGCGTGTTGGCGCGCGGGTACATGAAGAAGACCACGCCCTGCTCGCGGAACGTGTCGAGGAAGGCCACCTCCTTCTCCTCCTGGTTGCGCAGCGTCACCTCCTTGGTCACGCTCTTGCCCACGGCCAGGTCGCTGGCGGCCTTGGGCGTCGAGGCCTTCTTGGCCGGGCGCTTGGACGCGTCGCTGGCGGCCGCGCGCTTCTGCGGCAGCTCAGCAGCAGCGGGGGGAGAGCCTGAAGACGTGCGGCTGCGCGTGGACACCATGGAGTCGGGAGGGGGATGCAAAGGAGGCGGGGCGGGGCTTGCTTGGCCGAGGCTGTGTAGCTCTTCGAATGCATGCTAGTCAGCGGGATCGCCGAGATTCCATGGAGGTTGCAGGAAGGTAAACACTTGCTTCAACCACCGATCCCACTGTGTGGGCCACGCCATTGAACCTCCAGGGCGGAATACATACCGCCCGCCCAGTGGAATGGGTACAAATCACTTCAACGTCAACAGGACTTGTCAAAGTTGGTTACTCTTTGTCAACACGGATTGCGAGCGGACTGAAGCAAAGCGCTGGTTGTGGGCTAGGCCACAACTGGCAAATGCCCTTCAGCGTCCTTGTGCTAGCATCACGTCAACGGAGGTGGCGTAAGATCCCACGATGTGCTCGAGCGAATCCTCGGTGGCTCCCGGAAGCAGTCCCGAAATTGACTCGCTGCAGCATCTTACATGCTGTCACTTTGCAATTTGCCCGTTGCACTCGACCACCAGCAACAAGTTTGTTCAGATTTCCCCAACGCTGACTGATGCGTCGCTGTCTTCTTCTTGTGGTGACTGCCGCGGCTTTCGCTACCATTAGCGCTCTCGCGGTAGTCACGGGAGACCAACATCGCAGATCACTGCGGGGCGACACTGACGTCCCAGTGACTCATAACAAGGACGGCAATGTGAAGCAGAGAACCGGTGGGTCGTCGCTACTGTACAAAATGAAAAAAAATGCGCAAGTGACATGGTGGCTCGAGGCTGGCAAGTCCGATGACTACGTGAGAGGTGCGCTGAAGCTGAAGGGGCTGAAAGGAGACGCTCTCAAGAGCCACAAGAACTACCGCTACTACGCGCACTTCGTCAAGAAGTCGGAAGAGTACCAGCTCAATAAGTGGCTTACTCGCGATGTCACCACGTACATGGCTTGGGAAATGCTGGGATTTCAGCAGATTACCAAGGCGGACGAGCTGCCACTGATCAAGATGACCGACGAGTTTAGACTTTACAAGCGATACGTGAACGACTTTGATACCTACGCGCTTCGGACGATGAAGGCTGGGTATGAGCCCCCACGCGTGATGGTCAGCAGGGGGGCAACCGACGCGGAGATGACGGCAAGAACGCTGATCATGGCTGAGGCTGGAAGATCCGACGCGTACGCAAAGTTGGCGTTGGGGATGACGGAGGGTTATAACCGGATGAAGGTGCTGAAATGTGCGGCACTAGAGGGCCAGAAGGACTTTAATTACTTCCTACTCTTCGTGAGGGAGCGAGAGCCGGCAATGCGCGACGAGCTAGCGCGGCTCGAGAAACTGGCGAAGCTGTCGAAACGCCAGCGAAAAGCACAGCGCGAGATGCTGGACGACTTAAAACTGATCGAGAAATACCGCCAGCGGAACGGGGGCGCCCAGTAAGCTGCAGCAAACATTCGACTGATCTCCGGCATTCTCACCCCAAATACAGTCTTTGAGGCAACTCAGTGCTCCTTCATGCAATGTTAATTACATTGCTTACAGGCCAACTCCAACAACCGTCCGGACTGCAGCAACTGCGGTCAGTCGGTCGTCACTACTGTGTTGGTCAAGCACATAGGCAGGCTTCGATTTGTGTCCGGCAGCGCAAGACGGGCTTAAAGGTGTACCCGTCGCGGTGGTACATGATGTGGCGCACATACGCTATGTGGGCCACGCCAGTTCCGCGAGCAGCGTCACAGCAACGACGTCACCGGATTCGTCCAGCGCACGGCATTTCGGCGCTTTGATTAGCCTGGCGGACGTTGCACCGGGTGCGAGAGAAAATCATCCTGCAGCGGCAGAGTTGGCGCTGGACTTGAGGGTCATGGAGGGCGGCATTCTCTGAAAAGCTCCCAAGCGCGCAAGGCACCACTAGCGTCAAGACCACCGCCATCCGTCCAAGCTAGACGCACCATGCAGCTGCTCGACTCGTTTATCTCGGCCTTCATGAACGCCCCGCAGGTGGACGGCCGCAACGCGCGCGTGCCCGTGGACCTCAGCGTCACCTCCAAGAAGGCCCGCGCCCGCGTGCACGCCAAGCAGAACAGCGGCGCGTACTGCGCCTCCGTGCCCCAGCTGCCCGTGACGACCTCGTGCTGGTAACCGCCGAGCGGCGAGCAGCGACCCAAGCAAGACAAGTGTGGCGAACTTCCTGCAGTAACTGTCGGCTTCCAAGGCCTAAAAGCTGCACCAAGACATCGCGGCACGGCTCGCTGACACCAGCAGCGCGCTGAACAGCGTCGCATGCGTTTATTTACCTCCAGCATGAGTCTACTGCATCCTAGACTTGATTTAAATCGTAATGGTATTGTAATTTTGCTATCAACTGGTGGGTTCGTGTTAGTGTAGACAAGTAAGGTTGGAATCGAGGATAACTGGATTTCATTGGTTTCGGTTGTGAATGGAGCGGTGCGCCCGACAGAATACACATCACGCTATGGGATCGGGCGTTTGGCAGCGCGCGTGAAAGGCAACTTCAAGTTGCCTTAGCTCAGATGCGAGGAGACGACAGGATCAATTGGCAAGGACAGGGTAGGTCGCCGCCGTAGCGACGCCGCAGAGGTTGTTCTTCTGCGAGATCTTCACGTAGCCGTCCTCGCCCCAGTGCGTGCTCCACGAGTTCTTGACCTGCATGTGCAATTGGAAGGAAACAAGCAAGGTCAATCGGCAGATCAATCGACCACTTGTCAACCACGGTCTTACCAGCGTGTACTTCTGTCCATTGTGTGTGGTCACACCCACCGCTAGAACCGAGTGGTCCAGGCTGTCCAGGTCGCTCTTGCAGTCAACGTCGTCGTAGTACCCACCGCCATAGAAGTAGAAGGACGGGAGCGTCGCATCAATCGACACGGACAGCGGGCCGATGGTGGCCAGCGCGTCGTTAAGAGCCTCCACGCTCGTGACGTTCACAAAGCCCGTCATGCGTCCGATGGCGTTGTTGGCGTTGAAGTGACAATAGTCGGGGGCGTTACGGTACGCCCCATACGTCGTGGTGGTCTCGAGTCCACCGTTGGCCATGATCCACTCGTACGCCTGGTAGTCCAGACCTCCATCGCAGGCGTTGTTGCCGTAGTCCCACCTACATTCGAGAAAATACACCTCTCAGTTACTTATCTCGCCGCCATCCGTGCAGATAATTCGGGAACGTACGAGCAGTCAAGAAGGTTCTGCTGGGACATATTGTATAGCTTCTTCTGTTGCGCGAACAACGCACCCTCCAGCGCCCCGGTCGTGCTGAGCGATAGGAAAACGAAGTGTTAGCAGGACAAATAGTGTCGAATAGCCAGGAACAGTATCATACCCGAACGTCCAGCACGATCCACAAGCACCTTGGTCCTTGACAGGGGTGACAGCTCCCTTTGTGCGCCAGTCCATATCTCCCGGGTCCTCGAAACTTGAAAGTTCGTGTACCGCCATAGCTCCGTTGTCCTTAGCACGTTTGACTCGCGACGGACGGTGTAGCTTCAAACGCTCATCATGCGTAAGATCGGCGAACCGGTTCACTTCGAGGTGATACGAGTGTCCCTTGCGGTTCTCCGCGTTGATAAAGCGGCGGTTGTGATGGAACGTCGCCATTCGATCAACAGCTTCAGCTTCGTCATTGTAAACCTTCACGTGTGCCGACGAGAAGTCGTCGAAAATCTCTTTCTTCCTGGTGGTGCCTTCGGGCATGAGCAAGTGGATCTATCATAGAAAAAAAAGCTCGTCAATATCGACACCAACTCGCAAGAGGCGAACAACCCAACGCGTAAAACTTACGTCCTCCTTCGGGTTGCGTGACGGACCACCATCATCCCCAGGCATCTCGGTGCAGTTCATCGAACCTGGCAGCGACGAGAACACGTTCTCGTCTACGGGTCCTTCGCGCACGTAGATGTAGTCCAGGAAGTACTCGTCGATGTGGCTGCCACCGAGCATCCCATTGCGTCCCACGTAGTGGAACCGCACGGGGCGTTCCGTCTTCTGGTCCACGTACAGCGTGTACTCGCCCAGCAATCCATCCTCCGTCGGCTCATGAAGCTTGGTCACGAACTTCCAGCTGAAACACGGACGTCCTTCCACCAGGAACACGCCGTGTTGAGGCTCAAAGAGCGTCATGTTGGGGAAAATGTGCTGCAGGGGCTCCGATCCAGACTTGAAGCACTTGCGCTCGCGAATGACCGGGATGATCTGGTAGCTGGCTCCACTGGTGTTGTAGATGTACACGTCGGTGCCGCCATAGTAGCTCAGCTTCTGCAGGCCTTTGACCTCGTCCACGTGAACGTACAGAGGTTCCACCATGTCGATGTACGGCATGTTGAAGGTGACGCTGGCCTCGTACTGCGTCGGGAAGATCGGGCGCTTGGTGGGGGCGAGGTGGTTGGCGTCCTCCACTGCGCGCAGGATGGCAAGCACGGCAATGAAGCTCAGGATGCCCGTGGTCAGAGCGATGATGGCGCACCAGATGCGGCGCGACTTGGTGCGCTGGCGGCGGAGCGCGGCGTTCTCATGGTGCTCCAGGCGGTGGTACTCGGCGTCAGAGGCTACCCACACACATGAGCAGCAACTTCAAGTCAGCAGGAGACCGGGATACAGAGGGGGGCGGCGTGCAAGGTATGGTTTGAAAGAGGAGATAGAGAGGATTCTTACCAGGCAGCAGACTCTCCGAGGCGCTGGCCTCCATGTCCTCCGTGGGGAGCGTCGTCTTGGACTTCTTCTTGCCCATGCTCTCGTCTTGGTCGGCTTTGGCTTCTTCCTCAACTGATGAAGATCGCTGGCTTCAATATTCCCTTTTCAGCCACTCGTTTTACAGGAGATACATTTTCTATGCTGTGATTGGATGAAAGTTTTGTATCGGTTTGACAAGCGACAGATCAACACCGTCGACCCCACCATGAACTCGTTGCGGAGTGTGCTGCGCCCCGCGCTCCAGCGCGCGACATCCGCTGCGCCTGCGACCAAGCTGAGCGTCAGGTCTATGAGCACGAAGACTTCGCGCTTCGACCGCACGGCGAAACTCGAGGACGAGAGCGTCCTGGAGCACCTGGTGTGCCCCATCTCCAAGTACCCGCTGCGCTACGACGCCGGTCGCGGCAGCCTCGTGTGCGACGAGATCAACGTCGAGTACCCGATCTGGCAGGGCGTCCCGATGCTGGTGCCCTCTGAAGGCCGCATCATCGGCCCAAGCAACGACGAGTAGAGCGAGATGGAGAGAGAGATGGCTACGAGACGAGCGAGAATATAGTGAATTGTTATCGGGAGGCCGCGGGTGTGGGTGGGTGGACGGTCGTTGTTTGTACAGGACGCTGAGATCTCTTGAAGCACGTTGATGGCGACGTTGCTGGCTGGAAATGGCGCTATATCTACTGGGTTGCCAGCTCCGGACGAGGCGGTCTGTCTACACACACGGCGGTCGTGCGGTGCTTATTCTCTCTACGCACCGCGGTTTAGTATTTGTGGCGGGCAGATCGCCGCGGGTTGCGACGCACGGGGGCGCTCGCGGGCTCCTTCCGCCTCCCCCTTGAGCGAGAGAGCGGCGTGCTAAACTCTTCGTCGATGCGTTCGAGCTCCATGCCCTCGAGCTCCTCTGTCGCCGGCGACATGGGCTGATCCGAGTCCGAGTGTGCTGCTACCTCGAGACGCGAGTCTGTCGCTGGCTCACGCACAAACTGATACCGCTTGGGAGTCGATAAGACGTCAGGCATGTCGGCGTCACGAGGAGGCGTCGTTGCCTGCTGCACAGTTCGGTTCTCTGGGACATCGCTGGCTGCTGCTTCGGATTCACGAGATCCGACCGGGGAACTCTCGTCCTCCATGCTATCCGTGTTGTGAGGCTTCAGCGAGAAGTCTACATACATGAGGTCAAGGTAATACAGCGTTAGTGTCAACACATCTATGCTTGCTGCAATTCAAGGGCGACTTCATCATCTCACCATCCGTTGAGCCTGCAGCTTTCGGAGCGGGCGGTGCCAAAGATGTGGAAGCAAAGGTAGGGTTGATCTTGGAGCGAACTGGGGGCGTACCAAGCGGACGACGATCTACAGATACGGATTGATGTGCTTCCGTTAGTATTAATGACGCGTATTAGCGTTGTCAAAAAGAACTCGAACCAGTGAATTAGTCTTTCTTACCGCCAAACGGGGAGACGAGAGGCTGCAGCGGAGTTGAAGGCGCGCTGGACGGCTTTACCGGCGACGAGCCAAAGTCCAGGGATTGGCGGGCGATTCCTCGCGAGACACTAGAAGGGGCCGTTTCGATGGGCTTCGGTCGAGTTAGAGCGTGGAGGGCGGAGTCTGGGCTCGAGTCGATTGAACCAATCGAGACATCGCCAGCGCTAGCCTTTCCCTTTCCTTTTGTTGGCGTCGGCGTCTTCTGGCCCGTCACGAATGGAGCAGGCGACTCAATTGACCGCGTCGTAACACTGGATCCCTGCCGTCCCGAAAAAATGCCGGGGGAGTAGTCGAACTCGCCTGTTTCCGCCATATCCTGGAAATGTGTCATGTGGTCCGTCTGCGCCGAAACAAACGCGCTTCCGACCGAGGTAACGTCTTTCTCCTCGGTATGGACATCAAGATCCGATCGCATCGGCTCTGCTGGTGCGGATATTGATGGCGCCAAAGGTTCGGAATCAGACACGTCTTCCATCTCTTCATTCTCCAGCAGTGCCGGCTTAGGAGGCTGTTGACGCTGTCGATCTCCCATCCGAATATAGGAGTTCCTACTCCTGTGCGAGTACGACTTCGCAGGAGGCTCAGCGCACATGTTCGCGAGCAGAGACGCCCGAATGCGCAGGCTTGGCTGATTCAGCGCAGCCATCGCGATTTCAGTGTCACCACGGGACATGGCTCGAATCATCGCTAGGTGTTCGTGGTGAACGTCCCAGGCCTGCTCATACTTGTTTCGGAGAATGTAATACATCACGAGGAAGTCTACCCTCTTAATGTTGTCATCCCGCAAGACATCTTCCTCCTCAATGACGTTACTCTCCATCATGTAGGTGTGGAAGAGTTTCTCCTCTGCAGGCAGAAGGGTCACGCCCTGAACCAGCTCCTTCAGACGATGACTCTTCATCAGCCAGTTGAAGAGGAGACCTAGCAGATCGGGGCGCTTTTGACTGCGGATGAGAGATAGCGCGCGCTCCCACAAGTCCAGCTCCAGTGAAATAACGACCACGAGTTCAGTCGCTGCGGGTGGTGACTGCTCGAGCTCCACTCCAAACGTGTTCCACACTTTCCACGCCACTAGACTTTCACCACGGTGAACCAGCGTCTCCAGCAAGTGCAGGATCAAGTCAGCCTCCAAATCGTACTTGTGGTGAAGATGCATCGCGCTCGACTGCTGCAGTAACGTGATGGCGCTTTCATAAATCGCAGCTACTTGGTCGTCACCTGATGTCTTCATCACCACAGCATTCTCCACCAGCCACAGCGCCAGCAACGTAAGCTTCATATCATCACGGACGTTCAGCTGTGCAGCAAGTGAATCTGCCAGCGAGCGCATTTTCTTCGCAATCCGTGCACCACTCTGCGCATGCTGTTTCCACACACTCAGGTACGCCCTGTCCAAACAGAAATACAGCAGTAGCGCCACCTGAACACGGAAGTATCCCTCAATGGGCTCACGATCGACCTCGTCGCCATAAAACTGGACGACGTCCTCCTGAATACTAGGCGTTCTCAAAAGCTCCAGCAATTGACCCAATTGTGTCGGCGGGCAGTTTCCTCCAAGATCCTCCAACGAAATGCTCGCGCTCTTCATCACGTGTTCAATCAAAAGCATCGGCTCCTTCAATCCACTCACAGACGACAACTTGTTGCCGTAAATCTCTTCGAACTGCTCGCGGTACGTAACGCGGAGCGATCTCGCCTGGCTGTAAAACGAGTTGTATATCTCTCCATCGACACTCACTTCGTTCTCGTGGAGCCACAGCATGCAGTTGCATGCACACGCCACACTTTGAGTACGCGCAAGCAACTGCAACAAATTCTGGATACCTGCAGTGGTAAGACGCATGAGCTCCGTCTCATTCAGCACGTTGCCATCGGCATCCACGCCGTTCGAGCTGTACGCGGCCTGTCGAGAGCCTTCTATCAACCGCTCCGTCAGTGCAATCAGGATCATGCGCAGCCCGTTGAGCTGCCGCAGCTCCTCCTCCACAGCCTCCGCCTTGGCCGTTCGCGGGGACTCGCGGCCGCTGTACTGCTGCTCGTTCACCATCTCGTTCACGTCCTGCTCAATGGCCTCCAGGCGACGACGCGCCCACTGCTGCACTGCGATCGGCTCCTTCAGCACGTAGTTTTTGACGCCAGCAAAGGCGCCTTCGGGCTGCAGCGACTGCGACTCCTCGGCGCGGATGTAGGCCACCACCAGGTGCGCCAGGCCGCTCTTAAGACACACGTCGAACAGCGCGCTACGCTGCACGAGGTGCTGCGCGCCAGGCTGACCCGCGTGCAGCGACGTGTCCACATTGGCGCGGCGGAAGACGCCCGACACGGAAAAGAACTCGAAGGTCTCGGCGGGCTCCACGAACGGCTGCCAGCCGAACTCAGCGAAGCGCTCGAACACCTGCACACACAGAGAGACAAGCAGAGTCGTTAGTACTGCGTATAGAGCGTGGAGGGCGGGCGTGGGCAGCGCTGCGGACCCACCGGCAGGAGCATCATTCTCTCCCCTCCAACGCGGCTTGTGCGCCAAGAGGCTCCCGCGCTTGAATGAGGCATACAAAGCGCAAGACGATTGGACAGCATACAAAGCTAAGATAATAAGAAGAACCTGTGGTAGGGGATGATGCCATGAAATGATTGCACTAAATGATATATGGTAGGCGCAAACTTCTACCCATTCGAGTTGCAGAGCAACATGGCGAGCTTCTTGCAGCGAGCATCACGACGCTCGCTACCTTACTGTGGCAAGCAATCGAGGCCGAATGCGGGCAATAAATAAGCGCAGATATTCTATTACTTTCCTATGGTAATAAATGACGAGGACGCAGCCATACTTGGCTCGCTGCTTAGCACAAGGTGTGTCGGTCCGTAAGGGCGTCCGCGTTGATTTCGTGGGCAACGTGATGGGCCGCACCGTCATCAAGACTGGCGCGGGTCGTGGGCTCCTCGCGGCACATGGGGCAGTGAATGTTACCCTGCAGCCACTCGAGCAGACACTCCTCGTGGAAGGCGTGCGTGCAAGGCAGCTTGACCACGTTCATGCCGGCGCACTCCTCGTCGTCCCACTCGCCGAGGCAGATACTGCAGCACTCGCTGGTGCTAACGCCCTCGACGCTCACGAGCAGGTTGCTATGTGAGTCCACGACCACGTCCTCGAGCGACAGCACGGCCAGCTTGAGCTTGGTCTCGCTCTCGATCTGCTTGTCCGGGTACTCGAGGAAGTCGCGCAGGATAGCGTAGAGTGCAACCAGCTGCTTGGCCTCAGCCGTCGGAGCAGACTCGGTCGTAGTCGCGGCGGCGACGTCAGCCGCCATGGGGATGCTGGAGATGACCTTGACCAGCGACTGCACGAAGGTCTCGAGCGCCGCCCTGCGCTCGGCGATGATCATGTTGTTATCGCAGCGGAAGTGGCGACGCGGGAAGGCGGCCTCGAGGGTCTTGTCCAGCGCGAGCAGCGGCGCCGGGGCCGGCGCGCCGCCGAGCTGCTGCTTGTACTGCTTGAGGAACTTGCGCAGCTGCTGACGCACGGCGTAGAACTCGGAGTAGCGCTTGGCGATGCTCCACTTGTTGCGCGTGCTGCGGAAGGAGATGTCCATGTGGTACATGGTGGCCGGCGCGGCAACGCCGCCGGCCAGCGCCACTTGGGTGCTGATGTTGAGCGAGTTCTTGGCGGTCTCGTACACGCGCTGCAGGCGCTGGGACTGGATGCTCGCGTCCGACATGTCGGCGGTGGTCGGTAGTCGGAGTTGAAGTTGCTTTGGCCTTAGGGCGGACAGATGGCTTGAGCGCTGGGCGGTGGGTTGCCGAATGAGCTCGCTGTCGCAGTGCGCGCAGCCTTGGGAGAAAGGATGTGCCGACGGGAGGCAAGCTTTCCTTGTGGCTCGGGGCGGACTTGCTGGAGGCAGCCTCTATGCACGCGTTGGATGGGTGGCGTAATGGGCCCCGTAAACGTCGCAGTAAAGTATATCGCCTGACAGCACTGAGCAGGCGCTGCCTGCTGCTGTTTCGGAACTGAAGACGAGCTAGCTCGCTTGCAGGATCGCCTTGCAGGCTGCAATGCAGCCGCAGCGTATCAATAGCTCTAACCAGATGTGCGTATCGTATTTTGGGCCGAGTTCTGGTCGCCGCCGCCGGCTTCCAGCAACGCGCTGCGGCTCGGTCATCAGTTCTGGAAGGCGGGTGGTGCTGCCCACTGCGATACTCTGACAGCCCCCACCATATCGCAGCAGCCCGGCAGTGCTGAAAGCCACGAAAGCCATGAAGACCATCACCTCCGGCCTGGGTTCTATTTCGCCCGACGTCTCTCCCCCGAAGAGCTGGGCTTGCCAGAGCAGACCAATAAAAGGCAACAACTCGCTCGCGGCAGCAAGTGGCAAGGAGCAGCGGCAACAAGTACAGCGCGCGAAACGGCCAAAGAGTCGACCAGCACGATCTAGAACGGCGCGAAGCGTATATCGCTTCAGCTTGCCTCTTGTAGCGGCCCGAGTTGCAAAGCTTCAGGATCGCGCCGTAAACCCTGTAGCCACTTCGCGCGCGGTGGATACACACTGTACAGTAATCTGCCCGAGTAAGGAACGCCTGATATATAAAGACGCAGAATATATAAATTGATGTTAAGTTGAGTATACTTTTCCAATGTCTGATTTAGTTAATTCAAAATGAACTGAGCTTTACCAACGAGTACGGAATGATTCCAACAGTGGCGTATGGTCGAAGCACCAACCTTTGACCAGGCATCCTCGCACCACAACAGCGCTGTCAACTGGTCGACCTCGTAGGGATTATCTAGCCCTTCACCAAGCCGGTCTAGAGCCTGCATCATCTTGCGGGATAGAATGTGTCGCTTAATGCAATGAATGATTCCTTGGTCCTTCTCCAGCGGCCGCCCCAGCAGGACTGCACTTGACTTGATTATGCGGCATATCGTTGTCTTGCCTGGGGCGGCCGGGAGGCTGAACTCCGTCATAGCCCACTCAGCCAGGCCCCTGTAGGAGAGAGCAGGTGTGCGGGCTGCCTTGTCGAGGATGCCCACTTTCTCAGACCAAGTGAGACGGAGACGCTTGGACGGTGTGGACTTCATGGGTGGAGTGGGGGAGGAGGTGGGCTTGTGGGGCGAGGTGCAAAAGCAAAAGTGCGAGTCTACCACTACGGTACATGTAGTTTGAAGTCTAGTAAGATCGCTAAATGCGCGCCATTTTTCAAACGAGGGTGGAGAGCTGATGATTGGCACTGGATTTTTCACCTTAGTACCTCAGTACCTTGCACATCCCCCTATCGCCACATCGACTGGAAAATAATATTAAATATGTGAGGCTATTAGTTGTACACCCGTTCCTTATTCGGGCAGAATTCTGTAGTGGATACTGTCGCCGCCTTGCGGGGCTGAGCTGTCAGCGGGGCGGGGCTTTCATTGCCTCGTAATGGCCATGCGCTGCCTGGTTTGCATTTGAGCTGATGTCTTGGTTCCGCCCATCAACGCTTCAACTCCAAACGTCTCTGGCAGATCTCAACCGCACGGTATCCGTTCAACGATGTCGTACTTTATGTTTACCACACATCACCCCACCTTCGCGCGACACGCAATATGCTACGCGTCTCAATTGGGATTGCCACGATACAACGAGAGCGGAAGCACCATGAACAAGTACGTGTCGCCTCTCGCCGATGCTTGGGCGAGCGGAGTGCAGCGCTAAGAGGGTAGATCGCGTCGCTAATGTGTTGCTGTGTGCGTCTGTTGCGTGTGCGTCTTACAGCGACGAGATGGATGCGGCGCTGATGGTGTTTGTGAACTGCCTGGGGGCGGTCATCATGGTATCCGTGGTAGGCTTCCACTACCTCACGGCCAAGCCCAAGGATGCCGAGCTGTAAGGCGGATAAGACGAAGACGATGCAGGTGTGTGCAGTGTGCGTGATGCTTCTGCTGTTGTTGTGTGGGGTTGCAGTGCCAAACTCGGACGGAGACTAACAACTCGAGGACGTGTGTTGATTTAGTTGCGCCACTCTCGCTGGAAATTCGCAAGGCACGAGTTCAATAAGCACGTTACTACGTGCTGGAGGCGTTAAGTTGATGGATTGCAGGGCACGCTTTTTCAAGGAGACACGGGAACACTTCACTGCGTGCTCCACAGCTCGGCGTGACTTGAGGCTGCAACAGCTCGTCGACGGCTTTTCATGTATTAACGTTGAAAGATCTTTCTCCTAGACAACTGCCTCCTCTCTCTTATCATCTTACTTTACCCTGCGCACTCAGTGCTGCAGCTTGCAGTGAAGACAACCTCAACCAGATTGTCTTCGCTGTTCTGCCCTGCATCATCGAAAATGTTTTGATGATGTACGCAATTTTTTGGCGGTATAGTAAAATCCAGTCATCGCGCAGTTTTAGCGTGACTTCAATGCCTTGACACCAAAGAGACCTTCATCCCCAATTCCGCAGCAGTCGTCAATATCATGAGTTCCGGGCGCATCCGAGTGCTGTGCGAGCGCATCATGAGCCGCGGCTACGAGCCGCGCGTGGCGCGCCTCATGGAGAACGTCAAGTCCACGGTACGCGCGCAGCCGGGCTTCCTCTCCATCGAGACGTACGCGCAGGTGGACGACCACACCAAATACGTCGTCTTCTCCGAGGTAACAACTGTTCATACTCCGCCGCCTTCGACGGGGTTCTCTTTGGTCTAATGTGTTTGTGCATGTTGCAGTGGGAGTCCAAGAAGGACTTCGACACGTGGCTGGCCAGCAAGGAGTTCCAGGAGTGCACGCAGCAGATCAACGAGCTGCTGGACGTCCCCGGACTGCACATGCGCATCTTCAAGACCCCCAAGGACGACGTGTTCCTCCTCTGAGCAGTCAACTTCTGTACCAAGGGGTCTGCAAGCATCCTTGCATCATTCTACCAAGTTGTCTATTCAGAGCACTAGAAGAGCATTTTCAATGCAGTCTACATTGCACGTATGCTTGAATTTGTGTCACATTTGTTCACTGTTGGTTCATGGTCTTCGTGTTGCCTCTCTCTGCAGCGGCCACATTGAATACGTCTAGAGGCTCGCTGTTTTGGCCGAAACACACGCTCGCGAAAGCCCTGCAGCAGTCAAAATCGAGGGCCGAAGCCACTGTACATCCTTCGTTCACTTGGGCTGCGTTCTGACGACGGTACTTTCCATCTAGGAAGACTTGTCCCCGTCCGTCTTGCAGCTCTTAATAAAACTCTTTATCCGATCCACAGTCTCGCGCACCGACTTGGTGAACGAGTGGGGCTTGCTGTCCGGGTCTTCACCCTTCTCCGCGCGCTCGGTCTCCTCCTTCAAGAATTCCTCCATGAGTTCCTCCTGGCGAGCCGACAGGTTCCTGCGTTTAGCACAACATCAAGACGGTTAAAGTTAGAACGGTGAATGCCGCCAAGCTATTACTCCATCGCAGAATAGCAGATACGTACTTGGGGATGCAAACCTGCAGGTTCACGAGCTGCGAGCCGCGGCGGTTCGAGTTGAGCTCCTTGATACCCTTGCCGCGCATCTGCAGCACCGTATCGGGCTGTGTTCCGCGCGGGATCTTCATCTCCACTTCGCCCGTCAACGTGGGCACCACAACCGTGCCTCCCAGTACCGCCTGCGCAACCGAAATGGGGACATCCACCAGCACATCCGTCTTGCGCCGCTTGAAGAACGGGTCCGGCAGCACGTGGATGCCCACATAGAGGTGTCCCGACGGTCCGCCGCGCTGGCCAGGCTCGCCCTGGTGCGCCAAGCGCAGGTTCATGCCCTGGTCCACACCCTCGGGGATCTTCACCTCGACTGTGCGCGGCTTCTTGACCGTGCCTTTGCCGCGGCACTTGCCACACGGAGACTCAATGATAGATCCTTCGCCCTGGCAACGACGGCACGGCGTCTCCACCGCGAAGAAGCCCTGCTGCATGATCTGCACGCCGGAACCGTTGCACGTGGGGCACGTTTTCTTCCTGGTGCCAGGCTTGGCGCCCGATCCGTCGCACGAGTCACATTCGACATTGGCCGTGATGTTCAAGTCGCGCGTCGTGCCCTTCACCGCCTCCATGAAGTTGAGCGTGATGTCCACCTGGATGTCTGCACCGCGCTGCGGTTGGTTGGCGCTGCGGCGCGAGCGTCCGCCGAAGCCCTGACCGCCGAAGAACTCTCCGAAAATGTCCTCGAAGCCCTGACCGTGGAAGCCGCCACCGCCGCCACCAAAGCCCGCCTGCTCGTCCACGCCGGCGTGGCCATAAGCGTCGTACTTCTGGCGCTTGTCGTCATCGCCCAGGATCTCCCAGGCCTCGGTGGCCTCCGCGAACTTCTTGGCCGCGTCCGGGTCCGCCTTATTCGTGTCCGGGTGGTACTTCTTGGCCAGCTGGTAGTACTTCTTCTTGATGTCGTTCTTGCTCGCGTCGCGCGAGACGCCCAGCACGTCGTAGAAGTCGCGCTTCGTGGGCTCCATCGCGGCGCGCGTGCTGTGGAACGGCGCGCAGTGCTCCAGCAGCAGCGAAGACGCTCCAAGCGACAGCGTCGTTGGCCGCCGCGCCTGCGCACCCGCCGCGCGCACCGCCGCCGAGCGCAGCACCGATCGCATGGCCATGGCTACGTAGTGACTCAGCAAGTTGGGGAATGGGCCCGATCGTGTGGCGTCCTACGCCCGTCAGCTTCTAGAATCCGACCACCATTTTCAGCCAATGGATGTTGTTAAAGAGAGGTGATTGGTGGAAATCATAAAATCTGCGACGTGTGAGAACCGTTACATGGAGCTTGAAACGACGTTGAACAGATTGAAGTGACCTTGCCGCAGTAGGGAAGACAGCATGGCGGATGCAGAGCAGCAAGGGCCTGCGGGGGCTGGCGTGGATACAGGAGGGAAGGATGTATATGATCCCGAGCTGGACGACGGCCAGCAGAGCGAAGGTGACGACCAGGTGGGCGCCTTGAGCCCTCAAGAAGAAGAAGATGACGGCAGCGACGAGGACGACGACAGCGACAGCGATGAGGACGAGGACGAGGACGAAGACCTGACGCAGACGATCGTGGACATGGGGCGTCATGAGCGCATGCAGCGCATCCAGAAGGTTCTGTACGAGCAGCTCGTGGGCAACGACGAGCGCGTATCGCTCGAGCTGCGTGAGAAGGAGGAGGAGCTGCGTCGCGCCAAAGCTGCGCGAGAAGATGTCGGTGTTGCGTTGTATGGAGTGCAACAACAACTTGCACAGCTACAGGTGGCGCTCGAGGGCGCGCACCGCCGTCTTACGACCCTGCATGACGAACGGTTCTCGAGTGAGGATAAGCTGGACGAGTGGAAAGCGAGCGCGGAGGAGAAGAAGCTAGCGGTGGAACGCCGTCGAGCGCATCTGTACAAAACGCAAGCCGAGTTGGACTCGTTGAATGCAACGCTGCGTCAAGTGGAGAAGTACAACGAAGAGATGAAGCACGAAATTGCTCGCACCCAGCGCGCCGCAGAGAAGGCGGAGGAATCGATGACAGTAGCGGAGAAGGACAAGGTGAAGCAGGATCTGTACATCGATCGCTTGAACGAACAGGTGAAGACACTACAGGAGCAGTTAGCTGCCAATGCAGCCCAGCTCAAAACACAGCGGATGGAGACTCAAGCTGCTGAGGAGACGCTGCGTGAAGCTGCAGCACAGATGGAGGCTGTTGCCTTCGAGAAGAAGCAGCTACTACAGCAGTGGAAGAGCGCACTCATTGGCATGCAGCAGCGCGATACAGCTCTACAGGCCACTCAAGCGGCCATCTCCAAAGTGGGCGAGGACGAACTCGCGCTAAGTGCCGAGTTGCGCGGCTACAAAATATCGATCGAGAAGGCCCAGCAAGCTCATGAAACTCTGATCGCCACCATTGAGCGCTTCAATGCGGAATTGCGTTTTGTGGAGGAGCAAACCGAAAACCTGCGAGCTGAGCATGAACGACTTGCAGCTCGTCACGAACTACTAGCCAAATCACTAAAGCAGACGGAAGCGCAGGTCTCCTCTGCTGCAGCTGAGGGCAAGAAGTTGGAGTCGGAAGCTGCTCAAGTGGCTCAGCACTTGGAGACGACGCAGCGCGAACGGCACTTGCTCGAAGATGAAATCGCGGCGGAGAAGAACGATCAGACTACAGTGCACAAGGCGGCGCACAACCTCACCAAGGAAACCCAACGGCTTGTCACGCGTGTGCACGAGAAAGAGGTGGAGTTGGCCAACCTGCAGAATGAGATGGCTCGGGTGGGTGTTGACGCGCTCAACGTCCAAAACCACACCGCGCAGCTTGCAGAAGCTCAGCGAGCCCTTGTCGAGGAGCTGAAGCGTGACGACCAGCGCGTGGAGCGTGCCGAGCTGGAGATTCGACAGCGTAATGATGAAATCGAGAAGAAGATGCTACGTCTGGATCGCCTCAACAAGAAGTACGAGCAGCTTGTGAGTAAAATGGAGGATGCAGACACCGGTCCGCTCGAGGCGACAATCAAGAACCTCGTGCGTGAAACCAAGATAGACAGAGAAGAGAACGTGTCGAAGCAGAAGCAGTGGCTCAGCACCCAGACTGCTCTCGTGCACGCAGCCAGCGAGGCTCAGGAGCTGAGTGAACGCAACCAAGAACGTAAAAGTAAGACGAGTGTCTTGGAGCAAAAACAACTTCGACTGCAACATGAACTGCAAGAAATGCAGCGCGAGCTTCGAGAACTCTCGAATGGTATCGCGTCACTGCACGCCGACACAGGGCGACTGAACGAGCTCATTTCTCGACAAGGTTCACGCCACGATGAGTTGTTGAACAGTAATCACTCGCTGGAGCTTGGGTTTGCCAGTGAACTGCGAGAACTTGAGGCGACGTCCGTGGCGATGGAAGCTCGAGCTGCTACGTTGCGTCAGGAGAAGCAAGAACTGCTTGACCGCGTCGTGGAGGTAGAGCGACAGCTCATGCTCTGGGAGAAGAAGATTCAGCTCGAGAAGGAGACTCAGGCTGCTCTAGACCCTGAAGTTGGCCAGGCAGAGGCACGCAGTATGGAAAAGGAGATCCATCGCATGCGTCTGCGGCTGGAAGCGCTGCAACGTAGCCAAGAGCAAATGCTGCAGGACATGGAGCAAGCTGTTCACAAACGCGACCTCATCGCACTCCGTGGTCGAAGCAAGAAGGAACAGGAGGCTGAGCTCACCTTTGCAGCCCTAACAGCAAAAGTGTCCACGTTACAGAATCAGCTCCGCAAAAGTGAGCGAGATGCAGCTCGTCTTGACAAGAGCATTCGCGCAAAACTCGTGGCTGGTGAGGACGTCTCCTTTCAGCTTGAAAAGGCTTCGGCTGAGCTCAAGGTGGACGAAGAGCGAGGGTTGTCACTTCAGCGAGCGATTAACGCCTCCCTCTACGACAAACAGCGATACATCGACGCAGCAGCTCGCAAGCTGCGCATGATCAAGCGGTTCGACTCACTTTGCCGCGGAGTGACCAACGGTCCAGCGAATGAAGCCCAGGCGACCGAAGCTCTGGAGAAGGCGAGAGAAGGCATCGAAAAGGTTCGAGCCATCGTTGCAATGCTTCAAAAGCAGAACCCCCACTTGGCTGAGGTTCTTCCTCGCGTGCTGTTGCTTGCTGAAGACCCACCGCCGATGGACAAATAGCAGTTGATAGCTTGCAGGTGCTTCCTAGTTAAATATGTGCATTTCCGTCTACAAAATCCTCATGCCTTTCGTCTCTCTCGAAGTGATTCCAGGAATCTTGCCAGCTTGAGCGAAACATCTTCTAGGTGAGGGATCCCGCTGGTACTTAACGCTGTCATGAAACGCGGTACTCTTAGATACATGCTGCTCACATAACACGCCGTGTCAGTATATTTCCTATGAGAAGTGATGAAACACGGGGATACGTACTCTATGTAGTCCTTTCGAGTCCGTAGAAGCTGCCCGAGCACTTGATCGCTGCCCACAGCAACGTCGCTCTTCACCAAAAGCTCTAATACAGTCACGCTGCGCCAGAGTGAAAGCATTTGGAGCGGTTCCAAAGCTTCACTGCCATCGGACTCGTCTTCTTCTTCATCAGTCTCGCCCTCTTCATCTACTTCGCCATCATCACTTTCCTCTGTTTCGCGGTTCTCGACAGCGATCGCCGCGCGCGATACTGCAATACAGACTCGTTTGAAGAGCTTGGATATCCACAGACTCAGCGCCGGTGCTCGAAGCGCATGCTGCATTACAGACGTGGACCGCTCAACCAACAAGCCCCGCATCTGCTGATGCTGGTGCAAGCGAAAATCTTCGCACTGCTGCATCGCATCAAGCGACAGGAGCAACGCGGCTTCGGCATCCATAAGGTCCTCTCGAAGAACGCGCATGTGCATATCAATTGACCCACCATCGCTTCTGACACCAACGCTAAAGCTCTCGGCTCCGCGAGCGAGAAGGTTTCCCGCAAGCTCGTTCAGACAGAGTCTACCCAGGCAGCTTGTTTGAAGTTGCATATCAAAGCACATCGCATCCAACACCCGTACGACACTCAGTATGAACTCGACTCGTGTTTCATCGCCATTACCCGGACGCAGAGGGTGAGAAAGCTGACGGACCAAGAACGCTGCTAGGCCTGTAGATCCCTGCACTTGTGTGCGGTCTTCGAAGAAGAATTGCTTCAAGTCGACGGAGGAATACGCGGCAGCAGTAAGCTCATCGAGCAGGTGGATCCGTTCAATATCGTCACGAGCACGGACTAAATCCAACGCTAGCATCTCTAGCAACCGTGACAATTCGAGACGATGCTCTGCCCGGGCTGGAAGATTGTCGTCAATTTGTAGCTGCGGGATCAACTGCTTCTAAGAATCCGAAGCACACAGCAAGTTAGATATCTGACCCCTTTGTTAGCTTAATCCTTCGTGTAAGCGTGAACAAACCTGAAAATCGATGCGTACTGCCCGTGATAGTTGAAAGAAGAGCTGCGTTTGCGGCTCGAAAGTCGCAAAGAACAACTCTGACGCCATCTTTTTGGATGTCACCTCACGCAGTTGCAGTCGAAAGAGCTGACTCGTAGGTAGGAGGAGAAGTCCGCGCTGCTTCTTGTTTTCAGGCACCACCCGATCCACCGAGGAGATATTCCGTAATGGTAAGAGCATATCCGCGGCTGATTCGCCTCGACCCATCAACGGAACGATGAACAGGGTGTCACTGCTCAGGGCAAACAACTGGAACTGCATGGGAGCTGTGCTCACAACTGCAGCTTCATGGTAGCGCAGCTTCTCAAACTTTTGAGCTCCGAGCCTGGCCCGTAGTCGCTCTGGATCCAGATGCCTTGGTCGGCATAATGTTGGCGACAACTGCATTGGGGATGGTTCAACCAGTTCAACTTGACGTGACTTCAACTTGATGGGATGCGCGCTCCAAGGATATGAAAAGCAAATGACTAGCAAGGCCCTGGACTCTCGCGAGGCTCGCTGTTCTGGTCTATTGAGAGTATTAATACATCCACGGATCCGATCATTCGTCCTCAGTCTCTACGTCGTCGTCCTCGTCTTCGTCTTCCTCCTCCTCCTCGTGGCTGCTACTGTCGGCCGCCTCTTCGCGCACCTCCTCCTCGCCTTCGTGGTAGACAACAGCGGCCTGGGTCTCGTCATCCTCCTGGTCGTTGTTAGCGGCCGTGTTGACGTGGATCTGGCCCAGCACGAGGGTCAGGCGGCCGGCGAGCTTCTGCATCTGCTCGTGCACCTGCAACCTTGTCTCCAGGAGCTGGTACAGAGCCGACAGACTGGGCACGAGGTCAGGCTGTGCCACCAGGTACGCCGTGTGGTGCAGCAGGACAGCGCGCAGCCACGGGCACAGACGCGCAAAACGGTTAGGCGAGCGCTCAAGCTTGCGGACGATCACCTCCAGCAGGCCCAGCACACGGGAGGCTGACACGCGAGCCACAGTACGAACCACAGTCTTAGCGTCGCGCGTACGCAGGCAGTACTCGAGAAGAGCGTTGTCGCGCGCCTGCAGAGCCTGCTCCAGCACACTGGCCAGCGACGACGCATCAGGCTTGCCGCTGCGAGCCTTGTCCTCAGGCGTCTCAGCCTCGCGCTCGGCGCGGTTAAGAGCGGCGGTCACGTCACTCTCCACACGCTCACGCAGAGCCTCCACACGCTCTGCCAAGGTGAGCTCGTTCTCCTCCTCGTCCGCCTCTCCGTCCAGCTCCTCGAAGCTGGTAGTTTCATCCACGACTGTCATGGAGTTCGCCAGCGCGCGACGCTCAGTCAGCGTCGGCACGTGCGTCTTTTCATCTTCGGCAGTGGCATCCTCCACCTTCTGTCGCTTGCTGCCGTTCTTGGTAGCAGCCTCGGCACGCTCCGCCTTGAGCAGCAGAGCGTCACTGATCTCCGCAAACTCAAGCTCGGTCTTCCACTGACCAGGAGCGTTCTCCTCCATAGGGGACACCTTCTCGAACACGGGCTTCACCAGCGAGCCGCGAGCCACCAGCACCTCGGTCTTCTGGTCCTCCTGTGTGCTAAGCTCGGCGAGTAGAATGCCGGCGCTAGCCTCAGTCGACAGCGTGGGCGAGAGCGGCTTAGACGCCAGCGCCAGCTCCGACGCATCCTTCATCTGCTGGTACTTGTGCGTCCAGAGGAACATAGCGCCCGCAGACGCCGTGGCGCCGACCAGCAGGTCCACAACGGGTTTGGCCTCCTCTGCGTTCTCCTTCTTGTTCTTCTTGCTCTTCTTGCTCTTCTTCTTGGCCACCACCTCGCCCACCGAGGCGCGCGCGAACAGGCCGTCCGCGCTGCTGGGCAGGCTGAAGGTGAGCGCGGGCGCGTCGTGCTCCGCGAGCTGCAGGTCGTACATGTTGACAAAGCGCGCGCCGGCCGTGGCCGCGAACAGGAAACGCGAGGCCTCAATACCGTCCTCCACCGCGGCGAAACGCAGCTGCGTCACCGCCGACGAGAGGCCCGAGACCAGCTTCCTGCTCTTCTTGCCCGAGGCCAGGTCGAACGTGCGCAGCGCCGAGCCGCCGGCCGCCAGGATCTCGCCGTCCGCCGACACGGCGAGCGCCGACGCACCGCCCGAGCCCACGCGGAACTTACGCTCCACGCTGCCGCTGCTCACGCTCCACTCCAGCACGTGCTTGTCGCTCGAGCTCGAGTACAGCAGGCTGCCCTGCGGGTTGAAGGCCAGCGCCTGCACGGCGCCGCTGCTGGCGTCCGCCTGCAGCGTGTGCTTCACCTCTCCGGTGGCCAGGTCCCAGACCACGACCGAGCCATTGCTGGTGCCGAGCGCCAGCAGTCCCAGGTCGCTGGCGCCGCTGCGCTTCTTGCTCTTCTTGCTGCTGCTGGTGGAGGCATTGGCCTGCGTCCAGGCCAGGCACGTGTAACGGTAGCTGAGGTGGTCGCGCTCCTTGAGCTCCTGCTGCAGCGCGCCGCCGGCCACGTCCCAGAGCTTGAGGCGGCCGTCCTCGGACACGGCCGCGAAGTGCGTCTGCGAGTCGGCGAAGAGCTGCATGGCCACGGGAAGTCGGCAAATGGGAATTGGCTGGCGCTCGGGCGATGGTACTACTGGAGCAGAGCAGCCCGTCATACAAAGGTTGCGCGAAGGTCGCGCGAAGCAGTTAGACTTCTAGGATTTAGATTTTAGAATAGTTGATTTGGAACAAACATGCGACGTGTGACGAGATGGATACATTGTAGTTGTTACCGGGAGGGAGGCAGGCGCTGCGGGATGGCGTAGGGCGAGATCTTGGGCGGCGAGCCTTTCGTGGGCGAGGCAGCTCGTAGTTCGTCGTTGTCGCATTTCGTTGAAGTGGCGGGGCGTGAAGCGAGCAGCCTGGGGGATACTGCAGGTTTTGGGAAGGTTGGGGAGCGTCTTGAATGGCGCAAAAACTCCTCACTTACGCTGGTGCCGCCTGCCGGTGGGCCTCCATGCGGCCACGTTCTGCCTCGAGAGGTGCGGGTTGTTACGGGTGTTGGGTTTGAGGGGGCTGCTTTAGGAGGAGACAGCTCGGTGGCGTCGTAAGGTAGCAGCTTAGTGCGGTAGCCCCCGCCGACGCGCTTGATGGACATCGGTCGTCGCGGCCGTCGTCCTGGAGTGGGTTTAGGCGGTGGTGGCTGCGGGAGTATCTTTGGGGGAGACGTTGGCGGTTCTAACGGTATAATGCTAGAAGACGACGTAGAATTGGTCGGTAGCGCGCTCTCGCTGTCCTCTTCGTCGGAGAAGAGGATATCCAAGCTGATCCCTCTGCTTAGTGCCTCAACGATGATCTTCTCCTCCGACGTAAGCTCTTCGGCTGAAGCTGGCCGCTTTCGTGGCTTTGGGAGAGTCACTTCTTCGTGCTCGTCATCAACCTCTTCAGCTTCGGTACACGCAGCCAATGCAGCTCGTGTTCGGGCCCTTTGCAGGTGCTTTCGTGCCTGTCGCTGGAGTACCGCGGCAGCTGAATGCATCTCAAGCTCTCGACGAGCTTCTTCTTCTCTGGCTCGACGTTCACGCTCACGCAGCAATTGCTGCCGACACACATACGTCTTCAGCGCTCGCTGCAGCATCGATGCAGCGTCATTCGTTTTCCGCACGTTCTTGAGTACTCGCGTGACTTGTCGTGCTAGAGCCCCTCGCATCACCCTTTGCACCGCGACCGCAGCGGCATCCTCCCGTGCTCGTTCATCTGCTCGCTTCGCTGCCTGGTGCATCTGCCACATCCGACGCTGACGAGCTGCTTCGCGCTGAACACGCCGCTGTTTCCGCTTGGCCTCGTCTTCCAGCAGATATTGTTCCCGAGCTCGCAGCTTTTCCAGTTTATCCTCCAGCAGTCGAGCTCGTTGAGCCGTGCGCTCCACGACGCGCGAATAATTCTCCAGCGACCCATTTTCATACATCATTCCGTGAAACTGCGACGTGAACTTGACACTGCGCGGATGGGAGAACAAGTTCATGGCTCGATGCGCGTCAATCTGGACGCCCACATTTCCAGGTCGTGCTGTGAGTAGCAACGGCAGCTTCAGCCCCGATGCGGAGGCAGTGGCTGACGACAGCGGCCCCGACAAGCTCGCTGCTCGAACTTCGTCTTGGTTTGCCATGAGCCTAGCTACCATGTAGCCGTAGCGAACTTACTCGCACGCGAGCTCAAGCCGAGCCGAGCGTAGCGAGTCAAATGCAGAGCATGATGCACCGGAGCTGTATTTTTGAAAGCGTCCTCGCTCCACTAATTATACATGACGCACTGCTTGCTCCGGGTAAGTCTATCTTGTTCATGCGTGTCCAAGGCTTCACTGAGAAGTCCCTGCCACTCTATTGATGTCTTGGTTCGGTTCCTCTCCAGCGTCACTGTCGTCTTCATCGCTCGAGCTTTCTTCCTCGCTTGAGGACTCCTCCTCACTGGACGATTCGGAGTCCGAACTGGATGATGAAGATGCCGCCTCGTCGTGCTCGCTATTGCCAGCCTCGAACAGACTGCGTTCGAGCTCGTCCAACGCCCAACCCGTTTCATCCTTCTTGAATGCAGCTATGTGGTCATCCAGCTCCGCACTGACACGCTGGAGGCGCTCATCGTTGACGGATTGAATCCACACGCAATAGTCCTGGATATAGAGCGAGTTGAGCAGGTACTGGGTCTCGGACTTCTCCACGATCCGGTAGAGAGCAAGAAGAGCTCGCAGCACGACGCGCTTGCCGCGCTTCAGGATCTCGCTGGCTTCACGCACGCAACGCATGGCCAGAGCGTACTGCCGCAGGAACGGGAATGTGATCATGCGGCGCACAGTCGAACGCACAACGGCTCGCAAATCCGCGTTCGAATCAAGCCACGACAGTGTTGGGCTCACGATGCCCACCGTCCAGGTAGACTCGACTCCACTGTCACCCTGGGTAGTGAGCTGCTCGTACGCAAAGCCAATGAGGATATCCACCAGACCACCAATCACTAGCTTTTCCTCGGGACTTCCTTCCGGAAGCAAAAACTCCTTTCGCGGCAGTCGGAGCAGCAGTTCTTGCTCCGAATCCGTGAATGTAGTCGCTGACTCCGACGCTGATGGAGTAGGGGGCGGCTGAGATGATGACGATGAAGAAGAAGTAGAAGCTTCGAGCGACACGCTGCTGAGACTGTCTCCAACACGGTCAACGTCCGAATCAACTTCGACGATGAGAGGCTTCGTCACCTTCACCTCGGTGATTTTCTTTGGAGCAGTCACAGCAGGTTGCGGGAGGACGGGGTACTTCCTCCAGAACGGCTCGTACGCCATAGTCAGCTCGAAGTACATGTCATCGCCCTGATTCGCGAAGTCCATTAGATACCGCTCGATGTCGAATTGCGCCTCCTCCGCAGCCTCGCGCAGAGTACGACGCTGCTCCGGTTGCATGTGCTCCGGGTCGGGTAGAGACAAGATTTCGCTCACTTCGCCGTGCCACACGCGGAAAAAGTCACTGTACGCGTTGTTGAATCCGTACGAAGGCGCCAGCTCCGTGATGCGCACGCCAACCGGCTCTGCGTCATCCTTGCCTGTGCCAAGCTTAATTGCCTTGGGACTTTGCTGCTTGGAAGCCGAGGTCTCCAGTCCGAGAAGCGACGAGTCCGTCTCCACCTTCAGCTCCGCAGCAGCCGCTTCCCCATTGTCACTACTAGGAACCGGTTTGCCGTCGATCAACGCATTCAACCTGTCCGACTCCTCCTGGAAGGTCCCAATCGGTCCAGGGCCCGACGACTCCAACACTTCGATCAGTGGCGCTTTCCTGTCGATAAAAGACCATCACGTCAAATTCCATACACAACCACCACTACCGCCATCATCATTGCAAATCTCACCGTTGAGTTTTCGCCTTGACATCCACCGGCGGCCGCTGTGACTGCAGCAGCTTGGTGAGCATGTCGAGGTCCGGGAAGTGCTGGCCAGCCTCCTTCTTGGGCAGATGCACCACAATCATGCCGTTGTCCTGCAAGAATCAAAGCACAGCTAGTGAGAACCTATTGCGAACCAATTGCAGCAGCCACAGCTGCAGCTTTTGCGCACCTTGTTCGGGTCGTACACGGCCTTGGCCAGCTCGTCGTCCACCACCTCGTGCGGGAAGTGCAGCTTGAGCAGGTACGGCTTGCAGTAGAAGGTGAAGTCCAGGCCGTCCACGTAGAACTCCATCTCGGACACGCGCACGAACGGCACGTGCACGTGCACGAAGACCCACGCGGCGTCCTGCGTCACGTGGAACCTGGGCGTCGCCACCATCCTCTTGCAGCTAGCTACCTATGTACTTGCACCTTGTGACCAAATTCCGAGATGGCTACAGTGCCAGTGGCCATCGGGATCATTGGTGTACGATGTACACCAAACTACGTACACACACCAGATTACGAATTTTGGATCTCCTTTCACAAAGGGAGAGGAAAGGGGATTTTCTCCTCGTTATTACACCGAAGATCATGACGGCGGACGTGGCCATGGCGTCGGCGGACGAGAGCGCGGGGCTCACGAGCTACTACGAGCAGAAGATTGAGCACCTGGAGCTGACGGTGCGCGACGAGACGCAGAACCTGCGGCGTCTGCAGGCGCAGCGCAACGAGCTCAACTCGAAGGGTAAGATAGATAGATATCTTCTTCTCCTCCTCTTCTTCTCTTTCTTTATCTTTTTGTATAAAGTTATAGGTTTCTTATTTCTCTCCTTTTTTGTATCAACTATGAAGTCCGTCTGCTGCGCGAGGAGCTGCAGCTGCTGCAGGAGCCCGGCTCGTACGTGGGCGAGGTGGTGAAGCAGATGGGCAAGTCCAAGGTGCTGGTCAAGGTGAACCCCGAGGGCAAGTACGTGGTGGACGTGGACAAGACCATCGACATCGCCAAGTGCACGCCCAACACGCGCGTGGCGTTGCGCAACGACAGCTACGTGCTGCACAAGATCCTGCCCACCAAGGTGCGTCCGTCACCTTGAAGACATATCAACTATGAGAAACCGAGGATCGCTAAACTTTATATGGGTCTCTATTGATGCAGGTGGACCCGCTTGTGAGCCTCATGAAGGTGGAGAAGGTGCCCGACTCGACCTACGACATGATCGGCGGCCTGGACAAGCAGATCCGCGAGATTAAGGAGGTCATCGAGCTGCCCATCAAGCACCCGGAGCTCTTCGACGCTCTGGGTGTGGCCCAGCCCAAGGGTGTGCTGCTCTACGGCCCTCCCGGTACGGGCAAGACGCTGCTGGCTCGTGCCGTGGCCCACCACACGGACTGCACGTTCATTCGTGTGTCGGGTGCTGAGCTGGTGCAAAAGTACATTGGAGAGGGCTCGCGTATGGTGCGTGAGCTGTTCGTCATGGCGCGTGAGGCGTCGCCGTCGATCATCTTCATGGATGAGATCGACTCCATCGGTAGCTCCCGTATGGAGGGTGGCGGTGGCGACTCCGAGGTGCAGCGTACCATGCTCGAGCTGCTGAACCAGCTGGATGGCTTCGAGCCCGCGCAGAACATCAAGGTCATCATGGCTACCAACCGTATCGACATTCTGGACGCGGCGCTGCTGCGCCCCGGCCGTATTGACAGAAAGATCGAGTTCCCGAACCCGACGGAAGGGGTGAGTGCGCTTGATGGCTGAGTTTTGCTGAAGGTGTGGATGGGATGGTTAACTTTTTGTGCTATTTGGTGTGCAGTCGCGAATCGATATCATGCGCATTCACTCGAGGAAGATGAACCTGCTGCGTGGCATCAACCTGAAGGTTATTGCTGAGAAGATGCCGACTGCGTCAGGCGCCGAGTGTAAGGCTGTGTGCACAGAGGCCGGTATGTTTGCACTGCGTGAGCGCCGGATCCACGTTACCCAGGAGGACTTCGAGATGGCTGTGTCCAAGGTCATGAAGAAGGACTCGGAGCAGAACATGTCGATCAACAAGCTGTGGAAGTAAGCGAAGCCCGGGCAAGCCGGCTAGCTAACGCTTTAGCGAAGGAGCGGTAAGACGACCGGGGCGGGCGAACCATGAGTCTTGCATGCTTGAGGTGCGGCGACCCGTCCCGTTTGCAGAATCGAATGAGCTTTGATTGCATGTTGGGCGTGCTTTTTGTCGTTGTATTTGTGTTCTATTTGGTGGATTTAGGTGGCTCCCAGTTGTAGTTGTCGAAGAGCTGGTAGTCCATGGGGATCTTCTCCGGGAATTTGACCATGCTGTCGATGCCACGAAGCGCCATGGAGGTGAACTCGGAGTCGAAGTTGGCGAATGCTCCGGACCGAGGGCGAAGTGGTGGCGCGCGCAGAGTTCGGTTGAGCAGTTTGGTCCAGTCGATGTGGTGCTTCGCGAAGAACGGATGCTGCTTCACGGCAGTCGCGCCGCCGCCCGAAGCTCGGCGCGCTCCAAGTCGTTCCCGTGGATCCGTCTGCAGCAGACTCTCCATGAGGTTGCGCGCCTCGTCACTGATGTTGGGCGGGAACGAGACGGCGCCGTCCATGATCATCGAGTACAGCTGCGTCCTGCTGACGGCGTTGTAGAACGGTGGCTGACCGGTCAGCATCTCGAAGAGCATACACCCAAGCGCCCAGAAATCGACCGACTTCCCATACCCTCGTCCTGGTGGAGACGAAGTCGATGACGACGATGAAGATGGTCTTTCACCAAGTGCGAGCACTTCTGGCGCGATGTAGTCTTTTGATCCGCAGAAGGTCAGCGCGAGTGTCCAGTCGTCGATTCCAGGCTTCGAGAGTCCGAAGTCTGCAAGTCGCACGTGTCCTTGCTGGTCCAGCAAAATGTTCTCGGGCTTCAGGTCGCGGTAGATGATGTCGTGTTGGTGAAGATGCTCGAGCGCCAGCAGAACTTCAGCCAAGTAAAAGGCGGCAACGGGCTCGGTGAAGTGTCCACGCTGTGAGAGGTGGAAGAACAGCTCTCCTCCTGGGCAGTAGTCGAGTACGATGTGCAAGTGGTCGATGGTCTGGAAGCACGCGTGCATCTTCACGATGAACGGGTGGTCGCGACAGCGTGTGAGCACTGTCTTCTCAGCGCGGGAGTGCTGAATTTGATTCTGTGTGGCGATGGCGCGCTTGCTGAGTGTCTTGATGGCCACCAACGACCCGGAAGGTAGATGTCGCGCTACCATGACATGCCCGAAGCCCCCACGGCCTATGACCTTGAGCGGCTCGTACTGCCGCAGCATATATCCGCCACTGTAGCTTTCCGCGATGCTCACAGCTTGTACTAGGCGAATGTCGGTGACAACGGGGACGGACGCGGCAGGTGCAGGACCCTTCTTCACTGGAGAAGGTTGGCTAGCCACCTTCACAACAGTAGGAGCTGCAGCAGCAGCCGGGGTGGATGGAGCAGGAGGCGTGGTGGGTGACGCTGCTCGTTGTGCCATGGCCTTGGCCTTGGACATGATCGACGTCGGCGAGGGCAACCGGCTACCAGATTTCGGGGGACTGGTCGAAGGCGTGGCAAGTTTTGGAGGACTACCGCTCTTGACGTTCGAGGAGGCTGTCATCGGCGGAATCACCTTGAGCGAGAAGCTCCTCGAGTCCAGAGGAGCGACGGCTGCGGGCGCTTGAGTGTCAGTATTGTGCAGGCGAGATAGTGCCATCTGCAAGCTTGCGACGTTGATGCTATTTCTTCTCGCGCTGGTACCGCTGGAGGCGCTGACTGAACGCTCTGCAGCTCGTGGAGTGACTGCAGCTCTGGTTGTAGCCGCATCAGCCGCACAGATAGCAAGTCTCTGCTGTTGCTGCGGTGAGACCCACTGCCTCATCATCGCCATAGTAGTGGCGTCAAACTGTCTGGATGGTTCAAAGGCCGATACGAAGCGAATGCGAGGCCCCTGCGTTCTTTGGTTTGCACTCTGGACCACTACCGAGAAACGTAGCGCTGCGTCACTCTGCCTGCGGTTCGGACGGAGGTGCTGGAGACCCTCCCAGGGCCAGATGAAGTGGAACAGTCGACGACCAGCGTTCTCCACAAAGCCATTGACACACAGCTCGTGACAGTGCTCTGGACTGATGTCCTGCTCCGCGACGAGCTCTTCTTGTTCGTCCAGACTGAAGTGCCGACGTGGCTGACCTCGTTGCGTGAACGATAGCCGGGTATTTTGGCACAGCTGGAGGAACTGGTGATTGCTGGGGCGTCTGCTATCTCTGTTGCCATCGCTAGGCTCGCCACCGATGCTCGTACTGCGCAAATTGACTTTAAGGAGGCTGGTCCGGGAGCCTCTTGTGACCCGGCAGACAACCGTATTACTCTCTGCGCCGCTGTTGGAGTTGACGTTATCTGCGTCTGCATCGAACTCGGTCTCGCTTTCGAGCATCAACACGCTGTCTTCTTCCCGGCCACTCATACTGTTGCGTCCGGCTCCATTGCGTCGCGCCCAGTGCGGGATGAGATTCGAAATGCTGGAGAGAGTGATCAAGCGAGACGGTCGACGCTGCTTCGTGCTCCGACGACTGTTCTCGATCTCGACGCCGTTCTTGTCGAACTGGTTGCGTCGAGGATGCGCCCCAGCGGCGTTCATCATCTGCTTGATTTCGTGGATTGCCATGGGGGTATACCCATGGAAGTGGAGAATGAGGGTACCTGGAACACCAAAATTTCCGGTAAGGGGGTGGTGATGAAGGTAAACATTTTGGCGAAACTTACCCCAGGCTCTGAGGGGCGATCGAAGCTCAATGCAGAAGTTCCCCAGTAGTGCGGAAGACGCATACGAGTGCACGAAATATTCAGCATTTTGCAGTGCTAAAACACCACATGGCGCCGGAGCTGCGGGGTGCTGGAAGTAAAAGAGATATCCTACAGTACGTACGCCCTCAACAGTTAGTGGAATTGACACATTATTTATCAAAGAAATATCACACGCACCTTCCAAGATAACGAAAACCCGCGATACTATTTTGCCAGTCTTTCGGCCTCGCTTAGTGAGCACCGGTTGCGTGCGCAGGTTCACACCGTGGAAGAACGTGGTTTTCTCAGTTGGGTCGTCAAAGGTTTCGGCGTCTTCGACTGCTGCTGGAGGAGTCGTTGGGCTGTTCTCGACTTCTGCGTTGGTATTATCCGACATCGCGCGATGAATGGAGGTAAAAGTGGCAAACCTGCGCTGTACGTATTGTGCTTGTGGGGCTCAAACTCGATGGACCAGCTCGCTCCTCATAAGAACAGGAAAGAAGTAGATGCACGTATCTCCCAGTTTAGAGCTGAATTTTTTCATGGGTTGAATGCAAGTGGCTGGCCTAAGATTAGTGCTTGACGTTGATGTTCGGAAGGCTTCCTGTCCTTGTGGCTGCGGTCAGATCATGGCGACATCGATGCTGACAGAGTACGTATTGCCGGAATTCTGCAGAGGCAATTTTCTTTGATTTTTTCTCGAAGTTTAACCGTGAATACAGCACACACGGAATCGAAGCCAGCCCCACTCTGAGCTGGGCTGGCCTCGAGGCAAGACGGATAGTGGAAATACCGAATTTGTTTTGTAGAGGGATACATCCACGTATGGGATACAAGATGCTTGACTTGTTGAGGGATGGATACACCTGTCCAAGCCAGTAATTTTTGCACTCTCAGCCGCCCGGCGTGCGATCATTTCTGCAATGGCGCGGGCGCCACCAAGTCGCCCTCGCCTGCCTGGAGGCCAAGGAAGGTGGAAAACGACGCGGGTCCAACCTGTTTACACTGCTGCGATGAAGAAGGCTGCTGTCGAGTATCTGAGACTACACTGCAATTTTCGCTTCACTCTAGATACGTTCTTTCCGGGTCTACCTACAGAGCAGTACCGGTATCAAGGGAAAAGAGTATGGTGCTATGTTGGGCTCGTCGTTTAGCTCTATAGCTCTGTCTGCGGCAGGAACAAACGGAAAGTTCACTCGGCGTTCTAAGTTGCGGCGGTGACGGCGAACGAGCTAATAAGTTGGGGTGTGTCGGCAGCCGCGTTGGTGAGATTCGGCCTTATAGAGACTTCGATCTAGCTGAGGTAGAGTATCAGTTTAGTAATTTTGATAAATGCATCTGGGCGTCCGGTGCCGATTCATTTTTTGAACAAAATCGGGCGTCCGAATTTTAGCTCCGGTAGGGTGTATCCCTCTACAAAACAAATTCGGTACTAGCATATTATTAATACATGTATCTGTACCTCCCGCCTAGATTCATGCAGCACAGCGCACACGGCTCTTTCCAGCTCTTCAAGGACCAGATCGACATAGCGTATTGACATGTCAGTTAGTTGCGGAAAGTACTGACTTGAATGCGAAATTCTTCTCCTCGACACCAATCACTGATTTGTGTAGGAATTGGCAATCATGGGATCCGCGTGTACGAGATTACTCGTGGTGCGAAGATACGGACTCGACAACTAATACCAATTCGCTTGAGGGGCCATTAATTTGAATTCTAGCGATAGCAGCAAACAACTAACACGTTTAGGGTGAAAAACCGATAACATGTTTGCGGAGTGCCTCAACAGTAAGCCTTAACCAACTACAGTACATAACTTACATGACGAAGTGAATCATTGCCTGAGGCCGTCCGTGGTTCCGCAAATAAAGATTCAGCCGGCACAGATTGTTCCACTCAGGGTCGGTTCGCTCCACGCAGTGAGGCCACGACCTCGAGGAAGACTGAGGAGGCGAACACCCGCACGACTTGACACGCACTTGGTAGATATTAGACTGAGCTCCTACTCCTACTGCTACACATGCACGTTGGGCAGCGTCTCCAGAGCTCCCAACCACTCGTTGCACTTCAACTCCTGTCCCCTGCTGTCCTCCCCCCCAGGACCTTGTCTCTCCTTCCTTCGGCTTCTTCCAGGGCAGTGTCCGCACCGTCGCTCCTGCGACGCCCCCTCCAGTGCGCCAACGCACCACCGTGTGCGCTAACGGCTGCAACCGGAGCCGATTCATAACACAGATGTCTTGTACCATCCACTAGGGAATGCACCATTACCTGGGTCCGTTGAGCTTATACACTTTGTTCTATCGCGAAAAAGCTGGGTTATGTCGGCGGAAGGGCAGATGCAAAACAATAGTGGAGAAGCTTAGACCCTAATAAAGTTGCTTCAATATTAGTGCAGAATAACAGACACGTTGTATAGTGCAAAAAGTATAACCACCAAGCACTACTATTTTATATAGTATTTTTGTAGGTAACACGCTACCTACGTGTACTATTTGTAGTATTACTATAGTTCCAAATCTGACTAGAAAATTGTAAAGACGTGCCAGTACTATACTACTATACCTGCGTCAGTGAATTCAGGCAAACTGTCACAATCATTTTGTCAAATCTCAGTGAAAATCACTGATTTATGGAAATTCCTCACTGAAAGTGTACATCGAGATACAGACAGATAGGAATCGTGATCGGCAACCACTTACGTGGCACAAACCACAGTGTGATTACAGATGGGGTCATCCAATACCTTGTAGTTCCTGCCAATACAGGTTCGGAAATGTTCACCGATAACATTTTAAAAGGTTCGATTTTGTTTTTCATGACGCAGCTCGCATCTACAATTACCACAAACTCTGCTATACGGGACGGCTTACGGGACGGCCGGAACGATGCCCCTTCAACACTAAACGGCTTTTCAATTTGTCTAAGGGCTTCCTGGGCATGCTTGAGAATGGCACACGGCAGTGTTGCACCCCCCCAGCAAGTCTCACAGCAAAGTGCCGTACCAGCACAGCTCTAGCATGGATGCGTAGTTTAAAATCGACACATATATTCGTAGACTGATGTTTCCATGTAGTACTGCATCATTAGAGAGGTTTCGCAAAGCAACTTGTGGGAGTTAGCGACAATACATTCCCTACCCCTCTATAGAGACGTGTGTCTACAAGTTGTTCTCGACTCGTCTAGAACGTCTAGAACGCCCTGTACACGTTGGTACTTGAGGAGATACGGGTAAGCATCTTACAATCTCCCAGTAATCTTTACTATGGAGAAGCCAAGCCAAACGCACAACAACCCCGTGGAGGAGGCCCCACCGACGAAGCCTCGTAAAACGATGGTCCGCTTTACGGATGAGCTTGACTTCCAACTGATCCAGGAAGCTCAAGCAAGAAATCCGTATGGGGAAGACTACGGGAAGAAGACCCAGACTTGGGCTGATGTAGCTGCAGCTTTGGAAGTGGACGTCGACGGTCGCCGTTACCGCGAGCGCTACAACCAGCTCGTAGATGCGTATGAGGCAAAGCAGAAGGCGAGTGAGAAACGAAGCGGGCCGTGTGAAGAGTACACGCCGAAGGACGAATGTCTGGCGGAGCTGCTGGAGATGCGCGAGATAGAGGCGCTGCTGAAGAACGACAAGAAGCAGCAGAAGGACCAGCAGCAGCAGAAGGACGAGCAAGCTAGCGCTATGCGCGACGCAGCCTTAGAAGGGATGAGCCGAGGAGGAGGAAAAGGTGGATCGCAGCAGCAGCAACTGGTTGCTAATCTCGAACGCCGCGACCAAGTCGCTCAAGCACTGGAAGGGAGGAAGGTCGCCAACGAGGAGAAGCGGCTTGCGTTGGAGGAGCGACGCCTGGAACTGCAAGAGCTGCGAATGGAACTTGAGCGAGACGAGCGGCTTGCGTTTATTGAAATGTTAAAGGCTGTCGTCAGCAAGACTAGTTCGTAGTAGCTAGACTAAGATACTCCTCGAGGCTTGTCGGCTTAATGGAAAAGAATTTGCTGATCTGGTTGGGGTTGGAACAGTTGCGGAAGTTTGTCAGGAGTACACCGACCAAGTAGTGTTTCCCCACAGGTGATAGATATAGTCTTTGACTCAGTCGCTGATCAAGAAACGGCCATAAGCGAATGATCCCTCCACTGCCACGCGAACTTTACTCATAGCCGCATTGAATGCCTTTTGCGTATCACTCAGATTGGAGCCTTTGAAACCGACGTGCAGCGTTGGTTTGAGTGGGTAGGCAGGATCCCCATAGATGCAATACGGAAGTTCCCCGTCGTGATGTAAGACACGCGGAAGGCGCTCCAGCAGTCCACTCTGCCTTAAAAGCCAAGAGTCGCGACGACGTCCAACCGTAGGACCGTAAAGTCGATGAATAGTCCGTCCGGCGCCATTACTCCTTGGTATTTTAGCGCGTGTTTCCTCTTGTGTCCGTTGTAAAATTGTTTTTGGTTGCGCGTTGGGCGTGCGATAGCACGCACAGTGCCATCGATAAAACCAATGCATCTCGGCTCCAGTGCTCCACGTTGTGCCACAGCAGCAGCGTACTCCTCCAATCGCGACGATGTAAGTAGCCCACATTCAATGGTGAGTAGGCATTTGTACTTGTCGTACACCAACCCCAGCATGAAGTTAAATATCATGCAGACAATAGGGGCGGACCGCCCGAAAAAGCGGCTTAAGTCTCCATAACGTCCCGGGTATGCCAGGCGAAATAGGTCTCGCTTCCAGAAGCGACAGTAGAACCGTGTTTCGTAGTCGTTGAGCGCGTTGATGTTAAAGCGTTCGCCGTAGGAAATGGACCGGGGGACGTTGCTTGTGGACGACGTTCAAGCAGAGAGGAGACAAACCGTTTCTTCCTCTGAGAGCATGCCGAGCACGAGAAGGTCTTGTACGTAAGTAGAGTTCATCTTTGAAAATGCTACAGACGTACAAGTCTAAGTTGCGAAAGCTCGTTCTAGAACTTGGCCGAATAAATCTATGGCCGCTCTCTGTCAAATCTTTCGAACGGCTCTAACTTCCACAAGTTTAACTTGCGAAACCTCTCTATTGTATTGTGTCTTTCGGTCATTTTGCCGAGTCCTGCGTAGGACTTTGGAGGTCAGTTAATCTGAGGTTGGCGGTCTCTAAATCTGAGCTGCAAATCTCGGACGAGTCCGATGAGCGGTCTCCCGGAGTCTTCCGTTCAATGGACTCCGGTTGGAGTCCAAGCCAAGCAAGCTTTGTTTAGGGAAGCATGCAATGCCGGAACCCGCGAAGGCGAAGGGCGAAGACTGGAGTGTTTAACGTATCGACTGCATCGTGTTTCCCTAAGTTTATTCTGCGTTTGACATACGCCGTATTAGAGTCAGCTCGTATGAAAGTCCTGCCACAAGACTTGGCAGGAGTCCTTCGTAAGACCTCAAACCCCGAATGCCGTGAAAATGGGCGACATTCGGACTTTCGGCTGTTTGTAGGACCTGCGCAAGTGCTTCCATCGGACTAGCAATTCTTGGTCCTAATTCCCTACGACGGACCTGCTAATCTGCTCCGATAACCTAGCCCCATCTTAGTAGGTAGCTGTTTTACACGTCCGATTCGCCAAAACAACTGAAAAGCACAATAACTTGCAATTTGCAAGAACCACTACGATTCAAATCCCTGATCATGTTCCAGTTGGTAATAACGAAGTACCTCACGTGATGAATGACCCTGCTTTTCGGCCACGACTGCGGCACTAGAGGGGAGTGGTTAGAGCAACCATAAGTATGGTTGCTTTTAGCCATTCTGAGACATGTATGGTTGCTTTTAGGGATTTCAAAAATTACGAGCGTAATTTAAATGTCTAAATTACAATAAGCCCTTAGGTACGCAAAGTACGCTAAAGTGCGCTTCTGATTAGGTACGATGCCATTAAGTGCGCCACCTCACAGCCGCTCATTTTAAGAATCGCGCTGCTGAACGGAGGCCACGTGGGGCACGCACCTCTCGCGAATCAGTCAAGCACCAAACGGCGAGGGGGGACCGATGGCTCCTGCGGGGGGAGCCATTATAAACGGTAATCAGTATGCTCCATGTTGGTGGCAACGAGAGTATCTACGTGCCTCACATTTTGTTTGAATTCTGTCGGTATGTATTGTTTAGGCCGAAAGCTGCGGAACGTAAACGAGGAGCTAAACTACATGTACGCCGCTCTCGGGATTAAAAAAGACGACGACGAAGACGAAGACTTTGTTCTGGACGAGGAGGATGAGGAAGACAACGGCGACGAAGAGGCGGAGGATTGCTACCAAGAGGAGGAAGACGAAGAAGAGGTCGATGATGACGAGGAGAGCGATAGCGATGAAGAGGAGGGTGACGACGATGAAGAGGAGGCGAGTGACGATGAACAGGAGGCAGACGACGACGGAGAATCCAGCACAGAAGACGAAGCAGAAGCGGGTAAGACTCGTTTGGATTATTGTTGATACTTACTGAGTTGAACTGATAATGTATTGTGTATTTTTTTAGTTTGTTTAGAACGCAGGACACGCAAACAGAGTCCCGAGCCGAGAAAGAAAACCACAGCACGCAAGAAAACACCAGGTATTCTCGTTAAAGTTGCTTTAAGCAAAAAGGTTGCGCTATCATTAATATTGACATTCACTTTGGAATCGATAGATACCGCTCTGGCCAAATGCAAGCTTTCTGCTGGGGATGAAGCCCAATCTTTCGCGAAAAAGCGTAAGGCGGAGCTGCAGCTTCACGAGTCTGTCGACGCTGATTCGGCCCCACGTTTATCCAAGCGGAACAAGCAGTACATACCGCGGAAGCGATCAAGCAAGCACCTTGACGAGTTGCGGGAGATCAACGAGGAGCGCAAAGAAATTATCAACCCCGTTCCGCCCTTTACCCCAGCGATTATCAAGAGTTGGAGCAAGTTCAACGCACACTTGAAAATATACAAGCAGAAGCACCACCTCAAGTTTCGAGTACGAAGCTCGGAGACACGAAATCAGTACAACAGGTATGTGTGACCTCTGTTTGATGCGAAATTTAAGTTATTAACGAAACCCCCTTTCATATGCAGCAATCATCGGGACCAAATCCCTTCACGTTTTAATTGGAGTCACAAGGTCCTCCGCTGTACACACGGTGTTTCGCAAGCGTCGCGCTCCAAGGGACATCGCAATAGAAAAGGCAACTATTGCAGGTGTCCTGCACGCATGACACCAACCGTTCAGCGGATGGAAAATGGCAAATTTCGAATTGTCATAAGATACGAGGTATCTGCCTTTTCGTGTATTTGTTTGCTTTGTTAGTATTTCTTACATGTCGCTGTTGATAATCAGAACTTTACCCACACGCACCCGACCACCCGAACGCAAGCATCGTTGTACCTGACAACAAAGACACTTCCGTTGGACGAGCAAGATCTCGAAGATGTTAAGACTTTAACGGATGCTAGTGTTTCTTCCAAGCACATCACGAACTTCCTGAATGAGGGAATCGGTGCGTAGTTTTATATATGATTTGCTGAAGTGATACTTACGTTACTGTTCGCGCTTTGTGTGTTTGCTAGGCTGCAAAATAACACCTCAACAGACCCGTAATCTGATCCGCAGTATTATGGGGCACGACGCAGCGGAGGCCCGTTTGAAAGACATGCTGCAAGCTATCCGCCAGTTAGACGGTAGTGACGTCCTTGTTATTCAAGACCAAATGGACGTGACATGCGGTATCGTGATGCAAACAAAGGTGCAGAAGTTGATGTTTGAGCGCTGGGGCGACACTATTACGATGGATTTCACTCACGGCACGAACAATTTGGGCTATCACTTGGGTGCGTATGAGTTGTTCGGTATAGCAACTTTATCCTTGTTACGGCAACCTTGCGTAGTTATAGCAACCATATCGATGATATAGCAACCGTATTAACAAAGTGATTTCCTACTGTTGTGTGTTGGATATTTCAGGGAGTCTGGTCGTCACAACCGCTACTGGTAGAGGGTTCCCAGTTGTAGACTTCATATGCCTCAACCAACGAGCTCCGATGATGACAACAATCCTGGAGTATTTCCAAGAGAAGAACCCAAGTTGGCGGATGATATCCTCCATCGTGATCGACAAAGATTTCGATGAGTGGAGGGTGCTGAAAACACTATTTCCTGCTGCGAAAGTTTTTAGAAGAAAAAAGGAACTTTGTCAATTCCATGCCATTTCGTACTGGAAGAAGGTGATGCAGCGGGCCCCATACAAGCTGAAGGTGTCTGAACGCGACGAGTTACTCAACCTGATGATAAAAACGCTGTACAGGTACGCAACAGGTTCTATTTATGATTCTTGTGGTAACGCTAACTTTGGAAACAAACCATATGCAGCTCCACAGAGACAGGTTACGATTCTAGTTACGGTGCATTGAAGCAATACTGCGAAGACAACAAGAAACAAGCTTTATTCTCGTACTTTGAAAAGAACTGGGATTCGTGTCGAGACATGTGGGCGAACTTTGCTCGCAGCAAATTTTCCACGGCTGGGAATACTACAACGAACAGGATCGAGTCAAACTGGAATCAAGTGAAAATACTGTTGGGGCACAAGACACGAATTGACAAGACTATTGCGGGCTTGGTGCAGCATCAAATCATGATAACTCAGCAGATCGGGTTCGTCATCGCGCAGCACCATTCGACTTCGCCCGTTCCTAAAACCATACCGATGTTTCTCCTGACGGTAGCAACTCGACTGTACCCTGACATCTTCGAGAAAGTGAGAAAAGAGTGGGAACGATTTGTGAACTTCATGGCAGATGCGACTTGTGAGCGTACAGCGTCGAGTCCTTCACAATGGAAAATTATTGCGGGAATCAAACCTTTCGCTGTCACGATGTGGAGTGGACGTGTACTTGTCTATTTTATAGCAGTCACCATTTACCATGTCGTCATCTTATGTACTTAGCACGCGAGGGGCATGGCTTCAAACTGCTTCCAGCTATGGCAATTCATGATCGGTGGAGTTCGTACCAGACCTTGGAAGTGAAAAACGAATTGACGGCTGCAGCGGAAATGTTACAGCCAATTGTGCAGATGTCCAAGTTAAGGTTGCCGAAAGTAAAGTTGCCGAACGACACTGGGGCTGAACCAGAACAACCACTTTATGCTGCGGGGGGTAACGCTTCGCCAACCAAAGCTAGGAAGCAAGTCGCGTACGTACGGCTACGGCGAGGTGAACGGGCAAACCAGGTTGTATTGTCTTCAGCTGAAAAATACGCATACGCAAAAGCGATGCTGGAACCGCTATTGGAACACCTGTCAGATTTGTCTAGTGCAGACTTCTACCAAGAGCTAAGTGCCTGGAAGGAAACGATCGACATAGGGCTCAACCGTGTCAACCCTGCCCCCCAACCGAGTTCTACAGAATCTGCTGAAGATAGCAAGCAAGAAGAAGATGTATCTGAACCTGTCTCAGACTCCATTCTGGACCCCGTGGAGGCAATGGGGACTATGACGCTCATGGACGCATTGGAAAGCAGCCCCATGACCATGAATTATGGCGATTACGAGTCCGACGAAAGTATGTTACCGACACAACGCATTTACCTTTCGCAGTCATCTCCAATTCGACCCCCCATCGACGAGAAATCTCATGACAGCTGCGGAATGAGTAGCTGTGACAAGGTTTCAAGCTCTACGAAGCCTGACAAAGAGTCGCGCGTGCGCCAGGTCAATGTCGTTAGAGTTCCTAAGCCACCAAGCCAAGGAAAGTCAAGGTCAACTCCGAAACAGCTGAGGCAAACTACGATCAGTCTCAAAGCCGACCGTCTTGCTGTTCACAAGTACCCCACTGAACTTGCCGTGACTTTGGATCAGTTCCTGATTTGGGCCAGAAAGACCTCAAATCTGAAGCGCGTGATGGAGATGCTGTCGAAGTATCCTGTTCAGCTGGAGGATGCCTATCTACGAGCTCGGAAGATTGATTGTCATTGGGAAATTGTACGACCTGCGGACTACATGCACACATTTGTAATTCCACAAGACCTCGTCCTATCAATGCAGGCAGCAATGACTACTACCCGGAAGGAGAAGCAGCCAATTGTACTGGATGAAAAGGCCAAGAAGCAAGGACTTGTTCTCGACGTCGTCTTGGCGATTGATCCAAAACTGTGGAAATTTAGCGGGTATGGTTGCTTTAGCGATATGGTTGCTTTAGCGATATGGTTGCTTTAATAGGGTTGCTTTAACATGCTTATGTTTCTAGACAATATGTAGGTGTTCTAACAGGATTCTACGCGATCAAGGTGAAGTGTACCTCATGGTTGAAGGACCGAAAGTGGCTGGAGCAAGATTGGCGTAAAGTTGACTCCATCGTGGATCTTTTCGCTGCGGAGACAGCAACTGCAGGACTACCGCGTGATGCTGTTCCCGAGCGGCACCAAGGTCTAGCGAACGAAATTATCTCAAAGTTTACTTCAAGTCGACTTCGCACTGAATTTGTGACGCTCTCCAACAAAGTCCTGATCAGCTTTGACAACATCGTGGGAGGGATCTGTCGTGGATGGCTAAATGATAGCCCTGTGGACTTTTGCTTGGAGACCCTTGCGAGATCGGTGGGGAAGTGCCATGTGCTGTCATCACTGACATGGGCTATCGGATGGCCAAGTCTCCCTAAGACAGCACTTGCAGCAACGAAATTTATTATCCACCCCGTTAATCTGCACGCAGACCACTGGGGGGTAATTATCCTTCGCCTACGCTACACGGCAAAAACAAGCAAGCTTCGGGTGCATGGATACATGTACGAGCCGCTCATTGATGATGACTATCACCATGAAATGGAAATCGTGTGGACTGGAATTCCGAAAGACAAAGAAAATGAAGGAAAGGAGGGGCTTCGTGGTTATGTGGAGCGGTGGCACAAGGCTTCTGACCCCCGTGGCCATCTTTTCTTCGATCCGATTGAGTGGATCTGTGCCCCTCAACAACCTGATTTTGCTAGCTGTGGTGTAATGGTAGTAGCCCAAGCCCACAGCTATCTTACGGGGAGCTTGCAGATGCAACTTTCAAGAATTTCCAAGAACGACGTCAAGGTGATGTGATTGAAAATGCTGTGGGTCATCATGTGTTACTCCCAAGAACGTCATCTCTCTGAACGCGACGTCGCTAAAGCTAGCCAGATTCATCAGTAGCTACAGAACCAGCTCTGAGAAACACCACAGTCTGTATTTACCTTTAAATACAGAGTATATGCTGCATTAGTCTTTCATTTTTCGCACCGCCAGCTCCAGTAGAACATCGAGGGAAACAGCGTCGTCCTCTGCGGTGAGACCACCTTGGTCGGCCCCTTCATCGCCCAAGACGGCTGCTAATGCATAGCTGTTCTCTTCGCGATCTTCGACGAGGGCTTGGATTTGTAGCTGCGCTGCCAGAAGCTTTTCCAGATGCTCGGTAAGCTCATCCAGCTTCTTCTTGAGGAGTGCAATCTCGGCGATTCTCGCGTGCACCAGCTCATGTGCCAGCGATTTCTTCTTCATTTTTGCTGTCGCTCAAAATCTCCCAAGTGTTGAAAATGTGGGACACATATTGTCATGTGTTTCACGTATTGCTGTGTAGAGAACATCAGTTAGACGCCACCACGACGTGTCTAAATTTAGAGATATATGCAGCAAGACCATGACGAGGGCGACGTGTCCCTGTCATTTACGCGTCATTTAAAATAAATTACCGGGTGCCAGCTGGTTTTGGGGTTGCTTTAGCGCTAGAGCCAGAAGCTGGGTACCAGCACCCACGCGCATGGTTGCAATGACAGAGGATACTTGCACCGGGTCAGCTCCAGTCGGTGCACCGGGCCACACCGACTGGCCCGGTGCACGGTAAAAGAATAGGCTGACACTCTGTTTTTTGTCGAGAACATTTCCGTATGTTGGTTGGACGTTCCAACCAAGTTGGCAGCAAGTTGCTGCCAGCAACCAACCAACCGAGCGAGCACCAGCACGAGCATGGGCCAAGTGGCCAAGTCTGGTCAATTTGGCCACCGAGTTGGAGGACTTGATCGCCAAGTCCTTGGGTCTAAGTGTCCTCACAGTGACACTACATATCACTTCGGTTCGAGAGCAAGCGGCTGAGCTGCACTAAATGCTGTATTCTGTATGTTACTGTACCATTGCGTGTAGTCTGAAGTAGCTACAGTACTGACAAAAGTGCTTCGAGGCGCTAAGCAACACACGCTGGATCTACTTTAATGTTTAGTGCCAACTACTTGTTACCACAACATGTTGCCTGCCGGGCTGCGCTTGGCTGGACGCCCCCGCGCCAAGCAGTCTAGCGAGCCGAGTACTGCACGAGGCGCTGGAAAGCTCGGTGCAAGGGCCCCCTCCGCAAATACCGCGTGCTTGTGTTGGCCCTGTGCCCCAGCTAACACGCAAATGATACCATGATCTTAGCACACACGCACACCCTCTCCTAGCTAGCAGGGGGTTGCATTTCGACGGCCTCGCACCTGCCGACGTCCGCTTGCCTCCTTCTCGTCCTTTTCGCAAATGAAGGAGTTCCTTCACCGATTTTGGAGTGTTGAACGTCAAATCACCAGCTGTAGCTCTAAGCACATCTCAAGATCTCTTACTGGCTGGTCCGGTGCTAGCAGCCACTATCGGTTGCAATAGACAAGTCCTTGTCACCTCTCTTGGGATCAAAGCGCAATGCCTCTCACATTCGCTTCTCGGACCAAGATGGTCAACGTCCACACAAGCGCCAGGCTTGTACTTGCCTTTATCTCTTTGGCCTTTCAAGTGTCTTCGTCGCTCTCCGCGTCTTCAGCAGTACAACAGCCTCTTCTCGATGCCACGGACTGGTTCCTCACCGAACAGGAGATCACCGAGTCGCGAGGAGGTATTCTACGACGCGACATGGCGGTGTATACAACCGGCAACGCCATCACGCCCTTCACGGTGGCGAACGAATTCTACAACGCTGTCTACGACGACCTCACTGGCACCAAGGAGGGCGACCGAGTCCTGCTCAGCGCCTACGTTACAGCTCTCGTCCCGCTGAAGCCGGACGTCGACCCCACCGGAGCCACGACTGGCGTAGGCAAAGTGTTCACGGACATCGTGAATCGAGGAGGAAATGTCAACATCCTCAACTGGCACAACCTCAAGTACAAGTCGTTCAACGTCAAGGCTCGGGACTTCATCAACGGCATCCCCGCGTCTCCGATCAACGGGGCCGACGCGAAGCTCATTTTCGACGACCGACTCCCCTACGTTGTGTCGTCTCACCACCAGAAAACCTTGGCCATCGTAGCGAATGAATCCTCGAGTGAGACTGACCAGCCCGTTGCCTACGTGGGAGGCCTCGATCTAGCCAACGACCGGTGGGACACCATCTACCACAACAACAGCGCGCTTCGAGACGCCGCTGGTATCACTTTCAAGACTCAAGGCTGGATCGACGGTCACGTTCGGATCCATGGACCTGCCGCCAAGGATGTCGCCAACAACTTCGTGGATCGATGGAACTCGGACTATCTGCCCAGCCAAGGGATAGTTGACGACTTGCTCGACTTCGAGAACCCAACGTGCACTGACATCCCGCCACTCAACTACGCCAGCAGCAACACTACCGGTACTCTAGGCAACCAGAGCGTCCAGATCACGCGCACCTTCAGCTGCAAGTACAAACACTACAAGGAGTTCGCCCCGCGCGGAGAGACCTCGCTGTTCCGCGCGCGCGTCAAAGCCATCAAGAAGGCCCAGAACTTCATCTACGTCGAGGACCAGTACTTCATCCTCGTGCCGGAGCTGCTGGACGCCATCATGGAGGTGATGCCGAGGATCCAGCGCCTCGTGGTCATCGCCAACCCGCAGACCAAGATGCTGGCCAACGGAGGCTACATCAAGTACCTGTACGAGATGGTGTCGCCCATCCGAGAGAAGTACCCGGACAAGTTCCAGATCTACACGGTCAAGGCCGAGCGGAACCTGCTCATCCACACCAAAGTGGTGATCATCGACGATGTGTATTTGTCCGTGGGCTCGGCCAACTGGAACCGTCGCAGCATGACGTCGGACACGGAGCTGAACGCGGACATTGTGGACGGCGACACGGTGGAGTCCCCCGAGGGCGTGACGGTAGGCAGGCTGCCTCGCGACTTTCGCGTCCGCAAGTTCCAGGAGATGACGGGGCGGAGCTACGAGGAGCTGGACGGCATGACGTTCGTGGAGGCTGCGGATCAGTTGCGGATCGCGGCTGCTGATGCGTCTACGGTTCTGGCCAAGATGGAGATCGAGCATCACGCGTACTTTGCGCTTCTCACGGATCTGGTTCGAAAGGTGTCAGATCCACAGGACACGTGCACGTACGAGGAGATTACAGAATAGAAACTTGAATTATCTTGATCAAATGAGTGAAATTGTGTACTGTGTCTAGTAAGTGTGGCTACCAATATGGTAGTTTGCAGGGCGACGAGGTCGAGGGATCATCGGTAGACACTCGATCTACTTTTAGGCTGCGAACATTATCCATTTTGAACATAGAGAGAGCAACTTGTGCAGTACTTTTATTTTTGACGGCAGCATTGTTATCCAGTTGGACGCAGCCTGGGCACTTTGTCCCCGGGCTGATCATGACAGCAGAGCCAGTATCTCCAGAATTCGAGTATGTTAACCTCTCGCGTGGGAGTTTTGCACTCTGGTGGTGCATACTACTTGCTGTTCACTTGGTGACGAGTGGATATCATCTCGCCTACGCTCTGTTCTACTGGGGATTGGAAGACACGTTTCTGTATGAGTGCTTTGACTTCGTCGGGATCGGCATGCAGGCCAAGCATTTTCGTGCCATTGCTGCCGTTAACCTCACGCTGGCAGCGATGCATTGCATCTGTGCCATGCTAATGTTTGTTGGCTCGATTTATCACGGGAGATTGGTCTATTCACCTTGGCTAAATGACAAGAAGGCCTCCAAAGAAATATTCGGCCTAGAAATTACCGACGGCAGCTTGGTATTTCGTCTCAGAAGTTTTATTTCTCAGCTGTACGGGAAAGTTTTGGCTCGTCAAGGACTTCTCGGGGTGAATGGATCCAAATTTCATACAATCCTGATCGCCCGTAAACTTGCCGAGACAACGCTCCAGTCAGTGCAAGCTTACCGAATGAGTTGGCTACTTCCTCGCATGACACTGAACCGATCTTTTGTGACTCAACTGTTGGTCTTCGTTTGCCATTTACTCGGTATTTTCGTGGCGGGGTGAGGCTTGGAAGCGCTTCGCCAGTATCTTTCTCGACTGCGCGTTGAATCTCATCTCCTTTATCATAGTGCCGGTAGCTGTCGTGCTCAGCTACGTTGGTGATTACAACCCGCAGATCGCAGGTTTTCCGATGGAGAAATGGTACGACGACGATTGGTTTGCTCATGCCATAAGCGAGTTTCAGATGATCGTCGTGGTTTCTTGGCCGGATCTAGTCAGTCGAAGTATTTTTTCTCTCGGAGTTGTGTTTTCTACCACGAATATGAAGGAACTTTTACGTCCCGCGCCAACTGTGAGTAGTCGAATTGCCTGCGATACGGTTGCTGTGAAGCCAATCCGTGACACCCCACACCCAAAGAGCAGTGCACCCCCAACGCTTGACTTGGAGCCACCGATATCTAACAATTGCAGTCGAACTATTCTATCTGAGCGCAGGTTACGGAGAGCAGTGTATATATTGCTGCTTTTGTGGGGTGTCGTTGTGCTTGCCCTTCACGCCCAAGCTTCAGTTAGACCAGCATTACCTCAATGCCTACTTCAAGTATACCCCTGGGGAGTATCAGCGCAAGCTTGCTATCTGGTGGACCTCAACTGTGAACAACTGGGTATCTACGGTAAGCAGCACCAACTCGAAGAGAAGTGGGGCGAATTCGATAGATCGAACGCGATTATACTAGTGATTCGCCACTGTCCGTCCCTTGAGATGCCCGACTCACTCCAAGACTTTTCCCACGCGAGGATTGTCAAGATTTTCGACTCAACCATAGACAGTTGGAGCGCTTCTGCTGCCCTAACAAACACAAACCACCCGAGTATGATGTGGCTGTACTTGACTCGAGTTAATATGACTGGAGGCGTTCTGTATGCAGGTCTTCAGTCCTCCGATTTCCCGCACAAACTGTTAGATATTGAGCTCTACTTTACAAATTTGAGGTCTCTACCCGACGATTTGGACTCCAAGTGGATAGTTGGAACTTTCATTTATATCGAGTACAGCCAGCTTACCTCTGCTCTGGTACGTTTGGAGCCCACTCACCTAATTCTGACTGGGAATCCCATCGCTGAGTTACCGCCAGAAGTCTTTGAGATCAATGGCATACAAGTCTTGGGCGTAGGGGGGACTGAACTACTGGAGCTGCCTCGAAATGTGACCAAGTTCTCACCGACACTCAGATCAATTTACATGACAGATACAGACATTTCGTTCCTTTGGCAATGGATCGATCCCTTTGTAACTAAGAGTTTAGCTCTGGAAGGGTGGTCCTTGTTCATGGCTGGATCGATGTATTGCAAGGAGCTCGATCGAATCAGCAGCGGCGAGACTGACGCGTTTAGCTCCATGCAATTGAGTGGATATTCGGAACTGCTCATGGATCCATATAGGCAAAATCGGGATGTGATTCTCCACACCGTCAGCTGCACTCCAGGCTACACTGCAGACACGTATCAAATTGACGTCGCGTACAGTGGGTAGCTACAAGCGGATACTCCCATTAAAGTGGCAGGGCCATGAATGTACCTGTTTTCAGCTGTAGTTTCGAGCAGCCACGTTTTGTATCAAAGCCAAGATCTGCTTTTCTTCGCAGTGCTTACGAAAAGTTACGATGCTACACTGCGGTAAACACTCTGTCCTCGTTCCATCTTTGTGAACACGGAAAGCTCTGCAGGTTGAGTTAAATAGAAGTTGGACCATTGAAGCTGGTTGTGCCGTGGATCATCGCCGTCAATCCTCGCATCATGCCTGGACCAACGTCGGAAACGCGCGTGAGCTTGGGCGAAGGCTTCGGAGACGGGTTAAGCTGCGGTAGGCGCTTGATCTCGTCATCACTGCTGACTTTGGTTGGAGGAACGCGGCTACGATCAGTTGCATCTTCTTCGTCGTCTGAGTCTTCGTACGAGAGGCTGCTGCAGTTTGAGAGCGGACTGCGGCTGTATGACCACGCTTTCGCCCAGTACTCGGAGGGCTCGTCGCTGTCGCTGTACAGGACGCTGCTGTCTGTCGAATCGGGAGACGTTGGGTCGATGAAGTCGGTGAAGTCTCCTGCTCTTTCTGCTGGTTGGTCACTAACAGCAACCTCGATCTCGACGCCTGTATCTTCCGGGGCTGCAACTTGGATATCGCCAACGTCAGCTTCTTGGTCGTCTTCAGCCAAGCGCTCAGCCCACGCTTCTTCGGTCGATGCTAGCGATACAGTGCTTTCGTTTGGGGGTTCGAGAGACCCCCAGTTCCAGTCCTCGTCTTGATCCGGGATCACTCTGGACGGTGCGCTGTTGCAGATCCGCTGATAGGCAGGATCTTGGGCAGGTTCGCAAGGCAAAAGGCTCACCGATCGGCCTGCAGGGCGCTTCATGGTCTTGGGAGAATGTGCCAACAACACGCCCGTACTCTTAATGAAAAAAAAAGTCACGAATAAGAAGAAAATACTTCCGATGTTCAAGCATTTCAGTAATTTATCCTGGAAAATATCTGCGGGTTGGAACGGAGCAACGCTGGCTATACACTGAGGTGCGGCAGTCTCAAATACCCTTCAAGAGAATTAATATGCACGCAGAGATCGCCTATGGACGCGGGTGGTGGACTGATCCGCCGTTGCCACACTTGTGAATCATACCGCTTCAACCCTGCAGCATCCAGCTCGACGGGTCCAGCATTTGACCCAGTCCCAAAAAGCCGTAGATCCTGCGCAATCTGCAGCCAGGTCATCATAGCTGCATCAAAGAAAACTATACGCGCTTCTTGTTCTTCTTCGTCTTTCCGTCGGCCACTCTGCTTGGAAAGGGGGAACCAGCGCCGGAAAATTGCGGCGAATTCTTGGAGCTTGCGTTCGTTGCTCCAGTCCTTCATCCACGCTTGTCGAGCCTGGTGAATGCCCCCATCATGCTCTGCCAGCAAAGTAACTGCGATACGAACTCCATCGCGTGACACAGCCACTCGGAATCGCTCTGCTACAGCCATCGCCACGCGTACCAGACCTCCAAAAGCTGGGTCGGAGGTCCGTACATCGTAGAGCACCCGTACCAGAGCAGCAGCTTCTTGTTGGCCTTCAAACATCCACAAAGGCCAGAGACGTCGCAGAGACCGAACTAAGCGGTGGATCTTGGGCTCATCGCGATAACTCGACCCAAAGACCTCGTGCACGTCATCGATGGTTGCCAGTAGAAGCTGGAGGGAAGAATTGGTCCCTACGACGTCTCGAGGCAATTCACCCTTGAAGTTCGGCGTATTTGAAGGCAGAGGTGGCGGTGCAACGAGGTTAGCAGTAGACGCTCTGCCGGTAGTAGCGCTGCTCATAACGCTGCTCGCAGTACTTGGAGTAGCTGCAGTCCTGGGTGGCTTCTGGTAGTCCGTGAGCAACATAAAGTCCAGCACTTCTGCGTGTCCGAGTCGAACGGCGATATGCAGTAATGTATCTCCGAGCGCTAATTTGCCCCTCTCCACTGCCGAGAAGAACTCCATCTTCTCGTCCTGCAACTCGTTGAGTCGTTCCTCTCGCTCTAGAGAATCCGTGAGTGTTTGCAAGTGTGTCTGCTCCTGCATGCAAATGTCCAAGTAAGTGGAACGCGAGATCTGCAGCCCCCGTAGCTCAGGACGGAAAATGGGTCGCAGGGCTTCGACGTCTCCGCGATACGTCGCCACCGCCTGCAGCACACGACAGAAGCAGTGGTGAATTTTGAGCTCCACCCCCAAGTAGATTTGGACAAGTTGAAGTGACCGACCATCTGACGGAACTGCACCGCCTCGTTGGGAGGCGCGCTGTGTGTTTGACCCATGCCGCTAAACCTTGTAGCTAGACTTGTTCCGCAAAGCACCACACTGCAAGTTCCGCGAATAGATGTGATAATGGTAAATTACTATACTTGACATGCGTATTTTTCAGGCGCAACCACTTTTAGTATGTCGAATATTTTTCGCGAGAAGTGTGCTACCACAATGTAGTTTGCTCTGCTCGAACAGATCGCAACTATCTTGATGTTAGCGTAGATCACCACCGGCTTACTGAGTCGTGACAGGCTGTCGAGGAAAGTCTGCAGACGGTTTTGGAGTTCACCAGCTTTTCAATAAGATCCCAGAGGTTTAACGGAAGCGTGAGGCTAGCAAAGAGGCGCGCCAACCAATGGAACAACTCTGGGAATACAGCGCTCACCACCAGCAAGATGACCGAGAGAACGCCGACTTGGAAACTTTCAGACTGCCCCCACTCTCGCATACATGAACCACTCCCAGGTGAATTCTCGATGCGATCGTGTCCTATGATACAAAGAAGACAAGGAGATCACATTAGTTTCAGTTTTCACTACAACGACAACGCCATAATATAAGTTTGGCAACCTTCTGCGTTGCTGGAATTGGACGTCTCGGCACTGAATGATCAACACACAACTGAGGCAGATGAAGACGCAGACGGCACTTTGATCGAGTGCACACTTGCTGACAGTGCGTTTCCCGATGAGTCGGAAGTGCCGTCTCCACTCATCTTGTACTTCAAGTATCAAGATCTTGGTCGTGTTGGCAGCGAACAGTAGAATAGAAAGTGGCAATGAGGTCGCACCACCCTCTCCCCATGGGTTGCTAGTGACAGAAGTCGCGCTGAGAGACGTGAATGAGATTGATCTTGTGGCTTGCTGTGCAAAATAGAAAGATAGCACTTCAGGGCCTCTCCTTAAAATTTAAAACCACAGTGTACATTCTCCGCTGCGCTCAAACGTTTGCTCACCACATTAAGAAATATGCTGTGCCGTTTCTCGTACGCTTGCCGATATGTTTATGCTGTAAAGTGAGCCGCACGAGAGTGTGGTGTGGTTGCCGAGACGTTTTGTTTTTTTGGCTGCAGGGGTGAGATGTATTCACTTAGATTAAACTAACGAATTCTAAACCACCTTGATCGTCCTACGCCCGTTTACGTCGTCGGTCGCCGAGACGTTGGCAGGTTGGTAGCTGAATACGCGTTAGCGGTAGCATTACCAGATGAATTACGAACTGCTTTTGTGTGGTAATGGTAAAATGTGCCATGGATAGCGTTCCGAATACGGTGAAATGTGTTTTTCGAAATGTTATATAGAGATGTGTGGTGGGCTACCACTGGAATCACACATATCTACTGGTACGCTAAGTGATTCTCGTGCGCGCAGATAAGCTGTAGCTAGCAACAAGCTCAGCGAGGAGTACATCACTTATGTGCTGGCGATTTTCTTGTACCAGCTGGCCGAAAAGGTTCCAGAGGTCTTTCATCAGACCGAAAATGGCAAAAAGCCACAGCAATCGAGGGATCCATTCTCGAGGTATCAGTAGTGAGGCAACAACGCTCACCACCGCCATAATCAATACGAAGTATTCAAACAAGCCCCACTCTGGCGCACGGGCCCGCACTCCCACTTGTGTTCTCGACGTGAGTATTTTCTACGAGTAACACGGAAACCACGCTAGTTTCAGTACACTTGGAGTAGTGGCAATGCTATTTGAGTTTCCGACTGCCTTTTGCGTTGTTGGAATTGGACTCCGCCACTGCGATGTCACTGATTGTTGAGTGTGAACTTGAGGCAGGCGAAGACGCGGCCGACTCTTCTTTGGTCGAAGGCACGCTTGCTGGCGCATCCGCTGACGAGATGGAGGGGGTTGTACATTTGTCGTCTCCGCGCATCTCGGATCACAGCTTGGGTAGGTGGCTTTGGAGCGAACAGCAAACCAAAACTGATCAAGAGCTTGCACCTCCCGCCAAAACCCAAAGCAGAAGTCCTATCAATCTAAGAGCCATGGGTTGTCAGCGACAGATGTGAGTCTTATGCGGCATTCCAACACCTCGAAGTGAAGAGACACAAGTCCAGTTGAGATGGCTACATATCCAGCTAAATGCCTCCACGATCGTACGACGCTTGACTTGCAAACCCAAAACTGCCACGCTCGACTTGCACTCCACACAGCAACTATTGCACCTTACTCTCCAACCCAGACAATCTCCCCCTCGGGCCTCGAATGCTACACAGCCTCTGTCTCTATAAACAGTTCCCTTCAACCTACACCAATAACTGCCATAGCACAGACCCCGCTAGAATTCCCACCAATCACGTCCCTCCATTCCCACGGGCGCCGTCCTTCCCTCTCTCCGACCCCATGCCGTCGTCCGTGGAGGCCTCTGGGCCTCTGTCGCTGTCCCCGGCGCCATCTTCGACGTCCTCCACGTCCTCCACGTCCTCCCTAGACGCCTTACTAGCCGCTGAGGACCCGAACCCGCTGCTCCCGCCGCCCCAAATGACCGCGCACCGCGTCATCTTCGGGCGCAATGTCATCCAAGTGCCGCTCAAGCAGGCGGCGACCAACGAGTACGTGAACCTGGTGCTGTCCCAGCTCGAGTTCGACGCCATGGCCGTGCACGTCCCGCAGTACGAGGAGCTGCCGCCCGAGGAGCTGCTGGAGCGCATCACGCAGCTGCTCAAGGAGCAGGAGACCCGGAAGCGTCAACGCCTGGGCTCCAGCAGCTCCGTAGGCGGGGAGCAGCCCTCAGCAGCAGCTGGGGACTCGCTCGCGGCCTTCCAGAGCCGCCTACTGGAGCTCGAGTACGAGCGCAAGCGGCTGCACACGAAGCTCAAGGGCGCCAAGGCGCTGCAGATCAGTCTGACGGAGGAGAACACGGCGCTGAGGGTGCAGCTGGAGCAGGCGGAGCAACAGGCCGTGGATGTGGAGGAGATTCTACAGGAGAACGAGCTGCTGAGGTACCAGACGCTGCACTTGGGTGGGGACGTGTCCAAGTGGAAGAACGTGGCCATGCAGACGCTGCAGCAGTTGAGAGCGTTGAAGCAGGAGTTGGTGATGGTGAAGCAGCAGGTGAAGGACGATAGCGACGAAGCGGCGCTGACGGTGGAGGACGCCATGGCTATGGTGGTGGAGGATGCTAATAGACGCGAACAGGTGCTGCAGCAGAGCTACCTGGCCGAGAAGAAGGAGAGGGAGACCATGGCGGAGAAGTACTATGAACTGTCGGGCAGGATCAGGGTGTTCTGTCGGTTGAGGCCCGGGAAGGAGAGCGGAGAGGACGGGAATTCACCGGCGTTGGTGATGCCCCGACCGAATAACTTGCTGATTGCGAGCTCTGGGAAGGAGTTTGCCTTTGATCAGGTGTTTGGACCGCAGAGCACGCAGGCGGACGTGTACGCGCAGATTGAGCCGCTGGTTGTGTCGTTTACGGATGGATATAACGCGTGCATTATGGCCTACGGACAGACTGGATCGGGTAAGACACATACGATGGTGGGGAATGACCAAGGAGCGCTGGAACACCGTGCCAATGGGCTTACGGTGCACGCCAATGCGGGTGTGATCCCGCGCGCGCTTCAGCAAGTGTTCTCTATGGTGAATAAGCGCCAGATGACGTACTTGGACACGCTTCGTGTGAGTATGGTGGAGATTTACAACGACCAGATTCTGGACTTGCTTCATGAGGACAGCTGCGGGGCTGGCAAGAATGCAGTGGCGAAGAACGAGACGGACATCACTGCGCGCGACGTTAACAGCTACGCTCAGGTGGATGCGGTTATGCGTGATGGCAACGCCAACCGCAATATTGCTGCTACCAAGATGAACCTGGAAAGTAGTCGCTCCCACGCGCTGGTGTTCCTTCACCTCGATAGCCAACACCGCGAGACCCGTGAGATGCGCACCAGCACGTTGTGTCTGGTGGATTTGGCTGGCTCGGAGCGTATTTCTCGTAGTCAAGTGGAGGGTGATCGATTGCGTGAAACCCAACACATTAACAAGTCGCTGGCGGCGCTCGGAGACGTGGTCTACGCGCTGCAGCACAAGGCGAAGCATACGCCGTACCGGAACTCGAAGCTCACGTACATGCTGCGCGACATGTTGTCAGGACAAGCAAAGACGCTGATGATGCTGCAGCTGAGTCCCGATACAGCTGACATGGAGGAAACGACTTGCTCGCTGCAGTTTGGTGCTCGCGTCAGCCAGGTGCAGATGGGTGCTGTGCGCCCTAGTGTGGAAAGTGGCGCGCTTTTCAAGCTGCAAGAAGAGAATCGTGCCCTCGAAGCGAAGACGCTTGCTATGGAGACTCAAGTGAACGACTTGCAGCGGCAGTGCCAACAGCAAGGAGATGAACTACGCGAAGCGCAGAGCAGCAAGGAAGCGCTGGAGCGGCAGCTGTGGCTCCTCGGTGGCAGACAGCGTGGAGATAAGGCCCCTGCTGAGCTGGACCACGACGAGTTGCCACCGGAGGATCGATCTCCGTCACCGTCGAGACCGCCAAGCCCCACGCCTTCAGCCAAGTCTAGTCGAAGCGCTTCGTCCGCGACGTCAGCTCGGTCAGCACGATCCGGACGTGTACGAAGCGCACAGCCAGCGGCATCCACATCCCAGCGCTCGACTGTACGACGACCACAAGTGGCAGCATCACCGCGTGGGTCAGGAGCAACTCGAACCCAAGCACCAGCTACTCCTACTTCTGCAGTGTCTCGACTGCGCCGACCCGAATCGATGCTGGAGCGTGAGGAACGACGTAAATCTTTGTCTGCCACTTATCGGGACAAGGTGGTGGCTCCCGAGGTGCGGCGCAAGTCGCTCTCGGCAACGACTGCTAGCAGACTTGTAGACAACGACTCAAGGCGCAAGTCCTTGTCTACTCTTCAGACGCGTTCAATGTCTGGGCTGGCAACACCTCGATCTACGCGAACGAAGGAGGCCCCGACGTCGGAGGGTCGAGTTCCATTGCACCCTCCTTCTAGGACTCGGCCAGCAGGGTCGCCGGCGACGCCAGCCTCAGCGAGACAGAGAGCGTCCGCAAGCCGGCTCACGAGGCCGCAGTCTGATAGAGCAGTGGGTTCGTCCACTCCCCCAGCGTCGTCTCCATCTTCTGTGTCATCAACAGATAGCAGAGCCAGCCGTGTGTTGAATCGAGCAGCCTCAACCCCATCCAGAACCCCCAGCAGATCTGCGACTAGATCCGCTGTGGGCACGCCAAAGACTAGCGGTGATACGCGCCGCTCTTCATTGACCAGTACTCGAACTGCCCCATCGTCACCACCAGGCGCCTCAGCGCGCCGGTCAATGGCCAGCTCTCACTCCGGCTTCGGATGGAAATAAAGGGCTACCGTGAACTCGAGACCGTCACGAAACTCAAACTTCCCCTGGTTGTAAGGAATAATTATATGAATAAGGTACAATTGTTTGGTATCTTCCCTACTTTCGCCAGAGTTCGCGGCCAGGGGATTCACTTCTTCGGGTCGGAACACTAGCACTTTTGCTACTCGCACGCATCGAGTTCCGATGCTCCTGTAGTTCCTGTTCATAGCCCCTGTTCGAAGCACAAACTTTGGTTTAGCAACTTGCATGTACAGAGAGCGATGTGAAAGTACGTACTTGAGAGCAAGCTTGACACGTTCCTCCGTAGCTGGCAGCAGGTGGTTCAGCGCGGGTGAACGCGTCGTGTACGTGCTCTTCATGGAGATGCGGGGGCTCAATAAATTCATAGCGCGAGTAGAAGGCGCTGCGGTCGCAGGATCCGTCACTGCAGATACCTCGGCATCTAGCGCGTCGAGGTCCATACTGTGACGTGGACTCATGACAGCTTCAAGTTGCCAACGGCGATCTTCACTGCGCTGTGTACGAATACGATCCCGAAGTGCCTGAGAGAGCTCCATGTTGCGCGCTGCACGATTCTTGGTGGCTTGTAGCTCTGCCACAATGCGACGCACCGGGACCGACGGAGCGAAGTGTGAGATGCGCGACTTGGGCACCTCAAAGACCACGGCTCCAGGCTCAGCTTTCAAGCGCTCTGCGTTGTCCTTCGTAATCGCAGCCGGCAGACTTTGCATCTTCTTGCTCCCAGCAGCCCCGGAGTTGGTGGCGTTAACACCCGAGTTGTTGTTGTTAGGACAGATACCGCCGATATTCGCAATATTTGCCAGAAGAGATCTTGCACCCGAGTGCGACGAGGAGTTTGAAGAATCTTGGGGTTCGGTGGAGGTATTTTGCACATGTCCGTCCTGGTAGGCGGTGGTTGCATGAAGCTTGATGTTGGCACTGAATTGAGCTCCGCGAAAGAGGAATCCCAGCTCTACTTCGATCGGCCGCCAGTACTCTGTAACCACCCCAAGCTTCACCACCGAGCATACGAAGAAGTAGACGCACTCGAAGAAGCGCTCGTCCTCTTTGTGGTTCTCAAAGTTGCTGCAGTGTAGCACCAGACGGGCGTACGTGGCAGACATGGAGCGCGCACAACTCTTCTGCGTCTCCATCGCCCGTTTGATTCGGTCCTTGAGGTCTGTTACGCCCATGGCTCGTTGCTGCGATTGCTGGTCGTCTTCATCACGATCTTTCGCCTCGTTGTCGATGCAGCGTTTTCGTTCCTGTAACATTTGCACGAGCTCCTTTTCCAGCGTTTTCACCTTGACGAACGCCAACGAGTAGCCGATGGCCGCTCGAACAAAAAGAAACATGACGTCTGCAGTGGGAATATTCAAGACATAATGAGTAGGTGCGCAAACAGCGGGTAGATTAACCCATGGGTTCCTGTTACCTGTTTTGTGGAAGTCCACGAACTTGAGCGGCAGGTGAAATTGACCATTGCGCCAGCTCAGCTCGATCTCGCCGTAAATATCACTCATTCGCTTCCGGACGTCGTCAGTAGAACCTCGGACTAACGGGGCTGGTGGCCTAGAGCAAGCGTGCCGATATCAGTTCCGTCACAAACTTCATTTTGCTCCAACGATCGCAACACTTACTCGGGCTGCAGGCCATTGCGCCTATGGGTTGCCGGGGCATGCTCGTGGGCTGGCATCGCTTGTTGTTTTCCTCCTTCGAGACTTCTGATGGCATCAATGAACTTGCACTCACTCAAGCACCCGATAAAAATAACAGCAAAAGTCCGCAGCGCTGACAGATAAAGCTCAACACATATTTCCTCTCATTTGAAAAGCCTGCGGGTTTACCTGCACAGTCAGCGGTCCTTTACTTCTGTTCCGGAACTGCTCAAAACTCCTCACTGTCATGTGCAAGCGTGCTCACTCCAAGCTCCACTGCATGCTTAAATGGCCCATTCACTGCCCTCATTTTCCTCGTCCTCTGGTGTGATGAATGGCGTGTGAATAGACTTGATCATGACCTCGCCACAGAAAATACACTCGGATGCGATGATCTCGTCTAGCTTCTGCTGCACCATCTCCCGCTCCTGCGCAATCGACTGCTCCTTGGCAGCATTCTTTGCCTTCGCCGTGGCCGCAGCGCTGCCTCCCTCTGCACCAGGCGTCATCACCTCCTTCTCACTCGAGGACAAGTTCAGGAATGGGAAGGCAGACAGCGGCCGCTGGAAGAAGTTCGTGCTCGCGGGCATCTCTGTAGATAACTCGTTGAGTTTCTGGATAAGCTGCTTCACCGTTTGCCGCTGGAAGCTGTTGAGGTGCTTCTGCATCTCTTGACGCAACGCGCCCGCGTGGAAGGCGTGCGAGCACGGGAAGAGGTAGAACTCCTTGCCCAAAATGTTCTGGCCAGTCAGCTCGCAGCGCTGGTTGCCCGACACCACTGCGCAACGCTTGCGCAGCTTCTGCATGTCTGCACGGATCAGCTCTGCAGACTGCGTGTAATCTTGCATCTCTTCCTTGAGCTGCTCAATGCGGTCGTTATACACCTCAAGGGACTCGCAAATTTCCTTCTTGAAGTCGTTGATGAGAACAAAGTCGGGGAAGAACGGCAGGATATCCTCGATCTTCAGCAGACCGCTCTCCTTGAGGATGTTCATGGCATCCTTGATCTCACCACCGGCATCAATAGTATGCTTGGCAATCAGCGTCCAGAGCTTCTTGCGAGTCTCGTCATCTTCAGGCATGCTCGCCATTTCCTTGGCAATCTTCACATCCACTTGGAGGGCCTTCTCAACAGCGTCTTGGTACAGCCCCATGGCCGAGTAGATGTAGATACAGGCGCGATTCTTCTCGTTCTGCGTGCAAAGCCGCAGAGCGAAGGCAATGTCGAACAAATGCTTGCCATTGTGCTTCTTGCGCAGGAAACTGATCAGCAAGCGCTCATCGGGGTGCTTGGCCAGCAAAAACAGCAAGTAGTTGTGGATCGTGGGGTCCCGGTTGCCCTGCTTGATGGCGAACTTCAGGAAGCGGATAGCCATATCCAACACCGATCGGTTCTTGGTCGTGTTGCTGGCTGGGTCGCTGCCCCCGCCGCTCTTTTGGTGCACATGACGCACAATAGACGGGATAAGCCGCGTCGGGTTCAGTGTGGCAGCTTCGAGCCACGCCTCGTACACCTCCTTTGGCTTGTGGATGATCAGCTCAGGCGAGTACTTGTACCAGAGCTCCTCGACCTTCGACGTCTCCACGCTACGCAGCAGCTCGATGGCAGCTCCATACTCACCACGGTCCACGTGGTATGTAATCACCTTCTCGTAGTCCTCAATAAGCGTAGCGTAAAAGACAAGCTCATCTGGTCGACCGTGGCTGGAAATCAAATTGAAAGTCGTGGCGGGGTCGAGGTGGGTCTTCTGGTCCTGCAGGAACTGCTTGAACTCGAACAGCAAGTTCGCGTGGGCGTCCACATCCTGCGCGCTGCCCTTGAGTACGTTAAATTTGTCCAAGAACAGCTCGACAATCCACGAACACAGCACCGTTTTCTGCGTCTTCTCGTCGCCTCCCAAGCTCTTGAGTTTCTGCAGCAAGAAAAGCAGGAGGGAGTCGCGAGTCTCCTTCTCCAAGAACTTCAGCGCCACCTCCTCAAAAGAGCGCGTCGTCTTGGCGTAGATGACAGCGGCACGGTCGTACTCTCCCCTGTCGAAAAGCTTGTCCGCCTGCGCCGTCAACACGCGCTGCCGCTCCCAGCCATTGCGGCACACACCAAGCGCCTGCTCGAAGTCCCGGTCGTCGCCATTGCCCATCACCGCCTTGCTCAAGAACAGCTTCCACACGTCACGGTCCTCATCAGCGATCACAACCTCCAGGATGCGGCGGTTGGAGTGGATCCAGACCGTGTTGAACGTGTCATCCACCGTGATACCGTGGACGTTACCCACTCTCGAGTCAAAGGTCTCCTCCATCACCACCACGCCGCTCAACTTGGACACCACCTGCACATGGCGCGCGTACAACAGAATGACGTGGTACTGCGTCACCGCCATGGAAATGGGCGGCGTCCACGAGCCACGACTACCCGACGACTTCTCGGGCTTACCGGGGTACGCCAACAAGCCCGTTCCCGTGGCCACGTTCTCCATCGTACTCGACAGTCCGAACACGAATTCTCCATGGTACACGCCCTCACCAGTGAGCACTCCGAAGCCCTTGGCGCGCTCCCGCTCCTGCTTAGCATAAAACCTCAGCTCCGCCGTGGTGACATCCCCCGGCAGCTCCTGGAACCTCAACTTGTCCGGACTCGTGTACTCGTTGAACATCCCCTCCAGGCCTCCAGCCCCGCCGCCAATGAACTGGAACATGCGCGTGGGTCTCTTCCCCGACGCCGACGTGGTGAGCATGACGTAGTACCGCAAGTCCCCGGACGGCAGCTTCCAGTGCTCGAAGCCGATGCCGGCAATGGGCCCCTGGTTGGAGATCTGGTACACCTTCTTGAAGGACTTTTCCTTGCCGCCGTCGAACTCGGCCTCGAACACGGCGCCCGAGTCCGTGCCGATGAGCACGGGCTCGGAGGCCTCGGGCGTGCCGGACTGCCGGTCCCACGCCACGCTCGTGAACTGCAGCGCCTGCGCCTTCATGATCTTCTTGGGCCGCGTGCTGCCCGTGTGCAGGTAGAAATTCGACCCGTTCTCCATCGAGATGAGCACGTGCGCGCCCGTGGGGTCGATGAACACGTTGGACATGGCCACGCGCGGCTCGATCATGATCTCCTCGACGGTGCCGGAGCTGTCGGTGGCCTCCGTCGTGCAGCGCAGCAGCATGCCCTCCTGCGAGCCCATGGCCAGCACGCCGTTGCCCACGCCCATGCAGCTGAGCGTGAAGCCCTTGCGCCGCGAGACCTTGAGCCCGTGCTCGCGCAGCTCGAACATGGGCTTCTCCTCCTCCTGGCCGGCGCCCTCCGCGTCGTCGCCGACAGTCTCGAAGTCGAAGTCGTCGTTGCTGCTCGTGTCGGCCGCGCCGCCGTACGTGTCGGCGGAGGCGGCGCCGGCGCCGTACGGAGACTCGTACATGCCGGCGCCTCCATCGAAGCCGCCGCTGCCGCCCCCGCGCGAGTCGAAGGACTCCTCCTCCTTCTTCCAGTCCGCGAACAGATCCGCCGACATGTCGTTCCGATGCTGCCGGGTGTCGGTCGGTGCGGAAGCTGGGGTTTTCTCCCTGTGAGATGGATCTGGGGAAGATTGACTTGGAGTTTGTATGGGGTACACGAGGGGGTACTGTCATTAAAGTGGGTTAACAGGTCTGATAAGGATACGTCGTGTAACTTTTAGGGGTACACTTTTCCTTTTGTGTTGTAAATGTCGGAGGGCCCCGAGAAGTTCGTGACCGGCAGCCGGACGCTGCTGAACGCGCTGCTGCTGCGCGGCGACGTGGTGCCCGACGAGATGCAGCGCGTGCAGGAGCTGGTGGAGTGCGTGGACAACAACGCGCAGAAGATCGCGGCGGCGCTGGCGGCCAACCGCCGGCGAGGAGCCAGCGTCACGGGCGCGGATACCACGGCGCAGCTCTTGAAGGAGCAGAAGCAGTTTATCTCGCAGGTGGGTGGCGCACCATTGCACTAAAATAATCAGCACTGTGGTGTCTGCATAGCGGCATGCTTTGGTGGTCCAACAATGTTTTCCTAGTGTTTTCCGTTGAGTTTTAATGTCGTTTGAACTGGGGGTTTGGACTGCAGATCGTAGAGCTGTATGAGCAACTGAGTAACAAGCCGGCTCCGGCATCGCAGGCAGCAGAGTAAGGCATCTAATATAATAAGTCCACGGCAATGACGCTGAAGTGGCGTTATCCGTGCTTTCCAAACGCAAGCGACGGTATCGACACCTTTGAAGCGATTGCCACGACTACTGCAGTTACTCATCGCTTTGCGGCCTATGCATGGAGCAATTTCACTGCCTTAGCAGACATACCGGTTAGTTGGGCACCGGTTGATTTCGTCTAGCAATCGACGCAACCAGTCCGCGCACAGAGAAAGAAGATATCCTCGACCAGCCGAAGAAAATTGAAGACCCTGCAGCCACGACGTCGACTGAATCCGATGTAAGCAGGTCAGGTTGCTTTGATCAAGGTGGAGGGAAAAGGTCACCTGCACAGAAAGCATTCTTGAATCGTTTCGGCTCACAGTGACAGTTTCCGCAAAGGCGGGTTTTTTACGTACTCTAACATGGTTTCATGGTCGAATCAAGCTTCAGTAACTTCGCAATACGAACTACTTTTAGATGAACACAATGCCCTACTATCCCGAGATAGCTGCTACTGGTCCTATCCCGACGAAGCGAAGCTCACAGGCGGTTCGCTAGTCTCGTTTGAGACTGCATACTTGAGCTTATCACCTTCGTTGGTATACCCTTAATCAGCTATATAGTTTTCATCGAGCACAGTCAACTCACTTCCGTGCCACCGGCGCTGATCCGGCTAGAGCCTTACTATGTCTCGCTGACTGGAAACCCAATCACCGAGCTTTCGCCAGACATCTTTGAAATCCCAAGCATAGCATATCTGATACTGGGTGATATTGACATTGTGGAGCTGCCCCGCGATGTTCCGAACCTCTCTCCGATGCTGTTCTCGATTTACTTGAGTGACACCAATGTATCCTTCTTCTGGTCGTGGATCGACGCATTGGTTTTGCGGAATTCAGAGCTTGGAGAACCAACATTGTTCTTGGGAGGATCGACGTACTGCACCGAGCTGGCAATGCTAATGGATGGAGAGGCGTCGTCTTTTGGCGTGAAAGAATCGGAGGGATATTCCGAAATACTCGTGGATCCGTCGGATGCAACTCGCGACGTGATACTAAATACTGTTAGCTGCGATGAAGCGTACACAGCAACGTTTTACCCGATTGATGTCGAAGATGCGAACAGCGCTATCGTGAATTCAGCTTAGTCCATAGGAGTACTATTGCGGCAACCACGGTGTGCGTGTCGCCGGACCGCGGCGAGATAGCCCCACCAGCACGACAGCTGAGGACGCGCCGCTGGCCACAGACAAAGGTCTGCTCGCGCCGGACGTAGCACTTCAGAGCGACGCTTCCCGCCGCAGCACCGCAGATCAAGCCGATGGATCTGCCTGTCAGCGCGCCTTGGCCGCCGAACAGCCCGACCGAGCCGTCGCTAGAACCTGTCGTGCTGGCGGAGCTGAGGCCGGGCGTGATTGATAACTTGTCGCTATTGCCGACCGAGCTGTCGCCCACGCGCACCGACCCATTTTCTCGCTCGCGACTAGTACCGCTCGTTAGACGCAGACTGACGCTCACGCCGCTGGTGCTCGCCGATTTCGGAGTCGTCAGCGATATGTCGTCGCTGGACGTCGTCAGGCAGGTCGACCCGCCACTCGCCACGCCACCGCCGTCGCTCAACGAGATCGAGCCCCCGACCGTGCCAACGACCACTGTCCAGAAGTGCTGGAACGGCGGTGTCCTCAGCGCCAACACGGACCCATCCTAGCAATGCACCACAACAACATCCAACCTTCCTAATCCTCACTCCGTCCGGTTTTCATTCCAACCCGAAGACAATGACGCTGACACCAATTTCGTTTAGACTATTGCAATAGAGATAGCGAGAATACCTGTCTGCCGGTGCTCTTCCATCTCCAGCTCGACAAGCCTACCTTGTGTGTCGCCCGATGCCATCCGTCGTGGCCAGAACGCTGGGCGGCGCAGCGCAATCGGCCGCATTGGATGCAGGCGCCCTTGCTCCCGCGAGTACGCTCGCACGTTGCGGCCTCCCTCGCCGCCGCCACACACGCGTTAAGCCGTCGCGGCCACGTCCGGCAGCACCACGTACGCTCGCAGGTGGCGCGTTGCTCCCATTGGCCGGCAGGATACGCGACCCCGTGACGCGCCCAGGTGACGCCGCGAGCGCATCTCCATTTGACGAGGTCGGCGTGGAGAGGTCACAAGACGCAGGTGTCGCAATAGCCAGGGGATAGGTTTGATTCTTTTGTTTCATAGAACCTGTCGTTAATCATCTCCTTGCCACTAAACACGGGGGAACGTCAGCCGCGTACGCTCTCATGCGGGCCGTAAAAACTCTCGTAAAAAGCCCTTCTTACCCAGCGCAGTTCAACGTGCAGGATATCCGAGGTCGACTACGTACCTCCTGCCTGCAAGTACCGGATCCGGTGCCACAGCTCAAGTTGCTCTGCAGCGCGCACTCACTCCGCCGCCGCCCAAGAACCCACCCACCCACCTCCACCTTCCACCCCTACCCAGTGCAGTAGCAGCCATGGCCAAGCAGCACCTCGCCAAGGGCATCGGCCGCATGTCCGAGATGATCATGACCAAGGGCAAGGGCTCGTGGATCTGGACGAGCGACAACCGCAAGCTGCTGGACTTCACGAGCGGCATCGCCGTGACCAGCGTGGGCCACTCGCACCCGAAGGTGGTGGCCGCAGTGCAGAAGCAGGCGGCCACGCTCGTGCACGCGCAGGTGAACATCGGCTACCACCAGCCCATGCTGGACCTGACGGAGAAGCTGCTGCCGGTGCTGCCCAAGAGCCTGGATTCGCTCTTCTTCGCGTGCAGCGGCTCGGAGGCCGTGGAGAACGCCGTCAAGCTGGCGCGCCACGCCACGGGCAAGAGCAGGGTGATCGCGTTCCAGGGCGGCTACCACGGCCGCACGGTCGGCACCATGAGCCTCACGTCGAGCAAGACGGTGTACAGCGCCGGCTTCGGTCCGCTCATGCCCGGCGTCACGTTCGTGCCGTACCCGTACGCGCTGCACGGCCCGATCCACGACGAGGAGAAGAACTCCGAGTGGTGCCTGGAGCAGCTGCGCCTGGCGCTCAAGCAGCAGTCGGCGCCGCGCGACACGGCGGCCATCATCATCGAGTCGGTGATGGGCGAGGGCGGCTACGTCGTGCCGCCCAAGAGCTTCATGAAGGGTCTGCGCGAGATCGCGTCGGAGAACGACATCCTGCTGATCGCGGACGAGGTGCAGTCCGGCTTCGGGCGCACGGGCGACTACTTCGCCATCGACAGCTACTTTGACGTGCAGCCGGACATCCTGGCCTTCGCCAAGGGAATTGCTGACGGCTACCCGATCAGTGGCATTGCCAGCCGCAAGGAGCTGACGGACACGCAGCCTGCTGGGTCGATGGGCGGCACTTACGCCGGCAACGCCGTGGCGTGCGCTGCTGCCATTGCGACGCAGGAGGTCATTGCGGAGGAGAACGTGCTGGAGAACACGCGCGCTCGTGGTGCGCAGCTGCGCGCCGGCCTCGACAAGCTCAAGGCGTCGGGCATGTACCCGATTCAGGACGTGCGTGGCCTGGGTCTGATGCTCGGCATCGAGTTCGACCTCGCGAAGGCCCCGATAGGCACGGCCAACAAGATCTCGGCGGCGTGCCTGGACCACGGCATGATGCTGCTGACCACGAGCATCTACGAGACCCTGCGGTTCATGCCCGCGCTTACGGTGACGGAGGACGAGTGCGCGCTTGCACTGGAGATTTTCGAGAAGGCTCTGGACGACGTGTTCGCGAAGTAGACGTGTTAGGTCCTAGTAACCCGATCAATGTAATGTTTGTTATACTGTTCATTGACCCAATTGCGCTGGTGCAGTATCTCTCAACTCGCTGCAGAAGCTTGCACTTCACAGATGAATGCCTGACTGGATACCTACAAGCAACATCAGTCTCGCTTCAACAATAGTCTCGGGACAACTGTGTAATTTCAGCTGCGATAATCTACTATAAAATCGATCCCAGGGACCCAATGGTAATTTTTTTTCTAAAACGAGTTTTTAGCAATCACGTTTAGTTAAATCAAGTCAAAGGGAGGGATACTAATTAATTTCTCCATCATATTCGTTAGGTCACCTACAGTAGGTGGAACACAATTGCCGATTTTTCAGTTGATTTATTTTATTTAATAAACGCTTTGAGAAATTACTTCATATTTGTTTAGAAGCTGAAATCCTTAACAACTTAACTACATTACATAAAATACCATTGCTAGAATAAACACCGCTGGCAAAAAACAAAAATTAAACAATGAGCCTCTGTTGCTGATCTACAACGAAAGGAGAAAACAAAAAACGGTCCTGCATAATTTTTAGTATAGTGCACAACGCACTCTGTCCTAAACGAGGCTACATGATAATGTTATTACAATGCTGTATTAAATCATGTGAAGGGGCTGGCGATTTTGTAATTTTGAGTTTTTCAAATATTTAAAAACGTCCACTGTTATACGAACTTTACAGCAAGGGAATGAGAGATGTGGGTGCCCTTGTTGTATTTGTATGAAATGGGACAGTTTTGAAGAATAAAAAGTTCAAAATATCAAAACTTTCGGGATACCTGGTATGAAACTAACAACCCACCTGTACTAAAAAAATAAACTGTTTTTGTACATCTAGTCAAACATATCAAAACAGCAATTCATAAAAGGTGAGGTGAGGCTTCGCTGAAGTCTATTATGAGCATAATTAGAAATATATGCACTAGTGACGATGATTGTTTTATCGTGGTGGTCTATCATCTAGCCTTGTAAATTATCAATTTCTTGTTATCTACACAATCCAGAGCGGATATTACCGAAACTCGTTTTTCAATAAGCTAAACATTTCATATTTCGACACAAAAGGTGGTGAGTCAAGCTCTGTTTCTCTTTTACCCCCCTCTCTAAAACACAAGTGAATTGAAAATGATTCAGCCTTAAATAACAAAAAACTGGAAAAATCTAGCTGAAATTGTTTTACTTTTTTAGATTGCTTGTAAGGTTGCAAAATTTAGTTCACATAACATCGTTGCGATGTAATATTGCATGCATTGTAAAAACTCACTACCTTTTCTAATAATAGAAATAATAATGTTTTCTATCATGTAACAAATTTGACGACTCTGTCATCTTTTACTAGAGTCAGCATGATTCAGAGCAAAAACTAGGTAAAGAAACAGTTTTTTCTAACAAGTTGTCACTAAAACGTTTTCATGGCCTGGCCTGCCTGATCGTGACCTCGAGCACCTTAAAGTAATGCTTGAACTCTTCGTCTTCAAAAGAAGCTACCTGTTCACAGTTGCGCAGGTACCCGCCCGTGTTCGAAAGCACCATACAACTGGGGAGACCTTAGTTATCTTGAATCACCTCATTCATTTGCTTGGTTTCGTCCAGCTTGTCGCGGGCTACGTGCTGCTCTTCGTCAATCTCAACGATGACGAAAACGCCTTGACATCGCATGAATCCGTCTGGAAGACCCGCACAGTCCCTCTTCATAGAAGGGGAAAAAATCACCAACTCCTCCGTGAACGCGTTTTCACGGATCTTTGTCGATGATTGGATCTGGCGCGTCCGGATGCTCCTTGAAGTAGCACTTCCTGCTATGCGTCCGAAACACCTTACTTGCCATCTTCATCTCGCACGCCACACAGCGCTTGTTGACCACGTCCTCCATACCATCGTCAGAATGAGCACGACAGTCAAGCAGTGTTCCTATTCCGCCCCAAAGGTAGATTGAGTCGCACGACCATCGTGAACACACTTTGGGTTTATCACGTCGATCAGCTCATCCAAATCGCTACACTTCTTGGCGGAAGGAGAGCCGTAGATAGCCTTGCCTCCTTCATAGACATACGTCCCCATCGTAACACCGCACGTCTTGCATGAACAGCTTTTTCGGGTCGAGGAATACCGAAAGTCGTCGTCTTGACTTTTATTTTGTGAAGACACGAGACAAGGAGAAGCCCATCGCTGCATTTTACCGATCGTTTCGTTGTTTTGCAATCCACACATTTCATATGGACTTAACGCTACCAGGCCGATCCTTTTGCACTGGGTTCTCTAGTCATCTCGCTTCCCGCAAATGACTGCATCTTTCTCGGATTCATTCCCATCTTTGATGCCGGAACCAATTCAGCTTACGTGTCGCCTCCAACCCAAGCCTGCCACACACAGTAATAACAATGAACGCACTGCAGACCGGGGCCACAGGTCACCGCCCTATCACACGGCACTATCGGACAATTTTTGTGCCTTCTACGTGTGCACGTCGGGCGAGTACACCCGTCGTGGAGACATCCATACGTGAATTTGGAGCTCCGACTTGGATTCGGGTGGTCTGCCCACCTTCGAAGCAGCCAACCCGCATCCAGGGCGCGCGGTCGCACAATGGGTATTGTACTTGGCATGCTCCGCGGGGTGCTTCTTGTCTCCAACTCCATCCACCACGCACGCCATCCCGAAAAACGTGTACTTGTCCCGAAGGTGCTTCCCATGTGCGCAATTGAAACAGTAGATCCACTGGTTATGTCTGTGAGCGGTCAGTGGGACTTAGCCCTTAGCCAGTCTTTGTCGCTTCTTAGTCTCACGCGACAAAGGCGGAGTGTAGCGCTGTACATGCAACAGAGCTGAAATCCTACAACTTAACCCTATTGTGGTTGATGGTCCTAAAACCTTGCAATATGCTTGGTTTTACAAATTTAATCCAGTCAAATCACACCTCTATTGATTTTGACCTATTATATCACTTGCGTAAAACCAAGCATTTTGCAAGGTTTTACAACAATAATTGCGATAATTTTTGGTAAACTCCTGCAAAATGATATATTATGCTGCGGGGTGCGGCGCAAAACCAAGCATTTATGCATGTTATACACTTTACCATGGGGCCTTCAGTTTACAAAACTCAAGTATAATTTTGAACACTAAAGGGTTAACTACATTACATAAAATACCATTGCTAGAATAAACACCGCTGGCAAAAAACAAAAAATAAACAATGAGCCTCTGTTGCTGATCTACAACGAAAGGAGAAAACAAAAAACGGTCTTGCATAATTTTTAGTATAGTGCACAACGCACTCTGTCCTAAACGAGGCTACATGATAATGTTATTACAATGCTGTATTAAATCATGTGAAGGGGCTGGCGATTTTGTAATTTTGAGTTTTTCAAATATTTAAAAACGTCCACTGTTATACGAACTTTACAGCAAGGGAATGAGAGATGTGGGTGCCCTTGTTGTATTTGTATGAAATGGGACAGTTTTGAAGAATAAAAAGTTCAAAATATCAAAACTTTCGGGATACCTGGTATGAAACTAACAACCCACCTGTACTAAAAAAATAAACTGTTTTTGTACATCTAGTCAAACATATCAAAACAGCAATTCATAAAAGGTGAGGTGAGGCTTCGCTGAAGTCTATTATGAGCATAATTAGAAATATATGCACTAGTGACGATGATTGTTTTATCGTGGTGGTCTATCATCTAGCCTTGTAAATTATCAATTTCTTGTTATCTACACAATCCAGAGCGGATATTACCGAAACTCGTTTTTCAATAAGCTAAACATTTCATATTTCGACACAAAAGGTGGTGAGTCAAGCTCTGTTTCTCTTTTACCCCCCTCTCTAAAACACAAGTGAATTGAAAATGATTCAGCCTTAAATAACAAAAAACTGGAAAAATCTAGCTGAAATTGTTTTACTTTTTTAGATTGCTTGTAAGGTTGCAAAATTTAGTTCACATAACATCGTTGCGATGTAATATTGCATGCATTGTAAAAACTCACTACCTTTTCTAATAATAGAAATAATAATGTTTTCTATCATGTAACAAATTTGACGACTCTGTCATCTTTTACTAGAGTCAGCATGATTCAGAGCAAAAACTAGGTAAAGAAACAGTTTTTTCTAACAAGTTGTCACTAAAACGTTTTCATGACCTGGCCTGCCTGATCGTGACCTCGAGCACCTTAAAGTAATGCTTGAACTCTTCGTCTTCAAAAGAAGCTACCTGTTCACAGTTGCGCAGGTACCCGCCCGAGTTCGAAAGCACCATACAACTGGGGAGACCTTAGTTATCTTGAATCACCTCATTCATTTGCTTGGTTTCGTCCAGCTTGTCGCGGGCTACGTGCGGCTCTTCGTCAATCTCAACGATGACGAAAACGCCTTGACATCGCATGAATCCGTCTGGAAGACCCGCACAGTCCCTCTTCATAGAAGGGGAAAAAATCACCAACTCCTCCGTGAACGCGTTTTCACGGATCTTTGTCGATGATTGGATCTGGCGCGTCCGGATGCTCCTTGAAGTAGCACTTCCTGCTATGCGTCCGAAACACCTTACTTGCCATCTTCATCTCGCACGCCACACAGCGCTTGTTGACCACGTCCTCCATACCATCGTCAGAATGAGCACGACAGTCAAGCAGTGTTCCTATTCCGCCCCAAAGGTAGATTGAGTCGCACGACCATCGTGAACACACTTTGGGTTTATCACGTCGATCAGCTCATCCAAATCGCTACACTTCTTGGCGGAAGGAGAGCCGTAGATAGCCTTGCCTCCTTCATAGACATACGTCCCCATCGTAACACCGCACGTCTTGCATGAACAGCTTTTTCGGGTCGAGGAATACCGAAAGTCGTCGTCTTGACTTTTATTTTGTGAAGACACGAGACAAGGAGAAGCCCATCGCTGCATTTTACCGATCGTTTCGTTGTTTTGCAATCCACACATTTCATATGGACTTAACGCTACCAGGCCGATCCTTTTGCACTGGGTTCTCTAGTCATCTCGCTTCCCGCAAATGACTGCATCTTTCTCGGATTCATTCCCATCTTTGATGCCGGAACCAATTCAGCTTACGTGTCGCCTCCAACCCAAGCCTGCCACACACAGTAATAACAATGAACGCACTGCAGACCGGGGCCACAGGTCACCGCCCTATCACACGGCACTATCGGACAATTTTTGTGCCTTCTACGTGTGCACGTCGGGCGAGTACACCCGTCGTGGAGACATCCATACGTGAATTTGGAGCTCCGACTTGGATTCGGGTGGTCTGCCCACCTTCGAAGCAGCCAACCCGCATCCAGGGCGCGCGGTCGCACAATGGGTATTGTACTTGGCATGCTCCGCGGGGTGCTTCTTGTCTCCAACTCCATCCACCACGCACGCCATCCCGAAAAACGTGTACTTGTCCCGAAGGTGCTTCCCATGTGCGCAATTGAAACAGTAGATCCACTGGTTATGTCTGTGAGCGGTCAGTGGGACTTAGCCCTTAGCCAGTCTTTGTCGCTTCTTAGTCTCACGCGACAAAGGCGGAGTGTAGCGCTGTACATGCAACAGAGCTGAAATCCTACAACTTAACCCTATTGTGGTTGATGGTCCTAAAACCTTGCAATATGCTTGGTTTTACAAATTTAATCCAGTCAAATCACACCTCTATTGATTTTGACCTATTATATCACTTGCGTAAAACCAAGCATTTTGCAAGGTTTTACAACAATAATTGCGATAATTTTTGGTAAACTCCTGCAAAATGATATATTATGCTGCGGGGTGCGGCGCAAAACCAAGCATTTATGCATGTTATACACTTTACCATGGGGCCTTCAGTTTACAAAACTCAAGTATAATTTTGAACACTAAAGGGTTAACTACATTACATAAAATACCATTGCTAGAATAAACACCGCTGGCAAAAAACAAAAAATAAACAATGAGCCTCTGTTGCTGATCTACAACGAAAGGAGAAAACAAAAAACGGTCTTGCATAATTTTTAGTATAGTGCACAACGCACTCTGTCCTAAACGAGGCTACATGATAATGTTATTACAATGCTGTATTAAATCATGTGAAGGGGCTGGCGATTTTGTAATTTTGAGTTTTTCAAATATTTAAAAACGTCCACTGTTATACGAACTTTACAGCAAGGGAATGAGAGATGTGGGTGCCCTTGTTGTATTTGTATGTGAACAGGTAGCTTCTTTTGAAGACGAAGAGTTCAAGCATTACTTTAAGGTGCTCGAGGTCACGATCAGGCAGGCCAGGCCATGAAAACGTTTTAGTGACAACTTGTTAGAAAAAACTGTTTCTTTACCTAGTTTTTGCTCTGAATCATGCTGACTCTAGTAAAAGATGACAGAGTCGTCAAATTTGTTACATGATAGAAAACATTATTATTTCTATTATTAGAAAAGGTAGTGAGTTTTTACAATGCATGCAATATTACATCGCAACGATGTTATGTGAACTAAATTTTGCAACCTTACAAGCAATCTAAAAAAGTAAAACAATTTCAGCTAGATTTTTCCAGTTTTTTGTTATTTAAGGCTGAATCATTTTCAATTCACTTGTGTTTTAGAGAGGGGGGTAAAAGAGAAACAGAGCTTGACTCACCACCTTTTGTGTCGAAATATGAAATGTTTAGCTTATTGAAAAACGAGTTTCGGTAATATCCGCTCTGGATTGTGTAGATAACAAGAAATTGATAATTTACAAGGCTAGATGATAGACCACCACGATAAAACAATCATCGTCACTAGTGCATATATTTCTAATTATGCTCATAATAGACTTCAGCGAAGCCTCACCTCACCTTTTATGAATTGCTGTTTTGATATGTTTGACTAGATGTACAAAAACAGTTTATTTTTTTAGTACAGGTGGGTTGTTAGTTTCATACCAGGTATCCCGAAAGTTTTGATATTTTGAACTTTTTATTCTTCAAAACTGTCCCATTTCATACAAATACAACAAGGGCACCCACATCTCTCATTCCCTTGCTGTAAAGTTCGTATAACAGTGGACGTTTTTAAATATTTGAAAAACTCAAAATTACAAAATCGCCAGCCCCTTCACATGATTTAATACAGCATTGTAATAACATTATCATGTAGCCTCGTTTAGGACAGAGTGCGTTGTGCACTATACTAAAAATTATGCAAGACCGTTTTTTGTTTTCTCCTTTCGTTGTAGATCAGCAACAGAGGCTCATTGTTTAATTTTTGTTTTTTGCCAGCGGTGTTTATTCTAGCAATGGTATTTTATGTAATGTAGTTAAGTTGTTAAGGATTTCAGCTTCTAAACAAATATGAAGTAATTTCTCAAAGCGTTTATTAAATAAAATAAATCAACTGAAAAATCGGCAATTGTGTTCCACCTACTGTAGGTGACCTAACGAATATGATGGAGAAATTAATTAGTATCCCTCCCTTTGACTTGATTTAACTAAACGTGATTGCTAAAAACTCGTTTTAGAAAAAAAATTACCATTGGGTCCCTGGGATCGATTTTATAGTAGATTATCGCAGCTGAAATTACACAGTTGTCCCGAGACTATTGTTGAAGCGAGACTGATGTTGCTTGTAGGTATCCAGTCAGGCATTCATCTGTGAAGTGCAAGCTTCTGCAGCGAGTTGAGAGATACTGCACCAGCGCAATTGGGTCAATGAACAGTATAACAAACATTACATTGATCGGGTTACTAGGACCTAACACGTCTACTTCGCGAACACGTCGTCCAGAGCCTTCTCGAAAATCTCCAGTGCAAGCGCGCACTCGTCCTCCGTCACCGTAAGCGCGGGCATGAACCGCAGGGTCTCGTAGATGCTCGTGGTCAGCAGCATCATGCCGTGGTCCAGGCACGCCGCCGAGATCTTGTTGGCCGTGCCTATCGGGGCCTTCGCGAGGTCGAACTCGATGCCGAGCATCAGACCCAGGCCACGCACGTCCTGAATCGGGTACATGCCCGACGCCTTGAGCTTGTCGAGGCCGGCGCGCAGCTGCGCACCACGAGCGCGCGTGTTCTCCAGCACGTTCTCCTCCGCAATGACCTCCTGCGTCGCAATGGCAGCAGCGCACGCCACGGCGTTGCCGGCGTAAGTGCCGCCCATCGACCCAGCAGGCTGCGTGTCCGTCAGCTCCTTGCGGCTGGCAATGCCACTGATCGGGTAGCCGTCAGCAATTCCCTTGGCGAAGGCCAGGATGTCCGGCTGCACGTCAAAGTAGCTGTCGATGGCGAAGTAGTCGCCCGTGCGCCCGAAGCCGGACTGCACCTCGTCCGCGATCAGCAGGATGTCGTTCTCCGACGCGATCTCGCGCAGACCCTTCATGAAGCTCTTGGGCGGCACGACGTAGCCGCCCTCGCCCATCACCGACTCGATGATGATGGCCGCCGTGTCGCGCGGCGCCGACTGCTGCTTGAGCGCCAGGCGCAGCTGCTCCAGGCACCACTCGGAGTTCTTCTCCTCGTCGTGGATCGGGCCGTGCAGCGCGTACGGGTACGGCACGAACGTGACGCCGGGCATGAGCGGACCGAAGCCGGCGCTGTACACCGTCTTGCTCGACGTGAGGCTCATGGTGCCGACCGTGCGGCCGTGGTAGCCGCCCTGGAACGCGATCACCCTGCTCTTGCCCGTGGCGTGGCGCGCCAGCTTGACGGCGTTCTCCACGGCCTCCGAGCCGCTGCACGCGAAGAAGAGCGAATCCAGGCTCTTGGGCAGCACCGGCAGCAGCTTCTCCGTCAGGTCCAGCATGGGCTGGTGGTAGCCGATGTTCACCTGCGCGTGCACGAGCGTGGCCGCCTGCTTCTGCACTGCGGCCACCACCTTCGGGTGCGAGTGGCCCACGCTGGTCACGGCGATGCCGCTCGTGAAGTCCAGCAGCTTGCGGTTGTCGCTCGTCCAGATCCACGAGCCCTTGCCCTTGGTCATGATCATCTCGGACATGCGGCCGATGCCCTTGGCGAGGTGCTGCTTGGCCATGGCTGCTACTGCACTGGGTAGGGGTGGAAGGTGGAGGTGGGTGGGTGGGTTCTTGGGCGGCGGCGGAGTGAGTGCGCGCTGCAGAGCAACTTGAGCTGTGGCACCGGATCCGGTACTTGCAGGCAGGAGGTACGTAGTCGACCTCGGATATCCTGCACGTTGAACTGCGCTGGGTAAGAAGGGCTTTTTACGAGAGTTTTTACGGCCCGCATGAGAGCGTACGCGGCTGACGTTCCCCCGTGTTTAGTGGCAAGGAGATGATTAACGACAGGTTCTATGAAACAAAAGAATCAAACCTATCCCCTGGCTATTGCGACACCTGCGTCTTGTGACCTCTCCACGCCGACCTCGTCAAATGGAGATGCGCTCGCGGCGTCACCTGGGCGCGTCACGGGGTCGCGTATCCTGCCGGCCAATGGGAGCAACGCGCCACCTGCGAGCGTACGTGGTGCTGCCGGACGTGGCCGCGACGGCTTAACGCGTGTGTGGCGGCGGCGAGGGAGGCCGCAACGTGCGAGCGTACTCGCGGGAGCAAGGGCGCCTGCATCCAATGCGGCCGATTGCGCTGCGCCGCCCAGCGTTCTGGCCACGACGGATGGCATCGGGCGACACACAAGGTAGGCTTGTCGAGCTGGAGATGGAAGAGCACCGGCAGACAGGTATTCTCGCTATCTCTATTGCAATAGTCTAAACGAAATTGGTGTCAGCGTCATTGTCTTCGGGTTGGAATGAAAACCGGACGGAGTGAGGATTAGGAAGGTTGGATGTTGTTGTGGTGCATTGCTAGGATGGGTCCGTGTTGGCGCTGAGGACACCGCCGTTCCAGCACTTCTGGACAGTGGTCGTTGGCACGGTCGGGGGCTCGATCTCGTTGAGCGACGGCGGTGGCGTGGCGAGTGGCGGGTCGACCTGCCTGACGACGTCCAGCGACGACATATCGCTGACGACTCCGAAATCGGCGAGCACCAGCGGCGTGAGCGTCAGTCTGCGTCTAACGAGCGGTACTAGTCGCGAGCGAGAAAATGGGTCGGTGCGCGTGGGCGACAGCTCGGTCGGCAATAGCGACAAGTTATCAATCACGCCCGGCCTCAGCTCCGCCAGCACGACAGGTTCTAGCGACGGCTCGGTCGGGCTGTTCGGCGGCCAAGGCGCGCTGACAGGCAGATCCATCGGCTTGATCTGCGGTGCTGCGGCGGGAAGCGTCGCTCTGAAGTGCTACGTCCGGCGCGAGCAGACCTTTGTCTGTGGCCAGCGGCGCGTCCTCAGCTGTCGTGCTGGTGGGGCTATCTCGCCGCGGTCCGGCGACACGCACACCGTGGTTGCCGCAATAGTACTCCTATGGACTAAGCTGAATTCACGATAGCGCTGTTCGCATCTTCGACATCAATCGGGTAAAACGTTGCTGTGTACGCTTCATCGCAGCTAACAGTATTTAGTATCACGTCGCGAGTTGCATCCGACGGATCCACGAGTATTTCGGAATATCCCTCCGATTCTTTCACGCCAAAAGACGACGCCTCTCCATCCATTAGCATTGCCAGCTCGGTGCAGTACGTCGATCCTCCCAAGAACAATGTTGGTTCTCCAAGCTCTGAATTCCGCAAAACCAATGCGTCGATCCACGACCAGAAGAAGGATACATTGGTGTCACTCAAGTAAATCGAGAACAGCATCGGAGAGAGGTTCGGAACATCGCGGGGCAGCTCCACAATGTCAATATCACCCAGTATCAGATATGCTATGCTTGGGATTTCAAAGATGTCTGGCGAAAGCTCGGTGATTGGGTTTCCAGTCAGCGAGACATAGTAAGGCTCTAGCCGGATCAGCGCCGGTGGCACGGAAGTGAGTTGACTGTGCTCGATGAAAACTATTGATCCCAGCAGCCGTTTGAACTCGAGGTCGTCGGGCAGCTCGCGCAAATTTGTGTAGCAGAACTCAATGTCTTGCAATGTGAGCGGGAAATCGGTTGATTGAAGCCCAGCGGGGAGGACACCGTTGGTCATATTGACTCGGATCACGTACAGCCAAACAACGTTCGGGTGGTGGGTATTAGTGATGGCTGCAGAGGCGTCCCATTGCTGGATGGTTGAATTGTACAGCTTGACATTGGTCACACGACGAAACTCGTTGAATGAGTCAGGAACTTCGAGAGCAGGGCAATGACGAATTAGTAACGCAACCACGGCGGATCGGTCGAATTCACCCCACTTTGCCTCAACTTCATCCCTCTTTCCCGAGATTTCGAGTTGATGGCAATCGAGAACCACTAAATAGCAAGCTGGTCTTGATAACCCCCAAGGATGGACTTGCAGCGAACATTGAGGTAGAGTAGGCATCACCGCAGCCTGAATATGTGGTGCCAGCACCACAACTCCCCAAACACCGAACAACACGTGCGTAGCTTGCAGCATTCTGTGCCCGAAACGGGTTCGCAACCCCGTGCCACGATAGTTACGGCTAAATCTCGCAATCACGGAGGCAGAAGCCACCGCGGCACCTTTCGAGGCTGGAAGAGCTGCCGGACCGTGGTTGTCAGCTTTGTTACGAACCACAATTTTGTTTGTTACCGCACCTATGCGTTTTATGCCTGGTGCTCTCCGAAGTAGCTCCTTCATGTTTGCCGTGACGAAAACCAATCCAAGCGAAAATATGGTGCGACTCGCCAAATCCGACCAAGAGACGACGACCACCATTTGAACCTCGTTTAGCAGTACAGCAGTCCATTCGTCATCGTACCATTTCAACATATCGAAGCCTTGGGTTTCCGTGTCGTAGTCGCTCACGTAGCTGAGTACGATGATTAAGGGTATGCCAATGAAAGTAATAAGATCGAGCATGCAGTCCCAAACGAGACTAGCGAACCGCCTGTGGGCTTCGCTTCGTCGGAATAGGACCAGTAGCACAGAAGACCAGCAGTTCATAACTAGCAGACTCAGGTAAAACCGGTTGAGCACCTTTCGTGGTAGGAACCACCTCATTCGATACGCTTGCACTGTCTGAAGTGTTATCTCCACAACTTTACGGGCGACAAGAATCGCGTGGAACTTCTTCCCGTTCACGCCCAGCAGGCCCTCGCGATCCCAAATTTCGGAGTAGATGCGAGAGGAGAGCTGCTTCGCAACAGATAAACGACTTCTGCTGGATGTGATAGCCTCGGTGCTCATTGTGGCAGCAAGCTCATGCTTTTGCAGCCATGGGGTGTATGCTAGCTGCCGACGCCACAGTGAGCCACCGATCATTGAGAGTAAGAATATGCCGTGCACTACAGCCATCACTAGCAATAGCAGGATGATCAGTGGCCGCCATCCCGATTCCGACGAACTCGAGACAGAGATAGAGGTAGGTCGATTGCAGTTTCCAGTAGACGAGCGCGTAGATCGCGTTATATCCACAAGTTACCAAGTGCACTGCAAGAATGATGAACCACCATAGTGCAAAGCTGCGGCTGGAGAGGTCCACAAAGCCCGACGGAGACGCGCGTGGCCCATTTAACGGAAACATGCTAGCTGAGTTCGAAGGTTGAATGACACTTGTGACCAGCTATCTCGGGATAGTAGGGTATTGTGCTCATCTAAAAGTAGTTCGTATTGCGAATTTACTGAAGCTTGATTCGACCACGAAACCATGTTAGAGTTCGTTAAAAAACCGCCTTTGCGGACACTGTCACTGTGAGCCGAAACGATTCAAGAATGCTTTCTGTGCAGGTGACCTTTTCCCTCCACCTTGATCAAAGGAACCTGACCTGCTTACATCGGATTCAGTTGACGTCGTGGCTGCAGGGTCTTCAATTTTCTTCGGCTGGTCGAGGATATCTTCTTTCTCTGTGCGCGGACTGGTTGCGTCGATCGCTAGAACCCCCTTGCTCGAAATCAACCGGTAAATGCTGCCGTGAGCAGCAGCCAGGCGGTCATTTAGCTCTTGCATCCGCTCATTAAGGGCCATACAACGCCCTTGAAGACGAACAATTCCAGTCGGTCGGTCCGCGGGATTAGGCTTTCGCCGGTATTTCTTCTCAAACTGAGCTTGCCACGCTCGGACTTGCTGCAGATACTGTCGCTTCATGGTCTGGCATTTTGTCAGCTCTTGCTTGGTGAGAACTCCAATGATGTGCCGCTGTTCTTGAGTTGCTTGAGCTAGGTTTCGAATCGCCATGCTGTCTGCTTGATACACCGATGAAAAGTATGCACATCTCAACACCTCTTCTAGCGGCTTCACCTCCAACAAACTGCGCAAGGCTTGATATTCAAGGGAGTCCGCACCAACTTTGGCCAAAATGTTGTACTTCTCCATCAGAGACCCACGAACCCGGAGACCAGTAAGCATCTCCAGCATTACGTACGCAACGCTGCGTATATCTTGGGCCATTTCATCAATTTCTTGCGGTAAATTGAAGCTTGAACGGCAGAATTGTGAATCGATAAGAATGCTGGATAGATAGTATGCACGTTCAAATAGCAGGCGTTAGCGTAAAGATCAAGGACACCCCTCACATCCAAAACCAACGTACTTTTGTGATTGAAGCGTCCTTATTGTTTGCGTAGACGGAAACCAAGCTGCTATCTTCACGATGTTTCCTCCACATACGATAAGTGAAGAAAGCGAAAGCTTCATGTAAATAATTGTTAGAAATGTATCCAGATTCAGAACGAATGCAATAACTTCTCGTCACACTTACACCGCCGCACGATATCCCGCCCTTAATAAAAAGACACAAAACACAAATCAGCACGTTAGTATAAGATAAAAACAACGCCAACCAAATACCGTTCAACACCTCGTGCAGTACTCGAAGGCCCTGGACGACCTGATGAATGTATTGCCTGACTGCTAAGGGGTGGAAACGCTCGAAGTCCTGTTGAAGACTACGACACGTTTTCTGAGTTTCCGTCATTGGAACAACACCGCACCCTAACGGCTTGCTTACGCTGCAAGACTGCGAACGACCGAGGAAGAGGAACGCAGATACACTCGACTGCGAGTACAACTCACTGCGTCGTAGCAGAATACATGACGAGCATTCTCGCCACGGATAACCTCACCGTAGCGTTCGAGCTCAGTGTCCAACACTTGCTGCGCGAATTCAGCAGGAGAGCTCTCCTCACCCACTTCATCCGATTCATCTACCACATCGATACGTTCCACTGCGAGTACTCGACCACTACAGCAGCGATGATCAAAACTAAGCCAAAAGCCGATAACAAATCTCTAAACTCAGGGCCTACCCACGTTTTCGTGTCCAGGGCCTTGTAAATGCGCCCAAGCCGTCCCAGCGCCACGTTCTCCTCTGTCAACGGTAGCTTGAACGCCTGCATCTCCTCACCGTCTTCACTGCGAGCAGCAGCATCCTCGGCTTCGTCCTGCTGCATTCCTCGCAAAGGACCTCGATCGCCACGAACCGTCGCTGCTGCTATTAGGGCCTTCTTTCACGTCTGCTGCCACGTCGCCGTCGCCCCAGTCGAGGTTGGCCGTGCCACATGCAATGGCTTCAATCTCAATTGCCAATGAGCTCTGCAGCAGCAACGTGTGTTTTTTTCCTCATCTGCCTCAGTTCTCCACCTGCTCTGCTTCAACTTCGGTCACTGCTTCAGCTTCCGCTCACATGGCTACATTTTGCGCAAGCCAATCCGCAGCTTAACTTTAGTATGCAGCCGACCTCGGAGGTCGCTGGTCCTTGTGTTATGAAAGTTCACGTGGGGCGGAAAAACGCAAGTCGACGCAAGCCGAGTTGCAGTCGTTGGCACCACACCACAACACAAGCGGAGCCCAAGGAACCGGAGCAAACCCAGAGACAATGCTGTCCAAGCCTGTGCGAGTGCTGAGCGAGCGCATCATGAGCCGCGGCTTCGAGCCCACTGTCGTGCGCCTGATGGAGAACGTACGGACCAAAAGACAGACAACTGAGCTGAGAGAAGATTGATGATTATTAATGTGTGCGTCTTGTTGCGTTGCTGTAGGTGCACAAGGTGGTGCGGTCGCAGCCTGGTCTGATCTCGCTGGAGACGCTGAGCGACGTGAACGACCACCACAAATACGTGGTGCTGTCGGAGGTGCGTCAAGATATTGGTGGTGCTGGTGGGTTGGGTGTACGTGCCTTTGACGGAGTTTTGTTGCTGTTATTGCTGCTTCAGTGGAAGTCACTGAAGGACTACCAGGCGTGGACGTCGAGCGAGGCGCACCGCAAGTGCACGGAGCAGATCAACGAAGTGCTGGACGTCCCTGGCAAGCGCACCACCATCTACAAGCGGCCTGAGGAGGATATCTTCCTGCTGTGAGATGATGCAGAAATGTCGAGGGAGAATGTTTTAAGTTAGTCGGCGATCAACGAGGGTGCAGGAAGGAGCTGGTCCCGACCGCGTATTGACGATCAATATACTGTGTATCTCGAAAAGCTGTTGCATTGCCACGCGAAACCTGGAAGACACTTGCCGCCGGAAAAGTGAGGGGTATCGGCCCAATACGCTCACTGCTGTTGCGCGTCGCGAATTAGTAGTAGCTGTCTGCTGGGCACGGTTCAAGTACTTAAGTACTATTTGCCGGCCCGGCACAGGTTAACAAGGTTGGTAGCATATTCATACCGCGTCGCAGTGCCAGTGTTTCTAATATCATCCAATCCCTGCAACCGCAATCCACCAGCAAGGTATACCAGCGGCATTGTTAACGGCACCAAATGCAGCAAACTACGTGAAGGTCACACTAAAGTGAATGAGATGCAGGTATCTTAGGTCGTCAGGAGCTCGGGCGTGATATTACGATCGATGAAGTAGTCAGCACCACAATAACAGCACCAAGGTGTGCGACGTTGATCTGTCAGTGCAGCACACTCGAGCACCGCAGCACATCTATCTCCAGAGCACGAGCGCGTATTTCTACTGACCCTGTCAATTGTGGGTCAGACTCCCAACAACAATGGAGTTGGCAATGGATACAGGCAGTCGCGCTTCACGCGCAAGGCATAGTTAATTAAAGCGCCGGCAGCAACAATATCCACGTTAACATACCGCGCACTGACACAAGGTCTATTGGATAGCCACGCCAAAGTCCGCAGCAAAGCTACTAACATCATCCATGCTAGGCAAATTCCCCTTGTACCCATTCTGGTCCACTTTCTGTAATTACAAATGTACCCCCTTGCCCATTATCCACGCAAGCCGACGACCGCCGCCAGAAGGAAGCGAAGCGAAGCCACGACGCGCAGTGGCATCGCATCGCGTCGGCGCTACAGACCGCAGCCAGCCATCCGCCCATGGAGCTCCTGGAGCTGGAGGAGAAGCCCAAGGCGCCGCTCGGCTCGAGCCCGGACGACCCGTTCGACCGCCCCATGACGCGCATGACCACGGCCACCATCTCCAGCGGCGGCAGCAGCAGCAGCTACTTCGACTCCAGCGACGGCGCGCGGTACCGCGACCTGGCGGAGGAGATCAAGGCGTCCGACCCGCCGCCGCCCGCGCCGCTCTCCATCGACGAGGAGGTGCGCAGCCCCGCGGAGCCGCGCGTGCAGACGGTTCAGTCGGCCTCCAACGTGCTGGCGCTGGCCTCGCGCGTGCGCGGCAACGACGCGCTGTCGCCCTCGGTGCCCATGCGGCGCTACAACAGCTCGCAGAGCATGATGCAGGCCGCCATGGAGCGCAAGCGCAGCGTGGGCGCCAGCTCCAGCAGCGCCACGGCGCTCATGCGCGCCAAGGGGCAGGACCGCACGGGCTTCGCGCGCATTTTCTTCGAGAGCAAGAGCTTCACGTCGTCCACGGTCTTTAGGCTGCTGAGCACCACCACGGTGCTGGAGGTGCGCAGGTCCATGGCGGCCAAGATCGACATCCCCCCGGAGGACTTCAACAACTACGCCATCGTGGTGGTGTTCCCCACGGACAACGCGGGGTCGCTGTCCGCGCGCACGTTGAGGGACGAAGAGCTGATTCTACCGCTCGTGGAGAGACTGAACCGCGCGCGGCCGGCGCAAAGCGTGGAGGCGGACGACACCATCGGAGGCACCACGAGGACAAGAGTGCAACATCGGAAGAAACCACCCGTCAAGTTTGTGCTCAAGGTGAGAGAGTTTGTGCTAATTGTTCGTATGTGGTGTGTTCTAATCAAGGAATTGTTTGTGATGTTTTGGTGAGCAGGACGTCCGGGGATCTCATTTGGATATTAGTGAAAATGGAGGGAAACCAAAGCGCCCGGGACCCAATACGCAGTCTATCAACTTCCCCGTGTTATTAGGAAAGGTGAGCAAAATGCAAATGCTGGAATAGTGTTGTTAGTAGTAGACGCACTAATGTTTTATACTTGTTGAAGGGTGTCTACTCGGGATATCTTCAGAAGGCGAGCTCGAGGGACCCGGGCTTGTGGAGAAAGCGCTGGTTCATCATCAAGGGGGACCAACTGCTCTACTGCAAGTCAAACGTGAACCAACAGGACGTTACGTCAATTAGTTTGTTGGGCGCGGTTCTAGCTAAGGCCAAACCAGAAGCGGTACGTACCTGCGCTACCGTTGTGCAAGGTTTTTTCCACCGTAACCGGATTAAATGTCTGTCCAACAGCGCGCGTCATATGCGTTCCAACTCAAGACGCCACGTCGCGATTACGAGGTAAATTACTTCTCTCAGTACCGCAGCGATATGGTATTGCAATGCTAACGGTTACGTTTCCGGGTTTCCCATTTATCAGCTTGCTGCAAATACCAAGGACGAAATGGTAGCTTGGATTCACGCGCTGCACGTCCAAATCGGACTGTGCTCAGAAAATCACCGGTTGTATGAAGCTGAGATTTGGATTACGGAAGACGTACGTGGATTTATGTCCGAACCGAAAGGAATGCTGACAGCACCTCTAACTGTTGAATTTTGTATTGTTGCTGTGACTGCTTCAGGCTGTTTTGCGAAGCGAGCAGGAGGCTTATGTGCCGCCCAAGGCAGAACCTTCGTTGCTGGAGCGCGTACTCTCTCGAGAAGACACGCTGAAACTTTTTCGCGACTTTGTCTTTACGACCACCTACCAGGGTTTGCTGGACACGTGGATTGAGTGCGAGCTGTTCCGTCGAAGCTGCCTGGCCCGGGAGAACGGCCTTGTAACCAGTGCAAATATGGCAAATCGGCGGACTGCACAGGACGAGTGGGACCATCTGAAGAGGATTATTCAGGCGGTCTCGATCTTGCATGTCGTGCACCCTGGCGAACTGGACCAGCTCCGAAAAGCGCACCAGACTGGACAAAGTAATCGCCGTCGAAGCATGGCAATGAACAACGACGACTATGACGAGTTCCCGCGAACGGACATCATCGTTCCTGTGCAGCTGACACTTTTCAAGGCCATCGAAGCGGGACCGTTCCAGCAGTTCCTTCTACAGAACGGATACAGGCTGCTGCTGGAGCGCATTATTGGTGCTATTGCGTAAATGCCGTCGTGGACTACATCTCCTGTAGTAGTCAACTTAGTTCAAACACATCTCAACGGTAGCAGTTGAGTTGGATGTAGAAGTGGGTGAGCACTTCTTCGTCGCTGATATCGTTGGCTCTAAGTGAGTTTTCGGGGCACGAATCGAGATGTACAATAGAGACAACGATACACAACTAGTTTTTGGAAAGATATCATCTGCTTGATTGATTAGTTCTCGCTCCACTGTGAACTCGCTTTGCCCTGTAGGATTGACTCCTCTCTAGGTCTTGCGGCGAGTCATGTGATCGTAGATCACAACTTGCAAGTATTCCTTCGTTTTGATCTCAGTTCGTGTCGAGTTGTCACCAGGGTTTGCCTAAGCCAAGAACGTCGATAGACATCAGAGCACATCCCACAAAATCACAACACGAAGGAATTAAACGCACCTTTGGGTCGACGTTCACTACCTTCCTATCGCGTTTGTTCTTGAATAGAAGACCCGTCTCGCTATCAGCGATCACCTGGAAGTTCGGTGTCGAGTTCGAAGTGGATGTCTGCGTCTCCCAGTTGTAGTAGCTCAGGTCCGACGACTTCGGGAGCAGCTTCTTCTTGCGCTCAAAGTACGGTTCAAACGGCTCGTTCTTTAGACGCAGCGCGTAGTCAATGTACCCGCTAATCTCCTGCCCCTTCACGTTCTTGTCTCGAATGAAGATAATACACTAAAAACATTCAAAACAGCGCTAAGAAAATCTCCAGCAACTAACTATACACGAAATTGTGCGCCCACCGTCAGCTTCCCGTTGCGCACGAGATCTTCTCGGCTCGCCAAAGCTGCCAAGAACGGGCACTGCGAGAGGTCTTTCCCCGCACTTGCAAGTGGCTTTGGAGCACTCGTCTTCTGTGCATTGCGCTCTCGTTCAGCTCGCTTCCGCGCTTCAAAGTCGTCCCGCCGAAGTGTCTCGCCACTTCCACGATAGCCCAGTTCTACCAGCTGACGAGCGAGTTCTTCATCCTCGAGGTAGAACAGGTCGGTCTCGCTCAATTGCGAGTCCAAGTAGTCCTCGTACGTGGCGAACTGGTCCAGCGACTCGCTCGCGTACTGGTAGTCCTGAGGCTCTCGCTCCGCCGCCATGTTGATCCGCGAAAAGCCGCCAAAATAACTTCAACTTTAGCTGCGATGGCTACATACCTCTTTAATCCGTTATTGTATTCAACGGGACTGCGTTCAGTTCGCTACAAAAGTCAACAACAAGAACACCATGAGCATGAACTGCTTCAGCTCGCGCGCCGCTGTGGAGGCCGAGTCGGAGCTCGAGGCCGCGTCCAAACTGGTGGAGCGCGCCTTCAACCGCATCCAGAAGTCGGACAGCAAGCGCGACCGCGTGCAGCAGGCCATCAAGGACACGCGGGCGGACAAGGCGCTTGAGATGGAGACGCACCTGCAGTGGCTCCTGCAGCAGAAGGCGCGACTGGAGCTACAGCTCAACTCGGTGGACAAGCAGCTGGAGGAGAAGAGGATGCGGCTCACGGAGAGAGCAGCTTAGCTTAAAATGCTAGACATCTTAACGTTTAGCTCTCATTTCTAGTATAGTGCAGTTTTAACCCCATAGTATATCGGTATTGGCCACGTGGCGAAATGTTTTGCAACGCTTCGGACTAACTTTCGGTCATTGTTGTTGTTAACGACAACAGGAATAAACCCGCGCATATTAAATGGAGGCTAGCTTCGACTAAACTAACTAGTTACTACGGTAGGAGCGGGAGTATGGCCAATGCTTGGGGCAGTGGTGAGTTTTAGCACTGAACGGACGAAACAAAACTTGACTGACTAGATCTTGGTCTGCGAGTGGGAGAACTCGCTGTCGTCCGAGTCGCGCGTGAAGATCTCGCTGAAGTTGACCTTGCTCATAGCGATGGACGAGCTGCCGTACGACTCGGCGTAGCTCGAGAAGGACGAGTTGCCGTAGCTGATGACGGACGTGCTGAACTCGCCCTCGTCGTTGAGGACCGAGTTGCTATAGGCGGACGAATACTCCGAGTCTGAGGTGTTGTGGTCCATCACAGCAGTAGATGACCGGTTACTGGAGCTGGTACTGAGCACTCGGCTCGCTCGAGGAATCTCCGAACTCCGCTCGTCATCATGTCGTGCCACCTCGGAGTCAGATGCCGACACTGAAGACGATGTCGAGATACGCGTACCCCGAGGAACCGCTGCCAGCTCGGGAATAGGAGAGCTGGGGACGTTTTCGCCGTCTCCTTCTGGTAGAGGAGATAGCGCCGCCATGTCGGGAAGTGCACTGGCCGCAGTCGAACCGGGGAAGTAGCCGCTGTTGTTCGGGTCGTACATTTTCTCGAGACGAGCCTGCTCTTCCAGCTTCTTCTTGCGGCGAATGGCCACAAGAGCGACGAGACCGACGAGACCGAGCGAGCCCATGATAATTCCAACCGTAGTGGAGGCACTGCCACCTCCCTCCGAAGACGTGGAGATCATCTGAGCTGCACCGGAAGAAGAGCTGGAAGCGGACTCGGTCTGTGTCTTGCCCTTGTCGGCGCCCGACACATCGCTCGCCCGCACCGATCCAACAATGTCACTCTCACCCGCAACGCTGTCACTCTGGAAGTACGAGCTGTTTGAGCCTGACGACGAGCTGTTCGAACAGCAAGAACCCTGCAGGCAGAACGATCCAACCACACCGGCGTGGTCGGACGAGTAGCAGCCGTCGTAATTGATGCGCGAGATCTCGGACTTCAGGTGGCACGCTTCCTCGCTCTGTGCGCGGAACAGGGTGAAGTCGTACTTGACGGAGCACGTGGACGACAGCATATCGCCGCAGAACGTGCCCTCGTCCGACGGGTCCTCCATGTTGTTGTTGAACATGATCTGCATGGCCGAGTAGCTCTTGAGAGCGTTGAAATCTCCGGTTACCACGATGAGGTTGTCGCCTGCGTCACAGTTGGTCTTGATGCGCTCGAGGATGATGTTGGAGGCGTTCTCCTGGGCCTCGTCGTTGCCTGGCGTCTCGTAGTGCGTGTTCATCACACAGATCGTGGCCCCCGTGGCGATGTGCTTGAAGCGGCCCCACACACAGGTTCTGTAATATTGCATGTTCCACGCAGAAGTCATGCTGTCGGGATCTGTGCCGAACCAGAACATGCCGTTCGTGATGAGCGACCAAGTATCGCGCTTGAAATACATTGCGTTCCATTCGTTTGCATTTCCGTTCAACGATCCCGTGCTCTCTCCGATGACCGAGTAGGTGCCTGCGAGCTGCTCGTCCAGGTACGCCTTCTGCGCGTCCGACGTCTCCTGCGTTCCCACGAAGTCCGCGGCCACCGTCTTGATGTTGCTGATGACGTTTTCCTTACGGATCCCGTCCCAGTTCGAGCAGGTCGAGCCTGCGTCCGTCGAGGCCTGCGACGTGCGAATGTTGAACGACATGATGTTCACTTCGACGTCCTCCACGGCGGCCGCCGTCCTCCATAGTAGCAATTGGGCGGCCGCGAAGAGCACCGCCCGCATCATTCTTCCTGTTCTTCTTCTTCTGGTCAATGCAGTCCTTATTAGCGTTTCAAAGGGGGGGGGGAGACCAAGTCTGCCTTCCTGCAGGAAAGGAGAATTGGTTCTCTACGGGAACGACTTCAGTAGAAACGGGAATGCGGGCACAGGAGCAGACCGCGAGTGACGGACTGTCCGAAATCCATCGCCATGCGAAGTGGACGGGCTCCGTGCCATACAAAAAGCGCGTGCAGAGGGAGAGGCCTTGCCTGCCAGGTGGTTTGCCTGTCAGCCGTTGCGGTTGAACTGGGCGGTCTATGTTGCCTATCTTTTGGGAGTCAGACAAAATGTACGGACCAGTATCCGTTTTGACAGATTTAGGGAGCGACGATATCAGAATTTTTGTATGTGAATGACCAAGTTCCAAACAGCAACCGTTTATATTAGATACCACTAAGTTATAAATATCGTATTTATTGATGCGTTCAAACAGCATAGACAGATTTACTAACGTTTTTTTGGTCAGCACGTACTAAAAAATAGCGTCACATACTGGAGCCAAGAGGAACGGTCACTGCAACGGCATGTACAGCACCCGGTTTCACGGCACGATTGCAGTCTCGAGCCGTTGCGTCGCTCATCTGATCGACAGCCATGTGTCCGAAAGTGTTTGGCTCGGCGACATCCTGCGGAATCCACCATTGCACGACTGCCTGACTCGAGTATGTACTGTTTTCAAAACAAACAGTATTTTGCACGTACATGTAGCGTTTTAGAGAGCAAGCGCCGCCGCAGAGTCATATGCTCCGGGACTGTTGTACGTCGAACACTTGACCGCGGCAACGCCACCCTGCCATTGGGGCGCAACTAACGCGACCTTCTCGTGCCCCATGCGGCCGTGTCGTCGTTGTATCAGTCAGCTTTGGCGCCGTCGCGGCCAAGTGTTTCAGCTTGTAAGCCTTCGAGTGCGAGACTACCGCGAAGCCACCGTCAAAGGAGATTAAGATGTGCCAGGATGCGCCCCTTTGCAGGTTTTGACAAAGTGGCGATCCTAGGATTGTTGGCGTCTTCCGACGTTGGGGTACACTCATGCAACTCATCACTGTAGCCTATGATCCAGTGGCTCGAGGTAGGCTATTCTACCCCAGCTCCTTAAAGTGCAACGTTGGGTTACCTCAGGATCCGTCTGTATCGGCTTTAATATCCAGTCCGCTTATTACCAATACCAGCCGACGTCTTCTGTGGTGAGTCCGCAGCATGAAGCCCCTTCGACGTCCGACTGCCGATGCGACCGGCGCCTCCATGGTTGTGGTTTGTTGGGGGCAACGCCGGACCGAACAGTGGCAGATTGCCGGCAAACACCGAGCTGCCGCCAAACACTTCGTTGGAAGTGCTGGTCATTGCAGCAGAGCTGGTCGTGCCGCTGCCACTCCGAAGTCGTTCGAAAGCTGCTCGAGTCTCCAACGGTTTCGCATCGGCGGGCGTAAATCCGGGAGGAGCCTTTGTGGTGGTCGCTTTTGGTGCGGGGGTCGGAGCTGCTACAGAACTTCCGAACGCCGAAAAACTGTCAAGATAGAGACCCGAACTCGTTCCGATGAAGCTGCTCGACTCGCTGCGGCTGCCTGAACTCAAGCTCTCGTCGCGTTGATTGCCGGCCACCAAACCTTGCCCCAGCGTGTTGAACGACAAAGTGCCGTTCCAGTCTTCAAAGGTCGGAAATTTCGGTGACAATGACGATGGAGATGGATCGGTAAAGTTGTCCGGCCAGTCTTGAGTACGCCACCGCTCCGACACCGACTTGAACGCCTCGAACGGGTCTTCCTCCTTTTGTGGTGAAGGCGTGCCGTTGAACTTGGGTGTAGCTTTATCGGGTCCCAAAGGGGCAGGCTTCACCTCGTCACCACCATTCGGGGACCCAAACAACAGCTTGGGAAAATCCGCACCAAGGCTTGACTCTTCGGATTCTGGAGGTATGATAGTCGAGTGCGAGGACGCAACTGAGCCGTCTTCAGACGAAACTGAGCTGCTTGAATCCGACGACAGATCATTGGTATTGTGGTCGTCGTTGCCATCGAGCAGCTTGTTCAAAGTGACATTAGGCTCGGAGACCGGTTCGGTTGATACGAGCAGCGCACTGATCTCCGCGACGTCGCCCTCGTCCACAGCCTCTTCTTGGGCATCTTGCAAGCTTGCCTCCGTCGCCGTAGACGCCGCGTCAGACGCAGAGATTCGCTCAGTCTTCACCACCAACTTGTCACCCTGCGTTCCGTCAGTTGCGACTGCCGGTAGCGATGTAGCATTGCGTTGAGCTTCTTTCGGTTCGCTGGTGGTTTCAAGAACCCCAGGTATTTCAGAAGCGGGGTCTTTCTGAACTATTGAGCACACTCCTTTGTGCCGTCTCTCCAATAATGCCGTCACTGCCGGCGTGACCACGCGGGCTGTTGGGGCAAATGTTGCTTCCTCCATGCCCTCCAATAGACGGTTGATTGCTTCGAGAGTTTCATGCTTCGCACCCCTTTCGTCCTCCGTGTTCCATGCTGTCACCAATTCGTCGCTGCCCACCTTACCCGGGTCTTGAGTGCCTACAGCGAAAGATGCTTCGCTGATCGTGTCGGAAGTCCATGCGTCACGTGCTAACGCCCAGAGTGCGCAAAGTGTGGAGATAACGGCGATTAGGACCGCGAACGTCCATACTGAACGAAGTGCATACCGATACGAGGGTGACATCGGAGAACGCAGGCACGAGAAAGCAGCCTCAGTAGAAATCGTGCCTTCCAGGCGAATACGCTTGACACTGTCGCTAGTATCAACGACCAGCCGACTAGCAACGTTAGTCACGAAACAGCTAGCACGGAACGAAACCTGGAGGCGGGCAGTCTTTCCAGGTTGAAGCACCACAGCAGAGCCTTCACTGTTCATTGCGGACTGCAGATATTCCGAAGAGACCTCGAAGTCGCTGGCTGTTGAAGCGGTTTTTGATGTCCATTTCGACGGCAGCCACGAAATCTCTTCTTCTCCTTCCACCATCAAACTTTGAATCGTAAGTCCAAATGGGCCAGTGTTTGACAGGAGAATCTCAGTGTGTCGAGTGTAATCAGTCAACTCATCTTGCTGAGTTAGATCAAATCTCAGTGTTCCTTCGAAATCGAGCTGGTCATCACTTCCTCCAGTCTCAGCAATCAGTCGGCGGGGGGTATAGCGGGTCTTGTCCGAAGTGCTGCTATCTGCTGCATCCACCACAAGATCTAATGTACCCTTGCCACTTCGAGCAAGTAATGGCACGGGCTCAATGTGCGAAAGACTGTTGCGCACAAACGCCACTGTGGTTACTTCTTGGACTTTAGAAGGCAGGTAGTAGATTGGACCAAGTTGAGCCTCCTCTCCAGCGCCGACCTGGATAATCTTCCTTCGAAAGTAAAACGGGGGTATGTTAAGATCCACTTGAACTTCTCGCTGTAGCGCCACAGAATTCGACGCGGCTGCCATCCACTCGTCCAGACACAATGCCGAGATCTCCGTAGTAGTGTCACCTTCCACGATATCGTTGACGTGGTCCAAACCTTCGTCGCAGGAATAAAACAGTGGTTCGTCAGCTTCTGCGCGCGTCAGCTCCATGTAAATCGTCACGTTACTTGGGTTGCGCACACGCACGAAAATGTGGCTTAAGTGCAAAAGCTCCGTCAGCGCAAACTCCTTGCGCTCAAATATCACCGAAGAGTCATTGTCTGACTGTGCCTGGGCGTCTGACAGTGCAGTAACCAGAGGACGCTCCAGAAGAGCTTTGACGGTAACTTCGGCAACATCATCCATGATGTCTGTTTGCAAGTGCACCCGGGTTTCAACCGTCGACAGGTGGTCATCTCCTAGTGCGTCACTCCAAAATGCATTGCGACGACTCAAGGCAATCAAGTCGTGTCCATGGACAAGCTCTCCGTAACCCGAAAGCTGGTCACTGGTTTGATCCTCCATCGTTGGGAGTAGACAGTCAGCGAGAAACAGCGCGCCAGAGCATTTCGAGTCGGCCGCCGGGGAAAACAGCAGATCCAGCACGTTCTCAACCTGCTTTGGGGTGATTGCATTTCGAATAGATAGCAATTTCAGGTTCGAGCTGCTTGTCGTGGCCATCAGAGGGGTCACCGGGTGCTCGAACGTGTTGCGATACTTCAAGTGAATAACTTGTGTACGCCCGGGAAACATTGACGGCAACACGATAGCTGGCGTAATTGGCTCAACTGTGCCCCGAACACTCTGTAACCGAGCATGGAAGTGTAGTACTTCGGTAGGAGTAGCGATAGACATGACCGGAACTGTAAGCTCCCCAAGAGTATCCTTCGCTTGGACTTTCACATGAAACACAATTTGGTGGCGAGGCCGAAGAACAACAGTATCACCCACCACGACGACGTCAGAATCCCTGCTGCTCGGGCGTTCCAGCTGATCTTCCCGCAAATTGGCACGCCGTTCGACTACGCCATGCACGTCGTGTATTGACAAATCCACCGTGTCGTTTAACGGAACACTAATAACTTTGAGGGTGACTGGAATCGGGTTTTCATTCGTAATTTCCACCGCCTCAGTACGGGAGTTGTGTGACGCGACTTTTTCTAAGTCGAACAACATCGAGCGGCATAACTTGGCAGCTTGGGTGTCCGCAACTCCTTCTCCACCATCGATACGCGGTGACGTAGTCGGCACGCTGCCGTCTTCCGGTACCTTTACACACGATTGGAATGACTTCATCTCGGAAGAACTTGAAGTGTAATAGCCCGACACGGAATGATTCTGAAGGCCCCTGCTTGAATCAACGGCAAGGAATCCGTGGTACACGTAGATCGGGATGCGGTGGCGCGTGACATTTGTCTCAATTACGAGAGGATACGCCTTTGCTGCCAAGGGGTGTCCCTTGCCTCGTAGCGCCGGAGAGATCTGAAGTGAAATCTTTGGCCAGGCCGATCCAGCAGGAGCCACACTCTGTTTAAATCTGTACACAGCTACCTCTTGAGATCCATCTTGTTCCGATCGTGGATAGTCTATCCAGACGCGTTGCAGTTCCATCGGGCGGTCAAATCGATTCCACAAACGAAGTTTCTGGAAGGCACTCGTGCCCGCCATTATTCCCATCGAGGCATTTTCACCAACCATTGACACCAACTTGGCCGTAGAAGTCTCTTCGTCATCTATCGTTAGCTCAGTACCATTGTGTTCTGCGGTATCATTGACACCGGCACCTTCATCTTTATAAAATAACTTTTGTAGAGGGTAAACGACCCCAGCACGGGTTTCATTGAGCTGGAAAGTCATGCTGCCTCTTACCACTTGTCCGTACAATTTCAGTTTGCGCTGTCCCAGCTCCGAGCTCGATGCGTTTGTCTTCAGCAGCAAGGATGCGAAGCAGTTGCCGCTTTCCCTTGCTTTGTCCACACGAAGCTGAACAGCCAGCGCGCTATACACTTGAGTTCGTGGAGGAATCACTGACGTTCCTCCCCACAGTTGAGCTGACACGATCAGGTTGCTCTCTAAAACTTTCAATTCCAATACGTCAATAGGGTTCACGCCGGCATTATACAGAGTGAAAAATACTTCGCGGGGTTCGTCTTCGTGAAGATCGGTCAAGACTCCCAGGTCCAGCTCCTTCGGTTCAATGTGGATTCCAGGCTTCAATACAGTAATGTGCACTGGAACCATCACCAGGCGATGTTCCCCAGCGGCAATGTGAATATGGGTGAAATACACGCCAGGCGTGTTCGATAGCAGCGAAACCTTCATCAGCGGACTCGTCGTACCCGCGGGCATATCCCACGCGCCACGGTCGGTTCGCCTTGCATAGTCAAATTCTTTGTCGTATTCTCCAGGCACTTCTCTAGCCTCCTTCCCGTCATCTTCCCTCGGCCACCGTGGTCCGATCCAGTTGCTACCGTTGAGCAATTCAATATGCACAAAGCTGTCCAGCGCGTAAACTTCCGTGATCCGAATCGTATAATCCGCCGGGTTGACAAACTGCAGCGACTGTCCAAAGCGAACTCCAGCGGGAATCGACGCCTTGATAGCGCTCACTCCGTATCGATTGAGTGCAACCTCCGGGCTGCTAATCGGCAGTGCAAATAGTCCCGACGTCGTTAGCACTCTCAAGTGAGCGTCCACTCCATTGGGTTCCACCTCACTGGGGAGAAATACGAATTGCAGGTTGAATCGGTCGCCTGGGTCCAATCGAATGCCGCGGACGTCGGTTGCCAATGAAAATCCACTATGAGTGAAGTCGGCTCCATCGAGTCTCACAGACACTCGGCCGCGGTTCTCCACGCCCACGTAATACCTCTGCGGCGAGCAGGTCTCCATCCGCCCGAGCTCGACTCGAGGCGGCGTGAACTTAATGGCTTGGTCGTCCACTACTGCGTCTGGAGCGTTGCCGATGTCCACCGGAGTGCTGCGCGTGATGGAGAGTCCGTCACTGCGCTGGCGTCCAGCCCCGCGCGACGTCGCGATGCCGTCGGCGCCCACCGTCACGTGACTCTCCAGCTGACGCCATTGCGGAGACGCGGGGGCTGCTTCCGCTGCGGCCAGCGAGCACAAGAGCGCGAGGGTGAGTAGCAGCGTGGTTAGAGGACGCAAAGGACCTGGCGTGGCGTCGCGGGGCTGCCTGCGCGAGGCGCCCGCGCCGCCAGACGTGCGCATATGGTCTGGTCAAACTTTGGATCCAAGGAATAGTTTTTGAATTGAGCTCTTCTGAGTATGCTGTTTCGTAGGTCGAAAGAATGCTCCTCAGAAGGAAGCCATTCTGATGTGGACGAAGGCAGAGAGAAGGCTCCAGTTAATTTCGGGCAAGAGGCACGCGATCTTAGCGTTGGTGATGACCATGGAGTAGGTGGGCTGGAAATTGAGGTTGAATTTTACTACAGTAGATGAAGACGGGGACTGCTAATAAGGGACTTGACCACCAGTATGCTGGATGCAGATCTTTATGGAAATGGCTGCACTTTGCTGCGGTCAGTGGACTCTGGTGGGCACTTGTCTCGGTGTGAAGAGGGGTCTGGAGCCAAGTTGCTGTTCCTGTTGCTGAGTCGCGGTGGTTGCTGTTTCCTGTGTGTTAAACGAAGTGACGGATCGACGACGCAGACTCGTAGCGTGGGGAGGAGTCTTTTTTGCAATTTAGCTTCATTCGATTACCCGGGTGACGAGGGCGAGCATTCTCGACGCCGAGACGTCGCGACGCTTCTCCCTCCTCCAGTTCATCGGAACGAACTAAAATGACGTGTCCTTCGGCGTATCTAAACAACCTCTTTCCATTGCACGCGCAGTCGCAGGCGTCAGCGTCAGCGAGCGCGACTGATCACGCGCGCGTCCCCGAGTCGTCCAGCGAGCGGTTGGCCGACCAATAATAATTTACCGGTACTGCGATTCACACACACAAAGCACCACGTCGTGAGTCTCCAGTCTCTAGGGAGTGAGCTGTTCAGGATCTGAATTTACCTTGACGAAGCCAATGTCCGTGGCGCGCTCGCGGAAGCAGCGACGGCACATGTTCAGGTGGTACTTGCGGATCAGACCACGGGTGGTCTTGCACACGCGGCAGTGGCGCGAGTCCTTGCCGTAGTTGCGGGGGTGGGAGTACGTGAGGTTAGCCATGGTTGCAGACTGCCGGCAGCAACAACACACACGCGCGTCAGTCACTGCGTCAATATCTCGATATTGTCCGTGTCGCTAGCTGGCAGGCGGGTGGGCGCTCAGGTGGGCAGGACGTCGATGTCAAGATGGAGAGGGTGGTCACTGCTGTTGTTGAGGGGTCCTGTGCTAAGACGCTGCTGCGTGTCCTGTAGCTGCTCGAAGCTGCCCTGTAGTTGCCATTGTGCGCTGTTGTGCTGCTGCTCCATCCCTAGTCCCCGTCTCCAGCCCTGCCTGTGCGCGCTGCCTGCCTGCCTGCGCTGCTTCGTATAGAGGGAGGCGCGAGAGGCTTACCTTCTTCTTGGATAGCTTTGGACAGTAGCAAATGAAGGCCTTGGGCGCTCGGCGCTGGCGGCTGCTCGAAATTACCAAACCAGCCTCGCACACCAACCATTGCTCCGGGAACCACCCATCTATAGGTACGATTTTAGCCCAATCCGTGCACTGGAAACCGATTTTGGGCAAATCACGGGCTGCGCTTTGAGATTGTGTATAGAACATTGGTTTGTGTACAGAACCTTAAATTCGGCACTGCTGAAAGGATGCAACGCGGACACCATGGGGAACGCGCTAACAAGGAATGCTGCAGCACGGAGAGCGAGGTATTCATCGTTAATGATATGTCTTTGTTATTCCATGTGCCAAAGTTGTACAGTATGCTCATGACGGTCTCAATGGGAGCCCGAGCTGCATTGGTTATGACGCTAGCAATAATTTGGCAAGTATTTTGCGTCTTGCTCGTTTTAATGCCTCAAGATAATGCCGACCATCATATAAAATTAATCACTAGACCTTCGGTGAAGCTTCAAAGCGACTAAATATCTTAACATCGCATATAAGCTGGACAAAAACTATTTAGCTTCCTGACGAGCATGAACCATTGCATTCACGCCAACAAAGAGTGATATTTCGGTCGCTCCTTGTCTGTTATAAACAGAAAGCGGCTTTGTAGAACCACAAACAGCTTCACAACACCGTTGAACTCGATGCAGCAGCTTCACACGGGCCTGTTGCCATTTCGGCGCAATGCTGTTGAACTGTTAAACAGCAGCTTCAACCTTAATCTTTTTCTTTGTATTCGATCACACCCCGCCCTTATCTCCGACTTGCGCTCTAATCCCACGATCGTAAAAAGCCTTTCGTAAAAAGCCCTTTGTCGTAATTACGTCCTCCTTGAAATGCTGCACAGATCTTGGCACCGTCGCGAGCTGCTTTGATGCCACGTGCAACGTGCCGAGCAGCCCAAAACCGGGAGCGCCGTCACAGCCAGAGCCAAAGGCAGTGAGTGCACACCCTCTCGCCATGGCGCCCAAGCCCAAGTCCAAGAAGGCGGCCGCCTCCGCCTCGGACGACTCCGAGAATGAGACTCCCAACGTGGCCCAGGTCCCGGCCGCCGCCGCCGCCAAGCCCGTCGACTCGAGCCGCCTCGTGTTCGGCGTGGACCTGGACGACCCGCGCGACGCCGAGGACGACGAGACGGCGCTGGCCCCCGTGGCCAAGTACGCCATCCTGGCCATGATCTGCCTCATGTCCTTCTCCATCCGCCTCTTCGCCGTCGTGCGCTACGAGTCCGTAAGTAAAAGAAAAATGCCATTGATACATCCGTGTCAATGTTGCTGCAATTGCAGTCTGATACTAATATTTTATTGTATTTATTGTAGGTGATCCACGAGTTCGACCCGTACTTCAACTTCCGCACGACCAAGTACCTGGCGTCCGAGGGTTTCCTCGAGTTCCTGGACTGGTTCGATGACCGCGCGTGGTACCCGCTGGGTCGTATCATCGGCGGCACCATCTACCCCGGCCTCATGTACACGGCGGCGCTCGTGTACTGGGTGCTGAACCTGTTCAACATTTCCATCAACGTGCGCAACACGTGCGTGTTCCTGGCGCCGCTGTTCGCTGCCAACACGGCGATCGCCAGCTACCTGCTGACCAAGGAGGTGACCAAGCGCTCGAGCGCCGGCCTCCTGGCCGCCGCCTTCGCGGGCATTGTGCCGTCGTACATCTCTCGCTCGGTCGGCGGCTCGTACGATAACGAGGGTGTCGCCATTTTCGCGCTGATCTTCGTCTTCTACCTCTGGATCAAGGCCGTGCACACGGGATCCATGTTCTGGTCGGCTGCCTGCGCGCTGGCGTACTTCTACATGGTGGCGGCTTGGGGCGGCTACGTGTTCATCATCAACATGATCCCGATCTACGTGCTGGTGATGATCTTCGCTGGCCGATACACCCCGCGCCTGTACATTGCCTACTCGACGTTCTACGCGCTGGGCAGCCTCATGGCCATGCAGGTGCCTTTCGTCGGCTTCAACGTCATCAAGCAGGCCGAGTGCGCCGGCTCGCACGGCGTCTTCGTGCTGCTGCAGGTGTACTGCTTCGTCAACTGGCTGCGTAACTACATTTCGGCTGCGTCGTTCCGCCGCCTGGTACTCGTGGGTGCCGGTCTGCTGGTCTCGGGCGTTGCGCTCGCTCTGGTGGTGCTGCAGCTGATGGGCAAAGTGCAGTGGACGGGTCGTAGTCTGACCCTGCTGGACCCGACCTACGCGTCCAAGTACATCCCTATTATTGCCTCTGTGAGTGAGCACCAGCCCACGACCTGGACGTCCTACTTCTTCGACCTGCACGTGCTGGTGCCCTTCGCGCCCGTGGGTCTCTACTTCCTGTTCCAGAACCTGACGGACGGCGGCATTTTCGTCATCCTGTACGGCACGGTTGCCTGGTACTTCGCCGGTGTCATGGTGCGTCTTATGCTTACGCTGGCCCCCATTGCCTGCATCCTTGGCGCCGTGGGTATTTCCTCCACGCTTCGCAAGTTCATGGGCGTCCTGGCCCGTCCGTCGACGTTCGTTGTGCAGAAGGACGGCGTGCAGCCTGTGCCCAAGCTCCTCGCTCTGGGTGTTGTGGGCGGCCTACTGCTTATGATGCTGAGCTACACGTTCCACGCTACGTACGTGTCCTCGATGGCCTACTCGTCGCCGAGTATTGTGATTGAGGCTGGCCGCACCCGCACGGGTGAGCGCGTGAACTTCGACGACTACCGTGAGGCGTACTTCTGGCTGCGTCAGAACACCGACGCCAACGCCAAGATCATGTCGTGGTGGGACTACGGCTACCAAATGTCGGCCATGGCTAACCGCACGGTCATCGTGGACAACAACACGTGGAACAACACGCACATTGCTACGGTTGGCCGTGCTCTGGCCTCGTCGGAGGAGGACGCGTACCCGATCCTGCAGAGTCTGGACGTGGACTACGTCCTAGTCATCTTCGGCGGTGTGACTGGCTACAGCTCGGACGACATTAACAAGTTCCTCTGGCCTGTGCGTATCGGCTCCGGTGTGTACCCCGACGACATGCCGTCCGAGCGCGATTACTACTCGGCCGCGGGCAGCTTCGACGTGGGTCCGGGTGGCTCGAAGGTGCTGCACAACTGCCTGGCCTACAAGCTGTGCTACTACCGCTTCGGCGAGGTGATGACGGACTACCAGCGTCCTCCTGGCTTCGACCGTGCTCGTAACACGGAGGTGGGTGTGAAGAACATCAAGCTTACGCACCTGGAGGAGGCGTTCACGTCCGAGCACTGGATCGTGCGTATCTTCAAGGTGAAGAAGCAGCCCAACGTCGAGCCCACGACTGCCGTCAAGAAGGCGCGTCTGTCCGAGGCTGCAGCTGAGGAGAAGGATATCTCGAAGGAGAAGACCCGCTTCCTGGGCTGCACGACGGGCGAGGACATGCTGGGCAACGACCGCGTGTACGCCGGCGGTCCCAGCGGCGCCAACTTCAACCTTGCTCTGCACCACGCCAAGGAGAAGAGCAAGCGCTACTTCGCTATCGCCCGTGTCGCCGGTGAGGGCCACGCGTTTGCCTTCAACAAGCTCCCCGTGACCGAAGCGGACATGGACGGCAACGACGAGGGCTGCATGCGCGCATGCAAGGACTCGAACTCGCACTCGTGCGGCTGTGCCGACGCTGGCTGCACGGACATGAACGTGGGTCCGGGCAAGGGCCAGGAGCACAACCGCCGCTGGGCCGTCTACGAGCGCGAGATGAACTAAATCATCACCCGACGCTAGCTGCGTGAGCTCTTCCACTGCTTTTTGTTTAGTACTTTGACTGTGGTTGGATAGATGCTGGAGGGTGTTTGTCGGTCGTTAGCTGCTGGAGCTTCGGCGGAAAAGTGTAAACGGTTGAAGTTGAAAAGCGGAGCAAGCAAGCAGCACGGCCGGGTGGTGAACAACACAGATAATACACACAAGCACTCATGATATCGTGCAGCAGTCAATTACTTGTGTCGAGCATTCGTAAGACAGTTTGACGACAAATCAAATCTAGTGATTTGATTGGCGAATAGTACGACTTGCCAATTCTGTTGGCACTGCCAGGCGCAGAGGCTCTGCTAGGAAGGCCCGCGTTCCTCTTCGCTACTCTTTTTGATGCATTTCGTTGCATTTCGTTGCACTTCGTATCCTGATTAATATCGGGCGCAGCATAGTAGTGGTAGTAATGATTGGTGGTTCGATAGAACTGCGCGGAGGAGCGCTGCGACACCAACAAACTCCCTCTACATATTTAAAACACTACGGCGAGCTTAGATCGTTTAGATTTCCTAGTACTACAGTAGCAGGCCGAGCAAACTGGTAAGCGCCTTCAGTCGGGCTGATCAATTACATTAGCTTTGGCATTTTTCATGTATTCCCGAGAAGAATCGCCGCTCATTTGACTCTTAGAGGCCCTCACGTCGTTTGCGACACCACCAACAGCTTGCCTACACGTGGCCGCGGGTGAGGTCGGAGGTGTCCACTACCGACGTAGGTGGAGCTGCAGCAGTGTGCGCCTCCGGGAGTAAGGCAGCCAAGCAAACCGCAACAAATACAAATACCAATACCAAGACTGGCTGACGCTGCCTTGTTGCTACTACAAAACAGTTCATTTCATGACTTTGGTAAGATCCCATAATGTATTGAATGTCTACTCCCTCGCGTCCTCCGACAACGCCTCGGTGCGGAGCATGTGTGCGCGCTCGTCGTGCATTGTTTCGCTCGGAGGCGTCCTCAGAGGACACGACAGGGGTCGTGGGCCGCACTACCGGAGGAAGAGGGGCTCTATTTGGTTATGCATTAACTAGAATTCACTATAAAGCCCTGAACGTTTTGTTTGTCAAGCTGGGCTAATGGTTCGGGTGAATTTATTTCTTAACCATTCTCAAACAAGCGTGTACATTGTAGTCGGCAGTAGGGCCGCACTACCGACTACATGTTCGTGCTTGTGAGCGCCTTATTTCGTCGGGTCGACTGTAGGTGGCACGAGCAATTCAAAAACGGCAAAGCGGTTGTCCTCGGGTTCCTACATGCTCAACGGAGGAACGCACGCAACGACACTACCCTCTTTCGTGCAGAAAGTTTTGGCCAATCGCATGGTGCAAATTGTTGTCCGACAAACTGTCTTACGTTTTGACGGACAAAATACAATGTAGCCACTGATATACTAATACCAAGATGTAGCCAAAATGCGTTGATTGCAAAACGTAAGACGCTTTGTATTACGGTAGGCTCTCTGTCGTCTTACGAAAGAGCATGAATCTTTCATTCACCTCAAGGTGTCTAAATTTTGATTAGCGTGATACCGGTACTTTACCGAACTTGAGAGTTAGAGAGTGTTCCGATCTTTCCGACTATCCTTGTACTTTTCATTTGGTAAAAATGAGTGGTAGTGAGCCAATCACAGCACTAGGAATGTTGTCATTTTACAAAAAAATGCCACGAGAGCGCATTCCCTCGCAGAGCACGAACCGCTTTAGGTTGAAGATTGCTGAAGGATATCTCGCGCGCCCTTCTGGGGTATCGGCTCGTGAATATGCCAAAGGTGTTGGCCACCATTATGCCACGATACTATCGTGGGCCAAGCGAATCGACGAGCTGCGCGAGACGGAGCAACCAGGGTCGTTGACTCTTGGGGGAAGCGGCCGCCGCTCCAAGTCACAGCCGTTTGAAGACAAATTACTCCGGCAAATCAAGGCCAAGCAGCGCCAGGGCTTCAGCGTGACGCGCGCTATGATAGTCTCCATGGCGCAGGAATTGGTACCTTCGTTTTTCGAGGACAAGAGTGAAAATGCAGCGCTGTGCTGGTGTGGCCGGTGCGTGCGTACATGAGAGTCCTTGCCTTGATGGAACTACTGCTAATATGTTGTGCTTTTTGATAGCTTCATCAACAGGAATCGACTGACGCTTCGTCGAGTTACCACTCGCGGACGTACTACCCGCGAGTCCATGCCCGTCGGTGCCGATACAGCGTCATAGCTGGAGCCTCGCAAGTGATGATCGACGAGCTGTCAGCCCAATTTCCTGTCATCAATTGCAAACTCTTCAGCATTCGCTGCCAAATGAAAAGTTCGTGTAGCAACCTCGAGGAGCAGCATTTCATGTTGCGGTTCAAGACAGAAACTTCATGTGAATCGAAAGTAAGAAAAAGAAAGGCTTTGTATTAAATTGCTCTCCGCAGCTACACGAGGTCCTATGAGTAAGACTAGCTGTCGTCTGACAGCATGCAGTAAACCCTCTCAGCAACATATTTCACCGACTCGTACGTAGGAGTACCATTCACCACATGCAACATTACCACCCGGTTTCGCTCGATTTTCTTGTCCAGACTTCGAAGAAAATACCATTCCACGAAATCCGTCACGATACTGTAAACTTTCTTCAAGCCATTGACATCTGCTAAAACTTCGGCCCCAACGCAAGCTTGATCGACGCCCTGCTCAAAATCACTTCGTTCCGGTGCGATAATGTAGACATTTGTCCCGCCATATTCGAGCACGAAGTCGAAGTGTGCTTCTCCGTGGACACGATTACCGATAACAGTTTGTTTCTCGAGGAGTCGGGCCTTTTCACCGAAAAGAGCGCAGACGCAGGCAAGCACAGGGAAGATTAAATGCCGTCGCCTTCCATCCCCACTAATCTCCAGCACTTTGGTCAGAATACTCAAATACCCGTGCAAGACACGGAGCTTGTCCTCATCACCAATGCGCTTCCGTGGCTGCTCGTACCAAAACCATCCCATAACTCTGCTGATGCAGGCTAGCGTATCGGAGTCGAAACTTGCCGTGGCCTCATCTTCAACGACTCGATTTCGATTAAGACCTACGTTGAGCTCGTCCCATCTTTTCTTGCGAATAGGATGCGGCTCGGTCGCAGTGCCGCGATCTGTTAGTCCCGGAAGAACCACAAGAACGTGGATAACATCGTCTTCAACCTCTTCGTCTTCTACTTCTGGGAAATCGAAGGCGGTGTTGCTGACTCGGTCATCTGCTTGCAGCTGGTACTCGTCTCCCGCAATAATGTCGTAGATTGCCGAAGGAATCTCGCCTGCCGCCAACTTCTTCGCATCGGGGTCCTTTTCTTTCAGCCAACGATTGTTGCCCTTCCTAGCGAGATATAGCGTCACTGCTGCAGCCTCGCAAGTGATGGTCGACGGACACGTTTCCTTGATCGCTTTTATGAGGTCACTAACCCTTGCGTCACCCTCGATCCTCACGGCGAAGATAAGCCCGTTGCCGACGATAATATACGCCACCAGCTTGGTACCTGGCATCTTCGAAAAATAAAATGAGTACACGACCTTGGGTCAATTACTATCCATCTTAGTCCATTGCAAGTCATGAAAAGTCGATGCGTAGCAACCGCACACTGGTTGATTATGCTGCCTGGCCTAGACGCCTCGAGTAGCAGCTTATGGGTTCTTGACTTATCCACTTTCAACGCATTCGGTGCGCTGCCTTCCTCCACTCATTTGATCTAAGCCGAAGACTTGCTCTCGCCGCTGGCCTGGCGAGCCGCCTCCTTTTCGGCTTCAATCTGATCGCAGAGCTCGTTCACCTTCTCGTCCGCAAGCGGCTGCAATCAACAGAAAACAATGTCAGCATTTGCCAGTCATCTACACTTAAGAGTTAAACAGTAGTATCTTCCAGCAGGTAGAAGGTGACGTACCGAAACCTTGCCGCCCGTTCGCACCACCACGATCTCAATGTTCTTGCTGCCGGACTCGACGACCTCCAGCAGGGCCTTGATGGCGAGGCTCACGGCCTCCTCCTCCGTGGCGTTCTCCACGTAGTTCTTCTCGAGGAACTCGCGGATGTTGGTCGAGTTGCGGCCCGTGGCGTTGGCCTTCCAGGCCGAGAACGTGCCCGACGGGTCCGTCTGGTACAGCTGGGGCACGCCCTGGTCGTCGCAGCCGGCGATGAGCATCGAGATACCGAACGGTCGCACGCCGCCGCGCTGCGTGTACTTCTGCTGGACGCGCGCGATGTAGCGCGCCACGTACTCGACGGACGGCGCGTCCTCGACCGTGAGGCGGTAGCTCTGGCACTCGAGGCGCGCCTTGTTCACCAGCACGCGCGCGTCGGCCGTCAGACCGGCGAAGGCGATGGAGATGTGGTCGTCCACCTTGCAGATCTTGCGCACCGTGCGCGGGTCCTGCAGCTTGGCCGTCTCCTTGCGCTCCACGGCCAGCACCACGGCGTTCTTGCCGCGCACGCCCACGACCACAGCGCCCTGCAGCCAGATAGTAACGCATCAGTAAGCCACCATCACTACGTATACTATATGCGCTCGATAAAGTATACACGTGCCTTCTTGACGGCCTCCATGGCGTATTCGACCTGGAACAGGTGTCCGTCGGGCGAGAAGACGGTGATGGCGCGGTCGTATCTTGCGGGTCACAGGGGCCACAGAACCACGCAGAATATACGTCAGTGCCTTAGCAAGGTATACATGGTACGCGCGCGGTGGTACAGGCAGCGTGGGCGCAGGTATCAACGTCGGCAAGAACAGCTCACCTGGACATGGTCGTTCGCTTCTTCCTGCCTAAAGCTCTCTGGATCCAAGGGGGAGCTATCTTGTTGGTCCGGATAAAATCTGTTATCCGGATATTCGGCTTTTCCGCCAATCCGAACAAAGTATCAATCTTGAAGCCATCCCCATTACTGCAAGTCCACTATGCACCACGAGCTGTTCCTGGCGCTGCTGGGCCACACGGGCGACGTGGTGGAGCGCCGCGCCGACGGCTTCTTCGTGCGCAAGGAGGCGACCTTCCTGTCGCAGGCGCAGCGCAGCGTGCTGGACCGCCTGCTGCGCCTGGGCTTCGCGTGCTGGACGCTCGAGCGCTTCGTGCGCCAGGCGCCGACGCTGCCCGGCGTCTTCCTGCACGCGCTGGCGCAGGGCGTGGAGCGGCTGCTGCAGCGCTACGCGGACGCTGTCGTGGCGCTGGAGGCCAAGACGCTGCGGGCCAGCGCCGTCTTCCCCGTGTCCAACCTCGTGTTCGAGCTCGAGGAGTTCGTGGAGGTGCTGCCCGAGGTCTGCGCGCTGGTGCACAGGCTCACAGAGACGCAGCAGGACGGCAGCTGCATCAAAGGAGCAAAGTTGCTGAGTGTACTGTACCAGAGCACAAGCTCTGGGTTCCCTAGAGTGGGCAGAGCAATGCAGGAACTGCTGTACGCCTGTCATCGGTGGGTTATTGACTGGGCTGGAAGGTGTTACTTATTTGTTGAGCTTGTTGGGGGTTTTGACTGGGATTTTTGGGATATGTAGGGTGCTGTTCAAGCAGGTGCTGGCGTGGATGGTGTACGGCGAGATTGTGGACCCGTACCAGGAGTTTTTCGTCAAGAAGCACGAAGATGCGTCGGGTGGAGCATTAATGCAGGACACGAGTGAGGCGGCGGTGCTGTGGCATCAGCAGTTCGCGATGGACTTGGAGGCGGTGCCGCTGGATTACTTCCCGACTTCTGTGGCCGAGAGTGTGTTTGTGATTGGCAAGGCGGTGCATATCCTGACTCGAGCCAACCAGTTCTCGCCCAGGGAGGTGCAGGACGTCGTGACGGCGATCTCGGCGTTGGCGAGGCGACCAGTGTTTGATGTCGTGGCAGTCGAGCACGAGGTGGAGAAAGTGCGCCGGCATGTTGCGGGTCGGTTGCATGAGGAGGTCGTGGTCAAGTCGGACTTTGTTGGATACCTGCACGTGCTGAAGGGGTTCTTCCTGCTGTCACGCGGTGAAGTTTTCCAGACGTTCATTGAGCGGAGTTTCGACATGATGTTAATGAGGCCGACATCAAAGTCGGAAGAGGACGTGAACCACGGCGCCTGGCGAGAGATTGTGCGTGATTTAATACCGGAAGACGAACCGTGGGGACGCGACTTCGAGCTGCAGGTAAGTTGAATATCATACATTGCGGAGTTCGACGAACTGACTGTGTAATGTTTTGCCTTCGTGTGCATCAGCTCCCGCTCCAAACGTTTGCGTTGAAAGGCTTCCCATCGACGGATGGTTTGCTCCTGTCCAACGTATCGCGCGGTCCCAATGGCAAGTTTCTGGCAATGGATTCCTCCTCAGCAGGACAGACTCACGGACGAGGCGAACCTGGAGTGGAAGAGAGCGGATCTGTGTGGTGGCGGCATGCGCAGATGGACGGCAACTCGTTTTCATCCGAGTTTTCGCTGCAATGGGAACAGAGCGCGTTTTGGCGCGGGAGCCACCGTGCAGCTCTTCTACTCCGGAACGAAGGGCCGTTGGGACCAGCCACGTTAGTGAACGGGTCATTTGAGCTAGATGATCCACGCGCGTTCTACGTGAGTATCGACCTTGCAATCGAGCATCTCCCAGGAAATATGAACGGAATGCGCGTAATGGCTCAAGTAAAGCCGTCGTGTGTGGGTGAGAGTGGAGTGCAGTCTTCGCCGGTCGCTGAGATCCCGATGGTTGACGGGAACAACCCATCGCTTCGAGTTCGTATCCAGTACGCCCGACAAGAAGTCACAATGACGTCTTCAAAGCAGGTCATGTACAAGAAGATGATAGCTGTCGTCGTGAACGACGTGCTGTTGCTCGAGACGCAGTTCGACCTCCAGCAAGCGCTCCGGTTGCACGCCGCTACGGGCGAGTATTGGATGGGTCTCGGGTTTTCGTCGGTGGTGCGGCTCACAGACTGGAGTCTGGACAAGTACTCAGCCAAGACGAGCTGGCGAGAAGGCAGCGGCACTCACTTGAGGGAGAACAACACCGCAGTGACTCCGCGCGAGCTGTGGCACGCACTGAACTTGCGTTGCAATGTGCGCTGGCCGCTGCAATTGCTCGTGACACCCGACCTACTGCGGTCGTACGGCCACCTGTTCCAGTTCTGCTTCCGGCTCAAGCGAGTCGCCTACGCCCTCGAGTTGGCCTGGAAGAGTAGCACCTTGCGCTCGAAAGCCACCACCGGAAGAGGGAGTACAACCTTTGCTGCTGCCGGTGCACTGCGCATCCGCATGAGCTTCGTCGTGCGCACGCTGGAGCTGCACTTCCAGGTGTTCGTGATCGAGGGCAAATTCAAGCAGTGCGTGGAGCAGATCGAGTCCGCCGGCGACTTCGACCGCGCCAAGCGCGTCCACGAGACCTTCGTGGCGAGCGTCGTCAAGAGCTGCTACGTGCACACGAAGACCGTGGCGTCGGCGCTCGACGAGTTGCTGGGCTGCTGCTGGCAGTTCGCCGACTACGTGCTGCAGCAAGACGCCGTGGGCGATGGCGAGCTGTCCGCAGACCGCGTCGCGCTGCTGGACCAGGACTTCCACCGCCGATTCGAGTTCCTCTACAGCGTGCTGCAGATTTCCGAGGCGCGCGACCTGCTCTTCCTGCTGGACAGCAACGGTTTCTTCGCGGCAGAGCGGGAGCGCAGGAAGCACCAGCAGCGCCAGTAGCAGCAGCAGCAGCAGCAGCAGCAGCAGCGACCAGTGAAGAGTGACCTCCTCCGCTTCAAGGGCCCATTGCCAGCGATGGATCATTGCGGTCGCTGCCGGCAGCCGCGATATCCATTGACCCGTTGGATTTTCTGAGATGATGGCACCGCGCCGACTGCGTTCGCGCCGATGATCGTGTTGCCCGCGCGTCTTGCAGCGCCGTCGGCTCTGCGTCACGCCCAGATGTGTTCATGTATCGAGTCGACTTGCCACCGTTCGGTGACGCCAAGGTCCATTGGAGCCAGCCAGGGTTTCAGCGTGTATCATGAGCCCTACCAAATGGCGCGAAGCTGTTAGCACTCGGACGACGAAATGCTTGGCGGCCAAGCCAAGTCAAGTGCGCTCTGTCCGCAAGGCACCACCTGTACCAAGGTATCCGTCGGCCGACAGACGGTGGCGGCAGCACCCGATATGCCCCGACTTTATTTCGTAGCGGCTAAGTTGTGTGGCGCTAGCCTGGCATGGCCGCTGGCTCGTTTGCCACGGTGCTGCTTTCATTCGAGGAAACGCCTGCAGGTCCGCACCACACGCGACCTGTGTCAGGTCCAGGCGCCAACGGTTCCCGACGAGTGAGACACTGTAGCAGCATTCCGGCCCCGTCGTCGCAGCAGCTGCAGGACCAGCCAGCGGACGAGAGCGCGGCGCTGCTGGAAGCTTCCTACGCGCTCATGGAGGACGCCTCGAGGCTTCCGACGCCCAGCCGCAGCTCGGGCAAGTCGGAGCTCGTGGCCGTGCACGGAGACTACGCGCAGGACGCCGGCGACAGCAAGAGGCGGGGCAGGTGGTGGGCGTTCTGCTGCTGGTGGAGACGGTCTCAGCATGCAGCGGACAAGTCGCTGGGCGGTCTGGAGGAGGCCAGCGCGGAGCGCAGCGCCAGCCGCATGAGCGTGAGCACAAGGCCCAAGACCCACGACCAGTTGGTGGCGGCCAGGCAGCTCAAGCAGCAGATCGCGCACTACTCGACCATGCGCGTGCACATGAAGCGCGTGCAGCTGTGTCTCGAGCAGGAGAAGCGCAACAAGTTCTACAAGGAGCTCGTGGTGTACCTGTGCTTCTTGGGCGTCATCATGGCCACGCTGCTGACGCTGCCGGTGCACTTCCCGTACGAGCAGAACTCGGCGCTGGACGGCACGTACTTCCAGGAGCAGCTGCCCGACACGACGTACGCCAAGAACTTCTACGACATTGGCAACGAAGGCGAGATGTGGCAGTGGGCGAGTGGCCCCATGCTCTACCAGTTCTACGAGCCCCCGATTCGGAATAGCCGCCCCATTGGCAGCATCCAGATGCGAACAGGACGCGTGATTGGAGCGCTCTGCAGCCAGACGTCGAGCCGCAGCGACTTCGTCATGTTTACGGATGAGGTTTGCTACCCGGAGTACTCGAGTTATCATGAGATTAAGGAGCCGTATGGCAACGACAGCGGCGTGCTTCGTGCGCAGTACCAGTGGAGCAGCGGACTCAGCAAGTTGCTGCGCTCCGAGACGTTCAAGCCGGGACTCGTGAGCCACGAGATGGACTACGGCCACGGTGGATACGTCGTGTACCTCCCGCGTGACAATTACACCGCAGCTACCGCTTTGGTCGCACAGATGCAGAGCGACTTCATTCGAGATGGCACGCGGTACATGTCATCGACCTTCGCGTTCTACAACGCGCGCAGCAACATTTTCTCGCACGTGCAGGGATTGTTCGAGATGAGCAACACGGATTACATGGAGGTCACAGGTCGCATCAAGAGCTTCCGCATGCTGGCGAGTTACAGAGATACAGGAGACTTTCTGGAGGCTAACGCACTCGTGATTGTGCTATTGATTGCCACTGTTCTGCTGGTGTATCGTGAGATTTCAGACGTGCGAAACTTTGGGCTACGCAAGTACGTGCAGAGCCTGTGGAATCTCCTGGATATGTTACAGCTCATACTGCTGGTGGTATTTATCACCCACTGGGTACTTTTCATCGTGAGATCGGATAACTTGCGCGATGATCTGTACCGCGTTGGCGATATGAACTGCTCAGGCCCTGCGCACGACCAGGAGATGGCTCGAGAATGCTACGTGGACATTGAGCCGCTGACGTGGCTTTCACGATCGGTTACCAACTACGCTGCCGCGCTTGGACTGGTGTCCGTGGCCATCGTGTTCAAGTATTTGCGCTTGAATTCGCGCTTGAATCTGCTGTGGCGCACGCTTCGTTTCGCTGCAAAGGACTTGCTCGCGTTCGTGATTATTTTCTTCACCATCTTCTTTGGCTTTGCTGTCATGGGCTTCCTTACTTTCGGCACAGCAGTGCAGCAGTACCATTCCCTATCGGTGTCGCTGACGAGCTGCTTCCAGATGCTGCTGGGTGCGTTCGACTACGAGGAGATCTACGTCGCGAACCCTACCATGGCTGGTATCTTCTTCTTCAGCTTCATGATCTCGATCTACCTCATTTGCGTGAACATGTTCATTGCCATTATGAGCGAGTACTACTCGCTGGCTCAGACCGAAAAGAAGACCCTGGAAGAAAACAAGCGCAACCTGGCGGTTGCTACCAAGGAGGATGGCGAGGATGAGGAGGACTTCCGCGACTCGCTTCAGTTCATGGACGTCGAGTACGATATTGCGAAACAATTCAAGATCTACATGAACGGGCTGCGTGTACGCGTGAAAATGCCCCCACTCAAGGATGCGAACTCGATGTACACCACGGAGCAGCTCGTACTCTGTGGCTTCCAGCGCGTGCTGCTTGTGGACTACGACTATCTTATGGCTGAGCGCAAGCGATTACGCCGGAAATTCCGCGCGTGTGTGCATCTTATCATGGTCTGCGGAGATCTAATGCGGCAGAACGACCCGGATTTCACCATGCGCGTCGAGATGGAGTTCGTCAATGAGCTCGCACGCCCACGCGCAGACTCCACGGATTCCTTTGCTGATCTTGTCGAGTTCCCTGTTACGTATGTGCCTATCTCTTCGTCTCTGGCCAACACGGTGGAGATCCTCAAGCGTTTGAAACGTGGCATGTCGATTGAAATCGATGACGGCTCGCTGACGAAGGACCAGATCACACTGGAAGTGCTAGGAGATCAAGACGAGTACATCCCATCCCGCTTTAAGCGACGACTTCCAACTGGATACCCAAGTGACGACTACGATGGAAGTAGCAACGCTGACGGGTTCCGTGTGCGGATCAGTGAAAACACCAGCGCCACCGACGTGCACGGAAGCAGTCGCAGTGGTGAAGGACCTTTTGGACTGCGCCACAATCACCCTAATATCGGTGGAGCAAACCATATCCGCGCCTGCCGGGTGCTGTACAATGGTAACGCGTTGCTGGACGGCAACGAGATGTGCATTATGCCGCGGTCGACCTGGTTCCGCTACTTCACTGGGTACGTTGGCTGGGGCTACATTAAGCGGCTCCTGTCCTTCAAGCGGAAGAAGAAGCAGACGCACCGACTAGTGACGGATGCGGACGTCGATCGCCTTATCAAGGAAAGCTTCGCTGCCCCCGGTCGCGGCATTTCTTGCAGATTCGATGAACTCGTGCGCAACTTCCGCATGTTCATCGCCAAGAAGGTGCACAAGCGTCGACTTCGCATCCCGAATCTGGAGGACCGCATCTTCCAGGAAGTTATTACATTCCTGGAGCGGTTCCCATCGGCGCTCACACCTTTGGACAAGCGCGAGTTAGAAGGCTACAAGTACACGCCGCAGCCGGTGGACACGCGCCGTATTCGGTTGCCCCACTCGATCAATCTCCTGGCCGAACTGCTGTCGCAGAACGCGCACGAGGTGTGGGCTGTTGGACGGATTGACCAAGGCTGGCGTTGGGGCACTCAGCGTGATAACGACAAGAAGCTCCACCCAGATCTTGTACCGTACGAAGCTCTCACTGAGCAGGACAAGCAGTACGATCGCGACACGTCGATGTCGGCATTGAAGGTCATCACGGCTCTTGGATACGTATTGGAGCCTCCATCGAGTAACGAGGAGCAGTTTGACGGATTCGAGTTTGGCACCGCGGCGACGGAACCCGGCGGCACTTACGAGCCGAAGCCAATCCCGACTGACGATGTGAAGGTGCCTCCGCACCTTCGTTCTGTGATTGAACTGCTAGCTGAGAACACGCACGAGGTCTGGGCGCAGATGCGCATGGAGCAAGGCTGGAAGTTCGGTCCGCGGCGAAACGATGCCAAGAAGGAGCACAATGGACTGGTGCCCTACATTTACCTCACACAAGACGAGAAGCAGATGGACCGCAATACGGCCATGCAGACGGTCAAGTTGATCCTGCGGTTCGGCTTCAACTTTGTGCACAAGGATCAACGCACGCGCGGCGGCAAGAAGAAGCACTCGGGCCACATCAAGGTGGTTGGGCGCAACGAGAACGCGGAGGCACACAACGTGGGTGAGGCGGTGGCTCTGGCTCGCGGCGCTACCCGTGCCAAGCGCGCCTTCTTAGGCCGCAATGGCCGGCCGTTCTCGAGCATTCGGTCTGGCTCGGGTAACAGTCTCTTCTCCATGAGCTCGTCCGGTTCGGAAACGCCTGCGTCTCGAGAAATTCAGCAGCGGAGAGCTGCTGGAGCTCACGCTCGCCTTGTTGCAACTGCGTCTTCGTCCGCAGTAACAACCGAGTCCTCTGGCGATATTGCGATGCCACTCGCATCGTTCCAGTCCATGAGCTCGGCGGATTCCTTCGACTCGCCAAAAGATGGCGACAACGCTAACAGCACAATGCAGTAGATAAGTAAGCTGGATTCATATGACACGTACATTATCAAGCACATCGAGTATCCGATATCGCCCCCCTTCAAGCCTAGAACAGGAAGAACCTTTGCGCCAGAGGCAGCGACGACGCTGGACCGCAGGTCAGCAGCTTCCCGTCCGCGTGCACCTTGTACGTCTCCGGGTCGACCTTGATCTTTGGCAGGGCGTCGTTCAGCTTCATGTCCTTCTTGGTGACGCCGCGGCAGTGACGAACCGCTTCAATGCGCTTCTTCAGTTCATACGACGCCGCGATCTTCTTGTCCACGCAACTCTTGCTAACGAAGGCAATAGAGCCCATTCCAACTGCCGCACCCAAGGCTCCGAACATGGGACGCATCTTCACGGGCTGCGGAGTCGGAATTGAGGCGTTCGGGTCGCCCATCTGGGCGTAGGCAATAGCCCCGCCCTTGATCACTATCTCCGGCTTGCTACCGAAGAAGCAGGGCTTCCAAAGGCAAAGGTCAGCGAGCTTGTTCACCTCCACGGAGCCGATGAGGTGTGACATCCCGTGAGCGATAGCGGGGTTGATTGTGTACTTCGCCACGTAGCGACGGACTCGGAAGTTGTCACGCTTGTGCTGCGATGCAGCGTCTTCGGGTAGAAGACCCAGCTCCTTCTTCATCTTGTCTGCAGTCTGCCAGGTGCGCGTGATCACTTCACCGATACGCCCCATAGCCTGCGAGTCCGAGGAAATAATACTGATCGCCCCCATGTCGTGCAGCAAGTCTTCGGCTGCAATAGTCTCACCACGGATACGCGACTCAGCGAACGCCACGTCCTCAGCGATCTTCTTGTCCAAATGGTGGCACACCATGAGCATATCCACGTGCTCGTCGATGGTGTTGCGCGTGTACGGGCGCGTTGGGTTAGTGGACGAAGGAAGCACGTTGGGCTCACCACACACGGTTACAATATCCGGGGCGTGGCCCCCACCAGCACCTTCACTGTGATAGGTGTGGATCGTTCGGCCCTTGAAAGCCTTGATGGTGTGCTCGACGCAGCAAGACTCGTTCAACGTGTCTGTGTGGATCGTCACCTGCACGTCGTTCTCCTCTGCTACTTGAAGACAGTTGTCGATGGCCGCCGGTGTGGTCCCCCAATCTTCGTGCAGCTTCATGCCCACAGCGCCAGCATCGATCGTGTCTTGGAGGCCTTCAGGAAGCGATGTGTTACCCTTGCTCGTCAATCCAATGTTCATCGGGGACGAGTCCGTCGCCTGCAGCATCAGCTTCATGTGGTTCGGCCCAGGAGTGCACGTCGTCGCGTTCGTTCCAGTAGCTGGGCCAGTACCTCCACCAACAAGCGTAGTCAATCCACTCGCGAGCGCCTCAGTGCAGAGCTGCGGGCAGATGAAGTGCACGTGGGCGTCGAAGCCTCCAGCAGTCAGAATCAAGCCTTCGCCAGCGATCACCTCGGTGTTCACGCCCACAATCAGGTTCGGCATCACGCCCTCCATCACGTCAGGGTTGCCGCCCTTACCAATGCCAGCAATGAGACCGTCCTTGATACCCACATCAGCCTTGTAGATGCCCGTGTAGTCCACAACCAAAGCGTTGGTGATGATCGTATCCACCACCTGCGCTGACGTCTTTCCTGACGCCTGGCCCATGCCTTCACGCAGAACCTTGCCACCACCGAACTTGCACTCGTCTCCATACACCGTCATATCCTTCTCCACGGCAACATACAGCTCCATGTCACCAAGTCGTACGACGTCTCCCGTCGTAGGACCATATGTCTGCGCGTACACACTTCTGGGCATCTTGCACACTCCAAAGTCCGGCTGGGTCACGCTACTCGGCAGCTTGCTCAGATCCAGCTCCTTGTGGTGGAAACCCTCAGCCACCGCCTTGGTGACGATCGCGTCCACCTTGGATTCGTCCACCACGCCAGTTGCGAGGTTGTTGCCGCCCGTGATCACCTTGTTTCCTGCAATGGGGACAATCGAGACCGTCTTCTGGTCTCCGGGCTCGAATCGCACCGCAGTGCCCGATGCAATGTTCAGACGGTGTCCGTAGGCGAGCTTGCGGTCCATCTCCAGGTACGGGTTGGTCTCGATGAGGTGGTAGTGGCTTCCGACTTGAATGGGCCGGTCCGACAGGTTGGTAATCTGCAGCACGCGCGCCTTGCGGCCGGCATTGAACACAATGTCCGAGTCTTGAGTGATGAGAGCTCCAGGCGCCACCGCGGGCGTCGTAGCAGCAGGACCGAACACCTCGAGCTTGGGCACGGGCAGGAACGACCCGTACAGAGCCAGCGACAGATCTCCGTCCAGGCTGGAGATGGGGTTGTGGATCGTCACGAGCTTGGTGCCATCCGGGAAGGTGCCTTCGACCTGCACCTCGTCCAGGATGGAGGCCACGCCCTCCATCACCTGGCGTCTGTATTGTTTACGACAATAACAACAGCAGTGTTAGTCCCACAGTACATGCACACCTTACAGTTGCACTGAAGCCCCTGTGTACCTTCCGAGCATCTGCGCGCCGAGGGTCATGAGCTCCGCCACCGTCTTGCCGTCCCGGATGAACTCCAGCACCTGCCAGCAGCACAATTGCCATTGTATGAGCACGACAAAGATATGGACAGCTAAAGGTCGTCTCTCTCTCTCTCTCTCTCGGACCTGCGTGGCCAGCAGCGCGACGCTCTCCGTGTAGTTGAGTCGGAGGCCCCTCGCCAGCCGCTTCTGGGCCAGGAAGCCGGCCGAGTGCAGCATCAAATGGTCCTCTTCGCGCGGACTCAGACGCATCTTGTCGTCTTGACCTTGACCCAGTTAATCGATCCGCTCGCTTGCTCTCCACGCCGCAAAATGCGCAATGCAATGCAATGGCAAGGGACGTGTGCGGCTGCTCTCAGGTCAAGGTTGAAGCGAGACCAGCCAATCAGCGAGCAATGACGCGTATCTTGTCGATGTACTCATCTATTTTAATATTAAAATACAGATTTGCACTGCAATGCAATGCAATGACCAAGTTGAAGTGAACTAACTACTCTACCTGTTGGCCCGAGGTGACCCCTTCCTCCTCCCCCCTTCTAGCAACTTCAACACCTCATCCAGCCTACTTGCCACATCCTTCCGCTCCCGAGCGCTGCTCTGCTGCGTCGTCTCCAGCAGCTCGCGGGCGTCCTGCAGCTCCGTCGTCACCTGCATGCGCAGCGCCTCCACCTCCTCGTGCACATGCTTCATGACCTGCGTCGTGATGGCCTCCGTGATGCTGGCCATCTCTGCTTCGTCCACCCCATTGGTCTTGCTGATCAGCGAGAGCTTCATAGCGTCAACCTTACTACGCTGCTTGTTCATTGGTCCTAAGAACGAGAGGGACGACGCGGACGACGTCAAGTCGCGCCGCAGGAAGTTGCGACCCGCGCGTGGCTGCTGACCCGACCCGGACACGTGCAGCACGCAGACGTCGATGAGCTCCTGGCCCTTGGGCGTCGAGTAGAGCTTGCGCACGACGCCGTAGCGGACCCACTCCTCGTAGCGGTGCAGCGCGCCCGCGAGCTCCAGCAGCGACAGCTCCTTGGCCTGCGTCCGGACCTTCTCGTACTCGGACGTCATAAGCGCGACCAGCAGGTTCATGGCCACGACGATCATCACGATGACGTACGCGGTCAGCAGCAGGAACGCCAGGACGCTGTCGTCGAAGCTGTAGATGTCGCCGTAGTTGAGCTCGCCGAAGGTGGTGAGGAAGACGATCCGCATGGCGCTGAAGAAGTCCGTGTAGGGCCCTGCCCCGTGGTAGAGCAGGAAGAGTCCCCCGGAAAAGCCCAGGAGCAGCAGCAGGTACTGGAACAGGAAGCGCGCAACGACCTTAAACATCCGCGCGAACGTGAAGATGAGCACGCTGAAGTACGACGACACTAGCAGTGCCTGCATGAGGTTCACGCAGAGCAGGATGCTTAGCAGACTCAGCAACGTGTCGTGGCCCTAGACACTTCGAACGGGATGGTCGCATGTACGTGAACACGTCCAGCAAGTTCCACACAGATCGCGAGTCTGCGTGGAGTTGGAGCGCCACTCCTTGAAGAACTCGACGGGTTCACCTTCGTAGTACCCGGAGTAGTATTCCTGCTGCAGTTCAGTTTCGAGCACCTTGCTTCTCAGCGGGGGTCTTGTACTACGACTACAAAGTTGTAGTCGTAGGACCACGATCCCCAATCCAGCAGCTGTCCACAAATTGCACTTGTCATTTTTTTTTTCACGCACTGAATGTTGTCCACCTTGATTTTCTTGTACTTCTGCTTTGGAGACAACGATGCTGACATCGCTGCCAACTTCGCCGGCTATGCTCGCAAAAGCGACGGTTAAGCCGGGTTAAGCACTCTCTAGACCGTGCACTAGTTATCGGCAACGCAGCATAACATTCTTGCGGGTGTCGAGCTTGCCAATTTTCAACGTTCGCTCACGGGTAGCTACCGGCGATTGAGAGATTCAAGATGCTTTCACGCAACATCAAGACCGTAGGGGGCGACGACACAGGTAACTTATTAAGTTTCTCGGGTATTAATTATAAAAAGTGACACTGTAAATTTTCAGCTTTTTTATATGCTACCTCTATCTATAAATACAAAATCATCTATATAAATTACCAGACATCAATCAATGGCAAAATCGAAGATTTGAGCTTAGCCAATAGGCTCGCTTGCATTTTATCCCCAGACCCAGACACCGACGGAGAAACCAGGGCCTATTGTGCCTTTCTGGCAAAACGCCCTCTGATTTGAGGTCCTACGTAGGACTTTTGCTCCTACGTAAGACCTCATAAAAGTTAGTACTTTTGCTCCTACGTAAGACCTCATAAAACTTAGTATCAAGGCCAGTAAAACCATACATAAACAAAAACTGAATGTAAACTGAGCGAATGGCTTGCAAAGGTAGGCCGACAAGTGAGCGCATTCAGTACCGCTATGTACCTGTAGCGCATGTACGTAGCTCCACGCTGAGCACGGTGACCTGGTTGTGGTGCTGCCTGAGTCTACCCCTGTACGAGTGCGGCCAAACTATGCATTTGCCACTGGCAAATGCATAATTGCCACTGGCAAATGCATAATTGCCACATATGCTTTCATGCGCACTGCCCTGATCTAGTCCTACGAAGGACTCGTTAGTCCTACGAAGGCCCGAATGGCCAGCTTCACATGGCCATTCGGTCCTTATTTCCAAAAAGGTACACTTTATGAAGACGGAGCTCCAACGTAGGACCTCCGTAATCCGATGCAAGGCAACAGCAAATCCAATTAGAGACCTGAGAAAATACATCACTCGTACTTAATATGAATGAACAGTCTTTAGAATTTGAAGCGAAGTCGGTGTCATGGTCAGGGTGTGGTTCGAGCTCGTTGATCGCCAAGGTGGCCAGGTGGCCACGCTAAGATATGTGGATCTAGCGCCAGATACCCCGCTTGCCGTGTTCAAGAATGCTGCCCGCGGTGCTGCCGAAGCTGTACTCCCCACAGAGCTCGACACACCCGACCTTAAAGTGTTTGCCAACGCGAAGGCGCGGCAAGACCAGACGCTTTTGGAGGAGCTGAATGGGTTTGGGCAGAATTATGCAGAGCCGCTTATCGTGGAGGTGCCTGAGGTTTGGTTCAAGCTGACGGACGCCCGCACTGGCGATCTTTTCCCAGGCACACGCCTTAGCTCGGCCCCTATCCCGGAGACTGCCACCGTCGAGCGTCTACTAGTTGCTCTGAAGAAGAGGTTCAATGACAATTACCTCGATGGGGTTGATGTCTTCAATCTCCACGCGTACGACCACGAGAGGAACCCGTTGGAGGAGACAGCGCAGCTTGGTCTGTTCGGTCTCACAAGGAGCACCGCGATCATCGTAGAAGTCCCAGCGCGCACAAGATTCCGAGAGGAGACAGAGCGAGAACTTGACGAGGTCGCGAGGAAACGGCGCAAGAGTGATCCTGTTACGAAGTGGAAATGGAAAGAGGAGGAGGATCCAGTCTACAGTCTTGATGAAGGCACATTGTATTTCGTAAACCGTGATCGCGCCACTCGAGAGCTGGTACGCCTTCACAAAAGCAATTACAACCGTGCAAAGCGCGGTTACGGCGACGTGTGGATGATTCCTTTGCTGGACAACATATCTGGGATCGGAAAGTCGCAGTTCGGCCGGGAATACATTCGGAGTTGCCGACGGCAATGGGATGGTTTACCAGCATCGGATACAGATGGTGACTTTCTGAACATTATACGTCAGAGCCACACCATTGTTGCCAATTTTTCTCTGGAGCATATACTGCGTGAAGACATGAGCTTTGACATGGAGAAGGCTCGCGGGAGTTTCGTTACATCCATTCGCGCATTCTTCGTGGAAAACTATGGCACCACACCCCGTGCTCTCGGTTCGATTGAAGCAAACCCAGATCACGTGGATATTTTGATGAAATTAGCGATCGAGGCTGGTCCATTGTTCATCGTGATTGATGATATTGCTTCGGCTTTTGATGTCCCCACCCTTGATGTTCCCGCCAAGGAAGATCGATTCCTGGAATTCTGCCAGGTGGTTTTGAGGCCGCTGTTTTGTGTGAAACATTTATTTTTCCTGGTTGTGGGACGCGCGCCCTTCCTAAACTATCTTTCTTCGAGTGCCAGGCTGTACCAAAGTGGAAGCTATTTTACGTTTCGACGACTGAGTCTTTGTTTCCTTCGACCGCCTGAGATTCAAGAGATCATCAAGAAAACCTATTTACTGAGTCTTTGTTTCCTTCGACCGCCTGAGATTCAAGAGATCATCAAGAAAACCTATTGGGACAAGAAACAGGTGAAGACTGTCCAGGAGCAGTTTAAACTTGATGAAAGCCAAGTGAAGGATGTTGCTGAACATCTTTGCAAGACAACGTTTGGGCATCCGCGATCTTTACTTGCTGCCTTCCGCACCTGCCACTCCTACCAACAGCTCGTGAAGTATGAGATGCCTCGCGAATCGGACAAGAACTGGGAACGCCAAAAGTATTTGCAGCGTTGCGAGACACCTCTTCGAGAAATGATGAAGTGTGCAGTGGATAACACAAAAAAAGTCGCTGGACTTGTCAAAGGTTTGGAAAGATCAGCGAGGCGAAGTATCGTACATCGACACCGCCGACATGTTTGGTATTGAGTGGGCCGGCAACCTGAATGATGCTGAGCTGTTTATGCCGCCGTATATTCAACACGCAATTTTAAGCTCTGTCTCCTCGATCCAGAAGCTGCTAGAGATTGCTACGATTGAGGTTGGTCACGACTAGGGCTCACTAAAGCGCACGTCTTGCCCAGCTTTGGGCCCTAGTAACATTCATGTCAGCAATGGTGAGCGCCATAAGATCAAGCATCATAAAAAAACTTTTTCTTTCTTTTAGCCGTCGTGGTTACATGCGTTCCGTATTAGCCCGCTGAAGATGGAGCAGTGTACGCGGGGGAGGCGTGCATGCTCGTTGAGTTGATATGGTTATGTAGTGGGATGTGGACTACGTCCCCACCCTCTTAGTCAAGCTTCACATGGCAACTCGACCTCTTCCTGGACTGCCCGGACAAGGGCAGGTAAGACGATGGGGTTGCCATGGGTTCTGTACCTCTCGCGTAGAGAGTGCAGGAGTTTGGGATTTACCTCTGAGGAGCAAGTCCTCACGGTAGAATACCACAGAGAACTAAGCAGGCTATCGTAGTATACGTTGGTGGCTTTGGGCGTTCCAGCGCCCACGTATTGTGTTCTTTGTGTGTCCCCGAGCCACTACAGGTTATCTTTTTATCGTCCGGCGAATACTTGAGATCAAACCGCAACCACAACGAACAGTGCAGTGTACGCGCTGTGCGGTAAATCAATCTTAACAAAGCGTATTTTGTTTTCTTTTTGTTGATGTTCATACGCGCCCGTAGAGAAGGCATCAGGTACTTGATCTGGTGGCGTATTTAGGGACTTAGTAGAGTAGAACAGTGCGTCCATTTTGGAGTACCAGGGACACATATTCTCCAGTTTCTGCGTACACACCAGCAGCTTCGTCGTCTGGCGTGATGCCGGCTCCTGTCGATGCCTCGTACTCCTTCGCCTTCATGAAGCGAGCCTTGTAGGTCTGGAAGCGATCTTTCATCCTCTGACTTGACAAATCGAAGCGTCCTTTGCTGCTTTTCTACAGCGCAGCGGCCATCTCCCTGAACCCGTCACTTTTGGAGGCCGGCTTCTTGCCAACCGACGTCTGCTTCGACACGCCAAAGCACTTCTCGAAGTTGGGGCGATGTTCGAGCCACAACACGATCGCGAGCAAGTCTTCCTTCCTGAGGTGTTCTTTCACCATGATCTTCGCGAAGTGAATTGGCCACTGACTCTATTGCATTTCTAAATCCTACGACCACAAAGCCACGGATCATGCCTGATTTGATTTGCACCTCCGAGTGCAGGGAATCAGCAAATGTGACGGATTTTGAAATGCGAGACAGTTGATTTTGAAACCCCCTAATAGGTGAAGAGCATGCTTGCAAGCTAGCTTGATTAGCTGTCGCAACGTCAGCATTGAGATATGCGATGTGTTTAGCCGTTTGAGCCCAGTCTGGGGTTGAAGTTTTTCGTATTAAACAAATCACCATCATCTCGTCGTGCTTCCAGTCTTGGTTTCTGGAGATGAAGTCTGCAACCGTGTTGGTCTCAGGGAATCAGCAAATGTGACGGATTTTGAAATGCGAGACAGTTGATTTTGAAACCCCCTAATAGGTGAAGAGCTTGCTTGCAAGCTAGCTTGATTAGCTGTCGCAACGTCAGCATTGAGATATGCGATGTGTTTAGCCGTTTGAGCCCAGTCTGGGGTTGAAGTTTTTCGTATTAAACAAATCACCATCATCTCGCGTTACGCATTTGCGACGAAGGCGACTTAGAGCGGCAAACCATTCTGGGTCCGCCTTACCCCTGTTTTGATTTCTTAAGCGGGAAACATACGGAATATTATCCCATATCTCACGACCTAGTTGCTGTATTGGGTTGTGAATTTGAGTAAGCGGCGTAGACAAAGAATACGGAATAACCGGATCAAGCTGAGCTGAGTCTCCTATAAATATCATATCACGCCAAAAGCAGCAAAGCGCGTTATAACAAGATTTGGCACAGATTACTGCTGATACCGCCGCAAAAAAGAAGAAAAAGAGGAAGGCAGTACAATCAAACCCATTAGAAGCTTTCGAACAGCTTGAACAAGAATCCCGCATCCAACGCGCCGAGGATACTCGAAAGCGAAATGCAAGCGCTCAAATCGCGCCAGGTGGGCATAAGATACTCAAGCGTGGTGCTGACGGGGATCGTCAGCAAAACAACGAAGCCGCCGATGTCCATGGTGGGTATGCTATTCTCTTATGGTTCTCTGAGTCGGAATTGTATTCACGTATGTTTTAGTGACAATTCAGCATTCTTTGGACGCATCGACGATACTTTCTTACGGATGCTGTGGTGAGCTTTCAAAATCTGCGCGAATGGTCAAGTAATCAGTACTTCTCTGCACTGAAAAATGAGAACGGCGTGTGCGATCAATAGCAGAAGCCATTACGCAGCAAGACAGCAGTGGCATGAGTTTCACGTGGATATTCTCTCGCTGCAATACATCTCTCACTAAGAATGAGATGCCCAAGTTTTGTCGTGCGAGCGGGTTTCGTATTGGACCACTACCGCGAGAACTGGCAGTTCTGAATCGCACAGAGGCTCGATTGGTTGGCCTTGGAATTTCGTTCACCACTTGCTTTAATTTGTATCGGGACCAGCAAGAGTTTACGAGGGGAAACACCGTCAACTACTGGAATGATGTGCGCGAAGTTGTATTGTCGCTCCCAAGGCCGCTATCCAAGTGTGCGGTGGTTCTGTTGCGATCCACGAGCAATCAAGGCACGTCGCTTATCAAAGTCCGACTCGATGTCATTCGCAGTGCCTTAGAGTGGCTTATTGCAAATAACCCACTCTACCGGAACGTTACCATTCAGAGGAAAACTTAGAGGAGCTTGCCCGAGCGAGCATCGACGAACTGTGCCAAGTATTGCGCTTACAGAAGAAGAAGTAGCACTCATGTTCTCAGACTAAACAGTCCTCATCCAAAGCTACCCGGAAAAATAGCTATATATTTTCCATTCCTAATCATGTGCAACAACATCACTCAAGTGAAACTTAGAAATCGAGGAATTGTTTGAGCTAGAAGCCGATCAATTGGACGAACTAACAGAAGCAGAAAAAATTGGGAAAGTTGTAAATAAAACCACTGGTAAAACTATTTATCCAACGGGCGAGTTGCGTGATATGAAGAATCCAATAAATGAGTATACGACCAAAATGTTGATGCAGAACTGTTTTCCTACGTTGTTCCCGAATGGAGAAGGAGGGTTACATGGCTTGGTGGATGCGGACGGCAAAGAGTACGAACAGCGATCTCACGAATACCACTTAGCTGAATATTGTGCACATGTTATGAAGTGGCATGATAGGCGATTTGTTACTCACTGTAATTTTAAGTTTTTTCTGTTTGAACTTAATACACCGCAGGCAGATGGACGGGCTCGTTCGTAGAATTGGCTCTCCACACTCTGAAACTAATACAGATGGCTCAACTCCCGCACAGGGTTGCTCGGAAGGTGTCAAAAATGACATTAGTGCAGCTATGAAAATGCTCGACTCACTTAAACCCTACTTTCGTGGCGTTCGCGGTAGTGGCTTGTATTGATCTAACGTAAGAGATGATCTGATGAGTATGCTAGGCAGTCGAGTGCTGCCGTCACGGTGGCCTACGTTTTTTCTAACCCTGAGCGCAGCTGATACAGTTTGGCCTGATTTTTTCAGAGCTTGTAACCCCAAGCTCACACTCCAACAAGCAAGGAGACTAAATAGTCGAGAGAGACGAAGGTATCTAATTGAAAACCCGGACATTGCTGCCCGGCATTTCAACAGAAGGTTTGACGCGTTTTTTAATACTGTTCTTTGTGGAAGTGCCAAACCGCTTGGAGAAATTTCTGATTACTTTTGGCGTGTGGAATTCCAGCAGCGCGGGTCCCCTCATATACACGCGCTCCTTTGGATTAAATATGCACCGGACGTACTTAAGTTATCGAAAACAGAATTGGGGCGCACACAACTAGCATCGTACGTTGACAGTGTAATATCCGTTTTGTCGAAAACTTCTAACGATCTTAGAAGTTGTACCTGTTCAACGTGCACGACCGAAGAAAGGACGAACCTAGATATTCTATCTGCTAGACCACCCAACACCAGAACGTGTGAATGGGATTGTGATTTATCACGAGTCGTGCAACGTGTTCAGCAACATATATGCTCCTCCGGCAGAAAATCTGGAAACGAATGTCGATTTGGTTATCCAAAAGACTTACAGAATCGCACAGAAATACACTTAGACACTGCCGCCGACGGTATCCCGTCAATTCAAATTCGATTGAAAAGGGAGTGTTCTACAATTAATAACTATTCGCCTTCTTTGCTTTCTGTTTGGCGCGCAAATATGGATATCCAGCTTATTGGCAATGCGTATGGAGCAGCGGAATACACAGCCCCATATGAAACAATTTGCGGGAACCCGGGTTCTCGCAAATGATACCGACCAAATCGCGAATTATTTATTTAATTTTTGGCCTCCATATTGGTACCCTCGGGGCAAGCTAAACCCTCATACCTAAGTGCTGTCGATGAAGGACTACCCTCAAAATATGCCACCGGTACTGAATAGACCCAAATAACATACCTTACCATGTCCAAGTTTATCTTTCAAGAGCAGGAGGATAGCGATGAGACCGGGAAGCACTGTACCGCTGCACCAGGCAAGCGCCTGGATTTTCGTGGAGAGACACAGGACGAGGGCGAAGGTGAATTAACCTTCCGTTCCCCTACTGAGCTTTAGCTGCGTTCTATGTAGGTCATAGACCAACACTTCAATGCATTTGCTCATACATGTGTACCGGTAGTTTTGGGGGAACCGGGGTCCCGATGGGTCCCCGGGTTCCCGCCAATTGTTTCATATGTAAGTAAGGCAGAACCAGATACGCTCAGATTCAAGAAGGTGATTGCGGCGGCAGTAAAACGATGTGTATGTTAAAATTCTCAGCTCAGAAGTTCTCGATTCCCACTTAAATTTTGAAAAAGAACAGCAGCGAATCTGGGAATGTTTAGAATGAGCCTTGCAGTGACATAGGTCAAATTCAATCATGGGTCGTCGTCGTCACCTCTCAATCGCTTGCTACAAAAACAAGTAGTTGAAAGTAGCAACTGCGTGATTTGTTGCCACCTGTAGCTTTAAAGCATTAACTACAGCATGCATCGAAGTCTATCTGTTGATATCTCTTCTCATGTCTGAATATTATTAGCTCAGTGACCACTAACATGGCATGGTGAGTGAGACTGCTATTTTGTGCTGCTGGCGAGACCAGTACTCGATCTTAAAAATAATGCAAAGCATTCATTTGTTGCTTCCCAATAATTGGAACTAAGAAGGTCGTAAATGAGGCGCTGGGATAGGGGGTTATGACTCTATCTTCGCCTTGTGCTGGTTTTCTTGAAGTAGCTTACTTCTTCCTACGATATACTATGTACAGTATTTCCTGTCCACGGCAGCGCGGTGGCGCGGCTCGAAAAGGTAGACGTAGGAGTCTAGGGTGGATATTGCACCGAAATAAGTACTAGTAAAGCCAACGTGTCGCCCCTTAGCACATTCGATTCTACTTCAACGACGCAGGCGGCAGTGCCGGGAGAAGATGATGACGACGTTGAAGGGGCTGTGAGTAGCGACGCGAGCGCTGCTGTATAGCCCCCAGCTGCCCTTGACGTCCACGCCGAAGACTTGACAGAATCTCCGCTGCTTACGCAGTTGTCTCCGCCCACCGATGACTCGCTATTGCCAGCGTCCGAAGGTTCCCCTCGAACGCGCCATTCGCTGGGAAGTAGCGCCACCAACAAAGCTGCCGCAGTGAGTGAAGAAGATGCCGGAGATGTTTTACCTAAACCTGCCACTGCTGCCCATGAACGCCGCGTGGAACCGCCTCGAACACCCTCCAAAAGAAAGCAACATCCCACCAAACCGCCCACCACCAGCGGCAAGCGCCAAGCTGCACCAGCATCTCGTACACTTGAGCTACCATCGCTGAACGCTTCACCATCAAGCCCCAGCACAACTGCTCCCAGAAATGCAATTGCAGGTGCTATAGAAATGGCAGCGAAGACGAAGGCAGTCGGTACGCATTTCACATTTGAGATTTGTTTGTCCACTTTCTCCTTGACTCTACTTGACGAAACTAGCAGCGGAAAAACGGAAGTTCACCTGGATTGAAGCAATGGGCACACGTGGAGAACACAGGCAGACGGCGTGCGATACTGACGTGAATATGACTAAGTTACTCGGGTGGGATGACTATCAAAAGCGTTTTTATTGGAGATCGATTACCAATGTCTTACACACTAATCTCAGGAAACACCGCATTCACACCCAGTGGGGGCCACACTGTCGGATATGCAGTGAGCCGCGGATGGATACACAAGCTCATCGATATGGAGTGGGTCAGGACGGATGCGTTGCAACGCCAAGCCTGTATGTTGAGGTGGGGAGACAACTCGAGATCCTGTGTCATCGCCTCTGGATTCCGGACCAGGAGTATATGATACCAGGCCGGTGCCACCTTGTTGCCAAAGAAAGCGGCCGACAAACTCGATCATGGTGGACATGTGATGATAAGGAAATAGGTCCATGGCGTGTGCTGGTCCAACTCAATCCCAACCTATGGGCTCACGCAGCGCAGGTAATCTCGCTGGTACGAGAGTGGCGATGGGCATCGGATGCTAGCCACCTTCTAACCCTGGAAATGCAGTTTTGCAAGAAGCGACCAGCGGGTCGTCTCTTACCTGTGCAACTCCAACGAGCGGCACACGGATGCCTGCGCAATACTCCTACCACCCGTGCCAGGTGACGGGACTATGGGAATCGGGAACGCTAGACCCGCGATACTGTGCAGTTTCCATCGGCGTGCAACAGAGATCGGAAACGTAGTTTTTGGGTTCGACGATAGAAGGCCATGTTCACGAACAAGTCAAGCCTACCATGAGAGTGAACGCATGTCCGACAAGATCCGATAATTTGGGCGGCCAAGGCCTCGAGGACATGCTGTGAACGACCTCCTCGAAGCTTGTTTTGTCCGTCTTGTCCCAGTGATCTGATCAACGGCAATCTAAGTCTGGGTGCACGGTTCAAGCAGTAGCCATCGAGGAGGTCACGTAGTAAGCTGCTTCATTGAGTCTTTCGCTCCGAGATGCGAAGAGTCGCGAGCGAGAAGACCAGGTGCGCCCTAGGTCGCGCTCAGGATATTTTCACCCACCACACCACTCCCTGGGGGCTGCCTCCGCTTGGCGTGCGGTGCAAACTTCGCAGAGGCTAGCCTCACTAATCGAAAAATGAAGCAGCTCTAGCCCCACATGGTCTTCATGCAGGAGAGAGGAAACGGAAATACGGTGCAGCGTTACTGAAACCGGAGCCACCTGCTCATCAAGCTGCATTGTGGATCGATGACACGTTTATACCAGCGGACGAAAGCCGATGGGACTCTATTCGCGCCGAATACAACGGATGCAGAGATGAGAGAAAAACATTGTGGGTCGCGTGCTATGATACCTCACCGGCACATCGAGCGGCCTCTGAGATGGGAATCGAGTGGTTTGTCTGTATCCCGGTGAATACACTTCGAACGAGGAGGTAAGCTAAACCTCTTCCACCGAACGTCGGAATATCACAGCCAAGAACCCCTCTCCAGTGTGGATCGGTATTATTACCCCACACATAACTCATGCACAGCAGCACTGCTGGGCATCGGAATGGTGGTCTGCATTACAGTGTGGTCTCTCTACAGGCTGGCTTATCATCGAGTACACGAGTGAGGACTTGCCCGAATACGGTCCCCGTCAGCCACTTGTTACATGAAACTCTGCACTAGCCACAACTGGGGCGGACCCCGTTCTGCTGGAAAACCGTCGCTGGCTACAAAATGAGTTTCCGGAGGTATACTCGGCTCCATGCGGCTGGAAGACGTGGCCATCGGCTACTCCGGCAACCGTGCGATGGGCTCAATACCTCATGGTCACTTCTGCCAGTGGCACGAGACTGCATCTTGGCGTCCTACGCAGTATCTGGATGTCCAATAGACTGCACTGGAAGACAACATGCCAGGAAAATGTACGGGTAATACAGGCAAGAGACGAAGGCACGCTACTGGACGATGTTAATGCCGACATTCGGAGAAGTCGGCGCCAGCACACCCGCGCAGGTATGGGATTTGACACCGTACTGACTCGCCATATATCGGTACGTCGTGAGCGGGCCGAGAGGTGGCTTGAGAATTGGCAGATAAGACGACAGGAGGCGGCCCTAGCTGAGAAGGACGACGATCCTCGTGGGACAACAATGGAGGAGCAAGGGCAAGCTCATGCGTGACCCACGGTAGAGCGAGAACATCAGTACGAGAAGGTCCTGATCAGATACATATTTAGGATACATGTTGTAGGAAATTAGGACGGAGCCGTAGCCGCCGGGTACCTGAGGGGCCCGGTCAGCGGGGTTCGATGCAGTGCTCGCCCCGAGCGCTATCGGCGGTAACCGCAAAAAGTAAAAATAAAAATATCTCCTTGACTCTACTAACTAGATCGTCTTCGACTTGGCTGGGAACACCTGTGGAATAAAATGCTGGTGCTGGTACCGGTGCTAATTGCCGTGATGACTGTAGCCCGCGTGATTCAAGGGGTGGCCCCGCAGGGGCCACACCCATGAATATCGCGCGTGCCGCAGTTCACTTTCTGAAGCTGGTGCATGGGTCTGTTGACGTGCATTTCCTGCCTCAGTATGTCTTGGTGAAAGTTGCCGTTGAACCTGCTCGGTCGACATCCTTCTGGCTGGTGTTGCACGAAGGTTGCGCCAGGTTACGCTTACGCGTCCAATTAATCCGTTGGGAGCTGTCCACCCCCTCCTTCTTCGGGTGTTCCCAGTATAATGTTTACTTCTACGGAAATCGCCGTGCGAATCTGCCACTTTGTATAGAATTCGGGGTGCAAATTGACCGGCGAATTCCACGAATGCAAAAATGCCAGCTATACAAAAATCAAATGAAACTGTCCATAATGCAAGATGTAGTGGAATTCATCGTGCAGTTTGCACGAAGCATATTGTGCCGCACATTTGGTACACAGTGTGAAAGTAGAAACACTACTACTTCGAAGTAAATGTGTATTGTGTAAGCTTACCGCTACTCACCTACGTAATGGTAGCTTGTCTAGCTGGAGCTGTGCCTTGCATGCTCACGGGCGAGATTTCTCCACGATAGTTGGTCAAGTCTACGCGCTCTTCCTTTACTCGATGTCGATGAGAACGGTAAACGATTCTTTACTTGCTCAAAAAGAAGGCCAGCCGAATCGAGAGAGCTGTGCGCTCGCAGGACCTCATCACTCGTCAGAAGTGCTTCAACCAAGCGCATCAGCCGCTGAAGCTCTGCAAGCCGGATCTTTTGTAGCCTTGAAGCCATATCGTGCTTTGATAGCTGCCTTAGTAGCGGTTGCCCAGCACACCATTGCTGCCACACAACGCGAACGGTTCCTGGGGGTAGCACAAACTCTCTTGGCACTCGATGAAAGCCTTCACCCCATGTGTAAAGCTCGGTGTGCATCACTGCCGTAGCATTCACGGCAGGCTCGCCTTCTGGATCTGGTGCGGGTAGATTTGGTCGCATCAAATTGGACCGCGCCAATACCGCAGCGAAGGCTGTCTCCATCGCTTCCATGGTCATAACTGATCCGTTAATGTGCCGTTTGAGAGCTTTCTCAAAATCAACAGCCAGTCCTTCTTTAATCCCATCAATTTGCTCCTTGTAGTCTGTAAGCGCCACCATTATCCCCACGTGTGGCGGAATGCCCGAAGGACGGATAGGATCGTGCTCTTGAAAGTTTCGACAAACTACACGACGCCGCAGCCACTCAAATTGCGCTTCATTGTGTTGAATAGCGGAGTAGCAAACAGCAAATGATTCGTAGGCAGTGACTGCTGCAAGAACGACTTGTGGAACAGCATTGACGCCAGACCAAATTGACAGATCATCCGCAGACTGGCTGGAACACCGGGAAAAATGGCTTTTATGGCGACATCAATGCGCTGCCGTAGTTCCAGTCTGTCAGCTTCTTGATCACTTTGCACATCGAAAAATGGAGGTAACGCTGCAAATTTTGGAGAATCAAATGGAAGGCCCGCAAGATACCGACCAAACACCATGTCACCAGCGGCTTCAAACCGAACATACTTGTCCTGGACACCTGGAAGAGTCCAACCAGCCCGAAGGCAAATAGCCGCTGCTGACGGACCCGAAGTAGAGCAGCTACTAACATAGGTATCAGCACCTTTACGCGCGGAGTGCGTACCAAAATCAGCAGCCGTTAATCCAAACTCAGCTAACGTTCGCTGCATCAGTTCTCCACTAAGCACAGACTTCAATACTTTGAGAAATCGACTGTACTTATTACCACCAGGGAAAAGTTTTCCATCGCGAGCTAAACCAAAAACAGCGAAATACACTCCAAGTCCTAATACCGGGCAGATTTCGGGCATGGTTGGATTTGCGTACACATGCCTGGGATCGCGAGGCCGACTTCCGTCTTGATCGTTTTTCATATGAGCGAAAGTAATCGTGATGGAGTCCTCGCGCCAAGAAAGGCGAGCGTGCCGTATCGATTCAGTACTTTTGGCGCGGCACATGAGATTCCAACAAACGAGCAAGAAAGTGTGGCCGAACGCATCCTGTTTTCTGGTAGATTGAAGCATTGCTTTAGCCACCGATCGATACATCGAAAAACTGAACGGCTCCTTCCCTTCCGAGATGCGCTCGTTACTGCTCTGAGCAACTCTTGTCACAGTGTGGTGGAGCCCCTTGAAAAAGCGCCTCATTTGAGGATCGAAGTCATGCGGCCGAGGACTTTCTGTCTGAGTGTAAAGGTACACTATCGCCCAGCGAACATTTCCAAAAGTCGACTTTCCGGTGACACCACGCTGCTCCATCGAGTCAAGTAACGCATACACTCCATAGTACTTAATACACTTAGATTGACAGGGCTTCGTAAAGGGACGATAGAGAACCACTGCGCGATACTCTCCCCATTAATTGCACCCAGCTCACGAAACGTACTAGTAAACAGGACTTGCCGTCGATCAGCCTCCGTATTCTCGTAGAGCCACTCTATGAAGCGAGATAAAGCTCGTAGATAGACGTACTTGGTGTTGTCAGAGGTGATATTGTGAATTCCGGTCAAAATTTCCAAATCGCGGCGGTTTGGAGACCCCGCTCCAATCGCTAAATACAAAACTCAAGTCATTTGCCCAATCTCCGGGCCCAAACCATATGGTCCAAGTGTCCGCATGTTAAGGCCACTTCGTACTTAAACGGGTGCCTATAACCAATCCTAGTGGCCCCGGAGATTGGCCGGCCCATGGAAATTTGGAACAGAACACACAATACTTCCCAGCACTTGCTCAACGCGAGCATTGAGAGCTTCCATCGTTACTTGCCGAGTACAAGTAAGCGCGCAAGAGTGCAAGAGTCTGCGACTCTTGCCGATAGAAACTGTATCGAAATAGCATAGAAATATTTCTAGATTTTGTTTCGTTCACTTTGCACGACGAATTCCATTTATCTATACATTTTAGTCGAAAAACAACGTCTATCGTTTGATAGGGAACGCTGGACAAGTGAATCCGAGCGTCTCGAAGGTATGCTATTAGGGGCTTTCAGAAGCACGTGTTTTTGGCAAAAACCCGTAGCGAAAAACCCGTAGCGATCCGATCTATTTTTGGCACGGGCGAGGCTACGTGTTTTTCGATCCCGTAAACCCGTGAGAGGGGGGTCCGCTACGGGGTAATCAAACCGAAATATACGTAAGGCAGCATGCCTAAGCTTCTTCGTTAGGGTGGGTGGGGGCCCTGGATGACAAATAGTTGGTCGTGCGCGCATGTGCCGTCTGTTAGAGGCCGAGTGCTCCTCGTTGGCGACCTTAGCTTGTGTGTTTACTCCGTTATCTGCTGCTATCGGCCTGTCAAGACCCCATCTGCCCACTTGTCATCCAAGGACCAGCGTGGGCGGCCGGTAGGCTCCTCCGCCGCCCTAAATCAAGACAAGGGGCGAACAGCGCCTTCCAAACCTACCTGGAGTTTGAAGATATCACAGCCGACGCGCCGTATTGGGACCACTACAGCTACAAATACCAGGAAACCATCATGCAACCCCCAAGAAAGTATGCATCCATTTCTTGAACTTGGTGAGGCGTCGATTTCGTTGCTACCTATTCCGGTGCCAACTCGAGGCATGCTGGAAGTATCGAGCATCATACGCCAGAAAGCGAGTAGACCAAACTATCATGGAGCCACAAAAAACTTTACAAATTGAAACTTACAACACTCAACGCAGATAAATTCGATGAAGACGCTGCAGACAACCGAGACACGTGTTCATGGTGGATGCAATACCAACAGATTCATCGAATGCACGGAATGAACATGGCTAACAGTAAGAAGGCATTAATTTAAAAAACTGAACAATTTTTACTTTACTTCACTATACTGTACATCTACGTTGGCCCAGCGATGGCGCGTGTGCGTAGGCGCTGCCGACGTGTTCGCCGAAAGTCGGCGCTCGCAGCTAAAGTTTGATGAGCCGAGGTTCCAGCTTAAAACGTTGCGTGCACTCGGAAAATTCCGCGCTACGTAGTTTTGCCACGGGTTTTTGATTTTCCGTATCGCTGAACAGCCGACCACTACGGAAAACCCGTAGTCAAAAACACGTATCAGCGCTACGTGTTTTTCACTACGTATTTTTAGAAATACCGTGCTTCTGAAAGCCTCTATTATTTCCATCTAACAAGCAATGGACACCAGGCGTGCTACTTTTCTCTTTTGGGTAGCGCATCAAGCTATTGAGCGTGACCGACTGGCCTTTGAGAAGGAAAAATGGGAAACAGAACGTGTTGATAGCCGAGCTGCGATGGAAAAACAGCCCAGTCGTTGTCAAGATTGTGACGCGGTGTCGATCCCTAAATTGGGGTGAATGCACCTGAACCGGGGAAGTCCCAATGATGTGGAGTTTGGTGATACTGGATGATTTGGAGTCTCCTATAAAAACAAGGGTAATGTCTGCGAATGGACGCTGAATCCCGGAAGATAGATCAATGTGGGCGAGTTGATCCCGGTCCATGAAGTGCAACGGAATGCGAGCGATCCTCCCCAGTATATCTAAGTACGGCGGAACTCGACTCTGGCTTACAACCTGGGAGCTGAGGCACTTCTCAGATTCCCCGTTGTTTTCCCGGAATAACGATTCCCAGACTTCGCGTTCCCAGACTTACCTCCCACAAAATTCCAAGAACGACCTCGGCTTGAGGCGTTCCGAGGCTCCAAACCCAAGAACACTTGGTTTCACTATGGCATCTTCCAAGATCCTAGGTGTACCCAACAACTCCGAGAAGGCATCCAGTTTGGCGACCCTTCAAGGCCAGACCAACACTCCGCAGAAAGATCGCAGTCTCCGAAGGGTCGCTTAGGAAAGATTTCGTCTGCATGTGACTTTAACCAAACAGAGTTCGTTTTGCTTCGAAGGGCACAAGTGCTTCTTTCACAGCCTGGAAGGTCGTTCTCCACGACAAAATTCAAAGTACTTTAGGTAAGTGATCCACTGCTTCGGCTTGGAAGTGATCATATCTATTCCATATCTGTATATTTGGCGGATTGCAGACCGTCTTTGTTGTATATTTGCGGTCTATTGGGCCTGTGTCGAACTGAAGAAGTTGGCGACAGGGTAGATCGTTTCCCCTCTCTGAGAGGTGGTGCGCGTCCCCAAGATTGATCAAGTGTCTTGGATTTGGACCAGTTGACTTGTGTTTTGGCCTTAGCCTTGGGCCTAGAGAAAGAAGAGAGGGCAAAGAAGTATTTGTGTGATTGTATAACGTGTATAACTCTATTGGGTTGGATTGTTCTAGCGTTAGCCCGGCGTAGCTGTCTGATGCACGGGGTCGATACTAACCTCCTGGTGAAAAGAACCGCTACCCAAGGGATACACATCATGCGCCTGACCAACAGCGTGTACTGGACAACACACACCCTGTGTCAGCCGAGACGGATCCAAAGCTCTAGTAGCCTGAGGTCTGTCAAGGAGGGCCTATAACTGTTTTCTGGGAGAGAACACCGCATCGCCTCGTCACAAGATCATCATCAAGTACCATGCGCGTCCAAGCATCACCAAGCTTAGCAACCATGTTGTGCAATACACAACAACCTAGTACCCAGTCGATAAGCGAATCCATTTCAGCTTTTGACCTCAGCTGGTTGCGTATTTCACGTAATGAAGACCACCGTGACTTCAGCACTCCAATAGCATGTTCGTTCCGCACCCGAGAGTTTGCTAATAGTTTTTTAACTCAGTGTTGTCAGGGATGTCGGCCATCGGATGCGGGCAGCACCGTGAGAAGCGAAGGATACGCCGAGTCGGCCAGTAAATACTGTAACGGGGTTACACGAGAGTTACCCGAAGGGTTTCGAAGTGGGTATACACTGTCTAACCTAAATCAGTAGGAGAATCAGTACATGGCTTCAGAGCCACTGATTATGCATATGACTAGGGTTCGCTATGCTAGATAGTGAACCGGATACATTTACACCGTAGGCGTCTTTGCCGCAATAAAGGGAAATACATTCAGTTTGAGATTCACACAGTTAAGAGTTATTGTGAAAACCGATTAGTTTGTCCTGCTGAATTGGCCAGTAAAGCATCACTCACAGAGGATTTAGAGGCTGCTAAATCGGGGATGTCTCAATCATAATCGGAGTATAAATCGTTCATCGGTCTCGTAATTATGTGCAGCCTAGCAATTTCGATGTACTGTAATGTACTTCGGCCGGAGACTCGCCAAGTCCATCGGCAACACCGCGTCGCCTGGATATCTCAGTTACATGTATTATAGCGTGCGGCTTTTCCTGCTTAGTTCTGATGTTAGTGTTGTAGCCTTGACTACCTAGCCAAGAGCGACTGCAGCGATTGTTGTCTGGCGGCTGATTTAGCCTACAAGGAGCGAATGCCGGTCGCACATCGGACATTCCGTCTGAATAGCAAGCAAATCAGCCGGCTCTGGCTTAATCGGCCGATTAGCAAATGTAAATCCGGCTCATATGCTCTGATTCTGCAAGTCGTCCTAGGTTATAATCTTGATTATAAATCGAGGTACCCCAGTCTAATTAGGAGGTCGGATTTATCAAATCGGGGGTCGTCGGTCTTATTAAGCCACTAAATCGGCGGATTAACAATCCGATAAGACATTCTAATCGGTTTTCACAATAAGGGTTGACTCTTGGAGTCCGTAAGGTATACGGACTCGTACGTTCCGGTATTTGAACGGTCTATTTCAAACTGAGACTCTGTGAGTCTGTTACGCCTTCCTCTGACGCTAAAGCTACGGCAGCCCCGCTGCAAAAAAAATACTCTCCACTTGAGAAAAAATTACTTGCACAACGGTAGATACCCATGCGCTTAAAGACGCTCGAATCCGCACAAGACCCAGGGCAACCACAGTACACAGCAAATATTCACTTGTCATTATCGCAGACCAACTGCATTGCTACTAAATATCTGTTCGTCAAATGTTGCATGAAGAATACGAACCTATTAGAGAAAGATCAACAGGCAGATATTATCACATTACCGTTGCTTACCTCTTCTTCCTGTCGAAGTAACTACTGCCGTCCACTGCGGGGCGTTGCGAGAGGGGCAGCGTTGTTCCGTCGATAAGCCCACACAATCAGGAAAGCAGAAGCGACCTTGTGTTGCTCACAGAGTAGGAAGCTCAAGGAACGAGTAGTCACGAGCAGGCAGCAAAGGCTACCTGTGAGGCAGTCGGTGTTTTGTGGAAAAAATGAGCTCAAAGCTCCCGTTAGTTCTTTCCTGCTCTCTGTAGTCCTTCTTTCCTAACTGCCGGTTGTGGTGGTCAACCTTTTTCATAGGAAAGCCCGACCACGTGGGAAAACCTCCAGCACTCTGTGCCTTCACAGGATAAACGACCCACGCTCGCACTCCAACGTTGGGATCAATACACATCAATCCTCAACAGCCCCACCTAGTGGTCTCCATCGTTGCATTGCGACGCGTCGAACGCTGCTCGCGGCAGTACCCCCATTGCATCTCTGTGTTTCTCAAACGTGCTTCTTGACAGGGTTTTCGTGAAAGCGTCTGCAACATTATCCACGCTTGACTTCAATCTCTTTCAGATCCACCGCTCTCGAACGAAGTGATGTCGCACATCGATATGCTTCGTACGATTGTATCGCAGGATTCTCCGCCAACTTCTTGGTGCTCTCATTGTCAACAAATACTTCTGTAGGGGCCTTTTGCACCATCGTCAACTCTTTCAGCATTTGCCGTAGATGAATCACTTCTTGTACAAGTAGGCTCAAAGCCATGCACTCGGCTTCGGTAGTGTGAAGAGCCACTGTCTTTTCGGTCTGACAACTCCACGAAATAGTACTTCCACAGAACTTTGCCAGGTACCCTGCTACCGATTTTCTATCGTCCACTCGATTGGCAAAGTCGGCATCAGCGTATGCCTGCAAGTGTCGGTCAAGCACTTACTCAGTCCATTCAAGCCCTCCTAGACGAAATCCATAGTCGACTGCCTCTCGTAGGTAGCGAAGGCCACGCTTCGCGGCTCGCCAGTGCGTCAAGCCAGGATTCTCCAAGAACTGGCTGCACTCACGGACTAAATACGCCAGGTCGGGGCGACTTCCCAGCATCAAATACATCAGGTTTCCAACTACGGACCGGTACGGCTTGCTCTCCATAAGCTTCCGTTCATCATGCTCCGTTGGACACATCGTTTTCGTCAACTTCAAGCCTGGCGTGCCTGGTGTCTTGCATCCATTGCACTCGGCCATACCAAATCTCTGCAACACAGAGTCACCATACTTTCTTTGTCCAATGAAAATTGTCCTCTCTTCACGGTTTCGGATGATCTCCCAACCCAAAATGTAGTGATGCTCTCCAAGATCTTTCATCTCGAAGCGCGAGTGAAACATTTGCTTCATCTGGTTGATAAGATCCATCGTAGGAGCGAAAAGAATCAAATCGTCCACGTAGAGAGGAATAAACACTAGTTGACAATCAATCACTTTGACTGCAATGCAAGCCTCCGACTTCAACATAGTAAATCCTTGCTCCTCCAAAAATGACTTCAGAAGCTGGAATCACACTCGTGGAGCCTGTTTCAAGCCATACAGGCTTTTCAACAAGTGGCAAACCCAGTCTTCCTTGACCGGCACAGCATATCCCTCGGGCTGCTCCATAAAGACCTCTACATCAATCTTTCCGTTCAAGAATGCGGTGGTGACGTCCATTTGGCGCACTTCATAGTCCCAGACGGCGGCCAATGTCAACAGGACTCGCAATGTTTCGAGACGCACCACAGGCAAGTAGACTTCTAGATAATCGACTCCATAAATCTGCATAAACCCTTTTATAACGAGTCTTGCTTTGAATCGATCTATCTCTCCAGATGCCAGATATTTGACACGAAACACCCACCGGTTCTTCAATACCTTCATGTGCTTCTTTCGAGGGACAAGTTCCCACGTGCCATTCCGCACCAATGCATCATATTCTACGTCAGACGCAGTCCGCCACTGCAGGCAGTGCTCACTCTCCATGGCATCTTTCATTGTATCTGGCTCCGTAATTACACTCATGGTCAGGCAGCAGTAGTCCTGCCACCATGCAAGTGCGGTTTCTTTTGCCATCGTCCGCTGCAGCTCTTCACGAGCTTTCGACCATTCCACTGACGACAAACCCACAGCGATATTAGAATTTGTGTTCTCATACGCAACGTAAACCCACAGCGATATTAGAATTTGTGTTCTCATACGCAACGTAAACGTAGTCGCCAAACAATGACGAAGGCTTGCTCACGCGACCACTCCGTGTTACTGGGTGATCCTCAGCGCGAGCTCCATCTGGTGCCACGTACTCTCGCAAAGCTCTGCACTCAGAGGTTGGTAGACTCTCCGCATCTGCGGCCTGACTTGGTAATGACGCCGATGCCTCCGGTCCCGTGGTCTCCATCTCACTGGGCTCCGAAGTGGACTGCTCCATCGTAGTTGGTGTTCGCTCACGCTCACTGTTGACTTTCGTCATGACAGCCGGTGCCTTGCGCCGCCCACTGCCTTTTCGTCTTTGCTTTTTGCTCTTTGCACCTCGTGCCTGCGTAGATTTGCCCAAGCTGCTCGCAGCTCGGTCTCCACTCATATCTTCAGACGAATCACTTGTCCGAACAAATCGCACGCGCTTCTGCCGTGGCACATCAGGGTCGGCAGCTTCACTCATTGCTCGACTTCGTTTGGAAGCCCCACCTCACCGTACATATCTCGCATTGGTAGAAGTTGCCCCACCTGGACGGTCACCACGCCCACCTATCCTACAACCACGCGCATCTCCTTCAACATCACTGGAGTCGGCGCCACCAGTATCACCCTCACACATGTCATCCAGTATAGGTCCAACATCATTTTTGTCAGCACCAGCGCCGCCCAGGTAGTCACTGGTCGAAACTTCACTCGCTATCCCTGGCGAGGGTGAATTAGTCAAGATGCGACCAGCTTTCGTCTCGTAGAAAACAACAGTGTGACTGAAAAAGGCTTTGTTGGTTGTGCTATCCAATAAGCGATAACCACGTTTCTCGCGCGAATATCCAACAAATACGGCCTCCTTAGCCTTGGCCTGCATCTTGCGCCGCTCGACTTTGTCCTACGTATGCAAGCACGGCACAGCCAAACGTCCTCAGTCGCTCGTATGCTGGTGTCTGCCGATACCATACAGAGTACGGAACCTCCATTCCTCTAGCGGAACTAGGAAGAACATTCACGCAGTAGGCAGCTGTCGACGCAGCCTCGCCCCACATTGCTTCCGGCAGATCGAAATGCACCAACATGCACCTCATTTTCTCCGTGATAGTGCGAATCATGCGCTCGGTGACTCCATTGTGTTTGATGCTGCTATCGAACTCCATTCCATACTTTGATTCGCACGTGCTTTGAAGGCGTTTGAACTCCTTCGCATTATCCGACCTCAATGACTTCATTCTCACGTGCAACTGCGTTTTGACCCGTTCGTAATAGTCTTCAAACTTCTCATACACTTCGGAGCGATGATCGACCAAGTACAGCGAAACAAAACGACTTGCATCATCGACAAAGACTACAAAGTAGCGCTTATGATCGCTCTGCGTAGGGTCAACTCCGAAGTAGCGGTGTAGCTGTCCAACGCTGGCGCCGTTTCCATTTTCACCAAGTCGGCATAAGCCAACCTCTAACTGCCAGCACACTGGTTGTTGCTTGTGCCGGGCGTTCTGGGACATTGAATGGAAGATAGGGTTGTCGTATATGTAGTCGTGTGGAGCGCAGAATGATCGCTTAGAAATTCTTGTGAGCTGCCTGAAGTCTTTGCTAGAGAGAGCCATGAGCGCAGCTAACCGGTTGTTGGCGTGGGGGGATCCCAGGCGAAACGACAGGTATCGGTTTGTATCGACCGATAGGTATGCCGCTAACACAGCCTCAGCTGCGTCATCGTCTCCTGAGGAAAGGTAGAACACATACAGGGCTTGTAGATACAACAGCATCTCTCTCGTTTCAGTCTGAGAAGCTTTCTCGAGATTGACGCGTGTCGCTGTAGCTCAAATACAACAGGAGAGTGACTATTACCACAATAATAGAGCCGGATGGCCGACATGTTTATGAATGATAGAAGTGGCGGCAAAATGTTAATATCGGATTTGCCCTTCATCGAAAACTACGCCTTACCAAAATAACCAAAACGTTAGTTTGTTTGGCATCAGTGGTCGTGATTCATTTCGAATTCGCCCCCCTCGAGCGCAAGCCCAACTCAAGTGCGCGCGCACCTCCGCCGCCCCCCCCCTCGCTGCGGCATCCGCGCTGCTGAACTATGTCCTGTCGTACCTAGCGCCTCCCCTGTACGCGTCAGGGCGACTACGCCATCGGTCTAACAAGCATCGGGCCCCCGAAGAGGGCGAATCGGCTTATGAAGCAGACTGAAGGTTGATGAGGATCTGGCACTGGTGGCGCGCAACCGTGGAAGACCTATCCGGCAACAGGTACGGCACATGAATCAATTTCGAAGAAGCACTTGCTGTATACACGAGCAGATACACTTTATGTAACCTGGTTTCCGTATTATTCTCAATTTTTTAATTGCCAGCTAATACTGTGCTTGCACAAGCCGTACTACAGGTGCACATCCACAAGCCGGGCCGCTCAAAACAAGCGCAGAAACGGAAAGTCTAAATGCTATTTAAAAAATTCATTTAGCGCTATTTCGAGTACATCCACGCCTAAAGCCGAGCAAAACGCAAAGGTACATCTGTCATTTTCAAGCCTATTATAACTCCTGATTTAATTAAACGATTTAGTGCCGCCACAGTTGCCGATTGTAGCGCCAATGATACCAGTACATCTCCTAGGTATCCAAACTCAATATGCAACACAATGTCGCTCTGGATTGTTAATTGTGTGAGCAGCTGCCAAGCACCCACGCGTATTGATTGACAAGAAGTTCGCTATGGCGAACTTGTTTGGGGAGGGACTAGAACGATAGTCCTGGAATCGCTGTAGGATAGGGTGTCCCTAATCAAATAATGTGATTCGTTTTCGCTGCTGCTGGTATCGTTTCGATCTCCAACCTTACTGAAAAGTGCTACGTAAAATCTTCTCTCTAAAGAACTGAGTCGAGTATCGTTGATTTTTTTAAGACTTTTTATAGCTTTTTGTGGACCTTTCGTTCTTAACTGGGCTGTGATTTCGGCGAATTTAACTCTTCAATAAGAGGAGCTTCGCCGTTGAGACCGACATGGATAGGTTTTTCTTTCGGTTATTAAAACTATAGATATTTGTGTGACCTTTGTAGTAGGGGGGAAAGATCTCGAATACTGGCGATGAGATGACCGACAAATAGTACGGGGGGAGGGACATGGTTGAAGGGACATCCAGTTAGAGGCATGCTTTTATTCGTAACGGACAGCACCGCAGTGTTGGGAGTACTTGGAAATAGCTGTAAACTCGCTTTGTAAAGTGGTTTTTCAGCGCAAAAAGAATCTACAATACGTATCGTATCACGCGGACTGCGAGTCTGACATGGTTGACATGCAGAACATCCTGTCTAAGCTTAAACGGCACGCAAATCGAATACCTCGCTGAGTTAAAGAGTCACAGAGGAACAATACGGTGTTTGAGAAACCTTCGGGGTCGCTAATGATGATTTTATCCGGGGATAACGTCTGTATAACACTTCGCGATTTGTGCCACAATTTGCGCCACAATCTACGCCACAATCTCCACAATCCACAGTAGAGATGTCATTGTCAGCGCCTCTCCGGGGGTAGTTCATGTGCACTGCGTAGCTACCTACTTCGAACGCGACACTATAGACTACAATCACGGACCAGGCCATACATTAGCCGTTGTGGCAGTGGCCCCCGTGCGTGTCCACCTTATTCAACGTCTCCTGTCCACACATCACTTTAGGTAGGCGATTGTGTTCACCACACAAAACAACGTTGAGAATAACGCCACGTGAAATTGAAGGTGGGCGAGATCCGAAAACCAGCTGTATCATGTGTGCAAAGATTCTGTGGCTTGTGTCAATTATCCCTTGTGATATTGTGGCGTAGATTGTGGTTGCTTGTGGCAAATAACCACGATCTTGCCACAATATCACTGCAAATCCTAGAGATAGATTGTGGTAATAAGCTTTGCCATACAACAGCGCATTTACAAATCCACCAGCTCTGGAGGTGGTGGGGTTGGGACTTGCAAAATACAGTGGTACGCCGAGGATCGAAGGCGGATTTGCTCGACCAATGCAAATCAAATCTTGGGCATTTTCGTTGATTTTGAAACCCCCAATTAGGGGGTCTGAAGTAATCATTTGTTCAAACAATGAGCCCAAAGAATGAGCTCATTCCTTCAAGGAATAATCCTCCGGAGGCTCATTCCTTGGGCCCATTCCTCGCGATCAAAAGATTTGTGTGACTATTTATAAACTAAAACCCCCATGAAAATTTTTCCTTGGTTTCCGCCAATTTCTCTTCGGCTCATTGCTTCAAGGATTGATTAACTGAACCCCCTAATAGGGAATATCAGATCTAAACACACGGTCGGGCTGAAACGACTAGCTAACGTACGATCTATTTCAGCCGAATCGGTCCAAGCCCCACTGCAGGAAGCGGAAGTAGCCAACGCAAACCGAGATAGAGTGGTTGATATTGATGTAAAGTTGGCTGTTGGCGCACCAGTTAAGTTGACATACAATATGGAACAGACTGCAGGGTTACCCATAATACTTGTCCAGATAACGGATTTGTACAATTGACCTTCATTCCTCCCCCATGTTTCAAACATAGTCCCTGACCTTCCCAGAAAGATGAGTTGGAGCAAAAAGCGAGTGACCTGAGTGTTTTTCGCGAAGGTACTCCTCTGCATTTAGCATACGCAATCACAGTGCACAAAGTACAAGGTCGGACTTGCCCAAAAATTGTTTTTCACTCATCATCCATCCCGAGCGCTTCCTTTGCTTACGTGGCTCTTTCCAGAGTACGTTCTAAGATGATATTATTCTTACTTTTCCCCTATCACTTAACAAGATGTCTACATCGTGGGATCAATTCGAGATATTTTCTCACGAGGAACAGCGGATAGATCGAGCTGTAATGAACACGGTTACGATGGCGTCCGAATTCATGCCAACGATGAAGACAGTAGCTCTCCAACACAATCAATTCCAATATGCTCGCTAAAGTTTCCGATCGTGGATACCTCCTATTCTTGCTACCTTTTCAACTGTCATGTGCGTGTCCGGAAACAGCAAGGGCTGAGCCGAATGTATTTAAGCGGGTACGATAAGTCATTTCTCAAATTGCATCGCAGCCAACAAGCGGAAATGAAGTCCACCCAAGGTGCGCAAGTCGGCAGTTCTAACGATGAGAAGCAAGCCGAAAGTACTTCCGGCAGCATTTCGCGGTGCGTGCTTGAACGATTCAGCTTCATTTAAGACTGAATCGTGCCCTGTGTCTTTGTTCGCTTTTGGAAACAAGCGTATCAAATTCATTCCCACCAATACTGTGACAGAGATTTCATCACAGAGGCGCCATACTCAATACAACCAAAAAACTTCAAAATCAACGACATTGTGCCGAACGAGGTCAGCTACCATTCGCGTACCGTTAACTACTAGTAGTAGCTAAAGGACGGCGGTGGCTAGATGAAGGTACCGTGCATAGGCCCAGGTGGCCTCCACTCCGTTTGCCAGCTCAGTAGCAGAAACCGTGACCTAGTGTCTCTAAAACCCGGTGGGCTGGCGCCGCCCTACATGAGGCCACATTGCACGGTACGACAGAGGAACTAGCGCGATTTCAGCAAACCTTTGGTGATACAGCCGCTGCCAACTACATGTCGTAGGCTAGAGATACGATAGCTGGCGACTGTGACGTGTTGCACCTTGAGGCAAGTATAACACGGTAGATTGGGAGCTGGAACTCCCACCAAGAACAACGTCCATTGCTTGTTCCTTGGGATGCTAATTGAGAACTGATACTAATCTACTGCCTGCCCTTACCTGCCATTGCTGGCAGCCCAGGAAAGCCAGGCAACCAATCCCAAGCCCGATCATGGGTATCCAGTAGTGGCGCCTAGTTAAGCTTTGCTAGGATACAGGTTGTGGATTCGCCAACCACCACAGCGACTCGGGTCGTGCTCTTAACTTACTAAGGTACGGTGCCACTTGTGTGCCTTAATGTAATCCCGCTCACTGTTTTGCTCATAACTTTTTATTGGGCAATTAGTTTTGAGATGTAAACGCATATCTGAAGAGAGCGCAATCTCTTCTGTTAGCAGACTGTTTTACTGAGCTCTACAGTAAACGAGAGCTCAATTAGGAGTTACTGACTATTTGCAAACCCATTCACGGCAGGACCAGTTATCTGCCGCATATTATCTGTGGTTTTGTAAGGGGGACAAATCTCATGACAGCACCGAAACAATCTGTACAAAATGATTTGCACCCATTTGAAATCGTATAAGACAGGATATACGATATCACAATATGGTACACAATATTATGTGATTTGTGTATAAATATAGTATGATTTGTGCTCAAGAGGCAGCGCTGCCATAGCTTAGTGGTAAAGTCCTCGGATCATAACCGAGAGGACGGTGGTTCGATTCCACCTGGCAGCATTAACTCAACCAAAACAGTAGTGGGCTAACTGTCAATTAGAGCATTAGGGGGCTGCCACAGAACTGCGAAAGCCACCGACGGCTGCCACCGAGTGAACGCATTGACCGCCAGTATGCTAAGTACCATGAGTCGGGTTCCCCTCTGATAACGGTTTGAGATCGTCAAATCTCAAAAACCGGACATCACAGCGGGCCCAGGCATACAGAGGGATAACGTACCACTATCGAAAGTAGGAAATAAACAACAAAAACAATGAAGACAATGTGGTGGAAAATGCCCCAGCAAAAGCTTTTTTCTTTGGTTATACTAAACTATCGCCTCCCACACAACTTTATCCTGTTGGTTTGCCTCACCGTGCTTCGACGCAGACTGGAACTGCAGCTGCACAGGCTCCGGCACCGGAGACGGCACCCTCTTCATCTTCGTCGCCTTCGTTGCCATCGGATGCTTCTTCGTCTTGGCTGCCTTCTTGGGCTTCTTCATCGGTTGTGCCATCGCTTCCAGTGTTTCTTTGGTCAAAAGACGACCGGCGACCGTTGCTGTCTTGCGCAACCGCTTCTTGGACGGCGGTAGCACGAGCACCTCCTTCTGCACGACGTCCTTGATCCGGAGCCACGCTGCCAGCTTCGTAGATGCGGGGGTCCCGTTGCGTCGGAAATTGTCGATGCACATGTCCATTCGAGGCTTGGACGGAGGGAAAAGGCCGCACCCAGCAAACCCCGCTTTGACGTTCTCACCCATCTTGCATCCTACCCATGCTGCGCTTGCCATCCGAATGGCTTCCTCTTTGTCGACCGAATTGCGTCCAGTCTCGCCAACGTAGATCTCGGTTAGGCGGCGTAGCTTCGCCTTGAACGACGAAAACACAGCGACATCCAGTGGTTGAAGCGGGTGGGTTGCGTTCAAAGGCAGCAACAACAGAACCACGCCAAGCCGAGCTGCCTCTAAGATGATCTCCACGGAGTAATGAGACGAACACCCATCCAGAATCAGGAGAAGAGGTCGATGCACGTCCTTGGGTACGCTAGCCGAAAAAAAGCGCAGCCACTCAAGAAAGAGAAATTCATTCATGAACCCGGAGCTCGAGGTGGTGACGGCAGCTCCGGGTATGGCGCAGCCATCTAGAACTTCGAGCATGACTGTCAACCCCGGCAGCACGAAAAGCGGCGGCACTATGCACCCCGACGCCTCAATTCTGCAGTGAAGCGCGTCCTCGCCGGCGACAGCGCCCGCAGTGTCAGCGACAGCACCCCAATTCCGTATCGGACCCTTACGAAATGGGTCGCGAAGGGGAAAATAGGCATCTTCCGCGCACCTGTTCGTCATGGCCCGGCTTCGCTGCTCTCGCAACCAGCGGAGGCATGCTTGGTCGAGTGGATTGTCGGGCGCCAACTGGTCGGTCACCCCGCAAGTCGCAAGGAGATCATCTTCAAAGCCGGCACCATGAGCTCCATGGCCACTGGTCAAACGGTTGGTGGCGGGTGGTACCGCCGCTTCATGGGGTGACACCCGATGCTGGCAACCCGAACGTCTCAGGCCCGCAACGCTGTGACCAAGAGCGATCTCGAGCTGTTTTTTAGCTCGTTGATCAAGGCTGTGGTCGAGAATCGTTTGGACGCGTCTCGCGTGTTCAACATGGACGAAACAGCGTTTCAGACCAACAAGGGCTCCAAGCGTGTCGTGGCGGTTCGAGGCTCCAAGAACGTTTGGCACCAAGACGTTGCGCTCAATTTTCACCTCACGCTGGTCGCGTGTCAATCGCCCGCGCTTCGATTCGACACCCACCACACCACTCCCTAGGCTGCCTCATCTCGGCTCATTAGATGACCCTCACCGAGGCTCGCCTCATTAATCAAGAACGACCACCTTTGCCCCCAACGTGCCTTCATATCGCAGGAAGCAAAAACTAAAACCCGTGCAAAGCGATGAGAGCTGGTCGAAAGAAGAACCAGAAGGAAGGAAAGCAAGACAGTAGATCCAATGCGAAGAAGAGTGATAAGGAAGAAACTCGGACCTGCTTTCACTGTGGTGAAGTTGGTCATTTGTGACCTAACTGCCCGGACCGTGCCAACTCGTCTGATTATGAAAGTGCTGGTAAAGGGTTTGCTACGTCTTAACGCAAGCGTTGGTAGAACAAATCCAGCAACCAGAATGATAGTAAGAAAAAGCGAGTGAATGATGTTGGTCGCATTTCTCGTGAAACGTTAGTGGTTAGTTCTGTGAGTGACTCGCATGGAGATGATGTCGAGTGGGCATTGGACTCCGCAAGGGATGTGCACGTGTGCAACCGGCCAGAAGTGCTCTTGCAGTTGCACAATGACTCAGCGCATGTCTTCCAAGGCTACGATGGCAGTATCTCAGGTGGAGAGAAGGTGGGTAGTGTCCAGATTCGTGTACGCAACAACAACCAGCCACACCAAGATGTGTCGTTGCAGTTAGAGCAAGTTCTGTACAAGCCTTCGGCTCCTGATAATTTACTCAGCCTGGATGTGATGGAGAAAGACGGTTGGAATCTAAAGACTAGATTTCGAGATTCGCAACGTGTTGCATGGCTGTCCAAAGGACGTCTGCAATTACTGCTGCTAAAGTCTCGCGGTAGATACCCCTTGAAGGCTGCAGCAAGCACGGTATATCACGTACCATCGTTGCACCAATGTTGTGGGCGCGCTGGTGGAGACGCTGCTATGGAGCAGTGCGAGCTGTCGCTCGTGAGACTGATGCTGTTGATGTTCCTGGATCTGGGCACGCTGGTGCTCGTGGTGCTGATGGCGCGGATACTCGTGGTGCTGCTGGGCGCGCAGCTGCAGGCGGTCATAAGTGTAATGCTAGGCGCAGTGATGCTGAGTCACTGGTGCGTTGGCACCTCCGATTCGCTCACTTGAACTTGCCGATGCTGAAGCAAATGGTTCGTCAACAAGTGGTAACTGGAATGAGCGGTGACTTGAGTGACGATAATGATACTCCATGCTGGAGCTGTGAAGAGGAAAGATGACTGGAATGTCCTATAAGAAGGCGAAGAGTCGTCGGGCAAAAAGACCATTTCAGAAGATCATGTCGGATATGTGCCACATGGGCGTTCGGACGTATGATGGCTACTCTCACTTCCAGCTCGTACAAGATGAGGCAAGTCGCTATCTGTGGGGCTTTCTGCTGCGAGAAAGGAGGATGCCTCAGAGGTGGTATTCGCTCACGTGAAGTGGCTTGTTGCTCAAGGCCACAGGATTGAAGTCTTCAACTCCGATCAAGGCCGTGAACTCCTCAAAAATAAAATGGCGACGTACCTCACTGGTCAAGGGATCGAGTATACCTGGACGAATGGGTACAGCCCAGAAGAAAATGGACTCGTGGAGCGTATGAACGGTATTGTTGCAGCGCAAGTGCGCGGCATCTTGACTGCGGCGAACATGCCTGACCTTCTGTGTGGGGAGGCATTTGGTTTTGCTGTCGAAGGGAGAAATATTTCCGCAACAAAGGCTCTGAACGGTGAGGCGCCTTACTCTCGGCGCTTTGGTGAACGGCCTGACGTGACTAAGTTGCGGACGTGGGGCTGTCTAGTGTTTGTGTTCACACCGAAAAAAGCTACGGAAGTCAAAGCTAGAGAACCCTGGCAAGGCGGGTTTGTCCATGGGTTTTGCTCAGCACTCCGAGAGCTTCCGTGTACTGAGTATGATAACTGGCAAGGTGCAGGAGGTTCGGTCTGTGGAATTTCACGAAGGATGGACAGTTGACCGAAGCTATGTGGATCGCTTGCTCGCGAATACCTATGGCAAAGGACGTAAAGGTACTCTGCCTGGAGTGATTCCTTTTGTTCGGCTCCCAGTGACTGGTGTAACATGTGATAACAGTGATTTGACCTCTGCTGAACATCCTTCAAAGCGCCGCCGTTGCGATGGTGAAGCAGCTGCTACTCTTACTACTGAAGTGGATACTCCGATTGGTGCAGGTGCGCCTGCTACTTCGTTGAGGGATCCTGGGGTAACTCTTCCTGCTGCGGTGGGTGATCTGCCGATGTTGCGTGGGGCTAACCCCTTTCGAAACATGCGTGCTGAGGATGATGTCGGTCAGGAAGTGCAAGACCAGTGGGGTCTGCCTAACAGCGATCCTGTTGCTGGTCAGCTGCCTGAGATATCGCGAGGAATCTCACCTTCGGTGGGGGAGAGAGTGGCTGGCGGTGAGGTTGACTGGAACGTTGATCTCGATGCAGCTGAAGATGATAGTCTCGAGGAGAAGATGCCTGTTCCTATCGCGTCCGGAGATCGCGCTGTTCCGATGACGAAAGTTGCTAATGTTCTTAGTGACAGTGGGAGCGATGAGGACGAGGAAGAGCTAAGTGATACGGCCAAGTCGTTTCGACGCGCACCTAATCCGAAGTACCAGGACTATGAAGTGGGCCTTCCGTTAAGTTTGGTAATTGAGGCCGTGAATTTTCTGATGGAGCCGCAGACAATTGATGAACCTTTGTCTGGACCAGATGCAGAGAAATGGATTGAGGCTCTGGAGAAGGAGTATGGCGACCTCATGCGGAACAATACGTGGGAGCTGGTCGAGCGGCCCAAGGACAAGAAGGTGCTGACAGGCAAGTGGGTACTGGTGAAGAAGCGAGATGGCCAGGGCAATGTTGTGCAGCACCGTGCTAGGATCACTATCAAAGGATGTCAGCAGAGCTATGGTGTTGATTACCGGGAGACGTATGCTCCCATAGTATGTCAGGAAGCAGTTATCCTGCTGTTGGCTCTCCACTTGGGGCTTTCCACCCGTCATGTGGACTTTGTAACTGCGTTCTTAAATGGACCAATTGATGATGACGTCGAGATCTACATGGAAATGCCTGAGTATTTTGACGATGGATCGGGTCGCGTGTGTAAGTTGTTGCGCAGCTTATACGGATTGAAACAGGCGCCGTTGATCTGGTATCAGACCCTGGACAAATATTTGAGGCAGTGTGGTTTTCGCCGAACTAAGATGGACGGAGGCATCCACACGCGCTCAGTGGGAGGCAGTCCGATATTTGTTGCAGTTTATGTGGACGATTTGATTATGGTGGGGACTGATGAGAACATTGAGCTAGTTCTGCGTGAACTGCAAGCTAAGTTCAAGATCAAAGACGTAGGACCTGTTACGGATCTATCGCACATGGAGATTTCCTATTTTCCGGTGAGGCATTGTGGAAGTCGCAACGTGGCTACATTAACAAAGTGCTGAAGCGCTTTAGCATGGAGGACTGTCGGCATGTTGCCACTCCTCAGGCACTTGGAAACCTGCCTGAACCTGTGGAGGAGGCCGATCCGGGGGTTAATGACCCCAGAATACCCTACAGAGAGCTAGTGGGTTGTCGCCAGTACCTGGTGCAAGGCACACGACCGGAGATCGCAAATGCAGTGCGAACCCTTGGCAAATACATGAGCAAGTACACCAAGGAGCATTTTGTGATGGCAAAGCGAGTGTTACGGTACTTTAAGGGCACTCGTGATTATGGACTCTTGTGGAAGAAGCCCGCAAGCCCTGATTTGCATTTCACGGCTTATTCTGATGCGGATCTCGGTAGTGAAAATGTTGATCGCAAATCTATCACGGGTTTTGTGCTTCAGATGATGGATGTACTTACGCCTACAAGAGCCATAAGCAGTCGATTACCCAAGATGACACCTGCGGTACTGAGTTTATTGCTGCTGCTGAATGCTCCGTGATGATCACCTGGACGCACACAACTCATATCCCGATCAGCCAGTTGATAGAAACAAAGATTGAATATATCGAAACAGTTCTCAATCGGGTTGCACATGGTGCTGTAGGGCCCCAGGCGCAGCAAGACCAGGTCGTCGTTCTCGCCTTTGAGGTGGCGAGAGATGGTCGTCTCGGAGAGGCGCACCTCTTACACGATAGCCCGCAACGTGCCCAGCGTATACGAGCAACACTCGTTGAGCCAGAGCTCAAGGGCCGCCTTGATCTCCGCGGTCACCTTCGTGGCCCGCGCGCCGCTGCGAGGAAGGTGGTCGACTCGGCCGTGGACCGTGCGCAGTTCGCAGCGGAGCTCGATCTGCCACTACCAGCTCCGACACTCCCACTTCGAGATCCGCCACGCAATCATCACTTAATTGGCAGTGCAATCCGCCAACGGCAGCGGCACCACATTCAGGCGCTCACGTAGTTGCAGAACTGCGTCGATCCAAGCGGCTTAGTAAAAATGCCTGGAAGCATATCCGTCGTAGGGCAGTAGCGTACATCGAAATCTCCACGTTCATACAGATCTCGCACCTTGTGATACTTCAAGTCAACACCTTTAATTTTGTAGTTGCCCTTCGTAGCCTTGATCACCTTGATCGCCGACTGATTGTCTTGAAACAACACGGTCGGACGACGCCGGAAGAGTCAAACCGTGACGCATGACTTTTAATCGCGTCACTTGCCTCGACTTGCCATAAAGAGGTAACTCGCGGAGAAGAATGTAATATGCTTCCTGAGCACTGACCTCTCTAATAGATAGTGTATAGTTTGCAATGCGCTTAAGAATAGCATGCATTTTTTTATTTCTTAACTCGGTGTCGAGGACAAGTTGATATATATTGAGGTATTACACGTATAGAGTCGAGGCATCTGATTTAGATCCGAAATCGGCAAGTTCTCTGGTTTTTATATCCAGAGTTAACGGAGGGAGTCACTCCGACCCAAACTTACTTCAAATTCGTATACGAAGAACCCAAACTAACGATCTATACTCAAAACTAAGAGAAACTTACTTGGAAACCTGATATCCATGTTATATAGGAATTCAACTGGATACTTGAACCCAATATAGCGGCTTTTTTCTCCTTATATTGCATACTCGTTATTTCCGTTCGTATCGAGAATAGAGTCCGATACGCTGAGTGATTCGATGAGCCTTTAATAATTGATAACCATTGTAAAAAGGATTCAAAGGAGGTGGATGTTGCTTGTGGCGTCTAAGTGCAACATCATCGGTAAGTTACGATGGACCGAAGTAATTTATTCGCGTGAATGTCGTTCGAAGCGCGGCTCCTTTGCTGGAGCATATTTCGCATAGCTGGTGCTCGTCGACATGTACAGTATACTAACTATCAGGCATCAGCGTTGCGACTCGAGAGGAACGCGATAAGAGATGGGTTAGCTATAGATATGAACGCTTTACGAGGCGAGACTAACACTCATCAACTTGGGGGTTGAATTTGCAAGTTCAGTTGTAATGACATCATTACTGTTAAAAAATTTAAAATAAAATACGGAGTTTCGCTGATGTATTCAATGTTTGAAGCGAGCGACTGGTGCGGCACATGTGGCGCGCCTAAGTCGCAACGGAACAGGTTTAAAATTTATCATGGATTGCACCGTTTTTTTTTCTACGTACTAGCTCGGGTTTTATGGTTGACAATCTTAGTACAGTCGTACAATACTCAGGCACTTAATAAGAACTTCTACCATACAGATACGTTTACGAAAATCCAGAGCTTCACCGTGTAAAACACGGCATTGGTGTGTCTAACGCTGACACTAGAATAGAGAAGATAGAAGCAGCTTACATGGCACGCCCGCTTCGCCCCATTCCGTTTGATTTGATTTGATTGCGGTTTAGCTGGCTGTTCCCAAAAGCCGCGCTGAGCGCGGGCTGCCTACGGGTAGCAGCCCATTCAACCCCCATATGGTGCAATGACGCTTGCAACATTTGTTGAAAAGTACTCTGTAGTTGACACAGTTTCTTCAACGAACACGGACACGTATTTAAAACTAGCCGATTCTAAAGGATATATCAAGCTACGTTCGAAATCGAAATCTCATGGCGTCCGCGGGACACCTTGGATAGCTCCTGATTCTACAGGTCCAAACTTTTGTTTTGCCGAAATATGTTTGCATAAACCCTGGCGATCGCTATCTGATCTTCCGGAAACAGATGAAGATTGTCTGAAGGCCTTCGAAAGGGAGCAATAAGCAACATTGACTAGTGAGATACAAGAGGAATCGGAGTTGATCCTCTCGCGTCAGCGAAATATCGACATCCTTGAGCATTCAAGATCATCTCAGGTTCTGTCGTCGTTACCAGCATCGGAATATGTTTTTGTTGACCAGCAACCCAACGAAAGCGTGAAGCAACACCTGATCTCTCCTCCGACTGAGCAGCAGAGAAATACCTATGAAACAACTATAGTGTCTACACGTTTTGCCGCCCATTCTTGGGTTAATCCCCGGCCAAGGCATGACCATTTTTTGAGTACACAAAACTCAGAAGTACCACTGTATTATCTCAATCAAAGCTGGCTAATCCTCAATCAAAACAGGGTAGTTCCTCCACTGTACTTACGCTCCATACTTCATGTCTTCCATGCGGATCGCAGTGTTCACGAACTTGGACGCATGCAACTCCATCTTCTGCACCATGCACTGGGTAATGCGGGGCATCGAGACGTGAGTAGCGCGCTCAAAAAGGCGCATGCGCGCTTCCATCTTCTAGATTGGACACAGCCGCCGAGCTGCGTCATGGGCGCGGACATCTCGTCCCTCGCCAGCGCGAGGTACGGCTTGATGTTGGCTTTGAGAGAACTCTAGCTGAGCGGTGACGTTCGAGTGGGTGACAAGGCCGAAGGTAGTAATAGCGAGTTTGGCGCTTGCGACGATGCTTTGTATATTGTTTTAGGTTTTTCTAGTAGTTGCATAACCTGTAAGCATCTTCATATGATGCGCTTCTCACAATTGTATGCAAATCTAGCTCTCCCAAAATATCAATGTGCTGGCGATGGCGAAGCACGACACATAATTAGGAAAAAGCCGGTATAATTCAATGGGCGTTTCAGCCAGGGGAAATAGGGCTGACTTCATTTTTAAGCTTCGCAAACGGGACAATGAAGTGGGACACCTTTTTAAGAAAATGTGTCCTGGCATCAATACCGAGGAAACGTCCGTGGTCGTCTCTCGCTTCTCTTTTTGCTACGAATAGAACAGATGTCGAAAAAGAGGTTAGTCCAACTGAAGCTCGATCCATACCTGCACAGAGGCGAAGATGCACGCTTCAAGCGTGCTCGCTTCACGGAAGGCCTGGTAACGTTGTGCATTGTATGTAGCCGCGCCTGAAATACGTTGAAATTTTAACACTGTATGCCATAGCTTCTTGAAACAAGGTATGTCGTTCAAGCATACGCTGAATACGAGCAGCTTTCGTGCAATGTGTGTAATTATCGATCTCGGTCGAGTCTAGCTGAGGTTAGTATCAATTAATTATGCACTATATATTGTGAAAACCGAATAGTTTGTCCTGCTGAATTAGCCGGTTAAACATCGCTCATAGCGGATTTGAAGACTAATAAATCGGGGATGTCCTAATTATAATCGGAGTATAAATCGTTCATCGGTCCCGTAATTATGTGCAGCCTAGCAATTTCGATGTACTGTCATGTACTTCGGCCGGAGACTCGCCAAGTCCATCGGCAACACCGCGTCGCCTGGATATCTCAGTTACATGTATTATAGCGTGCGGTTTTTCCTGCTTAGTTCTGATGTTAGTGTTATAACCTTGACTACCTAGCCAAGAGCGACTGCAACGATTGTTGTCTGGTGGCTGATTTAGCCTACAAGGTGCGAATGCCGGTTGCACATCGGACATTCCGCCTGAATAGCAAGCAAATCGGCCGGCTCTGGCTTAATCGGTCGATTAGCAAATGCATAAGCTCTGACTCTGAAAGTTGTCTAGGTAGTAATCTTGAGTATAAAATCGAGGTACCCCAGTCTAATTAGGAGGTCGGATTTATCAAATCGGGGGTCGTCGGTCTTATTAAGCCACTAAATCGGTGGATTAACAATCCAATAAGACATTCTAATCGGTTTTCACAATAAGTACTAACATGTGTGCAAAGAACGACTTGCCTTTGTGTCGGTGCAATACCTCAGACACGGGTGGATTGCCCTGAGGGTCAGGATGCGAAAATCGACCCGTACGTGGTGAACGTGTCGTCATATCAGCGGATGGTTGTTGCTTGCATTGGTCTTGTTTGAAACAGATGAATGTGGAGTGTATTCGGGGCCAGTGGAAAACAAACACTGACTGCTCCTATCAGAGGTTTCAACGGGGCTTATCCTTGCGACTTTCGCTACGAAGCAGCGGAGAAAGGGGCATTGGCCTCTTTACCGACCAATACATCGAGAAAGATGCATTCATCATCGAATACATGGGGGAGGTTATTCAACGAGGGGAGTTTTACCGGAGATGTGAGGTATGTCCTTCAATCCATGGTATCCTATATTCTTATTATAATACGCTTGAATATGCATGTGGTTGTGCGTTGTGAAGAATATGCGAGGCAGTCGGTATTACTATGGCGTACAACCAACTGACAGTGAAGTAATTGACGCTTCACGACAAGGCTCCCTTGTGCGATTTGCCAACCACAGTTGTGCGCCAAACAGCAGACTAGAGCGCTGGGACATCAATGGAGAAGTCTGCTGTGGCTTATTTGCCATTGCTGATATTGAATGCGACGCCGAGCTCACATTTTCGTAACGTTACACACGTATGCGGAAGACGACCAAGCAGGTATGCATTGTCATTCACTAGAAGTTATGGTGGTACTAACCAGTATCGTTTTGCGTAGGCCCGAAAATGCTTATATTGCAATCCGAATTGCCGAGGGTATGTACCAGCATAACCATCGCTTGCACCCCCAAGGTCCAAAAACGCAAGGAACCCAGTAAACCCCTGCTAACCAAATCACTTGGCGTCGTACATGTGATCGCCTCACTTGGGCATCGCAACGATCTCCATCACGGCATCAACGCTTCGGCTTCTTCATTGGATTGGTGTTCCGCGCGCGCACGCAGCGCAGTCTCAAAGTCTTGATACTCCTCAATCAGCCCTGGGTTAGTCAGTCCCAACGCCTGCACGCTGCCTTGCAGATGGTCGTGGTAGAATTTGAGGCCGTGAATCTTCTTCAACTCGCACACGCCACCAACTTGGAAACGAGGTCTGGCCACAGAGCGCTGTTTTGGGTCCCACACGGTGATTCTCACCACACGACACCCCTTACGGAACGCGTCCAGCATGTCCAACTTCTGGCTGTACACAGACAAGTGTGGCTGCATAAAAGCATCAACGAAGGTGACCCGACTTCCGCGGTCGTTTGCCAGGCGCTCCACGGAACAAACGCACATGAGCATGGTCAGGGAAACAATCGGAATCTCGCCAATACCCTTGCCAACCCCCCGAAGGCCCTTCACCGACATAATACGGCGCGCTCTTGCTGTTCTTGCTCTTGTAGTTCTACGTCTACTTCCACCATTAGGGCGGCGGCGGCGTTGTCCGGAACGAGAACCCCTCTAGCCATTATACCACCCTTGTTGCCTTGGTGGGCTACCAGCAAATTCAGATCTACCCGCCGTCTACGCTTGATTCAAGTCCGTTCAAACTCATACGACCCCCCCCCCCCCTGCTCTTAAGCAAAAGCGTTAAGCAACCTAAAAGTAGCGTTCAGTTAACTTGCTGCTGCGTCAGAGTTATCCGTAACGCCGGTTCGATTTCAAGCGTTACCCGTGTTTTTTTTTCGTAAATCAAAAATGATTCGTAACAGTCCACGCGTGTGGATACTCCTATATTTGTTGCAGGAGCACTGCCTCATTGCCTCCAGCGAGCCATTCTTGTGGCACGCGGATTGTACGCTAGTTAGTTAAGAGCACATCCCGTGCCGCCAGCTATTGTAAAATTAAAAGTACGACCGCCTTCGTCTAGGTAGTGTATCTCTACCCACAGTCCACAGGTGCGTCTACGCCTAATCTTGCAAGCAAACATCTATTTGAACGTTGGTAAGGCAACTATCCATCGTATGCTAAAACGAAAAGAACATAAAGCACTATGACAAGCCTTATCACCTGCTCTAGCCTCGCCACCACTACTTAGGACCTTGTTACGCACCCCTCAGCTGAATCTAACGTCGACAACGCGACCGTTCCGCTTGTGCACTGCAACGATCTCCAGCCCTACATCGACACTTCCGTGAGAGGTGTTAGGATCCACACCACCGCTACTGCATAGAGTTACAGTCATAGCGCTAGTTGAATTGATAGAGGTAGAGGTTGAAACACGTGAGTGCCGAGGCAGAACGCCACGACAGGCAGCGCAATAATCTGGCTAAAGTTCCCACTTGCGCCGCAGGCGTCAAGTACTCGAGTGAGTGGGAACCTTCAGCCAAATTACTGCTCACCAGCAGCCCGTGTATTAGCAATAATTGATGTATCCACTTGGTAAAAAAAGTAAATAGGAGTAATAAAACAGAGTAAGCGAAATGAGAGCTACATGATTATAGGGGGGGGGGCTTCGCCACAATTATATGGTTTTAGCTCATGAGCAGCGTTTGGATCTTGTATCTATCCCATGGTGACCTAATTCGTGGTATGTAAATCCTGTGGGAATCGCCCCAATACTAATACATGCGCGCTAGCATACTCGCGGTACAACAGAAAAAAAGGCCTGATGCATGCTTGATATTGACCATAGCATATAGGAATCGTTGCACTAGCGCAGGTCGGGTGAAAGCGGACAACCCATGATTCAAGTTGACGTTCCATGTCACTATTTAAAAGATGCCTAGGCGCCTGTTCCTTACAGAGCTGGAGATGGAGATGATCGCAAAAAGCTGAGATATCCATCTCCAGTTGAGACACTACCCAGATCGTCTCCAGGCAGATATTAGCCAATCACGTACGAAAGATCCGACAGCTGCCGGCGACTATCGGTGCCTCCGTCGGTCGCAACGCCGCCACCAACACCGGTGCTGGTGCATTTCACGGCCGAAGTCGGACCACGGGCCCTTTATGCATCCCAACAACCTATCCTGCCCCTGATTCAAAGCCAGAATTTGCTTGGACGGCGAAGATAGCAGCAGAGCTGCTGTGCCTCCACTTCGTCACGATGAAGCATCGCTTTCAGGGCTCTTGAAGCCCGAAGCAGTAGGCTGCAGCATGGAATTTGGTGGCTACGGAGACTTTCCGCCTTGGGGGTCTCGAAGTTGATCCTGGGGAATGGCCGAACTCGTCGCAACCACAACAACTTCCTCGTCATAGGACTCTCTACTAGCGTCTCTAGGTATCTGGAGCCTTCTCCACCTCTCGGAGGTAGAGAAGGAGATCTGCGTTGGTCTCCAGTTGTGTTGTTGTGCAGAGTAACATTTTGACCAATCAAATTCCGTCGCGGTTTTGATAGTGTCAACTCCAGCTACGTAGCGAACAGGCTCTAAAGGGGTTTACAGAGATATTTGAAAACCGGCCCTCTTGGGTGGTGTAAGCCATGTCAAGATGTGTTGTAGGGTCTGTCCATTACACTATCGACCCCGCTCTACCCCGGCTGAAAGTCTTGCCCCTTGTGGGACTCGAACTAAAGGGGTTTACAAACAGACGCGTTGACACCTCGTCAAAACACAGTTCTTTCGAACTGCGAATTGACCCACCCAGAGTAAAAATCACACAACATAGCCGCAATTTAAGTTAGGTATAGACAAAATCTGTATATTCGGCCTGGTTCGTCGCTTTGCTGCATTGGTTCGCCAAAGGAGCATCCAGAGACCTACATGTACACATTTTAACATGTAAGATATCCATACCTGGGGTGGTCCTTTTCGAATCATTGACGCTGGTGAGATCGAACTACACCGCTGAACGCGTTACCATAGCCTTTGATTTCGCTGGAGGATAGTCATTCCAGAGAATGTGTTGCCAAGTTAGAAACATAGTTGTTTTAATTAACGCTCTAGTGAAAAGGCTCTCGGGGAAGACCACACATATTATCTGTACATCAGCGAGCAGCTAGCTTTGTGAATCGACGGTACCTATATACGCAGCAGACACTGCATGCACAGTGCTTCTGTGCACGAGGAAACGTAATTGTAAGCTAGCGTGCAATAAGAAACGGTTCGGATGTTTCTTGCTGATTGCAACGAGCCCTTAATGCGCTTAGCTAGTTGGACTTACTTCAGCTGTAGTAGATTTGTCATCGTACTTTCATTTCCACTAGGGTTACACTCCGTTTGTGGGCATACTCGCACTAACGCCGTTTTTACCCGAGCTTCAGCTAGTCGGTTCTTTGCAGGCGACTCTCTACGGAGTGTGGAAATATATTTTAGCTTGGTTAAAGTATAGGGAGGAGGAAACACCTGTCGCCCAACATTTGGCTGATTTGCGCGCGAAAGCACTGTCGGATTCGCAAGGAAAGACGGCAGAGCTCTGCTCAGATGAACCACGAGAGAAGCATGCTGATGCCGAGGTGTTCCGAAAGAAACAAGGACTCATCGTGTGGCGCGAAATTTTGATGGCGGGCGTTGGAGGCCAGGATTTTAATCCTGCTTCAACCAGGCTTCCTATGTATCTCGTCCAGGATTCGTCCAGGATTATTTAACCCCCCCCCCCCCCCCCCCCCAGCGCGAGAGCCTGTATTAGACACGACTCGACAAAAAGCTTATCCTGTATTAGACTCGTTAACCCACCTGCGACCGCTCTTATTCCGATTTCGCAGGGATAAGATTAATATAGAAATTTGTATACTTGTGGGGTTGGGTAAGTGACGTCCCCAGCGGCCGGCGCCGACCCTTTGGGTTCCATTAGGTCTGAATCTCATTGGTCAGAGTTATCTGATCAAATTCCGGCTATGTGCGTAATACTGAGCTGGTTCAAGACTCAACTGGAAAAAACCTTGGCCTATTTTTCCCTAAAATTCGAGATATCCCCATCTGTAGAGAATCCAAACCAGAATGGTGTGATACGTGAGCAGAGTACTTGATAGACTCACATTTGGTATCATCGTATTTTAATCTGCTCGGGATGACCCTGTGTGGCAGCGGCGGGGACAGTCCCTCGCGAGCATACGGACGCTGAGGCAGCAAGCCTGCCGTGATAGTCTGTCAGCGTGAGAGATATAATACCCAGAATCCTGGTCAATAAGCAATCCGTTCAGTATCTAGAGTGTTATTGTATGCTGCGGGTGAAGCCGTGGCCGTACAAGACCGTTCGAATATGAGGAAGACGTACTGCACGTGAGGAAGTCACTGAGTCCGTGATGCGGCTTGAAATATGGTGTACATCGATCCACCTCTGTCACTCCTGCAGAGCGCGTTGATTCATGCTTCCGCTGCTCGATGGCAGGCTACTGCAACTCTTGATGTTTGCCAGCACGATATCTTGCCCGCTTGGGTAGCTCCACGCCAAATGCATGTTTGACGCCTTCCAAATTCGTAGCTCCAACGTAAGTAGATGGATGCGTTGGAGGCGTGTAGACCCTGAGAGACCTATGAAGACAAGAACATCAATGGTGCTCCGATGATATGGCTACTCTGCCGAATGAGCGTGCATCTGTGGATTTCAGTGTGATATCATGAAGCAATGGTGATTGTGGCCACGTGGCTATGCGTATTGGATTTTGTATGGCCAACCACGACAACGTGGTTTCGCGGGCTCGTCAACACTGGCTTGTTTGTATAGTTCTTAGTATAGAAGTGTCATGGTTGATTCAGAGATGTCGACATTGACATGTTTATCGAAATTTTAGTATATCATGTCGTTATTGACTTTGATAAGTCAGTATTGAGATTTTTTGACTAGGTTTCAGTATATCAAGCAAACGGTTTGATATATTGCTCCGTTAATCGAATGTAAACTAAACCTAGCATGGGCTCCGGTCGTTCGCCGATCTACGAGGCTCACTGGAGGCTACGACAGGCTGTCCATGTGGGGCGCGGGCGTGCCGTCAGTGGCGAAGTTGTCGATCGCAACGAACGTGCGCTCGGTATCGGGCTTGGCGGGGACTGCAAGCGTACTGTCCAAGTCGATGTAGTAGAGAATCGGCATGCAGCCCGAGTCGGGCTGATCGGTGGCCGCGTGCATGAGATCCGCTCCGGGCCGGACTGGTCCGCGAGCATGCAGTCCATTCTGGGCTTGATCAAAGCCGTGGCCGTGCCGTCCGTATTGGGGGTGCTTTGGGTCCGCAGGCATGGGGTCCGTGTCGAGCAGATCGGGGGCCGCGGTCTGCCATCCGTGCCGTGATGGTCTGGGTCCGCGAGCGTGCTGCTCGCGCAGGGCTGGTCGGGGACCACGGGCGTGCTGAACTAGACGAGGTCGTCGGCATGGCGTTGGTGCCGGGTATGTCGAGGGCCTCGATCGTGGATTGCTTGCCGGGACCATCCGGGACTGCACACAGGCTCACTGAGCCGAGCTTGGGGAGGACACCGAGCGTGCTGTTCGTGCCGGGTATTTCGTGGGCCTTGGCCATGCCGTCCGTGTCGTCCATGTCGGGGGCCTTGGCCATGTCGTCAGTGTCGTCTGTGTCGTCCGTGTCGATGGCCTTGGGCATGCCGTCTGTGTCGTCCGTGGCGTCGGTGCCGGGCATGTCGGCGGCTGTCGGTGTAACAGGGTTACACGCACAAGTGGCTACAGTCACTTGTAACTTGTAACAGATACGACGTTTGTTAGATGTTCGAAAGACTTTCTCGACCTTGGTGTAGACACACCAAAGGCTACATACATTTACGACCACCACGACGGGTGAGCCGCAGCGCTGGTGTCTTGGCCGTCGGAATGCCGCTTGTGTCCGAGCAGGTGAAAGCGCGACTGGCCGGCCGAGACGATCAAGAACGACTACCTATCTATAACTACTCTGTGCCATGTGGCGGAGCAAAAACCGGTGGGCCCTCAGAACCGAAGGTTCCTCGGACCCCCGGGTGAAACCGCTTATCGGACAGTCTATCCCAATCATAGCCATGGGGCTCTCCAGCATGAGCGGGTCGCTGAACTTGATGCAGCTGAGCGCGAACCATGACTGGGCCCCAGTTGTGGCAACGTGGCTTTCTCCTCTTGTGCACCTCGCTTCGCTTGATGGAAATACCGAGTCTTGCTTCTGCTTCGGAGGTGTAGACTGCTTACCACACGCAGCAACACCCACTGGCCTCTGCTCTTCAGCACCTGTTTTCTCGTCCAGTGCAGATTCAGCGCGTAGAGCATTCATTACTTGGGTAGCAGTAGGTACCGGGCTATCTGACCCACCATCCCGCCATACAATGTAATGCTTCGAGAATTGCCGCACCACGCCGCGATGGGTACGAGCGACGTGACCCAAAAGTGTCTCCGCATAGTCATCATTAGTCACGCGCTTGCCATAGTGTAGAAGCTGATGGCGCAGCGACTCCATCTCGCGCAACCACTGATCCATGCTCTTCTCCGATGTATACACATTAGAGAAGAACTCAGCACGAGCGATGATGTAATTGGAGTACTCTCGCTTCGCCTGCTTATCAACGAAGCGGTTCCACATCGCCTGTGCCGTGTCTTCCTGGCATATCATCTCAGCATCCTGCGCGGGCATACCAGACAAAATAGCTTCACGAGCGACGTTATCCTTTGCTGCAAAACTCAGTGCCTGCACGGGATCATTCAGGTCGAAGGTCCCATCGACAACACTCCAGCAATCCATGCGGGTCAAGAAAGTCCGAAGTTGAACAGCATAGAGATCAAAACTTCCCTTCATTCGTGGCGCATTATCCATCTTTACCAGTACTCCTGCGCGAGGGTAGCCATATCCAGCTCCAGGCGGAAATGCACCAAAGTTGAAGCCACCAGAATTGTAGTCACCTCCACTTGCATTTAGGTTAGGCACAATTGGAACTCCGACACCAGTCGCCATGCCTGCACTCGGTATACCACCAGCGACTCCAGCTCCAAAAGCACCTCCAGCACTTGCTGCGACTCTTGGTACAGCACCAGTACCAGGGAGGCCAGCCACAGCACCAGCGAGTCCGGCCACAGCACTAGGGTCAATGCCACCACCGACAGTACTCGTGGCTGCAGTCGTTGCAGGAGCCATGCTACAGGCCACCGTGGTAGTGGCCGTAGATGCCACCATAGATACACCAGTCGTACTTGAACCAACTGAACCAGTAGCCGATCCACCTTGGCCACTTGATGCCGCAGTCGACGTACTCGGCGAGGCCATAGTCCTTCAGAGCTTCGCGAGAGTAGTTTGTAAAGCCCCAGCGATTTGGGCTCATAACCTGAGGGCTTACGCAGTAGGATGTCTGTGCTTCCGGGCACGTAGTGGCGAAGGCCGAGGAGGACTAGACTCGAGAACGCAGAACACGAGCTTCGTTACCCACGGAAAAAATGGGATTGAGGAGGAGAAAACCTCTCGGGTGACAACCCCCTCTTGGTTAAACTATACCACAGAAACCTCAGTATAAACAGGAGCGATACTTCAACTAGAAGCTCCATACTGAGGTACAGTCAACCATTGCAGTTCTGGCGAACAGCGGAGCTCGATCTGCCACTACCAGCTCCGACAGCCGCGAGGAAGGTAGTCGACTCGGCCGTGCTGCACGAGGTACTCAGCCGTGGACCGCGCGAACCCGTTGTGCTGGGCAGTGGTGCGCCAGTCGCCGCCGCTCTGGAAGGAGTCCAAGACGCGGCGGCGTTATTCCGAGGTGTGGCGCTCGAAGGTTGCTTAGGAGGACATCTGTGGGGCTCAGGGAAGAATGAGGAATGAAAGCATGAAGCGACCTTCCTTCCACGCGTCGGTAGGCCATTTCGCGCGCGCGCGAAAGCGTTTCCGTAGCGCGCCTTTGAACGTCAGAATCTCGCCAATTTTAACTACATCGAATGGGGATTAGCCAGCTTTGATTGAGATAATACAGTGGTACTTCTGAGTTTGGATACTTTTTGTGTATCCAAAAAATGGTCATGCCAAATTTGGTCGGAGATTAACCCGAGAATGGACGGCAAAAGGTGTAGACATACATACACAATCGAGGATGTGATTAAAGCACGAGAATTTATAAAGCAGTATGTAAGGCCATGGGTGAAAATGCATCTAGAATCTACAGATAATCATAGCACCGTATCGACAAATGGAGATCAGCTTTTTTATTACAAATATCCTATTTGTGGCCCGAACGATGATTTTGCAACTGATGTTATGGATGATTCGCAGTGGATTCCGTTCGCGCTAGCGATGAACCAGTCACGTAAACGGTACCAGGCGGCTACTGGCAATAGCGAATGCGAAGCAATTAGAATGGTCATACACGGAGAGGGAGGGTCCGGAAAAAGCTGGCTGATAAAACACATCGTGAAAGATCTTCATAATGTATTTGGTGAACACTGGTCATCGCGAAGGAATTCGAAACGCGTTCTTTTGTTAGCTCATCAAGGAACCGCGGCCTTTAATATTAAGGGTAGGACCATTTGTTCAGCGCTAGAGCTTACGTAGTTCACGCGAAGTGCGTTCTCAGTTCCATACAGCCCCTTGGCTACTCTAAAAGGTGGAGGCACGATACTTAAACGCCTGCAAGATCAATACCGGGATGTAGTTATAGAAGAATTTAGTGTTATCTCATGTGGTATGTTGTACTGGATTGATAAACGAATGAGGGAAATATGGCCAAAATGCAGGCATTTGCCGCCACTCTCCCTCTCGTCGCTGGTTTCGTTGCTTTCGTCATACTGTGTTTCCCGCCAAATCAAAACTGCCAGAGTTAATGAATACTTACACGCATCACCTTCTTATTATCAGAGGGTTATATTACACCAGCAATTTGAGTACACTACCCATTGCGCTCGTCGACCTCGAAGTCGAGTTCCGATAGCTTGCTGCTGCGTCTCAGTTATCCGTAAACGCGGGTTCGATCTCAAGCATTACCCGTGTTTTTCCACGCGTGTGGATACTCCTATATTTGTTGCTGGAGCACTGCCGCATTGCCTCCAGCGAGCCATTCTTGCGGCACGCGGATTGTACACTAAGGTACGGTGCCAGTCGCGTGCAATCTGCCAGTTCCGCGCCACTTTAGCTTCAACCAATTAGAATGCCGTAAGTATTTTTAAAGAAACCTATTGGTAAAAAGTTTGTAAGCGCTACCAGCCAGTAAAACCCGCCAAACTGTATACGAACAAGACACATTTCCCAGCAGTTTGAGCTCAGTCTCCTATTTCCTGGTAGTTCGCGGCAGGAACTGCGGTGGACGGCGCCTGATGCCGGCCTGTGGTACGCTGTTGTATGTTATCTCGCCCCGCCGGGCTTGCCCAACACCGGTGCCAGCGCCACTGGAGTAAAAGCTAGCGGCCAGACTCCTGACCGTTTTCTAGATTGTCAGCAGCTCGGTCATACTCTCGTTACTCTCGTCCTCCACCACGTCGGCTGTGATGGGCATGTTTTTGAAGCGCACCTCCCTCTTCGCCATGGTGCGGCCTGGCGCGTCCTCGAAGCGCGTGGGCACGTAGTTCTGCAAGCACACTGCAGCACCTTCGGCCCTAACTGGTCTTCTACCTACCAAACTTTATTGAATTTATTGAATTTAGCACTCTGACAATTAAGGGTGGGCCACGGTGTCGGAAGTGGGAGCGCCAATTGTATTGCAGGTTTCTTTCTTCCGTAATAATCATTGCAATACGACTCCCACCAATAATCAATTAGTTTAGTGGAACAATACAGTAATTATTGTATTGAGCTTGCCTTTTAGCTTGACATTTCTATGTTGATAAAATACCGCCAAATATTGAAGCTTACAAGGCTCAATAATAATCATTGCAATACGCCGATTCTCAATAATCAATTGTTTTAGTGGAGCAATACCGTAATAATTGTTATTGTATTATTTTTTCCGACCCTAATGGTATGTCTTCTCCGGAGAAAAGGCTAGAAGCTAGCGCAAAAAGAATGACAACCGTGTATGAAACCGGAAGAAACCTAGCTCATATTAATCGAGTTAGGTGGTCTGGGAGAACCGGTCTGACACCGGTATCCCATAGTTATCATGAACGCACAGTAAGTCATGCAGTATTTCAAGTAGGATTTGAGGTCAGGATTCGCCGTAGCAATAGGACCTCAGTCAGTCAGTCAGTCCGTCAGTTCGGAATACGCCAAGGAATAGACATTCTTCTCCGTTCTCATCTCTTCGCTCAGGTATTTTATCTGCAAAGACTTTGGATGATATTATATCATCCAAAGTCTTTGCAGATAAAATGCCTAATATCATTGATATTATTCTTGCTTTGTGTGAGACTACATTGCGATCGCAGGGATCCCCCGAGCCCATTTACTGCTGGTGGTGTATTAATACCATTATGCACTACTTGATCCTGTTCTTGTCAAACAACTTCGAAATACGTCGTTACCGATATTAGTTCAGAGCATCCTAATGCTACATGAATACGGTAGGGCCAGCTTTTAATACTTGATAATTGGCAATAACACACTTGGACGAATCGATGTTGTTAGATATTCAGGCGATCATGACAAAATATGTGTGCGACTGCGCCATGTTGTATCAAACAGCGTTCGAATGCTTTTAAGCTACGTCGTCGCTGTACGCCCCGGATTCCTGCGCGAGAGGATGCCCGAGGGAACAGTATCAAAATGAAGGACAAAAACCCGGTGTATCCTACTCCTACACGTGCTAGACCTTATTTTTTTACTTATCAAACTTGAAACAAATTACTGGCTTCATCAGGTTTCCCAGCAAGTTCAGTTGAGCGGTTAGCCTGGCAGCGGTAAATATTCATATGCACGATTTTCTTCTTTTATCGCCACCGGTAAGTTTCCGAACACAACACGGCAAAGGATACTACCTGGGCATCAGCGCACATTTTAGGAAGGAAATTACGTTGATTAGCTAGTTGTTGATAACCATTCTGCTAACTACAGAACAACTAAACTTAAAACTAAATCCGTGACATCCTGATCCGACAAGCACGAGGAGCCCTAACCGTTGAAGTGCCAACTCAATTAACTGCGTTGATGTTCAATTCATCGGAGTGGCGATATATAGACTGGCAACGTCTTTGAAAAGAAGCGATCAAACTTGGTACACTTGGTTGTACAGTGGTGGATTAGGCAGTAGATGCCCAAATATATCGTTTCCCTCTACAGGTATCCGTACAAGCTAGCTTCGAACTGCCACCTGGGTCCCCAATACAAAGTAGTGGATGCATAAAAAAAAGGTTTTCCCAACTTACAACCACCGCCGCCTGAGTAAGTCGCCATTGGCATCCATTGAGAACAAGCTGGTGGTCATCAACGACCCGTTCATGGAACTCGCGTACCTGTTCAAGTGCGACTCGACGCACAGCAAGTTCGACGGCTCGGTGGAGAGAAAAGATTAACTTCATGTACATTTCTGTTGAATTCCACGTACCATACGCGAAACGGATGAATTCGATGTACCTCGGCTAAGTTTCATGTGCATCCGGTACTATCCTGTGGAGATACTTGAACAACAAAATAAAACACCCTTTCACCACTATTACTCAAATGATATTGTAGAGTGATTTTACTAAGCAGCTTCTATTGTGATCCTCACCCCAAATGCCTACTAGGATAGGAAATCGGTCGAGAATTTGGGTAATTTACACTTCATAGTGCTGCACCACTCTATCCTATAGTACTGACGTGTTGGCCGAGTGCAAGGTGCGCCTGCGTACATGTCTTGGGTTCTCGGCGTGCACATATGTCTTCCAGTTTACAGATGCATCGAGAAGGCACGGAGGCAGGCCAACGGATTTGTCCGAGGTTGCTGCTGCCTAAGAATGCTCCATCCCCAAGCTGATATCTAACATTCTTCCATTGCTTCCGTAGCTACTGTACTCCTACCAAATAGCCCACGACCTCAAATAAGACTGTAATGGCCGAGTACGACGACATAGGCATTGTGCTACGTAATATCGTAAGCGGCTTCGTCTGATATAAGCCCAGCAACCTCAAAAGTAGGATGTGATCCGTAAATAAATCTGATACTTAAGTAAATCATAATTAGTCATTGAAATTTATCCATAACTAACCCTTATTTATGAATCTTATCTTGATCCACATGTTCGAGCGCAACCCGTGTGGAACGCGTCGTGCACGAGGTGATCAACGATCAGTTCGGCATCGTGGAGGGCGGTGGACGCAGCGACGGAGATGCAGGTGCGGCAGCTGCCCGTGGACGGCCTGGCCAAGGTCGGGAAGGACCGTCTCCGCCTGCCAGTGCCGAAAGGCAAGCTCAAGAACATGACGTTCCGCGTGCCTCCTTTGTGGGGGTCTATCCATACAATTGATGCCAGTAGAGCAGCTAGAGATGCTGCTCCCTGCGTAAAGCGGAGTTGCACACTATCTGTTAGGAGCGGCATGGCGTCATTGTGTCTGCTTTCGCAAAGTCGACAGCAATGGCATGGCGCCCAGGGCCGCCGATTATGGCATTTATATTTATGATGACAGAATCGGCAAATAAATAATGTCGCTTGCAAGAAAAACCCACTGCAAAAATAATGACATGAGTACCATCCATACATAGATAACGGCGTTGTGTAAGTGCGCAACTTTGTATTAACTTAGTTACGCAGACCATCTACAGTACCTACGTTCCAATAGCTCGCGTTCTGACGCTGGAACAAATTTTGTTCCTGCGTAATCGGGTGCAGTCCGTTGCGCTCGTGCCCAAGCGTGATGCGGGCAACACTGAAGAACCGCTAGACGACATTAGACGGCGGAGGGATACTGCGAAGCAGTTGATACTGCTGCTGGTGCTGAGCGAGACGTCTACGTTTCTGCAAACGCTCCACGAAGGAGCCTTGAGAGTCGTCGTCAGTCGATGGATCCCGCGTCATATTCGCGGCGAACGCCCGAAGTACGGCTTTCTCAGCCCTGGTGAGTCGGTTGGTGTTGCCGAGTAGCACACGCACACAACCCGACTCGAAGTCGGGTCTGTGGACGATGTCCGCTCTTGGCCCTGTTGTAGTACATAATAGTCATTGTGAGTATTCCAATTAGCAAAATCAGATTCCGGTAAGAGCTTACCGAGATAGTTGGCGTAGTCGGGCTTGACGGCAATGAGCCCGTCAAACCACTCGCGCACATCAAGAAGGTCCGCATCCTCCCCTTGAAGTGCCTTTGAGACCGACTCCACGTCCTTGAGCTCTTTGAGAAGGGCACGGAGGCGACGGTTACTGGCTGGGGCGGGGAGAAGATCTGCAATGTCATCGTCGTGGGCATCTAGGTGCTCCAAAAGCTCGAAGTATCGGTGCAGCATGGTGAAAGTAGAGCTCCACCGGGTGTCCTGCCGAATTACCGGTCGGAGCTTCGTTTTGAGTCTGAATTTAAATTGAAAAAAATAATTTGACGCGAATTAGTAAAAATAATAAGTAAAAAGAGTTAGAAAAAATATTTCGCCGAAACAAATAAATCGTACCGGAGTTTAGCAGATTGAGCCAGCGTTCGAAGCTTGGTCATCAGGCTCTGCACATCTGAAAGATCCGCCTCGTGATCTTCGAGTTCTTTCTGCACCGCACGGTTGAGTCAATGCGAGGCGCACCGAATAAGAGGGACACCGACCAAAGTCGCAAGGCGCCTGTTCACGCGGCAGTTGTCGCCCACAATGTAGACACACTGGTCCAGCTGCTTACCAAAGTCGCGCGGGAGCATGTTGGCTAGAAATTCTCTATGTGCCACAGCAGAGAGATCATCGTCTTCCTCTTGGAGGAGAGGCGCCATGCAAAGCAGTGGGGTCATTACCTGACCGTTAACCTCGTAGGGGGCAAAGACCGCGAGGTAGTGCTCGCCCAAGTGGATCCACCCATCCAGGATCAGGCCAAATTGCGGACGAATTTCTGCCGCAATCGACCTCTCGACTGCCAGCGAGACCCCCTCCAGTACGGCACGCAGCGTCTCGATACAGACAGGGTCCAAGTTCGTGTAGCTACAGATAAACAGAAATATGGAATTAAATCGGGATAGTTAATCAGGGTAAATCAAATTGCTTCTAACGTACCGCCGTGTCGTTCGATTCTCGCAAAAGGCAAGCGGGAGGTTGCTCATGACAACCCAGACTAGCCACCCGTAGAGGTTTTGCGAGGAGCGGCGCACGTAGCTCAGCAATGACCCCGTCTCTGCTGTGGTGGCCTCAAGCATCTCGGCCTCGAAGTTCGGATGCTCACGCCTCATGTGCTGCATGAGGTTGGTAAACCCGTTGCGGCGGGTCTGCTTTCGAACCGTGCCGCAGCGACAACGGAAGTACTCAGGGATAACTTCGTCGAAGTCGTCGCGGCACGGTTGGAAAAAGAACCCTGTGACCTGGGCCGGCGTGAACGTTGGGCGCGGCGGGCGGGACACAAAGACCATAGCTGGGAAGACTGAGTTGCTGGGGTGTGGGCTGCTGGGGTTTTTGCAAAATCAACAATGACAACAACAGGCATTTGAACGCCCTTAGAGGCTGCCACCAGCCACTACAACGGTTGGTTTTGAAAGGCTAATAATTTTTTAAGGTAAAACGATGATACTTACTAGGATTTCAGATTTAATAAATATGATATATAGTAGGGTATAAATTGTAGTCATAAATTATGACATTGGGTAGATTCGCTACATAAATTATGATATGTGCTAGGTATTCAGTCCACAATAAATTTATTTATGTTATGATGGCCCATTATTTTTATGGCCATGCTAGTTTCGGCGGCCCTGATGGCGCCCAAGGCTCATGTAGGCTAACGATGGCCGCGGCGGAGTCGCGGCAGACGTTTGATCCATCACCAGAGAACCTGAAATCCAAGTTCCCCGGAATGCTGCAGCAGGGAAGATGGTTGTTAAGACTCGGTTCAACCAGTTGTCCAATATACCTCATCATCATCAATGGCATGGCGCCAGATTTAGAACGACAATCATTTCTCGTAGTGACCACCTGCAGTCTTACAGTTGACACAGCCAGCTGCTTTATTATGGTGTATTGTAGAGCCTCAGACGACAAACACTTTTTAATTTATCGTCTAATTTCAATCCAATCGGATACATGTCCCCGGGGAATATACTTGCATGCGTCCGCGTCAAATGTGCTCGAGTGTTTGTCGTGCAGGAAGTCGTTCGACACCACTGGTCCGCCGTGTTATCGAGGATGCCGGCCAGCTCGCAAGAGTTTCAAGAAGCAAGCTCAGCCCACTCATCGGGTGACGTCTACGGATCGACACCATCAAGCTTGCAGTAGGATAGAGGAAAATAGTGAAACCAATGCGATGACGGTTTGGTATCCGTCGCTGGCAGAAGGCGCTAGTTAGTGTCGCCCGCAGAAGCTACCAGCGGACCCATAGATAGAGATCACTTTGAGATTGACCTCTAAACCAACAACAGAGTCGGTATTTCCATCAAGCGAAGCGAGGTGGAAATTAAGTTTTCCTGCACAAGAGGAGAAAGCCACGTTGCCACAACTGGAGCCCAGTCATGGTTCGCGCTCAGCTGCATCAAGTTCAGCGACCCGCTCATGCTGGAGAGCCCCATGGCTATGGTTAGGATAGACTGTCCGATAAGCGGTTTTCACCCCGGGGTCCGAGGAACCTTCGGTTCTGAGGGCCCACCGGTTTTTGCTCCGCCACATCGCACAGAGTAGTTATAGATAGGTAGTCGTTCTTGATCGTCTCGGCCGGCCAGTCGCGCTTTCACCTGCTCGGACACAAGCGGCATTCCGACGGCCAAGACACCAGCGCTGCGGCTCGACCAATCGCCCGCGCTTCGATTCGACACCCACCACTCCACTCCCTAGGCTGCCTCATCTCGGCTCATTACATGACCCTCACCGAGGCTCGCCTCATTAATCAAGAACGACCACCTTTGCCCCCAACGTGCTTTCGTATCGCAGGAAGGAAACTTCGGTTTGCTTCGTAGCACTACAGCAACTTTAAAATAGTCCTAAGGAATACCCACAGCTAATGTTTTGGGTCACATCCGTGTCTGCTCGGTAGCGCAGATCGTGTTTTTCAATACACTTCCCACTCGGAGATCAGAGCCACCCGTCGGTGATAGCTTAAGCCTGCTTACTGTAGTAGCAGCGAGGCGGGATACGTGAAAGAGAAAAAGGAAAGCATTGTACATGCTGCTCTTGTGCAATAACTTCATTACGTGCGACCCAACCTGTTGTTATTGCCCGACACCAGCCATGTCGGCCTGTCGGCGCGATTCATCCACACGCCTGGTTGGGCATGCGGCTTTTTGCGAAAGACAGGCTATCCGAAGTTCGAACCAACAGAAGCGGCCACTGCAATTGGAAATATGGTTCAAAGGTCGCGTAGTTTACAGTTAAACCTTGGTTTGTTCCAGGCGTGCGGAAATGAACACCTCAATTTTAATATTAAAATAGCTCTGCGAATGCTGCTGGTGGCTAAAGGGAAGAAGAAGAAGATGTGTTCGATTACCGAATTATCTGACTTCTCAATTTATGTGAACTAGGGCGCTACTTACTCGGCAACAGTGCGGAACACCACGCCAGAGCGGGAGGTTAAATGTAGTTGTACATGACGAAGCTTGAATCTACTGTCATGTCTGCTGATAAAGTCGCCAAATTTTGGAGTATCGAAGCCGTTGTAACAACTTGGTTTGATCTTCGGAGTTTGATACTCTTAGGAGACGTCGATAGTTGGAGCTGAATGTGCTGTAAATGCTTGACATCGCTGTTTCAAGGGGTTCTGGTCCTCCATCCTCGAAACAAACTTTGTTCCTCTCAGTCCATTGGCGGTGAAATGCTGCGCATCTCACTATATTCCATAGGCAAAGCACTGCCTCTCTGCGGTGGGACCTTGCTGACCGAATTTCCTGCTTGTGCGGGAGTACCATGGAAGTCCAACTGATGCCTCCTTCGAAAAAGATACTCCGGTCCTTCCAGAGGGCTTTCCAGATTTCGTTTGAGTGGCGGCACTCGAAGAAAAGGTGCTGCGCAGCCGTAGTAAGGGCACTGCTGAACATTTGGTATTTGGTGCGCTAGAAACCAGAATCGAGATCTCACAGGCAACAGCCGATATGCAATTCTCATTTGCTGCACCGGTAGGAGTACTTGCCGTTGTTTCTTGCAAAACTGGACAAATTTGGTGACATCAGAGGCACTTGTACCTTGTACGTCACGACAGATAGGATGCTCGTCACGTTCTTGAGATTTGGGGCGGAAAAGTAGTTTTAGGGTCGAACGTTGAAGGAATGGGAACAAGGTTGTCTTGTTAGACTTTTTCACACCCACTTTGAAGTGAATCCGTCTGTAGACCTCGTGAATCCAGAGCCACCCACTGCGATTTCAACCCGATGAAATATTTGTGTGAGTTCGTTATAAAGCCCACGAAGCCAGCTCCGTTGCTGTTCGAAGCTGCAGGTATTCTCATTAGGGTCGAGTGTTTTTGAAAGAAAGGTTTCGTTACTTGGCCAGCCGCAGAAAGCATCGTAGATATCCAGCAGACACGTTAGCAACTTCAATTACGCATTCAAAGATGGAATTACGGCAATCAAAGTTGGACCAGAGGTCCAAGATCTCCATGGCTACGTAAGCTGGCGTGCTGTGCTCGCGCCAAAAAGCAAGGGCGCGTGGTTTGGCGCGCACTATAGCCGACGGGAGCTCACTTCGCAATTCGCCTTCTTCTTCGCAGATGTCCCTCCAAGGCCGCGTTACTCGCTACACCGTCCTCGAGAAGCAGTGTCCTAAAATCCCGCATTAAGTGAGACTTGGCTCTGGATCGCTACGCAATCTACGATCGCTCGCGTGAGCCAGACAGCAACGGTGAGATCCTCTCCATTTCGGAACGCCAGATGCACATCCTGGAGCGCGCCGCGACCGCTAACATGAACGTGATGACCCCAGCGCTGGTGGCCAGCATGGAGCTGCACTGTCGCGACTTCGTCACCAAGGCGGCGAACAACGAGGACATGGTGTACGGCATGTAACAGACCAGTAGTAGCAGCCTACTGTACGAATTTGATTGCCGTAATTCCATCTTTGAATGCGTAATTGAAGTTGCTAACTAGAAATTTGCAATATGAATTTTGCGACTTTCGGATTTGATTGCACGTTGGTACGAAGTAGGCCGCACAAAGGTGTAGTTAATCAACGTAATTTCCTTCCTCGAAAACCTTGGACCGACTACCAACCAGCGCATGTATGAAGGCGATTTGGGTCTACATGTAACTCGCAGTTAAAAAACAAACCGGAAAAAAATAACAGTCTTGCGGGGAAGGTTTTTGGATGAATTGGAACGAGGTTCGCACGCATTTCGTAAGAACCACCCTAGGTGAGTTTGTTATCAGACGACATTAAGCAATATTCACACGACACTAGGAGTCTTGCGCTACACAAGTTGCACAAGCCAGTCATTGTGCAACGTTACTGGAAGGTGCAAAGCAATGCAAAGCGAGGCAACCAAGTAGGCAACCAAGGCCATGCATTTTTTCAATATACATGGCTACTTAGCGACGTTAGTGCTGCTATTGCAGTCGAGAGAGTGATAGGCCACAACTAGTGGTTTGGGCTGGTAGTGCATTAAATGCACATTTTTTTATCTCCAGCTCTGTATTTGTGGCATCTCACCACGAAATGCAGTGGACACTAAAGCTGTTAACGTGGTACCCAAGGGGTTAAATCAAGTGTGCACGATTAATAGGTCGCCCACCAAGTAATGAATGCAGCAATAAGCAATGACCGCATGAAAACACGCTCCCAAAGAGAATTAAAGAGCGGATTCGTGGTCGTGGGAGGACGCGTCGTGCTCGGAGGGCTTGTGGTGGTAGCAGAGCGAGTCGTACTCGGAGGGTTCATCGTTGTCGGAGGACGAGTAGTCGAAGGAGGGCTCGTCGTGCTCGGCGGTAGTCGTAGCCGGAGGCGCAGTCGTCGATGGAGGAGCCGTGGTTGCCGGGAAGCAATGTCATAGGCCATGGGGGGGGTCTTGGCCACCTGCACATTCTGTGTTGAAAAAAAACAGGAAAAATCAAAACTTGTGTCAACGCTCTAGATTGATTTTTGGGGGCGTTATCTTCTAGAACGTAGTGAAGAAGTCATGGGGGGGGGGGGGGGGGGGGGGGGGGCAATTCATCCGGCTGTGATCTAGCCAAAATTCGTAGCTACGTGTACTGTATGAGCCGCTCCAGTGCGAAAAAGGCAGTGAAAAAAACAACTTGGAAAAAATACCATGAGATTTTTTCTTGATACTTGGTGTTATGACATACAATCGATTGCTGGACAAGACATGTGCTTTATTGGGCCCTAGTCGTGATAAAGCGCTCCTGAACCTTAGCAATCATGCTCTCCAACACCGCTTTGAGATCGCTGTCATCTTGAAGTCCAAAAAACTCGGCACGGAGGTCTGGCGTAGATAGATTCAGTAAAATGATTTCGTTGATGATGTCATCACCCGACGAGGCGCTACTGGCATAAACAACCGACTTCGAATGCGGGCCAGCGAACTTGAGCCGTAAATGGTAGCCGTATGCTGTCGCACAGACGATCAGGACGTTTAAGCGCTTTGAGGACTTGTCCTTGGGCAAGTTGATGCACATCAGGTTAAACTTGTCCCACTCCTCCTTCACTGTCTTCTCGGTGACCTCGGTCCCGACATAGTTTTTAACAGCAAGGCCCACCGTCAATAGCGCTTGCGGTGTCGTCGTCATCAGTAAGATGTCAGGCGAGGAAGATTGCCAACGCGGCTTCAGACTGAACTGGTCTTCTTCTACCGCAATGTCATTGATGTCCTCCATCAAAACGTTCAACGTTGTCTTGTCCGCCGTAATTGTAGCGAGGGAAGGAGATTTATTTCCTTTCCCCGTTATTTTAGGCATCCAAAAAGTCGATAGAGCGAACTCAACATCTTTGCAGCGCCCGAACCACTGTTCGTTCGTAAAAAAATCAGCCAGGGCTTCACTCGGACATTTTCGCTCGCGAAAAAGCTCTTGAAAGCGTCTCATGCAAATCAGCTCAAACATGTCAGCATAGTCGATGGATATTTGGCCGATTGCAGGTGCAACATCCAGTAGCAGCTTTCATAACGAGTAGGCAGAGATCGTAATCGCGTGTTGGATATATGGTGGCATAAACAACTTGGCACTTTTAAAGTCTTCATCCCAGGCAATACCAAACATGTCGGCGATGTCGATGTACGATATTTCGCCTCGCTGATCTCTCCACTGCTTCGACAAGTTCACCGACTTTCTTGTGTTATCCACTGCACACTCCATCATTTCGCGAAGCGGCACCTTGTAACGCAGCACGCATTCGCCTAGGTGCTGCCAGTTGAAATCTGCGTCCGGTTCGCCAGTCGTCTCATATCCAGCCAGTTCTTGGTAGGTTTGGCATTTTGTGAAGGCATCAATCAGCAACCCTGGACGACCAAACGTTGCTTTGGCAAGATGATGAGAAATCTGGCTTCCATCAAGTTTAAACTGCTCCTGGATAGTCTTCACCTGTTTCTTGTCCCAATAGGTTTTCTTAATGATCTCTTGAATCTCAGGTGATCGAAGCAAACTTAGGCTCAGCCTCCAAACAACAAACCCGGTAGCTGGTTCCGATTTAGCGTGGTTCAGAAAGGTTATGCGACCTGCAACCAGGAAAAATAAATGTTTCACTGAAACCAATGGCCGCAGGACCGTGCGGCAGAATTCCATGAATCGACTTTTCCTGGCGTGAACATCAAGGGTGGGGGCATCAAAAGCCAAAGCAATATCATCAATCACGACGAACAACGGACCAGCTTCGATCGCTAATTTCGTCAAAATATCCACGTGATCTGGGTATGCTTCAATCGAATCGAGAGCAAGGGGTGTAGTGCCATAGTTTTCCACGAAGAATGCGTGAATGGATGTAACGAATCTCCCGCGAGCCTTCTCCACGTTAAAGCTCATGTCTTCACGCAGTATATGCTCCGGAGAAAAATTGACTACAATGGTGTGGCTCTGACGTATAATGTTCAGAAAGTCTCCATCTGTATCCGATGCTGGTAAACCATCCCATTGCCGTCGGCAACTCCGAATGTATTCCCGGCCGAACTGCGACTTTCCGATCCCAGATATGTTGTCCAGCAAAGGAATCATCCACACGTCGCCGTAACCGCGCTTTGCACGGTTGTAATTGCTTTTGTGAAGGCGTACCAGCTCTCGGGTGGCGCGATCACGGTTTACGAAATACAATGTGCCTTCATCAAGACTGTAGACTGGATCCTCCTCCTCTTTCCATTTCCACTTCGTAACAGGATCACTCTTGCGCCGTTTCCTCGCGACCTCGTCAAGTTCTCGCTCTGTCTCCTCTCGGAATCTTGTGCGCGCTGGGACTTCTACGATGATCGCGGTGCTCCTTGTGAGACCGAACAGACCAAGCTGCGCTGTCTCCTCCAACGGGTTCCTCTCGTGGTCGTACGCGTGGAGATTGAAGACATCAACCCCATCGAGGTAATTGTCATTGAACCTCTTCTTCAGAGCAACTAGTAGACGCTCGACGGTGGCAGTCTCCGGGATAGGGGCCGAGCTAAGGCGTGTGCCTGGGAAAAGATCGCCAGTGCGGGCGTCCGTCAGCTTGAACCAAACCTCAGGCACCTCCACGATAAGCGGCTCTGCATAATTCTGCCCAAACCCATTCAGCTCCTCCAAAAGCGTCTGGTCTTGCCGCGCCTTCGCGTTGGCAAACACTTTAAGGTCGGGTGTGTCGAGCTCTGTGGGGAGTACAGCTTCGGCAGCACCGCGGGCAGCATTCTTGAACACGGCAAGCGGGGTATCTGGCGCTAGATCCACATATCTTAGCGTGGCCACCTGGCCACCTTGGCGATCAACGAGCTCGAACCACACCCTGACCATTTGCGCCATGAGAGAATTCAATTGCCGCCGCGGCGGGCAGAGAGAACTGACGTACTTCTGGCAGCTTCAATATCCTACTGTACGAAATCTGCGGCTCCATTGTTACAAACTATAATACTGGGTACAGTGCATCATGCACTTGTACCCAGTATTATAGTACAGTGCATCATGCACTTGTACCCAGTATTATAGTTTGAAACAATGGAGCCGCAGATTTATAATACTGGGTACAGTGCATCATGCACTTGTACCCAGTATTATAGTACAGTGCATCATGCACTTGTACCCAGTATTATAGTTTGAAACAATGGAGCCGCAGATTTATAATACTGGGTACAGTGCATCATGCACTTGTACCCAGTATTATAGTACAGTGCATCATGCACTTGTACCCAGTATTATAGTTTGTAACAATGGAGCCGCAGATTTATAATACTGGGTACAGTGCATCATGCACTGTACCCAGTATTATAGTTTGTAACAATGGAGCCTTAAAATACATGAACTGTGCATGTATTTTAATACATGCACTATTTTAAAAAATACATATTAAGGCAAATTGCCTTCTTGGTGTTTGCACTTTAGGATATCGAGGCCATCAGCGCAGCCGCAGTCGACTACCTAAAACGCCGTATTACCGATATGGATGTCTGCAATCCGTCTTTGCGAGGTTGATGAACCCAATCGATATCGAGTCGGCATTGGGGGACGATACGACAGAAGGCCCTCAATCATATCGCAAGGCTGGACGCCCAAAAAAGCCAAAACGCGTACGCAGTCGTGGAGAAGTTGTACCCGAAGATTCGCCGATTGTCTGTTCACGTTGTAAGGAGAGGGGTCACAACATTCGGACTTGCGAAAGAAGACAACAACTTAAGCAGCAACAACGGATGGAATTGTATCATCTTTCACTCTCTTGTTTCTTTACGCTATATTATAATACAAATACATATTGACACACTCATTCACCTGTAGCTTTCCCTGTTGATCACGCGGACGGACCGTCATGGTACCCATTCCTTTTGGGTTGTAGAAATGAAGTGGCTGTCCGGCTTGATCATGTCGTCGTACAGATCATTAGATCCTTGAAAGCCTTCGCGTTTCTCAGCTTACCTAGCGATGGGCCACATCAGAGCCCCTGACCACCACAACACTGCTACGCGTTTGCGTGCGCTCATCCGTCTCTGTGTCTCACCCTGCTGCTGCTGATTTTGTTGCACAGCCTCCATGGCAGCCTCCAATACAGGTCTTTGGCGCGGAACGACTCGAAGAGCTCTCCTAATTCTAACTTTCACAAGTCCTGACTGATTAGCAAACGCCTGACCGAATAGCAAATACCCACCCAAAAACCTGACTGAATTGCAAATTCCCCTTAAAAAAGTAGCAAATATCAAACACTTGGTTACCGGGACACCACTATCCTGATTGCAGTCCTGCTACTAGCAACTTCAACACCTCATCCAGCCTACTTGCCACATCCTTCCGCTCCCGAGCGCTGCTCTGCTGCGTCGTCTCCAGCAGCTCGCGGACGTCCTGCAGCTCCGTCGTCACCTGCATGCGCAGCGCCTCCACCTCCTCGTGCACATGCTTCATGACCTGCGTCGTGATGGCCTCCGTGATGCTGGCCATCTCCGCTTCGTCCACCCCATCGGTCTTGCTGATCAGCGAGAGCTTCATAGCGTCAACCTTACTACGCTGCTTGTTCATTGGTCCTGAGAACGAGAGGGACGACGCGGACGACGTCAAGTCGCGGCGAAGGAAGTTGCGACCCGCGCGTGGCTGCTGACCCGACCCGGACACGTGCAGCACGCAGGCGTCGATGAGCTCCTGGCCCTTGGGCGTCGAGTAGAGCTTGCGCACGACGCCGTAGCCGACCCACTGCTCGTAGCGGTGCAGCGCGCCCGCGAGCTCCAGCAGCGACAGCTCCTTGGCCTGCGTCCGGACCTTCTCGTACTCGGACGTCATGAGCGCGATCAGCAGGTTCATGGCCACGACGATCACCACGATCACGTACGCGGTCAGCAGCAGGAACGACAGGTAGTTGCGCGCGCGGAGACTGTCGTCGAAGCTGTAGTTGTCGCCGTAGTTGAGCTCGCCGAAGGTGGTGAGGAACACGATCCGCATGGCGCTGAAGAAGTCCGTGTAGGGCCCCGCCCCGTGGTAGAGCAGGAAGAGACCCCCGGAAAAGCCCAAGAGCAGCAGCAGGTACTGGAACAGGAAGCGCGCGACTACTTTGAACATCCGCGCGAACGTGAAGATGAGCACGCTGAAGTACGACGACACTAGCAGTGCCTGCATGAGGTTCACGCAGAGCAGGATGCTTAGCAGACTCAGCATACACTCGCGCTGTGTGTCGTGTCCTTCGTACACTTCGAACGGGATGGTCGCCAGCATCAGCAGGTACGTGAACACATCCAGCAAGTTCCACACGGATCGCCAGTACTGCTTGGGGTTGGAGCGCCACTCCTTGAAGAACTCGACGTACAGAAGATGGTACACGGCCAGCGACCAGCAGCAGACCTTGGTGATGCCCACGAAGTAGTCAACGACCGAGTCGAACTCGATCCACTTGTGCATCATCTCCCGCTTCTTGCCGTCCTCGTCGATCGCGACCTCCATCTTCGGCAGCAGCAGGTTGGACAGGTAGAAGAACGTGACCATCAGCACGTAGAGCGAGAGCTGTTTGCGGTGCGCATTCGCCCCGAACAGCTCCCACTTGAGATGGATAGCGTTCCGAACCACTGGGTGAGTCACGGCCGAGTTCTTGATCGTCTTCTTGGACGAAAGACTGGGCGTCAACGTGCCCGTCAGGTTCACGATCTGCTCCAAATGGTCACAAATCTCGAAAACCTACAACAGCGTATCTCCGTTAGCCACGGCAGGGAAGATAATTCTCTAAACGTTGCTTACCTCGACGAATCGGTACACTTTCTCTCCGTTGATGCGGTTCACCTCCACCGCGTAATGGTCCAGGAAAAGCGGTAAAGCCGATGCGTGGACATTCAAAAGTTGTTCGAGCACAACGCCGTTCCACTTGGTATCTGGGCCTTGGCCAGGCTCGTATCGCACTGAGCGACTAAGCTTCGGGTTCCGCGGCTTGGCAATGGACTGGGGCGTACTCAGCAAGATCTCGATGATCTCGTACTTTGGAGTGGATGACCACAGCGCAGTGTACAGCGGTGTGAGCCATGTCTCTTTCGACGGAGTCTCGAGGTTTTGGCATGAAGCGGTCACATCGGCGCCTTGAGAGATTAGGAACAGGCAAATGTCGGGCATGTTGTGCTCAACCGCAACATGCAACGCCGTCTTCAGCTGCTTGTTCTGTAGAGCATCAAAGAAAGTGTGTTAGGGCTTGCGGAAAATACTAGAGAACTGTAGTAATAACGTGCGTGATACATGCACTTACCGTTTTGTTGATGTCGAGTTGTGCCGTATCCACGAGATATTTGATCATTGCAGCAAAATCTGGATGCCCATGAGCTGCGATCAGGTGAAGTAGTGTATCCCCAGTGGACTCAATGACGCATTGAGGCGCGATAACCTTCTTGAGCGTCTTGACGCCGTATCGGATTGTATCGAGATACACATTGTGCACTGTGACGCCACTCGGATCATTTTCATAGACCGTGGACTCTTGAAACCGAGGATAGCACTCATCCAAGAACTGCACAAAAGCGGTCGGAGTGAGAACATATACCAGAGTTATGGAGAGTGAGAAGTGCGCTTGCGTACCTTATAGTACAGCTCTTCAGCCTCCGCATAGTCCTCCTTGTGCTTGGTCTCGTCCTCAACGCGAATAAACAACGGCAGTAGCAGTGGAAAGTGCATTTGGATCTTCTCCTTGCAGTCGTGGGCTGCATTCTCTTCATCCGGCAGTGACTCTGGCTCCTTGAGCAGGTACTCGACCAATGCACTGCGCTCCTCGAAAGACATGTGAGCCTCGTCCAGCGAGGCTTTGACTGTAGCGGCAAAGTTGATAGGCTTCCAGAATTGAGGATTTTCTGTTGGCTGGTCGAGTAGACGGTTGTCTGGCGCTTGGCACTCTTCCTTTGCCGACGCTCCCATTTCGATCAGAACCTCGCAAAACCCCAAAGCTCCCACCTCGGCTGCAACATGCAGTGGCGTTTTGCCTTCCCAGTTCTGCACGATGATGACATAGCAAGTTAGTAAACAAAATATTATCATGCCCTTCCGCTTGTTCAAACTTACCGGTTTGCTGATTAATACACGTAGAAAGCGAGGGGCTTCTAACGTTCCAAGCCACTTGGGCGAGCTGAGCACTTGTCGTTGCTCTTCCACTGAAGGGAAGGAACTGCGCAGGACGAAACTTTGGAGGAAATAGTGCAAGACGGTGTCGCCGCGATCGGTGTCAACTTGAGCCACTGTGTCGTCCGTGAAGGCGTAGATGCCGTCCTGTATACCTCTGCACAACTGCACGATATGGTCGCGCGAGCAAGAAGTGAAATCCTTGGACGAACCCATCACAGTGTGGAACAGCGGTCCTTTTCGAGGCGCTGCCAATTGGATCACGCTGGGGAAAATCTCACTGTCGCTCGATATCTGAACTGCACCAAGTGACTGAAGCGCTGAAGACGCCATGGTGCACTGCCGATCCGCAGCGACGTCCAGCGGAGTTTCACAGTAGCAGTTCTTTCATAACAAAAGAAACAAGAACAACACATTAATGCTTACGTATATCCCAGGAAACTCGAAGCCACAGGGATACCTGAGTGTTGATCGCAATATTTCCGACCAAATGAAGGCACCGAATGATGTAGTAGCAGTGTTTGTCTCCCGCACTTGAGGCTGCGACGTGGAGCAACGTATTCATGCTGTAGTCTCGTATCCTTAGCGTCCCGTACTTCTGCAACGTCGCCTGCACACCCGATGACCTAGGCAACGGCAAGACAGTTGATTAGTATGAAGTAGTATGTGTCAAAACTCACAAGTCATGAATCATTACATCAGTCTAGCGTAGATCCGCATAAGGCACGTCTCCGTGACCGATATCCAGCTTCCGATTGACGATGTAGGCTGGCACAGCACCATTTGCTGGTCCTCTAGCTCTATGTCTGTTGAGTTTACGTAGCCCAAGAGGAGGCGGCACACCTCCTTGTGTCCATGGCTAGCCGCCAAATGAAGAGCAGTCCACGCGGACATGTCCTACATGATTTAATAGATGTTAGAGAGATCGTTATGATTAAAATCCACCAGCTTTACTCACTTTGTGATTTGCGTTGGCATGATACCGAAGTAGAAGTTCGCACCCGAGCACGTTTCCTCGCTCTGCATGGTAAAAGAGCGGAGTTCGCCCTTTGTTGTTCTATCGCATCAAACGTTGGATTAGGTTTTCAGTCTGTTAGCAGTATGAACAGACAGCATTACCATTGTGTCGACTGTGGCACCATATTGCTGCACAAAGTACGCAATTGTATTCTCTCTTTCGAGGCAACAAGCATGGTACATTGGGGTTCTGCCTTCGTTGTCCTGTTGGCGTCAGAATCATCCTACGTAAGCAAGCGCGCGTCTTGATAGCAAAGTTAGCGACCGCAACTCGCACCTTGGAGTTAAGGGGGGCCCCATGATCCAAAAGAATCTCACAAGCCTTGAGATTTCCAGCCGCAGCGGCAAAGGAGAGTGCTGTTACCCCAGCCTTGTTCTGACAAAACAAAATCATTTAATACAACCAACCCGTCAGTTTAGAAGCGTGCAGGTATTCTCCTTTTACAGCTCCACCAACCTTGGCGTTCACTGGAGCACCAAACCGCAGGAGTTCTCGAAGAATCAGCGGATGTGAAATGGCTTCCCTCAGCGGGTTTCGTTCTTCGCCCCCAGCCATCTTTTGCTCGATACAACAATGGCAGAACGAGTAAGCAACTTGCATCGATGGATACAGCACCTTCCCTCCATGCCGTACCGTAATATCCAATGACACGCCTGCTTTGACCAGCAGCACCACTTCATCTCGTTTGTCTGTGCTGATCGCCAGTAATAGTCGCTGCATCATAGAAACATTAGCCCCGAGCCTTTTGTCTTGTTCCCTACTTCCACGCCACTTACATGCACCGCCTGCTCCGCGTCCGCTGCCACCAACACTTGGCACACCAGCAACCGGTCGTTGCGCAGTGCGATCGCCAGCGCTGTGCTTCCATCCGACGCCTGCAAGAAGAAAAAAAAAACTCATCCACGGTCACCAAAATTCCGCTATAAAATTAAAAGACCCTCTGTATAACCCCACCATGGCAGAAGTCGACGCCCCGTTGGCCAGCAATTCCTCGCAAATGAGGCTGTCACCCCTTTCCGCTGCTGCCATCAACGGCGTTCGTCCTCCCTTGTCCTGTAGTAGCCCATATTGGTTGATACGCATTAACTTGTCAATCAAATGTCTCGATGACGTAGAAATCCAATGTGGTTGCCTTACACGTGCGTCCACAATGGCCGTTGAGATGTCGCCTTCGACGGCATCGAATAAATTGTGCTCGATTGCCAGGTGCAGCAGCGTTCGGCTCTCCTCGTCCTAGTAGCGGATGTATATTAATTTAGACATCCCGGAACTTCATGGGGGTGAACGGGGAGTGAGGCACACACGTACGCGGTACTGCGGGTTCTGCTCGTACACGCGCTTGAAGGCGTCGACATCACCGTCGCTCAGAGCTCGCTCTAGCGCTTGCTGCATCTCCACGTCCATTGTCGCCCAGCTCAAGAAATTCAACAAGTGTGACGAGCAGCAAGTGGAATTTCTGTCTGATTTTTGACAGGGAATCTCATAGTTGATATTAATCCACATTAATGACGTGCATGTTTCTCGAATGTTGCCCGATGGCAAAGCTTACCTACTGGGAAGCTTAGAGGAAACTTGCAGTGTCATTCCCGGTAAACTTTGCTGCTCTCGTGCTTGGAATGGAAGTGGACGTTTGACGGGTCAAGGCCCTTGACTCGAGGACGTCCCAAGATCCACTGGGACTTTGCTATACGTCCCACTTCCTATACAGTGGAGGGTGGTATGACCGTTGCATCGACGATTGGTTAAAGCATATCCAATGTGACGCACGTGGATATTATTGTAGTGCGTGGCAAGTGCTAAATGGAGTTTGTGGCAGGATAATCGATCAGCAAGGCTCCGAGCTCCGTTCTATCACGCGTCGACCGTGTTGCTCCTCCTCCTGGACGAATAAGCTTTTTCTGGCCGTAGTAGGCTGACATCGGAGTGACTTCCGTACTCAACGGCGACGAAGCAACACGGACGTCTCGTAAATTACACGAAAGTGGTGAGGTAGTGAGCAATCTGCCGGTATCTAAGGGGGCGGAACAAGCTGTTCATGAGACGATCGCCAGCTCGTCAAACGCGCATACGACACGTTGCTAACGATCAGGCCCAAAGCGCACGGGATGCATACGCCTAATGATATCTCGGTGTGTTTGCAATGGAGCCATGCAAAAGTGCACTACTAACTTACTGCATACGCCCAGTTCGCTGACAAGATACCGCGCTGGCCTCCTTCGGTCTCCGCTCGGTCTCTCTCCGGACCACGGTGGTCGCCTGTAGGAACGAAAGGCTCGATGGCTGTAGGCGTGCTGGCCCTTTCCCCTTTGGTGGTAGGCTGAGTTGAGTCGAACGCAGCGGAGAAGTTCGGCGGACTTGACCAGCTTGTGCCCCTACGACTTGGTGGAGACGCGCCGAACTTTGAGCACTAACGCTGGCCACGTTTGGCTTCGGTGCCGGTGCCACTGGCTTGTGGCCGCGACGGAACGTAAACTACAAGTACATCCGGGTTTGCGGGCGCGTGCGAGCACCTCCGCGGACACAAAGCCGCACAGACCAAATTTCAGTGGAGACGAAGCGAGAGGATCCGCCACCGCCACTGCTCTGGTCGAGGTTAGGCCCTTCAAGTCGTCATCGGGCCTCCTACTCTATAGAGTGCGCGCGGGGCTATCGGTGCCAGTCTTCCACACTTTCCGCCTAGCGGTAGTCTATATATCTCCATCTCACTTTCCCAACCGCTTCGTCGGTACATCATGAACTCACGCCACCGCGGCGCACTTGGATTCCTGGCCGGGGTGACAGTGGTTTGCGCCGGGCCGGTAGCAGCTCAGAGCAGCGAGAGCGGCCCCGGATTCCTTCGGACTAGCGCGGACTCTTCCTCGAGTAACAGCAGCAGCATTGAGGACGACACTGCTGCGTATTTGGCGCGCGGATACGCGTCTACAATGGCGGAGGACGAGCAGCGGTTGACCATCATGACCGACTCCCTGCTCACCGAAAGCGTCTGCGACGGCGAGCCCATGGCAATACTCAAGTCTGCAACTGTCCCGACAAACGGGGCGTGCGTGGCAGCGCAGAGCAGGTATAACCTCTCGTGCTCGTGTCTCTCGGGCTATGCCAACACAAAAGCGTGGAGCTTCCGCATCGGCGAGCCCGACACGGAGCCAACGTCTCCATTCCCCACGACAATTAAGCAAGGGGCCGTCCTTCAAGTGAACTCGCTGATGATGCTCGACGTTCCTGCAGATCTACTTATCTTGTACGTCTTGTTCGTTTTCTTTTCGTGGAAATTTCGGGTGTGTGGAGATGAAGATGCTGATTTTGTTGCTGCGTTTTGGTACAGCAAAATACAGGGGGAGGGCAGCAACGGTGTCCCCGTCAGGTTAGAGAAATCGACGACAGGAGACGATGTAGTGGCGATCGTTCGTTCACAAGAGGTCTCAGCTCTCACAAAAGTGTAAGTTTTGTCTGATTCCCTCTGATCCGCTTTTATTATTTGTATCTAAACTTTCTGCCTTGTGTGATTGCAGCGACATATTCAACTTAGATCTCTCTGAAGTACCTATTGGAGACGGTTTTGTGCCATCGACACTGTCAAGCCTGTACGTGAGTGCGTATGCCTTTGTGAAACCTGTCACCGCCTCGAAAACTAATGTTGGATGTTGCAGATTGATGCGCCGCTGCAATATCAGCAGCCTCAGCCAGTCCTTCCTGGAAAGCTTCACCTCCCTCGAGTCTCTGTACGTGTGCCATCCATGGGCAAGTTTCACCAATGCTTTTATATCTGACTTTGTTTTTGTTTTTGTTTTTCTGCATCACAGGAATTTGGCCGCAAACCAGCTATCCAGTATTTATACCAGCTTGCCAGGATCGGCCGAGACCTTGAACGCAATGACTGACATGTGAGTTCTTGGATAGTCGAATTGTTTTCTTAAAATTACTAACCGAAATGTGATTTGGCTAGCATTTTGGCGAATAACAGCTTTACCGAGTTCCCGACGCAACTGCTCCAGTTTCCCAATCTTCGAAGGCTGTAAGTTTAAGTCCACAATTGTTTTCCGCTTGATGATGTATGACATGAACTAACATCGTTGTGCCACAGCGACCTGAGTGGGAACGACATCACGAACTTGACAGTCACCAGCGACGAACTTGCAGCTATTTCGCAGCTTTCGGTGTTTCAAATTGATTCCCCCGCGGGAAATGGGAGTGGATGCGATGGTGGTGAATGGCAACAGGTGCACAACACGAACTTCTGCGTTGTGAACACTACGAGCACGACTGCCCCAGAGGCGATGGCTAATGAAGGCAGCGTGATTGATAACACCAACTGGACTGTCTTCATGCTGATAGCGGTCTTCGGAGGCTGCCTCATGGGCTTTCTGCTGTTCTTCCTGGCCACCAAATTCGTGCAACACCAGCAAGAACGCAGACGCAAGAAAGGATTGACTACCCCAGGTGCTGAGGATGTTCAGACGTCTCGAGCGGCGGATATCACTGCGACGCAGGAGTTCTACAACTCTCTTCACCCCACATTGAACGCGGACTTACTCAATGATCCGCTGATCATGTCGTTCCGGCTGAAATACAAGGACCTGCACATCGGCCGCTGCATCAGCAAAGGTGGCTTTGGACTGGTCTACACCGGTATGTACAAGCACCGCCGTGTGGCTATCAAGAAGATCATGCGCGAGAAGTGCGAGAAGCTCTCGCAGATTCGCATGTTCATCCGAGAGATCACGCTCATGGGGTCGCTCAAGCATGAACGCATCGTGGAGTTCATCGGTGTTGCCTGGGACTCGCTGCGCAATTTGAGCGCTGTGACTGAGTACATGGAGCGCGGGGATTTGCGCGATGTTCTCCACACTTTGAAACACCAGGGAAGCAACGTGGATCATCAAGGACTGACGTGGAATGGCAAGAAACTTACTATTGCGTTGCATATCGCCGAAGGACTCGCGTATATGCACTCGCTAAACCCCAAGGTGATCCACCGCGACCTCAAATCCAAGAACGTGTTGCTCAACAACGACTACGAGGCGAAACTGAGTGACTTTGGCGTCTCGCGTAAGCGTCTCGTGGCAGACGTCAATGGAGGTCCCGGCAGATTCATGACCCCAGGTGTGGGCACGTCGTTCTGGATTGCCCCGGAGGTTCTACTCGGGCGTGACTACGATGAGCACGCTGATGTATTTTCCTTTGGCGTCGTGCTGTCCGAGATCGACACGGATGACTACCCGTACTGGAACTCTGGAAGCATTCCAGCACAAGACGACCACGACGAACGGCGCTCGCAAGAGCAGAAGATATTGGAGAAGGTGGCGCTGGGCTCATTGCGACCAACATTCTACAACGATTGTCCGCCTGGAGTTCTCGCATTGGCTGCGAGTTGTCTCGAAGGTAGACCTGAAAACCGACCCAGTGCAGCGGAGGTTGTCCTTACCATCAAAGAGCTCATGCGCGAGCTGCAGTTCGACAACAACCGGCCGCAGTCCGAGCCGGAGCCTGATATTGCCACGGCGGGCTTCTTGTCGACCACATAGGGGTGACTGGATTGCTTTATCTTGGACAAAGCGCGATACGGACGGAGTACTCGCCGCACTATGAATACTATAGAATACTCGCCGCAGACACCACCAAATTAGCTTTAAGAAAATGCTTAACGTGTTGCCGCAGTTTTTTTTTTTTCAACAATCACAAGACTCGTGTTGCAGCTTTAAGCAGCAATCTTCTGCTTCTTCAGTGCTGCCTCACCAGTCTCCTCAAGCTTCGGAGCTGAGTTGACCGATACAGTCTTCTTTGCGTCGCTGGCCGTGGCCACCGGCTTCATTTTATACACAGGAGCTGCCGCTCCCGTTCCTTCCACACGCTCAAATGCTCCAGTGTCTTCCTGCAAATACGCTCTGCTCACACAAAATCGCAAATAAGCCTCGGTAATGCAACAACAACAACAACAACAACAACAACAACAACAACAACATGAAACAAAATGTTCACCACGTACGTGACGAAAGTACGCAGGTGTTCTTTTCCACCGAGTTCGTGCTCGCTCTTGGTGTAACTCTCCAGAATCTGGTCGCACACTTGGTCCGCCGTCATACTCGTGAGTCCCTTGTGATACTTGGCCTTGTCAAAAGCCTGGCAAAAAAAACAGCAACAAAAAATAGTTTAGCCACAGCAGCCCATCACCTCTCTAAACTTTAACACCACTTAACCCCCTCTCTCTCTTTACCTTTTGGATGATCTTGAATCCACTCATAGTGCTGATGGTAGAGCGAATGGCGTAGAGGAAATAGACCCTGGCGTGACCAATTTTGAGCGGCATTTTGGACGTGAGCTTGATCGTCTGGTTCTTGGTCACAAATTTGCCGTCCGCGAACATGCCGTTCTTGCCGAGGCATTGCAACTCGAAGCAGCTGTCCGTCTGGTTCCACTGGATGCGCGCGTGCAGGCGCGAGATGGCCTTCTGCTCGCCCAGCGCGATGCGGTGGTCGGGCAGCGACGAGATGGGCCCGCGCCCGAGCTCCGCCGGCAGGTGCGTGATGAGCTTCTCGAAGGGCGTGTCGCCCTCCACGCGCCCGCTGAGCTTGGCGTAGGCCAGCGGCGGCCGCTTCTCCACGAACTTCTTCTCCAGCGCCTTCTTGCGCTCCTCCAGCCCGGGCGCCTGCATGTCGGGCAATTTTTGTGTTTTGTGCTTTTGAGCAATTGGATGTCATTATTTTCGAACTGAACCTGGTTTTAGTGACATTTTGTGATGAATTAGTGACATTTTGTGAGGACTATAAATTTGGTGTTTGGGTTAGCGATTCGATCAGCGTTAGTTGAAGGCGACTATCGTATCCTTGTCGGTGCTGTTTCCTGTAAATTGGTGGCAAGCATAGCGTTTTGTGATGGTTTTGCCTCACACGAGTGACTCGATGGCCATGTAGCCATCTCACCAACTTTGGCTCACAGTTGCGCCGCTGTAACTTCACAGCTTGTCCAGCAGCAACCATGTACACAATGGGTGTTTGGCCCTGTCTCCATCGAGGCGAAGCGTTTCCTACTCGTGCAGGCTTCTAACGTCGCCCTCGGTTTCAGTTGCTTTCGATGGCTGTCCCTCGCGTGCCTTGCTGCTCATTCAGGTCGGCGTCTGTGTGGCTCGGGCCTTTTCCAATCTCTCTACGACTAACTTTTTCCACCGAGGACCCCACACTGCTGAAGGACGAAAACCCGGCGGTCTGCGTGCTTGTGCGTGTCTGCCGCTTCAATTTGTGCCTTGCCTCATTAAGTAACATCAATTCGAGGGCGTTAGTGCCGATTAGCTCGTGGTACTTCGCCTCAACTCCGCTGCCTTGTGGTTCCGCACCGCCACGACCCAAAATCCCCAATAATTCACCACTCATGCACAAAATAAACCATCCTGGCGTCGGACTATGCCCGGCCACCGAGAGCAAGCTAACACGGTTACTAATTGAGTGCGATATATCACTTGAGCTGGTGGACAGCACGCCACGCGGTGTCCAGGATCAAGCGTCCCATTAGGTTTGCTCCACCAAGATGAGCCCGTCCCAAACGCTCGAAAATACACTGGGACCATTGCGGTGTTACTTTGACGTCAACTTGCAGCGACACTTGACGCCGGACACGGACCGGAAGCCGGTCCAGAAGCTGAACTCAACGGCGCCGCCTGTGGCCCCGAGAGTGCCGACGAAACGCTCAAGTGCCCCAAGTCGAGCATGGCACTCATGGAGTCAAGAGTACAGCGGTGTGTTGCAGTAATTGTCGTTACTACAGGCTCGGGACGCCTTCGCCACGAAAATGCACCGCCCCTATAGTGCTCACGGCAGGGCACACGTTCGCCCCGCCACAGAGGCGAAAGCTGTCGGGATTTTCTTCTGCCTTGACAGACGCAGCTGCAGCTCGGGCGGGGCTGTCCGGGATGTAGCGTGGCGGAAGCATCACAACTGCATTTCACGTCTAACGGCGTAGTCCCCCCGCCCGAGTCCTTCTCGCACCACAAGCCATTGCGATGGTGTCGCTGCGGGGCTTACAACAACTTACCTCCACCGTGAGCGGGAGCTCGGCGAGCTTGAACTCGTCGACTGCCGCTGCGTCCTCGCTCACGTCGGCTACGGAGGGTACACCAACATCTACATCTGCATCAGCTTCCACCAACTCGGTGGCAACCGCGGCGCCGTCGTCGAAATCCACGTCAGTGACCACCAAGAAGGAAACCAAGTCTTCCGGTGAAGTGGTTACGACAGTCACCACTACCACCACGACTGTGAGCACGAGTACATCGAGTGCTAGTACCAGCAACACAGCGTCGAACACGGCAACTTCCAGCGGCGTAACCAGCTCCAGCAATGTTGCCACGGAAGGAAATACTGACAGCGTATCAACTACGACTGTCACAACGACCGAAAATGGAGATGGATCTTCACCCGTGACAACTGTAACTACGGACAACGATGTGAACACGACGACCACCTCCACGACGAAGGATGCAACAACCGGGATCACGACCGTGACGACCACGACGAAGACCGACTCGGACACGAACGGGTCTGCCAGCAGCTCCAGGACTTGGACAACGACGTCGGGAGGATCTTCGACTTCGGCTACAGCATCGGGGACTAGCACGACTGGTACTCAAGAACCGACGAGTACTGGAGGAGCCTCAACATCGTCAAGCACAGTTACGACGTCGTCGTCGACAGGAGCTACGATGGAAGAAGCTTCTACGTCGACGACTACCAGCACGAACACTGGCAGCAGCACTGGCGCTACTTCCAGTACGGCAACAGGGGGAAACTCGGTCAGCACGAGCGGGACGACGGTCAACGGGGAAACTGCAACGAGCACCACAACAACCGGATCCACGAACAACAATGCGAATTCCGTCACCGCCGGAACCAGTTCGACTAGCACAAGCGTGACCACAAGTACCAGCTCCTCCACGGGTGAGACCACCACAACTGGTACCAATGCCAACACTGCTACTAGCACGTCGACTACAACAAGTTCATCGACTGGATCGACAACCGGTGCCAATTCAGCAACGACCAGCACGACAGCGACAACAACCAGCTCATCAACTGGATCGACAAATGGGGCAATTGAGAGCTCCACCACGACAACGACAACCACCTCGTCAACCGGATCCCAGAACACTGCGGCAACCACAATTAATTCCAACGGCAGCAAAGCTAGCAGCAGCACTACGGAAACAACCACCGTCTCTGAGGCGTCATCGTATGAGGGCTCCGCAGCAAACTCCGCGACTGGTTCTACGGATGGCTCCAGCTCCAGTGTGTCCTCCAGTTCGTCGAGCTCCTCGTCTTCATCTTCGCTGGCGAGTTGGTTCCGCACCAATTTCCGCAACGACGAGACCCAGCTCGTCGTCGGATCCATGAGTTCAACAACGACGACACAGGTGTGCAATGGTCTTCCGGCCCTGGTCACTCGTTCGGATTCGGAGACGCCGAACGGTGGCTGCCCGGAGGAACTGACTGCTCTCAACGCGTCTTGCACTTGCATCACGGGCTACGAGGAGACCGACAGCTCGTGGGTTTTCCACGTCACGACCGAGTCGTGGAACTCGACCACAACCACGACTACCCGTGCAACGACGCAGACGTCGTCGGATGAGTTGGCTATCAACACCATCCGACCCATCTGGGTGTCCTCCAGCCTCGAGACGCTGGAAATTGAAGGAGCTGGAGAATCTCCGGCTGCGATCACGTTCATCGACGAGAACCGCGTGGCCTCGAGCTCTTCGCTGACGCTTGTGCGGTCGACGAGAAACTCCACCAACATCTCGACGCTGTCGATTTACAACATCGACCTTAACTCGGTGGCAAAGCAGAACTCGGACTTCGTGCCCGCCACCGTGACGAACCTGACGCTGAGAAACTGCAACATATCGAAGCTCGGTAGCAGCTTCACGCGCGAGTGGAGCTGGATCCAGTACCTCGACTTGTCCTCGAACAGCATCAACACGGAGTATGTGGGCGGTGCTGCGCTCAAGGAGCTCAATATGTCGCACAACGCGCTCGCGGTGTTCCCTGCGGCGACTCTGAACTCGAGCGGCTTGGAGGCGCTGTACATCCAGGGCAACGATATCGCGGACTTTAACGTGAGCCAAGACCAGTTCAAGCAGATCCAGGGGCTCTCGGCCTTCACAACAGACCAGCCAAGCTCTGCTTCGACCTGCGAAGGCGGTGCCTGGCAGTCGGCTCACGGCACAACCTTCTGCGTGCTTGGCGCGTCCACGGCTGCAGCGCCCGACTCGGCTCAATCCGCTGGATCAAACAGCGATGACGACCATGGTGGACTCGGTCTGTTGGGTTACTGGCTCATCGCGGGGGCTATCATCGTCTTCTTCCTGCTTCTGCTGGTGATCTGGCAGCGTCGTCGTCACAACCACGAACGGGGCAGCAGCCCCATCGTGTCGCCCGAGGCCGTTGAGCCCACTACCCCCAAGTACAACGCGGACGCCGCTTTCGGTGATGCCCTGAACCGCGACGCCGCTGCTGTGGCCCCTGCTGTGGCTGGTGCTAAAGCTGGTGGCTCTGGAGCGAAAGCTGTTGGCGCTAACGCGTACCCCGGGTACGGACGTTCACACGGCAACAGCGTTGACAGCGAGGACACGGCGCTCGGCGTGAGTTTGGCGAGCAATCCGATCTTGGCTGCGTGTCGCCTTGACTACAATGAAGTGACGCTGGGTCGCTGCATCAGCCGCGGTGGGTTTGGACTCGTGTTTGTTGGCAGCTATCGGGGACGACAGGTTGCGGTGAAGAAGATCCGCAACGAACGCGACGTCGAGCGTGAACAAGTCGAGCAGTTCGTGCGTGAGATCTCGCTCATTTCCGGGCTGAACCACCCGCGCATCGTCGAGTTCATCGGCGCGTGCTGGACGACGCCCGCCGAGCTGTCGGCCGTCACGGAGTTGATGGAGCGCGGTGATCTGCGCGATGTCACTAGACGATTCAAGCGCCGTGGCTACCGTCTCACATGGGAGGCCCACAAGACTGTCATCGCGCTGCACATTGCCGAAGCTTTGACGTATCTCCATGGGCTTAGTCCGACGGTGATCCACCGCGACTTAAAGGCCAAGAACGTGCTGCTGAACGCCGACATGGAGGCCAAGCTCAGCGACTTCGGCATCGCTCGGGAACGCAGCTTCTACGACGGCAGCGAGCACATGACGGTGGGCATCGGCACGTCGTTCTGGATCGCCCCGGAGGTGCTGCTGGGTCGGGACTACGACGAGCGCGCCGACATCTACTCGTTCGGCGTTGTGCTCTCCGAGATCGACACAGACGACTACCCGTACTGGAACGCGCAGCACCCGCCGCAGGGCAAGGTGCAGGAGAACGAGATCCTCCGCCTCGTGGCTCGTGGCGCCAAGCGTCCGGCCTTCTCGGACGACTGCCCGCCCGCCATCCTTGAACTTGCTGCTCGTTGCCTGCGCGCCGACCCGGAAGAGCGTCCGAGCGCCTCGGAGATCGTGGTGTACCTGCAGCAGTTGGTGCAAGACCGCAACTCGAGCGCGTCCTTCTCCTCCATGGTGCGACCTGGCAGCTTGTTCGACTTCAACACCCGCAGCACCAACAACAGCTCGCCGTCTCGCACAGCACCAGCCAACACCATCGTGAACTTGCGTTCCTCCGGCCAAGCACAACAGAGTCAGGCTATGGCAATGCCATCGTCGGCCGCCGCAGCCTACGCCGCTGGACGACGCACCAAGAAGACCACAACAACTACCACAACTACAACGTCGGTTGCCTCTGGTGCTTCTGGGTCCCGCCCGACAGCAGCTGAAGCTCTTGCGCCGGCACACGAAGTGGTCGTGTCTTCACCACAAGTGACTCACCAAGTGGTGCGAACCAAGCTGCCTGCAAAGGGCAAGCGAACCACGACCACCACGACTACAACCACAACGCGGCGCGCCGAACAGGGAACTACCAGCGGTACGACCGGCGGGAACTTCATTGCGGCGGGCAGCTCGGGTGGAGACAGCAGCGGTCGGAGCTTCGGCAGCGAGAGCGTTCCGTCGAGCCAAAGCCACGCCGGACTTCCGTACGCGGGCCCCACGTCGCCCGCCAGCCTTCGCGCCAACCACCAGGCGGCGATGGATAATTTAAACCAGCAGCGACAGTTGAGCTCTTCGAGTGGAGAAGAGAAGCACGACACCGCAGCCGTCGACATCGATCGCCGAGGAGAGAGGTGGGTCGTGTACGAGGATCTCAAGGAGCTGTAGGGATATTTTGTTTTGCTTCAAAGGTGAAGTTTTGTCAATCAATGGATATCATTACGTTCTGTCTTCAAGAAAAGGTTTGTAAAGTGGTTGCCAGTCTGCACAGCATAGACTTGGCCTGTTGTTCGGGATTCTCGCGTTGATTGCCAACCGAAGAGGTCTATCTAAGCCTTACGTAGGCGTGCTCGGCACGAACGATGCAGTCGCATGAATGTTGGCAACAGTGTCATCACCTTCGGTCCATGATTGAAGTGAACATTGCTGCGTATCGAGTAAAAAATGCATTAGGACCGGGTGCTTCTCCCGGAGTAACAACATGTACGTGTTCATTGCGGAGTCATCGACAGCTCGAGGTGAAGTTCGCTGTGCTTCACGGCCCCAGAGACGGATCTCAAGCAGCGACCCTATCATCCTTGCCTTGGGGTAGTTGTCAAAAGAAAGTTTTGTTTGGGATTGCCGGAAGAGAGCAGCAAGGCGACGTCGGAACGCGTCTACGGTACGCGATCGTCTGTCGACGGGAACTTGCTTGTTACTCACGACTCATTCCGCCTTACGTCTTATGCGCGTTTCAGCTACGGGTATGTCCATGGCCACAACGGACGTCACACCGGTAGCATGCAACGCTACTTGTACGCACAGACCCAGCGTTGTAGCGTACATGTCATGCATTCCTCGCAGAAATTTCTGCTAAGCGAGAGTATCCTATGCTTCGTGAGCTTCGCACCGAGTTGAGTTATGCACGTAGCCGGATGCTGCACCTGCAGCTGCGAAATACTGCGCCCGGAGTAGAGACTCTCTAGAGAGCATTGAGCATCTCGACTGATCCGTGTCCAGCACAGCTGCACTGCCCAGCTGGACGTCGATGTTACGCATTCGCCGTCGTGGCGCCAGGCCGGGGGGTCGTATTTTTCTGTATTCGCTCTCTTGGTCAGAGCACCAGCAACCGCTGACCCATTCAGGACTTGCGGTTTTCGACGACTGGCACGAAAGTGCTGACTCCACGAAAGCCCCACTATTTATACTGCCTCACAGTCCACACTCCTGCTCTCATGAGCACTGCTGCGTCGGAATCGGAGCTGTCGGACGAGGATGTCGAGAGCGCGCAAAGCTGGTTCGTCGACAACTTCCTCGACGGCGAGACGCAACTCTTCGGCGGCTCGAATAAAGCGCTCAACTCCAGCCTGCAGGTGTGCGACGGGCTGCCATCACTTGTAACACGCTCGTCAACTGTAAAGCCCAATGGCGCATGCCCCACTATCCTTACGGACGTGAACGGGTCCTGCACCTGTTTGAGCGGATTCGACTCTAGTGACGGTGCCTGGGAGTTTCGAATACGAACGAAAGGAAGCGGGAATACCACGACTTCATTCCCGACTACGCAGGCAGCGACGGGCACGCTAGAGATCGACGCTATTCAAACGCTTTACGTGCCGGACACGCTGCAGAAGTTGTAAGACGATACCAGCGTCAGGGTTTACTGATGTGAATATTGATTGATCTAACGTGTTGACACGTTTGGCGCTTGCAGAAGTATTATAGGCATCGGCGAAGCGCCACTCTCGATCGCATTCGTACCAGAGTATCGAAACCAAGCAAGTCTCGAGTTTCCCATCGCTCGTACGCTCAACTCAACGTCGAAGCTTGCAACCATGTACGCTAAGTTACGAAGGTGATGTTTGTGTTACTGTGGCACTGATTAGAGTTGTTTTATTCTCCAGCGAACTGATAAATATCGACATGTTCGAGACCGTCACGATTGTATCCAGCTTCATGCCGCCAACTGCAACCAGTGTGTAAGTGGCGAAAGGGAATTCAGTGAACTGCGTTTGGTTATCTTAACCTGTACTGTGTTGCGTCTGTAAGATAGGACTATGCGGAACTGTAACATCACATCATTTGGCTTCGAATTCCCCGCGGGAATGAACAACCTAACACATTTGTAAGCTTCGACCTCTCCATTTCGAAAAATCTATATAGGCACACTCAGCTGACGATGGTGCATTTGAATGCAGGGATTTATCTTCCAACAACATGGTCGCAGCCTACGCGGGAACAGGAAACCAGGTTTTGGCGAGTCGGTGCTTCTTGACGTTTTGCGAATTGGAGGAATAGTGCGTCATGCATGGTTTTATTTCGTACACTAATGTCGAGACTGACCACGAATCTGCAGTAACCTTTCGTACAACCAGCTCACCGTGTTCCCAACGACGCCATTGAACGTGAAAACACTGCGGAAATTGTATGCATGACCTGGTGCTATGCTGTCCTTCCGAATTAGGTGACTGACGATTGTGTACCGTTGTGCCCAACTTCGTTTATACAGCTACATCCAGGGGAACAATATAAGCAGCTTCGACGTGAACTCGACAACATTTGGACAAATTGAAGACTTGGAGGACTTCAAGGCGGACCTACCCAGCGACTCCGCGGTGTGCTCGACGGGCCAATGGAAATCTACGCACGGCGCAAGATTTTGTGTTACCGACAGCACTACAGGTTGGTATGGGCGCGCCTTCATTCCTGCATGCACAACTCTCCTAACCATTCAACTATTTGCCACAGGAAACTCATCGAGTGGCACGAGCCCGCTCATCTTTGTGCTATTCGCTGGCATCGTGGTTGTGGTGCTGCTGGCGTGTGTGCTGGTCTTGCAATGGCTCACGTACAGGAAGGAACGGTCGTCGGAGCTTCACTCGCATGCATCGGGCGATGAGCACTTGTACTCGATTTTCAACCCCGACTTCGAGGCCCACGAAACGATGCGCGTGCGTCTCGCAGCAGACCCGATCATCGTCACGAACAGAATCGACTATGGCGAGGTGAAGCTTGGTCGGTGTATTAGTCGCGGTGGCTTCGGGTTGGTGTATGTCGGGACATATCGTGGTCGGCGGGTGGCGGTCAAGAAGATCCGAGTGAATCGGGACGCCGAAGCATCGCAGATTGAACAGTTCATCCGGGAGATCACGCTCATGGCCATGCTACGGCATCCTCGCATTGTGGAGTTCATCGGCGTGGCGTGGGAGGCCCTCGTGGACTTGTCCGCAGTCACCGAGCTCATGGAGCGTGGTGACTTGAGCACGGTGCTGCGCAACTGCCGCGAGAAAGGGTATCGGTTAACCTGGAGCGACCACAAGGCCACGATCGCACTGCATATCGTCGAGGCGCTGGCGTACCTCCACTCGTTGAGTCCGAAGGTGATCCACCGCGACCTCAAATCCAAGAACGTCTTACTGAATGAGGAGATGCAGGCCAAGCTGAGCGACTTTGGCATCTCGCGTGAGCACCACGACGTCGAGACACACATGACCGCCGGCATGGGCACTTCGTTCTGGATTGCACCCGAGGTGCTGAACGGCCAGGACTACGACGAGCGGGCCGACGTGTTCTCGTTCGGTGTCGTGCTGTCCGAGCTGGACACGGACGACTACCCGTACTGGGACGCAGCCAACCAGCCGCGCAGCAAGCTTCAAGAGGGCGAGATCCTGCAGCTCGTGGCCACTGGCCAACTGCGTCCGTCGTTCAGCAGTAGCTGCCCCGCTGCCATCCTCGAGGTGGCCACCCGCTGCCTGCAAGTGCGACCTGAGGACCGCCCCAGCGCTACGGAGCTGGTGCGGATTTTCCAGGACTTGGTGCGGCTGGAGTTGTCTTCCAACTCGACGGACCTTCGAGCGTCCTCCCTGAGCATGGACAGCGTAGAATAGCCCATCACTAAGTGGCGGTACAGTGTACATGATGAATATCTTGTCGGTGCTGCCCGTAAACGAACCCGATCTTTTGGGTAAGCTTGCATACGTGCACTACGCAAGTGCTGTGTAATGGCCAGCGCCTTTGTCAGCTAGAGTCGTTTGATGTGCATGTGATCCAGCGGCCAGCAGGTCCGGCGTGGCCCCACATGGTCTCCGCTTCAGCCACAGGTGCAGGAGTCGGTTCCGGCTTCAAGCTCGCGCCGCTCATAGAGCCGATCACGCAGTTGGACCTCGGGCGTCCAGCGACTCGTGCAGAGACCGAGGCGCGCTTCAACCGCGCGACAGCGGCGGCAACGGCGGTCAAGGTGGCAAGATGCTCCTGCATGTACAGGGCTCAAGACCACCAAGGACTTGACGCCTTGAGTTGACGAAGCCGCTTGGTTGCGCTGCGTGCGCATGTCGCCATGAGCACTAAATGATCGAGTGGATCACCCCTGATGTATTATATCGCGGACAAAAGAGGCCGAGTTGAAGTCGATGCGCCACCACGCGCGACTCGATTTCTGCCGCGCCGCTCGAGCTGTCCGAGGCTCTCGAGCCTCTCGGGCGTTCAGCGGCGGCTACGGAAATCAGGGCAAGTATCATGTCGGTGCTGGTCAGAAAGCGGCGAGCGAAATGGACAAAAGCTGCCGGACGGGATTTGCCCCGCGACTGTAGCGACTGCGACTGCAGCGGCCTGTTGACCGGGTCGGCTACGTGTTGCCACCGCTGCGGACAGTGGGCTTGCGCTTCTGTTTTGAACGCGCGGCGCCGCCGCTGTTGCAGCTGGCACCGAAGTGTTAGGCCCGCGGCTCGCTGAGCCGCTAGCTAACACTTGAGCTTGACTGGATCTGCCTCGAATCGGCGACCGTGCGTACAGGTTTCGCGGCAACTTTCCGGACGCAAGCCCACCGCACAGGAAAATGTGAACCAGTAGTAGTACATCTGGCACGTGTTGTTGCTATGTAAGTAGACTTGTGCTGTACATGTACCGGCATGGAGGAAAATGTAAGTAAGATTCGCGCTGTACCTACATGCAGCAAATTTAGCAACTATTGTGCAACGACAATAACTGCCAAACTACTAAAGCAAACGTGGCGTTAACGTTACAGAAGCATGTGTGACGTTGGTAACCCTCAGCGTGGTGACTCTATCGAACTTGTCTGCCCTACCTTGCAAATACCTCGGCAGACGCGATGAGTACGGCAACAAGTGCATTTGCATACAGTGTATGCCATACACACTTTGCCATCACTTGCTATTTCTGAGAATTATCTAACCAACACTCTAAAATCGTTGTTCGCCACTCGACGCGTAAATTATAGCATCCGTTCTAAATCGAGTGAGACTATGTTAAATAGTCTCTGCTCGATACAGCAGTAGCACCATCGCCAACATCACTGACTGTACAGGCGGCTATCATTATCTGAGCGGCATGCGTACGAACGCCAAAGCAGGCCAGCGCAACGACACCAAAATCCACTGACATAAGTCACACTTTCCTGCTCAGTACCCTTTTCGCGCAGGAAAAAAATAGTTGCCAGCAGATATCACAAAAAACCGGGGCGCCGATGCTTCTTATCGGCCGCCACCGAGACTCTCTCTGCTGCCACTCGCGTTTCAGCCTGCTGTCGCGCACACCCACAGCCGGAAGTATCGGTCGGTGCAATACTCGCTCGACCAGAGAGGAGAGGAGAGGAAAAAGTCAACCGGACCGTCGCCCTGCCTCCTTGAGAGTCCAGTTCGACCCAGATCGAGACTCGAACCGGCCCAAAATATGCTGCGACTGGTGTCGGCGCTGGCGCTGGCGGCGGCCGTGGCGCGCGCGGCCTCCTCCTCCTCCTCTAGCGGCAGCGGCGAGGAGATCGACGACCAGGTGAAGGCGTGGCTGCAGAACTACATGGAGGACGGCGAGACGCGGCTCTTCCCCAACGACATCAAGAGCGTCTGGGGCAGCACCATCGGCAGCAGCCTCACGGCCAACTGGAAGGCGCTGCCCGTCGTGTGCGACGGCAAGCCCTCGGTGCAGACCAAGTCCAGCACGCTCACGGCCAACGGCGGCTGCCCCGACGTGTACACGGCCGTGGGCGTGAGCTGCACGTGCCTCGAGGGCTACGAGAACGCCACGGAGTGGGAGTTCTTCATCCAGCCACGACAGGAGCTCACGGCGCAGCCGCTCACGCTCGAGTTCGGCGCCACGCTGGGGCTCACGTCGCTCGTGACGATCGTCGCGCCCGACGACCTGACGTCCATTAAGATTGTCGGTGTTGGGGAGGACGCCGTGGCGCTCAATGTCACGGCCGAGGCCACGGGCTGGGACGACTACGACACGTCCAACCCGTCGCTCATTGAGGTCGGCACGACGTCGGCGCTCGAGAAAATGTGAGTTGTGTTGTGCGGGGTGAGGAGACAGAGAGGGGAGCAGGATACGGACTGACGCTGTTTGTAATTTTCTTTTGTAATGCTTTACAGTACGCTGGAGAACGTGGACTTGTACTCGGCAATGGATGACACGACGGACTACATCCCTCTCGCTATTGAGAATCTGTACGCTCGGCTGTGGTGCAGTTACGATTTTTTTTGTACATTATGCTGACGCTTTTTCATCATTTTTTCTTATATTTTTCAGGACGCTGCGCTACACCAACATCAGCCAAGTGACGGCCACCTTCTTGCAAGGTTTCGCTAGTTTGGAGTACCTGGATCTGTCGCACAACAAGCTGCACGGCACGTACTCGCGTATTTCGTCGCAAATGTGCACGGCCAACCCGTGCCCATTGAAGTCCATCAACGTGAGCAACAACGCCTTGACGCAGATCCCGTACCGCATGTTCTACCTGAACCAGCTCAACAGTCTTTACCTGGAGAACAACGCGATCCAGAACTGGACGGTCTCGAGCGACCTGTTCGAGAGCATCTCTGGGCTCACGAATTTCAACATGGACCCGCCCAACGACACGTACACCTGCGACGACGGCACGTGGATGACTGCCCATGGCATCAACTTCTGTGTGCTGAACACCACCACAGCCTCGACGTCGTCGGACTCATCGTCCAGCAGCAACAGCTACCTGATCTACGTAATCGTGGCGGCCTGCGTCGTGGTGTGCGTGCTCATTTTCGTGTTCATCCGACAGCGTCGTGCGCACAACCGCCGCAAGGATCGGGACGAATCTGTCTTCGACCACACCCTGTCGTTCGACTCGCACTTCACGGCTAACACTAACATTATCAACGACCCGCTTATCATCGCCCACCGAATCCCGTTCAAGGACGTGAAGGTTGCCAACTGCATCAACAAGGGCGGCTTTGGACTGGTGTACAGCGGTGTCTACAACCGCCGCCGTGTGGCCATCAAGCGCATTCGAACGGACTTGTGCCAGGATATGAAGCACGTGGAAGCGTTCATGAAGGAGATTTGCCTCATTTCGACTCTGGAGCACCCGCGTATCGTCGAGTTCATCGGTGTGGCATGGGACACACTGCGCAACCTCAGTGCGGTGACTGAGTATATGGAGCGTGGAGACCTGCGCGAAGTACTGCGCAGCTTCCAGTTGCGAAACACCTCACTCACGTGGGAAGCGCACAAGCTCCGTATCACGCAGCACATCGCAGAAGCCTTGACGTACCTGCACTCGTTGGACCCCAAATTGATCCACCGTGATCTCAAGTCGAAGAATGTTCTGCTGAACACGGAGATGGATGCGAAGCTGAGCGACTTCGGTGTTTCACGTGAGCGCCACGACATGGAGACTCATATGACTGCTGGTATCGGGACGTCTTTCTGGATCGCCCCTGAGGTGCTGCTCGGCAAGGATTATGACGAGCGTGCCGACATCTTCTCACTGGGCATTGTCCTCTCCGAGATCGATACGGAGGATTACCCGTATTGGAATGCCAAGAACCCGCCTCAAGGAGGAAAGGTGGAGGAGACTGCGATTCTGCGCATGGTCGCTGCCGGTGAGCTGATTCCGGACTTCACCGAGAGCTGTCCGAAGGCTGTACTGGAGCTGGCGAAGGCTTGTCTGTCGCTGAACCCGGACGACCGCCCGTCGGCTACCGAGGTTGTCTATGCGATCCAGCAGATCACGAGCCGCTCCTCAGTGAATTACAGTGGGGTAGTGAGCATGGACTCGTCCTCGTCAAACTCATCGCGTCCGATGTCCTTATGAGAAGGCCGAGTGCAGCTGCGCAGTACATTTTTGAAGGAGAGAACGGTATAATGTGAATAACGTTAGAAAGTATCAACAAGTCAACCTCATCTCGTGCTGTTGAAGCGCATGGCGCGTGACGTGTTATCATGATCTATAGGCGTCAATACAACACGCAGCCTTGCTTGCTGTGTCCTGTCATCTATCCAAACTTGCCGTCAAAACCAACGAAGCCCGTGATCTTGAAAATCGGGAAGAACGGCTTCTTGTGCAGATTGGAACACCAATTCCAAGCACTCGTGAGGCGTCCATCAATGCAAGAACCGGCCTCGAAGAAGTTATCTGCACCACTGCCGTCGAATGCTTCGCGGAAAAAGTCGGCCAGAATTGTCCGCTTCAGCTTTTTAGCACCGCCGAAGGTGGTCTCCACGTACCCTTGAATAGCCTTCGATGACTCGCACATCGACTCGATGCTGTCGATGGCCTTGACAATCGGGCGCAGAATGTGCCCCACCTGCGTGTACTTGTCGATGAACATGAGCGCGTTGGGTACGTTCTTGTCACCTAAATGGATGACACTTGAGCCCACCCACGAGTCCAGGTTGCGCTGGGTAGAGTGCAGGATCACGTGCATTGCGCGTGACACGCGTGGCGCAGGCTGAATACGGTGAAGACCCTGGCCGGTGTCCGTCAGCTCGTAGCGCGTGCCGTCTGCCAGCAGGTCCTCATCGGTCAGACACCACAGGCGGAACATGTCGTGGGCAATCTCACGCCACAGCGTCAGTGACTGAAGCACGTAGTTATACTGTCGGCCGTGCGAATGGGAGAGCCGAGCGCCGTCATTTCCACTAATGATGGCCAGTGAGCTGTCTTCCTTCTCGTCGTCCGGGTTGAAGTGCGTGGTCAGCAGCTTAATCATGCGATCAATCGGGTCACGCTCAAAGTACAGGTGGTAGTTGTTATCTGCGATCGAGTAGAGACACTGCTGCAGCGAGTCGCGCGTGAGGCGTCGGCTTTCGTACTTGTCGCTCAAAGCGCGAATCGCCTGCTCCTTCAGCTTGATCTGGCGCTGGATCTGAGGACGGGACTTTCCCTCCGGCGCCACCACCATCGTAGCAGTCTCAATACGGGCATCACGCAGCATATCCAGAGCGCCACCAGCTTCCAGCACATCGTACACCGTGCGGATCTTCTGGAGACACGAGAATCCCAGCAACTCCTGGAGTTCCGGGCTCACTGCGTCCTGCAGCAAGTACATGAGCTTGCCGTACTCACCGCGCATTTTCTCCGGGTTCATGATCTTGTACCGTCTACCGAGTTCGAAGATCTCCTGGAAGAACTCGGCACTCTCGGCGAAGTTCTTCTCGTCCAGGACCTCCTGTCCAGCCTTGTAGTCCGACGCTACAGCCAGAGCCGACAGGAATCCGCAGACATCTTGCAGTTGGGCACGTACGCGCTTGGCCGCCGGCAGGAACTTGGGCGTGTCCAGCTTGTCCGTATAGCTACTGACACACAGCGCCGCCTCCAGTGCTCGCAGCAGCTTGCGCTCTTCGTAGGTGAGTCGAACAGGGATGTACTTGGCTCGCTCCAGCATCTCGGCCGCAGCTTCCGGGCTTGCCGCGTTGGCGTTACCGTTCATGAGTCTTGCCGGGCCGAGAGACGACGGGTAACCTAACAGATAATGACCCATCAAGTTACAAATGTTACGGCGTGGTGCAGGTTCATCGGAGTCAGAATCATCGGAAGCTGAGCCGCGGTCGACAGCGCCATGCATACCGCGATCGAGGTCTTCCTCCTCGCTGCTACTCGTGTCTCCGTCCAGCTCGTCCTCGTCGCTCTACACGCAGCCACGCACACACACAGCACCAACACAATACACACACACACACAGCATCTCCGTGCCCTCAGTCTCCCCTTCCAGCTCCAGCAATCAGCCTGCAACTGCAGCGTCGTACATCGTAGTCCACGGCGTCTCTCGCGCTCTCCATCTCCACGTCCGCCGTGGCCGCACCAGCCTCAGCCGCAGCCGCCGGCGCAGCCTTAGACGCCGGGAAGCGCGGCTGGAACGTGTGCTTCCGCCTGTTGCCCTTGCGGTGCTGGCCGCCGCAGCACAGCTCGCAGAAGTAGTCGTGGCACTGCTCGCAGAAGAGCTCGGCCTCGTGCGCCTGGCACTCGACGCACAGGAACTCGTTGCGCCGCGTCTGCTCCAGCTGCGCCGCGTCCTCGTCCTTGGCGTCCTTGGCCGCGGCCGCCGTCACGTGCGCGAACAGCGCGCGGCACTCCTCGGGCAGCTGCTCGTCGTCCTCCAGCTCGTCGTCCAGCAGCGCCGACAGCGTGCGCATGCGGCTCACGCGCGCGAGGCGCTCGCCTGCGGCTTCGGCGCTCGGGCTCGCCATCACTCGCAGGGAAAATCGCAGACTGAGCCAAGCTGCCTAAAAACCATCGATAACGGATACTTGTGTGGTATACATAGATTAAAACCATACAAAAAACAAGTGTGGCGCTTTTCACGCCGCTTCGTGCACATTGTTGAAGGAGACGGCGGATACATCTAGGGGGGAGCTATGAGCGCTGCGGACGGAGGCCAGGCGTCCTTGTCGGACTTGAAGGAAGGTTCGTGTGGTAGACATGATTGGATGTTGTATAGTGGAGGAGAGAGTGGGTGATAGATTGTGTTGTAGTGTTGAAGGATACGCTGGCGGCTCGAGGGTCGCTGGACCAGATCAAAGCTCGCATTCGAGCCGAGATCTTCGCGGCGCTGGACGACCAGGTGATGCTAATGAAGATATAGAGAACTCGGCGTTGTGTTGCTGATGGACGTGCTGCTATCTATTTGTTAGGATGTGCCCAAGCCCAAACTGTCGAACGAGAATTTGATTATCAACGAGCTCATTCGCGAGTACTTCGAGTACAACGGGTATCGCCACGCTCTGTCGGTTTTCCTACCAGGTGGGGGATAATTAGTGCCTCGGTTCGCGTGAGTTAGAGGTGATTCTGCTAATGTGGGTTGATTTGTGGGTCGGAATTGTGCTTTAGAGTCCGGGCAGCCAGCCGAGAAGCCGTTTGACCGCCAGTTCCTGTCGAGCGAGCTAAATAGTGCGAACCAAACTGCTTCAAAGTTGATGTAGGGTGTGTTTGTCTAATATTGGCGCTTTGTGTTCGTAGTGACGGAGGATCCGCGCTTCACACACGTGCCTCTGCTCTACAGTATGGTGGCGAGTTTACAGCAAAGTCGGAGTGAGTCATTGTATCTCGATGGCTTTAACTCGAAAATTACAGCCCTGGCTGACCATCGCTGTATCATTTCAACAAAAGACCAGGAGCTGCAACATGAAAGAGATCTCGACGTCGAACACCAGTTCAATCAGTTTGCGGTGGCACCAGTCCACCACAACCACGAGGTAGGGCTCCGTCCAGCATTAAATCTACCAGTCGGCGATTCCTAACTTCGGGTTCATTTACTGTGTTTCAGCAGGAGCGAAGCTTTGAAGAGGACCCAACACGCCAAGCCATAATCGGTAAGACTGCACCAAGTTTTCGGCCGTCGGTTCAACTTGACTTAGTATGCTTTACGTCAATGCCCTCTTGTACCGTAGATGGGGTCAACGAGCCCTCGCCATTGATGTTCAAAAAGTAACAAGTCGAAGTACTAAGTTACGAGCAGTGGCCGCAGCGAGCTTTCAGGTATCGAGGAACTAATGTCGTTAAAAAAACCTGCAAATTCCGGTCAAGTGTATTTGGTTCAGTACGGCAGCTCTATTATCACGCCTTCCACAGTCGAACGTATCGGTCACTACCATAGGTGGCTACGATGTTGCGGTGCGGGTGGTGGGCAATACCGAAGGCATCGGCGTTGCAGATCTGCATCGATGTTTCAAGTTCGCCAGTCGCTGCGGCAAAACTCGCAATGAATCCCTTGTCCGTCACACCGTACAACCACTTGCCGCGCATTGACAGCGTGCAGGCAACGAAGTTGCCAACCTTCTTATCGTTGAATGGATCGCCCTTGTAAGTCAGCAAGACTTCACCACCCATCGACACGCGGTGCATGTCGCTCGTACGAGTACAAATGATGATGTCCTCTCCGGTTCCAGACGCGTTCGGCGCCAGGATCGCGCTTACGATATCGACTTCTGCATTGTACGACTCGCTGGGCGGTTCCACTGTCTGCAGACACTCCGTCGTCTTCGTGCTCCAGATTTTCAGCGTTCCATCGCTGGACGTTGAAATCACCTTGCTACCATCCGAGGAAAAGAAGGCTGTGTTGACGTAGCTGTGGTGACCGCGAAACTCCTTCAGCGTATTCCCAGACTTGAGGCCGTGGATACGAACAAGATGATCAAACGAAGCTGTCAGGAGCTGCGTGCCGTCCCGTGAAAACATGATACTCTGAATGCCCTGACTGTGGGCATTGTCAAAGCGCCGCAGACACATCCCTGTGGAAACCTTCCACACCTTGACCTTGCCATCTTCACTACCTGTTGCCAGCAACTCACCGTCCCGACTAAAGGCCTCAGCCGTCACGCTCACGTCGTGCATCATGAACTCGTCCTGATAATGCCCAGTAAATAAACCAGTTAAGTATCAACCCCGTCAACAACTACCCCAGATAACTCTGCCTCGTACCTTTGCCTGATAGTCCAGATCCTTGCGCAGCTTGCACTTTTCAAAATCCCAGACTTCCACGAAGCCGTCCTTCGCCCCAGTCACAAGCATTCGTCCATCACGACTGAACTGTGCGCACTGTGGCATGGACGTCTTGCTAAACTTGATCTTGCCCGCCGACTTGCGCACCAGCTTCTCCGATCGATCCACTACCTTCTGCTTGGCTCCTCCTCGGACCAGGTCAAAGTCTTCTCCAGGCGCCACCAGACCCTGCATAACAAAAGAATAAACAATGTATACCTGTCAATACCTTCACTTCAGCACCCCATACATGGAGCCTTTTCTTCCTCACCTGCAATTGCTGCCACTTGAGTGCTTGACCCAGCAGAACCAGCAGTCGAGACGGCTCCACCGTCGACACTTCGTTGCGGAAGAGCTGGGCGACATCGTCTCGGCGCTTCTGCTTGCTGGAGCCAGCGTAGGCCTCGACAGGGTCGAAGATGGCGCGCTGGACCAGCTTCTCGAGGCGCAGGTAGCGCTCCGGCTGCGTCTTCTTCATCGCGGCCATCGCCGGCGTGTTGAGCAGCAGCTCCAGCGCCACGTCGCGCTCTTGCGCCTCCATCATGTCGAGCGCCACCAGCTCGTACAGGTCCATCATGGCCGCGGCGCTGCACTCGAGCGCCTTGGTCTGCTGCAGCACGCGGTCCCAGCGCCCGTGCGAGATGTCGCTGGCCAGCGAATCCACCGACTCGACGGCGTTGAGACTCACTTGGGACTCCTCCTGCAGCGCGCGCATGGCGCCGAACAGACGGTTCTCACGCAGGAACTGCAGGATGAGGCGGATCGCATCGCTCGAGTCCACCTCCAGCTCGCGCGCAGGCGGCGCACCGGCGTCAGTAGCTGCCGACTCCATCATGTATTGCTAATGTTTTTGTTTTATACAAATGGAAAAGAATTTTCTCTTTTTTAGCTGGTATTATACCTTTTTAGCTGATATTATACACAAACGGATCTGTCGTCTTTTCTATGCATATTAACCACAAGACCTATAAACTGTCACATTTATACCCTTTTCCGAGAAAATGACACAGTTTTATGCAATCCCATACATACTTCTATATTAAATGAATGAAGGCCACTTGACGTTAGATGAATGGAGGAACCGAGCTGGCAGACATGTTGCAGCGGTGGCTAGCGCCCCTGTGAGCCTTTCATTTTGCTTCTTGCATGGGTCGCGGCAAAGCCCTCAGCATCATCAGGCTTCACAGCGGCGGCGTCTCTCTTCACGACATCACAAGAAGGACGGGTCGAGCACGTACCTTTGTGCGTAAGGCTATCAAGACAGAACCAGGGCTGCTCCCAAACAGCGTCAGCCCCTCCCCAAGACCAGGAAGGCGGCCGGCACTCACCGAGAGGGAGGCCCGGCTGCTAGTGCGCAAGGCGGCGACAGGCGACCGCTTCGCAGCGAAGCTCAAGACGGAGCTCGGCCCCAAGGCGTCCATGCGCACGGTTTAACGGCTGCTGCATCATCTGGACCATCTGGTGTACACCATGATGAACCGCACGCTGCCTCTCACTGCGGCTCACAAGTCAGCACGGATGGAAGGTACACATACTTAACCCAGGTAAAGTCTTTTTTTGTTATACTTCGTGATGCTAACTCTTGTTATACATAGGAATATGGAAATATACTGTATTTTCAGATAAAAAAGTTTAATTTTGGACGGCCCGGACGGATCCAAATACGACTGGCGCTACATGAGGCTGCCCGCACAGTCATTCGTGCGGCGCCAGAATGGCGGAGGATGAGACTATTGTTAAAATTGTTGTTTTGTACAAACAAAAAGGATATTTGTTATTATACAAATGTAGACCTTTCGTCCTTTCTATACATATTCTCCAAGTAATACCTATAAACTGTAATGCCATATGATTAGCGATAGGCTTTGCATTTTACTATTGTGGAGTAAGGAGTCCCGTTATCGATACGATACATTGCGTTATTCATAGAAGCAGGCAACACTGCATCGATCATGGGTACTGTAGAAGAGGATGGGATTCTATCCTGCGCCGATGGTTATGGCAAGCATGCGTCAGCGTTCAACATGCACTAAACAGCTATATATGCACACATGAATGGAGGCACCACAATTGACTTTGTGGGCGCTTAAACGGTCGAAGTAAGGAGTATGTAACGATGTTTTGCTTTTACTAAGTTGACGTTGTTTAATAGATATATCGGGCCACCCGATTTGCCAAAACGGATGTAGGAAGCCACCACTTGGCGGATGCAAGGTGCTGATTCTTGACAGGTTGGAGACCTACGAGATAGCGTCGGTTCTGTACGCGGTGCAGCAAGAATGGTGCGGGCAGGTCGAGATGGTGCATCTCGGAGTAGCTGGCATATGCCAATATATGGACATCTAACTGGCGTAGGTATTACAATTTTAGATATACTGCCATTGTCATTTACTTAAGGTGTGCTACGTTTTTAAGGAATGCGTACCTGCAGTATCGTCTCAATCACCCATTCCCGACAACCGGACGGATAAGTATCTGACCTACACCAAAACGCTTGACGGGTAATCTGCCCGATAAAGAGTATACAAGCTTACCCCATTCAATAAACGCCAAGCCAAACAGGTATACACACCCAGCGTTCGTCAGACAAATATTCAGCCGACCCGGGACTCGAACCCTCACCACCACGACAGCACAGCCACCACTGGCCATTGTACCAGCATTGACTTCCTCGACCTTGACTGTCCGGCTGGGGTCTCGAGAGTCGGCCTCGACCCGAACGAAGATATAAACCCGGTGCTACACGACGCGTTCAAGCACGCTCCGCCACAAGATCGTCACCGAGCGAGTCAGACTACGCTCATACGCTGTGTCAAACGTTTTATTGTAGGTCGTGAACTTATCCCTCAACATTGGAGGAAGACACAAACGAGATTCGTTGGCATCCGCAACGTTGGAAAATGGTACATGGTATTTTGTTGAACGAAACCAAAAACCGTTATTCTAAAATTGGAAGACATCGGTGACGACGGCCACCGCGATCAACTTATAGGGACTTTCTACCACTGTCACCACACACATGGCTAGATAGCGTCGCTTGGATGTACCATTGCGCCCCTCAGCCCCAGCAACCAGCGTTATCAGCCCCCGCACAAAATACGAATCAAATCAGCGATGGCGACCGCCGCCATCAACTTATAGGGACTTTCTACCACTGTCACCACACCCATGGCTAGATAGCGTCGCTTGGATGTACCATTGCGCCCCTCAGCCCCAGGAACCAGCGTTATCAGCCCCCGCACAAAATACGAATCAAATCAGCGATGGCGACCGCCGCCATCAACTTATAGGGACTTTCTACCACTGGAGCTCTTCCAAAAACCGCACAGAACCTGAAATTGCTACTGTCACATTTCGCACGCAAATGCAAACACAAATCGATCACAAAATGTAAAGACGGCAACTGTCGCCGCACATTGCGACGTGCTTCGCACTTTTCGTACCACTAAACCGGTACCACGTCGATGGCTGGTTGGCAAGCCGACTGCCAGTCACAGGTTGCGCAGTTTACGACTCCTTCGCGTCGCCACTTCTTTTGCATCACCTTCAGCTCTATCGCATGACCCGCCGCCAGACTACAGGCCGAGGGGCTTCACCACGCCACAAGTGGATCGTACATTATCTTTAAGTGAGTGCTGCTGTATGGTTAATGCTGAAACCTATATTTTGCTGTGCTTGACAGGTTTGCTGGCGTTCGTTGAGCAGTTCCTGCCTCTTGGGTCTACACAATGGGATGAATTGCAGTATGCGTACAACAGGAACCTGCCAGCAGAGTGGCCCCAACGCGATGTCGAGTCCCTTCGCCGCAAATTCTTTGCTCTTAAAAACGCGAGAAAGCAGGTAAATAATAATGGTTTGGCATGCTTATGCAGTTGGTGTATATACTAACGGTTCGCGCCACTGCTGTAGGTGACCCCACCTGTCCTTCTGAAGTCCGACGGGCTAAGGCCATCTACCGGGACATTGAGGGCAAGTGCAGCACTCGAAGACGACGCTACCGATGGTGATGCTGCGGGGAAGATCTCCGCGGTTTGTAGTGATGTGTCTACGAGCTGCACCAGCACGACGAGCGAGGCTGAGAGCGATGTGTGCACTACGGAGGGGTCTCGGCGGCACCAATGGCAGCAGCCCCGGATGCTGCAACGCGAAGCATCTCCACCATAGAAGTCCGAGGCGCAGACAGTGAAGTAGCGAGCATGCTTGCTGTTGGGCTGAGCCATACCCCTTCAAAAGGTAACTTTATGATGTAAAACTAATTTATTTCGACGTTGACTGTTAACCCGATTTTTTTAACTTGTAATGTATGCAGGGCCAGCTTGACCCGGGTGGCAACGCTGTGCCGGTAAATGGATCGGATTCTTCCCGTACTGGTGATTTGGGAGCATAGCCTGAGCTGGATGATGAAGCTGCCTCCTCGCTGCATTCTGCATCTGTACCAGACCTGCCGGTCACGGTCCCTAATTCTGATGGCGCGATAGCTGATCCCGCACTCTCGACGGCCGTCACGAGCGACAAGACCGTTAATACTACGCCCGCTTCGGCGCATGTGAACTCATCGCCTCGCCCTCAACTTCCTCGCAGCGGTTCAAGCTCAAAAAAGCGAACCTGTGACAACGTGGCCTCTACTGCTCATGCGACCGGTATCCTTCGGGTCGAAGGAAATATCGTGGCTTCAGTCAAGAAAAAGCCGAGGGCTTGTGTACGCAAAATGTCATCCGCACACTATTACTTCGGATGAAGTCCGTCAGCTAGGTTAACTTACACGTAACCTGTAGTGAGAAAGCTAACACGGAAACCATGCTATACTTCTGACGTTTTGATAGGCTTATCTATTAACATTACTAATAAGTAATTCATCAGCAGTGTTACGAAGGTATAAGTTGCAGAAGTGTAGCATAAGTGCATCCTGCCGAAGTGTTACATATTTGTACATTGCAGAAGTGTAACACTTCTGCAAGGTGCATTTCTGTTACACTTGTGCAACAGCAGGGCGCACCATCAGCACAACGAGATCTGGAAATTGGCAAGCACTCAATCCCTCTTATTATTTGCCGGTAGTCTACAGTAAACTTCGACTCGGATGCCTATTTATTGTAGAGCTATGATCGTCGGCAACGGTATCATTTCCCCAGAGCGTTGCCGACGATTTTGGTACATGTACCTATTACGAATGACCCAAATGTGCGTTTGTCACAACCGGCTGTTTCCCAAATGTCGACTCTATTACGAGGGCCCTCCCGATGAGGGCTCTCCTTAGCGGATCCCCGCGGAACGAAGTGCGCTCAAGCCTAGGATGGGCCCTTCAGGCCTATATCGACTGTAACTTGGAGGTTACGAGCGAGGTTTTGGAGTATATTGCCGCGCAGGGCATTGTCTTAAGCACCACTGGAATGCACCTACCTCGTGCTTTGAGCTGCTTGTGAGCTGGTGCAGACCTTTTCACTTTGATGGTGAAATTGTTAGGGTTGGTTGTTGCCAGCAAATTGAAGTTACGACGTCATTTTTATCTTTAAGTTTCTTATAATTTAATATAGAGCATATCTAGAGCACATCCACACCGAATATAATCATTCCAAGCTTTGACGTAAGCTCAGACAAGCGCAGAAACGCCCGTTCATAGTGTCCCAAGAGTCATCGATAGATTTTAACCCGCAAATTCTAAACAATTCGGGTGGATATTTAACAATCCATTGCTACGCTTGATTTGGTTTTGATTGATGCACAACAAGAATTAAACGCAAAAATGTGGGCTACTCTTACTACTACTCCAATCGCAGCGTCGACACGGTTCATAAACCGCCTCGATTTCTTGAAAACGGTGTCCTTCGATGAACTTGCTCTACGCAACTACTTTCGCTGCCTTAAAATCGCCACTGCCCTCCGAGTAACCACGGAAAGGTCCACCGAATCCTCGCCGATATTTCGCCCGCCATAGCACGAAAGCTGCAATGATGGATGACTGCGAGGTGATCAAGATGTACGCAGAAGACTCACTAGCTTCCTTGTCAAGAACGTGTCGCCACAACACCGCGCCTCCCTACTCACTTCCATAAAAACATGCAGTTGGGAGCCCCCTGTCGGGAAATAATGAAGACCGTGAAATACCACAATAAGTCGCTGGCCACGACGGCAGAAGGCATTTTTTAGTGTCAGCTCCACCCCAGGTAAACGCAAGTCATTCCTGAAAAATTGCAGCAAAACTCCCGCCGCAACTACCACGAGCGAAGTCACCTCGAGTCAACTTCTCCAACGCTGTGCGTGGCAAGTGCAACCACCGTGGATACCCAACAAGGCACTACGACTACCGGATCGCTCGACAAGTGCCCGTGGTGCACGCATGACTTGCAAGGATTTCCACTGCAGTCCCAGAGTTTGTAGAGGGAAAATCGCCACCAGAGGCTGCTGGAGTCCCGCAATCACGGATTCGAGCATCG